CACTTGGTTGATGTTGTGTGCTAATATGATTATCCTTGAAGGTCTTCATCCGCTCACACTCCGTTGATGGCTCACACCTAAGGGTTTCTCGATCCACATTATCTAGGGGCATGTGAGCATATAGAAACCAGTTCGGCAAATGACGCTAGAGCTATCGCAAAATTGGAGTTGATGCCTAACTAGCGCGGGAAAACCACTTGGGAGCAGATTCCGGGTCAGACCGAGCTCCGCTTTCCCTCCCGGGCCAAGTTCAAAGAATTGCCCCCGTTGCACCGCAGATGTGGCAACTCAGCTTATCATAGAGACCCGTCTTCTTTTCGTCCCTGGGCTTGGGTGCGCTGCGAAGGATCGGATCTTAGATCTTAGGACGGTCCTATCGTCGTCTCCTCTGCCTCGGGCAATCTGCCGTGCCTCCCTTATCTACATAACAGTAGAGAGGCTTATCATACGTGGCGATGGATAGCTCGATATGCCAGTTGCTGCTCTATCCAATTCAGGGTCCATGTTAAATCCTATGCAAACCAACGAGCATGGCGAGATTGTTGATTGGGGCAGGGTGAAGCACATATTGACAGGGCTCTATTTCACTGCTCTCTTGGCGGCGTTGGCATGAAATAACGAGCCTCAGTTGATCTTAATGCCTTTCTCAACTCGGTTGATGATGATCTCTTGCGTTGGGCAGCCGTAGTTTCATGCACACCTGTTGAAATGTTTCGAGATCTACCTGCTCTATCTGCGCGAGCATCATGGGGGTGGACGAATAGAGTTATATAGCCTGGCACGATGGGCTATGCAACAGAGTTTGTCGAGGGTCTCAAACTGGCTCAAGGGACTCCTTCGTAATTCCTAGCTGACATGGCCTAAACATGACTCCCACAGGTTAGGGTTGGGAATCGTTTGGGAGGGGGTAGAATGTGCGGCTCACTACAGTATTACCTCATCCTTGAGAAGATTCATGGCGGGTCTTAACAAAAATTGAGATCCGATTTGAGTTGCGGCATAGCGGAACAGAACAGAAGAACCGAAGGTTCCTGGAATACGGCGCGCTCTCAGAAAGGTTCTAGCCGGTCGGGTTGCGATGTGAGGCAGTGAGGCATAACTTATTGTGTAAAGACTCGACCGAGGAGGCTTCTTGGGAACTGGGAGTTTGATTTCGGATCTGACCTCTGCTGTGTTAAGTTTGCCTTCAAAGGCTTTGTCAACCCGGATATAATTCCGTTTCTGTGGCATGGAGCACCAGTCGAGCACACGAATCTCCTCAATGTGCAAGTATATAGAATACAATTCAGGCATTGGAGCAAGTTACACCACTCAGCTTCATCCCGCTGCCTCTTTTCCTACCAGAAATTGCTGAAACACGGTGCCGCTGATATGGAAATGGCCTAGCCAAAAGCAACCCAAATGTGGTTTGCGGCGCTACACCGAGGTAATCCCTATGACGATGCCACGCAAGTTGACCTGGTTAAGGCCCGTCGGCAGAGTGCTAGGCGTGTGAAGCCAGGGTTCCGAAACTTGGGAGGGTGTCTCATAGCCTGCGTCTCGAACTTCGAAACTGCGGTATAGTGGGGAGTGTGACTTCATCGAGAGGCAGTCTTGGGTGGGAAACGACTAAGCACAAGAGGGGATTTCCGTCAGAAAATGGCCAGGCCATATAACAATGGCTTTCTGACGCAGTGGCCATCACTGGAGACCCTTTCATCCTATAGTGCAGTTATCTTTTCCTCATCTAGCTAGCATCATCATCGAATCATCAAGTGTTGACACGCGGTTTCTTCAGAATTTCTCTTATTCACGCTGATACAGAGAATGGGAAACTCGGCTCCTAGTCGGCATGTCGAGATGGTGACCGGGTTGCGACACGACTGCATTAATGATCGCCTATTTCACGATCCAGGTCGGCATCGTGTCAAAAACCGGGTGGACAGGACAGGGTCATGTTATCGACTACAAGATTGAAGGAACTCTTTCGCAGCCCTACGCTCAGCTCAGTATCTTGTTCAGAAATATCCATAATTGAATTGCCTAGATCTCCGATCCAACTTTAAACTCAGCCCCCAACCAGCCGTAGGGCGACTCGAGAAACAACTCCATCTTGAAAAATAGGCTCTCACGTTATTGCACTGGAACACTCCGGTGTTGAAAATTGACTCTCAAGGGGGAGTACAGTACGTAGTGGATTTCCTGGATGAAGGGTCGATCGCGAGTCGGACGGCACGACGCGAGGGGGCTCGAGAGCTCAACCATGAACGGTTAAGCCGCACAAAGATAGACACCTCGCGGCTCGCTCTTGCAGAAAACCGTTTCTTTGTCTGTCCACTTGCACCGAAGGGAGATGCGTGATGGGTGTGATTGATGCCTCGACGTCGGCGGAGAAGTATTTCAAGAAAATACTTCCTCGTTTGTCTAAACGGGAAAGGTGCAGAGAAGGTGTATAAAAATAGAAACTCACAATGAGGCGTTTACCTGTACTCTGTACTTCGTAGTGTAGTGTATTGGTAAACCGAGACGTAGAGCCAGAGCTAAAGCAGATAAGGTTAAGAGTTTATTTTCGAACTTTGGAAAAAAAATAACAGGTAGCATTTCCGATCGGAATATCCCTCTAGCGCTAGATGACAACTTCCTATTGATGGGATGGAGAAGGAAAAAGACGGAAAAAGACGGAAAAAGAAGCACTTGAGGCATTCTTCGGTCTCCGTGCACCAGTCTGTTCTTGACATCTGCAGCGAAATGCCTAGATAGAGAAAAGAGCAATGTCCAAGCGCCGAGGATGAGGTGCGTCTGGTCAAAGTCTAGAATAGCCGAATGGCAGAAAACGCGCCTCAATCAAGATGCAGGTGGTTTCATGGAGAAAGGCCACTGGAGCAGCGTAAGCGCCGAGAGGACGGGAACTTGATGAACCGACAGCCCTGCCCACATAAAGAAATCCATGATGCCGCGTTTGTTGTATTCGTAAGATTCGTAAGATGCTGCGAAGAGAAGCGCGATTCTAAGAATAGACCAAGTTAATGTACCTACCTTAGGATAGGCTCCAGTGCTGGAAACGCTGGTCTCGTCCGAAGCGGAATGGGGGTAATTATCTGAGTGCAATGGGGAATATTTCAATTGTTCTAGAGCCTCTCTGTATCGATGAAGGAATATCGATTGGTAAAGCGGCACGAGGCCTGGTCTACATAGAGTCGTGTGAGATGCTGAAACCGCCTTGAGGGAGTGCCGATCGATCTCAGGGCAAGAGTGTGGAAGGAGTTGCCCAGTCTTACACTGGTCCCCAAAAAGAGGGGGTGGGGCGGGAGGATGTGGGGCTTCTGTCTGGCTCAAACTTGAGGTGTGATCGTAGCCGTTTGTCGTCACATTTGATCGACCTCTCCTGTATCCATCCCTGTACTTCGTAGTCGAGATTCTTTGCCCTGCCTTCCACTGCAGTGTTCTTGCAGGTGTTCTTCCGTTGTCGCACCTGCCATCTCAGCCCTCGTCTGGAATGTTGGAAGATCAGCAAGTGGGACGAGGAAGCAACGACCAGCCGCTGACATTATTTCTCCAGAGATGAAAGTGTAATGACGAGGGGCTAACGCAATGACCCTGGTCTAAACATTGAAGGCTTAGCATTCCTCGGCGGGCCTTCAAAGCATTCCTCAAGCCTATTCGCATATCCGTCGTCGTCTTACTTTCTAGCACTTTGAATATCTTGGACTGTCCCACCCATGCAGAGAATTGAAAACGTGGGAGTATCTCGGCGAACCCTGATCGCCATGCTCTTACCCCTTCCAGGCGTGCATGTCGCTCCTGGTTGCGGCGTCTGCCTAAGAAAGGCCAACTACGTTTTTTTTATCTGTCGATGGCTCCTGTATCGAGAGTTGATACCAAGTGTTGCATTTCCCTCCCTTCTTTCCCTCAGGTTGATATCATATAAGTAAGTGGTTGTGGTTGGTGGTGCGCAATGCCTCCCGTACTTCCAATTCTATGGGCCTCTTGAATCCGGCACCGGCGCTGGGTCCACCCAGCCTCTTTGCTCAGTTGTGAAGCTGCAACCAACCTTTGGCATTCCAGTGTTTGCGGCATCTTTACCCTCCCTTCCCACTTTGATACCCCTTCTCCCTCCGGCATTTTAGTCCCCTGTTACCAGAAGATCATCCCTGACGACACAAACCATCCCGGATCTCATTCCTGTCCTGATTCCGCCAAGGCCCATGGTCTTCTTAATACCTTCTCATATAGGCGTGGCGGGGGGTAGCATCGAGAGTTTGAAATTCCCCGCCCTTACCTGGAAGGGCTGCATGTAATATGCACCCGTGCTCTGGGCGGCAGCACGGCGCTGGGAACGTGAAGGGAGGGGAGGGAAAAATAGCCAGGCAAGATCACTTACACCATCACGTCTGGGAAAAAGCTCCCAGCCCGATGCAGATCGGCAGTATTACAACCGAGTTTCTCTGGGATGCGCGCATCTGAAGCTACCGAGATGGCCGGTCAATTGATACCCCCGGTATCCCTGTTGGAGGACGAGGAGGTACAGTAAAAAGGTGAAGGGGACGAAGCATGAGTGACGCAAGAGGAAGATAGGATGAAGTGCAAGCCTCCCCAATTCTTTCTCTACCCTATCCATGTATAACCCGGGACATGCCCTGTTCCTCAAGATGCGATCCTCGATGGACCCTTACCCCCTTCGATTCTTTCTGACTTGCATTGTATCATGAAGAGTAAGAATCCTTGTGCTATCTTTCTTTGTGTTAGCCTGCTTCCCTGGACATCCCTCCGTGGTCTACATACTCTCCCTTGCAACGCTACCTACACTCTGCCCAATACCAATAGGACGCAATCTCCAACGAACACGCGGCTTTAGCAAGCCTTCTACTCGAATCGAATCCCACCAGCGAAGGGCCGGGTACGGACTGAAAGAGAAGGGCTCACGATAACCAGCTGCATCTATGTGCATATAAATCTCATCACGACACCCTAGGGCAGTCGCTCCTCTCCATGGGCTCTACTGAGGCCCGTCCTCTTGAGTCATGCAGGTCGTAATACCGCCGAGAGACCATAAACCCATCACTTACAGATATACCTGGGACGAATATGGCGAAGTGCAAAGCGTAGAAAGGTAAGTTTGGTGTTTTTGACTCTATGGGGGAAGTAAGGGTGAAAGTCTTCTCAATTGACAAGGAATTCTCGCGCAGGGTCGGCGAGTCGGTGGATCACAGCTCCCACAGGCAAACTCACCGGTGGCCGTTTCAAAACAACAGTTCCCCGGATAACCTAACCTCGAGCTCCCAAAGGACAGGCGCCCGACGGACGACGTGGCAACCTCGTGGTCTATCCAGCGGCCAGACATCTCCCAGCACGATAGATAAGGACCTAATTCCAGACTATGTCATAAACTACCTCCGCGGCGAAACCCCCGAGACTGTGGCATTGCGAGCCTCGATGAAGGCCCGTGGGCCCCAAGGTGTCAATCTCGAACAACGAGATAGAGCGCACAGGTCAAGAGCGGCAGACTTTTACTTCTCTGCCAGTCGCTCGAACTCTGATCCCAATGGTGCCGCTCAGTCCGGCGAGGAAGGTGGCGAGACTAAGAGGAGGAGAGTGTCGGGTTTAGTGGGTTGGAGGTTCGGTGTCGTTATTAATGCACTAATAGCTTTTCTCATCCTCCTCGTGGGCATCATCTGCCTCGCTCTGGATATTTCCAGGTCGAGACTAGGCGGGGAGTCGACCATTTATACCGGCGATTGCGATGGGGCGAGGCGTATCAACTGGGTTCTGCAGGTCATAATCAACGTCTCAATCGTCGTTCTGCTCGCCATCTCGAATTACGTCTTTCAAGTCCTTAGCGGCCCCACGAGAGCGGAGGTCTCCGCCGCCCACGATGAGAAGAAATGGCTCGATATAGGGATCCCGTCGTTTAGGAATCTCATTTATATCTCCAGATTGAGAGCGCTACTTATAATCACCATCCTTGTGACGACTTTGAGCGTTCAAATACTGTAAGGCTCTAATCTCTGCTCCCTACTCCGGGTCTGGCATTTCTCGCTAACACCGTTTAGATACAATGGTGTAATATTCGTCTCCAGAGTTGGCAGCTCCTCGAGCCTCGTCTTCGTAACCGAATCATTTCTCTCAGGCGCACCCTTCTCCAATGCCTCGCAAACTAACTCAGCCATGTTTTCCCGCATTGATCTTTTATCCCTTCAGGACAGTGCCAATCGCGGGGAGCTCACCAACCTCACGGCGTCAGAATGTGTGACATCATTCACTGGTCCTTACGTCGGTGACTTTTCTACCATTCTCATTGTTACCGATATCAAATCATCAACGGGGAGTCTTCTGCAGACAGGCATGGCGGGTTCCCGGGGAGGCCGCTTCTTGGAAGCCGAGATTAGCGAGGGCGTTCGCCTCCAGAAACAAGATGTTCTGTTCTGCATGGCGGAGTCGGCAGAGCTCGGCCGAGAATCATGTGAGCTCAAGCTTTCGAGCTCTCTACTTGGAGTTGTCACCCTCCTGAACCTTATCCTCGTCATTGGCGTAGGTGTCACTTCTCTCTTGCGAAAATTCAAACCCTTGGCGACCCTCGGAGATGCCATCTCCTCTTTTCTCGAAACTCCAGATGCGACCACCCGCAACGCCTGTCTCTTAACCAAATCAGATGTACGCGCTGGAAGGTGGCCTTTATATGAGGCCAAGTACTGGGTGCCCCGCGAACACTTCTGGATTCTCACCCCATCACTTATCCGCTGGGCAGTCTTCGCACTGGCATGGATTACACCCGTCGCACTTGCTGCTGCGGCCTTAGCTGTCAGTATCGTGGAACAACCAAATGGCCAGCTAACAGCTTTCGGGAAGCCTGCGCCTCACCAGATCTACGCTTTTCCCGCAGGAACTAGTCGGGTAGCAGTCAGTATCCTCGCAGGGCTTCCTCACCTCCTAATTGCCCTGTTATATATAACTTTAAACGCTCTTCTGAGCACTTATTTCGTCGGGAACGAGATGTCCGAGTTCGCCGTGCCGGATGCCTTTAAGGCTCTACGACTCTCCAGCGCCGCACAAGGTATCCAACAGACGAGCCTATACATTACCCTCCCGCGCCCGTGGTCCTGGCTCCTCATACTCCTCTTTTCAGCCGCCGGACTCCTCGTCGCCAACTCCCTCGTCGTAGTGGCCGTCGACGTCCTCCCCCCACCCTCGGATCTATCCTTCACCGAGACGACCCAACTCACCGCGCTCTCCACTTCTTCCACGGCCCTTCTCGCCCTGCTTGCCGTTCTCCTCGTCATCCTCGCCATACCGCTGGGTCTCGGTCTTCGGCGCGCCAACCCTACGGCTAGCTACGTGAACGGTCGTCCCGCGGGAAATCCTCTCGCGATGCGTGGCGGAACCTGCTCGGCCGTTATTAGCGCGCGGTGCCATGGTCCCGGAGACGAGGGCGATAATCTGGTTGATCCCACCGCAGAGAGACTCGTCTGGGGCGTTGTCAGAGAAGGCGAGGGCATGGAAGTTGGGAGACTCGGCTTTGCTGGCGAAAGGAGGGGTCCGAGGCCCGTCGGGATGATTGCTGTGGGGAGGGCTTATGCGTAATTTTCTCTTTCTCTGTTCCGTTTGTTTGAAAATGTATAGTTCTTTTTCTTTGTTCTTTTCGGTGTTCAGGGTCGGCCTGGGCGGGAGACTTGGCGTCATGGTTGGAAAACTATACACTGAATGTGTCATCGTGATCATAGAGGTAGGGGGAATTTTGTTTTGTGTATTGAAGGCGATTGGGGGAGGGGAATACTGCACCTCTTGAGTTAGGTGTTGTCGTATGTTCATGTACTTGATACCCAGTTTCAATCGATCTCTCCATTTAACAGAGAATCTTGAACATCCGAAATAAGGTTGAAGTGATACTCGCCGCCAGTCACAAAGTCGGTGGGCTTGGAAGTATTCTCCGCCTGATGATCCCTCCTCCATCTTGGTTTGCACTTCGGGGTCCTTCACTATCATTAAAATGGATCAAATGCTTCCCATCCTTTGTGTCATCAATATGTTTGTTAAGCCTCGTCGTTGTTTAGAAAGAAGAGCACAAGTAACGCCTTTCCAGCCAGTAGCAAGTCATCTGTGCCAACTTGATTTGCAAATAGACCTTTGAATCAGTGTTCCCACCAAGCAAAAAGGGTAGAAAAAAGAAGGGAAAGGAAAAAACACAGAGACGGAGAAAGAAAGAGAAATAGATGATCCGTTGCCATGCACTTGCTCCGGACTATAGCCTCCACCATTCAGGCTCCTGTATAAGTACATTTTTATAGACACGCTTTCGTTTCGTCGCAGGTAAAATGGACAAGGACTTCAAGAGAGATGAAAGAAAGAATAAGGAAAAAAAAAAAAAAAGGAATCAAGTGCCCTCGAGCTTGATGGGGTTTCCCAGCCCCAACCGAAACATGTTCCCAAGATTATTCCGAACAAGAGGGGCGGGCAATGGACCGCCGCTGCATAGATTCATACTTGTACAAGGTATCTGAATCATTTGCCATCAATCCAACATTCGAAGGAAAAACAAATGTCAACAACTCCATATAATCGCTCGCTCTCTTCCCTTCATGCAATGTTTCGTTCACTCCTCGATAGCACTCTCGTTCTTCGCGTTAACAACCGCCGCAGCTTCACTAGCTCTGGGGGGCCAGCCCTCGTCAACGTTAATATTCTTTCTCGTAATGACTTGGCTCTCCCTAAACTTCTCCCAGTTCTCGGGGTCGACGCCTTGCAGCCCCTCGACGACACGTTCCCTCTCCTCCTTGAATGTCCGCACCGGTCCCTTTTCAGCTACAGCCGCGTCCAGGACGGGATCATTGAGGTCGTCAATCATGTCACGTAGCATTTGGAGATGCTTGGGATTCTCGCCCATCTCATCAAGGGATGTGACTAGGACTTCTTCGTATTTCTCGAACGGGTTGACGATACCGGTTCGGAACCGATGACCACGGCGGTGCATGCGTCCTTCTTCGAGGTCAAGGGGCTTGGTATGCGTGTGCAAGGACGACGACCGGGAAATAGGCCGGATATGGAGCGCGTCCTCGTCCTCTTCCGCATCTGAAAGTAGGCAGATACTGTCCTCTCCTTCCGGGAGAGAAGGTATGCTTTGCTGCATGTCTGCGTCCTGGGGCTGCTCGGTACTGTCGATAGGCTGAACGGCGTCTTGCGCGACCTCCCCTATCTCTCTGGTCTCTGGGAACTCCTCCTCAAACCGCTTGATGATACCATTCAGGGTGTACTCCAGGAAGATCAGCTTACGCAGATCCTCAGCCTTGTCTCCTGATTGCTCCTTAGCTCTAGCAAGAGCAGGCTGCAACCTGGCGCGTATCTTGCGAGCGCTCGAGAGGAGGTGCTTCGACATGTTCTTCGCTCTGCCAGGCGCCGCCAACCCCACACCTGGTGTGGTGGACCCGCTTCCCGCATCGCGAAGAGACTCGAAACTGGGTCTCCGCGATTCGTCTCCATTCCCCTTGTTATCGAGACAGCAGGCAAGAGCCTTAACGACACCCGTGCCTCCGATAACGTAGTCGTCATCAGGAGCAGCATCGGTATCCGCACTAGCCTCATCATAGCCGGATTCCTCGCGACCAACCAGATGCGCGAGAACATCAGGATACGGAACGATAACTTCGGCTGCCGCCGAATCTTCGAGATCACCGACTTGCAAGCGCTCCATATTGCGCAAACAGTATGCGACGACCTGCTTCGCCAGCGCCTTAACCACCTCGCTGGATTCCTCGGTAGGCACGTCTATCTCCACAGAGACAAGGGTCTTCGACACACGCACTGCCGCCAACAGCGAGGCATAGAGAGCACATGCTTCCTCTTGAGCCTCCTCCGTATGTGCATCCGCGAGCTTCGCTAGATCGGGGTTATCTTGGAGACTAATATGGGCCAGTTGCGGTACTTCTGGCAAGACCTCTGCAAGGGCAATGGCCTGGTCCGATGTCATAGAAACATCTGCAAGGTGTATGCGTTTTAGGTACAGCATCTTGGGCAAGTACCTATAGTAAGTGAGATTAGTAAATGGACTAAATAGCTATATGGGCGTTTACAAGATATATATATATAACGTACCGTCGCAAAGCCTGCATGGCCCTCGCCTCGTTCTTAAATAGCTCCGGGTTGTGCGATAAATCAATGAAGCGGAAGTCACTCAGCTTAAGGAGTGGAGGGAAGATTTTGCAAATGGATGTCGGTCCAAGGCTGCAGTCCGCCAAGCTCAAAGCCCACAACTTGTGGCTTTCTCCGATTGCGGTTGCAAGAGTCTCGATGTAGTCGTTAAGATCATTGCCGCATAGATCGAGACCTTCGCACGTCCCGCCCTGTAGATATCGAGCGACGTGCGCGACCCCCTCCTCGTCAATGTTGTTCCGTGCCAAGCCTAGTCTGCGAAGGCCGCATTTTATCGCGCCATCAATGATGACGCCGAGCTGCTCCGGCGCGGGCCCGGTTTCTCCCAGATTAAGAAGTTCAAGGTCCGAACCTGCCAAGCGTTCACCGAGCGATCGTGAGAGGAGGTAAGCGATATTGGCAGATGAGGATACGTGAGTGTAGGTTGGTGACGCCGCCACGCCGTTCCCGTTTCCATTCTGGACCGGCTCTTGAGGCGGATGCGGGAATGGGATTCCAGATAGGTCGAGGAACTTGAGAGAATGGCAGAGATAGATAAACAGGCAAACATGCTTCCATCCCTCCGGTCCAATCTTGTTATTTTTCAAGACCAGACGCTCTATCACCCCGCCTTGGACTGAATGGTCCGCATAGTTGGCGTATCTCCGCCTCCTCGAGTCTGGCTTCTTAGCGGCAAGTAGACCGGCCAACACTACTCGAAGACCTTCATCAGTCAAGCCGCAGCCCTCAAGGAAAATCTCCTTAACGGGTACGACAGCGAGGTAATCACCAAGGGTGATGAGATCTGGAAGTTGCATCCAATAACCCGAGAGGTCTAGCTTCTCGACAAAGCCGGTCTCTGTCGAGCAATTAGATGCATCCGATAGCTGTTCGGTTATCTTCTTGAGAATGGGAGTCTCGCGAAGTTGACAACATCGTCGGTATATCCTCACGGGATTCGTGGTCGGGAGGCTCGACACTTTTGGCGTCACCGGACCGGTGGCGGAGGCGGCTGTGGTGGTTTCGAGGGAGGAATCGCTACTTGACCGGTGAATTTCCATAGGTATCGTGCCGTTGGCCTCGGCAACTTTTCTCTTCTTCTCTTTCCTAGCTTTGCGTTCTTCTTCGCTCTTCTTTTTCTTCTCTTTCTTCTTTTTGGCCGCGCCGTTATCTGCTGTAGAATTTGGCGCAGCCTTGCCTTCCGCCGACTCTGGGCGTGGCGGAGAGCCGTTAGGTTCACTGGCTGCGGAATCCTTCAATGACGCCGCCGTTGTACCATTCTTTTCAGTTGGATCAGTCTTCTTGTCCGACTTCTTCTTCCGAGAAGGATCATCGGCATATTTAGGTTGTGGCGCAATCTCCACGTCAACACAGAATGCAACTCTTCTAAGCTTCGCTTGGTTCAACTCGTCTATCTTGCAGCGCTCGCGTCCATCATCGATATTCAGAACTCTTCGCTCCACGAGGCCATGGTTGCCCCTCATACCATGCCCTAAGCCAGCTGCACCTGATGAAAGGCGACGAAAAATACCCAAAAGATTGCTGCCGGGATTGACCCGTGGAGGCGCCGGTGTGTACGGCGCGTCATTGCCATTTCGGCCTCCTTGCGGGACGGAAGCAGCCTTCGCGGCAACCGGCTTGGGTTGAGCAAGGGGTTGGTTCTCCGGCACCGACGCAATCTGGGGCACCGCTGGGGAGGAAGCCGAGAACTTGGAAGATATATTCGAGAACCAGGAGGGTCGTCGCTGCGGCGAGGTTCCCAGCGGCGGCGTAGACTGTCGATCCATGGAATTACTCCGGCTTAATCTGGAATGTGAAGTGGGAATGGGCTTAGCGGCCGTCGCGCCAGCGTTTGGAACAGTGCCGTTGCTGGTTGGAGACTCTGGTGGCGGGCTGGGAGACTTTCGCTGTGCAGAAACCGCGGTAGTTGTTGATGTCGCCGTCGTCGTGGTTGGAGGAAGAGGTGTACCGATGGGCTGGCGGGGTTGGGCTGACACCCGAGGGGTAGTTTTTGTCTTGATAGAGGTAGAGGTTGATGACTTTGCCGCTCTGTCTGTTGCAGGTAGCCATGTTAATGATGATCTCCAAGAGACGGATACGAATATATCTGGATGCAAGCGTCCAGACGATAGTGATGGACTGGAAGGAGAGCAAGGGGTAGAGAATGTTGAGATGGAGGAGCACTGAAGCCGAGGTGGTAGGCTTTGCAATGAAGAAACATCCCTTCTGAACCCACGAACGCACATGCAAGCAATCAGGAACTTGAGGAAAGCGACCGGGGGAATTCATACCTTTGGCAGGCCCATGGGCCATCCAACTGACGTCCACCTCATGAGCATGGACGCCTTCCATCTTGACTAGCACAGCAATGCTGGACCCAATACCAGATGTTTTTGTAATCTTGGGAGAGTCGTCTGTGTTGTGCAAAGAGGAAAAGGAAGGGAGGTGGTTAATGAAGGGCCGAAATCGCCATCACGGGGTTAACAGGGATTCCGGATCTTGCACACGATAAGAAGCACGGGGTTCACCTCAGCTCAAGTCAGGAAACGCCTAAGGCAGGAGCATGGAGGCTGAACTTGTCTTGTCACAAGCTCTTAGATTGCAATGATTTATTCCAGGAAATGGGGGCGTCGTCCAGGGCGGAGGAGGGGGTGTATTCTGCTGAAGGTGGAAGCGAAAGCCTGGCTTGGTCGTAGAAAGACGCTGATGTCAGCTAGATATGATCAGCAAATGGAATTACGAGCAGGCCCGGTCGAGTGGTGCTCGTAGCTCGGAGATCAGCATCAGCGGAAACGGAATTGGAATAAATTCAAAGCTGCTCGATGTTACTTTGCAGTTTAGCTGGGAGATGCGAGAGCAGAAGTGGTTGGAGTCGAGGTTGGTGGTGGGCGGGGCCCTGTATTTCGGGAGCAATTTGGGGGAATCGATCGCAATTTTGGGGGGTGGCGAAAGACGCTAGCTCACGTTCTCACCACTGAACAACGTGGCAGCGCACTTCGTTTAGTGGAGTTGACACACCCTGGGGCCCCTGCCTCCGGGATCAATTCAATTGCCTCGTGCCCCAGTGCTGGCTAAGTCCGCAAGTCTCCAGAATCTCCAGATAAATCGAAGAACTCGGCCACGGTAATTTGTCACCCCATCTTACGAGAGGCAGAATTGCCGCGCCGGTGCCGATGAAAAGCCCTATCTCCACTCCTCCAGTTTCCCAGTCCGAACCCTTGCATTTTCCTCATTCCCCCCAAAAACGCACGGAGCTGGAAAACAATCGTCCATTCGCCATCTCCACATGATGTCATCTGAATCGAACCAATTGGTCATATCAAGAACTCCAACTTGTCTTGGCGACCGATGGCGATGGAGTCTTGCGATTCTCGGCTCCACCTAGAGGATCCGATCTCATCATAAAATCTTGGTTTTTGTTTTTTTCTCTTTCCATCGGGGGATCCGAACTTGCTTGACATCCTCGGGACCTCAGGTACGAAGGAAATCTTGGATGCTCCATCCCCAGACGGCTAGTTATCTCGCCATTAATGCTATTTCTGCCATCCACCTCGTAAGGTTTCAGTAGTGGAATCGGTTATCTCGCTACCTTAAAAAAAAGGGCTAGACCCACCATTTGCTGCAACATTGAAGCTTCGCTGTATTAGTGGACAGCAGCTCTCAATGTCACTTCCTCCTGATCAGTGGTGTACAGTTAATTAGTGGCAGTTACCCGCCACCACAGATTGTCGCACTGGTTTGAAGGGAAAAAAATTTCATCAGCTGCAGGACTTGTGGAGACATCAATTATGGGTCATGGAAGTTCAGATTTGATCTTGGGAGACGCGCTCAATTCGTCGTCGTGAAAGTCATGCTAAAAAAACCTCTTAAACTCCTGACCGTGAGAGACAAAACCCATTCCATGCCGCAAAACATTCATTCTTTTTTTAACCCCCACCAGAAGTGCCGACCTAATTTCATAAAAACATTTAGGCATCGCGAATCTCGGCGATCCTCTTCTGGACGTTGGCCTTGCGCTGCTCGTAGGTGAGCTTGCGGGTCTTGTACTTCTGGGAGATGGCCTTCCACTCCTCCTTGCTCTTCTTGGGGCCCTTGCCCTCGACCTTCTTGAAGGGGTCCTCACGGATGGCGGCATGGGCCTCGGTGTAGAGCTCCTCGAGGCCATCAGCATCGATATCGTCATCGATGTACTTCTGGAACTGGCTCTTGTAGCGCTCCTCATCATCGTCGGCGAGAGTCTCCATGTACTCAGCGACGTGGCCGCCGAAGATGTACTTGCGGAGGACCTCGGAGTCGAGCTCCTTGGTCTCGATATCGTAACCAGGGAATCGCTTCTCGGAGTGGGGGATGTAGAGACCACCGTCGGAAGCACCCTTCATGGCACCGAAGACACGGGCACCAGTGGAAGTGCGGTGAAGACCGACATCGAGGAAGCACTTGAAGGGGCGGCGCTCGCCATCGTCGGTCTCGGCAGCTTCGGTGAGGGTGAACTCACCATCGGCCTCCTCAACACCAGTGAAGGTCTCGTCAAGGCCAACCTTCTTGAGGACACGGCGGGCGATCAGGAGACCAGTGCAGTAGGCGGCAGCCCAGTTGGTGAGACCGTGCTCGATGCCGTAGGCAGGGAGCTCGTGGGAGTAGGCAGAGGCGAGGATCTTGTCGCCAGTGAGCTCCGAGGCGACAACTTGCATGATGATGTCGCGGTTGGTGAAGCGGACAACAAGTCGGTACTTGGGAGCGCCATACTTGTTCTTGGCCTGGGTGATAAGTCGCTTACGGGCGTAGTAGTCGGTCTTTCCTTGCCGTCTGCGCTTGAACTTGGTCTGGTAGCGGCTGTGAGGAAGAATCCAATGTCAGCTACTTTCAACTTGCGCGCACATTTCGACACAGGATGCTCGCGTGTCTGCGGGACTGGAATTTCCGTAGTTGTACTCACCTGTAGTAAGCGCTGTTCTTCACAAGCTTGTGGAAGGCCTATTTTCCATCGAACGTGCACGAGTCAGCAATTTGCGCTTCAGACTTCTTGGATCAACCCCCGATCCGAAGCATCTTGCATGGACTCTACGAGGATCTCGAATCCTCGTTTTTTGGGGTATGAAATGGCATTTCTGCCAGGCCGTACTGTCATTCCAATCCAAGGATTGGAAACGACAATCATCATAGGCTTACCATTGTGACTGATTTGGCAGGCGACTGCTCAACTTGACTATGGACTTGTTGGTGTTGAGATGTGTGAGAAGTAAAGATTGAAGTCTCTCCAAAATTTCTGTGGAGGGATAGACCTATTTTCCCACAGTTGCCCTAAGTTGATTTGGTGGGGGTTCCTCGCAAGCTTGACAAGGACCTGGGTCGGGGACATTCACGTGATTGATTTCTTTATCGGACTGTGAATTTATCTAATCTAAACGACAATGTAGGATGTCCGGCTTAGTAATACCATCGTGACGTATGCGTATTCACAGAGTTACACCGGCTTGGAGATGCCGAGGCAGATCGGTGGAGTTAAAGTGAGATTCGACCGAGCTGAATGTTCCAGTCCTTGGGTGTCTCTCTCTCGGGGAGCTACTTTGTAAGAAAATAAGACTATTTTAACTGGACGTATTGCCCTTACTGGGATATGTATGAATATATATTAAGCAACTCCGCTCAATGATCTCTCACGAATACGCCAACGTCGAGCAAGTCCTTGAGCTAGTGACTGCAGAAATGGCGGCCATTAAGAAACCCAAGGTGCTCTTATTCGACGTTGGGGGGGTTTGTGTAAGTGAACTTGCCCAGTTTCCATGGATCGCCGTTACTCAATATCTTTCTTCCTGTCTGTATAAACGGTTGCCAGGCGGGAAGTGCAGTAGACTTGAATGTAATGACTGAATCTCGAATAGGTCCTCTCTCCCTTCCAGGCCATTCTGGAGTATGAGCTTCAATTGGGAATTCCCCCAGGTTGGGTGAATTATTCCATCTCCAAGACTTCTCCCAACGGATTCTGGCACCGGCTAGAGACGGGAAGCATCCCGATGGATGAAGGCTTCTTTGAAGGATTTAAAGAGGACCTCCATAACCAGGACCGATGGGAATCCTTTTACAAAGCCCAGCAGGCTAAGAACCCCAGCCTGCCCCGAGAGATCCCTCCTCTGCCAACGGTCGATGCGGATTGGTTATTCCATGAGATGATTTCCATCTCCAGAACCCCGGACCCATGGATGTATCCCGCCCTCCAAGCACTCAAGCAGAGCGGCGAATTCATCGTTGGAGCCCTCAGTAACACCGTGATTTTCCCACCCACCCACAAATCGCACGAATTCTACAACTCGAACCCGGTCGAAGGCGTCTTTGATTTCTTCATTTCCTCGGCGCACGTTGGCCTGAGGAAGCCCGATCGAAGGGTCTACGAGCTCGCACTCCAGACCGCAAACGAGTACGCTGAAAAGTACCGGGGTACTGAGAGGGCGAAGAGGTTGGGCTGGGAAGGTGGCATTAAGCCAGATGATGTGCTATTCTTTGACGACATCGGAGAAAATCTTAGGGGTGCGAGGCAGTTTGGCTTCGGGACGGTGAAGGTTCATCTCGGTAGGGCGTTCGAGGCCGTTGAGGAACTTGAGAAGGCAACAGGCCTAAAGCTTGCTGGAGACCATCCCAAGATACCCGTGAAGCTGAGGACGGAGGTAGCCAAGGCGAAGATATAAACAGCGAGTGTTCTCTTTTCAGTTGCTTTCACACCCTTCCTATGTTTCTTCTGATGTAATTTCCATGTTGAAACCTCGTTTGATCTATCAAGTCGAGGAATGAACGAGCAACCTCAACACCTTCACCTCAACCACCCACCCCTCCCCAATGGAGGAGCATTGACGTAGCTTTATAGGGTAGATTGAAACAAACCCCAGCAAGCAGCTGCCATTACAAGGCGCCTAGAGTTCGAATGTTGCTACTCCACCATTTTTCGAGGGCGATATTAAAAAAAAATCGTCGTTAGATTGATAAAATGTACTTTTGCACGTCATTGATATTCCCAAGTCGTTAAGCTTTCTATAGTCCCCTGACACCACCATCTAGACGCCTGCGGGCCTCACACGATAAACCAATTTCCTCCGTCTTCGACCTCTTCCGTCTAAGAAGACGCCTTTGCACTATACTTGGCCGCTGCCTTATCGAACAGGCTCGATTTCTCTTCTAGATCTACCAAAAACGCATGCTCAGGGTCGACTTGCTTCAGTTTCCTATGGAGAATCCTCTTGTTAGTCTCACAACCGGCCCGGCACTGCAAGAGGGCCACCTACTGGGCGATTTCCTTGGGGTCCTTTCCGGACACTACGGAGAGAACCAGAAAGTTCGCAATGGCATCGGCATATTTAGGCTCGGTCTTGATAGCCTGTTCGATCGCAGACTCGGCCTCCTCGAGCCTCCCGAGATGCAACTCCGCAACGGCCTGGGAAACGAGGGATCGGACCGAAGAAGTGGATGGCGCTTGCGCAAGCTCCTCGAAGACGTAGAATGCTTGTTGGTACTTCTCGCCGCCCTGTATGGTTGATGTCAGCATACCGTCCATATTTCCGAGTGGAATCGTGTCCGTGTATATATGTGCGTTCTGCATACCAGCCTGATGCCAACCCACGACTCTGCAAGGTTGACTAGAAGACTATCCTGAGCCCACCTCCTCGCAGCATTAACCTCCTTGAGCGCAAGATCGTTCCTGTTCTGCGTGAGATGGATCTGGACAATCAACGCAACGGCCTCGACTAGAAATCCCCCAGACGTTAAGTTAGCCAAGTAATCTAAGACGGAGAAAATTTTCCATAAGAGCAAAGAAAAAAAAAAACCTACGGCTACCCTCATGCTTCCCAAGCAAGTTCAACGCATCCTCACTCCTCCCCTCCCTCTGCAACACAATCCCCCCCAAAACCTGCACCGTCGCATTATCCCCTGCCTCCTCCGCAAGCTTCTCCACGACCTTGACGGCTTCCTCCGTCTCCCCTAGCTCGTATGTAGCGAGCGCGCCGACGGCTGCCAGCTCGGGCTCGGCGGCACCCTCGACTTCGGAGACGACGTCGGAGGCGTCGCCCTGCGCGATCTTGGCGCGTAGCACGAGGACCTGGGCGGCCGTGTGGTTCTCCGGGGAGAGGCTGCTGATGTCGTAGTCGATTACAGCAGAGTATTGGCCTTGATAGAAGTGGTTCTGGATGTTGATGAGCTCGCTCTCGGCGGAGTAGGGGTCCATGGTGGGCGGGTGTGGTTCGTAGGGGTCGTTCGAGGGATTAGGTGTCGAGAAATGGTAGTCCTAGAATATTCTTCGGCGCAGAAGGTATATATGTCACCTACTGGTAGGGGTGAGTTCGGTGTAAAGCCGCCGGAAGGAAGGGGAGCCTGTGGATATGCTGCTGAAGAGGGAGTGATGTTCTTGGAGGGGGAACGCCAGTTCAGGAGCTGCTACGATTCGAAAAGGTCACAGTGTCTGATGGGAGATGGGGCCAGTGTGGTTACGTATCTCGCACAGTCATTTCGGGCTCCTATCAGCCTCCTCATAATCAAGCTTGATATTGAGCTTGATCCATGATATTTAGAGATGTAAAAAGCTTCAGATGTATTTTCATTTTATTTTGTTTTTTCATTCAGAGGTATTAGTCTCATAATCTTACAAGTTAAAAATAAATATATAAAAATCTCATCATGAGAAAACATTGGAGCCCGCCCAAAACTCCAACCTCCGAAAGTGTCCATCCCAGCGCCGCCCCATGTGCTGCCACTGGAGTAAAGACGGCCCTGCATTTCTGTAGTCGTTAGACACAATAGAAATTATCCGCTGCGCAAAAAATAATAAAACACGTGAAGCCATGAAATATGTCCTGGGGAAAGCCGGACAAGGAGAGGAGAGCGCCCAACCTCCCGAAAGACAGCGAGGCTTGCTTCTATAGTTCTCCTTCGTCCTCCATGTCCTCGAGCACGCTCTCCGTCTCCTCAAGGCCCTTCAGGACCTCTTCTATATCCTCCGGCGTCGTGATGGCCCAGACGCCTGCGCCTTTAACGACATCGTGGCCTCGAAGACCAACCTCCTTGCCCACGAGATTTCTCCCGACCTTCCCGGGACCAATGCCGATCCAGCGCCGTACACGCTCCTCTTGGTCCAGGTACTTGATAGTGTCCCACCACATCACCGTCTCCACAGCTTGTCTCGCCAGTAGATCCTTTAGCTCCTCCTTGCTCCGGAACGGTCGAGCGGTAACGTTGCTGATACACGGGATAACGCCTGGAAACGTTACGATGTCCTTGTCGGCGCGTCCCTCCACCCGGCTCTTCTTCTCGAGAAGTTTCCGCATGACCGATACGGCGGGCTGCATGATGGGACTGTGAAACGGCGAGTCGCTGTTCAGCCGGACAGCCCGGGGGTCGTGTCCAAGGAACTGCCGCACGTGCGCCACCAGCGTCTTTATCCTGTCAATGTTGCCGCTAAGGACAATCTGATTCTTCGAATTGATGTTGGCGATGTGTACCTGCTCGATGGGGGCAAAGCCCGTCGCGCCGCTGCGTTCGACGAAGCCGTCAACGGCGTCGATGAGGCCCGGGAGGTATTCCGGCTCTGTCACGATGGCCACCATGCCGTATTCGCCGCCGTACTGCTCCCTGGCGTTCTGCGTCGCCTGCTCCATAGCCAACGCCCGCTTCGTGCACACGTATAAGCTATCTTCAAACTCCATGTACCCGCCGGCCACGAGGGCGGCGAACTCGCCGAGGGAGTGGCCTAACGTGACATTGACCCTCGTCGCTAGGTCGAAGCCGAATTCCTTTTCGAGGATTTTGAGAATCAGGATCGACGTGGCCATGATCGCGGGCTGGGCGTTCGATGTGGCCGTTAGGACTTTACTCGTTCCATGTTGTATTATATCCGAGAGCTTATAGCCCATGCAGTGGTCGATCTGCTCGACGATCGGCTTCGCGGTCGCGGGGAATGCTTCGAGCCATGGCGTGAGCATGCCTACTTTCTGTACACCTTGGCCTAAAAACCACACGGGACACAGCTCAAGTCAGTCCTGGAGCCCCTGTTTTGTTGCGGAATCGGTGGTTAAGTGAGGGGCGGATTTCGAGTAACACCACCCACCTGGAAAGAAAATCGCAGTCCGGGGCCTCGGCTTCTGCGTAGCACCTGCTGTAGATTGTTCATCCCAATCCCGTAACCTCGACGTCGTCGCGAAGCCGCGTGCTCTTGTTCGCCTCGAGGCCCTAGGCAAGGATTCTGTGATTGAGGAAATCTCGCCCTCGCTCCGGCCGCCCAGCGGCTCGATGCGCCGCCGCACCAACCCGGCAACAGCCAGGTTCGGTCGAACCATTGGCGGAGAAAGCAGCCAGAAAAGCGCTCGGGATTGTTTCCCCAATATTTTGTTAGCGCATTTATGTTTTTGTATTTTTCGCGGAAGCTCGAAGAGATTCTAGGTGTGGTTTCGGTCGGAAGGGTTGAGGTTTAAGTTGGGTTATCTGAATTCAATGCTGACGGGTTCGGTTGAGTCAGGCGACTCTTGGGGGGGGGGGGGAGGATCGCTCGGATTTGAGAAGCTTCGGCCGGACTTTGGGGGAGGAATGTCTTATCGTCAATTCAGCGCAGGGTCATGGTGGGGATTTAATCCACCTCCACAGGCGGGGAGAGAGTGGGGGATTTTTTAAGGCTCAAAACTCCACGGTAAATGGTAAACTGCAGCGGAATTGCCTAGGAACTTCTCCCATTCGGTGCAATAATAAGAATCCAGGTTCCCTTGGCCTTCCCATGCTCAGTGAAAATTGATCTCATGTGAACACTCCCGCTTTATATTTGAGTCGATACATAAATTGATAATACTGAGAACGAAAGACGCAGGGAGAAAATAAACTAGCATTCTTCAAGCTCCTTACAGAGTCAACGAAGCACAGCATTTCGCTAGGTGCAATATATTAAAAAATAGAATATGGTTCAATATTCAGTCGTTTACATTCCAGCGGACTTGCAACAACTTCGGAACATTTCCAGGTCTCCTTCCGAAAAGCCCAAGGGACGGATTCCGACATGCCGTTAGAACGTTCCGACGAAATTACAGGGTCCACAATAACGGCAGTTGACTACGCCGATCCTGGCTACAGCGAGACCGGGATCCAATTCTGCTCTGCGAAGCAGGACGCTGCTGTCCTTGCTCTGCATTCGCGTGAGGCGGTGACATCAAAACCTGAGGGATAAAAGACCCCGATGCTTCTTCTGAGGCGGACAAGAAGTCTAGTGCCATCCCGAAAGGGCTCCCTGCATATATTGACGAGCGCCACGCGGATGTGCCAGCATTCCCTTAGCACCTAATTTCAACTCCACCTTTGCTAATGGTTAGATACTTGACGCCTTTGTACGGCTTCACGGTTTCGCCAAGCCCTCTACTTCGCCTGGCATCGAGCAAGATGCTCTCCACCTTCAATCCGCTCGGCACCCATCCCTTGACAGAGAAACTGGCAGACACGGAGCTTGGCATCAGAAGCTTGTTCTGGCCGACCTTCCTGGCCTCTTCGTCATTCTCCCTGGCTTCTTCTCCCCCGCCGTTGGCCCCATCGTCTTCCTTTGCACGGCGGCTCTTCCCTTTCTTTCCTTTCTTGGGAGTAGTTTGTTGCGACCCTTGGTAAGGCTCCTCGTACCCGTAGTCCGTCAAGCTCGTGCCGGGAATCCCATCATCTTCGTCATCTTCCGCAACTGGCCCGACCACCGTACACCGTAACGCAAAATGCGAGGTCCCGTTAGATATTTCCTTCGTAGGGATGATCCATTCGAGCACACCGTCTGACGGGTTAAACGCGGCGTCTCCCCTACTTGGTCGTAGCTCCGGAAGGTTTCGCACGTCCGGGGGCAGCGGTATCCTCACCACCAGGTCCTCTAATAGTGGAGCGCCCGGGGTGCCGGAATGAGGTCCACCAAAACCGCGGCCTCCGCCTACGCCTCCTCCCCCTCCACGGCCGATTGGCCCGGACGACGACGAGCTGGCGCCAATCAACCGATTGGTCTGAACTTTGACTTCGAAATCCGAGCCGGTCGGTCCAAGTCCAGTTTTGACGTCGAGATTTACAGGCAGCTTTAGGTTGCCTGTGGGCAAGGTATCAGTAAACGGTAGAAGGTTCACTTCGTATCCTGCAAGAATGAACCGGCCATCAGGAGGGATGAAACTAAGTTCTCCCGGCCTCTCTTTCCACTTCGCCAGCCGTACGCAGGGGTGGAAAACAGGTAGCTCTAGTATGCTCCCGAGGTTGTGCTTCCCAGATGGACACGTCAGACTTAGCGTAATGTCCGGAACACCAGACACTTTGGATGTGAAAGCTATTGTACCGTTCGCAAACGCCGCGAGGGGTCGCCCGGAGGGAGCTAATGTGACGGTCAAGGTTTCCACAACGTCGGCGTATAGCTCGTTCGAAGTATGCCGCACGTTCGATCTCCTCCACGGCAGAGCTGGGGCGTTTAGTGTTGCTAAAGATGTCGCAGCCGAGTTCGCCGCAAAGCCGGGTTTTCTATCCATAAGCATCCCAAGTTAGTGCCCCCGGATTGCTTGTCTCGGTCCCATGGACGGCTTCCAATACGGTAGCGACGAAACCTACCCCGGGAGGTTGATGCTACCCAAGAGCTTGTCCACCCAACCCTCAACCTCTACCAGATCTCTCAGCGCATTAGGCTCGGTCGTATTGACGGCGCCCGCATCGCACATCTCGGTAAGCAGCTGAGCCACAACATCGTAATTCTGCTCAATCTTGCTCGACAGTAGAGGAGCACCGAGGAACTCTTCGAAAGCGTCGACCACACGGTGTAGGAATTCGAGGACTAGGAGGGGTTCGATTTCGGAGGACGAGGTCGCCAGGAGTAGGAGGTTCGCGTGGGTAAAGCTGTAGACTAGCGTCGGAGGGTTCGTGTTGGGGAGAAAGATGACATTTGGCTGGGGGGCGGGGTGGTCAAGGTAGAGGGGCAGGAGCTGTGTTGCAGGGAGAGGGCGCCCGGCGTAGGTGTGGGAGACAATCGCATGGCTGGGCTGCGGTGTCAGTATTTTGCATAAAGACCAAGACTGACTGTTACCTAGGTGGTCTTCGACTCACTTATGCTCATCAAAGATGTGCAGGGCCTCGATCACGCCGTTCATCTTGCCTCGTCTCGTACCTGGGAATTTGGTGGAAGCACTGGAAGGAGAGAGCTTGGGTCAATCACGTCGTCATTGGATTTTGGTGGGGCAATGTTAGATTGATTTGATCAGCGTTGAATCTGGCTTCTGGACCTGATTTGCTGGCCCGTAGCGGGCATCGAGCCACCCCCCTGACAACAGCTGGAGGATTACAAAGGTCCTCAAGCACATGCCTGAAGAATTTCCATGGTCATGACGAGCTCTTCTCTGGCCGGGTATTATCACACTGGACTCTCCCCTGAGAACTTCCAAGAAACATCCAGAATATTGAGCGCCCCCAAGTATCGTGAATAGCGACAATGGCGAAAGATGCAGTCCCAACCCTGCAAAGCCTCGAAAAGCCAGAGGATCTAAACAAGCTCCTCAAAGAGGATGCTGGAGACGATTGCCTCCCCTGCCGCCTCGTCGGTACGCCGCCCCTCGAGGCGCACTGCACTTTGGCAAAACGACAGGAGAAACGCTAACTTTTTTTCTTTTTCGAATTTTGAACAGGCAGCGGCGCATTTCTCGGTCTAGCGGCGTACAATTACCTCTCCGGGCACGCGCAACTCGAGGCACGGCGGCAAGCTGTTCTCAATAGCAAGTCAATGTTCGGCATGCGAAGCAGGAAGTTCGGGATAACGATGCTGTCGCTCGGCCTGGCCTGGATGGGAGTGTGGAGGCTCGTGAAGTAAATAATGAGGTTTTCCTACCAACAAGAAAGAGGGGCAGAAGGGGGTCGAGAAACTCGGAATGCCAGAGAAGGACGGTCTCGCCTCTCCCCGACTCGGCCTAGACACACCGCCAACACTACCAATATACACACGATCGCGCCTTTATACAGCGACACACCCAGAGATACGTCGGAAATCTAGGCGAATTTACAGCTACTGCGCAAGATGCGCTACTCGAGGAGCAAAATGCTCTCTGGAGGGGAACGATTTTACATATCACCCGGACACGGGCTCAGAAGGAAACGGGGAGAGGTTTCTGCCAATGTACAAAAATCTCTGTAATAATTAGAATTAAAATACCCACTCAATAATATGTACTATATGTGTATATATAAAATATTTCGAGAGTCGCTTTTGATATGATTTTATATCGATTGGTTTTTGCCCCTCTTGAAGTGGCACTTTCAAGCTCGAGGCGTGGGACAAAGAAAATTTAAAGTGAAAATCCGCGTTGCGCGTAGCTTGGCTCACCTAACCTCAACTTACTCAAGACTCAAAACGTAAAACTTCCAACAACCTCAAATTCGACCCTGAACATATTTGTTTGCGAGTCGCATTGGACCACATCCCCAGCAATAATTCAAATAAAACCGGCTTCCTCTCCATTCGCCTCCTAGCAGGCCCCTTCAATCTCATCCACTCAACCCCACCACCGCCATCATGGCCATCACAATCATCCAGCCAAAGCCAGTCTCCCACCATGACGAGTCCATCAACGACTCCGACTCCGATTCCGACTCCAGCGGCGGAATAGATCTCGATGGCGACGTATCCATGACTGCCAAGTCCCTCCGCCATGCCGAACTCGACCTCGTCACCCCAGGCGAAGTAATCACCGACGATGCGCAATGGATGAGGTAAGTCTCTCTCTCTTTTTACTCTCCCTCCTCTCCCTAACTCACCACATATTCACACTCCTCCCCTAGGGGACACGGCACCTACATCCCTGCCGGCACCACAAACATCACCTCCTCCGTCGCCGGCACCGTCACCAAAACCAACAAGCTCATCTCCGTACGCCCCCTCCGCGCCCGCTACACCCCCGAAATCGGCGACCTCGTAGTAGGCCGCATCACGGAAGTCCAAGCGCGGCGGTGGCGCGTCGACGTGGCCTCGTCCCAGCTCGCCATCCTGCAGCTCAGCGCCATCAACCTGCCTGGTGGCATCCAGCGGAAGCGCACGGAGACGGACGAGCTGCAGATCCGGTCTTTTTTCGCCGAGGGGGATCTCGTCGTCGCTGAGGTTCAGACGCTGCATGGTGATGGGGCGGCGGCGCTTCATACGCGGTCGTTGCGGTACGGAAAGTTGAGGAATGGTATCTTTTTGAGCTTGACGGGTGTGGGTGGTGGTGGTGGCGTCGTGAGGGCCAAGAGGCAGATTTGGACGATGGAGACGAAGGCGGGTAAGATTGATGTCGTGCTGGGCGTGAATGGGTATATCTGGATCTGCAAGCATATCGAGAGCGAGAGCGCTGCTGATTTGGGCGCCGCGGGGTTGCATCGGTTGGATGAGATGGTGAGCTTGAATATGTATTCGAGCCAGAATGATCATATCGAGGTCGGGATGATGCGCGAGATTGCGAGGATACGCTGCGTCATTGTCGCTCTGGTGGAGAACGGGTTGAGGGTTGATGAGGATATGGTCTGTAGGGGTTACGAGTTGGCGGTCGAGTTGGGCAACGAGGATATGGAGGATAGCGTTTACCTTGGTGGTGAACGAGGGGAGAGGCTAGCCGCCGAGTTACGAAAGAAGTAGGGAGACGATGGGAAACGGAACTAACACAAAATCACTTCACATGAACCGGCACGTAATGTTTTATTAGCCCCTGTATTGAGAGCATTAAGCCTCGTTACTACTATTGTTCGACACGAGTTCATCATGTCTGCTACTGACAACCGAGCTTTGGACAAAGGAAAATAGGATTTGCGTCTGCGTAAACTGCACAAGCCAGCTGGCCTCGAGATACCATCCCCCGTGTAGACCCCCTCATTAGTCCGAGAGCAATGGTGGGTGGTTTGGGGCATCCCGAGCCTAGTCTTAAACGTACATGTTGAACCATAAAAATACAATACACTCACCCTCCCCTAACCCGATATCTTATGTCCTCCACTTCATGGGCGGAAGAAAAAGAAGAAGAAAAAATAATAAAAGCCTTACTGCCCTACAAGTGCACCCTTACGAGTCAACGCTACAGCCGAAACCAAGACCACAACCCACCTCAGCAACGCACCTTTGGAACCACCCGCACCCAGCCTAGCTACGAACCTCAGCCAGTACTTCAACCCGCGGATAGGGTTTCCGTTGCGGTCAAAGTCTAAGTTCTTCCTGGAAGGGCGAGGCAGCTGGTTGAGCCTCTTCAGGGAGTAGGGCATGTACCGCACCCGGAGGAGGCCATCCATCCAGCCGGGGGTCTCGGCGACGGTGCGGGCGTGGCTGAAGGTGTTGAAGGAGGCCACGCCGCGGTAGCTGCCGCAGCCGGATTGGCCGACGCCGCCGAAGGGGGCTGGGGTGAAGGAGGCGTGGACGTAGGCGTCATTGATGGACGCACCGCCAGATGTTACTTGGTCGAGAACTATATCACAGTTCTTTAGTATGAAAATACGCTTGTCAAGTTAGGGGGGGAAGGGGACACGAACTTTTCTTATTCTCCGCATCATTTCCGAAGGTGGCAACGGAAAGAGGAGTAGAGTAAACCTCGTTCGCAATGGCAATGGCCTCATCAAGGTTGTCGACGGGCAGCAGGGAGAAAGCGGGGCCGAAAGTCTCGTCAATCATCATCGAGTCTTCCTTGGAATCCACCAACACGACGGTGGGTTCGATGTAGAGCTGGGACTCATCCGTCTCGCCACCGAGAATGATCTTGCCCGTGCTCTCATCGATCATCTTCTTAATGCGGAGGAACTGCCTCTGGTTGACGATTCTGCCATAATCCGGGCTAGCCTTAGCACCATCGGGGAAGAAGTTCTTGTAGGAAGCCTTGAGCGCGTCAATGAAGGCTGGGAGAACGGTCTTGTCGATCAAGACGTAATTCGTCGATAGGCAGATCTGACCGGTGTTGAAGACCTTTCCGTACAAGATGCGGCGCGCAGCGAGGGCGATGTTCGAATTCTTGGTGACAAAGGCCGGGTTCCTGCCACCGAGCTCAAGCGTGACCGGGGTGAGGTGCTCGGCAGCCCTCGCGGCGATGATCCTGGCAATGCGGTTGCTGCCAGTGTAGAAGATCTTGTCCCACTGCTGGTCAAGAAGAGCGGTGGTCTCCTCGACGGCTCCGTTAACAACGGTATAGGCGTCGGAGTCGAGGTAGTTCTCAAACAAGGTCTTGTGGACAGAAGCCGTTGCGGGGGAGCTCTCGGACGGCTTCAGGACCAAGGTGCAGCCGGCAGCGATGGCGCCGATACAGGGGCAAAGGCAAAGCTGGACAGGGAAGTTGTAGGCTCCGATGACGAGGCCGACTCCCAGGGGTTCCTTCCTAATGCGATGCTTCATCATGAAGTAGGCGGGGTTCATGTCGGAGACACGCTCCTCCTTGACCCATTTCTCGAGGTTCTTGATGGTGTGCCTGAGATCCTCGAGGACGAAGTCGATCTCGCCGAGGTAGGCTTCAAATGTGGACTGGCCCAAGTCACGGTTGAGGGCTTCGATGAACTGGGGCTGGAGGTCAACGACGCCCCAGTACAATTTTCGAAGCTGCCTCAGTCGGTACTGGACATCCTTGGTCTTGTGCGACCTGAAAGTGGTGCGGAGGCCATCGACGATACCCGGGATGGATTCCACGGGAGTGTGGGTGAATTCAGCAATATCAACTTTGGTAGAGGCCATGGTGAGGGTTTGGGGATTAATGAAGGCTGGATGAAGAGGAAGAGAAGGAGGATTGCAGAAGTTACGAAGCGTATATATGATGTGAGGGTAGCGTTTGCGTAGCTGAGACGGGAGCTCAGGACTGGGATAAATGGACGTTTGAAGTAGGACTGGCTCGAGACATTAATCAAATCAAAGCCGAGTGAGCAGTTGCAAGGGCCGGCGTTGCTACTGCAGTATTTGTAGCGAAAGGTCAGTGAGGCGGGGCGACTCTTATAATGATGTATGATGTCGAAAAGGGAGATGTCGATCCATCCAGTTAGTTGAAGAGATTATGTGATATGTTCTAGTTTATGGTGTCTCAAGGTCGGACAATCGGGACAAGTGTGAGCTCCGTGCTTGGGTTAAGACGTTTTTAGTCTAGTAATTCGCGGATGGTCGCATCGAGCCCGACGCGAAAAGCTCGAAAAGTTGGAAAAGCTGGGGTCGGCGAATCGTGCCGAGGCTGCGATGCGAGCTCCGAAAGTGCCATAATCAAGCGTCTTATTCAAGGAACAAAGCCGCCGGCTTGATTCTAAATTCACCGGGGAACTTGACGGAATATTGAGTATTTTAGCGTTACAGCCTATTCTGATGGAGTGCTAATATTCTAGGTGTATTATCTTGAAAATTTGACCCCTGGAATCAAGTCCAGTTGATATGATTGATTTTGACGATGAGCTGGAGCATGGATGAAGTAAACGTAAACTCCGGTGCTTCATGATGATGGTCTTGGTCTTGCCATGTGAAAGGCACTGGAGCTAATCTGTGCTTTTCCCGAGCTTGGGTTGCAGTTGGCAGGGGCCCGACCTCCACAATGCGTTGCAGACTTTTGATGCAGCAGAGGCTTCAAACGGAGCGGACTGTACGAAGTACTTTGGGGTTTCAGTGTCTTATTTATTAGTTCAAGTGTGTGGCAGTAGAGTGTATTGAACAGGGGCTGATCGGCAAGCCCTTAGGTTGATGATGGCGTCTGGATGACCGGCCCTGGGATTTGATGTGGAGGATGTGTACATTGGACAATTGTAATGCTTTCACGCAGGACGTTCTTCATCAATTTGGAATGAAGAGCATCTATCTAAGGTACGAAATATGAAGGCGCATTCAAAGTTGAGACATTGATAGTGCTTGGGCTTCTTCAAAGCCGTATGGGGGGTGTCTTCAGGGAACAAATGCACCCACCGAAGACTGTATGACTGAAATAAAAATACTTCGTAGATCAACAGACATCATTGATCCATACAGCTAGATCTCAGTAACCAGGTCAAGATGATAAACTCATATCAAATTAGTATAGATATTGAGATCCGAGTACCCCAATCACAGTTTGAAGAGTTTCGCCCCTCTTGATGCTCACACCTTAGCCCTAACCCGACTTCGGGGCTTCTTCTCGAGAATCGCATAAAATCGCATTTGATTAGTACAGGAGAGCGGTCTGTTTCCGTCCGCCGAGTGCCCGGATTCACAAAGCAATCCTCCCGCCTCCGTCTCAGCCTCAGGCCCGAGGGTGCCGAGTTGCCGTTGGATGTGCGGTGGCTATAGGCGGAGGCAAAGAAACACGTCAACCACCAGAGGCTAGAGAAAGCTAAAACATTTTAGACGAGGGAGAGCATGAATGCGCGACGAAATTTTTCATGTCCCCCTTTACAGAACTTCCAGAACGTGTTCATGGAGCGATCATTGATCTGCCAAGGGCTGAACGAATCGAGACGATCGAGGGGGGTCGTAGATGCTCTTGTGGTCCATCCCCCCCCTCATACAGATTCGTAAACTCTGAGTACCGCTCAGTCGTTCCCTCAACCGGAAAAAAAAAAAAACCATGCATTGAGAATGCATCGGCTTCCCGTTTCCAGGACAAGTTCTTCGCTGAATTTGGGGTGTCAAGTTGTATTATTATTCCCTGATCAGCCACAGACGATGACCTGTCAAGCCTGGCAGTTATGGGTGCTTGGGTGTGCCAGGGCGGTGACATCATCAATCACGGCTTCTGGAACTCGAGCAATCCCGCTTCCGCACCACGCGTTCGTGGAGGCTGAGCCCAACCTTGTCAAAGGAGTGCGTACGCAACACGATTGATGCCAGAGCAATATTGCTGTATTGCTGATCTTCAGAGGCTGCTTCGCCCGTGCTTCGTTATTCCTCCTCGAAATAAGACCATTGCCTTCTCACCCCGGCGGTATTGCTTCGCCTCGACGACCCAAACCCTTCCCAGCTGAAAAAAACTGAGCCGCTCGCCTCGCGCAAGCAACCACGCACGAATCAGATTTTGGCGGGGTTGCAGATTGCAGGTCGCAGCAGAGGTTTGTGCGTTGCAGACGTCACATACGTACAATTAGAACCGAAGGGCGTTTGCTTCCCAGGCCTTGATCCTGTCAGAAATCGTGTACCTGGGGCTAATATCACCGAACCTTGGTGCCTTTTGCTTCGTACGCTGCCCAGCAAATATTTGCCGTTTTTGCTTTCTTGGATTGGGTTTGTTCCTGCCAATTGCCTGACCCTGGGAGGGCTCCATCAAACAAAGTCTTGGCTACGCATGTAGCTCGCTATTTGATCTTGAATTCGCCATCTCCCCATCGCAGCACAGCTAACTTTTGCCCCCAAATAGCCCCACTATCCCGACTTGGTTCACTACTCTGTACATCACAAGAAACAGAGGGAGCAAAGACGACCGAACAGAGTAATCTAATCTCCAGAACACTTTGCCTTCAACCGAAGGGCGACAATGAGTTGAGACTTCCACCACTTTACCATCCCATCGCTTCGATCTTCTTAGCCTTTGTCCAGTGGGAGAACCATGTCCGTGAGAATCGTCCTCGACAATGCGCCCGAGTTCTACACAAACCTCGACCCCATCGTCGGCCGCGTCATCGTAAACCTCCAACGCACCGAACAAATCGGCACCATCGTCGTCAAGCTCGAAGGCGAGGCCAAGACCGCCCTGGTGCCCCAGGTCGACCCCCATACCGGAAACCCGACCGGCGGGCCCGTCGCGACCGAGTCCCACAAGATCCTCTACCGCATCCAGCAAGTCTTCCCCGACGAGAACAACATCTCCAACTCCTTCGTCCTGAGACCCGGCACCCACCAGTTCCCGTTTCGGTTTAAGATCCCCTTCAACAATGTGTGCAGCGACATCGTCACCATGTCCAAGATGGGCGGGCTGGGCGGCGTCGGCGGGTTTGGAGCCGGAGGGGGTGGGCTCTTCGGGTCGGGCATCCGCGTCATGGACGGGACGAGCCAGATATTTCTGCACCACGTAAAGAAGACCCTGCCGCCGTCTCTCACCGGATTCCCCGGCAAGGCGGAGATCCGATATTACATCAAGGCTACCGTGCAGAGGCCAGGGATCCTGAAGGAAAATTGGCGCACTCATATCGGTTTCCGCTTCATGCCCATTGAGGAGCCTCGCCCGCCCAAGTCGCAGGCCAAGGCTTTCGCGAAGAGGCCGTTCGCCTTCCGCCCCTTGTCCCCGGCCGTCCAAGAATCCCGGAGATACTCGTTCTTTGGCAAGCAAAAGGTGGAGGGTCCCAAGTCTAATAATAACCATGCTCTATTACCGCCGTCGGTCGAGGTGTGCGCCTGGCTACCTCATCCCTGTATACTTACCTGCAATTCGCCCATACCGCTGGAAATCGATGTCACGAAGAAGATGCCCTCTACTCAAGCCGTGTTCCTTATCGCGGTCCAGATCGAGTTAATAGGTACTACGCGAATACGATGTTATGACATGGTCGAGACCATAGTCAATAGATTCGTCGTCGTTTCTAACCCCAACCTCCACATCCCGCTTACCCGGACGCCCGACGACGAAGTGGGCACCAAGATCCAAGTGCCCAACGATATATGGCGAAATATCCCTCTGCCGAATACCGTCTGTCCCTCGTTTACAGCGTGTAATCTCTCAAGAACATATTCCCTCGACGTTAAGCTTGGCCTCAGCTGGGAGGCTCCCGGCCCCAAAGGCATGTTCTCCAACAACGGGAATTTAACACCCCCACAGGCCATCTACCTCCCCTTGCACTTTTCCGACGTCAAGGTCTACTCCGGTATCGCGCCGCCGCCCGAAGTCCTCAGCGCCCTACAAAACCGGCCCCCAGGCAAACTATCAACGCAGACTAGACCGCCAGCGCAAGCTCCCGCTGCAACGCTAGCAGATCAGGAACGTCCGCCCCAGCTACCTCCTAGGATAAACTCGGGGCCGATGGTTCCTCCTTTCCACCAACAGCAGCAAGTGGCCGCATCCGGCCAGGCTGCACCGCCCTACGATCCGTTGTACCCGCCGCAGCTTGGACAGCCAGGAGCCCCGCCGTACGATGATGCGCCGCCGAGTTACGACGAGGCGATGGCGGCGGAGGCTACGGGGCCGGTGGAGAGGCCGGCGTTCAGTGGGGTTACCACGGATGTGAATGGACCGAGTCAGATACCCGATAAGAGGCGGTGACCGGGTCGGTTTTGTAAAAGTTTCCCCTACCAGCTGAATAGCCTTTTTTTTTTCCTTCCCCCTTCCTTTTCCTCTTTCTCTTTCTTTCCTATTTTGCGTTGCGCATACAGGCGCACTTATTTGTGTTGCCCTTGCGGTTTTCCTCTCTCTCTCTCTTTTGTTTTTTATGAGTCTCACGAGTTTTTGTTTTCTTCCAGACCAGAACTATATGTGTCCTTGGCTTTGAACAGTTTCATTCCATTCTCCATCCTTGATTTCGGCATTTGGATTCGGAGTTTAGCATTTGTATTAGACAAACAGGATCCCAAACTCATGGCGGGAGTCCGGCTACAAGACTAATAATGTTAAATACATTCCTAACAAGTTTGCTCTGCAATGTAGGCAGTAGTAAGTAAATCTTTGGTGTATTGAACGCTGTGCGAGGGTATGATGCTACACGACTCGAATATTCTTACAATCCTTCCTTTGCCAACATATCGGCAATGCCAAGGTAAAACGCCACAGCATTGAACCTCCTCTCCATACCCATCCATCCCTTCACCGTCCAAGCAATGTTGTTAGACCAGTTGATCAAATCAAGGTGGCTTACCCCCATCAAAGTCCCCTCGTACGTACCCCAGCGACTACTCTCGACGCTCACGAGTCCGTCATTGGGGCCCTCCTGCGCCTCAAGCAACGCATAGGACCTCCTAAACGGGTTCAACATCGAAGGAGTCTCCATAGCAGCGCCATAAGAAAAGTACCTCACACCCTCGATGTCAGTCACGACGGGGTTAAACTCCTCCGTCACATACCTCCTCGTCAGCTGTTCCACACCCGCGATGTCAAGCCCAACGCGGCTCAGCAGCCGGGCAGCGCGATCGCGCCTCTCACCGCCGAGACCCTCGAGGAACCGGTCAGCCACGAGTGAACCGCGGTGCGGCGTGGAGATGGTGACGAGGGAAGCGACGCGGACGTCGGCGGGTTTGAGGAGGGAGAGCATATAGCGGGCGTCCAGCCCGCCCATGGAGTGTGCTACGATGTTGACGGGGGTATTGGGGCAGAGGGTGGAGATTTGGGAAGCGAGGGCGGAGGCGCGGGAGGCGATGGAGGAGACAGGGGGTACGGTGGTGGTGTGGTGGGCTACGGAGTGGGCGGTGAGGGCTGGGGAGATGCCGGAGAAGTAGCTGTAGGGGAGGGGCAGGGAGAGAAGAGAGAGTTGGGAGAAGCCGAGGAGGCCGTGGGCGAGGATGAGAGGGTTGCGGGGAGGGACTGGTGGTGGGGGGGAGGTGGTGATAGGAGCCACGAGTTAGCAAAGGTATTATTTTTTTTTTCTGTTGGATGAGGGTAGTAGTGAAGAGGACAGCACGCAGGAGGGGGGCCGGGGCAACCGGCTCAGGATGGAGGAACTTGTGAGTTGTTGTTGGTGATAGCCAGGGTGACTGACTGAGAGGTGTAAGCGAGGCAGGGCACGACGTACCATATTTCTCCTTGAGCTGGGAAAACTCGTCTGATATCACCTTTCCAAGATCTCTCGGGTCGGAATCCTCTTGGCTCTGACGCTGCCGCGACCTCGAGGTGCCAAAGCGCCTCTTGGACGGACCATGGACATGAAAAGGGTGGTCAGGAGGATGGCGATGATGGTGGGATGGGAGGAATAAGCGCGGGGGGGTAGCCGCGAGCTTGGCGGAGATGCACGGGCACAGGCGCAGGTTCATGAGGGGCCCCGGCACTTCTTTCCCTTCCTTCTTTTTCCCTCTCCTGTCTTTTCTGTTTGTTTATTGGTCCGTCCCTTGGTTTATGTTGTCGATCACTCTTGAAGGGGAGGGGAGGGGAGCACGGAAGATGGCGTGAGTTTCCTGCATGAGATTTATTGAAAAGTTGGGCAATTTACCAAGGGGCAATGTGATTCGGGATGGAGGATGGGATGTGTTGGAACTTGGGAGGAACTTGGGAAAGGGACTTGCGCGAGACGAGGATTTGATTGACTTGTGATGGAGGTTGCATCGTGGCGGAAGTCAGTGATATCATGGCGGTGGCATGGCGAGACTAGCGACCCTGTTGGCAACTTTGGCGGCTTCCGCGAGCTGTTCTTGTTGTGTCTTCGGCTCTCGGGGTCGGGCCCACTGACATTACTTTGTAGTGCCTTGTGAAGTTCTGCGTACCGAGGTACCACACAACCACACACTGCATTTCAAATTTGACCAGGACGTCGCAATAGAGCTCAAAGCTTGTGCCTGAGGTTGGGATGAAGTGGTGTACTTCGTACCTTCACTTCGTACCTTCATTCAATTTGTACCTTCATTCACTTCGTACCTTCATTCACTTCGTACTTCGTACTCGACTTCGTAATGGTTCTGTACATCAATTGAACGAAATCCTATTCATGCCAGGTAATTGTAACTTCCACAACAGCTGAAGCACTCGGATCTGCAAAGGACACAACACATGTACGAAGTAGTGTACGAAGTACTTCGCAGAGAGACTAATGCACATCAATGGAGAACGACCCTAGGGCTGCTGAGACTGGACCCTGGGCAGAGAGAGGGAAGGGGGCGGAAAAGGTCGCCAGCCGGTGTGTGACTGGACTTGGGCTAGTGGGGGTGGCGCCGGCTCGAACCCTGTAACAACCCGTAGCGGGCCACTTTGTCACTAGTCCCCACTGAGCGTAGTGCGTACGAAGAATTGAGGATTTGATTTTGTGCAATACCTCTACTTCGTACCTTCGTACCTTTCTGTTGGTGATTCGGATTGATCAAATGTGCTGAATCTCAGCACCTCGCAGATTGTTCAGTGTCGCCGTTCCTTCGTATTTCTTGCATTAGTCCCTCCTGATCGAGATTGTATTGCTGATCGTTGATCATTCCTATCATTGATCCGAGGATCAGGCACATCTTGCCTCGATCCAGAAAGGAAAATTAATTTCAATCCGTCCCGATGAGAGCCATCAACCACTTCAGAATACTACTTCGTACATGCACAGGTACTATGGAATGGATCACCTCGGTTTGCCTTCATCTGCGAGTCTGCTAGTCGAGATGGCCGAGATTACCTCCGCGCTTGCACTTGGGACGAACCATTGCCGTTCTGGGTCCTCCAATGACGCGGCTTTCCATCCCCATCTGTCCACGAACCGAGTGCGAGAGATAGCAAGCTCAATCTTGGCTTTGGGCTTTGGCCATGCAAGCACAAGTCCCCGACATTGACTTCTCCCGTCCTTCAAGATCCGGTTAAAAAATCGGGGGCGTCGGGACACAAACATGCATGGTCATCGCATCAGAACTCGTATCATTTTGCCAAGAGTGATATGCGCAGCCGCGGACAACAAGGCAACTTGCTCACACTTCCATAGCTTCAATGGGCCATCTGAGCCATCCGTCCTGTTTTTCTTTCATGTTTTCCCTTTTCGAGTCTCAGTGAACACTCACCCTCCTTTCCAGACCGACAAACAAAACGCCATGCATTTGTGCATTGGTCATGTCCGATGCTGCAGGTAAACCGATCATCTTCATTATTCGTTATTCACAAGACACATGAGTTCGGGTAATATGGTTCGAGTCTCGAGAGGAACTAGAAACGGCCAATGCTACCCTCCGTTGGTTCTTGTTGTGACGATCCACATCCACTGGTCTCTTCTCGTTTCTCTCTCGGACTTTCTCACTTTCTCACCTTCTCACTTTCTCGTAGGCAAAGCAGGGCAGGGTAGGGTTGGCCTCACGCTTCTCATTGGCCGCGACTCCTCACGGCGTTGTGGATTGCATATCTGCTGTTTCCTCGCCATGCATGGGCTAAATTCCTACTGGCCGTCTAACCGCGCTGCCCTTCCTCTCGAGCGTCCTGAGTGGCTAGGTGCGCCTGCATATCTATATTACCAGCGGCTGAACCACTCTGTTGGTATCACCGCCCCCAGTTGGCTAGCTCCTCTCCCCTCACTCCGCGGTCCTTTTCCCTCTTTCCCTCTTTCCCCCTCCCCTGTCCTTATCCGCTCAGTCGTCTCGTTCGAGAAGTAGTGTAGTGCTTGCTATTCGTCCTGCGCCATGGCGATCTTCTCCTCCCCTCCCGTCCCTCCCGCCCCCCCGAGGACGTTAAACCCCTCTGGGCCATTCCTTACCATCCGCCATTCCTACTTTCCCTGATTTTCTAGCCGCATCTTTGCTATCGGCCTATGAGCAGGGGGCCATAAATTACCCTTCTACCTGTGTACTTTCGAAAGCAAAGAAAAAAAGATCTCGTCAGAGTAGCACCGAACTAACGCAATTTGCAGACGGGTGCACCTTGGGGGCCTGTTCCTGGTGGAGACTTGGGTCTAATCGTGGCGCTTGTCGTCCCTTCAACGTTGTCTTCGTGCAGTCCGCTTGGCTGCTGCTGTGCGTCTACCCACCTAGCCTGGCCTGGCAGTCTGACATGTCTATCGTTGTTGTCGTCCACGTCTTCTTGCGTCCTGTCTCAAGCTCTTGGCCATGCATTCATCTGTTGGTTCGAGCATAATCTGTTGGTTCAAGCTCATCACTGCCGCATCTGGTTATGCCTTATGGCCGACCAGGGGGTGGAGGCTCCTCCCGCTGTACACGAGGTACATGGGTATCGGCCCCCAAGCAGACATTTTCGAATCCTGAACGGAAGAAGTTGGTGTGCGGGCGGGTGAGTGGTATTATGTGTGTGTGTGGGTATCACCTAGGAATCCCTGCTCTCGACTGTTTGCCTGCAGCCATGAAGTACCTTGTGGCTTTGGACAACCTTGCCGAGCCTGCCGCCAAGAGCCAAAAGACTTTGAAGCTCGCATCCATAGTTCGTAACAGTATAATGTTACTCGATGCAGGCTTTGAAATGGCGGGAAATAACGCGCCATTTGCTGGTATAGGATAGGATCCTCAGATATGGCCTTGGCCGGCTTCTCGCCTGCCAGCCATAACAGCTCTTGCTATTAACCCGCTAACACGACTCGACCGTCCCTGCACACGGGATTATGGCCCCGAACATTCGGGACCGCACTCCGACTTTTCTAGTACGCGTTCATTTGTATATTGACAAATGGGGGCTAATCTTTGCCGTCTGGCCCGACTTGACTTGCAGAGGCTTGCAGCCTGGGCCGATGCCCTATGTACACTATGCGAAAGTTCCGCTCTGTACTACTCTACTCTACTCTACTTCTGCTTTTTTTCCCTCTCCCCTCTCCTCTCTGTTCCCTGCCCCCGTTCTGTGCCGCGCCTCGTCTTCCGGAATATATCATGCCTACCCTGCTCCACCGCCCCAGTGCCCCCGGGCTCTTCTTGCTCTTTCTTTTCTCTCTGCCGTAGCCTTTCGTTCCCCAAACCACCTGCATGGTTTGTAAGGCAAGCCCAAGCCCACCTCCCAATCATCGTCCGTATGTTTTCTCGTTCACTCGAGGAACCCTTTAGACGAGCAATATGACGGGCGACTGCACCGAGGCCAACGTCTGCCCCGTAGAGGGTGGTTTCCTCTCCTACCAGCCCTCCATACCCGGCAACTCGGTGATCCTGGCCGCCTACGCCGCCATTATACCGATCGCCCTCGTTCTTGGCTACCGGTTCCGCACCCTTGGCTTCGCGGTAAACCTAGCTACTGGTCTCTGCTTGGAGGTACTGGGGTTTGCCGGAAGGCTTCTCCTCAACGGTAGGAGAGCGAGCCAGTCTTTCTTCTCTCTATACCTCCTCGGCACGATTCTCGGTCCTAGCCTTATCGCTTCGGCTATTTTTGTCGTACTTCCTCATGTACTGTTGATCTACGGTGCTGGCGTTTCCCCCTTGAGGAGTGGCCATGCCGGGTTGCTCTTCATGGCGCTGGTTGTGCTGAGCGTGGTACTCGAGATCGTCGGCGTGGCCTTCGCCGTGTTTGGATTGGATGGAGAAGTGGTAAGCTCTTCCCCTCTGTCATTATTCGGAAACCTGAAAAGGAATTTGAAAGAAAGAAAAATCTTCTGTAAAAGGTTGGCAGACTAACAACCGAGTTCTCCCTCGAAAACAGGTTACGCAGAGTGCTCGAGTGCTCATTGCAGGCTTGGTCGTGCAGATGTTTAGTCTGCTTCTTTTCATTGGCATCTACGTTTGGTTCGCCCTAAGGCTGAAAGGCCTGGAGGCAAACCTTGATGCTCAATACGGCGAAGTCTACCGCTCGGCGAGGTTCAAGCGGTTCCTTGTCGGTAAGAGCTCCCCCACCCAGAATTCCCCTCGATCTAAGTACACGAACTAACACACATTCCTCTTTTAATACAGTCACCCAATCCGCCGTCACACTCCTCCTCATCTCCACCATCGTCCGCATCGCCGAGGTAGCCGAAGGATTCGACAGCCCCCTCTCCCAAAACGAAGCAGCCAGCTCCATAATCTACGGCGTCCTCCCTCTCCTAGCCTGCATCCTCCTCACGGCGTTCCACCCCGGACTTGCCTTCGGCCCCGCCTGGGCCAAAACAAACCCCCGATACGTCTCCCGACTCGCCTCCAACCTCGAAGCTAGGCCCAGCACGAACGGGAGCTTCCAGCAGCGAAGGCTTGAGTCTAATTCGCACTCGAGATTCAGTGTCCGGAAGGTGGCCCCGATGCCACTGTCGCCGGATTCGCCGAATCCCTATGAGCTGTTCCATAGTCCGGTCAGCGCCGGACACCCATCGCCTCTAAGGGCGTCTTATAACAGCAAATCACCCAAGAGATTTTCGTATACTAGTCGCTCTCCTGGGCATTCGCCTAGGAACTCGCCTAGGCACTCGCCGAGAAAGCCACCGGAGAGGCAGCTAGTTGACGATGATGACTTGTGGTAAATCTCTTGAGCTCCTTCTGGCTTGTACACCTCTAGAAATGGTGACTTCTTATGGACTCTTGATCTGAATGGGCAGTTTACTCGACCTGTTCTACTCCCCGCTACTTCTATCCGCCTCCGCCCCTGTGACAGAGCGGGAATTGCCTCTTTCTTCTTTTCGTTTCTTCGTCTTTCTTTTTTTTTTTTTTTTTTTTTTTTTTTTACCTCTTCTACTCTTCAGACTAGGGATCGGGCGGGCTTTTCAGACTGGGATATTTTGTCCAAGGCTGGCGTTATTTTATACCTATATTTCCCCCAGATGGGATGGGATGGGATGGATTTGTGTCACGAAATCGAGACGAGTACCGTTTTCTCAAGAAGGGAATTTCCTTCTTATTTCTTTTTTGCAACTTCTTGTATCTAGATTGAGTTACTCTCTGGTTTCCTTTTCCTCCTGTCGACGCTTTACAAGGCGAATAGGCGACTACTGTCTTTTCCGAATATAGAATTCTCTCTCCGTCTCTCATTTTCTCCTTTTCTTCTTCTTCTCCTCTTGTTTTTTTCATGAAATTAAGGATCCAGAGATACCTAGGTTCAGGCTTCGGTAAACAAGACAGCTTCTTGAGCAAAATAGAATGAATAAGGGGGATTCCAGTAATGCCAAGTTCACTCACAATGCACCGACTGCTTATTGCCATTGTGGTCGCACAAGAGGCGACCAGGATAGGTGTGCATTCAACCAATGAGGGAAATGATTGCTTGCAGTAGACACGTCGTACTGCAGGACGCCATACAGGAAACTAGTGGAGACCTGCACAAGCCTCTTTCAGTAACCGATTTACTTGTCTTCATTCCTTTCCTTGGGGCCCGGTTTCATCTGTGTCTTCGGGAGTGAAGAACTGAGTGTCCAGTTCTTCGTTGTCGAAGTTTCCACACTTCATCAAGAGAGAAAGAATGTCGAGAATGGCTTTGTTGAAAGAAGGATTTGGACAGTATCTTGATAGAGTAATAGAAGGACAAAGAACTGATACGAGCGTCTTTGATAAAACTCCTCCCAATCCGGAACTGAAGCATATCCCATCCCCTCATACCCACCGTCCTCGTTCCTTTCAGCTCGGGTCAACCAACAGTAGGAAAAGGACAGAAGTGCCAAGCATCCCTCCCCACCGACACCCTCCCCAAACCAGAAAGAAAGAGAAAGGCCGCAAGCCATGTCCTCCTCACACACTACCACCTGCCTACCCTCCTCCCCACTCTCGGCAGCCACACCAGAAGAGACCAACTCTTTCCAAGACCACCTCGAGGCTGCAGTTTTCTACCTGTGGTCGTATCGACGTGACCAGCAAAGTCTCGTCTCCGCTCTGCTGTCGGCTGACGCTGCTGTGGAGAGTGCCCGAGTGCATAATAGAGACGACTGGCTTTCCAGGGCACTTCTTATTCGAGGACATTGTCTCAGGGCTCTGGGATGTTGGGGGAGCGCGTGGAAGTGTTATAACCAGGCCATAGGAATCAGATCTCGTCTGGATCCTCCTGAACGGGACATAGAACTTGCCAAAGGATGAGGTGGTCGGCATTCCACCAGATGCCTGGTTTCAAACGCATACCGTTGTCTTCCGAAAACGTCTTCCAGTTTGTTCTTTTTTCTTGACATGGGGAAATCTGGAAACGCAAAGTGTAAAGCAGATGGAATGAGCTGGAATATCCCTTTTTTCCTTCTTCTTTTCTTTTTTAGGCAATCCCAGTCCCCAAGACTCGATCCGAAGGAATGGAAATGAGATGAAGTCGTTCTCGAGCCTTCATTCCTAGTTTAATAATGAATTCATGAGATGTTAGAATGATTTAGAACCTAGCCGTCCCTCCCCATTCTTGCTCCCGCGCAGAGGAAATGTTGTATTATAACCGGCCTGCTCCATGTCCGGTCGGCTAAGGCGAAAGCAGACTTGTGATCTGTACAGAGTCCAGCGATCGCCGTGCATCAAGAGAGCAGTTGACCATGAGTGGCCAAATTGACGAGTCATCCGGGGTGTCTCCTGTCGAGCCATCCTCCGAGCAGTCTTTCGTCGAGGGCTCGCAGGCTCCAGCGTCTCCAAGAAGCGCGGACTCTGGTCTATTTCCTATATTCGATTTCCCCCAATCCACCCAGGGCGATATGCCTATGTCCTTTGAATTCCCGCCTTCGGATCTCCCGCCTGACCCTGATCCCGCCCTTGTGGAAGACAGAGCCGTATTCCTGCAACAGTCACTCGAAGATGGCACCCCAAATCCGTTTTACATTGAGGATGACGGCAGTCCAGAGCGTCCAGGCGAGAACCTCGAACAATATGCCAGAGTCGACTTGATGAGGTTCCAAAAAAACTTGCCAAGTACCGATATCCTCGAGGACCCAAGCCTGGCAGCGGAGCAGGCGGTGAAGTCGGACTGGGAGTCCTACGTGAATGGGGTTCTCTTCTCCTTAGATCTCCAACCAACCGTCATGGTGAGGCTTCTCGGGGTTTTCCAACAGGTGCCGAGGACACTGGGGATGATTCGACCTCGCGATGTTGGCGCGTGGCACCAACTCGATTTCACGGCGGCGAAGAAGCGCGCCTTCGAGCTTCTCAACGACGACCAGAGGAAGCTTCTGAAGAAGAAGGCAGAGATTGAAATGCGCATCGAGTTCGAGAAGGAATTTCTCCGGAGAACCAGAGATATTTTGACGGCAGAGTTGGACTGGAAGGAACTTATTTTGAGGCAGGCCCAGGTAAAAGCGGAGTTAGAACTCGTCGATGAACACGGGAGGAGTTTGTCGGAGCGGAGGGAAAAGCTCTTGCGAAAGATTAAAGAAGATAAAGAAGCCGAGGACTCTTCAGAGCCCAACCCCGAGAAACCGTCGCAAGCGAGCCTCAAGAATGAGCTGATCAAGCTCGAGAGAGAGCTTAGAATCGGTCGCCGAAGACATCGCAGGTTGGAAGAGCTTAGCCAATCCCTCAACGCGATTCTCTTTTCAGGTCTCACACTCGAAACCGCTGATGAAGATCTCAAGCGCCTTTGGCAGCAGCTGGAACGGATAGCCTTGGATATCTTAGACCTTGAGGAGATTATCGAAACAACCAAAGCGGCAGTCGGGGATGAGAATACGCCGGACCTCTCTGCATGCGAGTCGCGCGTCCTCGAGCTAAAAGCGACATACGAAGGCACCATAGCGGCCCTTCAAGCTTCCGCTCTGAAAGCCTCCGCGTACGAGAAAGGGCTAGAGTGTGACGAGGAGGTAGCCTCCCACTTCGCCAAGAAGTACAGGGAGATCGAAGAGAGCAAGAGGCGAGAAGTAGATATGCTGCGAGACAGCTACGAGCGGAGGATAAAAGAGCTGGAGGAGACCCACGAGACCGAAAGACTGAACTTTGAGATCCAGAAATCCGCCCTGAGGGAACTGGCTGACGACTTAGTTGAACCCGGGGAGGCCGGTGACTTGATGACGGAGATTTCCGAGGCCAAGGAACAAGAAGCAAAGACGGAGAAGAGACGGGAAAATCTTGAACAAGTGCAACGACGCCTTGGGAAACTGCAAAGGGAGATCGATCTGACCGAGAAAATGATGGGTGAACGCCGAAAGTTCTATGAAGCCAAGGAAGCTCACGATCAGGAGATCCGTCAGTTGGCTGATGAGAAGGCTTCTCTCGAAGCTCAGAATGCGATGTTGGCGGTGCGAGTTGACGAACTTGAGACGGCCCAGACTCTCGACGAGGCCTCGAGCGATGGTATCACCAACTCCTGGGTTAAAGAGAAATTCCAGTATTCCGATTCGAGATACGTATGGTACACACAGCGCAGAATCCTGGATACCCACCTCAACCGCCTTGAAAATGAAAAGGCAAAGTCCGATGCCGAGTTGGCAAAACTGAAAGAAGAAAACACCCGACTTCAGGAGGTGGTCAAGGTGCTGGAGAAGAAAGAGAAGGAGCTAGCAGTCGTGGACTCAGTGAATATTATCGAAACCGGGATGAAAAAACGTGCGAAGACTTTCAAGAAACTCATGCAGGATGAGGAAGCTGGCGGAGATTCCTCTGCCCCTGAAGCTGATGTAGACGCCGAGACTGTCGAACTATACACTTACAGGAAGGTCATTGAGAATAGCATGATTTCTCTTGATGAGAGTGTCGCGGATCTTGTCAACCTAATGTTGACTATCCGCTCGAACATGCAAGATCAAGCGGGCCAAGAGGCAACCGAAGGACAGGCCACGGACCCGATACATGAGGCCATGCTGGCTGCAGATCCTGTCTTCAGAATGGTGGAGGACAGAGCTCTCGATATTTCCGCACGGATAAGGCTAGTGCAGGATGAAGCCGAGAGTTTCTGGAAGGGCAAAGCTACTCCACCGACTTCATTGCAGCTGGTCAGAGCAGTAAAAGCCAAGGATGTCCAGATTGGAAAGCTTGAGGCCAAGTATATGACGAGTGAGTTACCCTCTCCTTTCCGGAGCCTTTAGGTCAGTTTGCTGATGATGAATCAACCTATAGTGGAGAAGGCCTTCAGCGAAATCCTGGAGTACATGGAAACTATGCGCGACGAGGCTGCCATTACGTCTCCGGATGACATCGGACCAACTAAGGGACCAAATGACACTATCAGACTTCTCATGACCTTTATTGGAACCTTTCACCATGCTCTGGGTATGATACTTGACGAGGAGGCAAAGAGACGTGAAGAAGCGCAACAGGATGAGGGTTACGACTCAGAAGAAACAGCCACCAACGATTTTGGGTCGATATCGAACAACGAGTTCGGAAACATGATAAAGATGGCCGCCAAATTCCAGGAAGCAAAAGATGTGTTTAACCGTCGCATCGAAGAGTACCGCGGCCTCCTCAAGGCATACAAGGACTCTCAGGAGAGCATTGTTCGGAGGGCCGATGAGGCTGAGAGAGCTTCTACCAACCTACACCAGCAGTATAACGCGCTGCTGGAACGCGTCTTGGAGGAGAAGAAGGACATTGTGGGGAAATACGAGACGGAACTTAGGAATACGGCAGCACGAAACAACGAGGAACTTGAATCACTCCAGAATATGCTTACCGATTGTAGAGAGAACTGCAAGGCCCGCGAGTCAGAATGCGACGAGCTCAAGGAGCAGGTTCTGAATGAAAAGAAGCGATTACTGGCTTATAAGAGTGAACGATTCGAAGGAGAGGGCGAAATCAACCCTGTGATCCAGAAGCTTACTATCCAGTGGGAGGCGGAAAAGGACGATCTCAAGAAGGAGGTAAAAGAGCAAAGTGACCTCGTGCTGCAGATTTTCAAGATCAACAACAATTTGGAGGCACAGCTGGAAAGTGAAAGAAAGAGATACAGTGACAAACTTGACGCAATAAATCAAGTCGTGGAGCTCGAGCGCAAACACGAGGCGGCGACAAACGCCGCAAGAGAAGCAGAGGAACAATTTGCGAAGGCGCACAAGGAGGTAGTTTCTCTAAGAATCGACGTCGACCGCCTCAAGGAGAAGATTCTGGAATTTATCGCCCGGGAAGTCGATCATAGATACGACGTAGAGAATCTCAGGCTGGAGCTGGAAATTGTTCGAGAGGAACTTGAGGTAGCAAAGATCGATCACGCAGACACAGTTACCAAGCTCAATCTCGAGGTTAGCCGGGCGAAGGACGAATTCACCCAATGCCTTCAAGCTAGCGAGGAATTGCTCGAAAGACACCACAAGCTCGTCAGCCAAGTCGCTACCGGAGAAGCCGCACCCAGGGATCCTGACGAATTGCTCAAAATCACACTCGCGGACAAAGCAAGCCTCGAAACAGAACTCCTCGCGCTGAAGAGGCGAGCGGTGACCCTTCAAGGCGACCACGACAGCGCCGTAAGAGAGAGAACTGAAATGGAGGAACAGCTAGAATTCATACGCCTGGTCGAGAGGAAACTTCGAACCGACATCGCCGGGGAGTATATTCAGCAAGCGCACCTACAAACCCAGTACGCAAAATGCCAGCAGGATTGCCGAGACTTAGAGACCAGATTGCAAGAGGTGGCCATCAGGAAAAGTGACCCGGCAAATATTTGGGACGACGCGCCCGTAGAGCCAACGAAGAAGTTACTGCACGAGCAGGTCGAGAAACTTCGCAAAGACTTGGCCAATGTGCTCCGAGAGAAAGGGCCAACGGCTCACTTGGATGGGGACGAAGACGAACCGAAGATCAAGGATGTAAAAACCCTCTTCAAGACGGTACACAGGCTGTACAGGGTTGACCCGCAATCATCCCCAGCAGCTGACGGTCCCGACCTCACAAAGGGCGACATGAACAATTTCTGGATTTTGACGGAGGCCCAGAAAGAGAGAATTGCTATCCTTCGAGCAATCAAGGATGGCGACTGGGACGCCGGACACCACCATTCGCATCGTGCGATGGAGCTGTTACGACGAGCTGGGAAGGGCTACTTTGACAAGGAACTATGGGGAAGTATTCAGTGTCTTCAAGGATACCTTGGGCTGTTATCCACTGGCGATGTCTCTGCCGCCAACGCGGCCCTTAGTCGTGTAAACTGGTATAAACCCGAGGAATGGGGCAACCCAGTGTATCGGACCATGGTGAAAATGCTCGAACAGGACATCGAGGAAGTGATCCAGGACCAGAAACAGTCAGGGGAGGCTGAAGGTCAAGAAATGAAGCCCTGCGAATGCAGATATAGGGTGCTGCCATGCGCGGTGCACGCGGATGACTCCTGCACTTGCCGTTTCCATAATGTCGTCGAGTTTTGTGAGGACCATGAGAAGGCGTTTAGCTTTTCCAAGTCGAGGAGCGTGCCGATAAAGGAGGACAAGCTTGAGGTGTTCCGGCGATTGAGCCACCACGCCTCGAGACGCGAGGCTCGGTGACGGTGAAGGCGAAGGAGAGAGCTATGTGCTTGGCGGCTTGAAAGGTTAGTATGGGGATGTCTATGATGTCAAAACGGACCGAAGTTGCATCCCGAACCAGCCATAGAAGGGTTAAGAATGTGAATGCATAATCAACAGATCTACTCCCTCGATCCGCTTCATTTTCCTGTTTTGATCCTACAGGAATATCCTTAAGAAAAGTTCTTCATCATTGAAGAGTAACGAGCTCATGCCTTAGAAACCCAATTGAACCATTAATGGAAGTGAGCAAACGACAAACCGCTCGACTGAGTTAGATGGCGAAGGTTTCATCAATGAATAAACACTTCATGTTACTGTAAACAGTCGACACCCATGGCCACCAGGGCGATAGCGTGGGGATTTTCTGTTCCATAGCGTTGGGGGAGGCCCCTCGGGAATCTCTATGAAGGCTGTTGGTTCGAAACTAGACGTGCCTTTTTTTTTTTTTCTTTTTTTCTTTTTTTTTTCCACCTGCTTTTCAGGGAGCTCCAGAAGCGGCTGCCCCAAAGCTGGGAGATAACATCCTCCTCTCCTTTCCCATTTCCCTCCCTCCATTTTCTGACTTGGAAGGCCTTGCATCAAACAGGCCGAGCTGCAGAAGGCCGGACATGTGGGGTAGGGCACTTGCTACCTATGCGGTAAAAGAAATGGTTATACTCAAACCACAATCGACGGCTCTGGGTGCCGTGAACCACCAACTGGTGGGCCCTTGGGCCGATACTGAGTATATGACGCCGAATTGGGGTTCAGAGCTAGGATGCTCACTTGAAACCAAAGGGTGGGCGGCGGCGAATGGCTTTGCGCCACCCTACAAGTCGGCTCGTCTTTGGATTTGAAATCCCATCATGATAGCAACAAGCTATGACGAATGCTAGAATAAGCCATCAAGCGTAGCCTAACAGAGGCCATGTGCCCAAACGCATGCGCTTGCGACATGCGGAGTGGGTGAGTAGGGAGCATTCCGTATTAAAAGGAGCAGATAGAATGCAACTGAGCGGAAGTGAGTCAATCGCTTCTGATGAATCCTTTGCATCCCGTCTCGAGGCACTCAGGCGTCAGAGGGAGGAAACGGAGCAATTCGTCGCGTGCGCACTGCCATTTATTTCGTCGAGACCAATTGGGCCGTACGTGTCGGGAGACTGGAATGTAAAGGGCTACCCTGACGGTAACAAGGTGAAAGAGGAATGGGTTCATGGCAGGACGTGTACAGGCGGCTCGCTGCAACATACATTGCAATATAACGATGGAAACCAGAGCAGGAAAGTTGGGCGGCAGGTGGGGTTCTAAGCTCACCAAAGAGGGTCCTCGATCCTGCCGTCGGGGCGCAAGATAAGAGGTTAGCAGCTCATGACATAGTCGACGAGGTATCAAAGCCAGACGCCCGACACAGTCAAAGACAGGATCAGCCTCGGGTTCGGGGCCGCTCCTAGGACTGTTTATACGGTCAACATTGACGGTCAAAGATGAAAACTCAGCAAACCGTTGGAGACCTAGGATTGCAGATCTTGACGCGGTCAGACGCAATGGCTGGCTTCAGTGAGTCCGCAGCATAAAGATTCCACCTGCTCTGGTCTCAGAGGCTCGTGATATACCCGACGAGGTTCACGGCTTGCCATAGGCCGCCTTGTCAGAAAATCGAAGCTGCATCGTAAAGCAGTAGACTTTCCATCTTAGGGCATAATATCCTTGCTCAGAGCGGACGGAGGGTGAAATCCGATATGAATAGCGCCGTCTCCGTGAAGCACAAGTCAGGGCGAGGAAGTCAGAGAACCGTCTCGGTCGCACCTGGCGGCTGGAAGAAATCCCGTCATGTGTTGCAGATGCCAGCAGGTGCTGGAGGACCAAACCCCCCCCCCCCCCCCAAACATGACCAGAGCAAGAATCCTGCTCCTGTTTATAACCCCCATCAAGGCTGGTGTCTTGTATGATCGTCTCTCTCCGACCCGTTGGCTCAGAATAATTCATGCCATCCATTATATTCTAATTCTAGCAAGGCTATTATGTGGTATTATGGAATCCAATCCATGACGTACGACTCAATCGGTTATGCTATCCCATGCAAAACACTACACCCTCTGTCTTCGGCTCAGTGCGGCCGCTCTCCCGACTCTCCTGTTTTCTAGGCTGATGGAGGAGATACGCCCGGATGCCTCACAGCAATTCCTTGGGGACTGAGATGAACGTCAGAAAAAAAAAAGTAGCAAGACACAAGCCTCAGACACTCCTACTACTGTCGGTAGAGTTGGCGGGCCTATACCACCCAGTCACTCCCTTGAGAGCCGAGATCATGCATCGTCCCCGGGCTGCAGAGTTGATCTCCATCTCAACTTAGTCTCCAGCAGGCCTATCACTTCGTGGGGCTGGGGCTCGACCAAGTACATCCCACCAGATCCACCCCCAAATTATTCCCATCGGGTGACGGTTGGTGCTAGTTCCACAGCCAGCCATCCGGTCCTATCCCCCACTAGGCCTTGATTCTACACATCTTCCGCCTGGTTTCTCTGAAGGACCCAGACTAAGAGTTCCCGTTGAGATGGGGCACGGGTGGTCGTTGGGCTTAGTTAGCTGGCGATCCCGCCTGGATCCACCGCATAAAAAGTCCTGTGATATGGGATCCCACCTCTTACACTTTGGTGTTACGAAGCTAGTACGCAATACAGGGAAGGCATGATCACAATTAGATGTGGGCTTGCAAAGAACAAAGATTGCCTCGCCATATCGGATTGAACTCTTCCATTGCTCCTCATAAGTGGGAAAGATCGTTACGGTCATGCCCATACATGCCGCTTCCCTCGGGAGTCTATCGAACCCTTCCCATATTTGCGTTATGGATGATACAGCTACACATGAAAGACATACTTGGATCTGCTTTTCTATTCGAGGATATTTGAACAACCCTTTGGTGCGTTTCGCAAACTGCCGGTGTCCAGGGTGGATAATCTCGACATTTCCAGGTCAATAGCCAAACCCCCCTCCTTCTCACTCTCTTCCTTCCCTCTTCCTTGGCTTAGTTGTTGCTGTCCTATTTTGCCTGTATATTCCTGCGGCATAACAAAAAAAGGAATACTATAGCAAGTCCTCTGACTGGCAGTTACTTCCCCATACACATCCATGGTATCACTTGAATCACTAGTATCAGGACACTTTTTATAGCAGGAAGCATACGTATTAAGTTCGCTCGGCAGTCATCGAACATTCTCTTCCACTCGTTATCGAGCTGCTTTCAAGGTACTGGTGGGCGAGATCTGCGCTCTCGCCTCGCCTCAATGCTGGTGGTGGTCACTACCAATGGCTATATGGGAAGCGGGCTTCGCTGCTTCTCTGAACTACGTCTGTCTACTTGGCGGAGATACGGCGCCCTGCAGTCACTCGATACGGATGATAACTCAAGACATTACCGTCTAAACGCCTGGCCGATACATAATGTCTCCAACGCTTGAACCTAGCCGACTTTGCCATCACTCACCAAAACCTACCCCTTCTGTCGTCGTTTGTCACAAGGCAAAGACTGGTTCTCCGGTCCATCAGTTACTCCGCTTCGCCTCAAAGACGGCCTAAAGCCCCACCCAGCTGCATCAAAATGGGTTTCTTTTCTATCTTGAGCTCCTCGCCAGCCCGTGGCACTCAGCTCGGAAATTGAAGGAGGTATTTTGAGGTCACCCGCAGTGGGGACATGGGAACGCGTGAGCAGCTACCTCGGTAGGCCGCCCCCATCTCTGATCTCGGTTACGGGACGCCTAGGCGTTCGAAAACATGATTGCCGATCAGGTGCGACCTCTCCAGCATTGCGGTGTACCGTTTGAGCTTCTGGAGTGCATGCCAGGTTAGTGCTTCACGGGGTCCCTCACTCCGCGATTTCGTCATGCTGCGTTGTTCCATCGAACTGCGAAATGTTCCGTCCGTTCAACCCTCACCCTGGAACGGCCTCTGAGCATTAGTCGGCCCTCAGTAACTATGTCAATCTATTGAACCCTGTCTCGTCTCCTTCTACATCGGCTGGTAGATTAATATCCTGGCCCTGTGGGATTTTGATAGTCGCACCGCCTCAGATACTCTAGATAAGCTCATCGGGACTTCCTTGTGCAAAGAGCCCCGGATCTCTGTTGCTTTGTTGTTTCTGCGTTTCGATCTTAAAGGATGCAACGATATAATCGTATAAAGCAGCCGACGAGGACTCCTACGTGGACAGCCACTGCCCGGCATCTCTTTCACCGGGTAGGAACAGGGAGCTACCAAAGGGATGGCAATATAAACCACACACAAATAGTTTGTCTGTGGGGTAAATTTCATCTCCCAGAATCTCGAACGGGCCTCCCAATAACATCGTGCCTCTGTCACGGCTCTTTTGCAGCACGCATTTCATTTATCCAGATTGTCTCGACACCCGCGAATTCAACCTGAATGGGCGAATCAGCTTCGACAAAACGCCGACGACGTTCTCCGTCTTGTTGATTAAAAAGAATTAGTGTCCAGCATGACTTCCCTTTTCAGATTGGATGCCGCCTCAGCGCGGCGATGACGAACACATTTGTCAACTTGACAATATATATCTGAACCATGCTTTCTTCCTTCTAGGCTTTCTAGCAACTTGGGCTGCCCTTTGCTGAGATCCAGACTCCAGTTTATGTTTCTTTTTCACGAGCCTTTCGCCGACCGCCGGCGCTGCCTTCCTCTGTCCCAATTGAGAAGCCCTTTCAAAAGAGTTCCCGCCATTGCCACTCGTGATCACAATATGTCCATCAAGTGCGAACGGTGGCAAAAGATGAATCAAAATTCCTGTGGTTTATGAAGGAAGTGACTCAGGTGATCACAGCCGCGAGGATCTGGATCTGCGTACGAGGTTCCTTTCAGAAACTGCGTTCTCAAGCTAGGACCCTAGAGCCAAGTCACCCCTCCTCCCCGCTCAAAGCACCCCCTCATTTTCCCACCAAATAAGATCTTCTCAGCCCGATAAGCCCCCCTGGAGTGTAGTTCGTAAACCTCTACCAGGATCTTAAACGTTAGTGCGAGAGATCGTTGCCACCACCTAACATATCCCAGATCAAGTGCTAAAAGGTATATCTTCTAATACTTTATATCTGAGAATACCTAAATAGTACCTGACATGAGATAGGTCAGGTGGTAGAATCTGATCTCCCACGCTAACGTTTAAGATCCCTGGAGAGGTTTAGTACCTGGCGCAACTAGGGAGGGATTGGCTCTTGTGTTGACTGGTCGCCCTGATCCGGATCTGAGCATGAACTTGCCCTGAAAGATCGACAGTTGCCCGAGCTGCATTCTGCAAATGTTTGGTAGAACCTCGTGCTTTCCTCGCACCCACATCATCGGCCAACAGTCCCGTATTACCGGTTGGTTACATCAAGTTTCCCTCAACTGCACAACACATCATGTCCCTTGATAATCGGGGTGGTGCTGGGTACATCGATGTACATATAGGCATACATAATGTGGCAAAAAAAAAAAAAAAAAAAAAGTGTAGATCTAGTCAGGCCCTCTCGTGAAGGAGAGAGAGAGGAAGTAAAAGCAAGAGATACCATATCTGGAACTGGGGACAAGGATGGGGACGAGAGTACATTTAGGGTAAAAGCCATCCCAGGTCAACGGGGACATTTCCCGTCCTGTCATACCGGATGCCGGCAGACAGCGCAAGCTTCATACTTCTCGCTTCTCGCTTCTCATTGATTGGAGTCTTACCCCGGACTTTTTAATATGTTGTGCCCTAGGCAGGTTTCGAATCGAGGTGCTTCTCATCTCTTTCTTCCGTCCAGTAAGGCATCTGCTGCGTTCCCCCCTCTCCTCCACAGATCCGTTCACCCTAGCCTTTGATCTTCCCCAATTTCTCAATCTGAGGAGATGCCTGAGATGCCTGGTGGGTGCATTCCCGCTATGCATGTCCACTCACATACAAAGACTCGAGCACAGCGTGAGAGTCCCCAAGATACTTCAAGGAGACCCATCATATTCTCAGTTGGTGCGCTGTAGTCAGTCAGAGTGACACTGGAACATCTCATCTCTCACTCTAGTGGTTAGGAATAGCGATTTGGCAATCCCCGCCCTCAAAGAGAGAAACATCATCTAGTCACAGATATCTTGGCAATCAAGAGACATCAAAGCCAGCAACTTAATTCTAGCGACGCTAGCCGTGTTGACCCCGCGTGACAGGAGAGCAATTACAAGGCGACCCAATGTCAAGTACCGGCTCACACACAAACACACTCTCTCTCTTATATATTTCTTTAATTCTGGAAATCTGTCTTGCCTATTTAGGTGGTCATGGCAACTTGGATCGGGCGTGTTGCGTGCAGACAGGGCCCTGGTGATCCCCTCCGCGTCTATCAGCGAGGCCTCCTCCATCTCTTGCTCTTTTCTCCCATGTTTAACTTAAGTGGCCCTCTCGACAGATTTAATGCTCTTTTCCGTATCTTATTTTCATGTACCTAGCCTTTTTGGATTAGGATTTTCAAGGAACATAGATCTGTTCTCATATCCTTGACAGGATCCCAGAAGAGTGGGCAAAGATATGGCTATAACAGATTCGGGCTATTTCAATATAACAGCGCAGCACAGCTGAGGCAGTCCGTTACACGGTACACGTTATTTACTTTGCCGGGCTGTGAGAGCCCGTTCAATGTTTGGTTCACCCCATCTTCTCCGTTTCCGATCTCCCTTCCCCGTCTTGCCGCTGTGGCTGCCTCTTCCCTCCCTCACCCTCCTCCACGTCGCCCTTCCACCTTGCCTGCCCACCCACATCCGATGTTCACTTTTTGCCGGGCAGGATGGCACACCTGCATCACAGGGAAGCACATATTGTCAGCCCGATCGACAGCTGTTCTCGCAGGTCCCTTGAAATGTGAAAGGTAAGGAAACGAGGGAAAAGAAGAAGGAACAAAATACGTCTAAATGGGAAACGTTGATATTCCATAGCATCCATTCTCAAAGGACCAGGTTTCCTGTACACAACATTGGGACTTCCATTATACCGGAGGATCGAGGGATCGATGATCTAGGACCCAGGGAAGGCGAGCATATGGACATCGCCAGGCCGAGCCTAATAGGGCACTCTTTTTTTTCTTCTCTTTTTTTTTTTTTTTTTTTTTTTTTTTTTTAATTTTATTTTTAATTTATTTATTTTTATTTTATTTTACGAGGTTCCCTTAGCCTGGCTCTTGAGGTCCATCTTCAATCCACGACCTCCTATGCTTCCTCCTCTTGATTGCTCATATAAACGATGGGAATATATCCATCGATGCACCCATCAATTGATGTCATGTAGTAAACAACATGAACATCTTGCACAAGCCAGTGCCTTCTACACGAAGTACTCTGATGTCTCTAATGCTGCTCTTCCTTTTGGTTCCCTCTCGCAAGAGGTAGAAGTTCACATGTTAATTTTTATTTTCCTTTTCCTCTTGTTTTCCTTTTTTTCTTCTTCTTCTTCTTCTTGCTCCTCTCGATGAAACCTGTACAACAAAGTCCCCTGCCGGTCGTCGAACAAAGCCCAATGCACTATGGAAGATGAGAAACTCCAAAAAGCTTCCGAGTCTCGTGGGCCAATTAAGAGACAGCCGATTCAATTGCCACCGAATAAGAATTATAAGGACTTCTTATTTTTGTTGCGAGCAAATGAGGAGGTGGCTAATGATAAGCTCGATTCAAAAGAGATGGAGTGCTCAGATTTAGTACATTGAGGAAGTGGACGCGAAATCGAACTCATGTAAAACTTAAGAGCCGGTCGATCAGGAACAGAATAAGAAGCGCGGAGATCAGGAAATGCTTCACAGTTATAGATGGGACGGACGAAAGGGAGTGCGTGTGTGTGTTAGAAGAGACTACGTATATTGTGGCGATTCAGGGTTGATGTGTTATGGGCAACGTAGATAGACTGAAATGAATAGAACATTGATCGCATATTGCGACGAGGAAAACGAGATCAATTGATGCCTCATAGTGATGATCCTCGAGGCTTAACGAGTTTGGGAAATGTGGAATGCATCCTATGGGACGGGATCCGGGATCCAGACATAAGGAACCATCAATGAAAACAAGAAAGCATGAATGCGGAAAAAATGAAAGAAAAAAGGAAACAAGAAAAGATTGGAAAAGGATCCTAATTGTAAATGAAAGACAAGATCTAGATATGAAGCATTACAAGCCTGGACCCTGTCGAACCCGTTGATATCACACAGATGGACTACCTTCGTGGTTTGTAGAATTCTCATTCAACCCTGTCTCCGATGATGTCTCGTCGGCAGTGGGCCAGATTCGCATTTATAGAAGGTCTCCGGTAGAGGCTAAGATTCGTAGCCTGTAAATTGCACTGGCAGAGGAGGACAGCCAACGAGGCGAACTTGGCTGGGCTACCTGATTCGGAAGAGCGACCCGTTGTTAAACAGAAGCGAGACATTTCATCGAATTGATCAACGTCGATTGGCTCTCAAGTTTGCTTTTTCATCTCATTCTCTCCGTCTTTCCTAAGGGTCCTGTCATTCTGTCTCTGGAACGACGCCAGTGTTCGGATCAGCCCGTCTTCAGTGTTCAGTTCTTCATCGTCGATGCCGCGGGTGCTACACCGAGTGTTGCTTTTCGTCTATCTGTCTGTCTCTTCGTCGAGTCGAGTCTGTTTGGGAGATGTAAGTGAGAGCGGGCGCGAGTGCGTCACCGTTTCTCACGCTGACCACACGTCTAGAGTGATCAATGTCTGAATCCGAGTCTATCAATCCGTTTGATGGCTCGCCCAACCAAAACGGTACATATTGATTGCGGGCAATATATCCTACCCCATAGATGGTGATGGTACGCATGTACTACCCTTGTTTATGATAGATCCTGTTCCTCCCAAATTGCACACTTGTTTAGAGTCGTTTCCTCTTTAAATTTCCGTAGCCATTTCCAAAAGCGCCACACCCCACTTAATATGAGTGCTCATTGCCCATCGTTCACGCCTCCTCACACCGGGGGCCTAACGACACACCCTCGGGAGCTGGGACTAACCATCGCCAACTCCACACTCATACCCATCCCTATACTCGTCCATGCTCAGAGGGGAGTGGGGATAAAAGATCTGAGGTTCTGTAGTGAGAGTCAGAAGAGAGAGCAATAGAGAAGACGCCAACCATGGAAAGTGTTGTAAGTTGCTTTCACTCCTCGAAGGCTGTTGGTTCTTCTGCCCACCCCAAACATAAAAAACGATGCCCTCCCCTGTCTCACATTCCCTCCACTCTTCCTGGATCTGTAACCCGGAGCGATCTTCACTGGAAACGTAAGAGCTTCTGCCTCTTCTTCTGCCCTACTTCCTCCGACTTGTTTCCCTCCTTTCCTCCTCCCCCCACATAACACATAGGCTTGGCATATCATCTTGCCATCTCACACAATCATCACGGCCGCTCACACCCTTAGTCTCAACTTATACCGGGAGAGGCTATAACTTGAGGAGGAACACCCTTTATGAGCATAAGAAGAACTATCCACGACAGAAGCAAAGACAAGCATCGAATCCAGTACGATCGATAATGAGCTCCGGCGGCTGGTCTGGGGGTTCTGGTGGTGGCGGCGGCGGCGGCGGTGGTGGAGGAGGAGGAGGTGGAGGAAGCGGAGGAGGAGGAGGTGGTGGTGGCGGCGGCGGAGGCCCCAGTGCATTTCCACTCCTCTTTGCGAAGAGAACAGAAATGAACATGAAAACGATGGAGTTTTATGCTGCCGGCATTTGCGGACTCATGGGACTTTTCATCTTTCTCCATCTCACGAGGGTATTTGCCCAAAAGAGTGGCTTCAACAAGGCGACTATCTTCGCTCCTTTCCATTATGTCTCCAGGTGGGTTTCTGTCATCTCTCCCGCAGGCGTGTCCGGGGAGCCTGCTGGTTGCAGACATCTCTCGAGGGAAGTGTGTCGCCTGAGGACTAACACGCGACGCTAGAATTGTGAGGCGGACCCTCCTGCCTAAGTTCCCTGGCTTGCCTTCCCGTGGCCATGCAGTATTGGCGGCCCTGTTCATCGCCATCAATGTCATCGTATCATTCGTCAACATGGACAACAAGAGCCTAGGTATCCAAACGAATCTCGCCGCTAGGTGGGGATGGTGCGTATATCCCTCTTGAACTAATCCATTTGATTGCGCATCGATGAGAAGGAGGGTTATGGTGATCGTACTGACGCTGGCGGTAGGTTGAGCGTTTCAAACTTGGTCGTGGTAGTCTTCCTGTCGTTGAAGAACACCCCGCTCGCTTACATCTCGGCCTGGTCATATGAACGCATCAATGTGTTGCATAAAATCGCCGGCTCCGTCACCTTGGCCGTCGTGATCCTACATGCCTGCACCTACGCCTCGTATTTCGGGAATTCCAATAACATCAAGCGGCTCCGCGAACATGAAGAGATTTACGGTATGGTCTCCGGCTTCTGCCTCCTCGTGATGGTACTCGCCGCCGTCATTATCCGACGATTCTGGTACGAATTATTCTACGTCATGCATCTTCTTTTCTTCCTGGCGACTGTCGTCTTTGTCGGTCTCCACCAGCCGGAGGTTGTCAAGAAGATCGCGATCGTAACCTGCATCGTCGGCGGTCTCTGGGTCTTTGATAGGTCCATCCGCTTCACCCGACTAGTCTTCTACAGCGTCAACAACGAGGCTGTCGTCTACCCCCTCTCCGAAGGTGGCACTCGTATCAAGCTCAAGAAGGGACCGGGCGGTAATGCCTCGGGCTCCCACTGCTTCGTTTGGATTCCTGGAGTCCGCTTTTTCGAGATGCATCCTTTTACCGTTGTCTCATCGGAGTCCAACGAGTTTGTGGTCAAGTCATACGACGGCTTCACCCGCGACCTTCACAGGTTTGCCTCAGCCTACCCCGGCAGGAGCTTGATGGCGTCCGTGGAAGGACCGTACGGAACGTTCCCCAACATACCATCTTTTGACCGAATCGTGATGCTTGGCGGCGGCAGTGGCGCAAGTTTCACCGTCGGAATAGCCCTAAGAGCATTGAACAAGTGGAACAATAAACTACCAATCCAGTTCCACTGGATGTGCAGACACCGAGGTAAGTGACGGGACGACGCGTCTCCTGGTGACATGGGCGGTCGTACGGGAAGGTGGGGGTTGACTAACGACCTCGCGATAACAGGTTACTTTAAGTGGTATGCCGACCACATTCAAGAGCTCCGAGCTAGCGGCAAGGTCAACGTCAACATCCACGTAACTGGCAACACACCGCCGCCGTCGGCCGACGAGGACAAGCCCAACTTGTACCTTGCGACGCCTCCCCGCTCTACGACGCCGATTGAGTTGGATCGCGAGGTGCGCGGTGACGTAGAAAAGATGGATAGCATTGAGAAGATGGAATCCCAATCCTCATCGCCAGCCCACTCGGAACATATACCTGTCTGCTCTGGCAACTGCGGAGCGCATCAACTCTGTCTCGACACTGGCATCGACATCTCCGAGGGTCGACCCAGCGTGTCTCAGATTATCAAGGACGAAGTTGCCAGGGCTGGTAGGACTGAGCGGATCCTGATTATAGGGTGCGGACCCGTGAGTCTCATGGACGAAGTAAGGAACACCACGGCGGCATGCATCCAATGTGAGGGACCGGCCCTCGAGCTCCACTGTGAGCAATTTGGATGGTGAAGAACCGCTTCATGTTTCCCACGGCCGGCTTTTCCTTTTTCATTCCTTGGATTTGTTTCACATATATACGATATCCCTCCCCTACCTCCCAACGCTCATTAATTCTTCCCCTTCCGATTCGGGAGGCTGCATTCTTTTATCCTTCGGCGTTTTTTGTTTGCGATGATGGGATCCCATTTTGTTTCTTCTCTTCATGCATGGGTTTGGCATGCTCGGACCATGGGCGCGCCTGAAGGAAGAAGAATTGTAACTCGGGGAGGCTGGAGCGTGTCCGTCCGAGCCATACCCAGGACGCCGAACCAACTCTCGGCGATGCGAGGGCGCGAGATTGTCAGTTGACGTGTGACGACGGAAGCCAAGCAGGAAAGCAATTGACTGATCAAATGATGTAATTCGACAGGTATCGAGGCCTAGAGGAAGCTGGCTCCCATGCAGTACGAAGATGTATATACCACAACTGAATATATCCTTTATAGAGAGTACTTCGTACTGGCAGTTACAGTTGATATAAAACGGTATGCCTCGAGTTGAGGCGCTTTTGTAAACTCAGTTTCGAGATGGCTGAGGGGATTCATTTCACAGATAAGGCGGACTTGGATGAAGAGCCAATGACGGATAAAAACTTATTTGGGACTTCGACATAGACAGCATTAGTCATTCAATCTTCACGTGTTTCCTTGACTTCTACTTTTTCTTAGCGTGCTAGATTAATATGGGAGAATTGGCTGCCGGAATCGTAACAAATCCACAAGAAGCTCAAGTCGTATAGTGGTTAGTACGCCACGTTGTGGCCGTGGAAACGGAGGTTCGATTCCTCCCTTGGGCAGCAGCTTCAATTTTTGTTAATCTTCATTCAGCCTTTAGTTTGTTGTCAATGAATCAAATTTTTTTTTATTTCTTCTTTTTTGCGTCCTCTTCTTTTTCTTTTCTTTATTCCCTCCATGGGCATTTGAATGGAATTTATCAATATATTTCCCATCTGTAAGTACTGCTTTTGCTTAAGTTGAAAGACTGTGAAGAGCTCCTTCTCAGATGAGTGCTTGTGGGGTGTAACGCTAGAGTGGTAGATCATCGGCTAAATACGACCCTGTTGATGAGCACTCCATCCACTTCCTCCTGCCCATGCTGCGACTTTGTGATAAGCCAGTCAAGAATCCTAGACTATACTTCTCCCAAAAGTTTCTTGACTTGTCTTTTTCTCTTCCCCAACACACAACATCACTTGTTGCACTGGTTTCCTACCACTGCTGCTATTCCTTGACTTTGATATCTCTTTTTGATTCTGTCCTTTTTTCTAGGTGTCTTGTTCAGCTCTCTACGACGCGTCGTTGGCGCGTAAAGTGGTTTTCCACTCTAGCCTTAACTATGGCCCCGAGCCGCCAGAACACAGAAACGGACGCGTTCATGCCTGACGCACCAGAACACCACGTTGCCTCTGAAATGGTATGTTCACTAGCCCTATCCCCTGTTCTCATCCTTGGTCTTCTCATCTCAATTGACTGAGGTGATTTGGCTCTGCAACCTCGAAGAATCTCGAGTCCACGCTAACACTCTTGCCACAGGAGGTCGATACGCCCGACTACTCCGACTCTGATACCCAGCCGAATACTACCGCTAGCAGCGTAGTCGGCGAACCTATTACGGATGGTCGGAAGCGTAGGAGCGAGGCCAACCAGCTTCGCCGCAGCGTGTTTGGCAAGAAGCACGACAGACTTGGAGAGTCCAAGGTATGCGATATCTTTGCCTGCTGAGCGCGTAGTGGTTGCGCGGTATATTGACACCTATCATAGGAAGATGACACCATTCGCCGATTCCGTTACCTTCTCGGATTGACAGATCTCTTCCGTCATTTCATCGAAACCAATCCCGATCCGAAAATCCGCGAGATTATGGTCGAAATCGATCGCCAAAATGCTGAACATGACAAGACGAAGGGTGGCGCGCGTCGCCAAGGCGGGGCGGTTAATGCCCGTGCTCGGCGAACGGAAAAGGAGGAAGACGAGGAGCTACTGAAGGACGAGAAGCGCGGTGGAGCCGCAGACACTGTCTTCCGCGAGTCACCATCCTTCATCAAGGGCACGATGAGAGACTATCAGGTTGCCGGCCTAAATTGGCTTATCTCACTGCACGAGAATGGTATCTCGGGCATTCTTGCCGACGAAATGGGCCTTGGAAAGACGTTGCAGACTATCTCTTTCCTCGGCTACCTGCGCCATATGATGGGCATTACCGGGCCCCACCTCGTCACCGTCCCTAAGTCTACTCTTGATAACTGGAAGCGCGAGTTCGAAAAGTGGACTCCCGAGGTCAACGTTTTGGTGCTCCAGGGAGCCAAGGAAGAGCGACACCAGCTTATTAACGATCGCCTTATAGACGAGGACTTCGATGTGTGTATCACGAGTTACGAAATGGTTCTCCGCGAGAAGGCCCACCTCAGGAAGTTTGCCTGGCAGTACATCATCATTGACGAGGTATGTTCAGCCGTTCTTTGATCGACGAGTGTGCATTTGCTAATGTTTTACCGCCTTAGGCCCATCGTATTAAAAACGAAGAATCTTCACTTTCTCAAGTGATCCGGTTGTTCCAGTCGCGAAACCGCCTCCTTATTACTGGTACTCCCCTCCAGAATAACCTCCACGAGCTTTGGGCCTTGCTCAATTTCCTCCTCCCCGACGTATTTGGCGATTCCGAGGCGTTCGATAACTGGTTCAGCGGTCAGGATAGGGACCAGGATACCGTTGTTCAGCAACTTCACCGCGTCTTACGGCCGTTCTTGCTACGTCGAGTGAAGAGTGATGTGGAAAAGAGCTTGCTTCCCAAGAAGGAGGTCAACCTATACATCGGCATGTCTGAAATGCAGGTCAAGTGGTATCAGAAGATTCTGGAAAAGGATATCGATGCCGTCAATGGCGCGGGCGGCAAACGCGAGTCCAAGACACGACTCCTAAACATTGTCATGCAGCTCAGAAAGTGCTGTAACCACCCGTACCTCTTCGAAGGCGCTGAACCTGGCCCTCCTTACACCACGGACGAACATCTCGTAGAGAACTCGGGCAAGATGGTTGTTCTCGACAAGCTTCTTTCCCGCTTGCAGAAGAATGGCAGTCGTGTCCTGATCTTCTCTCAGATGAGTCGACTTCTCGACATCCTTGAAGATTACTGCGTCTTCCGTGAGTACAAATATTGCCGTATCGATGGTGGTACTGCTCATGAGGACCGAATCGCGGCTATCGACGAATACAATAAGCCGGGCTCTGAGAAGTTCGTCTTCCTCCTTACCACTCGAGCTGGCGGTCTAGGTATCAACCTCACAACCGCCGACACGGTTATTCTGTACGATAGCGACTGGAACCCCCAAGCCGATCTTCAAGCTATGGATCGAGCTCACCGTATCGGACAGACGAAGCAGGTTGTCGTCTATCGGTTCGTTACCGATAACGCCATCGAAGAGAAGGTTCTTGAGCGAGCAGCTCAGAAACTGAGGCTGGATCAACTAGTCATCCAGCAGGGCAGGGCCCAAATCGCAGCCAAGGCCGCCGCCAACAAGGAGGAGCTTCTGTCCATGATCCAGCATGGAGCGCAAGATGTTTTCTCGACAAAGGGCGGCACAGGTCTCATCGCCAATAAGGGCGGAAAGATTGACGACGCCGATATCGAGGAGATTCTCGCTCGAGGAGAGAACCGCACGAAAGAATTGAACGCCAAGTATGAGAAACTTGGCCTTGACGACCTTCAAAACTTCACTTCGGAATCCGCGTATGAGTGGAATGGAAAGGATTTCCAGAAGAAGAAGACGGATCTGAATCTCATGACTTGGATCGAGCCAGCCAAGCGCGAGCGCAAGGAGCAGTCCTACTCGATGGACAAGTACTTCAAACAGGCTATGTATCCAAGCAGCAAGGCTGAGCAGAAGCCCAAGGCCCCTCGAGCACCCAAGCAAGTCCCTGTGCATGATTACCAGTTCTACCCTGCTCGGCTACGAGAACTGCAAGATCGTGAGACAGCGTACTATAGGAAGGAAGTTGGTTACAAGGTTCCCCTTGCCGATGGCGAGGAAGACACACTCGAGGAGCGCGAGGCCGAGCGAACCCGCCTGCAGGAAGAGATTGATAACGCCACTCCCTTAAATGAAGAGGAACAGGAGGAGAAGGCCCAGCTGTCCGAGCAGGGCTTCGGTGACTGGAACCGCAGGGACTTCCAGCAGTTTGTCCACGGTTCCGGTAAACACGGTCGTACTGATTACGACAGGATCGCCGAAGACATCGACAGTAAGACCGTGGCCCAAATTAAGACCTATGCCAAGGTGTTCTGGCAGAGGTACACAGAAATCTCCGACTATCAGAAATACATCAAGATCATCGAGGACGGCGAGGAGCGCATGCGCCGAGTTGAGCACCAACGTAAGATGTTGCGCAAGAAGATTTCGGGCTATCGTGTCCCCCTCCAGCAGCTCAAAATCAACTATTCCGTATCGACAACGAACAAGAAGGTTTACACCGAGGAAGAGGATCGGTTCCTCCTTGTGCTCCTTGACAAGTACGGAATTGATAGTGAGGGTCTTTACGAGAACATCAGGGAGGAAATTCGGGAGAGCCCCCTGTTTAGGTTTGACTGGTTCTTCCTCAGCCGAACGCCTATTGAGCTTAGCCGACGTTGCACGACGCTCCTCACAACCGTTATGAAAGAGTATGAGGACGTTCAGCCTTCCAAGGCTAACGGCGAGAAGAAATCGAAGCGCGAGCCAGAGGACGAGGAGAACGACGAGGATAGCATTCTTGGTATGGCTCCGGCCAAGAAGAGGTCCAAGAACGGTGTCAAGGTATGTGGATATATCGAACCTCTCCCTCTTTATGCGAATCTAGTGTTGTGTCATTTTCTAACATTCGAGTAGAACAAGGCACTTGATAATGTGAAATCGGCCACGACTAAGGGAAGCAAGTCCAAGTCGGCCAGTCCTTCACGCGCCTCCAGCGTCGCTAGCAACGCGTCTGGTGGTGCGGCCTCGAAGTCCAAGGCCAAGCCCAAGGGCAAGAAGAAATAAAGGAGACTCTCCTTCTCTGCAAAAGTCTCTTGCCCTTCTTCGACTTTGTTTTGTTACACTTTTCGCATCCCGCATTTAGGAGTCCATCGGCTTCATATCCTTCATATGAGGACCCTCGGCAGGCCTGCTTCGGTTGTTTCCCATTCCTTGTTCTTGTCACGTCTTTGGTTTCTGTCCTTTTTGGCCCGTTAATGGCGTTGAAAGAGGTTGGCTTCAGCCAAGGTTCGTTCGCGAGATTTGGCAGGTGGAAGAGCTTCAGTCCCTCCGCTCCCGATTCGACCGCAAACAAAGCCATCCCCCTATGAATTGCATAGGATGATGGCCCTTGGCTTCATGTTTTCGACACCCTCATTACTCTTGGCTACGTGATGTTATGGCCCCAGAGTAGCACCGATGGTGATGCTTACCTTTTTTTTTGCCGTGTTTCCTTTTTTCTTTTTTCTTTTTTCTTTTTTCTTTTTTCTTTACTATTTTTGATCTGGTCGGCCGGGAGGGCTAGATGTACATGTGGAAAAAAGGTGTCATGGCTAGGGCGGCTTGGTAGATACGTTTGTTTTGTTTTCAAAGTTTTCAAGATACATCGATCGAACCAAAAAGTCAGTTATACTGCATCTCTGGGCTTCCAAGACCTCGAGATGCGTGGCAGAATCTCTTCTATGTGTGACCTCTAGAAGATGAAAACTCTTGAATGTCTAAACCCTCTCTTTAACACACATCGCGAGACGATCTCGAGTGAGATACCAAAGCCCAGGAAATTCCAAGAAAAATAATTTATAACTTTGAGCCATCGACAACTTGAAATCATTACAATTCCGATGCGCGTTCCCCCCCCTTTCCTCCCTAGTTTCTTCACAAACATTGGTTGTCCATACCGAGGAACTAACTCCGAAACGCCGAGCATGCAAGACACGGGTCATGGGTCTTTTTTATCCATTTTTTTGAGAGATGTAATACGGGGCGAGCAGGCGAGCTTTGTTTACGGACTCCTGTTGAGGCGCTCGCGCTCAACTTCGTAAAGGAAGTCGAAGTAACCCTTGTCGAAGTGGTGCACTCGCACGTATCCGTCCTCTCCTCCACTGCAGTAGCTCTTGCCGGTCGGGTCGGCGGCAACAGTGTTCTACGGATGAATGTTAGTAATTCCGAGAATTGTGTTTAGAAAATTATCAGTAGAGGTTGTTTCAACATACCAAGGGACCGAAGTGACCACGGACACGGCCAATCTCGTCCTCGAAGATCTTGTGGTAGAATCGAGCCTCGAATTTACCCTGGCGAGCGGCGGTCGTGGTGACGTCCATGGCGGCCTGACCACCACCGAGAATGACGAAGTCCTTCTTCCTGGTCATGCAGGCGCTGTTGAGGGGGGTATCACTGGGGTAGGTCTTGAGGACCTCGAGATCCTTAGCGGAGATGAGCTGGCAAAATAGAAGGTTAGAAACAGACCCTCGGCATGCTTGGGATAAAGGGTGCCTCGGTTTACCTTGGAGGTCTTGTCCTTGCAGGCAGTGATGAAGTAGGTTCGGTCAGCGGACCACTGGAGATCGGTGATAGGTTGGTTGAGATCGTGGATGGCGAAGTTCATGATAAGTTCTCCAGTCTACACCAGGTGTTAGTTCGCTCAAAATTCCAACCCAACGCACGTAGCTTTAGGACGAAAAATGGAAAGAAAAAACCCTACCTTGCCATCATACTGAGAGACCGATCCGTCCTCGTGTCCAGCAATAATATACTTGGACATATAGCTCCAACCGGCCACAGTCGCCTTGCTTCGGTCGCAAACGATGGTAAGCGCCCTCTCGTCGGTCTGCTCGGCCTCGGGATCTATGGTGACGTCGAACACGATGATGTTGCTGAGGTAACCCATTCGCTTCTCCGTGACGCCCAGGATCTGGGTGGCGTCCTCATTGAACTCGACTCGCTTGACGGCGGTGGGGAACTCCCAGGTCTTGATACACTTTCCGGTCTTTACCTCCCAGAGGCGAATGGTGTTGTCGGCGGAACCGGATGCGGCGATCGTGCTCGTAGGGTCGACATCGACGGTCCAGATGGCACCTACGTGGCCCTTGTAGGTACCGAGACGCTCGCCATTATGGGAGAACCAAACACAGACTTGGTTATCCTTGGATACGGAGAAGATGAGATCGCCATCGGCATTGTAGCTATAGGCAGGGATCATGGTTAGCCTTGTGACGATTCAAGGGTGTGGTATCCCTCCAGGAGTAGCGTGGAGGGGAAAGGGGAGTGAGTGGTGGCGGGCATTGCGTACCGGACCTGGGTGAGCGCACGCTCATGTCCGGATAATAGTATAGGCCTCATTTTGTGTGAAGGTATGAAGAGGAGGAAAGGAGGCTCTAAATTACAGAATGCGTGGGATGTCCTTGAGTATTTGCGGCTCGAGGAGGGGGTAGGAGCTTGAGATCAGTAGCGACCAACTTCGTAGGCGACGTCGAAAAATTTCTAGGCTTTGGACTTGATATTGTGCGTTTGTGCATGTGTGGGGCAAATCCTCAGTTCCCCGCGAGGAGTGAATGGAGGGGCACCGAGTGGGTTGAGCTGAGTCAGCATGGGTACCTGGACCAAGGTTGGCGCCACAGTGGCCATTCATTACATTAGCCACACCGCCACACCACTCCCCGACAGTCGCCGTCCAGCCATCGCATTTGATCGATCTGGCAATTTCATGCAGGAACATCAAAAATTCGGAACGGGCACGTGTCAAAGTCCGGGCATAGTGGGCGAATGATGATATTTTCGCACAATCTTTTTACGAAGAAGTCCAATCTAGGACAGGGCCATCTCTTGAGGAGATAGTTGCATCTTTACGACTTTCGTTTTTGGTTTCCGTCCCTTCCTACACCCAGCGGCTTACATCGTAGACAGCGCGTACCGCCGTTGCGGTCTTACAGCGACCCACTCTTTCAGAATTGCGTCCGGTTGTGCTACACAACCCCGAGCCCGGAGCCACACGACTTTCGTTCGACGAATTTGGTCTGGAATTGAAAAAGAAGCTCACCATCTGGCTGCGTTCAACTTCCAAATCATGAAACTATAGGCCATCCTTGGGGGTCCTGGGCCATCCCGTATTACCCATCTCATGCAGTACGTAACGTCCTCACTCATCCTTGGCAACGATAATGAATCACTTGTGTCTGGATGACTTGAACTTGTCTAGCCGTCCGTATTCAGTTATTCAATGTTGTATTTGATGTGGACCATTCAATGTTGCTCTTTACAACTGACTAAGCGTAATCCTATCCAGACTTAGAGCACTGAAGGCGACTTGGAACAATTGGACTAAGACGGCAGACATATCATCATCATCATCATCGCGAGTCCGATCTCCGGGAGGGCCAACGATTTCATAGTTTGCTACAAGTAGAGATCCAAAAAGCACTGCGGCTGCGGCGATGAGCCTTGATCACGCATGAGTCATAATCGTGCTCACAAGGTATTAATTGTCCCTGAGAATCACCTAATACTCTTCACAAGCTTTTGCACACTGCGTGCCAAGCATTCGCCGAGAAGAAAAGGCTCAGGCAATGGTGCTCTCCGAGGCCTAGATCCATTTCTTCCTTGACTGAAGTCGACAGGGGCCACCGATGCCCCACAGTTGTGAAGCGTCGTGTCGGTTCTGTTGGGTCCTGGTCTCTGCTAACAAAATCTTAGTGGATGCAGAGCATAGATATAGCCCTTTTTTTTTTTTCCTAAATTTTTTTCCATAATTTTTTTTCTTCTCTCTTCCCTTTGCCATCCGTTCAGTCCTTCAAAAAACCATCCGGGTCGAAATTTCGAATTCTGCTATTCTCGAAGGTGCAAGCCTAAAACATCCAGCTTTTAACCCCCAAAAAGGTTGTGACGCCAAGCACAATCGCGATCGAAGATGCTGCCCTCCCGTGCCGGCATTGATGCTCGCCTTTGGGCAGTTAAGGGTACGGGAAACCTTAGAATTCGGGGCCAGCAAATAATAGCGCGTCCCTCGGCTGCTGGCAGCACCACAACAGGTCGAAATGTACACAGTCCGCGGTGGCAGTCGACGGAGCGATCTAGATCCGGTTCAGGCCCTGGGGTGGGTTCAGAAGGCGCTAACAATCGGGGCTTGCCGAATGGCTCCGTTGGCACAACCACTGAGAGCACGCCTATGTCCGACTTAAACCGCGGCCCAGGAAAACGTCCAGATATACGTACTCACGCTCACGCTCGTGCTCACGCGCATGTACCTGTATCTTCCTACCGGCGGTTATCGTCTTTTTCTGCCTCATCTCCCTTGCCGCACCAGGCTTCGACGTCAACGGTGCAACGGACTTGTACCGCTGATCTCTATCGCACACAGCCCTTGCGATCCTCTTCCTCCCACCTCCTCCAAGCCTCAAGCCAAATTTCGGGCAACGTCGTCTCTGCCCGCACATACTCATCCTCCGCCTCTGCTGAACCAGCCACAGCTGCCTTTGATCCAGAAACCATGGTCGCAAGCAAGATTGATGGAACGGCCCTTGCCAAATCCATCCGAGAGAGGCTCAAGGCCGAGATTGCTGAGAAGCAATTGACAAACCCGCGTTATCAGCCATGCCTAAAAATTATCCAAGGTAAGTCTCAACTACCCCGCCATGGCTGCCGTCAACGGCCCCCTGCCAATGCTCATTCTGGCGACACGAGTAAAATATCCAGCGCGCTGACTTGAAGTTTCTTTCCTCTTGAAATAGTTGGAGATCGCAGTGATTCCAGTATGTCCTTCCCGGAGAATTTCATGGCTCTCGCCCCGGTCCTTTGACCCGACTGGCCCGATTCTTTTTTTTCCCTTGATTTTTTTTTATCGTCCTCGGACCCCTCATTTCGCCCTTTTTGAACCCTTGGCCCCTGCCCCACCATGAGTGACGTGACGCCATTCCGACAATGGCAACTCACACACATCAAGAATAATCCCCCCAAATGACCCTTGATGTCAACTGGCTAACACAGAATTTCAGCTACCTATGTGCGCATGAAGCTGAAGGCTGCCGCTGAAGTTCGTATTGTTTCTTCTCTTCTATTTTATTTTTACTATTATTTTCATTCGTCCGTTTCAAGTAAAGTAGGTGCTAACGCATCCTTCAGGCCGGCATAAGCTGCGAGTTGCTTCACTATCCCGAGTCCATCACGGAACCGGAGTTGCTTGACCAGATTCACCGTCTAAACAACAATCCCGATGTTCACGGTATCCTAATCCAGCTTCCTGTTCCAGGCCACATTCGTGAGTATGCTGTCACCTCTGCGGTTTCCGACGAGAAGGATGTCGACGGCTTCGGCACTTTCAACATTGGTGAGCTCGCCAAGCGAGGCGGCAAGCCGTTCTTTGTTCCCTGCACTCCCAAGAGCGCCATGGCTCTGCTCAAGGAGGCCGGAATTGATCCAAAGGGAAAGAACGCTACCGTCATTGGTCGCAGCAATATCGTCGGTAGCCCAGTCAGCCAGCTCCTTACAAATGCCGATGCTACCGTGACCGTCTGTCACTCCAAGACGGCGAACATCCAGGAGCATCTCAAGAACGCCGATATTGTGGTTTCCGCTATTGGCAAGCCGGAGTTCGTCAAGGGCGAGTGGCTAAAGCCCGGTGCTGTCGTCATCGATGTCGGCATCAACTACGTCCCGGATGCTAGCAAGAAGTCGGGCTATAGACTGGTTGGTGACGTGCATTTCGAGAGTGCCGCTCAGGTAGCCTCGCACATAACACCCGTCCCTGGCGGTGTAGGTCCCATGACCGTTGCCATGCTTATGCAAAACGTTGTCGACGCGACCAACCGGCACTTCGATCAGCAGAAAGACAGGACGGTGACTCCCCTCCCTCTGAAGCTCCAGGACCCTGTCCCCTCCGATATTGAGGTCTCCCGAAGCCAAATCCCCAAGCAGATTACCAGCGTTGCTGTCGAAGCCGGCGTTGCATCCCACGAACTCGAGCCTTATGGTGCTTACAAGGCCAAGGTTGATCTCAGCCTGCTGAAGCGACTCGAGCATCGCCGAAACGGACGATATGTTGTCGTCACCGGCATTACACCCACTCCTCTTGGTGAGGGCAAGTCCACCACGACAATGGGCATTGCGCAGGCCCTCGGCGCTCACCTAGGTCGCCTTACTTTTGCCAACGTTCGCCAGCCCAGCATGGGCCCTACCTTCGGTATCAAGGGTGGTGCGGCTGGTGGTGGCTACAGTCAAGTCATCCCCATGGACGAATTCAACCTTCACCTGACTGGAGATATCCATGCCATTACCGCGGCCAACAACCTTTTGGCTGCTGCCATCGATACGCGCATGTTCCACGAAAATACCCAAAAGGACGCCGCGCTGTACCGCCGACTTGTGCCGGTCAAGGACGGAGTGAGGAAGTTCGCTCCCGTCATGTTCCGCCGGCTCAAGAAGCTCGGTATTGACAAGACCAATCCCGATGACTTGACTGAGGACGAAATTCACCGATTCGCCAGGCTCGATATCGACCCCGCCACCATCACCTGGAGGCGTGTGCTCGACGTGAACGACCGTCTTCTGCGTGGAGTGACCATTGGCACTGCACCTACCGAGAGGGGATTCACTCGCGAAACCGGCTTCGATATCTCCGTCGCTAGCGAGTGCATGGCCATTCTGGCTCTCAGCACCGACTTGGCCGATCTCAGGGAACGTCTTGGACGCATGGTCGTCGCTAGCTCCAAGAGCGGCGAGCCGGTCACCTGCGACGACATCGGAGCAGGCGGTGCGTTGACCGCCCTTATGAAGGATGCGATTAAGCCGACGCTCATGCAGACCCTGGAGGGCACTCCCGTCTTCGTGCACGCCGGTCCGTTCGCCAACATCAGCATCGGAGCCAGCTCCATCATTGCTGACAAGATGGCACTGAAGCTCGCTGGTACGGAACCCGACGAAGACCACGCCAGCAACTCAGGCTTCGTCGTCACCGAAGCTGGTTTCGATTTCACCATGGGCGGAGAGCGTTTCTTCAACATCAAGTGCAGAGCCTCTGGTCTCGTCCCTGATGTTGTGGTCATCGTGGCTACCATCCGCGCTCTCAAGGTTCACGGAGGTGGTCCCCCGATTGCTGCCGGTGCGCCTCTCGACCCCGTCTACAAGCAGGAGAATGTCGAAGTTCTCCGTGCGGGATGCTGCAATCTCCGAAAGCACATTGAGAATGCCAAGTCCTATGGTGTTCCCGTTGTCGTGGCTATCAACAAGTTCTTCACCGACACGGATGCCGAAATCGCCGTGGTCCGTGAGGAAGCCATTGCGGCGGGTGCGGAGGACGCTATCCTGTCCAACCACTGGGCTCTGGGTGGCGAGGGTGCCATCGACCTGGCCAAGGGCGTCATTGCTGCTAGCGAGAAGCCCAAGGATCTCAAGTTGCTCTACGACCTCGGCGGTACCGTTCAGGAGCGGATCGAGGCCATTGGCAAGAAGATGTATGGTGCCGAAAAGGTTGAGTTCAGTGAGCTTGCCCAACAGAAGGTCGATACCTACACACGACAAGGTTTCGGTAACCTGCCGATCTGCATTGCGAAGACCCAGTACTCCCTTTCGCACGATCCTGCACTCAAGGGAGCGCCTACGGGCTTCACGGTTCCTATCCGTGATGTCCGAATGGCTGCGGGAGCTGGTTATCTGTAAGTCTCAAACCTCTCTCACATTACATCGTTCAAAATTCTCCTTTGAATACCAACTAACCACACGGATACCTTATAGTTACGCTCTTGCTGCTGATATCCAGACCATTCCTGGCTTGCCTACGGCTCCAGGCTATCTCAACGTCGATGTCAACGTCGAGACGGACGAAATCGAGGGTCTGTTCTAAACAACAACTTAAGACAGGACACCTCGTTCCTTGAAAATACCGGAACGGGACCGACGCATGATATGCGTCGGATGAGATTATTCTAGACATTTTAAGCATGGCTCAGCGAGACGGGGACCTGCACTAGACATCATGACTGCACTTTTTTATTCAACAATTCAACATGGGCGTATATATGTTATGGGAAATGGGATGGATGGATGGATGGATAGCTTAGAAAAGATGTCGAGATAGAAAGGTAGATTTCAACCAGCCCGCGTCAGCATCTTGAACTAATACCAAAAGTCATTTGATCTTTTACATTCCTTTCCCTTTGCAATATCTACCGACTTACGAAGTAGTAGATGCCTTTTCGGGTTTCCGAGAGTTTACGGGAGGACCATCTACATTATCGCCTGGAAAGCCCCCCGGTCGTCCGGAGGCTAGTTTCTCGGCACGGAGTAGCCACCATCCAAACGGAGCCGTTGGTTCCATCTGTAACCAGATGTCACTCGCTCGGGTGGAGATGCTCTGCTTTACCCGGTCAACAGGATGTGCCACCAAGAGAAATTTTTGTAGCTAAACTACTAGCATATTCCAAGAGAATTCCATGAAGAACGAGTATGAAACTTCTGTCATAGCAGTTGCAGTATTAGGGCAGGAGAGCCAAGTGGGTCTTACCACAGTTAGCGCACAGACCAACCCGGCCTGAACCCCCACATGCTTTTTTTGATTTTGTGTTGCGAAGGTCACTTTTGTACAAATGTACACGGGTAGTGTACAATTGCACGAGATACTTCGTCCTTGTTCAAAGTGTAGAAACAGTGCTGTACCCTGTACATACTGTATTTCCCCTCCAAAACTCAGGTCCAGAAACAGGACCCTGCTTGTCTGACGCAACCACCAGAAAACAACACGTGCAATTTCCCACGAAGGATCGTTTAGCTCATGCCTTGGATCTTCGATGAGCGTCGCCATCAGGGATGATCTCCAGGGCAGGTCATTCATTGTCGAGGAGTTATAGAAAAAGTGCTTCATGCTTTCTGCGCCGTTTGACGAGCTTTTGCAAACATCAAAGCTCAACTATTTATTGACTGGGCACTGTGCCGAAATCTGTCCGGGCTAAGCCTGGCAAATCTTTGTACACCGTACTACGAAGTAGAGTGACCATCACATTCCCACCCGCTTCGGCCATTTGGACACTTTGGAACATCTCTTGGGCTCATTCCTCGGTTTTCGTTTGGATCCCAAACTTTCCTGCCTGCATCTCATTCGGCGTCCTTGTCTCATCCCTTCGTTGACTCAAGCCTTCGTTAGGTTAGCGGACAAGAACCAAAGCCATCGTAAATTTTGTCTGGCCTCGATTTGAGCCAACTGGCTTGCTGACGCATCCAAGTCGACTCACAACGAAGCCTGGTTACATGAGGAAGTACTTCTTCGGTGGAGCTACCAATCAAAAATATCAAAATCGCCCCTCCCTTTTCGTTCCCACCACAACCAGAGCCAACAACCTCCACCACCATCAACTCCGTCCTGTCCTCCTACCTCCTTGGCAACCAAACAGAGAGAACGACTTTCGGAAGCGGGCCTGAGACTAAACTATTTTTCACCCCCTCACCCAACAACTGCCATCGCCATCGCCATCGACATCGACATCGCCATCCCCTCTGTCTCATCGACTACAACCCGTTGTTGATTATCGAAATCGACGTCCGCCGCAATGGACCAGCCCGAGCAGTTGCTCGACGCCTTTAAAGCCGCAGCGCTATCAGTTACCAAGCTCTACAAAACCTCGGCATCAGCACAAGCAAAAGCACGCCAAGAGGGCTACCAAGACTGCCTCGAAGAGCTCCTGGCCTTCCTCGATCGGGAAAACATCGGTCTCGGCGATGGAGAGGGATGGAGGATCCGAAGCTGGGCGACCGAGCGACTAGCCGCCGGCTCGACCGATGCCATGGTGCAGGATAGGGAAAGCGAGGATGAAGTCGAAAAGACCGATCGCTGCTCGAGTCCCGAGATTTCGAGATCTAATAGCGGCACCCATCTAAATTCCATCACCGAGCGGACCCAATCCGTGACCCTCGGCAGCAGCGCCCCCAAGTCCGAAGAGGTACCTGCATCAACAACGGCTGAGACCGTCACCCCCACATCGGCCACTATCGCCGTACCGACGCAAGATCAGTTTACATTTCAGTCATCCATGTCGTATCCCGATGCGCCTAATCTCGCGACGTTAAACCTCTCGGATTCGCAGGCGCACCCTTCGGCGACGCAGACAACCACGCCTCACTTCACTCGGCAACCCAGAGGACGACACAATCTCGGGAGACCGTCGGCGCGGACTTCTGCCGCCGCCGCCGCACTGGGCCGGGGTGCGGGACAGAAGAGGAAAATTAACTTCGCCGAAATCTTCGATTTAGGGAGCCTCGGTAACGGCAAGGACATGTTTGGAAATGGCAAACGGAGCCGCCACATATAGGTTGGCCGGCCCTGGTGTTGCTCCGCGGGCATCAAGCAAAGGCTTCTCGATATGGGTGGGAGCCTTTTTCCCTCCTATGCCAACACCCAACTCATCCTCTGCTTCCGACTCTCCTCTGCATCTAAATCGGGGGGTTCAATCACGACTTATGTTTCCAACATCCTGGATACACAATCTCGGGGTTTCCTTCTGCCAGCAGATCGGTCGGGAGACTTTCTTCTACACATGAAGCATTATACGAGCGGGAGGTACATCGGAGCATGAAAGTAGGCGTTTTATTACGGTTCCCGGAGAAGATCGGTTATTACTGCATTTAAGGGTGGTGTTTTCTTTTTCACTTTTTCTTTTCTTGATTCTATTTTAGTTAGCTATCAGCCAGCCTGGGTCACCTTGTCCCTTTGCATCTGCTTCTGCTGCATGCCTGGTGCAAGTCAGCCCTGTCTAGGGGCAAGACTTGTTTACACCCTGGGCGTTTGTCTCACGAGACCCCTTTCAGCCTTTTGTGACCCTTCACTCATCACTACCACATGCACAACACAAGTAGCTAAGCCTCCGGTTACATTACACAACAACCCCCTTTTGCTTCTTTGTTTGCTCTTTGCGCTTTTTAGCTCCATTTGTGGTGGCAGCTATAGAAGATGGAAGGATACGGTTTGGCTCTCATGTATCGACGAGTTGGTGGAATGGTAATTTTAGATATAGTGCTAGGTATCATCAGGTTAATAAGGAATGTCGGGGGTGTGGATGTGACCCAAACTACATTTGAACCTTTGGTAAAACTCCCTGTAGTCATTGTAAAACATATTGGATATGGCTAAAGAAACATGCTCCTAGACTCGTTCGCTCGGATTTAAATTGTTGAGCAACATTGTATTCAGTACATGGAAGGGTCTTTAGTCGCCCTTGGATAAACAGTCCGTGATGAGATGCTGTGTAAAAATCATGGTATTACCCCCTGCCAAACGCCTCTGGCCGACCTTTTCCCAATCATTGATGGCTGATGTATCAAAGCTACCAAATCCATATCAGACTCTTATGATACCCCATTCTCGAGTATTAATTCATCAAAAAAGGCTTTCCAGCCCCCACATCACGGGAACCTTTATATGGCGGTAATCCCAGGGCGCCATTTCTCTCCTATCCTCCTCACCTCGGCGGAAAACTTCCGGCTGGCAATCTTCTTGCCTCCCTGGCCGTAGGGCGGGGTATGTTCGTCCGGATCGTAAAAGGGGTTCTGTAGGAGGGCGACGTACGCCGATTGTAAAGCTTTAAATACCTGCGCAACAGTAATTGTTAGCAAAAACAAACAAAATCACCTCCCCCCATCATCCCTGCGCGGGGAAGGGGAGAAAAAGGCGAGAGAGATCTCACAGGTCGCACGTCCGAATCCTTCAGCCCGACACCAGACCTAATCCCATCCTCTCCAGCCCTAACATCCACCACCACGACGAACCTCACGCCCGTATTCGTCTCGAAGCCGTACGCGGCCAGCCGATCGTCCACGGCGTGCAGGAGGCCGAGCTCGCCCGTCAGGTTGGGAGAGGCGGAGGAGGAGGTCGGGGCGGAGGACTTGGCGCGCATGTCGAAGATATCGATTGTGCTGGAGAGGAGGAGGGAGAATTGGAGCGGCGTACGGATAGGGGAGAGGATCGTTGTGTGAAGGGGGTTGTTCTGTGGGAGATGGACGGGTTAGTTGGTGGTTTCCTAGCCAGAGAAATCTGGCATAGGACGAAACGTACGTTGCGGCCTATTATGCCTATGTAGGCTATTGAGGCGGATGAAGTTGTCATGGTCGCTATCGCTTTGGGGGGGATTTAGAGCTCGGAGCTTGGCTTGGGAAGGCTTCACTGTTGGTTGATGTTGGCTTAAGGCTCGGTCGTGGACGTGAATCCGGATTGATGCATATATTATAAAAGATCATGGAATCTATGCGTTTACCGGGATTCTTTTAACAACCCGAAACCCTTCCGTTTTCGGTCCCCGCCATACTTTCCCCATCCGCCGTCCCGGCCCTTCCTTGGCGCCGATCCTCCGATACCCCGGGCTCGAGCCAGTGATTGATTACCTTCGTACTGGGGCTCCAATGGCAAGTTCTACTCCAAGCACCCAAATCTAGTATTAAGGCATTTCAGAAGACAACTAACGATACCTTTGTAAATTGACATCACTTAATTTTGGTACTTGGGCATTGGAATCTAAACGGGTCTCAATAGTCTTGGTCAGGGAATCCGCCACGTCGAAATTCACACCTTGCAGCATAAGAAGAGGTACGGGGAATGCTTCGTACTTGAATCAAGAATAGTTTGCCATGAACGATTGAACTGTGCCAACATCTCTCCTTGAGATACCAGGATTGCTAACGGTCAAGACGAATCAGCGACAGGACAGCTAACTACCTGACCCATCAGCAGAAGAAGAGCCTCAGAGTTCGTCATCGCGAACAACCTCCCCGGTTTCAAGGAGACGCTGGCCATCGGGAAGTGGTAGGGCTTGCGTCGGCGGGCGCTCCCACCTCAGGAAGTCCTTCCCAAGCCTAGTGAGTGTGCTGCGCATGGCACCCCGCCTTTTAAAGTTGCCTTGGTCTATTGCCATGTCTGGGGATACGACCAATGGCGGCCAGTTCAGGGGCTTTGATGCCTTGGTAAAATGATCAATCTTTTTGTCGATCTCGGCCCTGCGCTTGGCCCATTCACCGAGGACCCGGCGATATTCCTCCACGGGGCTATCAAGCTGTGCATTTCGGTGCTTCTTCCATTTTGGCTTCTTCATGATCTTGGACGCATCCAACTCGTCAGGGTAGAAATCTAAGCGAAAGCAGAACTCGCGCGTGATGATTTCGTAGAGCGTAAATATCACAAATTTGACGTCGTTTCGATCCGCGTCGTATTGAAATTCTTGCTGGTTGCTCGTATCTCCCTCCCAGCCCAGTTTGGCACTCCAGCTAAAATCGCATAACTGAATGGTATCTGTCTCGGGTTCAATGAGAAGTTTCCAAGGGCATACTTCGCCATGGACAATTCCCAAGCGGAGATTGAGATAATCGACAACCTGTTCGGCGGCATCCGATAATCAGCAGGTCGAGCGTAGGGAACGTAAAAAAGAGAATAATCACTAACATTGATAAGTTCCTCCAGATACTTGAGTTTGAAGACGCGATCTTTATTTTCCGAAAGGTTACCACCGGGTATGTAGCGAGTGGTGAAGCCTACCACTCTGTCAACTCCGCCGACCGTGTCGACGACGAGAGCATCGAAGGGCACAATGTTAGGATGTCTAGGCATACGCATGACACAATTCGCCTCATGCCACGAAATGGCAACATTGTCCTGGTCGATGTAGTACTTGAACACTACCTGCCTCGTCTCGCCCGGGCTGGCAAGGGGTGAGTAGGTCGCCAAGTCGACTTGAGCTCCCAGTCGGCCAACCTCCGTGAGGTCACCACGGCGTACTGTGGCCACCCGCCGGGGAAAATCAGTACGTGGAGGGTAAAAGGGGACCAAGGCACGGTCATTTGCGGGGTCCGAAGACCTAGACAAGAGTGCGCCATCTTTGGAATCGATTTCAACCTGGACCACATCGGCGGGAAGGTCGTTGACGAACTTCTTGATGGACCTCAAAACAAATTCCCGTTCAACTTCCTCGTTGCGTACAAGGACGTCAAACGAGAGCCGCCGGTCCCAGTCCCATACGAACCGTTTATTGCCACCGTCAGGAAGCGGGTATAGTCTCTCCGTGGTGAAGCGTTCGTCGGTGTGGCACCTCGAGAAGTAATACGCGCCCATGCTCTTTGCCTGAGTCGGAGGAGAGACAAGTCAAGCCTCAGTTCGTAACTATATTAGCAGCGAAGACGTAAAGCAGCCGTAGCTAGTGTGGGGGGTTTCAATAGAAGGAGGTTCCCCAAAAAGCAGCGGGTATGATGGACTCTATTTGGAGGCATCCGAGACGAGGAAAATGAACGCCGGAAAAGCAAGCGGGTCAATGTTGAATTTGCGTAATTCTTGCTCGAATGGGTGTTGGAATGTTGAAGGGACAGCCACTACCAATTAACCCGGATTCATCAGATTTTGTTCATCCTTGATCCATCGATTGAAGTTGATCGTCCATCCCAACTTGTCGCCATCGCTCCTTCCCCATCTCTCGCAAAACTGGACCACACAATCCTCTGAATCTTCCAAGTTTGAGCCGCCCAAACGGAACGCATTCGCACCGTCGTTCAATCGTCGCCCGCAAAGTAGTCTTAGTTTTCAAGACAAACTCTCCTTCGGGCCGTAGACCTATTCGATAAACATCAATGCGAGGCTCCACTCAAAAACCTTATTCCCACAGCTTGCCCATCTCGAAACCCACCTTCTTCATCATCCTCTGCCGTCGACACTTTCATCCCATCCCGCTTCCCCTCGAATACATGTATCGCCAATAAGAGCACCCTCTACTCGACGCGAAAGCCATCAATTGATCAATCCCCGTTACCTCCCACCATGGCCTCCGAAGACACGTCGCCTCCAGCTTCCCCGGCCGACCTGCCCACCACATCTGACTCGCTCGGAGTTCCGAAGCAGAGGGTAGTCGCGGTGGGAGGGTCCAATGGCGACTCGAAACCAGTTGCGCAGATTCGCACCGCCAGTGGGTCCGTGAGGGACATGATTGCCAAGTTCGAGAGGAATGCGACGCCGATTGCGCCCCCCGACAAGGGTCTCGCCGGTGCCGGGAATAGGGTTCCGGGACGGGTTAGGTCTTGGGGCAAGGTCGATGTGAAGAAGGAGGATCCGTCTGTCGCTAAGGGCGGTAGTGACACATTACCGAGCGCTACGGTTGAGAAGCAAGAGCTTCCTAGGGAAGATGCTCCGAAGCAAGATGCTCCAAAGCAAGACGCGACGCCAATTGAGAGCACCGAGTCCGCGCCGAAGAAATCCGATGACGATGTTAAGGTTACGGGTGACGGCGATGATGTCACGAAGACGGCTGATGACACCCCGGAAGGCGCATCTGTTGCCAAGCTCGAGAGTGATACCGGCACGGGAACGAAGGGTGCGGATGATTCTAAGGATGATGATGTGCACGACGAACCAGTCACCGCGATTGAGGACGAACAAGAGCAGACAGCCGTGAATACAGAAGGTCACGCCAAAAAGAGCGTAAACGAGGAACCGGCGAAGGATGCCAAGCACCCTGAGAGTCAAGATGTCAACTCGGTGGAGGACGAAGACGTGACCGAGGAGCCGGACGAAGCGTTAGCACCCAAACCCAAGAAAATTATCATTGATAACCCGACCACATCTATCCTCGAGAACGAGGAGCTAAAAGACAACTCCGACAAAGTTCCCAACGTTGAGAGACCCATCGATCCAATGTACCCTTATCCTAAACTAGAAGAACCGCAAACTAGCACACCCTCAGAGCCCGATGAACCCACGGTACCGCCGCCCAGTGACAAGCCTTCCAAGGTGGATGACAAGCTGTCGGAGACTACCTTAGAAGAGGAATCCAACGACGAACCTCGCGCAAACGACCGCGACCCAGCTTCCGTCGAGACCTTTTAGAACAACGTCCGGCGCACTCTCTGGATTCACGACTCCGAGCTCTTCCCCGCCGGCCCGGTCTTTCACCCCGTCCCCACCACCATCGCTGAGCCACGCACGCCGCGAATGCCCACTTCGTTTTCGAGAGTGTTCTTCCATACGGCTTCCGGAAATGGAAACCGCGGAGATGCTGCGAGGCTGGAGGAGAAGTTTGCGGCTTTCGAGGAATTCCTTGATACTTTTGCCGCGCAGCACTAACGGGGAAGAGAAAAAAAAAAAAAAAAAAAAAAGTTAGAAGAGAGATGTTGCGATGTTTTGCAGGATCTCTGTAAGGCACTTTCGATCCATGCCGGGTTTCACCACATTGACGGGGGTACACTGAGACGCGAGGATTAGACTAAGATGCCAGTTTCTTTGTTTCTTCCCATTATATAAAACCAACGCAAACGATAACAAATACCATACCAGAATAAAACCCATCAATGACACTCATACCAATCCCAGCAGAACATAATAGACTCGGTCAGATATCTATAACCCTTATCCCCCAAACTCCTTTCGACCCACACAGCCTTCATGCTGAAACTCATCACCCCATAAAAACCATTATCAACCTTTAGACAATCTTGCTACTGGATCTCCCGATCAGCAGCCCCTTGTAGAAGCTTAGGGTTAGAAGGCTACCTTTTTTTCTTTTGTACACATCATCTACGCAGCCACGGCTGCCGAGCCCCTACCAGTCGCCGCCCTTTTCGCCTTGCCACCCGCCCTCGCGAGCGTATACTTGGCAAACGCTCTCGCTAGCGCCTTCTTCGCGCTCACTTTCTGACTGCCGATGAAGCTCTCGACTGTCACGGCGATGGCGCGGTCGATATCCTGCGACGAGCAGTATTCCGAGAGACGCATACGACAGAAGGCCTCGCTGATACGGATGATGGCTTCAAGGTGACGGAGCTAAAGATAAGCTGTTAGTCTACAGAGTCACTTCATTCGGGGAAACTAGAGATTTGTGATGGGACTTACAGTGATGGGATAAGCGCCGGTTGCCTGGGACTCTCGACGCATATCGGCGAAGAGCCGCGCGACCTTGTCCTCATCCATATGGTAGAGCTTCGGCGAGCATCGTTCCCTGGCATAGAGGATATACTTCCTCAGAAGCTCTTGTGGGATCTCGCCCTCCTTTGTGCTAGAGCCCGGTTCTTGAGTGTCCCGCCTTGCCGAGTCCGGCTCAACTTCCATCGAATCCTGAGCGGCGGCCTGCGACGACGGGTGGCTGCGGCTGTGGGAGCCAACGATGAACTTGGCCAGCCTCTCATCCTCTTCCGGGTCGACGGTGTCGCGCACCACGCAGAGAATGTCGAAACGCGACAGAATAGGCTCCGTGAGTTGCACATTCATCGAGAAAGGCTTGGTAGAAATGTATCTTCCACCGATAGGGTTGGCTGCGGCAATGACGCCGCAGCGCGCCTGGAGCGTGGTAACAATACCCGCCTTGGAGATGGAGATCGTCTGCTGTTCCATGGCTTCGTGGATAGAGGTACGGTCCTGATCGTTCATCTTGTCAAACTCATCGATGATACAGGTTCCCTTATCCGCAAGCACGAGGGCGCCACCTTCCAGAGTCCACTCGCTCGTCACTGGGTCTCTCCGGACGCTAGCCGTGAGACCGACAGCCGAAGCACCTTGGCCTGTAGCGAAGACAGCTCGATGTGCCGTCTTCTCAACATATTTCAGAACCTGCGATTTGGCCGTTCCGGGGTCACCTAGGAGGAGCACGTTGATATCTCCACGGATACGGTGCCCGCCGGTCGTGGTCTTGGAGACACCACCAAAGAGAGATAGTGCGACGGCGGTCTTCACGTCGGTGTGGCCGTAAATAGATGGCGCGATCGAGTTGATGAGCTTGTCGACAATGTTAGGGTCTCGCGAAAGCTTTCGAATCTCGTGCTCATCCTCTTCGGTAAGGCGGAATCCGGCGAGCTGATCATGAGACTTGACAACATTGTTGGCCTCGAGGATAGTGGCGAATACAGGGAAGCCGTTGCGGTTATTGAGCTGCGCGTCATAGTTATTCCTGTAAATTCCGGTAATTTCAATCTCATCTCCAGGCTTTGCCAGATCGATGAGATCCCAGAGAAGGATGACCTCCCGGGATCGTGGTAGACGACCTGCTGGCACGGTTCCTGGCGATTCTTGAAGGGTGATCTTCTGGTAGTTGCGATAAACCGTCTTTTCCGAGTTTAGAGTGAAGGGTCCGCGTGATTGGCAGTTCTGGCAGTATGTGATCTTGACCTCAACGTTGGATTCCTGCTGGAAGGGGCCGAGCGTCGCCTTGCACTTTGTACAGTCAAACTTGACATATTTGAGCTGAGGGAAGACCCCGGTACGCCGGGTGACGACACCAGTGACTCGGACGAGGCAGTTCAAGTGGGACTGGCGAAGTTGCCTTAGGGTATAATGGACGGGTAGGTCAATGACGCGAACATGGATCTCGGAGTGAATTCGTTCGTAGTCGGGGTAGTGAAGGAGGACGACATCCATGGCAACCTCATCAAAGAGCTTGAGCAACTCGGCCGGCGCATTGGCAAGGAAATACGCGAGGATCGCTTTGGAGGCAGATAGATGGTCGTAGGAGACTTCAAGGGACTCGGCGTTGACCTCACCAAGCGTGCGGATGCGGTTACCATAGACGGAGGAACCGTTTTCGTCAATGTACGAAGTCAAGAAAGCCTTGAACTCTCTCCGAATTGTTCGCTGGACTGCAGGTTGAGAGACCCATTCCGTTAGGCTGGACGCCTTGACATCCTGAAGGGCCTCAAGGGAGAGTTCTTCCTCCATGATATCGCCGTCCATGTCCTCATCTGGGTCTTCATCGTAGTGGTGTCGGCGACGGCGTGGCTGGGCTGATAAGTCGATATCGCCATCATCGTCCTCGCCAGGAAGAAATGCAGCGGGGATGGCTGCTCGCCGTGCAACCTCCCGATCTCTCTTGTTGAGACGGGCTTCAAGGCGCCGCCTCTCAGCAATAGACATGGCTTCATAGTCGCCCTCGTCATCAAGCCCAATCTCTTCATAGCCATCTTCTGTCATCTTTTCTTCATAGTCTCGCTCGAAGCCTTCGCGGAAGAGATCAACGCCTTCCTCCGCCATCTCATCGAGATCATCAATGTCATCCTGGATCTCAACATCCTCCTCGATATCGTCGTCATCGTCTACTCCATGCGCAATGTTGAAGGCTGGCGGCGAGGAAGGCATCGGGCTGCTGGCAGCCCCTACTGACGAATTTCCATCGTCGCCTCCGGTTCGAGAGCGCTTGCGACTCGCCCGTGGAGTCGCTCCGCGGTTAGCGGACGCCGGGTTAGGTCGCAATGGGGAACTGCAGAGCTTTGTGAGCCAGACCGCCAAAAGGAGGAGAAAACGAAAAAATCCGGGATATGAGCCTACCTCATGGTTACTGATTCTCTAAGGCAGATCGAAGACTATCAGTCACGAAATTCCGCAATAGATGTGATCGCAAAGCAGGGAGCTGGTCAACTCTCCGAGACGAGGGGGAGGGATTGGGCAAATTAATCTCTGCATGAAAGCCAGGAGACGAAACGCGAATCGCTGTGGAGGGGAACGTGCAACGCGTCGACGCGTTAAGTGGCGCTAAACCTCATTTGGTCTTCGCGTGAAATTCAGGTCCAAGATCGCTGACTAAACAGGGCTGAATATTGCCACCTGATGCCAGGCGTCATTAATGACTCCCGCAGGTCACTGGAGGCGCGAATGCGACGCGCTCAACTTTCCAGCGAATTGATGAGGCATCCAACACTCCATCATCAACGCACCATCACTCATCCTGAATCAACTTGTCGGTCATCACGAATTCGAACTGTGATGGATCCCCCGCCCCATCCTTCTCAAGTAGGCGATGCCTCCGGCTCGGAGGCTAGCCCGGCCAATGCGCGCGCAAGCAGCGTCTCGGCGCAATCTCAAGACTCGCAGACCGCTGCCGAGTAAGTATAATCAATTCGTTGATCCCTCTGATAGACTAGTGCTGTTCCATGTTGTAGACATGTTAACTAATCTCTGATCCAGCTTCATACGTGATCAAATGCAACTTGAAGCCGATGCCAGGGAAGCGATGCCATACGTACGTCCCTTAATTGTGACAAGTCACCCGGACCGATCTTGACTGACATACATCTTTCAGGCCTTTGATTCGTGTACGAATATGCTGGGGCCTCTCAAGCAGAGCGTCTTTTCGTGTCTTACCTGCAATCCGGCCCCAGAGGACGTAAACGCTCCCTACGAAGCCGCGGGTGTCTGCTACGCTTGCTCTATCCAATGCCATGGAGACCACAACCTCGTCGAAATATTTGCCAAACGGAACTTCACATGCGATTGCGGCACAACTCGTCTCCCTGCCACGAGCCCTTGCGTACTCCGACCCAATCCAGAGACGGGCAAGAAGGGTACCGTGCACTCGGAAGAGCCGTTCGCCAACTCTGCCCCGAATGTCTACAACCAGAACTTCCGCAACCGCTTCTGTGGCTGCTCCTGCGATTACGACCCATTCCAACAGAAGGGAACAATGTTCCAATGCCTTGGTCTTGGGACGCATCTGACTGGCGGCTGTGGTGAAGATTGGTACCATCCCGGATGCCTTATGGGACTTGGCCCGCAATGGTTCGACGATGCAAAGGGAAAGAAGGAGGAGAAAGAAGAGGGCGATGACCCCGAAGATCCGCCTATGCCTCCTGGCTTTCCTAATGAGGAAGCCTTTGAGGGATTCTTCTGCTACAAATGCGTGGAGTCGAACCCTTGGATCAAACGATATGCTGGAACCAAGGGCTTCCTAATGCCCGTTTTCTTTGACAAGGAATCGGGACAGCCTAATCAGCCAGCGTCAATCCCAGAAACTACCGAGCCTAACACTGAGTGCAAGAAACGCAAGGCCAGCGAGCTCGAAGTTGACGAAGCAGATCCCCCCGATAAGCGGCGTCGAAGCTCCGCCGATTCTGACTGCAAGCTTAACCGTCTCCCACCAGCACCGGCGGGCCGGTTCAGCTTGTTCTTCGAGGCAGACTTCCGCGAACAGCTATGCCAATGTAGCGAATGCAGCGTATACTTGGAGGAATTCCCCCAACTCAAAGAGGAGGAGGATATCTACGAACCACCATTGTCAGAGGATGGTGGTTCCGAGAACGGCGCTTCGACACACGGAAGTGGTAGCTTGTACGAACGAGGCGAGAGCGTGCTTAAGAATATTGACCGTGTGAGAGCCATCGAAGGTGTCATGGCCTACAACATGATGAAGGAGAAATTGAAGCCCCTCTTCGAAGCCTTTGCTGGTAGTGGCAAAGCCATTGGTGCCGACGATATCAAGGACTACTTCGCCAAGCTTCGAGGTGACGACGAAGCTATCAAGAACGCTGGCCGCGCAGCTGTCGCATCTAGCTCAGGTGAAGATCAAGACGGCTCCGGTGGGAGGAGGGAGCAGAGTGGATACTGATGATGAGATGTACGATATATCCTTACGTTATTGCTTTTCTGGTACGTTTGCTTCCGAAAGGTGTTTTGGTAGGTGGGCTAGGTTTAGGACTCGGGATTCAAGAATGACCAAATTTATGCTGCGATTGCTGGCTGTTCAGCTTACGAGTAACATCTTCTCAAGGTTCGAGCCTACGATGCGCCATGCGGACTGCTTGATGCCTCTAGCCTCCAACTTCTCAGAGGCAGATGCATGTGAATACTTCTTAGCTCGATAGGAAGTGCTATGCTTATTGTACGCTAGCAGTCTTAGTAACCATTACTTTGATGGAGCCCGGAAGCATGAAGCATCTCCATAGGCCCAGTGCCGCGACCACGATCATACCCTTGGGGATGTTGATGAGCCTTCATCGGCTTCTGGCAGATGGGCGGCACTACCTAGCTACTCATGGAGATTCTAGGCAAGACCCCCAAGAGGCTTACTAGTTTTGACGTTCCTCGACGATCCCGGATCGATTCAATGTCCCCACGAAGCTGACCCCCTCGACATGTGCCTGGACACAAGTAGCGCGAGTCTTCAATGTTTAGTGAATGCTTAGGTGCCCTCACATGTCGGATATTGCCATTCCTATCAACAAGTCCCACTCCATTCATCGCTTTCACCTGTCTCTCGGCGTGGGCGAAGGAGGAGAAGTCTGCTTAGCTATGCAGATTGGCTTACGCTCTATCCTTCACTAGTTCCTAGGGCTTGTCGCTTTATCTACGCCAGAACGCCGTCCCATTTCCTGTCTTTCTCTCAAGAAAGCGCACACACTCCTTGTTATCGTCCATAGACCTGTTATTCTAACATATAGAAACGATGGCTACTTCCGACCCAAGAGGTAAAGACACCGAACTCTTCGAGATGGTCCCAATCCCTCTCGGCGACTCGGAAGGTGGCGATTCTTCCGCTACCGAAAACAAAAATGAAAATGAGGCCAAGTTCCACCGCAGTATCGATAACCGCCAGATGGTCTTTCTTTCTCTTGCTGGTTCCATCGGTGCCGGCCTCTTTGTTGCTTCGGGATCCGCTCTCAGTTCGGGGGGCGGCGGTAACGCCGTTCTCAACTATGCCGTCGTCGGCTTCATGATATGTACTACCATGGGCTCCCTCGGCGAACTTGCCAGTACGTTTCTCCTCCAATGTACCCATGACTCACGCAACTAACCCATTTGTCAACATTCTCCAGCTACGTTTCCTGTCGCGGGAGCCTTCTATGATTACACGGACCGCTTCCTCGGCGAACACTGGGGATTCGCCATCGGCTGGATGTTCGTGCTCAACTGGCTCACCGTCCTCCCCTTCGAACTGACTACCATGGGCGCTCAGCTGCAATTTTGGATACCCAATCTCCGTCCCGAATATGCTGTCGCGCCGATATTGGCTGGAATCTCTGGCGCGTCTTTCCTGGGATCGAAAGTCTTTGGGGAGATCGAGCATTGGCTTGGGGTCGGCAAGGTTCTGGCTTGCTCTGTTATTATAGTTGTGGCTCTTATCATCGCTTCGGGCGGCGTTCCGCAAGATACTAGGTATGTATTCCCGACAGGTGAATGTCTATGACAGCAAGGGGGGGCGCTGTAGTTACTAACTTAACCTTTCTTGTCTGTAGAGAACCAAAACCTCTGGGATTTGAATATTACCGTAATGGAGCGGCGTTCAAGAACGGGTTTGCAGGTTTCCTCGCCGTATTCCGCGTCGCTGGAAGTAAGTCAACACGCAGATCACCCCCGAAGGCGAACAACCCAGGGGAGAACATGCCTAACATGTATCTATCTAGTGTCTTATAACGGAACTGAACTCCTCGCCATGACCGCCCGAGAATGCAAAACGCCCGAAAAGGCCATGCCCCTAGGAACCTACCTCGCCTTCTTCCGCATCGCCGTTTTCTACGTCATCGGCGTCTTCTGCCTCGGTCTCGTCGTGCCCTCCGACCATCCAGACCTCAGCCAAACCGGCCACGGCGCCAAATATTCCCCCTTCGCCCTCGCCGCCCAACTCGCCGGAATCCCCGGCCTAGCCCACTTTTTCAACGCCATGATCCTAGCGGCTCTCCTCTCCATGGCCAACATGGCCGTCTTCGCCACCTCGCGGGCTCTCCAAGCCCTCTGCGCCAAGGGATGCGGACCGGCAATCCTCGCGAAAGTCAACAAGAGAGGGGTTCCGTACTACTCCCAGATCCTGGCTCTCTCTGCCGGTCTGTTGGCCTTCATCAATGCCGCTCCACAAGGCGCCCAAATCTTCGATTGGCTGCTCAACATCGCCGCCACCTTCGGCTTCTACGTCTGGATCGCCATCGCCGTCTCGCATATCCGGTACCGCCGTGCGCTTCAGCGCATCAACGTATCTTCGAGATCCCTGGTATTTGCGAGCCCGTTCGGCGTGTGGGGTTCGTACTTTACCATCGCCGTCGGATCCTTCGCCCTGCTCGCGAATCCTCTCTCGGCTGTGTTTCCCCTCCAGGGGGCCAAGGTCACCCTCACGAGCGTTATGCGGGAGAATGTTGGGATGCTGGTGCCCTGGGCCCTCTGGACTGGGAATTCCCTTTGGCACTACTTTAAGAACCGGAAGAATCCTGACAGGAAGAAGTGGACCGTATTCAAGCCGATTGAGGAGCTTGACGTTGACTCTGGTCGAGTCACTAAGCGGGTACAGGGAGCATGAGACATGCAGGAGGATTCGACGATGAAGGAGATGGCGTTGATGGCGTCGAAATGGGGCGTGTACTTGGGAATTTTTTTCAAATTGGACTGCTTTATGTTAAACAGATGACTTTACAAGTTAGTTTACAATAGCTTCTTACTTTCTGCATCTATAGGTCTGATAGCACACCTTCTTGCATGTTGACCAGCTTGTGCTATGTGAGAAATACGTGTAGTAATTCTCAGCTCGGCCTATTCCTTGCTTGAATTGAATATTATTGAATGCTCCTTAACCTGAGGCGGTCGGTCACGCCTAATGGCAAAATTGCCAGACTCGAAGAGAAGGTTGCCGAGAAAATGTTCAAATCCCTATCGTACATATATAAAACAATCCATGGGTATGGGGGATATCATAACCTTGGGTTGGTTTCCTTTTTTTAAAAAAAAACAGACATTCCAGTTTCCATCCGTCCATAAACTTCCCTAATTCCGAAACTCCTTGCGATGCGATGCAATGCGACATAATGCACCTTTTAACAACGAAGCCCCAAGTACACACTCACGGTACTCGTCTCTGTCGACATATGTTTGGTGGGGTATAACGAAAGCAGGAAAGACAGCACGTCCCAAGATATGGGCTTGACTATAGAGCGTAAGGCCCTAGGCGGGATGCTCCGCCTACTGGCCAGAAGAACCAGTGCTAGCAGCACTCTCAGGTCGTGCGGGAACTTCATCCCTCTGCATGGCCACACCGCCGAATTGACCCTGAGACGAGCCGGATTGAGACGGATGTCCAATCGGGGGCAAGAGGTCCAGGCCCTCAGCCTCTTCCTGCTCCTGCGCAGCCATCTGCTCCTGCTGCTCCCTAGCCTGCTTCTCCACCTCTCGAAGGCGCATCTTCTCCTTGATATCGATAAGGTCGTCATCATCACTCCAGTAAGGGTCGTCGTCGGGAATCTCCGGCATGGCCATTCGCTTCCAGAAACGGATCTCCTGGCGAACGGCGACATGATCGACACGACGCTTCCATCGCTCCTCGCTCTCCTCGTAGCGGTTCCTGAACTCGCGCAGCATCTGGTTGGCGCGGGACGCTCGGTGGTTCATCTCCCAGATCTGCTCTCGCAAGCGCGCGTTCTCCTCGCGCTCCTCGGCGAGCTGGTTGCGATAGGATCGGTGCCAGCGGGCGATTTCCTCGACTTGATTGGCCTTGTAATCGTGGAGTTGGCGAACCATGTTGCCCATGGTGCGGGCGTAGTCGTTCAAAAGGGCGGCATTGGCATCTCGACTGTACTTAGCCTTCTCGAGTGCCTCGGTTAGGATTGAGACGAAGTTATCGAGGTTCTTCTCTTGGCCTAGTTGGGTGAAGAGGGTTTCAGTTAGCTAGGCAAATAACATGCAGAGGGGGCGCCCAGGTCGTAGGTGCATAGGGAGACATACCATTAATTTCCTCCGAAGCGACGTTGATAAGCTCTTCGTTTCCGAGAGCCTGGGCTCGCGCCTTATTTCGAACACGTCCAATACCAAGGACAATCTCCTCAGTCTGTCGCCTATTCTCGGCAAGCTGTTTGCTGAGCTCCTCAACAAGGCCGTAGATGTAGTTCAGCTCGGACTGGTGTCCGGCGGGAGTTGGCATGCCAACCATGCCCGCGGGTATAGAACCTCCGTTCATACCGTTCATCGCTCCTAAATTCTGCGCATGCGGGGGCGGGGGAGGCATGGACAATCCCAAGACGTGATCGAGCTGGTCCACGTGGGCGACTGGCGATCGAGGTGTGTCGGTCGAAAAGGTGTCACGATCGTGCCCCTCGTGCTGAGGTTGCGATTGAGAATCTAGGTCCGAATCGGGATACCGAAAGCTGGGTCGACGTCGACGGACAGGTAGTCGTCGCGGTTGGGGATCGTCGGGTAAAGGTGGCAGAGGCCTGCGTCCACTAATGAGGATGTCCTGACGTTAGATGGTGAATTCGGCGAGCCACCTTCTTGATGCGTTGATGGTAAGGACCTTCGCTTGAAGACGAAACGCTTCGTCCGTAAAGGGCTGTTGGTGGGAGACCGGGCGCTATTGGCTGGTCCGTGGCGGATCGCTGTAACGGGGGGCGAGCTGTTGGTACTGTTTCCGCCTCGCAGGGTCTCTGGAGTCCGTGGGGGAGAAGATACTTGATTCTCGTAATCCGCAGTCGTCGCAGGTGAACCTGAAGTCCTAAAATAGGTCTTGAGATCAGAAACAATCGGACTTCGAGTCAACGTCGAGGGAGGCGTCCTCTCTGAGGTAGGGAGGCTGCAGCCATCCTGATCACCCATATTGAATTATGTGGTGTTAAGCACGTGAGAAGTTATAGCTTCAGGGATTGGTTTTAAGAATATTCCCAACCTGGTCCTTTGGTGAGAGGGTATGAGAATGAAGAGAAAATCGGTTAGAGTCATAAATAGCTGGGGATTATTTCAAGCACACACATTGATTAAATTGCCTTACACCTTCCTTGACGATATCCCAAGAGCATCTTCACCATTGCACCTTCCCTCACACACAGATCATAACAAAATGGCAGGTGGAGGCATCAACTTTTCAATGATGTTGCTATAAATTTAGAAGCAGGGATTTTGTTTCCACTCTCTCAGTACAATAATGCTGTAGGTTCCGGTCCCTTGGATCTTCGTGTTAGTGATGATGAGGCTTTAGTTCAATATCTCCCGTCTTGAACATCATATCTCGCTTTTATTTCTAGAATGGTTCCAGTACTAGCCCTATAGACCATAGCTGTGTTTGGTGTACTAGCCCTCATCTGCCCTGCTATCATCACCCTGTTCAAATTGTCGATTGAATCTCGATGCCTTGGGAGTAGATAATCCACTGTCGCTTTCGTCATCTTCGTCGGGGCTCTCCCATGTAGACGCAGACCTCTCGACATCCTCCTCCTGCTTTTGGGCCATGCCGGAACTCGAAGAAGTTGCGGGCGCATCCGCAGTCCCAAAGCCCCTTGCCCCCGATGCCAACGGACGCGGTCCCACTAGCCGTGTCGAAGGCCTAGAAAACAATCCCTGATGCCTCTCTACCTGTGTTTGCCCTCCGCTCGAACTATTGGCGCGTATCGTGTCGGTATCCCCAGGTTCGCTATGCCTCTTTCTCATCTGCCGCACAGGTGATACAGGAGGGTCTCTGGGCCCCATCGGTCGAGCAATGGGTCGGTCCATTAAACGGGTATCGAAGTGGGTTCTCCGTAGGCGGCGGCGAAGCGCCGTAATGGAAGGAGATTCATCTGCTGTTTCCTTGCTGAATTGCGGACTCGGAGTGTTCTCGGTCTGGAAAGGATCGTCTTCTTCGTCCAGCATAAAATCCCTATCCGCGGGGGCTGTTCTCGTAGATCGATGCGGCTGAGGTGTTTCGCAGGATCCCGTCTCGTCATCTTCGGCACATATGCGCGGCGAAATCGATATTGGGTCTCTAGCCGTGGCCTTGAGGGGAGGCGTTTTAGGTTCGTCCATTGCGCCCAGGTTCGAAGTAGGCGATATTTTGCAACTTTATCCTGCATCTCCATGCTTTGGAAGTTTCATAAAGACGGGTTGGTTTCGAAGACTTGCTGGGCTTGGGGTAGCTTAGAGCATATTCAGGATGGCTCCTTCCAAACCAACATTCCACAGCAATTTGTTTGTTGAGGGAGCTATTGAACATCGAAACGTTCACAAAGACGCTATCATCTAACTCTGACGCAGATATAGGAGCCTCTATGGGTAGTAAAGTCATCAAGTCCTTAGCATTTTCTCTGAGTCAGGATGGCAGGATTCTCTGCCTCTCAATTGCTGTGATATCCAAGATGTAAACCAACTACAACTGATACTTCAACTTCTTCACCGCTCCATTCTCCTTGCCACTTTCAAACATCATCTCCATCACCTCCAAATCAGCCAGTGCCTCCTCAACCGACTGCGCCGGGTTTGGTTTCCCGGCAACCAAGCCCGCTGCCCACGCATTCACCTCCTCACTGACGCCATAAGTAGACAGATCAAACTGCTCCTCCTCCGTCTCGACTTCGTCTTCGTCAAGAGCCTTAACGATGACTTTGCCCGCCTCTGCAATGATGGCGCCATTCTCAAAGGAGAAGGATGTCTCGGCACCATCGAGGTACAGTGTTCCCGCGGTGATACAGAGAGAACCAACGACGCCAGATTTGGTTCGCAGAATGGCATGAATGGTATCAATAGGCGGTAGGTGCGGCTGTACCTGCGCCGTGAGGGCGGAGACGCTCTCGAGAGCGTTCTCCCGCCCGAGGACCGCGCGGAGGTAAGCAATGAAGTGGATTCCCGCGTCGAGCACGAAGCCTCCTTGGTGCACTGGTTTCTTGCGCCAATCAGTCATCCAGGAGCTGTCCGGCGGTGTAGGGAAGAACATCCTGCCTTGGAACCCGTTCAACTTCCCCAGTTTCTTCGACTCCTCAGCAGCGAAGTTCACCGACTCGAAGAATCTAAAGTTCTCGGCGATGCCCAGCGTCACTTTCTTGCCTCCTGCTATCACGTCCTTCCAGTCCGCAATGAGCTTCTTCGCCGCTTCGATATTCGCAGCAATGGGTTTCTCCGCAAGCACGTGTTTGCCCGCCCTGAGAGCCTGCGTAGCATAAGCAGGACCATCCGAAATGTTGATGCAAACAATCACGGCCTGGATATCGGACCGTGCAAGGAGATCGGCGTAGGATTTACCCGACCCTGCATCGGCAGCGTAGATGGCCGGATCGGGTCCTGCCTCGTTGGGGATAGCTTCGACGGCCTGCTCGGCGGAGGCGCGAGTGCGCGAGTAGATGGCCTTGAGGGAGAGATCCCGGCAACGAAGGACGGCGGGCTGAATAAGTGGGTGGGTGGTGTTAGTCGGTGAATGTTGTAGGTATCAGACCCCGAAACAGGCAAGTGACCTACAAGGTGGTGCTTCTTCACCCAAATGCCGCTTCCAATAATCGCAACTCCCACCGGCGCCATGGTGTTGTGAAGATTTCTTGGTCAGGATCTCAACTGTGTATGTTCCGCAGGCTGGCACTATTACTCGACCTCAGAGCAGCGCAATTTCCAGAGGAATAAATGCAGGAGCTTCATGAACTGGACCGATACTGAGTTGCTTGTAAGCTTATGGAGGCGTCGGTTGAACTGGCATCCTGGCCTTGTTTATAAATGGTAGCTCTTCCACGGCGACTGGGCGGAGATCTTGGAGCGGGGTAGGTCCGAATCCTGCACGGGAGAAGTTCCTTTTGAAATGATACCCGACAGGCCAATTTCGAGTCGGTGATGACTTTTGGTACAACATGGCGCCGTGATAATATATGTCGGCGAGATATCTACATATAGGTGGGACTACGAAGTAATCGGGGAGGCGTGTTGTTAATCGAGTCTGGCAATTCAGCTACTATACGAGATAGCGGTGTGCTGTTCGAACAAGCAAGCAGAGCAAGCTATTTGATGTAGCCTAAGTGCCGGCGTCCCATGGGAGCTGGTGAGGGTATCCCAATATCAAATTCAAAACGCCGGAAAACGCCATACCTTTCCCTGTCCCTTGCCCGCAATCATCCGGAAATTCTCGAAAACAATTCTCACTCCCAATTAGTATTCAAAAACCCATGCCTGGCAACCGCCTGGCCTCCTCCCATGGGTGCACCGCCCTTCCCTCCTTGGGCAAGCCACCGCTGCAGTCTCATAGCCACCCTAGAGGCAGCAAACATCAACCCCCAGTCCTCTGCCGCACGGGATATCATCGAGATCATGTACATCGTTCTGGAAAACCGCTCGTGAGGCCCTCCGTGGCATGCGGGGATGATTGCAAACATGGCCCAGTTGAAGATACCAAGAGCACATCTCCACGTAGTAAGGGGCACTCGCCATGATGTTGTCCATACTTGTAAGAACTCATCGATCGAGCATGCCCTGCTGAGAGGAATGCGGTCCCGTATGGCCCGTATATTGACCATTGCCGCCAGTCGAATCACGGAATACATGTAGTCTGGTCCCGAGGTTACCTTGAGTGTCTCAGGAAGGGGCACCTTTGACTTCGCCGAGGACTCAACCCGAGGGTTCCCATCCGCTCGTCCACTCCCCACTTCTGATGCATTGCCGCCACCACTATCCTCCCTCTGCTGGATCCTCGACTCTGACTCCGGAGTTGTCCGACGGCAGGATGGAAGGTTTGAGCTCGTAGCCGTGCCCGCCTTTGCAGTCTTAGCGCTATCGGGATTGGGGGAGTCCTCGCTCAGACCGCCTAGATTCGCTTGGGAAGTGAGCTCTCCGTATTCGAACAAGCGCTTCGTATCCGGAGAATCCTCAGGAAGACTGCGGATACGCTCGTACATCCAAGCCGCCGTGGTTGACACCTTTTGCAGCTCTGCCGGCGATGGGTGATCTGGTAGGGACATGACGGCATTGATAAGAAACCGGACATCGTCAAGAATCGATGCCGTCATAGGATGCAAGCCGAGAGCCTCGGCCGAAGCGGCAAATGACGCGAGATTGAAGATGAGTGGTGTATTGTGCGAGATGCGGAAGGGCAAAATCGCAGGATCGTGATAATCGTACTCAATGCCGTTTCCGAGGAATGGCTGGATTTCGTGTGCGAGGGCAATTCCGATATCGTGACTAGATGGTCCATCAGTATCGGTAAGAGAACTGGATTCTTCATCAAGATTAAGAGTCGAAAAAGAACAAAACCTACCTGATGACCAACTTTGCGAGCAGCCCATTCATGCCGAGAGTATGAAACCCCCCACGAATGCGGATCATCTCCCTCAGTCCCCTCATGTGCGCCTTCAAGTCATCTGTGTCTCCCCAGTACCACTCATCTACAATCAACTGCACTACACCGGCAATGACAGCATCGCCAGTTTGGTAATTGTGGGAGCGCAGTTGGTTGTTCAGCATGGCGATCGCCTTGCCTTTATGGGCCATGACAGCCATCTTGGGCATGTGGCCAGTCTCATTTAAGAAACAAGCGGACGTGTAGAGAATGATCTGCAATAGCAATGGATCCTGGATACAAAAGGGGAAATAGAATTTAACAATAGGGTTATTAGGGTCTGGATTGCCGTCAAGGCTGGTTTTGTACCTTGAGAGCAGCTTGAGAACTGTTCCGTGGGAATGTTAGCATCAATGTTTCCAAACAAGATCAAGAAACTTGTTATTCCTGTGCACCTAACCGGACGGGAGGGGACAAGCAACCGGAATAATGAAAAGAGGAAACTCGCGACACAATGTCCGAGGGGTTTATTGGTTAACTTACATATCCTCAATAGGTCACTGTTCTGCTTCGACGGTACCATTGGCAGTGTATCGAAGTCATTGGGCAAGCCGGGCCACATCGACAGGTTTGACGAGTTGACGGTATGCATGGCTATGAGGTGCTGCGCATCGGTGTTCCACGACACCAGAAACTTGTCAGGTACACTGACTCTGAAGAGGATTAAGCGCATGGCATCGTGGACTGCCCGGGATCGCCTTCGCTCCTCTTCCGAGTCATGTGGCTGGTCGGATAGAAGTCGTCTATGCTGTGGTTCTGAAGGTGCAGAAGAGATGTTGATGAGCCTCTGGAGGGACATGGCACTAGGATACTGCGTCGCCATGTTGACGCCAGACCAGTAGGCTATCTCGCCTCCGTGTGCGAGGCCATGGGCCCCCGACTTCCGGTTCTTCACCCATTCTGGGTCGGGGCCGTCAAGCAGCGATTCTCTGGCTCCGGGCTCCTTGTCGTTCGAGGAACGGAGAGTTACGGTGAATGTGGGATGGCTTGATACACCCGGAGGATTTTTTCGCCTTCACCAAAGATGGAAGTAAGTACATGTGCGGACGTTTGGCAAGCAACTCTCCGAAGGCTGGACACACGAAAATATTTCGTACTTACTTGCTTTGCTTATATTCGCACACCGGCTGCGGAAACCGTCTCGCGCAATTGGTGCACGGCTGGCCTTGAGAGCACTAATGCATTGGGGAGCTGTCAGTCATACTGGCTACTTCGTAGAATGTATGAGACCCGGAGCGACGACTCTCCTAGGCCAATTCCGAGATGACGGACACCAGGACTTGTAACCAGAATCGCCAAGGAGTAGCTTCGATGTACAGGGCCCTCTGTATTAAGGCCTCCCGTGCTGGTATATTTGATGCCAGGAACAAAAAAGAACATGGGTGAATGGAAAACTAACCTTCTGCTTCCTCCTCCTACATTCACCACAGCTCGTCGCGATTCGATCACGCGTAGGTCGTGATACCCTGGGCTGCAAGTTTTCGGACATAGTCTCAAACGAGAGGCTGAAAACGGGGAGCTTCCTCCAAGAGACCAGGGGTCGTGCAGCACATCCAGAGATCCGCTAATACCAAGTGGGCACTCGAGCGCAGTTATTACTCGACGCAGATCAATGGGGAATTGGACGGGCGATGCTTCTTCCAGGAAGTTTTAGAGACTTCTAACACGATATCCAGAGCTTTCCAGTTTGTTGAGGAGACTAACGAAGCGGTCTAGTGGGTTAAAAAAAAAAGGGGGCCCCAACTAAGGAGCCAGGAGCACTAGTCGAGAAGGTCAATTGCGGCGAAGAATGTCCTTTGGAGACAGATTCGATGCTCGAAACTCGGTCGCTAAGCTTAAGACCAGATCGAGGGCTCAACGGGGGGAAATGTATCAGGAGCGAAAGCGAGAGGCAGCGAAGCTAACGGTCAAGAGAAGAATATGCAGTCTGGTGTGGAGGAGGGGTTGCGATAATCCACAAGGGCTGGAAGGGAAGGTACACGCCACAGCCCCGTCCTCCTCGCCCCTAATTTGCTTATTTTGGGGATGAGGATGCTTCAATTCTTGATTTCAACGTTTCACCGAGTCGGGGAAGATCACTGATCATTTTTTAAATCTTATCTAAATATGGATAGCTAACTGTGTGTGCGGGCAATCCCTGCTCAAGTTATTTCCCGAGCTCTACTTCGTACTTCGTACTTAGTTCTATATCCTCTCTCTCCCTGACTGGATCATCATCATTAACTCTCCATCTTCAGTCGTTATCCCACATTCAAAGGCTAGAGAGGGGTGGAGTCGAGAAGTCGGCAGTATGGTTCGGTGTCAAGCTTGATTGCTTCCGCCGCAGGATAGCACCTCCTTTCCAATCCCGTCACCATGCATCTGCCTTGGCCGGAGCGCCCGAAAGATTGGAGCGGTGACATCCTGCTGACAGGATTTCTTGCCGATCAGGCATGCTCCACCAATTACAACCACCAACATCCTTGATGGAGAAAGCGAGTGACAACCGCATTAATCAATTTCGTCCGGCGGCAGTCCTTCTCCAGTACGATGCAGGAGTCCCCCTCTTTCCCGCGTGGTCACAGCTTGCCTAGATTGCGCTAGATGCCACCGACTAAGTTTATTAGTCCTACGGTTTCTAATCTAGTCATGGCCTGTGGCCTCAAGGTTCGTTTAGTCCATTCAAAGAGGAATCGTGACTTCATTGCTCAAGGTTGCCTCTTGAGAGCACTTATACGGGATACCGGGCCCGTAGTGCGAGCAACGGGTCTTTCGTCTGTGCTCTTCTATATAAGCCTGTTTCCATATCTACAAGTAGTTGTCGTCTCGTCGTCCCAAAGCTTGCTTTTGCTGAAAATAGGTGGTATCGTCCGGACTAATAGCGAAAACTCCCAAACCCAGAGAAAAAAGAAAATAGCCTCCTTTGAAGTCAATTCGCCTCAAACTCCTGAACACGCTGTTCTCCTGACCTCCGCTGCTGCCAACATTCCTCCCATAACGTGTCGTTGAACAAGTGAGTGTAAATGCTCCATCATTAAAATGTAGAGCAGAAGGCCCGTGTGCTCTCTCCACAGAGAGAGAATCAAGGACTAAGTAGCGGACGACACACACAAAAAGAGTGACCCGTTCTTCTACAATGATCGCCAATCTCCCTTGGCGGTTGACATGAGAACTTTCATCACTTTATCGACCATGATATTCCGGCTTTCTTGCCATATTAACCATAGGTGGTGCTTCGTCCTCGTCGATGGGGTAAGGCAGAGCCGGAGCGCTCGTATTCCACCCTCTTCCGTGGTCATCGAGAAGCGGTGTCTTCGGCGGTAAGGGCGGTGGCTCAATCCTATATGGTACCAGCTTGGGCGATTTTGCCGGAAGTCGGGGTGACGACTGTATTCCATCTACAGACACGCGTGGATGATCATCTTGGCCGACGATAGCGATCTTATCCGACCCAGAACCCAGTCGGTACTGCGATGGCGTCGGCGCGTGGTATGCGAAACGATCTGGGTCGTCTTCGATTACTGATGGGACGGAGTCTGGAGTTCGAGGAGGAGGGGGTGGCGGCAAGTCTTTGTATTGAGAGAGACGGCTCGCTGACACTCGTCCAAGATCGGCCGAACTTCTTGGCGACGCATCTTCGAGTCTCTGCACACTAACGATATCGGGTCCGGGATCAAACGAAGGGCGAGGCGGTGCTGGCCAGCTGTCCGGAACTTCAGCGGGGAGCTCGATGGCAAAAGTAGGCGGTGGTTGTTGTTGTCCCGGCTGCATGGCGGCGGCGGCGGCAGGTTTTTCGAAGCGCTTATTAGCAAAATGGATCTTGGCTAGCTTGGATGCCGATCCTACGACCATTTGATGTTCCCGCTCCCTGCGCAGGTACTGTTTCGTCCCGGTGCTGATTGGCGCTAGACGGTGCCACTCGTTCATGCCGAACTCTCCCACCCCGATTTCCACGTTTAGTCTGTAGTAGTTCTCGATGTTGACACCTCGCTTGCCGAGGTGTTCCCTCATCATGTACTCGTGAATCGTTTCACATCCCTCAATCTTAGCGATGAGCCTCCTCCTCGCCTCCGCGAACTCACCCATGAACCCTTCGTACCACATGGTTGAATTCGCATCGCTCGACTTTGGCCGCTTTCCTGTACCAACACTGATAAAGACGCCAATCTCTCTGCCTGGCCATTCGCTTACCGCTTCATCGAGCGCTTCGGGGGAGGGGTTAAAAGTGCCTACTCCGTCATCGTGGAATACTGACTGCCCGATGCGGATAGGCTTAAAGGCGAGTCCGATGGAGCATGTTGCTCGGCCAGCTTCCCATATCTTACAGTCGAACTCGGGAGGCGGCTCTCTCCTGGAGTCGTAGGACCGTAGCAGCACGGCAGGCGTCCCCTTCCGAGAACCTTGATACATTGCTGTGACAGCACTTCAAAACACAGAATATTATATCAGTAACCAGAACTCTGCAGGTGGTCGATCGCATGACAAAAGGTTTAACTCACGTTTTGGTTCTGTTTTCACGGCAGTCATAAAGGCGCGCCTGAGAGTTGCCGTACTTAGGGTGCAAATACGGCCGCTGGGACATTTGGGCTTGTGGGCTCCTCGCGCTGAAGCTGAGAACGCTCGCATTGCTGGAATGCCTTCTAGGACTTGCTGCGCTGGAGAAGGCGGCGGCGTTTAGAGAACTGCCCATATCTGGCTCCATCCCGTCGTTCCCCTCGGTGCGTGAGAGAGTGTGTTCCCTTATGGCCTCCATGATGGCCTCTTCCAGCTTAGATGCCTTAAACAGAGTCGAGCGGTAGGGGATTCCGGCAATGGTTTTGTCTGTCTCGAAGACGTATCGGGTCAATCGAACGTACAGCTCCTTGCAGGTCTCTATATCTAGACGCAGGCGGCCAAGCATTAGCGCGATAAGGCCGCCGGTGCCGGTACCGACGATGAGGTCGAAATGGTCTGCGGGTTTCGGTATTTGGTCGCGGCGCGGGGCTTTGCCCTCGATCTCGACATACGTTCGGTACATGATCTCTTGCAAAATAATGAGCATCGAGTAACCTCGAACTCCACCACCATCTGCAACAAACGTTAGCTAACGCAAGAATTCCTCTTTCGGTCTCTCTCTTTTTTTCTTTTTGCGAAGGACCCGTACCTAGTGATAAGACACGGAGGGGAGGGTCACGCGTAGTGTCCCTCCTCCTCACACCGTTGGAATCCATGTAAGTGTGAACTGAGGGCTAGCGATCGAAAATTTTAGGATCGTGATCCGTTGTTTCGTGATTTGTTGTCTGCCTGGTGTTCTTCCTGGGGATAGGCGGGGGAGGGGAGCAGGCTGCTGGCTATATCTACTTCGAGAAACTTCGTTGTACAACTCCCTAGGGTTTTGCGCAAGGCAGGGCGGGGTCCGTCTGTAATACGTTCAGTTATAGATTGAGATGCTCGAAGGGTTGCGAGTGCAATAAAGATCAGATTGGCATAAGCTGATGAGAATTATGACTAGGCGGTTCCGGCGGTCCCTTCATGTTCTATACAGTTCCGCGAGTAAGACAGTTTTTGAATGCGCGGAGTCTGAGGCGAGTGACGCAACTTGGAGCTTATTGGAGTGGAAACAAATACGGGCCGGGCACATATCTTGGCTGAGATTGATCAAGGTCAAGCGCTTGGCAGAGGCTGCGCCACATCGCCACATCCGAGGCCTCACAGAGTTCATTGTGTAATACTTCGTATCCGCGTGATCTATTGGAGGACTTGGAATGGACTTTTGGCCGACACTTTGCGTATTCAGGACACGGGGACATGAATGGTGATGCCGATATCCTGATCCATTGAAATAGGACGTGTGAGTTTGAGACATCACGACTGGAGGGGGGACCACCTCGTACGAAACCAGAAACTTTGACATGCCAGAGACGTGCTCAAATGTTGGTTTTAGCCTTCCTGGGGTCCTTAGGTAATCGGTACAAGGGACTTGAGTGGTCCGTTACAATGCCCCAACCAGATCGTTATTATCGGTAGTCTCAATGAAGGGACAGACCACCCTCGCCCTATTAAATCGCTGCCGTCTCTGTCAATGTCAGCCGAAGCCGGATCAATGATCAATTCATGTTCTATCAATTCAAAAATTGATATCCACTGCTATCCGAGAAGATGGTAAAAAATGTAATCTATTGCTGTCTAGTGTATTCTCGCAACGGGAACCTATCACTGACCCTGAGAAGGGTGAGAATAGGCCAAGGCAGCTCGCCGATTGCCGATGCAAATAAGCATCAACCGAATAATCTACTGTTGATGAGCGGAGTCCTCAGCGGCTAGGGGCATGCCCGCACACGTTATGGACCAGTCTCCTGAGTTGATTGCTCTTCCCAGAGTCCGGAATCCATACATCGTCCTATGGATTTCCATTTGACGGCTGTCTCATGATGGATGCGAGTGTCTCTGCCTGAAACGAAAAAAAAAAAAAAGAGCAGTTTCTGGTGAGGAAAACGGCTGTTTATAGCCAAGCACCCGCGAAATGATCCGGAGCCGAGGCGAGGTGGAGGGATCTATCTTGGAATGTCTGACAGAGACAACCAACCCCAAGGTTCTCAGTTCGTGCAAGGAGGGTGGTGAAGGTAACCCTCAACCCCTCAACCCCTCAAAGCTGCTAGAAGTATATATAATTTGCACTGATCATGTCCGATATTCCTCCCTAATGCTGCACTCCGTGCTGATTACTCCCCATATATGGACTGTCTCCAGCTGGAGACCGGCGCTTGTCGTGGGAGTCGAGCTAAATCCAATAGTTCTAAATATGTCGACGCAGCCAGTTGAAGGAGGCGCTCATCTGCGGTTCGAAATCTAGCCATTCCCCCACCCATGATTGGACCAGGAAAGATGGCTCTTTGGCCTTGTCCTTTGCCACGCCTGGGCCTGATCTATCGTCCCTGACCGCCCTTTTCGCCCTTTTCACTCTCTCGGAGCGTCGTGTCTTCAGAGGGGGGACAAAAGGGAAAAAAAGCCGAGGCTGGGGTGGTGGGCACACGGCCTAGCCCGTCCTGCAGACCTGCATCACAACATTACTGCGTAATAAACTACATACTCGAAGACATGAATAGATTCAAAGGGAAAGGGATGGCTGGGTTGTGGTGAGAAAGTAATTATCCCCATCATTTGATACGAAGTAAGAACCGGACCGCCCGGATTCGCCAGCTTATCCGCACCAAGCCCAGGTTCTTTTGGGCTCCAAATACGCAGAGCTCGCTGGCAGGCTGGGTACAGATGCAGATGAGGTAGCCAATAAGAGTGACTCCTGATTGAAGCCAAGCAGCCCATCAATTCCAGAATTGAAGAGGAACAAAGTAAAACCTCAGACCCACGATGTCGATTTTGAATCTCCTGCTTCTTGCGACAGACTAGTCTTGTTCTGGCACAAGAATTATTATCCGGTGAGCGTCTTGAGAAGTATCAATTGATGTATGCACATGGTTTAGCGCAGGAGTGGTGCCTGACTGAATTTGACAGCCTTAATATTTCGGAGAAGAGTTCGGTCTATTTTGATGAGGCTGACGTCTTCAATAAATCAAATACTGATCATCGCCCCCACGAGGCGTTTGAGCCGTGGCAGCTTCCAAAGCCAATAGACTCTTCTTGAAAAAGGGGCGGAGAAGGCGGAGGCATTCACATCTGACAGCTTCATTCCGATATAATTTAGAGTGCAAGAGAAAACGCACGCATTTCACGACATTGAGCAGAACCTCGCCCAGGAAGCGGCGGCGCAAGACTACAACTGTACTAAAGACTAGTATGTGGACTAAACGAGTACGAAAGAGTACACGGCGACAGTGTGCCACACAGGAAACCACCTGCGACTTACAGTGCACTACTGCAGCTCAGCGAGTTTTCGTCAACCAGACTTCGGGTTGTCGCCCATACTTGTGACCATTGAGCTCGATGGTTTGATCATATCGCTGCCTTACGACTCTGCCCAGCCAATCACCGTGGTCAATGCAAGTCCACACTCACGAAGTGCCACCAGTGAAACGGGCAAGATGGGAGACCTCCTGTGACAGCGGCCTTTTTTGGTCATGAGTTCGCGAGGTAAGGTCCTTCTGTTGAGCGGAAGAGAAAACCCGAATTGTAACCCCAGGGTAACCCGGTCGTACTACCATGCACCGACGCAGTCTTTGAAGGGCCCTCTTCTGGTTGCGCATTGATGAACGAGGAAAAAAGGTTGGAACATCGAAGGTTCGGGTGTTCTTCTTGCTCCTGGTCGGTGTTTTCCCCCTCACAATTTGATAGGGACCTTCCACCGACGACGCTTGCGTATCCTTGACTAGTGCCGCAAGGGTACTTCGTAGTGTACAAAGTACTCCGGCACATCAGGCTCAAGGTCAACCCAAGGTACACAGTATGAACATGGACCAGGACGAGCGGTCAATCAAAAGAGTGCACAAGGTCTTGAAATCTCACGATCCCCAAAGGATGACAGCGCCTCTCCTGCGAGGGAGAATTGGTTGAGCGTTCGGTAACAATTCGGTTGTGACACGATACAATTGATACCTTCCTTTACTTCGTAATTTTCAACAAGGCGATGGAAGAACCAGAAAAAAAGCCCGCGATGTCTTTGCATTATTGTGCCCATTTCGTTTTATGCCTAGAGATGTAAGGTACAACGAACTCCACCTTGGCAGGGAAAGCCTCACCAGAATTACCGCGTTCCTTCATCGAATCCTGCTTCATCCATGGAGCGAACTTGCTGAAGATCAAGCGAGGAGGTGTCCAGACTGTCCAGTACCAATCGTCGTCAAGTGGGGCTAATATTCAACCGTCGGTGTATCACTGTATCTTATCATGAGTACATAGCGAGCCATAGAGTTTTGCTGCTTGTACCAAGTACTCATGATGGAAAATGGTGGGCAATATCCGATGAGGCTGTGCAAAGTTCATTACGCACCTCCCTGCAGCATCCGTCGCACAGTGCGTGCTTCTATTGGCGTAAAAGCTACCTGGAAAGAGCAGGAAAGAGGGGCGAAAGGCGTGGCAAGCTGCTTGGGGTTGCAGCCTCGCAGCGAGACTGAGCAAGTCCCCAAGGCCTCTCCTCCCCGCCCGCCACTAGCCCGGCTTCTTAGCCCACAGCCTGAGAAAGACCAGCGTTCAGTGTCTACCCACCACCCCCCGAGGCAGGCCCTGCGTGGTCTTCCTGCGAAAGACCTCCACCTGCACCCGCACGTCTTCCTCGGAAATCTGGCGGGTTTGTAGCACCAGCCTTATTACCTTTTTGTCTCATCAATGCTCTTTTTCTCCCCACGCCCACGATCAAGGCTGCCAAATCCCTTCTTCGTCGTCCGCCTTTCCAATGTCCTTGCATAGATAACTCCGTCTATGTATTAGTGACCGCCAGTCTCGTTCTTCTCCCTCGACGATACCACCCACACCCCTTGCTGATATTTCGACCTCCGAACAGCTTCAGCATAACCAAAATTTTTGTGTCTTCTTCCTAACCGACTCACTCCGGCCCCTTTCTCCTCGGGCGCATTCTCTTCATTTTCAAACTTGCAAAGAAGAGAAGAGAGGGAAAAAAAAAAAAAAAGGATGGACCCTCCTAATAAGAAGCGGAGGTTAGCTCCGAAAGTGGACGCTCCTCCTGCATCAGCTCCCATCAATGTTAGTTCCTCGCCGACCCTCGCAGTGTGATAAGTTGGGCAATTGCTACGCTGGAAGCACTTCTCAGATCGTATATTGATTAACCTTCTCTCTCGTCTTTAGCCTCCGAGTGCGCCCGTCTTGGTTGAGACACTGCTCCCCGCCCGAGTTGAATTTGAGCGCTTCGCCCGTCACCTCCAAGATGCAGCTATGCTCATCCAGCGATCCGCGGAACGGTCGCCATACACCTCGGTCTCCGTGCTGCTCTTGAGATGGGAGGAAGACACCACTGTCGAATCGGACTTGGTTTCGCTCGAGAAAGTTTTCCGGGAACAATATCACTACCGAACTGAACGGTGGCACATTCCCACGGTGCCCAACCCCAGCATCAAATTAGGGGTGCAGATGGCATCCTTCCTCGACAATGCGAGACCAGATCACCTTCTCATAATCTACTATGCCGGTCACGGTTACCTCGGTGGAGATAATCAACTATACTGGGCTAGGTTGGTTAATCCTCTCTCTATCAGAATCCATCGGCTTCTTTTAGGCTTGGTCGATGAATCTTGCTGACCACCTTTTTTTTTACAGTAATAATCGAGATGATGCCGCCCGTCTGAAATGGCATGGCGTTCGTTGCCTTTTTGAAGATGCCCAGTCCGACATCCTTCTCTTCCTCGACACTTGCTCTGTGCCAGATGTACCTCTAACAGGGAGCCATGGACTTAAACAGGCAATTGCTGCGTGGGGTCCCGAACAAAAAGGAAGAGACCCTAGGGAGCGTACTTTCACAGCCGTCTTGGCCGACTGCCTGCAAAAGCTCGGTGGTATGAAGAACTCATTTACTGTACAGTCGCTCTACGATGCCGTTCTTGCCCAAAGAGAAGCGGAATCGGTGACCTTGACAAACGGCTCGGGCAAGCCTCTCTCACCATCACAAATACCCATCTCCTTCAATATCACACCTGGAAGAGGCCGGAGCATAACACTGGCTCCATCCCTGCCGACCACCACAGCTCCGCCAAATAACCAAGGACCCTCGCCGCACAAGCCGATTGACGGAGCCGACACCGAGCTGTCAAAGACGCAGGATCAGACGATTTCCCCGCAATCAGTGCACGGTCTTCTCTTTGACGAATCTAGGGTTCTTGCCTGCACGACGTTTGTTGGCGAGGCAAGTCCCGACATGGCGTATTTCAACAAATGGCTGGAGGATACGCCCGCCATCGCCGACAAGGTTGCCGTAGAGGCCATGTTCTTCGGGCCACCGACGATGCTGCTGATATCCATGGCGCTCCCTATATGGGAAGTTGTAAAGCATGACAAAGTGTGCATTTTTCTCGGATACATCGGATCACACAACTTCGTACATCTCTACCAACGCCTCATCGGATTCTCAGGGGCGCGGCAATCCGGTCGAGCCTCGGCGAAGGAGGTGGAACACGGTCGGATCCTTCTCGAAGCTCGGGAGGCTGCGGCGAGTGTGAAGCGTTCTAGACAAGATGCAGAGGCAGCTGATGGCGTCTTTCGGGGCCGGCCTGACCGTGATGTCAGCGTGATTGACGGTACACCCACAACGGGGTCGCAGGTTAGCCCATACGGCCCCGGCAGATATCCACCGCGGCCGGGCGTCAAGGACGAAGGGGAGGACTCGGCTGAGATGAAGGAAGCAGCCGAACAGCTCAAAGCGCTCAGCCATATTCGTCATTTGAGTAATGACACACCTTCCAAGCCTCAGAGGTCTTCCCTCCCCGATAGGGCTCCCGACCGCCACGGAGACTCTGGAGTGAATGGCAACAGCTTGGAGAGGCACGGCTTAGAGTACAGCACACCCAACAAGAAGCATGGCCGAAGGTCGATACCGAAACAGACCCCGAAGCACGAGACACGTTGCAATCTCTGCAGCCATGCACCGTTCAAGGACTCATCATCGCTTCGGAAGCATATTGCGGCTGCGCACACGCGACCATTCCCATGCGCGTTCTCATTTGCGGGATGCGAAAGCACGTTCGGTTCCAAGAACGAGTGGAAGCGGCATATCACCTCGCAGCACCTCTGCCTCCAGTATTATCGCTGCTCCGCCTGTCCGACTTCGACTGCCGAAGGCAAGTACAACGAGTTTAACCGGAAAGACTTGTTCACTCAACACTTGCGCCGCATGCATGCCCCGTTCGCCATTAAGAAGTCGCTGAGCATGGTCGACAACAAAACGCTAGCGGAGTGGGAGAGTCGTGTCAAGGAGATGCAGCAGTCGTGTCTCGTCCAGCGCCGACACCCGCCGCAACTTTCGGCCTGCCCCAAGTCGGATTGCCAAAGCGTCTTTGAGGGCCCCGGGTCCTGGGATGAATGGACCGAACACGTTGGCCGCCACATGGAGAAAAACGAAGGGCAGCGGCTGGGCGTGGACCGCCACCTTGCTAAATGGGCTTTGGAAGAGGGTATTATCGAACGCGACGAGAGGGGAGAATACAGGCTCGTGCAGGAGAATTTTACGGGAAATCGTGCGCAGGAGCAAACGAAGGATTCGATATCGGTCTCCCATCCAGACACCCTTGTGAGGGATACCAGCGGAACTGCCGCGTCCAGCGGGGCTAACTCGGGTAGTGGTGATGTTGACAGCGGTAGTAGTGGCGCCGCGGCTGCTGAAAGCGCAACGAAGACGCCTAGCAACGGGAACGAGGGCGATAAGATGGAGGTTGACGAACAGTAGAAGCCCGCGAGTCTCTTTCATCCACTGCCGGTTTCTTCCCTCTTCCTTTACCTTGGCGTCTTTTTTTTTTTTTTTTTTTTTTTTTTTTTTTTCACTTGTGTGCCTTTCATGAATGTCTGGTTCTCTATTTTGTTCAACCAATATGCGGAGTTCAGCAAACAGAGAGGAGCCGGAAATTCTCGGTTGGGTCTTTGTTTAAGTATTTTGAGCTTCAACGCATGGGAGAGTTTTCAAATCGTTAAGGGTTGATTAGGGTTGAGCGCAGGAATTCGTCTGGCAAATATGAGGTGCAATGAGCGTCATGCCTCTAGTGATGACTTGGAGTTGCGTTCTGTTAGAGAGAGAGAGAGAGAGAGAGAGATGGAGCTCTTCCCGTGAGGCACAGATTATGAGACATGGTAGAGGGTATTAATGATGATGCAATTGGGCGTTTCGGTAGGGGGCAACTAAGGCGCTATGCAACATAAAAGATGGAGAAGCTTTTGTCTGGTTCAGTTATGGTTCCCGTCACCTAGTTCTGAGGCGGGAGGAGAAGATTTATACAGACGATGTCTGGTTTCTGACACGGTAGTCCTCTTAAGCGTAGTTCTAAAGACGTGCACAATGTTCCGCTAAGACTGGTAGGGGAATCATTTTAATCGTAAAGACATCAATGACCATTCATAAATCGAGCAATAAGGTCAACAGAGACAACATGAGATTTAAAAGTCCTCCATCCTGTGCACAGCATATGCCGGCTCTTCATATGGATGTGCCCTGGATCGATAGTTTGTTAGTTTCAAAATGTCCCCTCCGCCTTTCACCCTCCCTAGCTTCAATGTTCGTTTTGGTCCTACAGCTAGAGAAGTTGCCAAGTCTCAAGGGGATAGAAAAGAAAAACACGCATATATATATGGTTAGGGGAAGAGGGGTAAGAACACACTTCTTCAAAGCTTCAACAGCCTTCCTCGCAACATCCTCCCCAACGCAAAGCGTCTCCACGCGAGCCTCCTCGACCTTCTCCAGATCCCCCGGCTTGCCGAGGTGGGGGTTGGCGGCGTCGCCGGGGCGGAACTGACCCGTGCCGACGGCGGTCCAGCAGCATTCGGTGTAGTTGCCGGAGCCGGGGTAGCGGCCGGCGCCGGCGGCGAAGATTGCGGTTTTGCAGGCCTCGAGGGCGGTTAGTGGGGCGTAGAAGATGAGGGTGAAGCGCGGGGTGGGCATTTTTTTTGTTTTTGTTTCTGGCTTGAGAGGGAGCGAGGTGCTGGGGGTATTCTGGTGGGTGACGGGAGTGACTGGGGGTTATCGGAGGAGTTCTCGTTGTTTTGGTGGGAGCTGCCAGTCAGTGAGCAAGGATGTGGCAGCAACTTGGATGATGACGATGGGGCGGGGCGGGCAATGTCTGTCGGGGGGATTCAAGATCGACGATAGATTGGGATTAGTCAACTCCACCAAGATGCTCGGCGAGGGAACTATTTGAGGGTTACACAGACGATGCAGAACTAAGAAGTTGATAGCGAGAGGGACAGAGGGACATGTTCCATCTGCATTCACTCTCACTTCTTTCACGAGCCTTCTATCGTATCGGCCAAATGTATCAATTGATGCACCCAAGGCCGCCATGTGCACCCATCGCTGTCATCATCTGTTAGCGGCGCGGGAGCAGCACGGCCCCAACTCCTCCTTCGGCATTGATCCATGCACTGAACTTCGTCAACGTCACCATCCATCGTCAGGTTAGCCCTCTAGGTCTGGGAAGTTCTGTTTTCCCCAAATACTAAACCAGCCGAGAAAGCATCTCGGCTTGTAGTATCTGCCACAATATCTAGTGGGTTTGGAGCTTAAGGTGACATACTTCGTACCTTAACCAAAGCCCTGGAGTGTTAACGCACCATTTGGTCAATTTACTTTTTTTTCGTTGTTTTGTATTTGCCGATTTTTCTTTCTTTTATTAAATTCACTTCCTGCCAACTCTGCCTTGAGATCCACGGAATACAGACTCCCATAACCCAAGGGACGCAGAGCCACTCCTACCTAGCTCCACGTCTGGTTTCTCCCAAACAACCTGAAACGCAGCTTCAAACTCCCGTCCAGTTTTCAATGTCCCTTCTTCCCCACCTGACAACCTGCCATCTTGACTCCGTACCGAAGATCAAGGTCTGCAGGGAATGGATATCCCACTTCTCTCTCTCTCGGCCGAGTCCAGCGAGAGTCGGATTGGTGAGAAAGGGCACATCTTCTTCGCACAGAAAAAACCTTCCACTTTAGAAGTCACACGCGTATTTCTCAAACGGTTTCAAAAACCCATACGTTTTCCCGTTCGCCCCTTCTCTTCGATACATACGAAGTATACTCATACATATTCAAATGCAATTAAGTAGTCTCCTCTCTGTCCAAGCTTTTTAGCTCCCATCTCCCAGACCGCACCAAATGGGGGGGGGGTTAACATGCAGAAAATGCCCAACAGCATTTCAGTTGAAGAAACGTGTGATAATGATAATGATGCCCCGAAAACCTGCCTCGATCCCCTTCGCCTCCTAATATATGCTCCTCCAATGATGATGACTGCGAAAATTCAGTCCAGAAAAGGAAAAGGAAAACATAAAATAAGTAAATAAAATGGTATCAACCCCCCTTATGCAAACCATGATGCGGCCCCCATCCCGTCGGACAAATGCAGAAGAGAAGAGTAGAACGAAGGCAGAGAAGTGAAAAGGGGAAAAACGGTGACGAGAAAGTCAATCGAAAAAAGATCCAAGCGGGGACCATCACCAAGTAGTCCCCTCCTAAAACGCCAAATCCCAGCCCAATGCACGTTTGCTGTTGTCCGCCTATAAACGCCTGACGCAGTCCACCCGATGTCGTTCCTCCCAGAAAAACGAGAATGTTATCCCCCCTGAAACTCCTCGTTGAATCATGGAAAAAGAGAAGCCAAATCCGATCATGTGTCGTGACTTATAAAACAATTTTGACAGAATCGTACACCAAATATCGACCCCACCTATATCGAATTGGATCCGGTTTAGATCCTCCAGGACCTGCCCGTTGTACTAGTAGGTGTCCTCGACATCGAGATCTTGACTGGGCTATAACTTTCCAGCTCCTTGGCGAAGGCCTCCTCGTCTTGCCAGCCGAGCGTTGAGCCGGTCGTCGGGGTAGGGATACGGCCTTGAGTAATTTCCGACGCGTTGGGGAGCCGGTTGACTCGGAGTAGGGCACGGAGAACGGGGATCGAAGCTGCCATGATGGTCACGGCGCACTCGGCAACGCCGAGAATAACGAGAGGCACGGTATTAACTAGGACGAAAGAGTGAATATGTTAGGCACACAGTAAAGAATCCGTAAGCGTTTTGTATACAGCCACTTACTCATATCTGAGTCGGCCATGGCAGGGAAGGTGGGTGTCTTGGCGAGAGACGTGAGTCCGGCACTGGAATCAAAGTCATGTTAGTTCCGGATAGGCCCGTGGAAGGAGGAATGAAATGGCTGGCTCCACTTACAAAACACCCATGCTCATGCACACCAGCATTCCAATTCTCTCCTTGTAGTTCATGGTGTTCCGGCGGATAATCTTCCAAGGGAGCACGGCAAGAGAAATGTCGGCCATACCGGAATATGCTAATACTTCGGGATCAGTTGCTATTCTCTTGGAGGGAATAGGTCCGATTAGGGAGGGATGCTTACCGGAAACGACGCTATTGAAAATGACAATAACCCACTTGTTCCAGCAGGTTCCCTCGATCCAAGGATTCGAGGTCCTCGCCACGGGGGTGCACTGGAGCCACATGAGGATGGCGGCGGTGTGCATCGTCACGTTCACGGAGATGATGACGAACCAGATGAACTTGCGGACGCGGCCACTGTCCGAGATACGGAGCAGCGTAAAGGCGAAGCTCGTCTTGCTCCATGCCGCCGAGAGGGTGGAGAAGCTGCCGGATAAGTTAAGAGTAAAGAGAAGATCCGCAAAAGTGGCGTTGGGGAAATCGTAAATGTGTTTCCCGAAGCCATATCCAGCTGCGACGGTAATGAGGGATCCCGAGGTGAGAATAGCGAGCTACAGAAGCAAGGTTAGTTTTGTGAGAGCCTTGAATGATCCGTGTCTTATAAATCCTACCCATGAGATCAATAGCATGTAATCATCCCACCATAGGTTGCGTCCTCGAGACTTCTTGCAGTATATCCTGAGGGTGAAGAAGACAGACGCCAGGCCGATGAGGATCCAGATGATGACTTTCAGTTCGGTAACAACTTCATTGTGCGGAAGTTGGGGTTGTGCAACGATGCCGGTAAATGAGCTTGCCTTCGCTGTTGCGCCGCTCGAGGGCTCCTCGCCGATGGTATCTGACATTGTGTAAGTCCGTTGTGTCTTGCGTCTGTTGGCCGATATATAAAAGAACGTTCTGTTCGTCCGTGATATGGTTGTGGAAGGGCTTGCTCTTTCTTGATCTAAGGAGAAGCCCACTTGAGTTCCTGGTATATCTCCACGATGATGCTTTCGAGATGTTTGCTAGGACTTGGGATGTGTGTTTAAGACAAGAAGAGTCAAACCGGGACTTGCAATGGATGGGGAAGAGGTGGTATATAATGATCCAGACTTATTTCCCAGGATCGCCCGGCAGGGTCGTTGGGATCCGCTCCGGATGTGCTCTTCTCATGCTCGCAGTCAAGGGTAGCGGAGGGAGAGAGGCAGGAAAAAAAGGCTTTGACTCTTCACGTCCAAGCACATGGAGTAAAAGTGTGTGGAGAGTAACCCGTCCGGGGGGGCATGAAAGCGACAGAGTAGTGTGTACGAGGTATGGAGGTAGGGTATGCTAATCAGCAAGGTTGTCTTCTGGCACGCCCCTCCTCCTGACCTGAATCCGGGCTCGTCCCATCTCGAAAGGTGGGTGAGTGTTGAATGATCGCCACTCTGACCCTGTGCCGGGGGTGTAGGTAGTTCCATTGAGAACGCCAGGTTATTTGACCTTTTGGTCCGACAGAGTCTTGCTCGGACTCAGGCCGTGTCCCTCAACGGGGCAAGAGTCCGGCTGACCGTTTCTGGGGTAGTGGAGAGGAATGGCACCCTCTTACTTCGAACTTCGTATGAACGCTCGAGCAAAACCGGTACACTACGTGTACTATAGCGTCGACACTAGCAGGGGATAAAATCAATTGTAGCCAGAGCTAGAGCTGATAGAGCAAGGTCGAGAACTGGCGATTCACGTCTTGGTGGCAGGTGATTGGTGGGATCAGGTTGAGCAGTTGGAACGCTGATACCCTTAAAATTCGAAGTCTTGCAGGCTGCATCAAGTATAAAACTTTGGGTCACCAACATCAACTTGTTCCATCATGGATCCGTCATTTGGCAGTTGGCACATTGACAGCCTAGGGTAGGTGCACAGACGGGGAAGTACTTTCTATTGACTGACACCAGAGGATCTACTGGCCTGTACATTGGTTATAGTTGTGTCTACTCTCACGACAGAGTCCTGGTAAGTACACCAGGGTCTAGAGTGTCCTCGGTGGTACGAAGTACAAGTGCGAATAATTACATCCCCTAGAACGCAGAACGGAGACTTGGAGGAGCCCGATTTCAGGACCCGAGAGTCAGGGCCGCCCACTTCCCCGACTTGACATCTTCCCCCACCGGATCGCACGATGTACACGTATTTCGCAACTGTTAGATTCTCTGCTAGCATTCTTTTTACTACTAGCAGTAGTAAATACTAGACACTAGACAGAAACTCCACGTCAAAATCGAGGGACTCCTCAACTAACCAAGCACAGTCGGTTTACACTGGAGTTAACTAAGCCTCGTCGCCCGACGAAGCAACAACGGCGAGGTGCAAGGCGACAAAGAGTTACAAGCAGGGCTGTGCTGGGGTGGTTTGGATGGTTTGGATCTGATAGGTCGCAAACCTGAGGGGAGAATAGACGTGCTGGAGACTGGCAATGTCAAATTTGAAATTATTTACATGCAGAAGATTCAGTAATGCTCTTTTTCCTGTATTGGAATTGAATGCATTGTTAGTGGCGACATACGAAGGAACACGGCCCCGAAACCTGAGACAGATGTGTCGTAGATCTGCGGAGGCTTGGAAAGTCTATGGAGCGTGCAGCATTTTTCGTCCTGCAGCTCATGGCTTAGGTAGGAGGCGAGTGAAATGTGCCAACCCTTCACATCGAAACACTTCTGATACCATTTGGCTAAACGATAATATTGCATACCGAAGAGGCTCGACACCCTCTTCCCCAATATTCCACACGCTTTGTCGCACAGCCTCGTGAATTGGTCGGATGGAGGGACAGTGAGGACATACAATGTAATGGAATCCCACAGTGGCCTGAGCCACGCCAGGCAAAAAGATTGATTGATGGTTGGGTCTTGGTTTCCAGGGGTCTGATGCCGGTATTTCGAAGCGACCCGTTCGCTTGCTCAGGTGGGTTAAGCTACTGCCCAGCAAGAATGGGTTCTCTCCTCCGCGCCTCCAGTTACGCTTTCTGTGCACTCACACATAGAGCGGCGTACGAAGTAGATTAGATTATTTACTCAATGCATCAATCGCACCGACATCCCGGCTAGACGTACGTTCTAGCCCTCACACAGCTTGATTTTGTCCTCTCAATCCGAAGCACCTGCAACCTTCCTGCCAGGATGCGCGACATGCAGGGCGAAGCACCCGTCGTGTGGTTTACAACCTGACGAATGTGAGTTAACCGACTCGCCCTAACACCGGCAGTCACCCGCTACTCTCACTAGCTTAAATGGCGAGCGGTCCGAGCAGCCCTCCCGCCTGGCAATAGAGTCTTAAAGTTTCCCCATGGGGTGTGCCCCTCGGTGTCACAACCTGGCAGGCCAGGTTTGCCCCGGGAGAACGCACGAAGTATCATGTCACGGATGCAGCCTGGCTACAACTCATGCTCAATGCCCTTTTTAGCGTGGTGATAGTGGAAACTCTTCGAATCGAACCGCCTTTGACAATGCCATCCCAAACTTAGTCCCTGTGAGGTCATGTCAGACACTCTATGATCCAGCGCAAGACTATCGGGGGCCAAAGTTCCTAGGGACACTACCTCAGGACTTACTGGAGATGCTCTGGAGCGGATGCTCCGGACTCGATTAGTGTTCTAGGACTAGTACCGTGTACGAAGTATGTCACGATACTTTCTCCAGGTGGCGGGGTAGTTGAAATTTAGCCGGAAGACCCTGGAAATAATGCCGTTAATCCCGCCTGTCACCAACCCTGCTTGGTGACGGGTTTTCAGGGTTCAGAGTCGAAGCGTCACGCCAGACCCCTTGTCTTGGGTTCTCACCACTCGGTGAGCCTCAAGATGTTAGCAATGCTGGTAATAGTCAACGGTATTAAGAAGCCACCGGACAGAACAGAACAAATTGATCATTATTACTTGCATCGGTGGACGGAGTAAGTCTGCCACGTGCCACTCGATCCACGACTGCTGCCAATATCACCAGCAGTTTCTGCTATAACCAACACCGGTAAACTCGGGAAGAAACGCAAACCGTACTTCCCAAAACGATCTCAACCTGTCCTAGTTTTGACGACTTGACGAAGCATCAATTTGACCCCTATTCCTATTCTCCACCCACTCGGTCCACACTACTGCATTGACCCTGGACTAACTTCGCTGATGAACAACCACGCGGGGACGATTAACTATTCGAGTAATGACCGTCAAAGAAAGCAAGGATGCCAATGCATCTGCGCGTCGAAATCAAAGCCAGCCATCATCTTTACACCTCGAGGCGAAGTCGGCCCAGGGCACACGAAGCTAGTCTAACCGGACGCTTCTTCCTTCCACTTACCGCAACCACATCCTAGAACATCCATTTATGAGTACATGCATACACCACTGCTCCATTCAATCATATTCAACAGTCAACATAGCCGGGGACCTCCTTGCTTGGTGGCGTCTTTGTTTCGTGTGTGTGCACGCATGTGAGAGTTATGCTCTTAAGCCACCAAAATCACCTTGATTCTGCACAGACAGCTAGGATTACCGTCTCGTCCCGCGAACCCTTGGTCAAAGTCAAAGCAATTCTCGAACACTTTAGCTAGCGCACTGACTCTCGCCTACGTGTGTCCCCGGAACCAGGTCAACTCTCGATTAGCGAGAGTCCGTGTTCCTTGCAAACGTCAAGAGGGACAAAATGCGTTATTATTCCTTCGTGCTTGAAGATGGAGAGACTCGAGCTCCGCTCCTGGTGCTACTTCGTCGTGACTCGCGGGTGTGCCCGAGATTTGGGCGGAGTTGCTCCCCGGACCGCTGTGTCCCCGAGCTCGGTCCACTTGTGCGACATGTCCCTACCTCTCGCGCGAAGATGGCCCTTGATGAGAGGGCCTTGGGGTTGTTCCCTATCACCGGAAGTGTCGTCAATGCAAGGGAGCTAAGGAGCTTGATACTTCTCTGTCGTATGACGTTGACTGGGCTCATCCCCTCTCCTCCCCATCTCCAGAATGCAAGTTGATGTTATGTTTGTCGAGCTTGTGTTTGAAGGGGAATCAGAGGCCAGTAGAGGTGATGACCGCCAGTGGCTTGCTTGGGCAGAACGCGGTGCCCCTCTTGCCCCAGACTCAGGGCAAACGCAAGCCCAGCCCCTTTCACCAATTCGGCTGGCACTGACTTCTCTTAGAGAGCAAAGACATTTTTATCTTCCCTCCTTAAAAAAATCAAACTTAAAATAGCAATGATTCAACGACGTAGACAATCGCCCCAATGTAGATCTGCAAAATAACTCGGACCTCCTGTGAACGAAAGGCGTTAGCCTCTTGCAGCAGACGTCCAGGATTTGAACCCTTCACTCTTCGCCCTTCTGGCATCTTGACATCCCTGACATTTTGACATTTTGACATCTCGACGGGGGTTTGACACACGCTCGGGAATTAGCTCGGGCAGTTTTCCTCGGAGACGAGACCATGTTGCCCCTTCACCAATTGTCGTGGGCCAGGATGTCCGGGTGTTGACGAGATTACTGATGTGCCAAATGGGAATATTTTGGAAAGAGTAGGGTCAATGTTCTTTTTGGATAGAGTTGGACGTTGGAACTGGGACGGCCCATGGCGACAATTGGAGTTGGCCATCTGACTACAAACAACATTTGATCAATTGGCCAATGCATCATTCCAATTTGTCCACGGGCGAGTGCTGTCAATGGTCGTAGAGGAGGCCCTCAACCCCATCTCACCTCCATTGGTGATGCCTTAACGCTCGATCCAGATTCACAGACATCATGGTCCTGTCCTTCTCGTACGATGAACGTCCAAAACACATCTTCAATCACCCGTTGTGAAGAGTCTTTGGCTTTCAAATATCCATCGCAACGTAATATCCTCGGCCCACAAAAGCATATCGCACAGCGCACCACGTCGACCGGGGAAGTGGTGAGGTGAACTGACCTGTCCCGCATCTCCAGTAAACCGGTTTATAGCCCAAAGCTTCCCGGCACGGCGTGGAACCATAATTACTTGCCTTCTGCATAGTTCGACTAACGATATGAACCCACCAGAATAACCCGAGAGACTTAAAGCCAACATAAAATCCCAAGATCGATCCTTTAATTGGATCAGTTCCCTAGCGATATAGGCGCCAAGAGCTGCCATGCTACCGCGCGTTGGCGCTGTTTAAACCACTCGGAACGGCTCGGGGCGGGGCTCCGGGCAGAAAAGTGCGAGGTCGCAGGACCGTAGGCTCATTCTCCCCACGCGAGCCTCTAAAATCTTGTGAAACTTCAAAAACCCCACGACCGTTGAAGACTTTTTCGAGCTTTTCCGGCCCAGAAATCCCCTCAGATTACACGCACACGAGGATGCAGGGCAGGTGGGCCGTTTGCGTTGGAGCACAGGACAAATGTGGGATTTTGATGCAGCGTGGGCCGCGGCTTGTGTTGGTGGAAGACCACTTCCCTCGCCTTCATAATTCCGCGGTGAGGGGAGGGGGCGGGATAGAGATGGATAAGGTCTGAAGGGAAGGGGATAAAGAGAGCCGCCCATCTCCTTTACCAAGCTTCCAGGTGTCCAGGTGGGTTCATACTTTGGGACGATTCATGTGGTTGATCTGCAGTTCAAGCCATTTTACACTTTCCCCTTCCCACATCCTATCCGCCAAGCACTCTCGGCATCTAGAACCGGAACCGCAGATTATCACTGAAGAAGAACCAAAAGGAAACACGCATATCCACGGTTCACTTAGTGTGCCGAGCACCGAAGGTTGAAAGAAACGAAAAGAAAAGAAGGAAAGAAAGGGACAATGAAGCTCCACACATATATTTTCACCGTCGTCTCCCTCCTCTCCCTCCCGGCTACCCTGGCCATCCCGACTCCGGATACCACTCCCGCCCTTGGCATCACAAACCCAGAAAAACGCCAGCAAGCCTGCCGCCCCGGAGACTACTGGTGTGCCATCATCGGCGGTGCGCCACCCTGGTGGGGTATCGTCGTATGCAACCCAGACGGCCGGAGCAACAGGCTGCAGAACATATGTGGAGAGACGGGCTGCTGCGAGATGATTAATGATATCCCCTATTGCGTTTGTTGAGGAAAATAGGGCGGGTGCTTGGGAGATGTCGCTCGACGATGAGGGTTGATCTTAATGTCTGTGCTCTGGATCAGAGGAAGGGCTAGAAGAGAAGCTTAATGTGGCGTTTTATACATGAACCTGTGTCTTTCTTTATTTACTTGTTTATAATTTTGGCCAAAGGGGTCCGATACCGATGATCGATGATCGAGGGGTGGAATGTGTGTCGATGCTGTTGGTTTCTGTGGCTGAAACGCTGATCAAGATCTGGACAGCCGGCGTCAACCACGAAGACGGGCAGAAACCGCAAGATGCTGCCACCTTACCTTTATGCCTAGTTTTTTTTTTTTTTTTTTTTTTTTTTTTTTTTTTTCTCTTCTTTTCCATTATTTGGTGGTAGCTTAACCATTGGGCCGGGTCGTAGATTTCGGTCAGACTTTACTTCGTGGAGTACGGTATGAGATTAACAATGAAGACTCCTGTGTTGTATGCTTGCCCGTCCGTGGAGTAACGATGAGGATGGACCTACTACAATGTTCTCTATCTGGAGTTCTTTCTAATCAACTGTCACTACACAGGGTAAACATGCTGCTCAAGCAACAGCATCGATGCACCCGACCGTGAGTGGACCTTAGCTATCCGGGAGAGACGGGTTCCATTTCACTTCAAGTAGATGCTTCTAGGAGCCCAAGTGTTCCGGCTAACAGGAGAAACGCCATCCACATCATTGCATATTTGTACGTCTATAATACATGCTAAAATAAAATACAGGTCATGAAGAAGGGTATCAATGATGCCATGCAGAAAGCGAGTGTTCCCAACACAAGCATGCCAAAAAAACAGACAAACTCTATCTATACCTGGAAATACCCAGTCCACAGCGACTGAAGCTTTCCACTGGGGTCATACCTCCTCGAGATGGATTTCAACCTATTGAAACTCTCTTTTCCGTAGCTCTCAAGTACCTTCTGCTCGCTCCCCGCGTAGTTCATGTACACCAAGCCCTTGTAAACGTCCTTCTCCTTCGCAAGAGCCTTGACCTCATTGATGAGCTGCTTGCAGCTCGACTCGACAACAGAATCAATGGAAGCTTCGTCCCATGATACCGTCACTTGGACTAACATGAGGGGACCCTCTTCAGGCTTCAAGTTCAGTGCGTTTCCTCCGTTCTTTTGCATCGCCTCGATGATATTGGTGGAGATGGGCTGGAAGACGAGGAAAGGCGTGAGAGGAGTGCCATTGGCGGCGGCGAGCAGGCGCGAGACATGGGCGTCAAAGAGGGGTAGGATTTCGACGAATAGATCGGCATTTACAACGCGGACAGTGGTGTCCCACCAGGTCTGGCGCTGGCCGTAGGGTTGGTCGATATTGCGGGAAAGAGTAGAAACGTTCGCGACTGTTGTGCTGGAGAAGATGGCGTTCGGTTGGTTCTTAATCTTTTCGAAGACGGGGGGGATAGACTCGGGAGGAGAAGGGGGTGTGGAGTGGTAGAAGGATGTAAGCGCGATCTGGCCCCCGAGCGCGGGTTGGTTGGTGAGGACAAAGTATGTGTGGGCTCCGGGGTCTGAGGGGAGGCCAGATATCGTGAGGTCGATAAAATGAGGGATGAGATCAGCGGCCATGGTGCCGGGGTAAATGGAGTCGCTGGACCAGAGGTCGCCCTGAGGAAAAGAGGCGAGGTCGAACCGCGTGACGATGCCAAAACTGGACCCACCACCTCCTCGTAAAGCCCAGAATAAATCCTTGTATTCCGTGGGTGACGCCCTGACAATCTTTCCAGACGCCAGGACGACTTCAAAGGCGCGGACGTTGTCACACGCCCAGCCTCGCTTCCCAGAAAAGTACGAAATGCCTCCACCAAGGACAAGACCACTAACGCCGACATCAGCGGCTCGTCCACCCACGACGGCGAGACCCAGCGGCTCAAGAACGGTAGATATTTCTATCCATCGATTTCCGGGGCCGACCGAAACGGTTTCGCGGTCATCAGACACTGTGATTTTGTTGAGGTTGCGGAGGTCAATGGTGATTCCACCCTGGGCATTTGATGCGCCGGCGAAAGCTGTATGGCCGCCGCTCTTGACGGAGAATGGCACGTTATGGGACGTAATGATTTTGACTGCGGCCGACACCTCCGTAGTACTTCGGGGCGTGACAAAGCAGGCGGGCTGTACTTCGGACTGTCGGTTGGACCAGAAGGTGTTGGATTCGGCGTATGCTGTTGAGTTGGGGAAAGCGACGGCACCTGGAAGGGCAGCAGCAAGGGCAGCGCACTTTAAAATTGAATAGACTATTAGTGTTCTGAATGGGGTGCCTGAGTTTATTTTCTTTGGGGCCAAAATGTTCATTTACATACAGGATTGAAGCACGGGGGCGACGAGGCGGCCATGCTCAAATAGAGCGGCGCCGTCGCAAAGACGAGCTGAGAGGTGCGCATAGCTGGAGAAGTATGGTAGGTCCTGGCAACGGGCTCTACTCGGTCTTCGACTTTCGAGAGGAGGGATGGAAGAGACCTGTTGCGGTTCACTCGGTGTGGATGTCGCCTTCGTCTGCTGACAGCAGGGGCAGCTAGCACGACGCCTTTCTCCATCATGAATGGTTGCTGTAGAGAACGGTCGACAGATTATATATTAAGAGAGTAAGCCGGAATATTGGCGAGGAGACTCTCTTCCCTTTCTCGCTCTCCTTTCTCCTCGCTTCCTTTTAGCGAAATATTGATTGCATCTGCACAGGCCCGCTGTGCCCTACGGTTCGTCTGAATTCCGAAGGATGGTTGCGATGGGTGTCACCTTGGCCTCAGGGAGAATGGGCGCTAGTAGATGGCGTCGTGCCAGGAAATAAGAATAAAGTGGTAGGATTTGAGGACATGGATGGTGACATCTCGGACACAGAGTTGTATTATAGGCTATTGACTGCAGGTGTTAATGGCAACAACCTTGGAAGGCGGGAGAGCCATGGCTTGGATATCCCTGCAGAAGCACCATCATTGATCAATGGCTTCGGAATCTGACACTGCCGTGCCGCACTGACTGGGGCTGGAAGGAAGCAGATCCGAGAGCGGTGAGCGGGGCCAGTCCAGACCGGAGCCCGGACATCTTGTCGCAACAGGGCTCCGCGAATCCAATCGGGTCTGCATTGGTGGGTCGAGGGTGCAATACAGTCAAAATTTCGGAGCGAGCAAAAAAAGGAATATTGAGAAGAAATCATCCATCCACATTAAAGACCAAAGGCGCATTGCACAGTTTGAGTCGTGGGAATGGCCCCAAGTTGGACCTCAATGTAGGCGCGATGCAGGTTTTGGCTGGAGGGGGAAGGAGAGCGGGAGGTGGCTCATCTTGAAACAAAACTGCGCACATCCGATGCAGTCTTAGGGCTGGGGTGGATCGCCAGCGAGGCGGGTAGAGCCAGTCCACCTCCTGTACCCCAACTACTCCCAAACGCGGCCTTCTACTTTTCCGTGACATCGACACGGGACATCATCGGTATGGCTGATCTGGATACCGAGCTGGAAGAAACAATTCTCCAAGCTGAGCGAGGTTATCAACGTACGATCTAGAAAGAAGCTGATTCCATGATGAGAACTGTCGAATCGGCCCAAAACATCGGGACGCTTGCTCTTCGATTCCGATCTGCAAAGCGCTTGTAGTCTTATGATGAGTTGAAGAGATCTCTCCGCGGCCGAGTAATGTTCCGCGCCGCAGCTTCGTGATTAGCTAGGAAGCCGGTCGCACATTCATCGCATCCCTGAGGTTGCACTTGCATATCGGGCACATCGAGTTCCGGGAACTGCCTCGGTGGGTGATGGGAGACCTGGTATGACCGATGGCCAGAGTCAGGATCACAAAAAAGATATTTGACCTTCTCCTATGAGGCAGCAATTCGATTAATGAAAGGATTAATTCCATGGTCTAAGCGATCGTTTTTCTCGTCTTCCGCCTTCGCTTGTCTCAGCATTTAACCTGGGCCTTGGTGTTTCCAGGAAGAGTCAATCAATCATCTACAGGGTTCGGCGAAAGCCCCTCAATGTCCCCAGACCGACTCCAAGATGAACTTAAAAAGGAGTAGACGGAGCAGGCAGTGTCCGCATGGCACGCCGGACAGCGGCTACCCGGTCAGCCGAGTAAGTTTATTATGTGAATGGTCAGTCTTCGGGAACTCCCGAGGACGCTCAGGACCAATAAGCCATCCTGTCGGGAGGCAACAGCCCCCGGAAACGGCTTTGGACACATCATAATACTGCGCACCACGGCAAGCTCATGCATCATTTCTCCCTTAAAGCTGTGAGTGGACGACCTATCGCTCAATCGAGGGAGGACGTTGTCGAAGCCGGTCCTCGTATCGTGGTGATAACATGTCCAGACAGCCAAACTCTGAAAAATATCAAAGCAAAGATGACAGGCACTGTTGATGGGAATGAAATGGCAAGGGGCTTGTATTTGACCATGTATAGATTGCATTTACAGGTGGTCGTGGCTATGTGCAGAAATATGCCTGGGGGCGGCTACACTTACATGGTCAATATCAATCCCTCTGGCTCGTCCAACATGCTTGACTCCTATGACCTTAACGGAGCAAATCGAAGTAATGCCCTAGCTGGCTCCGCTTCTTGCCTCCCGCCCAGATGCCTAGATAAGCTGAAATCGCCCAGATTGAACCTTTCTTTTCTGTATTCGGGTTGTTTGTATTCCTCGATAGTTGGATAGCCTCTTCGAGGAGTGCTTCATCGACCGGATTCTACGAAGTATCCTCAAAACTGGTGCCCTCATTTGGGTGAGAGAGCAGTTTACATATTTGCTTCTCCAACAGACTCATACGATTCTAAATGCGACATATTTCTGGCGCCTTAGCTCGTAGAACTGGGCCATCTGGAGAAGCATGAACGCTAGCAGTGGTAAAGTGAAGATCTAAAAAAAAAAAAAAAAAAAAAAAAAAAAGATTGAGAATCTCCGGCATGACAAGCTCTCGTATACCACATAGTTCTGGAAACCCCAGGCTGAGCCTGTCAGTTGTATGCGATCTAACAAGTCAAGGTTGAGTTGGTTGCTCTGAGATTGAGCACGGACGCCCCGGGAGGGCTGGGTCGCCAGTAGGGGAGCTTTTGGAGGTCTGTTCAACACGGCTCAGACTGGGACGACTTCATAAGCAGGATTCCAAATTGTACCGAATCGAACAGTCCTGAGAGATCGCAAGAAGGATCAAGCCGTTGCAGTCACAGCATTGAGGAAGAGTCCCAAGAGTTGAAGTTGGAGGGCGGCACCAAGAAGTATGTGGAGCAAAGGGATGCTGCAATGGTACCCTCACCAAGAGAATTAGTCATCGGAATGATCAACGGAACTGCGTCGGAATTCCACCCGAATCTAACGACAATTGTACAATTGTAATCTACCACCTTGAACTTGCAATGACTGAGTTTAATTTTGAGTTTACTGCGGGGCTGACAAATGCGGAATGCAGCTTCCCCGAGTTGACAAATGGCAAAGAAGATCGGAGCCGTAGCTGCCGACTTATTTCGTGCTTTCCACCACACACGCGACTTGGAGGGACGGCAAGAGATGCGGGGTGCACAATCAAGCAAGTTCTCACACTACTTCATATTAGATAGCGAACTGGGCTCAGGAGCAACTTGACCAATGACGCGGGGCAGAAGTTGTGTGTGTGAAGACATCTTGTGGACTGTGGGTAGCAAATTCAAGGTTCCACATCTACACCAGTCTAATGGCGACATCTGCTTTCCATATTGCTAAAGATATCAATTGGGGGTGAATACTTGGCTTTACTATGGATTCCGACCTTGCGGCACTCCGCCTTCACTTGCGTGCTATCGCAATGGCTTACTGGGGTCGAGTATATGAAGGCGTGGATCGCCCCAAGCTCCTCGAATCTTCGATACTCCCCACCGCCGTCAACTAGTGAACTACTTTCTCATAGCTTCTCTAGCCCACTTGGATGCTGTATCGGTCCTCTTGCCTCGACTGATCCGAGCCTCTTTTCCCCAATTCGCTACATCCCACTCATCTGCCCATCATGGCGTCTCCCAAGATCATCCTCTACACCAACCACAACTGCCCTTGTACGTAACAAAAGCTAACAAACCCCTCAATCCCCTGTATTCCTCTCCCAACAACACGATGCCCCCGTCCACTCCCATATCAATCCAACCCTCCCCTTTTTATAGACTGTTCAGCCAACTAATGCCGAGCTCTTCTTTTGCCAACCAGGGGCACACCGAGCTCATATCGCCCTCGCCGAGCTAAATCTCCCCTTCGAAGAAGAAATCATCGACCTCAGCGTCCCCCGCACCCCCGAATACCTGAAGATCAACCCCCGCGGTCTCGTCCCCTCCATCTCCTACAACGGCGAAATCATCACCGAGTCGGCCATCGTCTCGCAATTTCTCGCCGACGCGCACCCGTCGCATCTCCTCCCCGTCTCCAACGCAGAAGGCGGCGCCCTGCGCAGGGCCAGGATCAATTTCTTCGTCGACACCTTTTTCACCAAGGCCTTCCCGCTTTTTATTAAGAGCTTCTCGGCGCCCGAGGAGGAGGTGGAGGGATTGGGGACACAATTTGCTGAGATTGCTAGCAAGGAGTTGGAGCCGCTTTTGAGTGATGCGAAGCCGTTCTTTGGTGGGAGTGATAAATTGACCCTTGCTGAGGTGAGTTTTGTTTTAGTCTTTTGGTTTTCGTTTTCCTGTCCTCTCTCATCCTCGGCAGCGGATACTGGCTCGGAGATGGGAACTAACCGGCACTTCTTCTATTTCTTCTAGGTTCTCACTGGCTCCTTTGTTATCCGGGTCCTCACGCTCCCGGAAAAGGGTGTTCTTCCCAAGAGTTACGTCGCCAGCCTTCCCGAAAAGGCACCCAACTTCTACAAGTGGGCTCAAGTTGTTTCTGCCCACCCCAGTGTTAATGGGATTTACGACGTCGACACTATCGCCGAAAACACGAAGAACAGGATTGCGAAGCTCAGAGCTCAGAGCAAGTAAAGGGTTTGAAATTTACGCATAGGATTGGGGGCTGTTTCCGGCGCAGGTGGATCGGTTTTGGGGCGATTGGTTGGGAGCCATATGATGGCGCGCTTATATGCAAGAGATTGATGTAATGCGGGCTAGGAACTGCAGGCTAGGACCTTCATCGCCCAATATCATGACGCTGATCTTGGGAATAAAGCATGGAAAGTATCAATGTGAATGTATCCGATGATCATTTAATTCGGGTTTTCTTCTTTTTTCCCTTCTTTCCCGTTCGCTATCGAGGCCATTCTAACAACAGGCCCCTGTGTTGTAGTGGGGTTCGTTGAAGTGCGACCATTAAGGCGTACTGCCCCGGGATGCTCTTCTCCCGGTAGCATGACTTGCTTGGAATGTACGTTTGAGCTCCAAATAGATATGGTGACTAGGATTAGGGGCTTTCTCTCTTTTCCTAGACGAGGCACTGCCGAAGGAATAATAGACATAACCTACATGTCGATCTCGTCAACATCTCTGCCTCCTCGTGCTACTTCCACCAAGAACCTCCTCCAAATCCTTCCCTATCTACTCTTCGATAACAAAAATAAAGGAAAGAACGTATAAAAAAAAAAAGAAAAAAAGTATAAAACTTGTATCTAACAACACGAACGTTGCTGGTGAGGGTAAAGGAAGTGAAAAAAAAAAAAAAAAAAAGAAAAACAAAAAGCTCGCTCGCGGGTTGCCCCAGGATCGAATCCGGGCGCTTCCCACGAGCTACGAAAATTGCAATTTTCTAACCTTCTGAGCACTCCAATGACCACTTGGCCACTGGTCGTGGTCTTAACACTTGAGCTACTCGGTTGGGAGCTCTTGCCATGTCCCCATATATGAAGGATATGAAGGACCGTTCATTACTTCAGGTCGAATAACACCATTGACGTTCATATCTCGAGCCAGCCAACTTGAAGCATTTAATTCCTGCAACGTCTTGTGGCATCCGACTGTGCCTCAAACTTGTCCTCATAACTCCAGAGTCGTCCAGAGTCGTCCAGAGTCGTCCAGAGTCGTCCAGAGTAAATGACTTGGGGTCGGATATAAACTTGGAACTCAGGAATGGCAAAAGTTTGTTCCTCGAGTCTGCTTTAGTAGCGAGAAACTTCGAAACCAGCATTTCTGGCGCGTGGGCAAGATTCAGGTGCGAGTCTCACGGTCTCTGTCCGGTAGGCCCGGATGGAGCTTGACGTTAATGCTCGCCATGTCGGAGACTGGAGACTGGAGACGGTCAAAACACTGATTGTGTGCAACCGCAACATCATATTGACGTGGATATCTCTTCCACAAGTTATGTTCCGGGTAAGACAGTCCTTGCCCACGGCTGCCATGATGACTCGGAAAGCCTCAACCTCGCCCGGCCTTGGTGCTGTCACTGAATTCGGGCGTCAAAACAAGGCTAATTTGAGCAAAGGTACGGGTTGAGCAGAGGTGGTCTTGGGGCTGCAAAGGGACGGACTTATTGATATTGCTAGGCATGAAGACCCACTAATCGGAATTTACCGTCACTCACCGCCTACCTCATCAAGCATCCTCCCACCCCCAAGAAGTTTTCTTTGGTGGCACAATTTTCTTTCTGACTCGACGATACACATCATCCACACCCATCCACATATCTTCATCTGCACCACACTGTCCCTTGTCCTCCTTTCCCCTCCCGCCTCCGCTCGCCCCCGCATCTCTCCATGCATGACGCCCTTCTCTAGACCTCTTTTTAAATCATTCCTTTCGTTAGTGAGGCGTCCATCGCACCCTGCAATTCGAACCGTTCTAACCTCAGTTCCGCTCTTGAGAGTCTCGACACAATCCATGTCCGATATTCCGACTGCCGCCGCGGCGATCGCGACGACAGTCCCCTCCGCTGCCGACTCCGGCACAGATCTTGCGCCGGATTCCCTGCCACTTATTGCACCCCTTAGTCTAGCCTCATCTGAGCAGTCGACCGAGTCCACGACCACAGTCCCGACGGCTGAGGAGCCCACAACCGCCGCAGCCCCGCCTACGGGTAACCCGAAGACAAAGACGAAGACGGAGACGAAGAAGCGCAAGGTCAAGAATGCTCCTCAGTTTCCAAACAACCCAAACGTCCTCATAACCCCTTGCGACCCTTGGCCGAGACCCTACTTCTTCGAGGATGGACTACGCAAGGTCGCACCGTACTTCTATACTTACAATACCTTCTGCAAGGAGAGATGGCGCGGTCGCAAGCTGGTCGAGATCTACACCTCCGAGTTTCGAGACCGCCCTCCCGAGTACTACGTGCGTGCCATCGCCAACGGGACGGTGATGGTAAATGGAGCGGCCGTTGGCCTGGACTATGTAATGCGCAACAATGACTTGGTAACGCATACGCTTCATAGGCACGAACCCGCTGTCTCCGGCGAGCCCGTCAGAGTGCTGCATGAAGACGATGGGATGTTAGTCATCGTCAAGCCCGCCGGAATCCCTGTCCACCCGGCTGGTCGATACGGCTATAATAGCGTTTTGGAGATTCTCAAAGATGAGCGCGGACCTGGTTTCATACCTCATCCGTGTCACAGGCTAGATAGGCTTACTAGCGGCATCATGTTTATCGCCAAAAACCCGGAGGCTGCCGAGAAGCTACGTGCGCAAATTGCCGGACGAACGGTAAGGAAGGAGTACGTTGCGCGCGTCATTGGGGAATTCCCGGACGGCGAGATTGTCTGTGATCAACCTATTCTTCAAATCTCTCCCAAGCTGGGACTGAACCGTGTGCGGGCCAATGGTAAATCGGCCAGAACCGTCTTCCAGCGCCTCGCCTATTACCCACCACGGGAGTCGACTAAGAACCCCGCTCCCACGCCGCAGGAGGATATAGCAGCAACCACTGCGCCAAACGGTGAAGAACAGGCACCCGTCAAGGGAAAGCCTTGGCTAGGCAAGAAGGGTTACTCGATAGTGCGGTGTCTCCCCGTCACCGGACGAACCCACCAAATCAGAGTGCATTTGCAGTACCTAGGCCACCCAATCCAGAACGACCCCATTTATGCGAACCAAAAGGTCTGGGGCTTCAACCTAGGCTCGGGTGATGCCGACGGCACGGAACATGCAGACGAGGATGTAATCAGTCGGTTAGAGCGTATGGGCAAGGAGGAAGCCGCGGACGCCGTGGCCTATCACGACGAGATGGTGGACGAGTACTATAAGAGGAGAGCCGAGCTAATGACCGGCAAGACTTGCGAGACCTGCAACGCACCCCTCTACACTGATCCGGGCGACCAGGAACTATCCCTATGGCTTCACAGCTTGAGGTACCAGGATGCCGACGGCGCATGGGGCTATGTCACACCTCTCCCTAAATGGGCCATGCCGCCTGAAGGTGTGGAGGGCCCGACTGAAGTCGGTGGCCTCGACGCGTTGATCAACGCTGCTAAGGCTGCGGGGCCAATAGATGTGTGATGAGCCATCTGGAACGAAAGACATCGGAGCTTGCAGAATACTGTAATCTTAGAAGGAGGTTTGACATGAATGAGGTGCAAAGCTTTGCTCTTGGTTGGAGTCCGGGGTCCCGCAATCCTATCAATCCTATCTCCACACTTGAGCTTGATCACAAGGAACCCCAGCACAATCTCAACCGCGGTTTCCACTGCGCCAGCGTTGAGCCTTGGCCTTGGCAGCAAAACTCCCACACTCTTCGCACCGGCACAGACCATCTTGATGGTCCTAGCGTCTCTGGGCCGAAAGCCACAGGTAGAGCAGACATGCATAAAGCTGCAGCCGCTTTACGACGAAATCTGCCCTGCCTACCTGCTGCCTGCTACCCGTGTTAGCACACTCACTATGGATCTTGGCTCCTCCGGCATGTACCATGAGCATCGGACTTTTCTCTCACACACACACACCCTCTCTCTCTCTCTCTTGTGTCATTCAGCCCCAAGCCAGTGCCGAAAGAAGAAGCAAATATGACTAAAATTGGACAACTCACCGACGTGTGTACACTCGTACACGCTCCGCAAAAGGGTACAGTTTGTACCTGCAGAAGCAGGGGCTACGATGTTTCCCGGTCATCCCAACCCTTCAGACCGGGCAAGCTATGTCACCAAGCGCGGCTCGTCCTGCTGCTGCTAATGCACCGTTCTACCGAGTAATCGAACTTTGGCGGTCAAGGGGTAGGAATGGAGGCAAGAAGAGCTGGTACGATCCCATATAAGAGGGGCCTTTTCTGCAAGTCTGTCATGGACAAGGATGGTGAGGTACATACACTGGGCTGTAAGCGACTATCGCCACGTCGGACCCCTTGGGGTGAGCCTACCTGGGACACAGCATGAGGCTAGAACCTTCACCCTCGTCTCGCCGTTCACCGCCAGATGGAAAAGGAGAAGAGGGGGATGACCACCTGGTGAAGATCCTGAACCAACAATCCGATTCTGATCCTCCAAGACACTTTGCGCGCCTCTCATACTCTAAAAGTTGAGCTTTGTGTGAGTGTTCATGGCCAACGTGTGTCCCTTCGCCCCTTGAATTTCACCAGTTATCTTGTCACTCGAAGATACTTGATGCCCGTGTTACCAAGCTCTATGATACTTATCTGTGCCTCTGATGTATTCCATAAATACTCATCACTACTTCTATTTCGCCGTTTACTTCCATCGACTTGTTTTTCTTCATTGCTCAATGATTCTAAATACTTGCGGCGCCCGGTCTTCTAGAGGCGACTATCCCATCATTCACCCAGAGACACTAGCCGTGTGCTCCTATTCCTGGCTCTTTCTGGTCTTGCTCCGTCCATTTTCCTTCCTTTTTCTCGAACCACCTTGCCGTTTACCGACGCACAGCCGGAGCGGACGAGCCAACCAGCGCCTCTTTTTTTTCATTGCAAATGTCCCCACATGCATGATGGAGGCAGTCATGCTGCCAAGGCCGAAGAAGCAAAGAAGAAGAAGAAGCAATTCTCGTTACAATTCATCCCAATTATGGCTTGTTGCAGGCCGAAGGGAAGGGAAGACTAGGCTGGTCTATTTCGATCTGCGGAGGCTCTGGGTCTCCAAGTAGGCCTCGGGAGTTGTAGTGTGGGTCGTGCAGCTGTACGAGCAGTAGCGTACAGCAAGACCCGTTCTCCTTACTGGCGGCTCTGGCCTTTTCATTGATAGAAAGCGTCTTCATACAGACGCTGAAACAGCTAGCGAATGGTCGACTTGTTGGATGAAATCGAAACACTTTTTATTTCTCTCCTTCTGACAGCAAGGCAGATGGGATCGGCGATTGGTGCTGTTTTCAACCGTCATACTCTTCTAATCTTCGAAGTCTCGGGATTAGCATTTTCCTTTGCTTCCGATGGCCTTTGTGCCCTTTGCCACCTCGCTTCTTGATAATGCTCGTATTTCTCCTCATCCTCTGCCGCCTCCCGGTCACGCCCGACCACTTGCTCCACAGAACGCCACCGCTTGATGCCAGCATGCAAGTGCCATCCCGGCTTGGCATCGTCACTACCCTTCCCGATCTGTCTATGATTCTTGAAGTATGAACACGGAATGTTTGACCTTGTCTTGACTTTAATGCAGCAGTGGATACTTCGGGCTTCTTGATCGCGTTCGGGTATAACCCAGTATAAGTCGACTCCTACGGCAGACGAGCCCAGTCAAGGACTGCAATCAAAATCCTACGTGTAAGGGGCCATCTCACCACCTCTGCATAGACACATCGCTTATGAGGAGGCGTGCCCGCAACATAATCCACGAGCTCAATTTCATAATCCTAACGAATCTCAACGCTTCTTTCTCTCCCTTAGACCGGGACCTGTGTTCGGAGGCTCCGGGTCTCATCATATATCTGTAAATGTCATCTAGATGAGACCTGAATCCCGGTTTTTTCCCACTTGGCCGCATCGCGCCTTCGAAATGACAGGCATCCTCACACCGTCCTATCTTAGTCTGTTCCTCTACGTTGAATTTTCCGGGTACATTTGGTATGATAAGTCACCTACGGTGGCTCCAAATCCCCAGTAGCCTGTATCGGCTCTCATATCTTAATGGATACAAAAGACGGAGGTGAGAACAGCCAGGGTAAGGTCCGATGATGCTCATCTGCGCCTTCAACATCAGGTGTGTCCACAACTGTGGTATGAACTCAGGACCCAGGAACGAAGTCTGTGCAAAGTTCTCGAGAGCTGCAAGGGAGGGGAGAGGGTCCATGTAAGAGCGAACAGATCAGGAGGCGTCAACTTATTCTTTAGCTCGTATGTGTCTATACACACTAAACTCGCACATACCACCGACTTGTGTCACTTGAGGCGCATTTACTAGATGTTATGTTCGCCGCCTCACTCACGTACATAGACGGGACGTGGGATCGTCAACTCGAACGCATCCCATTCTGCAACAGGGTGGGCGCGTTCCCTCTCCCTCTCCCTCGAGCACACCATATACAACTGGTAGAGCGAGCCGTAAGCACCATCGAAAAACCCCTTTGGCCGCTAGGCACAGTGAAAACGACTCTAATCTCCGGCCACATCCCCCCTTGCAGCTCTCTCTATGCTTCATTCCCGTGAGTACATGGTGGCGAGGGGGCCTTTTCCTTGATCCTTGTTTGTCCTTTTCTTTTCGTTTTGCCCGTCACCATTCATTTCAAGAAGCAGGCGTCCCGACCTATACTATTTCCCAGCAGACGAGAGCTCCGTCTAGAGTCGCCTATCTACAAGAATAGACAAAGATCTTCTATCATACTTGAACGTTCACCATTCCCTTTCCTTGTGAGCTGTCGGAGACACCGACCATCATTCTACAGTACCCGGGCTCCGCTTGGAAGAGCCACCTTCATCCTTCTGACACCACTCGCAACCCACTCACTCTCTTTATCTCCATCTCCTCCAAAATTAAACTTAGCCACCCGAGTCCCCACGGGGGGACGCTAACGGGTTCTTGATGTTAAGTACTGGGCCTGTTAATCTAACGCGCTGTTCATTCGATCGTAGTCCACACGCCCCCCTCCTGTATGCCGAAAGAAAAAGAAAAAAAGAAAAATAAAACGACGGGACCAGTTTAGCTAGAGTGCTTTACGCCAACCACACCACCATGAATGCTTTTTCTTGATATTGTTCTCACGTATAGCGGCATCGCTCTGCGAACTGGATTGAAACGGGCTGCGACTATGTATTATTAGGGTTTATGATCCCCTCCAGAACCCCAACGGGCATAAGGGGGTATCAATCCATCTTCTCACCCTTCTTCCTCAAAAGTGTTGTTCGAGCCGTGTCACGCCTGACACCGTTGTCTCTGTTTGTCTGTTCAAGGTGTGTAAAAGAAAAAAAGAAGAAAAAACAAGAATATACCCCGTGCTCCTATATCGAGTTCTATCAGAAGCACGCACCACGCATCAAGTCTTGGACGAAGAGTCCAAGAAGTTCACTCCCGCCCATTTCCAACTTCGTGGATAATACACCTACCGCCAGGGCATGGTTCAAGGATGATAGGCCAGATGCCTTCCCAAACGGCAGGGATCCCTCCCGGCATCCATGTCAAACCCGAGGCGTCACCAACTTCGACTAGCATGGCAGCAGCCGTCGATGCAAGCTGGTCTGAGCATTCAGCACCGCCGCCACCGCAGACGCCATCTATAGAACCTCACGGCGGCATACATTGGGATCTCGCAAACTTCTCGATGGATAGCTTTCTAGGAAGCGGCGGGGCTGGCGATATGGCGACAAGGCAACAGATGCAGATGGCGGGAGCGGAAAACAATCATCACCATCTTCAACACAACAATGCTGCGAACATCAGGGTGGATCTCGAGCCTACGATTCTCTCCCCTACTGAATCTCAGGCCCGTTCTTCGGCTGAGCCCGACGGTATTCCTTCGAAGTCACGAAAGCGTAAAGGTATGGATTATTTGGTCCGCGTTTACACCAGTTGGAATGTTGGCACTAACACCGTCCCCAGGGTCGAGGACTGTGTCATCACTAACACCAGCACAACTTGAACGAAAGAGGAGCAATGACCGTCGGGCGCAAAGAGCCATCAGGGAAAGGACCAAGCGACGAATGGAAGACTATCAAAACGTCGTGGCTCAAAAGGACGACATGATTATGGCACTTTCCAGAAGAGTTCAATGCTTAGAAGAAGAACTTGCTCGGTTAACTCACGGAGAGCCATGCTCTGTAGCCACTCAAGGTAAGAAGAATAAGAGTCGAAAATCTCTACGTTTTGAAGCTAACACATTTTCTCAAAGTCGGAGACGTTTGCGAAAAGGCACAGGACCTTTCAAGGCGTGTAGGTCCAACCTCACGCTCCTCTTCCCTGTCAATCAGCGTCGCGGATAGCCAAAGCAGCACAGCGACTTCGGATGAAACGGCAGCATCTTCGATAGCTTCGAGCAGGCGCGGTACCCTAGCAGTGGTGAACCCTGGCCCCAGTGGAGTAGTTGGGGCCTTTGATAGGCTTGATTCGGATTACGAGCCTTCATCTTTACTTGGATTTCCAACCGCCGCACCATCCAACACGACACCGTCATGGCCTCCTCCTCCCAGTGCTCAGGCGCTACCACCAACTGTACACACAGGAGCAACCTCAACTGCCCCTGTGCCCGAAGACAATATTCATGCATACTTTCGAAACGCAGCTCTCATAGGATCCTCAAACGTGCAGGCCAGGTCTCAACGTGTTATGGAGGACCCATCGGGAGGAGAGCCTCACAACTTCCGCACTATGTCTGTCCGGGATGGAAACTATGGTGGCTGGATCTCTCAGGCCCAAGGTCCGCAACATTCGTGCTGGCACGTTGACCGCCAGGCTGGAACATGGCCGTCGTGTGGTGGGGAGCGAGACGCAGAATACGGTAAGGTTTACTACTACTCTTCTTGTGTGTTTTAAAGGCTTCAATAGCAAAATGCTAACGAATCGGGCAAACGTTCAGTGTTCCCAACTTGAATGATTTGAGAAATTGCCAGTGGTTGAAGGCGTCACGGAGTCTCTGGCCGGAGGGAGGTAAGGGGGTAAGGAGAGGTTGGGATGTACCAAATAGGGGAATCATGGATAACCACGGAGCACGGCTTTTATGATTCGGAATATGGAGATATGGAAGTAATAATGCCTGGCAAGCGTCTATGAAGTACGACTGCTGACGACACCACTTGCGTGTATTATATCCTTATGTTTTTTTCTTCTGTCTTTCTTTCTTTCATTCTCATCTCCTTTGTCAATAGCAAACGCGAATCACTTACAATGAGGACTTCATATTTTGAAAAATCTACGCTCAAAGTGTCTGCAATGTAACATGTAGGAAGAAGACGTCATATTACAATGAACTAAGAGCCGTTCTGGTATACATATCATCTCGTCACCTCAGGACCTAGGTTCTTCAGCTCTGTTGGCACCCGCTGTTCCCAGAGAAGTCCGTCGACAGTCGTGGAAAGCTATCCTTTCCCGCAGCTCCAAATTCTTCGGCATTCAGTTATATCCGGTGCCCATGTCCGTGTCCACACAATGAGTAATAATATAATATCAAATGTCGAAAAATAGCCAAGTGGCTTGGCTAGGGCGAATCCTCACTCACATCCACCTCGGCCGATTAGAAGAGAATATTTCAATCAGCCGCACCGGACATACGCCAACCAGCCACGGCGTACACCATTGTACGCTCCTGTCGTACTCTCCATAGCGAGGGCGCTGAATAGGATTGTGTTTAGTGCTTGGGAGCGGACAAGGGTAGACTGTGCCCGGAGAATTAGAGAGAGCTAAACCAGCCTCGATGGAGGGGAGGACCCGGTCCCTGGGCTTTTGGGGCTGAGTGAGTGGAGAACAGCAAAGCAGAGACAAAAGCGATTGGAGGTAATGAAGAGGGGGGCGGGCGAATGGGGCACCAGCAAGAGGCTGTTTTCAGTTTTTGGCAGTTTCGAAGCACATAAGGACTAGCAGAATTGACGAAGGCAAGAAAAAAGCACGGCAACTGTGGAAAGCCTGAAGGAAAGAAGGGGGGGGGTGTGTGTGTGTGTGCAAGGAAGTACTTGCAGACTTGCAGTGTTCTGCTGCCAGAACAGGTTTGCAAGGAGGTATCATGGCATCGCCGCTTGAAGATCATCCAAGAATAAAATGAGATTTGCCCTTAAAAGATGCTTTCTGGAGATCAACGATACCACGCCCGTCTTTCTCCCGCACCGTTCAAACCCATGTTCCATGACCACTCAATCATTGACGGAACGGGCCGTGCTGTGTGGTTCCTTCAAGTATAAAGACAGGTCTGGATGTCTTCAGCGATTCTCTGTTGCCTCCTCCTCCTTCCCCAGCTTTGCTCACTGCCCAACTGCTCCATGTTACTTTTTACACGGCGGGAAGGTCTCAGGTTTGTCTTAGATTGCTACCTCCCCTAGGAGGTACGTAGCATAGCAAGGGCGGACACGGCCAGATCCTTCGTAGATGGCAGATGACTTGGCGAGATTAGCAACGACATCGGATGGGCCAGTCGGGGTTGCTTTTGCCGTCTTTGGCGTTGCTTTTTCTTAAAGAGGGGGAGGGTTGGTGTAAATGTTAGTGTAAATCTCGGTGTTAGACACGAAGTCTCCCCTCAAGGATCAAAAGGTGGAACAGGACAGGTTAAACAAAGACAGAAGACCGGCGAAGGCGCAAGACACACCACATAGACACACTACTAGCCTTAGTGGCGAGGACGGAGCCGAGATCGGGGGCCTATGCAAAGGAAGGGGAAGAAGCGAAGTGCTGCGACTCCTAGTACCCAAGGGCTAAGAGGGACGTGTCCAATGTTGCTGCCCAAGTTTGTGATGCTGAGCAATAATAAGTTGCATCTCTCTCCGTCTCTCTCCATCTCTCCCTGACCTACGGAGGCTTCAATAAGCCAACCGGCTCCTTCCTCCGTGTGTGAGTGGGTCTCCGGGTCTCTTGCGGCAAAAGTTCGGAAGAAATTTTTAAACTACAATGTGCAGGGAAAACTCCGGGGGAATCAAGGACAAGGGTCCGGTCTTAGTGTCCCTTTAGTGTCCCATTAGTGTCCCATCTCGTGCAATTTTACGAAGATCCGGTTAAACTCTGGCGTCCCATCGCCATTTCTTCGGAAGGTCGGACCACTATTGTTACAGCGTTTCGCCAATCCCGTCCGACTCTCCTGCACCCACCTGCATCAGCTCCGTCACAGCAGCTTCAGTGCAACTCCTCGTTGTGTCACTGCCCACAGCTCACCATCGGCTTGTCGGGGCGTCTTTGCGATGCCGAAAGCCTAGCACCCACAATTGGTTCGCCTTCGGATCCGTGGCCTCTGTCCTTTGGTCCCTTTCCGAGTCGATGGAAGTCTTAGTGCGCTTCTCTACGCAATACCACGCAAGAATGTAAGAGGAGGGGAATTTGGAATCTGAGGAGTCCCAAGGATTCTCGAGTCAAGACCTCGCCAACGCACCTTGGAAGCACAGCCCGGTGATACCATGGCAGAAAAAGAGCCAAAAAAATCCTTCTGGTCTGACCGTTTTGACTTTGGGGAACCACAATATGCCACCAAAGAGGGTGGGAGGAGAGGGGCCGGAAGCCCATTTCCAGGTCTTGTTAGATTGGGAAACTAGTCGTTTCCCCTTCAACCCGTGAATGGATTGATCCATTCCTGATGTATACCGCCTGGCCAAGTTCCCATGTTAGACAGCGCGCCCAAGTGACATGCGGTTGCAGGGATTCCGTCGACTCTCCTGGCATCCGTCGGTTGTCACGGTAGTTTTCGTAGCTGTACGACCTCCTGATCATTATAAAACCCCAAGCAATCCCAAGCTTGTGATCTGCTCTCCTGTGCTTGTATACTCTATAGCCTCTCACTTGATTCTGCTTTCTCCTTTTTTTTTTTTTTTTTTTTCGTTGCCGTTTGTGTTTGCTCTGGTCGTTCTTTGGCTGGTTTTGTCAGATCCCCGACGGAGCAGATCAAACCTGCAGAATCTTGGTAATCCATATAAGCGATCACCATGGCGGACATTAATGTAGAGGAGGTGCTCAAGAAGTTGACTCTCTCCGAGAAAGTCGATCTTGTAGCTGGTAAGTCTTGATTCACTGTTGCCGACTTGCTAAAATTCCTTATGCTGTCGTTGCCAGACAAGGAGACCAATGACCTTGGGCAAGATATTCACGAGCTAACCATGTTGAAGGCATTGATTTCTGGCATACCAAATCTATCCCCGAGAAGGGCATACCCTCCCTCCGCTTCACCGATGGCCCCAACGGTGTCCGCGGTACCAAGTTCTTTAACGGTGTCCGTGCCGCCTGTTTCCCCTGTGGTACATCGCTCGGCTCTACCTTCAATGCCCCTCTCCTCGAGGAGGCCGGCAAGAAGATGGGAGAGGAAGCCAAGCTCAAGGGCGCCCACGTCATTCTTGGGCCCACCATGAATATGCAGCGCGGTCCCCTCGGCGGTCGAGGATTCGAGTCCCTCAGTGAGGACCCCGTGCTCTCCGGTCTTGGATCTGCTGCCCTGATTAAGGGTATTCAGAGCACCGGCGTCCAGGCTACGGCCAAGCATTTTGTCTGCAATGACCACGAACACAAGCGCAATGCGGTCCAGGTCAAGGTTACGGAGAGAGCTCTCCGTGAGATCTACGCTCTTCCTTTCCAGATCTGCGTCCGGGATGCTGCTCCTGGGGCATTCATGACGGGCTACAACGGCGTCAACGGAGAGTACTGCAGTGAGAGCCCTAAGCTCATTGATGGCCTCTTGAGGAAAGAGTGGGGGTGGGACGGCGCCGTCATGAGCGACTGGTACGGAACCTACAGCACGACTGCCTCCGTACATGCCGGTCTCGACATTGAGATGCCTGGTCCTAGTCGATTCAGGGGCGACGCTCTCAAGTTCAACGTTTCTACCGACAAGGTCCGGGAACACATCCTAGACGAGCGTGTCCGTGGTGTACTCAAGCTTGTCAAGGCTTGCGCTGCTTCGGGCGTTCCCGAGAATGCACCCGAGGTTACTGGCGACACTCCCGAGACGGCGGGGTTGTTGAGGAGGATTGGCAATGAAGGTATCGTTCTGCTGAAGAACGACAGAGAGGTTCTTCCGTTGAAGAAGGACAAGAAGGTTAGTTCTATTTGCTTTCCCCTCCGCTCCTGAAACTTTTTATTCTTCCTATCCCGTCGTGCTCACAAAGGATCGCCCCTTTCTGGACTAGACCGTTGTCATCGGTCCTAATGCAAAAGTAGCGACCTTCCATGGTGGTGGCTCCGCAGCGCTGGCGCCCTACTATGCCGTTACGCCATTTGCCGGCATCACTAGCAAGCTCACGTCTACCCCCAAGTACACCATCGGTGCCAACTCGCACAAGATCCTCCCCCTTCTTGACGGTCTCCTCAAGACACCCGACGGCAAGCCCGGCTTCCTCATGAAGGTATACAACGAGCCCCCGTCAGTGCCAGACCGAGAGGTTCAGGAGGAATACGTTATCACGAAAACCGAGCTCCTCTTCATAGACTACTCAAGCCCCAAGATCAAGTCCGGCACGTGGTATGCGGACTTTGACGGTTCGTTTGCAGTTGAGGAGGACTGCGAGTGGGAGTTTAGTCTCATAGTCTGCGGTACCGCTCGTCTCTACATCAACGGTAAACTCGTAGTCGATAACAGCGTCAACCAGACCCAGGGTTCGCATTTCTTCTCTCAGGCCACCATCGAGGAGAAGGGCCGCATCCAGCTCAAGAAGGGCGAGATCTACGCTATAAAGGTAGAGTTCGGATCCACCCCGACCTCGGAGCTCTCTAAGTCTCGCTCCCTCTTCGGCAACGGCATCCTCCGCGTCGGCGGATGTCTAGTCATCGAGGACAAGAAGGAGATTGAAAAAGCTGCTGCCCTTGTGAGGGACGCCGACCAGGTCATCATCTGCGCCGGTCTCAACGCCGACTGGGAGTCTGAAGGCTTTGACCGCGAGAGTATGGATCTGCCCGGCCACCTCGACGCCATGATCGCCGCCGTTGCGGACGTGAATCCCAACACCGTGGTTGTTATGCAGTCCGGTACCCCTGTCACCATGCCTTGGATCTCCAAGGTCCCCGCGGTCGTCCAGGCATGGTACGGCGGCAACGAAACGGGTAACTGCATTGCTGACGTCCTCTTCGGCGATGCTAACCCCTCAGGCAAGCTTCCCCTCAGCTTCCCCAAGACGGTCCAGGACAATCCGTCCTTCCTCCACTTCCGTACTGAGGCCGGACGCACTCTCTACGGTGAGGACATCTACGTTGGCTACAGATTCTACGAATATGTCAACCGTGAAGTCCTTTTCCCCTTCGGCCACGGTCTCAGCTACACGACCTTTGAATTCTCGGACCTCTCCGTCGAGGAGGACAAGGACGGCAAGATCTCAGTTACGGTTACCGTCAAGAACACGGGATCACGCAAGGGCGCGGAGGTGGTTCAGGTCTACGTCGCTCCGAAGCAGGCGGCCGAGGTCAGCAGGCCGATCAAGGAGCTCAAGGGTTTTGCCAAGGTTGAGCTCGAGGCCGGCGAGAGTAAGCCTGTGGTTGTGGAGATTGAAACCAAGTATGCCTTCAGCTACTTCGATGAGGTGCGAAATAAGTGGTGCGTTGAGAAGGGAGAGTACGAGATTATTGTCAGCAATAGCAGCCAGATCAAAGAAGGCCAGGCGGTCAGCGGATTGATTCGCATTGCTGAGACTTGGTGGTGGTCGGGTGTGTAAATGGTTGGAGCGGGCAAAACTGTGATGGCGAAACTCGATCGCTTCGAATGAGTATCGGTTACTTTTGTTTCCAGGAGCGTATTCACAATTTTCGGTTTTATTTTGATTTATTGTCTCTTCCTCTCGTTTCGTGCTGTCCATCGTATTTGCAAGATGTCGTGTAAGTCTTCGTCCGGTCCGCATCTGAGCGGCAGTCTCCCGCCATGGCTGTGCTCCCAGCTTTAATCTAACCCCAATGCATCACTCCACAGACTGGGCTCCAGTGTGGCAAAAGTCGTTCGCAACAATAGCCTTTTCGATCCGTCCCAGGCTGTCCTTTAAGCAGGCTAGTTGTCTTACTGCACAGCAAAGCCACATAAACCCGCAGCTTGTGATACGCCGGACAGAAAGTGTAGCGAACGAGGGCATTTGTTGTACATGTACTCGATTGGTCAAGGGATCAAGAGGCTTGGCCTCGATATCTGGGGTATGGTAGAAGGCAAAGAACATTAAAGTGAGCATCATTCGAGCTTATTGGGTGGATCAAATGGATCAATCACTTAATACTTAGTACACAGGTCACGTAGTACCTTCGTACGTTGAAATTTCTCTACTTGGGGAATTTCCCCGACGGCGATTATTCGAGGAGGATATTCCTTATTACATATGGACATTTCGATAGCGAGGTCTACTCTCTACTTAAGAAAAATCTCTGACGACGATTGTTCAGGAACTTGGAATATTCCCTATTACCGAGAAGTCAAAAGAGAGGTCTACTCTACGAAGTACTACATCGAAATTTCTCTACCTGAGAAATTTCTCCGACGACGATTGTTCGAGGCTCCGTAGAAGCCTTCAACCTCTTCGACATGCTACAATCAGCCTGGATCGAGAATTGAATGTTGTGCCGGACAAGGTCATACCAAATTAGGAGACAGGGCGAGACAGGGCGCAATCACACTAGTGTATCTTTGTAAAGTACTACCTCAATTTGACGCAATACTTCGATATAGCAATAGGACTTGTTCCAGTGTTCCTTTTGAACTGGGGAGGGATTAATAGTGGGGAATGACTATGACTATGTACATTTGTACATATGTACATTGAGAGACCCTTTTTTACTTGGGCTGCTAGGCTGTAGGGGTTGGCGTGTGCATTTGCACCGTAACTAAGTAATAAGTGTCTAGGCCTAAGTGTCTAGGTTGCGATGCTGAGCTTTGTTTGTGTCTGTGCCCGAAAGAGAACCCCACAGTCACTGGTCTGATTGGTCCAACTTATTAGCATCTTTCTCTTTCCCAATAAACCAAACATCCTCGTTTTGTTCCGAGTTTCTTCCAAAACCCAACTGCGCTCCTCCAAGTTGGCTGGGCGGAGCCCGCCACTCTCCTAGGGCAGACTTGGTTGGCGACTCTGCTGCAGCGGGCTCCACGTTTCAATGCAGTAGCGGTACCACCATCACAGCCTGCCGACAAGACCTACACGTCGTATCCCTGATTAGGGACATCTAGAGAGGGACATCTAGAGCAGAGCATGAGAGCCAGCCTGGTCGTTGTTATGACCAGGGGGCCGACGTCCAATCTGAGTGGCCTGCAGGGAGGCGCATGCGCAGCAGAATCCTTCTTCGGTCTTGGAACTTACACATACTCGGTACATGTACAACGATTTCTTGGTGTATTTGTGTCGGGCCTACTTCGTACAGGGTAAAAGCTAATCACCAAGATGGCCAAGCAAATGAATCTGTAGCGAAAGGGAGGCGTGTGCCAGGGATATTCATGTTGCTGGAAAAAGAATAACGCCAAGCCTGATTTTTCTGGTCTTACGAAGTACAATTTGCAGGATCACTCTGGGCAGGGCTGGCGCCGCACCGAAGCCAGTTTTCAGCTATAAAGAGACGTCCGTACACCCGCGTCCCCTCGGCCGGTTTTCACGATGAAGACGTCAAAATGATGAGAACTGCGTCTTACAGAAATTGAGTATGGCAGCTCAGAATCAGCGCGAAGATGTGCCCGAGAAGGTCCAACGCCAGACTGGGACCCTCGAGGAGCGGCGGATTCGCGCTCTCGACCACCAGGACTCTTCAGCCGAGAGCGAGAGCATGCCATTCATCGGGTCTGGTTTGGCGTCGATGAACCGCGGAGGCGATGTATCACCCTCCTTGCATCCTGCAACAATCTCGGCAGACCCAATCGGATCTATATACAACGACAAGCCAACCGCAGCCAGGCCGCTTTGGAGGATATGGTGGCTCGAGATTCTATTCCTCGGACTCAGCCTCGCCCTGTTCGCTTGTAGGTCTATACCCTGTTTCCCCCGCCGTGTTTCCGGCATACGAGTGCTGACGTATCTACCTATTGATCGGTAATATAGCAATTGTTATTGTCCTCGCCAAATTTGACCAACAGGGCTTGCCAGACTGGCCTCAAAGTATCACTCTCAACACGTTCCTCGCGCTCTCCACCACGCTATCCAAAGCAGCCTTCATGGTCCCCGTCTCCATAGCCATCAGCCAGGCGAAATGGACGTGGTTTCTCGAGGAGAGGCCGCTACACGACTTCTCCATCCTGGATCAATCGAGTAGGGGGGTTTGGGGCTCTTTGATCTTGCTCTGGCGCGTGCGATTCCGGCATTTCATCGCCCTCGGGGCGCTTCTGACGATCGCGGGCATCCTGACTTCACCAGTGTCGCAGCTAGCCATCCGCTATCCCGTACGAGATGTGGTGGCCCTGGGGGAGGAAGCGACCGCTAGGACCACCTGGCGCATGAAAGCACAGGGAGATGGATTATCACTCGCGACGACCTTGGCCATGCGAATGGCCCTGGCGGAGGATACCACTAATTTCATGACACCAATTTCTCCGCGTGCGACCGTCTGTTCCACCGGGAACTGCACCTTTGATCAGTACCCGTCATTGGGTGTGTGCATGAAGACGACGAACATAACCTCACTGCTGGAAATCGAAAAATTCGAGGATCCGCCGGAGGGTACGTTGATGATGGGGAACGCTTTGGGCTCACTCGCTGTCCCAGGGCAAACAATATGGAACGTATCACTCCCGGTCGGCAACAGAATGGTACACCAATCGCCGGCGTCGTTTTATACGGACATGCTGAACGGGAATAACACCCTTGGGTTTGCAAACGACACGAACCTGCTTCAGACGAGAGTGGCCTCGTTTATCATCATTCATACCATCCCCACTGATGCCGCGAGCCTTGCCGACATCGCTGCAAACAGGACCGTAGCAGGCTCTATATACGGGTTTAGGCACGAGGCTCACGAGTTTCTATTCCACCTCTGCGTCCAGACATACGAAACAGCAGTCCACGCAGGCTTGGAACATACTCGCATGGTCAGCGAATTGGCGATCCCAGTTGAGCCGACAGGTGATGTTTTCCTAGATATAGACTGCGGAACCCTCCTTGGCGATATCGCTTATGCGTGCAAGGGGAACGAGTCCCGGTGGGACGAGGTACTCGACCTCGAGAGGCCGGCTAGTATAGCGACCAAGAAGGTAAACCGGACAGATGAGGAAGCAGGTTTCAACATCAATTATGCTGCCATGGAAAGCATGGCGTCACAGATGAAAAGCGCCATGGAAGGCTACGGAAGACTTTTACCTGACGATACTATGCAAGTCTTCGGTGGCGATTTTCCCTTCGCCCTCCTCGACGAGGTGATCCTTGACCTAGAACACCTGACAAACTCGACTCGCCTTCACACTCGCATCACGAACATGTATATGAATGTCGCGATAGCTCTATCATTCATGTGAGTCCATCAACCTGTTGAGAATAATTTGAGAATAATTTGAGAAGAATAGTCCGAGTAAGGGAGCTGACAGAAAAACGAAAACACAATCTAGGATGCGTGGCAATATACCCAAAGTTGGTGTGAGAGGTTCACACAACGTCACCGGGCAGGCGTGGAAAGAGGCTTCTTACGTTGACATCTCGTGGGGATGGGTCTCGTATCTCGCAGTCGAGATTATTCTTGCCATCGGGTTCGTAGCCGTCACGATTTTTACGTCAACGGCGGGCGGCGACCGACTCCGGGATCTCAAGGAATCGTCCTTGGCGCCTCTTACCGCGCTGAGCCCGGAGTGTCGCTCAATGATGGGCGGTGAAATCCAGCCCGCGGACGAGCTAGAGAGGATAGCAAGAAGGCTGCGGGTGAAACTCTGGGAAAACGAGATTGTTCCTATCAAGGTTGAGGAGCCATTAGCGTCATCTCGGAGTCCATCTTAGAACAGCGTCAATAATAGTAATTATCTCTACTGCAGTTCCACAGTAAAGCGCGGGCTCCCAAGTGCAGCTCCCCGGCAGCGACGGGGTCAAGGAACTCCCTCGGCGCCCCGGGGGGCCGGGGGAGGGAGGTGGATTTGCTTCCGTTTCGGAGATCATTAAACCAGTAGTCGAGAGGAAAGGGGGTGGTGATGACCAGGATAATTTCAATGTATGCTGGCGGGGAATTTTCTCGGCCTGAAGAGTCCCAAAAAAAAAAGGCCCTCTTGTGGTTGCCAGGTTGCGAAACTTACTATACCCCTATTATAGAATACAACTGCTTTTGACCTAGTCGCTACATATTGTAAAAGGGACTGCGTGAGCAGGCATAAATGGAGCGACTGGGTTGTATTGCCTTGCGGCGACATTCTAGGAATGTACATTGTTGCAAGGCAGTCAAGCCGCCCGTTGCCTAAGACGGTCCATATCATCTCGAATACGCGGCTCATATTATAGGCAGCATTTGGTCAGTCATGCATGAGAAGAACCAGAGAATGAGAATACCGTCGCAGGTGCAGCGCGTGAGCTACCTAGACATTAGTGTTTAATCTTTTTATTTCCTCTCACCAGCCTCAGATCCCCTTTTGGCCAGTCTTCCTTGTCAGAGACTGCACTCTCTATTGAGCTGCTGTTCTCTATCAATCTGTCACAAAATATAATCGGAGAAAGCCAAGATCCTCCCTCCTTGATATCTATCCTCATCTTCCACGGGAAGAAGCCACCAGGGAAGAAGCCGCCAGGCAAGTGCCGCAGAACCGAAGCCTGCTCAGCCCTATCCAACCACGGTCCGTCAGCTCGTCACCACCGCCGTCATCCCGAGCTAAACCAGCTAAACCCATGTCGGTGCAGAACCTATCATTCCACCAGGGCTGACCCCCATTAGGAGGGGTCGAATGAATGGTCCCGCGTGGTGTTGGATGGTGTTGGAGAGAGAGGCTCCAGGCAACCACACCACACACGTTCTGGCATTCCAATGAAAGAGCATTTTGTTGGTTGTGAGCGACCCATCCCGGCGGCAAGTGAGCAGCGGCACCGCCCAGGCTATTGCCACTGCGCAGTGTGCCAGACTGCCAGTGCATGCCAGGAAGTGTACTATCGTATTGTCCTGCTGCGCTTCTGCTGCTTTCGTGCTGCGATGTAACGTGGATCTTGACAAGGCTACGGTTGTTTCTTTTTTGGTGAAGCTGTCAATTGCGTGAGCTGCTGTCCGCGCATTTTAAGTAGAGAACTGTTCCCTCCATTTTCTTTTCCCGCTCTTGTCAATTACTCAGACTCGTGTTGGGAGCATTCGCCCATTTTCGTTTCGCTTTGCCTCTTTTCCCCTCAAGTTGAAAGATAGAAGTTCTATTCATCGAATCAAACCAAAACAGCGAAGAAATCAGCTCAACCCACCCAAGGTTAATCCAATCCTTCAGAATATACGAAGTATTGACAAAGAAACTGTTAGGAGGAGTGATTTCGCATTGTCCAGGTCTCCCCGCGCTGGGCGCATGTTCTCTGAGCGAGACAAGGTCGTTCGAAATCCAGAGCTGACATTAAGCGCCGCATTGCTCCAAGTCCGAAGCATTCCTCCGCCACGGTCTGTGTGAATTTTGCAGGGACATTTCGCGCCAAGGTGCCTCCTTCACTACCTCCATCACTACCTCCATCGCCATCGCCATCACCACCATAGAATATGGCATTACCACCCTTACCACCGCCTCCTCCTCCTCCACTCCCCAAACCACCCCCGAAGAGGCGTGGACCGCCCCAGGAGGTCATCGATGAATTTTGGAAGGAGTTCTCTGCCCAAACTCCAAGCAAAGGTAAGAAGCATCTCATCTAAAGGGCGGCGGGGGCGCTTCTGTGACATCGCCGTAAAACGAGAGGCTGGGATCTCCCCATTGAACCCAAAGCGTGCCGGCGGAGAAGACTCCTAGAGGAAAGAGAAGCCGATAATAGAGCTAAGCTAACTCTAACTCATTAAAAAAAGCAACCACTGTCATACCCCAAAATGAATACGCCGAAAAGGCCGCCAAGCGCACCGGCCAAGGCCCGGAGCGGACAACGCAGTCCTCGTACGCCGAGGCCGCCGAGATCTGCCGCACCAAAGTCCGCAAGATCGCCGACGAGTGTCGCGCCATCAATCGCAAGTACCGCGATCCGCACTTCGATCTCGAGTACGACCTCAAGTGCAGCAAGCGCGATTGCCTCGAGTCGCTGAGCAACAAGCGCCCGGCGTCGGCGCCCAAGATCGACGATGACGGGAGCGACACCGAGTCTGACGGGCCGGATAATAATCCTCCTCCGTTCAAGCCTAGGGCCGTAAAGAGGGTGGCTGATATCTTTGATGAGCCGCAGTTCTTTATTGATGGGCCGTCTATGCAGGATGTAAGGCAGGGGAATGGAGGGGATTGTTGGTTTCTGGCGTAGGTTGCTCTTTTTATGCACGCCTTTGGCCCTGCCTTTTGAGAAAACCTGGTCGGGAGAAGAGACTAAAATGCTAATTTTCCTCGAATTCCAGCGCACTTTGCACTCTTAGCAATAAAAAGGGCTTGATCGAGCGTGTCTGTGTCGCGAGAGATGAGCAGGTCGGCGTCTACGGCTTCGTCTTCCACCGCGATGGCGAGTGGTTCAGTGAGATCATCGATGACAAGCTCTACTTAAAGAAGCCCGACTATGACGAGAGCTTCATCGAGCGCATGCTCTGGTACGAACCACTTCCTCATCCCAACATGTTTGTTCGCTCTCGTTGTTTTTCTAACTTGAGAATTTGCAGGGACGATCGAGAAAGAGTAGATTCCGAAGAGGCATACCGCCACATTTACCAAAGCAACAGCGGCGCCCTCTACTTCTCCCAATGCGAGAACCCCAACGAAACATGGTTGCCCCTCCTAGAAAAGTGCTACGCCAAAGCCCACGGCGACTACGCGTCCATCGAGGGCGGCTTCACGGGCGAGGGCATAGAGGACTTGACCGGCGGCGTGACGACGGAGATCTACACCTCCGACATCCTCGACCGCGAGGCCTTCTGGAAGGACGAGCTGATGCAGGTCAACAAGGAGTTTCTCTTCGGATGCTCGACGGGCATCTGGGGTCGCGGCCTGGGCAATCGCAAGGGCATCGTCGAGCTCCATGCCTACTCCGTCATGCGCGCCGTGGAGATCGAGGGCAAGAGGCTCGTCCTCCTCAAGAACCCCTGGGGCAAAGGCGAGTGGAAGGGCCCCTGGAGCGACGGGTCCAAGGAGTGGACGGCCGAGTGGCTCAAGCGCCTTGATCACCAGTTCGGTGACGATGGGGCCTTTTGGATCTCATATTCGGATCTGCTCAGGAAGTACCAGGCTTTTGACCGCACGCGCCTCTTTGGCGACGATTGGCGTGTTGCTTCCATGTGGACGCCTCTGTCGATTCCCTGGAAACACGACTACCACGATACCAGATTCGAGTTTACGCTTTCGACGGGCGGCGAGGTCGTCATCGTGCTCTCGCAGCTGGACGATCGATACTTTAGGGGCCTCGAGGGCCAATACACCTTCAGTCTCTCCTTCCGGCTGCACCGCGCGGGCCAGGAAGATTACATCGTCCGCACGTCCCCCGCGTATCGCATGAGCCGCTCGGTAAACGTCGAAGTGAAGCTCGAGGCCGGAGACTACACCGTCATGGTCAAGGTCGACGCCGTCCGCAACAACTCCATCCTGCCCGTCGAGGACGTGATTCGCAATAATGCCAAGACGCGACGGGAGAAGCTGCTGCGCATCGGGCTGGCCTACGATCTTGCGCATAGCAAGGGTCGATACAAGGAAACTGAGGAGGAGAAGGCGCTGCGGGAGGCTCACGAGAAGAGGGTGTTGAATCGAAAGAGAGAAGAGATGAGGGGGTTCTTGACGAAAGAGAAGATGCAGATCAAGTACGTGCGGTGGAAGAAGCAGGCGAGGGAAAGGAAGGAGATAAAGAAGGCCAGAGCCCGCAACGATCGTCATGGGGATCAAGAGTGGGATGGGCGGCCTGGGAGCCCGGGACCTAGGCGACGTCCGGGTTTCCGCCCCCAGATGGACCGCCCCCCGCCTGGTGGCAGGTTCGCCCCTCGTGGACCTGGACCTCGCTATCGTGATAGGAGGCCAATCCTTAAGGATAGTAAGGATGGCGATGCGGGTCGCACTAACAGCAGTGAGTCGAGGACCCAACATACGCCGTCATCTCCGTCGACTAGCGCCCGACCCGGAGGAGTTGAGGACAAGAGCACGCAGACTCTGTTAGATCAGCAGACGGCCGAAACTGCGGACAAAACGACCGAGGATAGTAAGCCAAAACCCGAAGCTCCCACCGAGCCTGGCAAAAAGAAAGCCAGCGATGAGCTCAAACCTTCCGTCGGAGATGCGTCCGAGGAGACAAAACCTAAGGAAGGGAACAAGGAGGAAAAAGAAAAGGGGGATGCAGAACCGCCCACAGATAAAAAGCTCAAGGGCGATGAGCCAACATCCACAAAAGAGAAAGAACAAGACGCCTGCGGTGAGCAGCCAAAATCTACAGAAGGGAACGAACCCCCCAAGAAGGACGAAAGCGCTCGCCCCCGGATGCCCGAGCGAAGACACGTCCGCCGCGTCTCCTCATCTGCAGAGCAAACGGACCTGGATCCCCCATCATCCACACGCGTAGAAGACGGCTCGGCCGATAGACACCGCGGCCGCCGACCACTTCACAGGATGCCTCCTCCCCCATCAGGCATGCCGCGGTTTGCCATGCCCCGAGACGGAATGGCACCGCCACCGCTGTACCGGGAGCCCGAAGCATACTGCGAATCGGACAGCGAGGGTTCCGACTCCGAGGTCTCCAGCATCTCGTCCATCTCCGACGTCACCGATCGCGAGGTCGACATGGAACTCGGCCTCGTCAGGGAATCTCAGAACCGGGGCAATGGCCTACCTCCGCCCGGAAACCTACCGCCTCCTCCAATGATGCCTCTACCACCCGGCGCAGGGGACAAGCCCGACATCGAGACCGATCCGTGGAATGCCGTCGTCGTTGTCGGGCTGAGGATCTATCATAAGATTCCCGAGGAGGATAAAGAGAAGGAGGTGGTGAAATTGCGCGTCGTGCGGCCGAACCCATACTCCGATGACGAGGCGAGCTCGGCGGACGATAAAGGTGAGAAGAAGAATGACAAGAGCGGTAAGAAGAAGAGGGATAAGTCGAAGGGGCTGGATGTTGATGATAGTGCTAAGGATGCTACGCTCGAGGGGACCGAGAAGGAGCGGAAGATGTCGATTGTTCCGACGAAGGCTGCCGCGGGGGATCATAGGAGGCGTGTGTGGAGTAGCAGGAGAGTGATGACGTATAGGCCGGTGCCGCAGTTTTATGAGACTGAGTAGGGCGTAGGGAGTCTCTGGGGGGTTTGGCGTTTGGTATTGTTGTTTCCCCTGTTTTTGATTTTGTTTTTCTTGGATACTCTGCTCATTTTTTGGGCCCGCAAGTTTGGTTTGATATGGATAACCGGGTCTGGGGACGATTCTCTCTTCACTTTGATGAATCTAGCTATCGCTGAGCTAGAGAGTATACGAACGGGAAAAGGCCATCAAGGACAGCCGAGTAATGAAATAATGAGATATAATGAACTTGATAGTTTCGTTGGGTATCTAAGAAGCAGTAAAACTCTTGCCCATGCCAAAGAAATATCCTTCCCCCTCAAGCACCTTCGCGATTGTTTCCATCCTTGACTCCCAAACGCCAAAATATCCTCCCATTATTACCGTCATCGGACCCCGTCCTCACAAGCTCCTTAAAACCTTCGTGACCCTCTCCTCATCCCCCTCCAAAATCTCCTTCACCGTTTTATCCTCAGCATGCCCCAGTCCCCCCGGCACACCCCCCAGCCGCGCCGAAACCCTCAGCAGCAACAATCTCATCCTATCCAGTTCCTTCTCCATCGGGCCCCTCCTTGTAAGCAGACTCTCCTGCACGCCAGCGGTGGTCTCCCGCCCCCTCTCGTCGACGAACGACGTCTCGAAGGGCCGAAGAAGCTCCTGCATTCTCCTGAGGCGACGGACGCGTGCGAGGAGTTGTTTCCTCTCGTCGGCGAGGGCGGAGAGGCGCGCGATTTGTGTCGCGTAGCGGTGGGCTTCGGCGGGGTGTGCGGAGGCTTCTTCGTCGGATGGCCATACGGGTGGTAGACGGGCGATGACGGCATCCCTAGCTAGTTACACACAATCACGTTCCGCGTTAGCTACAAGAAGCTCCTTTCTGGGCCAATCGAGGGAAACACTCACTCAAATCGACTTCCCTGCCAATCCCGTCGCCCCCTATCCCCTCCGCCTTCCTCTCCGTATCCTCCCAGTATAACCTCTCAATCTGCTCAGCCACATGCCGCGCCGCCTGCGGGGGATACACCCTCCTCGCGTGCTGCTTCAGCACCTGCGTCAACTTCGCCAGGGCGTCATCGACGGCCCGCTGCGGGAGGGGCGAGTCGGACGAGGCGTTGGAGCGGTTCCATGCCCGGGAGGGGAGCGGATCGGGGGTCGTGAGGAGGCGGGTTTGTTGGGTTAGGAAGGAGAGCTTTTTGGCGATGATCGTGGGCGGGTCGGCCATCTTTTTTTCTTGTCTTCCTCTTGGCCTTGGCGTGATGAAATGTCCGGCGTCGCGTGGGGAAGAAATTGGAATTGGGCTCTCTTTAAAAAATTGAATTAAAATGGGACTTATCGTTGATTTTAGGGGTGGCGGTCTCTTCGCTGTGTTGCTGGTGGCTTTAGCTTTGAAAGCGACGCGATGTGTTTCGCGTTGATCATTAATTCCAGTGATAATTCCATCATTAATTCCGATCTGGAACCCTTGTCGATCGATCAATTAATCAGTGCCCCTCCCCCTCCCCCTCCCCCATACGCCGCTTTTACACTAATGTGCGCACTTTCTTCCCCCTCCTCGCCCCCCCCTTCGCACCCTGATAGCCTTGTCGGACCTCCAGGGTCCTTCCTGCTACTTCTCACAACCACCCCTCCTCTTAACAAGGGAAATTCGATCCTACTTCTTGCCATCACCAGCCGTAGATATAACCTGTATTCTCATCCTAGAAGTACTAATAGTACAACAATAATCTCAAATGATGCCTTTGCCGTGAAAGCACAAACGCCAGCAATCCCGTGAATCCCTGAATTCCGTATAAGCGTACAGTCGTATGCATGATATAACATCCCATACCCCGTTTGAATATCCTCAGTGAGTCTCGATAGATCCGTAGAGTACAAAGTTAGTAGTAGTACAATCGTTTGTGAAGCGGTTCGTAGCCCCCGGTCGGCAGGTGCCATCAGCATCGCCAAAGAACATCGCGAGGAACAGACTCGCACAACAAACATCGAAAAAGGCCGTCCGGGTCCCGGCAAAAGCAACACGACACAACAACTCGAAAAGTCACTCATTCACCAGGACACACCGGGACGCACCTTAGACACTTCAACTTTCACCCTTCACAACCACGAATGCAAAGAGAATGATATGATTGGCTCTCATCAACTGAGCCGTCCTCGCGTGCTCGGCGCCGCTAGGCCATCAGGGTGTGCTGTGTCAGAGTGGTAGTTTGACGGATATAAAAAGGGTGTGATGGGCGGGTAAATTTTTTTTCTTGATTTTTTGGTTTCTTCTCTTCTTTGCTCTCTTTTTTTTTTGTGTTGTTTCCCCCATTCCTTTTCCTTCGTGTTCTGGGACGACCAAGGCAACAACCTCCACTTCGCTTCTTCATGCCAGGCGTATGCTGCCCGGACGCGTTCCACCAAGCCTTCCTGTCTCTTCTCTCTTCAACTTCCTCAACTGCACTAGAAACCCACTTTCACCTCGACCATAAAACTCAACAGTCCAAAGCCAGCACTCGTCTCCTCCGTTCGACAAGAGAAGGACAAGACACACCACCCGTCACCGGAAGTGTGCCCCGTCTCCGTTGACTTGCCCCTCCCCTCAACTAAACCCCCTAAGAGTACTCCTTCCCTTCCAATTCCATCTTCCCATCAACGTTTTCCTAGCCTTGCTATTCCAACCATTCTCCTTGGCTTTCAACCTCCACAAGGTAGGGCAAGAGCTAGAGCGCATTACCACGTCCGCGACCAGGTCCGAGAAAACGATCGTCCGAGACCGCCGCATCCATTCGATCAAAAGGAGATCGGAAAGATGATGAGCAGCCTCAAACCCGCAATCCCGAACCGTGCTACCGAATTTAAGTCGATGTTGCCAACCAAACCTGGACGTGCCGCCGAAAAAAGAACAGGAGAAAGGGTGGGGTTTGGGAAGAGAGAAGAAATGACCCATTTGCGTTTCCGTCAATCTTTCCAGAGGGTATTAGCCAAAGATTGCGCCTCCTTGATGCCTCCAACCTTACCGCCCGCCGGCCGGATGTTCATTGCTTCTTCATTCCACCCGTCGTTCCAGAGCCGTAAAATGTACGAGATTAAAGAAAAGGGCATTAAAAACTTTTCCTGGCGTGGGATATCGTCGAACCTTCTTCGTCTCCTTCTCTCTCAGACTATGCGTAATAGTCGAAACCGCGTGCGAGAGCCTCTTTGTCTTAACATCTTCGCCATGGGAACCGTTGCAGACATGAGTTTCAGGGGTGATTCGTCAAGTCGGTAAAAAAAAAATCAAGCAGCTTTTCCGTCGTAGTCTTGCTCCAGAAAATAGATGACTCGGAATGACCGAGGACCGGGGACGCCGAACATTGTAGTAGGCCATGCAAAAAATAACAAAAAGAAAAAGTGAATAAAAGCCCGAGTGATGGAAGGAAGCCACCGTGGAGCCGAATGGAGTTGAGAAAAAAAAATGAAAAAAGAAGGGTGTAGGTATGTGAATGATCGTGAAAAAAAGAAAAAATCCGAAGATGGGGATAAAGGGGATGCGATATAGACGAGAGAAATAATAGGACGCGCGTAATAAAAGAAATCGGGAAATGCTTTCGGACAAAGAAAAACGAGGCGCCCTCGAGTCGCAAAATAACTCTCTCCACGAGGACACCGCGATCGCAACGGTGAAAAAGGAAATTATCGCGTACGCGATTCGGTTGCCAGCACAGTCAGTCGGGGGATATGTGGGATGCGCGATGGCAACCACCACAAGCCCCAGCGTTTATGCCCTGGCGGAGAGACCCCCCTCTGCCGTCTAGGCAACGGGGGCAATCGGGGCAACCGACGGCGCAGCGGCGGGGATGGAAGAAGCGTTGTTCATATCGACATCGTTGTTGATTTCACCGTTGGAGTTCTTCTGGGGGCAGTCGCGAGAGATGTGACCAGCCTCGCCGCACTGATAGCAGGTCTTGCCAGCAGTGTTAAGGGGACCGCCGTTGGGGGCGGTGCAGTCTCGGGAGATGTGGCCGAGCTTGCCGCAAGCGTAGCACTTCATAGCCTGGGCCTGGCAATCACGAGCGAAGTGGTTAGGACCACCGCACTTGTAGCAGGTGGCAGGTCGGGGTCCACCGGGGAAGCCACCTCGGCCGAAGCCGAAGCCGCCACGGCTCATGGGGGCACCACGGCCCATGTTGACGCCGGGAGCGTTGGTGCAGGCGCGCTAATGCATGTGTTAAAAAACATGGATCACACCTGTAAGCGCGAATGACGACGTTGACTTACAGCAAGATGACCAGGCTGGCCGCAGTTATAGCAGCGGCTGCTCGCCGCACCGCCGCTCAGGCGAAGGGTAGGGCAATCGGCCTGAACATGGCCGAGTCCTTGGCAGTGGTAGCACTGCTTAGCCTCGGTGGTCCTAGGGAGGGGGCAGCCGTTGGACTCGTGTCCAGGTTGCTTGCCTTTCCACGGACGTTAGATTGGTCCTCAACCCTACAACAGGATAAAACCTGAGAAAACTTACAGTTATAGCAGAGTCGCTCGGCAGAAGAGCAGACTTCGGCGTAATGGCCAACGTTGCCACACTTGTAGCAGGCACGGCGAGAGAGGGAAGACATTGTGATTAGAGGTTAAGGCCTGGAGGAACGCTACGTGTTAGCAGTCCGCTATCCCGAGAAAAAAAAAATGTGCAACGTTTGAAAAGCCCAGTCTGCCGGTGTTTGTTGGCCTGTCAGGGTTGACCCTCCACCCGGCGCCCGCACATGAGGACCGAAGTATATTTCGAGGCTATGGTGGCAGCGCTAATGATCCATTCTAGACTCTGTCGTCTAGATTGAGAAATGTTGGTCTCCGCTAATGCGCCCAACACAGGTCGCCGACGCCGTGGTATGCCATGGCGCAACATGTCTGAAGCCATGGGCTGTTCGATACGTCGCACAAATATGGTCGGTAATCTGACTCAAGCCACGGTGCGTTCTGGGATCGAGGATCGAGGCCACCCCAAGTGGTCGGGAGGGTGGTCACCCAGAACTTTTGGGGGTGTGTTGTGTAACCTTTGTATTATACCGGGACCGAGGGACAGGGACAGGCTCGCATGAGGGGCAGCGGACCGACGCCCGCGCCAGGATTTTCAGATCCGAAAACGCAAGGCCGACATTATACGAGACGAAAACGCCCGAATGCGCTTGCCTTCTGCGAGGTGATGTGCGTAGCTATTGGCCATTCCGAAGAAGAGATGTTTGAAGTGGCATCATCCCTGTACCCCAGGCATGGTGTCGAGGATGGGATAGTGCGGTGTCGGGTTGTTGCGCCAGGTAACAAATCCGCAGAAACAGTTATGGAGGCGGCATAGTCCGCCGCGGAGTCCAGGCAGGGCCGAAGAAGAAAGAAGCGCATCTTTAGAAGACCGCGCATTGATCCATCCAGGACATGGGAGACGATGCGCCTGGGACTGAGGGGTGCTGGCAGGCAACAAGGGCAGGGCAGGAAACTGGCGGTGGGAGAAAGAACGGCGTGTAGGGCAGAGCGGCAGGAGCAGGCCACTCTTCTGAGAAAACTTACCGAAACTGGGTTCGATCGATGATAACTAGAATGGTGGACAGGTATCCTCAAGAGAGTTGCTATGATTGAAAATATTAATATCGAACAAGAGTCGACTCGATCTTGTGTCACGGGCAATGTAGGAGAAATAAATGGTGCAGACTCACGAGGATATGTTGGAAAATTTTTCTCTGAGGCGAGGTGACTTGGAAGCGTTGAGGTGGAGAAGAGAAGTGCGAAGTGTCAGGAGTTCAGGGAGGGGATCAATTGATGTACTTGGTCGTTTAGGTCGGTCTTGCCGTTTACATCGGCGCACTTTGGGACCTAATTCTGTGGAATGAATAAGCTGGGCAGGCGCTAGTGCCGGGCAGCAACTGCACTCACTTGTAACACTTGGGGCCGAGAAACAGCATTTGAGCTGAACACAATACACTTGAGTATTAAACTCACAAAGAAGTGATCGAAATTGTACGGATTGTACTTGTACAGTCATACACTCCAATTTCAGTGGGCTACCATGTTGTCAATACTCAAGATGAAGTATAAGAGAGGAGTGTCTTCGTTTGAGGACATCACACTTGGGTGTTGACTACCCGAGAGAACTCCTCACGATCTCTGGATCTAAACGTCAAAGCACGGTGTAATTACCCCTCTACAGGCGCTGATGGATAGACGTGACAGGATTTGCTTCGGCTTTACTGGCATCCTGCGGATAGCTTTGATTCCGGGTCTGGGACAGACAGCATGCAGCGATGGCTAGCATTACACACATCTCGACAGAGGTAGTATATTGGATTGATTCGAATTGGTTTTTGGATCGGCCGGGTTATGACCACTCCTCCTGAGATGAAGTAGTTTAGAGCCAAATGTCAAACGCCACCAGTGAAGTCTTTTGCGTGGCAAATCGAAGTCCCATGTCTCGCCAGGCTGCGCAGAGTCTGCGACTGATGGATTTAAGTCTTTTCTGGCTTGCCCAGTCCACGAATGGCTTCCAGCGAGAGTCATTGTAGGGACAATTGTAAAATGAAGGCTGGGATTGATGTTTTAGTCCTGTGTCTCTCCTGCTCTGTCTCTCGTCTGTCGACTCAATCTGCTAGCGTTTGACGGATTCAGTTGCGAGAGCTTCACGGTATCGAATGGTTTCTTAACTAATACTCGTAGTAGTTTATCATAAACAGCGAATCACCCCAGAGTTCCAAACCCATCCGACGGTCAGTGGGGTAGGATCGATGGGTTTGGGCGTGAAAATCTCATCTGTTCCTGTGACGAGCAAGCTGGTGTCAATGTAATTTCCAGCCTCCACATTGGGCAAGTGAACTTTTTAGTCATGAGTTTATTCTAATAATTTGGACATGCATCAACCTGTACGAAGTAGCGTAGGCACACTGCAGCTGTCCCTGCATCGAAGTTGGTGTGGTGCGCGTCAGGAGGCCTGGACATTAATAACAGGGCCGGCATTAAGAAACCGAGACAGAATGTTGATGTGCATCTGCGCCTGCTCGATCGCGACGGAAGACGGGACTGGGAGCCGAACTGACATGGAGCTGGAGGTGGGAGGCATTGATGGGATTCTAAGGACGAAGAATATCGCCGTCTTGAGGGCCAAGGCAAACCAGGGCCCGCCTAGCTACGACTTCAATTAATAAAGTACACGTACCTCAGTATACGGGCAAACTGGCAACTAAGCTGTATGTAATATTATGATGGTGGGATGGGTGTCTTCTGAATCCGAAGTACTCAGTACTTCGTACAAACTGCAAAGCACCACTTCGTGTAAAATGCGGGGGAAAAGCAGCGGCAGGGGTTCATGAGAGAAAAACTTATACCGGGATCTTAAAGGTTAGCGTGGGAGATCAGATCCACTACCTGACATATCTCACGACAAGTACTGGATAGGTATTTTAAAATATAAATTGCTAGAATATATACCAAGTCAACACTTGATCTAAGATATGTTAGGTGGTGGCAATGATCTCTCGCACTAACATTTAAGATCCCTGGAGAGGTTAATGTGATTATGACGTCTAAAAACCCAAAAAAGGGTCTTCGAGTGTGGGATTCAGCAAGTCGACTCCGAAGCAATAATCCCGAATAATGTGACGAGTGTACAGGGGGGTCAGGACTCAATAAAACGCGAGACGATATTTCGGATCGGATTACTTTGTACGCGTATGGCCTGGCCTTTTATTGTTGTCAATGTATCGTATTGCTCACCGCTCCAGACAAATCTACGGACCTCCATCTCAACAATACCTTGTCCCTACGAAGTACGCGACCCTAAATCTAGTAATATTATTGATACATCCATATTATTGCACTCTGCATTCGAAGGGTCTGTGGGCCTTTGCCCTCACCAAAGGGGGACGAACCTGCTTCCCACGTGGCACAATCTCGACCAGAAGCCAGGACGGGTTGTGCAATAGTGACACTGCTTCGTGCTGATTCCTTGGCGTGACGTTTGATTTGTAGCCGTGTGCGGATCAAGTGAACATAGAAGATGTACTTCATGGGCGAACCTCTCCTTTGGCGCCTGGTTAGAGGGGGAGAGTCTATTTTCCTTTTCTTTTGATTCTACCCGTTGATATTTGTCGATCCTAAAATACATTCGCATAATGTTATTCTTGCCAACATTTTGATCGCATATTTCACAGAAACGCCTCCCACATCGTCCACCCAAGAAAATACGAAGACTCCAATTCATGCGACAAGAACGCCCATAACATGCGCCAGGCTTTACATATCAAAACAATCCAAAAATTCCAAATGAGCCGCCAGACTTATACCCGTGGCCGGCCAGGCACTGTTCATGGTTGGTAGAATATCCCTTGTTACCAGGGTGCTTGCGCTCCATCCCACCTTCCCCTCTCGGAGGGGTGAACCGGAAGAGGCACATCAGTCGTGGGTGCGGTCGACCTAGGGACGGCATCGACAACGTAACTGATGCCATCGTCGGAGGCATACGATGGTGGTCGCGGACCTGTTTGGGGCTCTGACCACCTTGACGATTCAGCCGTCTGCGGATCATCATTGCGTTGCCAGAAGAGCCGGTTGGGATCAACGCGCTGTTTGTTTTTTTTTTTTTCTCTGATTAGCGATCCAGTTCAGGTTGTCCTCCATCGTTCGTAAGAGAACGGGGAAGAAAAAAAGAAACCAAGAAGGTCTGTCCACTTACAACACTCTCTCGCCATAGCCCATATGCTGGTGGACGCAATTTGGTTGTCTCACTCTCAATCCCGGCGGCCTCCTCGTCTCTGGCCAAGACAACCCGAATGGGCACCCGAGGAATCGCATAGCCGCCGAGACCAAGCATCGGCGGTCTCCCTGCCGCCTCGTCCCCCTCAGGGCGGGGTCGCGCGACGGTCATGCAGAGTCGCAGTAAAGCGTAGCAAAAGAAGATTGTTGTGAAAAGGATGATGAGAATTAGTAGGACGGTAAATTCGCTGTTGTTGAGGCTCTTTGTAATCGACAAAGCGAGATCTTTTTTTTTGGTCGTCAACGCAAGTCCAAAGTCAGCTTCAAAGCTCCAAGTCACTCCAGCCAGGTACCTCAAACTAGAAGATAACTCGCATAATGCGAGAAGGATCTGAGGGAAGGGGTACTGGATCACCTACATATGGAGAGAAGCAATATCAGGGAAATTCCCGATACGACACATCGTAGGATATGAGATCTGACTTGTTGCGACCGAATACCGGGCAAGCAACGCCGTCTCGTCCTTCGTGGACTCGTCAGGGTGCTGGGAGTTTCGACCTGGCTAGTTTCCGGACGCTGCTGTTCCTGGCCTCGTACAGTTGCATTCGAGCTCCGTTCTGTATGGGCGGGAACCGATGGGCTGGGCAGTGGGGACGCGCCCCGAGCTCGTCCTTGGGTTGTGCCGGCATGAGCTGCCGGTGAAAGCCGCGCTACGCCTCCGTCATCGACGGCAGATACTGCAATAGCAGGCAAAGTTTCTCGTCGTAATTCCGGTTGAGCGGCCCTTGCTGTTGATGGTCGCGATTCCGGCCCATTGGAGCCCGTCGTCCACGTACGCGTCAGATGTGGCAGGTGTAGTCTCGTCGAGGGAAGCGTTGGCATGCCCAGTCGGAATCGAGGCGTCTTGGGGCTCTCAACCTCCTCCATTATATTCGAGTTTTCCCGCTCAGTGCCATCGCCTTCTTCCGCCCTTCCCCGTAACCGACCGACGATTGGATTTCGTAGGCCGCCCAAAACTGAAGGCATGCTAGGCCGACGAAGCGGCAATAGTCTACTACGAGACGTCGATCGGGATCTCTCTCGCATCTCGTGTTGACCCTGCGATTGTGATGAATCGGATTCTCGACGTCGCTCCATTTCGTCTATTGGGCTTCCGGAGCCTGCCCGATGAGGATCCGATGTTGGAGCACTTATTTATCGTCTCTTCAGACGACCGGTTATAACGGAGCGAGTCTAAGATGTTTCTTCATTCCCGATTCCTCCGCCTCAGGACCGCCCGCCTCCTATTTTCTTTCTTAGTTAAGGAACGCTTGCTCGGTGGTATTTTCTGCTGTAGGCCAAGCGCAAGTAATCTCAAGATTGACTCTTCGAAACCCGAAGCCACCAAGGTAAAAGCGAGGTGATAAGAATCGAACTTGATGAGACCCAGTGAGATTTGATCTGACACAGGATTCGTGTAGGGACAGGGCCTATTCGGATTCGAAATTACAATCGGCAGCAGATCGAAGTCGGATGGATATCAGATGCGAAGAGGACGAGGGAGGTGAAATGGAAAATGGCAATCAAGATGAAGATAGAAAAGACAATCCCACAATCTCAAGTCCTACAATACAGACAGAAAGAACCAATATTAGGTGGAGTCCGTAAGAAAGAAAAATGGGGAATGGATAAAAAGAAAGCCCAGCACGAAGATCAATGATCAGAGCCAGAGGGATGGAAGATGAACCAGCGGAACAGATCGATGCGAGGACGGGACCATCTGGAGGTCTCGGGTAGGTAAGGGAAATGGACGGCAAGAGAGAGCCTACTACGAGAGATTCAGGTTTTCTCCTTCCTTTTCCTCTCTACTTTTTTTTACAGCCTTTTACGGAGTTATCAAACGGTCATCTACTCGAAATCTATCGATCATGTTGCACCATTGGTTCGCTGGTCGGCCTGATCGGGGGTGGCAGGACCGCGCCCCGCGATCTAGCAAAACCAAACAGGGTGAGTAAAGTGTCGCAGAAAGAGGACGACACTCAACGGGATTCGCTCGCCCAAGGTTGTCTGCATAAAGGAAGGGGAAAGGGATAGGCTGCGACAAGGTGTGTGAGAAGTTAGGGGCAGGCGCGAAGTGTTTCGGATTTTCGAGGGGCTAAATCGATCCTTTATTTTTGGTAGCCGCCTTCATTTTGATGACGGCTTCGATGCTGGGACCACTTATCTTCGGCCTGTTTATTAAAAAGAAAATACGTGACATTTCCTAAAAACACACGGACACCATAGGCGGATTTTGAGGCCAATGTTGGTGACATTCAGGTGGCAGTTGCTCACACATCTTGCCTGGACCCTTTTGAGAATGACCTTGTTTGGAACACGGGAAGCTCAGCTTGAAGTCGATACGAAAGTCTGGACCGTCCGTCGCACCCCATCTCACAATTGACGTCGTCAAGTATAAGCGGCTTGGTAGGGTTTCAATTAGTTAATTCAAGCCGACCGGTCTCTTGAAATTGGCAACTTAGCCGAGAGCACGGCGACTTTTCCTCGCTTGCTAACAATCTCAGTGTACTTGTGCAGACCTGATCTGGACATCAATTGATCATATACACTGTATCATACAGCCCAGGCAACTTCTGCCGGGAGCCCGTTTAGGGGCTTCTATCGTCATCAATGGGCTAAGCCTCCCCATCATATATGTTGTCTCCTCGATTCAACCTCCAGAGACGCTTCAGAACTTCCAGAAGTGTATAGGCAACAACTCATGCACCGATAATGCCTACGAAAGAGGCTGCCGGAGAATCCGTGGGGACCAGGTACACACATGGATCCTCGAATCGAAACAGGCAAGTAGGGGGAGAGGCGTAATTCTAGACCAGATTGCAGATAACTAGCTCCCTGTCGACCCTCTGTCCACCGCGCAGAGTGGCCGACCTTCGATGACAGGGTCGGTTGCAACCCCGCGAAGTGTGGATTTTGCCCGCCGTGCCGCCGTCGAGGCTCCTGCTTCTCGTAGGGTTGTAAACGGTAGTCGATAGGTTCACCTTAATTCGCCGAGAAGCATTGTTCGATCAGACGATGCGGAGAGAACTAGAACAACATGGTTAGTACAATAGAAACGTCGAGAGTTTTGCGGATCAGCGCAAACTTCATCAATATCATGTTTTCTTCCTTGCGCACATGAACTTACTAATTGGGTCCTTTCCGGGAGAGAACTCGGCACAGTTGACCGTCCCTTTATGGCCGGGAAGCTTGTATAATAGCCTGCCTGTGTCGTTCGACCAAACCAACACTGAGCCATCCCCAGATCCAGCAGCTAATCTTTTTCCAGTAGGGTCCCAGCTAGCCCCGATAAGATTCTTTTCCAAGCCCATTGACGCTCCATCGAACGTTCGAATAAGTCGTTCCGTGGGGGCAAAAGGTCGAATATCCCACGTCCGGGCGGTCGCATCCATGGAGAAGGATAGTAGCGATTGGGAGTCAGGGGATACCCTTAACGAAGTAATGGTGTCTTGGTGACCGACAAGGTTATAGAGAGGCGCCATCTTCCTCATGTCCCAAACCCTGACATCGTTGTCAATACTCCCGGTGTAGACTTCGTTGCCAGCTTCCGAGAGTGCGACTGCCGTAACCGGGAAATCCGTTTGGATATAATCAACCGCATTTTTTGTCCTTGGATCCCAGATGCCAATAGAACCGTCGTCACTGCCGCTTACGAGCAGGTCCTCACCTCTCTTGCTGATGTCTAACGTGTTGACAACCTCTTCGTGTCCAATGTATCTTCTTATTCTTGTTCCGGCCTCAAGATCCCAGCTGGCGAGATGCATATCAGCGGACGCTGAGAAGAGAATGGTGGAATCCCGGGACCATTGAAGGTCTAATATCGCGCCGCGGTGACCGGTTAATAGTCCGTAGTTCTCGCACTCGCCATAAGTTCGCCAAAGCACTGTATTGTATCAGCATCTGGTTCGTTTCAAGGAAAGGTAGAGATACTGAAATACTGACTGATACTCCTATCCATCGATCCGGAAGCGATAAGGTTGCCAGTCGGGTCAAACTTCGCGGCAAATATCTCGCCAGTGTGACCACTGAGTTGCATAACCGGAGCGCTCAATCCACTAGTTCGCGGCGCCTAGGAAGGGTATTAGCATGGAGAGGCTGTAAGGACATTAGAAACACGTACGCTCTGGATTAGTGCCGACTTGTCTCTAGATGCATTGAAGCGCGCAAGAGCTCCGTCCGACCCAAGATTCGGCCGCTTCACAAGCTGCGTCGAGGCGGGCTCATCAGAAGCCTGTCGCTTTTCACCCGACATTTTTTTGAACTGCCGAAACCAAACGGTCCGATAGCCCGCAAGATATGGTTTTGAGTTGGGAAGAATACAAGCGAGGAGCTTAAGGAGTGTTCTTGTTTATTGTTTATTGCTGGAGGCCTGCATGAACAACACCAATACCAGAAAAACATCGACATGCTCCCATGCTCGAGCTAATTCAATCGTCAATTTAGGATCCAGTCACGTGATATCGGCGCCGATGAACGCCGATTCCGGGATTTTTCCGATCCCATAATGGAGGTGAGGTACTTTGTACTTCCAAGACTGCCATTGATGATGCCTAGTAAGTGCGAGCTCCCACAATTCGAAAGCCGCCAGCTCTCCCTATCTACGATCAATTTCAAAGACACGCGCTGCGCTCAGTTGCTATCATGGCATCCAATAAAGCAAGCCGGTTAGGCGAGGAGTAAGTTACTGGAGCGCAACGTGTCCCTTGTTCCCGGCTGTCTATTCATCCCACTAACCACACGAGCTTTAGGATATGGAAGTTAGTTACCTCCTCGAACAACGTTCCGCGCGCCCTAGTTTCCCGCATCTAACGACTGCTATCCTTTAGGACTCGTGTTGATAAGGTCAATGCGGAGTTGGTTATTCTGACCTATGGAACTGTGGTCGCCCAGCTTTGCAAGGACTTCGACGGAGATTATGTCGAAGTCAACAAACAGCTTGATAAGATGGGCTACAACATTGGCTTGCGGCTGATTGAGGATTATCTCGCCAAATCCAATACCATGAAGCGGTGTTCAAACTTCAGGGAGACTGCAGACATGATTGCGCGGGTGAGGCCATGACTTGTCGTCATCTCTCGGCTCAGCGAATACTTACATTCCTTGGCAGGTTGGATTCAAGATCTTTCTGAATATTACTCCCCAAGTAACCAACTGGACCAACGACAACAAGCAGTTTTCGTTGGTCTTTGACGAAAATCCCCTGGCTGACTTCGTGGAGCTTCCCGATGACGGACGGGCGCAAGATGAGCTCTGGTACTCCAATATCTTTTGCGGCATACTGCGAGGGGCCTTGGAAATGGTCCAGATGCAAGTCGAAGCTCATTTTATAAGCGATATCCTGCGTGGAAGCGATACTACGGAGATGAGGATATCTTTAATTCGATACATCGACGACGAGTTGCCTCCTGAGGACGACTAATTTCGGTTCCGCATTCGACCAACATCCGCCATATCCCCAATGATGTGTACATTTCCCTTTTCCACGCCTCGGCTGCTCCACCCTCTCAACCATGGCCGGCTGGATCGGAAACACACCCCGTACCCGTATTGGTATTTACATACGACTTCCCCAAATCGCACTCTCATACTTGCAGCTGCCATGGCCTACAGTCAGCATTGGCCATCACATAGCCCCGAACTTTATACTAGGTCTTCATCTGAACCTTGATGTGCTTCACCGAGTTCTTCTCTCCCGGGCTCGGCGAGAGACCCTTACTTGTGCGAGCTCCAGCAGGTCAGGCTGCATCAAATGCACACCGCCTGCCCCACGTACGAAATTTAAGCGGCTGCACGAGTGTGGTATGAACACCAAACTTGAAGCGCTCTCATAACAGTCACCAATCAGCATTGAGCCTTCTGCAACCATCCAGGTTGCCTCCGTCCAGGCTACAACAGCGAATCGAGATATTGCGCCTTAGATTTCTACATGGTCATTCAAGAGGCAAATTCTGCAGACGCAAAATGACATAGTTGCAGTTTGAGTCGGTTGATCGATCACATAATAAAACCAGTTCAAGGAATGTTGAAAGTGTGGGCGGTCTGTCCAGTTGGGCGAGGTTGATTCCCCACCCCGCTTCGGAATGGAAATATTAATAGATGTCCGAATGCGCAGGCGCAGTCGCCTTCAGATCAATAATAAAGTTTATTAGTTGGACGGGTTTACAAGCTTTGGGGATCTTACTCAGTGGACATTGTGAATTTACAATTGAATCAAATGGATTAATGGATTGCACAGGAGGCTGAGGAGGCTCGACTGAGTGATGTCGAAATACTCTGGTCATTCGTAGGTGCCTTGCGAGGACCGGACGGAGGGCGCCATGTATCGTCCTGTTATGAGGTGCATCATCTGATGGTTCGGTCACACCTTAATAGCAACGCCTAATAATGTGGACGCGTCTGGGTCTGTGAGCAGAACAATCAAGATAGTCCCACATGATTGATGGTTCCAGCCTGAAGCAGAATGTTATGTTGATTGCAGGGAGTTGGGTCGACAGACGATGACTTGACACAGGGAAGTAGCCAGTGTCTAAAGATATTATTACTGTGTTATTGTTTTGTCTCGCCTAGAAAATGGGGCAGCGGTACAGAAACTACGCAGAGATACCGGGCCTTGCACAAAGAACGGCCGTTCTGGAAATTACGCAGCCTTTGTTACTCATCTCCATTCCTGCCCTCGCCACCGGTCTTCGCACAGTGCGTACCTCGACAGATGCTGGCGGGCGGTCTCGCAACCTCTAACCCCCCCGGGATCGCAGAAGCCATTAGTGCCTGGATTTGCACTTCTTCAGGGACGTTCCCGCCAGCTCCAGGCCTCAGCGTCCTAAAATCGCCAGCGAAACCGTCCAGACTTGTCCCATCAGGTCTCTCGGGGAAAATTTTTGGGAAAAGCCAGCCCCATCCTTTTCCCCCAAAGGCTGCTTGGCGTCTCTCACACCTTCGTCTTCCATCAATCCCTCACCTCTCTCCCCTTCCCTTTTCATCCTTCCCTGCTCTTCAAAAAAACATCCAGCAACCCCCTCCACTCGCCAACGGCCCTAGAGGCAAAACGAGTCGCAGGATACTAAATCGCACCCGCCCCATCTCTCTCTCGAATCTGCAAGCCGACTCCATCCGTTCCTTTGCTTCACACTTGCTTTCGCCTATCTCGCATCCCCCCCTGGCTAATTTCATCCATCCACTGTGCCATGATAGTTGATCTGTAACCTCACGATTGATGTTTTCATCCCCGTGCCTACTACGGCATCGTCGATCCGACCTGACTGCCCAGACTAACTGCAAGTCCTGGTCTCTTCGATCATAATCGTCCAGCATCAAACCTCACCGTCGGAGCCCGACTGCTGTTCAGCGCATCACTACCTTCGCGCATCAAATCTTGCCTCCGAGGACCGCCTGAGGCCTACCCCTTACGGGCTCCGCATCAGAGCGGTGCTTGCTCAACACGGCTTCGAGCCGGATTCTTTTTCGCTTTTGCGATCGCTACGGATAGCGACTTTCATCAACCAACTTTCCGCTCCATACCTCTCAATTCTCCACACCGTCACCCATTTGTTCCTGCGAGAACAAAGTCGTCTTGGTGTTACCAATACCTCATCAAGAATAGCCCGTTCTCAGCGTTTGACATCACAGTCGTCTAGCGATCATCTCTGGCCGACTCGGTACGTCAGCTGTTACACTCGTCCGGGTCGAATATTTCATCTCCGAGCCGAGCCCTCACCGTCCGGAACCAGCGCCTTGGTTCATCGCCACTCAACACCATCATTTGGCCTTGGCCATAGCTCGCCACAATGAACCCCGCGGCGAACGTGAACATGGCTAATCTGGGCGTCATGGGTGGCCCGGTTGGAGCTGCCCCGATGCCTATGATGAACAACGCGGCTGGAGTGCAACAAGCCGGACCTCGACAGCAGGCCCCCATCAACGAAACTCAGCGGACTCTGCTCAACACATACATCTACGAGTACTTCATTCGCTTCGGAATGCACGATTGCGCACGTACTCTTTTACAGGGCGACCATCAGGTGAACGTGATTCGCGATGGCGTCAATCGCCGTCGCGACGAAAACGGCAATATCCTTGGCAACGGTGTCGGAGGCGACGCCATGGATACCGACAGCAAGGACGAGATGGATGGAAAGCTTCCCGATGACCTTCCACCACCGAAACTTCCCAGGACTTCTGAGGGCATGTCTTTCCTACATGAGTGGTTCTGCTTATTCTGGGAAATGTACAGCGCGCAGCGGAAACCTGGTACTGGTGTTGTCCACCAATATGTTAATCACACACAGGTAAGCCTTCTTTGCCCCCAGCGCTGTGACGCATCGGATTGCCCCCCTTTCCTTCTGATGTTACTCTTCGCCCGGTAGCAACTGATCGCCCATGCACTCTGTTCACCTGCTGACAGTTCTTTCAGGTCCAAAACCGCATGCGACAGAACCAACACCAAGAGATGCTGCGGCAGATGCCACAACAGCAATACCAAGCTCATATGATGCGCATGCAAAACGGCGCTGGTATGGGTATGGCTGGAAAGCAAGGCCTCGTCCGTACCGCAATGGCAAATAACCAGAATCAGTAAGTTGAGAGTCGCCCATTTATGATCTCCACTTCTGTCTAACATTCCGCTTCACAGTCCCCAAGCGATGTTGCACCAGGCGAAACAGAACCAAATGCAGCGCGACCCCTCGGACATGGATGGCAACCGCCAGCGACCTGGCTCACCTGGCTCCGCCGATAATGCCCCATCACCGTCTAAGAGACCCCGACTCGGTGACGCAGCGTTTAATCCAAACCAACCCGGCATGCGTCCAGTCCAGGGTATGCCCGGACAACCAGGCGTTGCCCCGAATTTGCAACAGACTCAGCAGCTCCTGATTTCTCATGGAATCAACCCGAATCAGCTCACTGCCCAGCAACTGCAACAGTTCTCCCAGCAGAGCCCCGCTGTCCAGGCTAAGTCCATCGCCACCTACTCTGCCAACCTTCAGCAACAGCAGAGCCAGCAGATGCCCAACAAGCAGATGCCCAACGCAGGAATGCCCCAAGGCCAGGGCTCCCCAATGATGCCCCCCGGTCCCGACGGTGCGGCCATTGGTGCTTACTATAATCCTGAAATGGGAGCTGGTCCCGGAGGAATGCGGCCCGGACCCGGTGGAGCTCAGGGTGCTGGAGGTAGCAATCATGCTCTCCAAGATTACCAGCTTCAGCTTATGCTTCTTGAGCAGCAAAACAAGAAACGCCTGATGATGGCCCGCCAGGAACAGGATAATATGGGCGGAATCCCCCGTGATGCTCCTAACGGTCCCGGTGGACCCCCAGGTCCTAATGGGCAGATGATGCCAGATGCGTCTCCCCAAGGTGGTAGGTCTGGTGCCTCGCCAAACCCTACAGAGCAGATGAAGCGTGGAACTCCTCAGATGAACAACATGGGCTCTCCCCACCCGGATGGAAGCGTCCAGTCGCGGGGCTCACCTAACGCCATGAACTTCATGGCCAGCGAAATTAACCCCGGATTAGCACCCCACTTCTTCAAGGACATGAACGGCAACATGGTCGCCAATGGGCAGATGAACGGCATGCGCCCCCCCAGCTCTCACCCTAACCAGCAGTTCAACGGACCTGTTAACCCCCAGATGATGGCTGGTCGAGGACAACAAGCACCCGGGAATAACCCGGGCAACCCGCAGATTCAATGGCCAGGCGGCCCTAACAATCAAATGATGCAACAAGGTCCTCAAGGTCAACAGGTACAAGGCACCCCCCAGCAGAGGAACTCAATGCCGCCACCTTCCGGTCCAGCAGCGGCTGCCAGCAACGCGAACAACCGTAACACTTCGTCGCCGCAACAGAATACCCAGAGCGGTACTCCTCAGCCGCCCACGCCTTCTCAGGCAACGAAGCCTGCGCCCAAAAAGAAGGAGACTAAGAACGCTAAGGCTAAGGTGAGGAATCCTTGCGATGCAACTAATGTCGGTAGCATATCGTTAACTCTAATGATTACGTAGGCTGCGGCTCAGAAGAAGTCCAATACAAATCTTAACGCGGCCGCGGCTGCCGCCGCCGCCGCCGCCGCGACAGCGCCTAGCGAACCTCCTCAGGACGCAGAACCGCCCACGCCCGCTACACCTATGACTCCCGGAAACGCCACGGCTGCGTTTAAGGCCGGTCAAGCCGGTGCACCTACGGGAGGCGCGCCTGCGGCCTCTGGTCCTGCTGGACCCCAAGCGGCTCCCGCTCCCGCTCCCGCTCCCGCTCCTGCTCCTGCGCCTCCCCCAGCACAGCAGATCCATACGGACCCCACGCAGGGTGGCTCCTTCAGCTTAGACGGCAGTGGTGCCATGGTATGTCTTAATCTCTCCGGAATCCGTTTAGCACGCATAGTAACTAACGATCTGATAGGATGTCTTCCCGGGTATGGATTTCACCAATCCGATGACCACGAGCGATGTTCTTAATGACTTCGACTTCGACGCTTTCCTCCACGAGGATAATGATGGTGGCGGCTTCGATTTCAATGCAGGGTACGGCTCAATGGAAGGCACTGGAGAGATTGGGGCGGATTGATTCCGACTTCTAAACCGTCCGGTCCGCCCTAGTGGACCACTGGCCAATCTCGTCTTTCGCTCCTCATTCTCTGGTTCGGGAAATGACCCCATTCATCATCCTCCTGGCGTTTATTCTTTCGCAGCTTGAGATGTCTTGGCGTTTCACAGGGTTCCCCTTTCTATCTCACGTTTCGCGCACTTTATTTTTCTTCTCTTCTCTTTTTTTCTCCTTTTTCCATAATGAGGCAGGCTTTCACTTACAAGGTCAACTGGGGTCCGGCAAAAGAATGTTGCACAATCGTTTTTTCACTTTTCCCGCGGCTTTCCCCATCTCTTGCGCTCTGGCACCAAGCCTGGGCGTCGTCGATTGCTTTCCGGTTTTGCTCTTAGAAAGACGGCACAGTCGCGCAAGGGCTCTATACGCTCTTCGGCATGACGTCGACAGCACCCTTGTAATCCAAGGCACGAATTGTCAGGTCTCTCTGCACATTTCCAGCTTTTTTCTTTTCTGTCTTCTTCTTTCCCCCTCTTGGTTTTCAAGGACCGGGTTGTGTTTGTTCAACGATACCCATTCCCTGGGCTTAGTCTAGGCATACGCGGCGTCGAAGTAGATGGGGACATCACTTGGATCGAAAAACCCGGCGTCGCTACTGCTGATCAGGACGGGATACAATTTTCAATGCAAGGAGTAGTTATGACCTAGCTCTGGCTACTACAACTTCTCAACGGAGTTGGTTGTCTTTATTCAACATGGTTCACCCTGGCGAAAGAGCATTGCGGTGCTCAAGGTCCGAGGTATCGGGAAAACGGCGTGGGTAGCGAAAGTTGGGCATTTGGGGCTTTCTTACTCTTGTCTTTGTCAGATGTGTTATTTCCTTATCGTGTCTTTTTCCTTTTTATCTCTCTTTTCCTCATCACTTTTTCTCTTTTCCTGGCGCGTTTTTTTTTTTTTTCTTTTTTAGTTCTTTTCCACTTGGGATTTCGTGCCTCTGGTTTTGGGATTACGGAAAGGCAGGGGAAACGAAGGCGGAGGAGTGGTACAGTTTAAAGGTGTGATCATGTGTACGTATTATTATCAGGTTACGCGGTGTCCTGTTTGTCATTGTTTTCCCCTAGGCATCAAGGGATGTTTCTATCTATCCAACTCGATTTTTTTCTTCCTCGGATATCTTTGCTCTGCGATGTGCTGTCTTTGGCTACTTGTACTTCTTCTGGTTGGTAACATCGAACCATCACTCGAAACGCTGACTTGAATGGCCGTTCGTAAACACAGAAAGTCTGAGAATAGCAATCAGATTCTCAAACAAGGTCCGTAAATGACGTGAATCATGAAGAGCTCTGGATCGTGACCGAGCCTCACTATAGTATTTTTGTTTTGTTCTAGCCCCCTTCGGAACCAGACCAACCAGCGGATCTAGATACATGCCGGGATGCTTGACCCTGGGCCTAGAATGGGAGGGTAGTCTTTGCCTGCGATACCGAGTAGATTGCCTCCGGATGCTCCTCGAAGTGCACATACTCCTTGCCTCTGATTGCTATCGCGACCTAGTGCCGAGCCAACAGCCACCTGCGTATAGGTCGGTCGGAACTCCCATTCGGCTAACCCCCCCACGTCATTACGCCGCAGCATGGCGTATATGCAGCCCAAGGTGACACCAGTCTCCGAGGCACAGGGCGGACGCCATGAGCTGGTATTTTTAGGGGAGGATAAATGACGATCGGTGTAAAGCTCGCGACCGAAGGCCTCAGAGGCCATCGCCCAGCCTCTCGCCTAACGCTATGATGGTGTTTTCGTAGATTCGGTCAACGTCGGTGTTGGTGCGGCCTGCACCTGCTGCCCTTCCCACGCCCATATCGTCATCGTCATCGTCGTCGTCATCAACATCAACATCAATGTCATCATCGTCGTCGTCACCGGCAGGCCTGCCGTCATCTTCAAAGGTATCACCCAGAAGCTTAAACATCAGAGCCCGGGTCGACTCGACCGAGCTCCGACACCGAACCATATCGGTCGTAGTCATACCGCCGTTTAGGCCGTTTTCAAACCCTGGAAGCGGCTCCTTGGTGGCGAGGTCCTGGCCAGACGCGAGGCTGGCAAAGCAATGGTCCAGCTTCCGGAGTAACCTCAGCGTGGCGTCTGGCTCGGGTGGGAATGAAGGGACGTATTCCGTGAACTCGCTGGCGATGCGCAGGAGAATCTGTATTTGTAGGCTTGCTAAAGAGAAGGAGGGGGAAAAGTTATCGTGTTAGTGCCCCGTACAAAAAAAGAGTGTGGGCTTTTTCAGGGCCCGCCGGCCGGGGGGGGGGGGGGGGGGGGGGGGGGGGTTTCTTTTGAAGATTAGAAACTTACGAGTTCCGGATAGCCACAGGATGTTAATAACAGCGTCCAGATCTTTGCACAGCTCGGAGAAGTTTTGGTAGCCCGAGATCTCCTCGCCGGGTTCCGGGGTGCCGAATTTCTTGACGTAGCGGCGGGAGACTTGCATGAGCTTCCCCGAGGCGTAGTTCCGGACCATGTCCTCCTTGTTGGAACCGGGGCGCAGGGCGCGGGGCCGGGGGTGGGGTAGGTCGGAGAGGAAGCTGGTTGATGATGAGGTGGCTTGGGAGGACCCTGGAAGGGACGGGTGGGGGGAGGGCATGCTGGTTGGGGTGGGAGGCATGAAGCCTCCCGCTTCGTGTAGTTGGGTGTCCGTCATGGCGAACTTATGTGTGGGTGTTGAAGGTTGAAGGCTGCGAAGGGAAGAGTGTAATGTAGAGAGAGTACTTGTGTACGAGCTGGGGAGCTCAATGGGGAGAAGGTATCCACAAGGTGGTAGTGATTATTCAAGGTGTCAAAAGTGGATGGTGACCTTTGACGAAAGTAAAGGGTAGGGCAATATTCAATGGTATGTGTAGATGGATATAAGAGCTTAGGTTTGTATCAGTAGAGGTAGTGAGCAGTATGTTGAACAAGTTTGGTTATGGTAGTTGTGTCGAGGATGGATATAATTCGTCTTGGGAAGCTTGTGAGAGGTACATCGAGTGTCGAGTGTCGTGTCGAGTGGGTCAGAGATGCAGGGCAAATTCATCGCAGGAGTGCGAGGCGAGGGAGGCATATATTTATCATTATAGCAGAGAACGGAGAAGATCAATTGGACACTAGGTCTATCTAGTTTACTAGCTAAAAGTCAAGCAAAAGAATGAGTAAATGCATTTACTCCTTACTTTTGTCACTTCAAGTTCCAACAATGAACTCGACTCATAAACCCGCACCGCACCTGCCGCGGCGTGACAAGATCAGTTGACCCGTGGAGGGCAGTGCTCAAGTAAAGTGGTGAGATCAGTGGCGAGCCTTTCAGCGGCTTTTGGAAGCGCCTGCCCAGAGTTACGGGGCACCCCGCGTTTCCTTGCTTTCGAAGGCTTTGCCTGCCGTCATTCGTCATTCTTTCGCATTCCAAATGGAAATCTCGGCTAAACGACGGATATACAAGGTACTTGGTACTCTTTCCTAGAAAAAAGAGTGTCCAATTACCAATTTGAAGCTATGACGGAATTCTCCGTTACAGCCTACTAACTTTTTTTCGATTTTTCTTGATCTGCAAGTTTCGCTCAACCCAACCATCTCGACGGCATCCTTACCGACAAACTCGGAACCCCAAAGAAGACTGCCCCCCTTTACACGCGCATCCAGCCACTCCATCTAATATAGTCCAACATGCCTCCCAAGCAGCAGCGCATCGTCGTCCAGCGCGCCGGCGGCCCCGGTCCCCAGTCCAAGGGCTTCCTCAGCAGCACCTACAGCACCCTGACCTCCTCCGAGAACGCCTCTGTCGTCCGCAGCATTCTCGCGTTCGGCGTAAGTTTTTATCCCCCTCCTTCTCCATGGCCACTGTCGCCTATTTGGATGAATCAGTCCAAGACCATCGGTTTTCGTGCGCTAACAGACGCCATTTATAGGCTGCCGTTGCTGTCCTCTCGAGCTCCTGGGCCGAACTCCTCCTTCCTCCGTATGCCTCACCTATCCAGAAACAACCAGCCTGTGCCAGGGAGCTATAGACTTGCTAACGAATCGATAGGCAATAAATCCTCGCGCGAGAAGAAAGCCTTGATTTCATGTGTTGCCTCGATAAAATACGACTTGTACGATAGAAACTGTATCAAATTAGATGAATCTCCGTCGGACGAGATGGCGGGATCCCATATTCGCATTCGAAGCCGGTATTGCTAGGGATTAATGAAATATATAAAACGGTTGCCTACTCCTATCTCTCCAAAACACTGGGCCGTCGGTCATGGTTATGGAACGATTGTCATACACCGTGAAGTTGTCACTCTTCTAGATTCAGCATGAAGATGCGAAACAGAACGATAATCTCCCGGGCCACCCCTATTGTAATTTTTAAAAAGAAAAAATGACATCGCTGATCCGGACTCGATGCTCTACGCTCTACTGGGATGCATCCTAGACGTTGGATGGTGATGGTTTACAGTTTGAAATAAAAATCTTCGAATCCGGTTGCATATTCCCATCATGCACTTGTCCGGTTCCCTTCATCTACTGACTTTAACTTCGCTATTTTATATGCCCGAGGCAGGAGAAGAAGGTTTGTTTTAATCATGGCCATTAATAGTAAAAACATCAAAAGACATGAAAATGACGACGCAATGGGCGCATCCAACAAGATTCTAGATACATAAGAGGAAGGACATGAAAAGGAATAAGAAAAAAAAAAGAAACACACAAACATGAGGCGACCTTACATTTCATCAAGGGTATTGAGGACAGGAAATGGATAAAACCACAAATGAATAGGCTTGGGACGATGCTCGATGCTCAGATCTGTTTCCGCCAAGACACGCTTATGCGCATCGCCCGACAAAGAAGTGGAAGTAATAAAGAAAAGAGGAGAGGAAATAAAAGAGGCCCATCAGCACTGTCGATGGGGGTGGTAGCAGCAGGAGGCTCTCAAATCATTACGAGTTCCTCTCGTCTAAGCAGCTGTTTTATACACCTCGGAACATCCTAACAACAAGGAACCACATGGCGCCGATGAACTTGAAAGCGCTGAGACCCGCAACGCTCCACAAGACGACGCTCATGTAAATATTCACCCGCTGATCCTCGTCCGAGTCACTGCCGGGGACGATGTGGTCCAGTCCGGCCGCCGAGAGCACAGCGGCGATAAGGGCGAAGTTGGAAATCATCCATCCAAGCACCGTTATCGATCGAATGGCACGGTAGTAGTCCATCTGCTTCTCTTCCAGCTGCGCCGGGGTGGGCGCCTTCTTCTCGACCTTGGGCTTTTCGCGGAACACGGCCAATTCCTTCATGTACTGCGCGTCGAGATCGCCCTCGTCAGGCAGGTCCGTCTTACCGGTGCCATCCTTGGTGGAAACTGAGGGTAATGCCTCGGCCTTGTCGTCACCCTTGGTACCCCACGAGACGTCGTGGGTGTTGCAGAAGGCGTAGACGTTGAGGACGTTGACGTATGTAGGCGTGAGCAAAACGTACTGAATCAGGGAAGTAACCATGTGCCAGGGGTCGAACATGAGAAGAGAAGCTATGAACCAGATTCCGTACGTGGCGGTCACGGAGATGATCAAGTTGTAAAAGACCGGGTTCTTCAGTAAATCCTCAGGACTGAAGCCGTTTTCGTCATTAACGTCTCTGCGAATTGCATCGACTGAGATGAAGATGGCAGCAAACATCAGGTACCTGCATTAAGGGGTTAGCACCGACAGCATTTGGCTATTTTTTTTTCCTTGAGGAGCAACGATCACTTACACCATGATGATGGCCCAGAAATAAACCATAATACCGTAAAACTTGCCAGATCCTGCGGGACGATTACCCATAGAGAGAACGAAACAAGTCATGAGAGAGATTCCGTACAGCCAGGCGAAAACAATCCCCAGAATATTGCCCACTTGCCCGAGTAGTTTGTCGTCGGCCAAACTCGTCGTGAGAATCTTAAAGACAAGGAAGAAGTTACCGAGACCGAACCAGGCGAAGATCATATTAATGGTATTGAAGACGAATTCGATGAAGAACATGAGTTTGCGGAAGATGGAATGATCAGACCGGAAGAACTGGTGGAAATGGGCGATGGCGTAGATAGCCGCGAAGAAAGAACCGTTCAGCCAACGACGTCGTTGCAGAATCAACTCCTGGACCGTGTCGGGAACGTCAGTCTCACCAGTGGCGGACTTGACGTATTGCAGGATCCAGTGGCAGTTGCGCTTGGTGACAAGCTCGAAACAAAGAATACGATCTTCTGCTAGATACATGTTGGCTGTGAAGATACCGGCGCCAGCACCATGAAGGGTCTCGCCGGCAAAGTACTTTTCCAGGGGTCCTTGGCCATTCTTGTCGTTTTGGAGCGCAACGTATCGGTAAGCGGAGAAAGCACCGGGCAGCACAGAAATAAAACCAAAGGCGGATTCGAGAGGCTTGTCGAGGATGTTGCTCATCTTGTACTCGAAATTCTGCGTCGCAACCAGAGGGTTGAGTAGATTCTTTCCACCAGTTCCCAACATGGCCTTAATTTCACCACATGCACCGGCGCACATGGGCTCGAGGTCAAACGCCCTCCACAGATCGTAGATAGACCGGCCACCAGGCTTGGTACCGGCATCAATGAGAACGCAGATGTTGGGGTCTAGAACTCTGCCGAAGGCCTGGAAGAACCACCTATGGGAATTGATCTTCTTCTGGTTCTTCTCCTTGAGGCAGAAGAGGATCTGAACGGGCTGCTGCTTAGGAATAAGCTGGACAGTGTCGTTCTTGATCTGCATGCCCACCTGGGTCGTATATTCGTAAATGTGCGCCGTTACGTCCTTCCCGTTCACCTGTTGCTTGGCAATACCCTCCTGGTACACGCCCATACCAGCAAGGAGTGCCCGCGTCCTGGGGTTGATTTTCGCACGACCGTCACTCACAACACAAACCACGATCTTTTTCCAAGCGTCTTTGCCCCAAGTCTTGCTGTTGGTCCGGTTGCACATGTACTCGACGTTCTTCAGAACACCAATCATAGTTCTCGCAAACAGAATCTCGTCCTCGTTATACATGGTGACAACGATGAAGAGCTCGGTCGGTCGTGGCTTGCTAAAAAGCTTTTGGCGCAGCGTAAAGTTGCTTTCGTAGAATTCGCCAGGGTCACAGGTGGCAGCGGTGTATCGCATGTGAGTGAACTCGTCGCGCTCGCCATGGGGAAGTTGGTTGAGAAGCTTGGGGGGCACGGGACAATCGAGGACGAGGTTACCGCGGTATAGCAGCACCTGCTTCACCGTTTTCCATCGCTTAATTCCAAGACCACCCTGTTGCTGTTGTTGCTGCTGCTGCGCTTGAGGTGAGTGGTAATCAATAGGATCTCGGTAAGCTTCGCTCATGGAATCTTGGTGTCCAAGCATCGGCCGGTTGTCGTCATAATCGTAACCGTCATTAGGGTGGGGTTCGTACGGCTGGTTGTAGTAGCCGTCATGGTGTTGTTCAGGGTTGACACTATAGTCTCCTCCCTGTCCTTGGTAGTTTCGATCGTACGTGTTGCTGAGGTTATCGACCGAGTGCTGTCGTATAGGTTTTAGTAAATGGGAAACCGAGAACAGGAAAGAGCTTTCCCGAGGCGTAGACTTACAGCAGCGTTCAATTGTAAGTTGTCGCTTGGGCTGTGATAGCGGGTAGGTCCGGAGGGCATCTGCAGATGTGTCGCATGGCGGTCATCGTAGGGATTGTCGTCAAGCTGATAGCCGTGTTGGAGCGGGTGCCCCGGCGACGGGGTCCTGTGTACCCGATTATCCATGGGATAATCGTCTAAGTGAAGTGTCAAGAATGTTAGAATGGGTCTCCGACGTCTTGATTTTGCGACCACCGCAATCTATCTTTTCGGCGAAGTAGAATCGAGAAGGGCGATAGATCGTATCAGTTGTGAAGGGTGTCGTGCATGGAGTTATAGAAGGAGTGGGCTCGTTTCGTCTTCGACTGCGCCACGTAAATGTACGTAGTCCGTCCAAGATACGGCCACGACGAGAGGAATGCTGGGAAAGATTGGGCAGCTCAAGAGAGAGTTGAGGCGCCGACCGAGATTCGTGCTACGAAAGGAGAAAAGAGGGCGATTTGCACTTCTTCTAGGTATGCGCAGCAAAGAGAGGAAGCGATGGTGGAAAGGCGACAGGCGGGAAGGCGAGACGAAGATCGCGGAGGGAGGATTGCGGCAGAATGCGAAGCATAAAGAAGGCGGGTAGGGTAGAAGGGGAGAGAGTATGGCTACTTGCCTAAGCGATTATACCTGGACGACATTGTTCCGGCAGCAATAACAGGAGTCTAAAACGATCGGGTGGCCAAGTGTTTGGAAGTGTGGTAGAATGCGACTGGACGTCAAGCTCGGCTTGCCTTCATGGATTGGACGTGATCGCTCGCAGGGTTGTCGATGGGTAGTGGGGGCAAATTCAGGGAAGGGCCTATGCCGCTTCGTCGTGTTCGGGTGTCACGAGGGTTGGGTTCCCTCTCCGTGCAGTACGAAGTTGCAGCAGCTTCGATCAGAGTGCCGACAAACAATACAGAATCATGCGACGTTGGTGAAATCTAGTGTGGCGTGGCAATGGACAAGAGAAACAACGCTCGTCAACTTCTACTCCGTAGTAGAGACTGGTGCTGGGCGAGGTTCTGGGTCGACAGTGCTCCACAGAGGTGATGTATTCGAAAGGAGTCTCACGAGAAAAGGTGAATATCGCCGAAAGAAAAAAAGACAGACGCCTCTCCTTGGTTTCAAGAAAATTAATACAGGACCGGAGCAAAACTGGAACTTCGAAAGAATGCAAAATAATTGGCAGTCCAAGTCTGGAGGGAAGGAGGCAGCCTCAAGAAACAACAGCACGGGTCGCACCTTCTTGGCAGAAGGACCAAAAGGACCAGGGTGGACGCAATTCAAGAAATAAGGGGGCGGGGGGGAACTTGGAAGGTGCGTTTCAGATTCGGCTAGGAAGGCGCAGAATGTCCCAAATGTGCAACTTGCTGGTTGAAGTGACTTGAAATGGGAATTCTTAATATTACACTAGCTTGGCCGCTCTCTGTCCTAATTATCAACGATGTTGCACTTCTCAAATTGCGTTCGCGGACAGGTTTTGAACTCGTCATGTCACAAGAAGAATCTCTCGGCGCGGGACTAGAACCCGCTCCCGGACAGTCCACGAGCTAAACTCACCAACACCCTTCATGATAAACTGAATGCAAGCAGACGACCAGCTAGCGCATTCAGCCGCTTCAGTTTTTGCCCAATATATTAGAGCAGCGGACTAGAGGACGCCTCGCTGAGCACTGTTTCGGTCGTTGCGAGCCGTCAAAGTTCTTTATTGCATCTATTTTGGGATCGCAGTTAAACTTTACCAGCGCAGCCCCTTTTTCAGACTGGTTGGTGGGTGGACGGCTGGGAACGTGGGGAAGAGCCACTGTTGAAGGGAGAGACTTCAGTAATGAGACTCAAGCCGGGGATTTGGTGGATCAATCATCAATGTGTGGCCCAAACGGCTCTTGGGCAGTTGATCGTGCCGGGTTCTTAGCGTAACGGCAAACCGGCAAGCAAATGCCCTGCCGTCATTTGCGTCGTAATTCGCAAAGGAACAAGGCTCATTTTACTGGGAGGATCTGCTCAGCGACTGCCCACTCACAATGCTGGAAAGTGAAATGCTTCGCCATCGACCTGTTGTACGAAAGTACGAAGAAGCAGCCTGCCGGATTCATGTCACCATGTGAATCGAGCCAACCTCCCAATCCTTCAAATATTAAAAGTACACTTGGTAAGTTCAGACTCCGGAAGTTGGCCTCCAAATAAAGTGAGCAGTTACCATCTTGGGATGAAGTCTCCATCAATTGATCTCTCAAGTCGAGGCTTGGATCTGAAGGAGAGCGCCACCTCGGGGCTTTGCCTTTTTCGCTCAGACCCTTTCAGGCGATATGATTGGCCACCACCCCACAAGTCCATCCTTGGAAGTCTCCAGCGCGTCAATTTTGGGTTCACATTGCGACCAGGGAATCAGGGCTGCACTGCCCCTGAATTACGCAGACGCAAATATCCCTGTGACGTTTCCACATTTCACCGTCTGTTCGGAACAAGAAGGGCACTTATTATTACTAAGACGTGCGAACGGAGCTTTGAGAGACCAAGCTTATTTGCAGTTTTTTATATGGAAATACTCTAAACTGCCTCAGAGCCTAGAGGTGGAGGATCCGCCGTGCCTCTTCCGAGGAAGATCAACCAGGAGACTTAATGCAGGGCATGCCTCTTCTGGCCGACAACCACGGCTAGCTAAGCCAATGTCAATGCCTACCCTCGCCGCCATGATGCAAGCCGGGTTCCAGCGATGTTCCAAAACCATCTCTTAAGCATCTGTCATGCTCATCATAGAACATGGGAAGGACGACTTCGAACTTCGCGGATACGAGGCCTTCCCTGACTACCCCTACCGAGTACTTCAGTCATGGCTGCCATTCTCGAAGCATCATTAGTTGATGGACGGCTGAGAAAGCTGCATTCTTGGGCTTTTCAGCCGACCGTAAGCCAAGGCTTCATGGCGCATGCGGAACTGTCAGATTTGGAACTAAGTCTGATTCGACTTGACTTCCCCATGCCACAGTCTTCCTCGGCTGTGACCATGATCGTGGCTTGTCTGGGGCTGGGCCCAGATCAGATGTCGGCTTGTGACGGCATGCCAAATCTTCCAAGCCCTGAAGACTGCATCAACTCTGCAGTGACCCCGCGTTCTAGTCTATCTTCCATCATCCCATTTTGTTTACTGATCAAAATGCCCAACGCAGAGATGTCAAGTTGGAGTGGGTGTGACTCAAAACTCTAAAAAGTCTTGGTTAACTCGTGCACACTAGAACTTTCCCCTCCGCCACCGATTCGCGCTGAACCCTGAAGGGACGTCATGGCTAGAATCGGTACCTGTGGAGACGAAAGAAAGTAAGTTGGTGGACGAAAAATTCTCGAATCCTCGATTTCACGTTCTAGAGCACAGCTGTAGAATTTCGTCGCGCGCAGAGGTGTTGATATCAAATCAATTGATGCCTCTTCTACCCGTAGCGCATGTGAGATATTCAATTGGATCTCTCAATTGCTCGGGCATCAACACATTGCTCAACGGAAAATCAAGTTCCCTCCCGGACATCCCTCGATAGCCAGTCCCTGCTGATAACACATTGATCAATGACATCTCTGACTCGTACCAAGACCGCAAAATCTCTTGGTGGGGTGACCCCGGGGAAGGAGGGGTTCCAGCAGGGCAAACCCGCCACTTACACTTCCTCCAATGTAAACCGGCAATAAACCGCCCCCAAAGTATTCTTTGGTCTCCGGCCTATCTCCGGTCTCGGTCTTCAGGGAAGCGCCGTCTTGAAATTTTCCCTTAGCACTTTACTCCTTCGATCTCGCAATTCAATCACCCTCGCCTGCATCCTTCCCCGCGCCCATTGTTCCAATCTAGCAAGTCATCATAGTCTTCCAGGAAAAAAAAAAAAAATGGCACAAAAAAAGTCCGAGTCCTTCACCATTAGGACGCCCTGCTCCTCCGCCAACATTGGCCCCGGCTTCGACGTCATCGGCCTCGCCCTCTCCATCTACCTCGAACTCACCGTCACCATTGACCGCTCCAAGACCAAGTCCGAATACCCTCTCAACTGCCGCATAACGTACGAGGGCGAGGGTGAGAACTCCGGGGACATCTCGCTCGACCCCTCGAGCAATCTCATCACCCGCGTTGCCCTCTACGTGCTTAGGTGCCACGACCAGCGCGCCTTCCCCGTCGAGACCCATGTACACATCAAGAATCCAATTCCCCTCGGCCGTGGCCTAGGAAGCTCGGGCGCTGCTGTGGTAGCGGGTGCTATTCTGGGAAAGGAGGTTGGCGGGCTCCATCACCTTGACAACGAGAGGATATTTGACTTTGTCTTGATGATTGGTATGTGTGTTCGTTTGTCGGCGGGTTACCCTTTTTCCGTCGTCAATGAGTTACATATGTCCCATTACGGTATGTCGCAGTAACATTAACAAAAGCGTCGCAACAGAGCGACACCCCGACAATGTCGGCGCTGCGCTATTCGGTGGCTTCGTCGGCACCTATCTGAAGCCGCTCTGTGCCAAGGATGTCGCGCGTGTCGAGATCCCCCTCAGCGAGGTCCTCCCAGAGCCGGCCGGAGGTGTTGACACTGGAAAGCGACCTCCCGAGCCGCCGTTCGGCATTGGCCATCGCATCAGCTTCCCCTGGGCCAAGGAGATCAAGGCGATAGCTATCATTCCCGACTTTTTCGTCGCCACCCACGATGCCCGCTCAGTTCTTCCCAAGGATTACTCTCGAGCCGATGTCGTATGTGTTTTCCCTTTCTAATATCTGCTTTATGCACGCGCAGCCAAGCTAATCGAACTCTCTATAAAGACATTTAACCTCCAAAGGATAGCCCTTCTCCCAGTCGCCCTCGGCCAGTCGCCACCCGACCCGGAACTCATCTACCTCGCGATGCAGGACAGGATTCACCAGCCCTACCGAAGCACCCTCATCCCCGGCCTCGGAGAGATCGTCAGCTCAATGTCTCCCTCCACGCAACCAGGCTTCCTCGGCTGCTGCCTATCGGGAGCGGGCCCCACCATTCTCGCCCTCGCCACGAGCAACTTTGAGGAAATCGCCAACAAGATCATCTCGATATTAAAGAAGTCCAATTCTAAGCCGGATCTCGCCTGCCAATGGCGCATCCTCGAGCCTGCTAAGGGCACCGAAGTTATTAGGTAACTAACCATATGAGAGATGATACCAGGAGTTAATATAATCGTCACCAAGCAAGACCATCAGGCTTGTACTTACCCTCCTCCCTGAGAAATCGACGTGAGTTGTATGTAAATCAACACAGATGTAAGTCGATCGATCGGGAAAATAAAGAAACAGAAGAAAATCGGATAGAGGTCTTTCTGTCCCTGCCAGCCTTTGGCCGGAGGCCTCTGAATTCCTCGTGGGTGGGCGAGATCAACGTTTGCAAACAGCTACGACGGCAGATCTACACATCTAGTAGGATACGCGGCTGAGCCGCCGCATCACATTTTCCATACGAAATTACTACCATAGATGAAAATATCTAAGAATTTTAATCATATATTCACTAGCTTTCTGTCCGCGGTTTTCTCGTCATAAGTCTGCCTCAACCTCAGTGGAGATACGTATATGTGCATTGAGGGCTCAACTCGAGAACCTCTACCGCTTGGTGTCACCAGAGACTCAGCCCAAGAGCTTATAAGCTAGATTAGGGGTAAGAACTGTCACATACGACCAGAGCCTGCAAAAACCACGCGATCCCGTCCGCTCTCGCCTAGTTAAGCTGCAGAGCGTCAGACTAGTAGTTGGGTCGGTGACGACCAGCGAATCCCTGATGTTGTATGTTCATTCTTTTTTTTTATATGCTTTAGGCCTTTCTTTTTTTGTCGTAATAATACTATCTACTTCAAGTTTAATATCATTGGACCTTCGTGCTAGACCAAGCCGAGTGTCTGGGTGGGACTTGTTTCCCGATCGATGCTTGTCTAAACTTACCATATCAAGGAACCTCCACCGAGGCAGTGAACTTTCCTCTCCTACCCACCAAGCCTCTTCTCCTCCTCCTCCACCGCATCAACAATCTCCCTCCACTCCTCCCAAGTATTCTCCCCCGGAATCCCCAAGGCCAAAGGCGCCCTCGCCCCATCCACATCTCCAAACCCCCTCAACCGACTAACAGCCTCCTTGATCCCCACGGTCCCATACGCAACAACCAGCTCCTCCACCGAACTAACCTTGAACTGCAGCCTCCTCCTCTCGGCGAGCTGCTCGTCCGAGGGCCGCGGTTCCCTGGAAAGCTCGTAGAGACGCACCAGGGTGCGGGGGAAGAAGCCGGCGGACCCGTCGATGGCACCGGCGCCTCCGACGGCGATGACGGGGAGCAGCTGCTGGCCGAGACCCGTGAAGGTGAGGAAGCGCGTGTGGTCGATGGAGGGGTTGGAGGCGATTTGGCAGTGGTGGGATATGTCGCCGTGGGAGAGCTTGCAGCCGATGATGTTGGGGTGTTGGGCGAGGGTGGCGTAGGTGGAGGGGACGAGTTTGACGTTGTTGGAAACGGCGGGGTAGTGGTAGCTATTTGGAAGCGATTCCTCATTTTAGCTTGGTTCGAGATTTCAATCATGATTCTATACTCTTTTTTTTTTTTTTCCTGCTTGCCCATGGGGGATGTATAAACTCACATCAAAATGGCAAGGGGACTCCGATCAGCAACAGCCGTATACCACCTCACCAACCCCTCCTGAGAAGTACACCCCGCGAAATACCCCGGCGCCAACACGATTCCCCACCCCGCACCAGCTTGCTTCGCCTCTTGCAGCTGCTCGACGACATCATCGACGTTCTGGGCCGCGGTGCCCGCGACGATGGGGTAGTCCGTGAACCCCGCGGCGTCGAGACCCTGCCGCACGCCCGAGATGACGCGCACCCGCTCGGCGATGCGCAGGTGCACAGCTTCGCCCGTGCTGCCGAGGAGGACGAGGCCGCGGATGCCGGCTTTGGCGAGGTAGATGGAGTAGGCGACTTGTGTGTCGATGTCGAGGGGTGGGGAGACGGGGTTGTAGTCTTGGGCGGATTTGGAGGCGAAGAAGGTTGGCGCGGGGACGTAGATGCCTGCGGGAGGGGGTGTCTTGGGTTCGGCCATGATTGTTTTAAGGGTTATTCTATTACTAGGTGGTAGAAGATACGAATAAATGGGTTATGATCTGATGTTGAGGTGTAAAGCTATGAAATATGAAGTACCAGGGAGAAAGGTTCAAGAAGCCGAGAAACGGAAGAAATAGCTTCGAAAGGAACCACCAGACTTCAATGCTCTTTTTAACGTCCTCTTTACCTCAAGTGGACGTCACTCCCTCGTTCTCCGACCTGGCGATCACCCCAATAAACCTTGGGAAAACTAAACGCGGGGGGGAGGGGGAAGGGAAAGCGCGAAGCTAATGGGTCTGACGTGCTACAACGCCAGTGGCCCCGGTCCACGAAGCCGAATAGGTTCGGTCCAATTCCGGTGATTCGGATCGGGCATTTCGGGGCATTCATATAGCGAAACCAAAGAGGAGCGAAGAAACGAAGTGGGGAACTTTTTCGACCCCCTCAGTGCTGCCCTCAAGAACATCAAGAACCTAGGCTTGACTTGATCGATGGAGAGTGGCAGTTGGTTCTAAGCAACTGTTAAGTGAGGTTGGGCCGCAAGAAGAGGTGCTCCCAGCTTTTCTGTATTTTACAAGCATATGTACGCGGGGATCCTATCGGCGGCATTGGGCTAGAATGCCGAAGCAGCTTGCATATTCTGTCCTGAATTGGGGTGTGCCCAAGTGCCTTTCCTGACTGCGATCGTATCCGTACTATTGGACGGCTTGCTGATGCGGTGTAATCTAGGAGGGTTTCATTGTTCGAGGGGTAAGTTCAAAGTCGACCGCAGTCTTGATTGGGAAGTGTGGTCTAGACTCTCCTCCGTCTTCGCATCTCGTTATGGTGGGAGGATGGAGCGTTTATGGGTCGCGCTGATGTTAGTGGAGAGAAGGACCTTGTACGCCTATCATGCTGCTGAATATTGTATTGGACGAAGCATGAGATCTTTTGTTCGTATGGCTGGAAGATAGCACCACGCTATTTGAACTACCCATGAAATCTCCATACATAAACAGCGTCATTACGAACTGAGCTTTCAAATGAAACTCGACCGTAACCTCAAAGGCCCTGAGCTCACCCGAGACCTAGTCCTACGATTTCTATCCTCGAAATGCGGAACGGTTTCTGTGTTGTGCAACCACAACATCTATGATCATTAGATATTGGGTGGGTACACCAAGTTCGTATATATCGTGTTATCTTGCATCTACGGGTTTCTCGTAAATCCGGCTTCTGTGGCCTAATCAAGTCGGGGAAGAGAGGTACCCGGTCTCGAGGAAGTATAAATTCAGATCTCATCCCTTTATATTAGCTCAATCATCTTAACGAAAGCTCCTGGAGCCTGTGGATATCAACACGCCTATCTTGTAACAGATGCAAGAAGGAAAATCAAGGAGGCGAAGCGAAAAAAGAGAAAAAAAAGTCATCACACGAGGAACTCTTCCTTCAACCAGTGGGAGAGCACAACCCAACCCTCTGTTGCGCTGGGCTTGTCTACTCTGACAATGATGGCGGCATGGCTGTGATCGTCTTTACGAATCCAGACAGGATACCTCCTCCAACCCAAACTGTCCAGAGAATCAATCATGGTAAACTGCCTGGGTGATAGCGCAAGCGTCGGCTCGGCTCGCTTGGAGAGCAACCTCTCTTTAGACATCACCTCCTCGGCGTCAGGCCCAAAGTCCGTTCCCTCATCATCCACTTCATCCTCGGAACTGCCACCGAGATACTCGTTCTCATGGGTGTTATTCAAGGCTTCGTAGGCCCGCTCCGCCTCCTCCCGTGCTTCCATTATCCACAAAGGCATGCGATATTCCTCAATCGGGAAGCCGGTTAACCCCTTCTCATGACGCTTGATACGCCAAGAGCTAGTTAAGTTCCAATAAATCGAGCATAGCAAATGGACCACGACCCCTAGCAAGCCAATGCCTACCTGGAGCATAGAAAATGGAAGCCTTTTGGCGGTATACAAAATTGCTAGTGATGTGGTAGATAGTGTCAGCTGGGGCCTCATCTGAGGCCTGGGCGTGATAGGTCGTCTGAGGTCGATGATTACCTCGTCGTAGCCATCAAGGTAGTTGACATCAACGGCGGCCATGTCGGCAAACGGATCGGTCTTGGAGATACCAGTGGTGTAGTACACGGAAGATTTGTCGTTAACCACATTGGCGTAGGCCGTGTGCCTCCGGAACTTGCCCAATCCTTTCATAAAGATCGACTTTGGGTCAGCCATGACGGAAAGAAGCGGCCGCCCAGTGTCCCGAAACTGGTCCACCATGAAGAGTTGACGTCCAGACATGGATAATGTCCGGGCACCTACCACATTCCAGACATGGTTGTGCCACCCCTTGAGAGGAGTGCGGACCCCAAGGTGAGGTGTCACGAAGGTGGTGAAGCTCTAGTACTGGAAGTTAGTGACACTAATGCCCATCTCATTGAAGGAACAGGATGGCAGCTTAGTCAAGGAGATTCAGAAAGCATATGATGGTGTAGAGCAAAATCAACTCACCATGCATTCAATCCCATCAAGGATCCCTTTAGCATATAAAAGTCCAAGAGCATACCGGGCCACGAGACCACCAAGAGAATAACCGACGATACTCAGCTTGGTAAAATTTCCGCCTTTACTCTTCACTGCGTGAAGTTCCTCTTGGATTTCAGCGCATACCCTCTCACCCCCTAGTTCAATACCATCGGAGGTGAAACTCCCACTGTTGCTCTTGGCTATGAGGAGATACAGTTTCTCGGCAGGAAACTTGGCTCGCAAGGCCTTGGCGACATTTCTCATGTGGCTCGGATTCCCCCATAGCTATCACAAGAGTTCTGATAAGTAGTCAGCTCGGTATGGAAAAGAAAAAGGGGTATCTATCGCTGTCATAGAGGGGGTAAGGGAAGGGTGGGAAGAGATGATGTGATGGTGTGGTGATGGCTTACACCGTGAACCAGAACGCAAAGGTGATCCGCCTCTAGCTTTCCACCAGTGTAGTCCATGTTGGTGATGGAAGCTGGCCGTCGGTTCAGAGGACTATTGGAGTAAGTCTACGGGTAGGTGAAAGGATAGGTGAACCGATGTCTTGCCCCGGGAGAGTGTTCCTAAGTGGCGAGGGAGGGGACGACAGAGGGATGAGAGGGCTGAGACGGGAGAGGGTGTAAGAGGGGCCGCCAAGAGCGATAGGATTATCGAAGCAAAGAGGAGAGAACAACAAGACGACTTGATCTCGGGGATACGTAGCATTTATAGATAACGCGTGCCCAGTTACCGGATTCGGTACATGCAGTCTTAAGACGAGTGAAACCGGTGGAGCAAGCTTTTGGTTGGAATTCGATGATAGGTAGCGAGCACAAATCCCACTTGGTGATTGCCCCGGACCGAGGGGCAACAACGAGGTGAACGCTTTAGGTAAGACCTAAAGCTTGGTGACAGTTCAAGTGAGGGGCCGAGAGGGTGAAGCTGCAAAACTGTTGGTCAATTACGCGACAATGAACGGGACTGCGATGCGATGACTAGATCGGCGATATGGCTTGTACCCACCGTTGCTGTCACCACTACGGCGTCGTGCTCAAGATTCTTCCTTTTTCCATTTATTTCGCCTTGGCAGGGCCTGGCCAAGAATTCGAGTATGTAATAAGTAATATCTTTGATGTAATACGAACATTAGAGCCTTTTCGATGGATGTGGTATGCCTTGATTCCTCTGGGATCACGGCTAGGACCCGACTCAGATTTCTGGGCAAGGGAATTAGCGTGGGGAGTAGCAAGGGAGAAGAAACTCGATAAGGAAAAAGAGAAAGGCCGTTAAGGGAGGTGGTGTAGACCCATGTTGCTGTAAATCGGGAGAAACGTCGATGATAACAGGTTTCTGGACGCCCGCCAATCCGAGAGCTCGAAAACGTCTGAAGACTTTCAACCCTTGATCAGGTCATGTTCATTTGGTTCATCTATTGTCCCCATAAGCCCCCCTTTTGGTTTGATCAATTAAACTCTCGTCGACGGCCCGGGTTCCCAATCAGGGTGCCTACGAGTAGCTTTATCCTCAGGAGAATTCAATGTTATTTCCAACACAACCCTCCAGGGTTTAAACTAGTTGCTGTGAAGTTTCAAGATGGTAACTCTTTGTTGATCGCTCGATCAGTAATCAACCACATGGAATCAATCACATGTCAACTCCGCTCTTCTGTCAAGACGTCCAGGGCATGACGATATCGAACTGGCCGAGAACCTCCTTCCTCTTGTTTGCCGACTTAACTGCACCTCGAGTCGTCGGAGAAGGTGTAAGTGAGCGCTCCCACTCATCAGCGATCACTCCTTTCTTTCTCCCATCACCGCCCATTGATGTATGGTGAGAAATGGAATTCTGGCAATGGAGAGAAAAACGGAGGCATTTCGTCCTCGATATAACTAGCCTGCGGCTGTCGGAAGCGATTCTCCCTCTGATGATGCTAGGCGTGAAAGGCAACGAGACACCGAGGTCGGGTCTGTGCCGACAATCAAGCTACCCTCAAGGGCTTTGAGACCTTTGCGACCATCGACAATACCCCGTCCATCCATATCATATTAATTGTTTCCTGTTTCAATGAATAGCAAATCCTGGTTACACTGATGCATAAGAGTGAGAGCGTATGTTTTGCTTTTTGGGGTACAGAAGGGAAAAGAAGTGAGGTTGAGGTTCACCAGTCGCTGTTGGCTGCTCTTGCTCTACTCACAGGGACAATGACTGCATCCAAGTCTGCATGCTGCCTTAGTCAGCTGCTACTTCATCCACCTCCCTTTGACAGCCGTAGCTGTGCTCAAGGCGACTTCAACATCTCACCGAGCCTGGTGATATCAAATTCACAGCCTCACAAGAACCTTTTCTATTACAGCTCCGCAAATGCATCGTCTTGGCAACTGTTCCTAGATATTTCAAGTTTCCATCAATGTTTTTAAAAATAACCACTACCTCGATATTCCTTGCGCACGCATAGTATCTTTTGTTTCTCCCTTCCCGTGTCTCATACATGTAATAGTTCCTACCTCCATTTCAGCCGCCTACATATATACCAGATGCTCTCGACTTTCTATTGCCTGTTCACGTAGCAGGAACTCTCACCTCCACTCACTGGCCTGAGAAACTTTGCCTTGTTCCAGAATCCAAACTCGAGCGACAGGTTCTCAGTCTCACTCTCGGAAACCCTCTTCCGTGGGGTTGGCGTCTACCCTAGGTGCCCAGAAGCGGTCGGGGGCTTAGCTCTGCGAAGGTGAATCGAGATCCAGCTTCTCGCCATATATTAATCTACTAATCACCTTCACCTACAAAGTGCGGGCAAGATGGATTTAAACGTCCTCCTTAATCTTAAGCGCATCCCGTGCCCCAAGGGAGACGGGTGCCCTACCCCTGACTGTCTCTTCCAGCATCCGAGAGAGCTCGCGAGCGCCGTTCCGGTAGCCGGGGATGCGACAAGCCAGGAAGATCCTGGACATGACGTGAATCCCAATGGACGAAAAAGAAAAGATGATGAACTCGAAAACGATCCGGAACCGCCAAAGAAGCGTACCAGGGCCAACGATGCGGGTGAGGATATTGAGAAAGCCTCGCCGAATCTATCCCAGCCTGTGCCCAAGGAAGGCATCCTGAAGAAGCCAACTCATGGCCAGCCTGAGAGCTTGACCCGTTCCATTTCGCCCCCGACATTAGCGAAAAAGAAGCACGCGACGCAAGCAGGCAATCCTGGCCAAGAGAAGCCCGGGCACAATCCCAAGGCCCTCGCAAGCCCCCAGAGCAAACCAACACCTGAAAACCACTCTACCAAATCTGCCACCTCTAATGCAGGTTCCGATTCTACACCAGGTCCAGCTCGGAAGCCTATCAAGGTCGAATCGTTGAATCCTCGCAAGGTCAGTTCGCAGCCTGCAAAGTTCGAAACCCGAATGAAGCTCTTGAAACTTGTGCATACCGAAATTGCCCGCCTCAACAGCGACCTCAAGAAGTCAGAAAGCTCATATTCCTCTCTGTCCTTAACCAAGGCCGGTTCAGAAAATGGAGCGACCGGTGGCCCAAATGGCAGTTCGAGCAAGGAGAACACGTCCTTGGCCCTCTCTAACCAGGAAACCGTCACCATGGCTCTCGACGAGGAGGAAAAGGCAGCCTTGGAAAAGCCCGAGATTTATACCACGGCTATGCGCAACGTATACATGAAATATAAGCGCATGACTGCTGACAAGTGGTGGGACCTGTGCAAAGAGAAGAGGAGCACAGAGAAGCCAGCCTGGGTTCCGGCGAAGGGAGCAAAGGAAATTGTGACCGGCTTAACGCCAACGCAGGAAATCTTCATCCTCAATCGACTACTTACCCCTATTGACAACCTGTCCAAACACGGTTACGTGTCCTCTATTCCCAAAGAAGAGGATATCAAAAAAGCTCGCGCCGCAGCCGAGACGGCGCAGGGCTGGGAGAAGTGTTGTCGATGCGAGAGGCGATTTCAAGTTTTCCCCGGCCGGCGAGAAGAGGATGGCGCGCTTACTTCGGGCGGCGTCTGCGTCCATCACCCTGGAAAGATTTACTTTCAGGAGCGGCAGCCCGGCGATAAGTCTAAGCAGCTTAGGCGATACCGGTGCTGTAATGAAGTTGTTGGCGACTCTGCCGGATGTACTAGGGGTAACACCCATGTCTTCAAAGTCACTGACGCCAACATGCTTGCGAGCGTAACTAACTTCGCCGAGACTCCTGCAAACGACAATCCCCACCAGTATCCTGTTTGCTTCGACTGCGAAATGGGCTTCACAGTCTACGGTCTCGAGATGATCCGCGTAACTGCCACTTCGTGGCCTTCGGGCGAGGTGTTACTCGATGTCCTCGTCAGACCAAAGGGGGAAATTCTCGATCTCAATTCTAGATATTCGGGAATCTGGCCCGAGGACATGGTGGAAGCCGAGTCCTACTCTGGATTGGATCCATCCAACCTCCCTTTACCGACTAAACCTACACCTTCTGAAGATACCACCACAAAGCACAAATACAAGATTGTCGACTCTCCTGAGGCTGCTCGCCAGCTCTTCTTTTCTCTCATCTCCCCTGAAACGCCACTCATCGGACACGGTCTCGAAAATGACCTCAACGCACTCAGAGTCATACATCCAACCCTTGTTGACACTGTCCTCCTGTTTCCCCACAGGCAGGGGTTACCCTATCGGATGGGTCTCAAGATCCTTGCTGATCGCCACCTCGACTTGAAGATTCAGGTTGAAGACCCGGGTTCCATCCGCGGTCATGACAGCGCCGAGGATGCCCGCGCGGCCGGCGCGCTGGCAAGGCTGAAGGTCAAGGAGGAGTGGGATCGTATGAAGCTCGACGGCTGGAGCGTTGTCCGTGGCGAGATTATATCGCCCCCTTAGGTAACGGGTGATTTTGTGGAGGAGTGGAGGAAGGCGAGGGCTGAGGGCTGGAGGCGAATCGAGGGGAAGTTCGTTGCTCCTCCTTTGAAGAGTCAAGCCCGCCCTTCGTAGCACTCGTGATGAGGTTTAATAGTGCTGCATTGTACCGTAAAATCGAGATGGGACACCACGGCACACTGCCTTGACGAAACCGAGATGAAGCTTTACGATGGGTACAAACGGATAAGCGATGGTTTGTTCTATTCACAATAAAACACCACAACAGTGCTCAGTCCTGGGTCTCTTCATTGACTTTATTTCCCGTATTTCCTTCCGGTTTCCCATACGATTAATGGGTATAATTACACATGGAGCGGATAATGCTTTCGCCTACAGTCGTATCGTTACACCGTTTTCACAACCCCTTCGGTCTCCAGTAAAGCTCTGCCCTGTCTCTCTCTTCCCCCCAAAACTCCCTTCTTAAGCTCTTCCAACAGAGAGGAGTAGCTGGCTACCGCCTCCCTGCTTCCCGCTAGGCAGATAAGCAACATTAGGATTCGAAGCCAAAGTCTGCGCAATCTCCCTGCTCGCCTCAATCTTTCGAATCTGAATCAACCCATCACCAGCCTTGGCAATAGCCTTGCTAATAGTATCGGCACTCTCGGCCTCACCCTCGGCGCGGATGACGTTGGCCTGACGCTCCTGCTCGGCCTTCTCGACGATGAAGCGGGCGCGCTCGGCATCTTGCTGGGCGATCTGCTTCTGCTCGACGGCCTTGGTGAACTCGTGGCCGAAGGTCATGTGGGTGATGGAGACGTCCTCGAGGGCGATGTTAAACTCGGAGGCGCGGCGGGTTAGGTCGGTCCGGATGCGCTGGGAGACGGCTTCTCGTTGGGTGATGAGCTCGGCGGCGTCGAATTGGGCGACGATGGCTTTGAGGACTTCGTTACCGATGGAGGGGAGGACGCGCTCATCGTAGTCAGGGCCGAGGTTCTGTGAGACGCTTGTTAGTTTCGATGGCCTTCTTTTCTTCCAAATTATAAAAAATAATAGTGCAGCTCAAAAAGCTTATAAAAGCTATATGGGCATTCGAGGTGCAGCTAAAACATACCTGGTAGATCTTGGGAAGAGCCTTGACATCAGGTCTGTGAAGAACCCTCAAGGTCAAGCTGACCATCTGAAGATCCTTGCTACCCGTCGTCGTGGCAATGTTCCTGGGCTTTGTCCTCACATCGAAGATGATGCTCTTCTGTAGCCAGGGTACGAGAAAGTGTGTGCCCTCATTGATGACGGATTCCTTCACACCCGACAGCCTGTCGAAGATGACGGCTCGATATCCACCTCGCACGTCGTACATGGACTGCTGGAGAAAGGCCACGCCAATGGCGGCGGGGACGGCCATCCGGTAGGCGAAGTTGAGAGCCTGCGCCATTGTGTCGTATTAAATTCCGGGGATTAGTATTTCGGGTGAGGGTGGACGGTGAGAAGCGGGCTTATGTTCGCAGGCTCAGACTGTCGTCGTAGATAAAATCAGAACATTCAAAATCCCCAAATGCTTTCAAAGCTCTGGCGTTGCTCTGTCCTATCGGCAAATTCCGCCAGATTTCCGGAGCTTTCGGGTCACGGGCACCTCTGCTTCTGCTGACTAAGTCACGTAACCAATTCAGCCAATCACGGCTCACCCAATGCCAGCCGATTCGCGAACGAGTTTCTTTGATTTCTGCTCTCCTGCCAAAGCTCGCCTGATATTCCCGCTATACCCTCCGAGACCCCCAAGTCGACTTCAACTCCCTTCGCAGACAGCGACCGCATCGAGTTCCAAACGATTTCGTCAAGATGCAGCCTACCCCGAAGCTCAACGGCGGCGCCGCGCCTCTCCCCGTCGGCAAATACGGCCAGTATGTCGCCCAATTGATGGTGTTTTTTTGCGGGAGGGATCCAAACCCCGAGATCACCCGACCAAAACTTGCTCTAGCAATTGGAGGTTGAAATTGATGCTGACGATTCTTTTGCGTTTTATAGTTACCTTGGCCACTTCGGTCACTTCGGTAAGTCGGCTGTTTCAATGGATCGTCAACGCTGTTTTGGGAGGAAAGCGAGATGTGTTCTGGGACACGGAGCGGCGCTAGGGTCCCCCCATGCAGCGCCTACGACCGATTAACGAACGGCTTTACATGGCTTTATCGAGCGAGGGCTACCGAATGCATCCTACATCTTGAATATAGGGAGAATTCACATTTTCTCGGGACACCGGCTTACTGGTCTGAATAGGTGGTCAACCCCAGAAGGGTATCATTACCTACGGTCTCTCTGCCAACCGACAGAACCCCTTGGCCAACACTGCCCACGACGCCGTCTTCAACATCTGGAGGCGATTCTACAGCCAGGTCTTCTTCTGGGCTCCTCCTTTTGTTGCCGGATACCTCATCCTTGACTGGGCGAACAAGAGGTATGACGCATTGGAGACATGGGAATCGAATCCATGTTACGCATATTGTATTTTTTTTTTCTAACATTGTGTTTTAGGAACCACTATCTCAACTCCAAGGCTGGCCATGCCGAGTTTGGTGGTGAGGAGGAGGAATAAATGTTTTTGAGATGTTAATCGGGAATGGGTGGAGAATGTGCCATATAGGTGGTTCTGTATAACTGTACCTTAGACGGGGCGAACGCAATAGATGAATCCTATGTCTTGTACTCTCGCGGCGTGAACTTGCATAGCTTCTCTATCATTCACTTGGCTCACTGGACACAGCCTGGCAAATGTGTTCGTCGGTATTCTGGGGTCTCGAAGGAAGGGTTTCAAGAGTCTTGCGACTGAATGCACATTAACACCCAGACATTGAGAAATGTCCACCCAAAGTAAACGAGACCAAATGTTCTCCTGGCCTAAATTATCCTACGAAACTCTCCTCTTAGCATTCTCGCCCAACATTCATACTCTCCTTACAGAGTGAGGCCCTTGTGAAAGTAGTGCGAAGCAGGGTATTACATAATCAGAGCGGTGAGTGTGGGCGGTTGGGAATTTTTTCAAAAAAATCATCCTGGCAAAAAAAATCGAAAAAGAAAAGCTCCCCTCCATGCGATGAACCCAGGATCCCAGTGGTAAAGGAGGACAAAGGAACAAAACTCCCTTCACGACGACAAGCCCGAACCCGTCGGGTGCCCAATTGATACCGTAAATCCTCGACAAGTTCCTTTTCTCGCGGGAAATATTCTCTCGAAATTTTACCGACCTTACCTCTCTCCCAGCCACAAACCCATCAACACCGCCCACAATGGCCGCCGACCGCCCCAGCAAGAAAGAAAAGAAGGACAAGAAGGAGAAGAAGCGGAGCGCTGAGGAAGGCGTGAAGAAGGACAAGAAGGACCGCAAGGACAAGAAGGAAAAGAAGGCTAAGCTCGCCGCGGCGCTCGACGAGCACCTGCAGGCTGAGGCGGCGGCGTCGGCGTTGGCTAGCGGTGTCATGGCCGTGGACGTGGATGAGGAGACCACCACTGCTGTTGTCGTAGCTGAGAAGATTGCGCCTTTGTCCATGGTGCCTTTTGCTGTGCCGCTTGCGGATGAGAAGAGTATGAAGAAGGTCCTCAAGACCGTGAGGAAAGGTAAATCCGATTCCACCAACTATTTTTTTTTCTCCTTCAAAACTTTCGAAAATCCAATCACCCTCGCAGCACTTTTATCTGCACGCTCGTTTCCCGTTTCTTTTTACTGACTTTCTTTTTACCTCGATAGCCGCCAAGAACAACGCCCTCAAGCGCGGCGTCAAAGAAGTCGTCAAGACCCTCCGCAAATCCCCCGCGTCTTCGCCCACGAACCGCGCCTTCCCCGGCATCGTCATCATCGCCGGCGACATCTCCCCCATGGACGTCATCTCCCACATTCCCGTGCTCTGCGAGGACCACAACGTGCCCTATATCTTCGTGCCCTCGCGCGCTGAGCTCGGCGCCGCGGCCAAGACGAAGAGGCCTACCAGCGTCGTCATGATTATGGAGAATCCCGAGACGAGGAAGAAGGCGGCGGCTGCTGCTGCGAAGAAGGATGAGAAGGATGAGGGTGAGGATGATGGGGAGAAGTATTCTGATACTTATCAGAGTCTTGTTAAGTTGGTGCAGAAGGAGACGGAGAGGCAATCATTTTGGTAAGGAGAAAGGGGGGAACGGGGAGAGTGGTTGGGTGTAAGGTGTGACGTGTCCGGTCTTGGGGGTTTGCTGCTCGTGAAGGGGATATGGTTGAAGTCCACCAATGTCGAGCGAGGGTCATTTGTCGTCGAAACCGCTTTTTGGGCAAACCCTGTGTAATATCCCAACATGCCAGGAGGTGATATAAAACGAATCTTGGGGCGGGAACAAGGCGTTGAAGGTAGTGCTTTTTCTTCTGGCAGGTATAGTTTCTAACCGCAATCAAAAGGGCCATTTTTCTGGACTAAGCTCGCAAAGCTGACCGTATTCCCATTCCCCTGCATGCATTACTCTAAATCAGCCTACCATGTTTCTCAGTCCACACATTTTCGCTCGAGGATGGAAAGATAACGACCAAGAGATGGCTTCCTTGGCAGATGTATAAACTCTTTATTGGGAACACTGCAACATAAATGGAATTCCAAAAGATATCGATATTACTAACACATGGCCTCTTCCTAAGGCAGACCGTTGCCAGCTTTTTTTTTTTTTTTTTTTGATCATACACCAAAAACAGGATTTAGTCAAAGGGGTTGCTGCGAGTTCCCCACCAGGTGAGGAATACAGATAGTCCAACAGTCTCGACGAGCTTCGCGGCGACGCTAACACCAACTGTATCGAGAGGACGCTTCTCTTGCAAGACTTGCGCAATGTACTAAAAAGGGTGAAAAAAAGGCATTGATGGTCAGCATAAATAGGCCGGCCTTCGCTTGAATTCAGGAGGAAGTATATATAACGTTAGCAACAAAGGGGCCACTTACAGTAGGAGCAGATGTAGCCAAGAAGATGAGACCACCAAGATACGCAGCCCCCTTATAAGTGAGTGTTCCAGTAGCGTTGATCAAAGCACCGACGCCATAACTCTGGAGGGCGGAGCCGACGAGGGTGGTGCCCCAGGCGACAGCGGCGGAGGAAGCCTCGCGGGATCGGAGGAACTCCTCCTTGGTGTTGGCGGCCTTGGCGCGCTGGTAGGTCTGGCCGAAGAGAGGGCTGAGGACGGCTAGCTCGACGGTTTGGTTGAAGGCTGTGCCGATGGCGATGGCCGAGGGCTTGACGGCGGGGAAGTCTTGGGAATGGGGGATCTTTGTGTTAGTTGAAACTCTTGATGGGGATGATCTGACGATGGCTTTTGAGAAGGAGAGGTGAGGATGCCTTCTCTCCCCAATTGGAGCCAGGGGCTGAGGGATGCTTCTTCATCGGAATTGAAATCGGAATTGACTCACATTGAAGAGACATGTTGGATGATGAAGGTGAAGCTCGGGCTAGATACGATCAAGATGGAAGTTCCTTGCGATGGATAGGCACAGCGAGACTTGGAGATTGGATGGAGGGAAGACGTCAGTTCGAGAGGGGGGACGCAGGGCCTTTTATGTCAAGGGAAGAGGTGGGGAGAGCTCTGAACAGAGGAAGCAAAAAGCAAACGGAAACATGGGGAGCTCGAAGTAGCAAGGACCTTTAGTTCTAGCTGTCTCTCTGTTCTCTCTTCTCTCTTCCTGAGTAGAGACTTGGGGGTCGATCACGAACATGGCATGCTCGCATGTACCTCGCCGCCGATCGACACCATCGGGCGATACATCATGGTTACTTTTGTTTTCTCCTGACAATAAGTCACGTCACGGGCCTGACATGCACGTTCCAGCTTGGATCTTCCCCGTTGGGAGCTTCTGTTTCCCATGTTTCTGATGTTTCCGGTGTTTCTCAGTGCGCTCTGCTCCTGTGCGATGATGTCACCGAGCTTTGTCTTTAACTAGTCCCTTTCGGCGGCGGGGTTTGTTCCAGGATCACCCGGTCCCGACCATGATGCGCATCTACCTAAAATATCGTCACTGACCCGTCTTCCTCGGCTATTTTGTAGACGATCTGTCGAAGACGACATGACAGAAACAAGAAGACATGGACTTGAGGAAGAAGCGCTCTTATTGAAGGTCAAGCTGTTGAACAATGGCTTCAGCAAACACCATCATTGACAAGATTTAAATGCGGCGAGGGAACTTTGAGACATGCGGAAACGGCGTCGGCTGGTGTCCCGTCCTGGTACTCCTGCACTGAACTCTTGCATTGAACTACGGAGTATTGTATTTTCTACTCTGCTGGCAGAGGGTACCGGATTTGAGTTTACACGTACGACTGATCGATTGTACTTAAGAGACTGGACTGAAATTGTTGTTTCCCACAGCCTGTAAGAGTATGAAAGTGCGCCAGAAAGTGCGCCACCACTGTCTACTTGAGCTCCATTTCAAGCAAAGAACTACACGCACAAGTCGAGCAGTCATCTACGCATACAAGGGTCTCTATCATGGGAGGCAGGGCAGAGACAGAAACTCAAGAGCGCAGCACTTTCAGCCGATCATTGGCTCTCCCCTCCCTCGCTCTAGGAGATGCAATTGTGTCACCATTATTCGTTCTTTCCCATCGATACATCATGAAAATGCTCTCAACTGGTAACCAGGGACAAATGTGCACCAGTTCAGTACCTTACCGTGCTCTTAGCTGGGCGCCACAATTTGGTTTAAAGTGCCTGTTGACATCATCTCTTTCTTTGACCTAGTTTTTTTTTGTATCTGGACCCCAAGATTGATTTGGGTCATAGTGATAGTTGCTGCCGAGACACGATTGATGAACGAATGCCATTAATTGCATCAGGTACACGAGTGGGGATCAACACACGACTGATGTCTTGTACTGGTTATATCTCTTCCCAACTGGCATGGACCCGAGGCTTCGTCCGGGGACCGGCACACTTAAGAGGTTCACAAACCCTTCCATCCAAGTCACCACCCAACATTGAACCTTGCACGGAGCTTTGCTTCGTCGCCGACAACGGCTCTTCATCAAATCTATATCCTACACGTACAAAAACATCGTACAAAAAAAGCCCAGGCTTCCCCCGACGGGAAGTCGCCGGTCCAACCGTTCCATTTGATCAAAACGCTCGTGATCGCTTCGCCATTAACCTAGACCCCTTCCCCCCGCCAATGCTGGAAAAAAAACAGAAAAAACAAACAAACATACCAATAAACAGAGGCATCTCTCGTCTGTACAGGAAAACAATGAGTTTTATCATATTGGTTTAAAGGAAGGGGAGAGAATATGGATTACATCTCCCCGGTCCCCTTCCTTCGGTGTTGAAATGACTTTACTGCTCAATGTTTTATGCCATATGCTGACCGTCCTAGCCGCCCCGTAATGCCAATAACGCTCGAACATCAGACACGTACTGGAGTCCCTCTAGGAAAGGGACCAAGTGAAGGAGATCGCTGTCCGTCGGGTCGTTGATCCAACCCTGGATAGGAATGGCATTATCTAAAGGGGCCGGTTAGATCTCTGAATTGAGTCTTCAACAAGGATAATAGAGAAGGCGGCCGTGCGAACCTTGGTGGAACATGTAGCTCAGCGGACTATTGTCCAAAATCATGACTTTGCTGAGGTCGGGTTCGACCGAGCTTAGATCCTTGATAAAGGCACCGTGACGGAATGTACAATGTTGCCTATAAAACCGCCCCGAGAAGAACTTTCTTTCTTGCTCGAGCCAGTCGATCACAGGGTCGGCATACTCCTGCACTGACGCCGTAAAAATGACCAAGTTGTACCACTTGCATACCTTTGGTGAAGAATCACAGTTAGCATACCAAAGGCTCTCTCTTTTTATGTCCCACCCTTACACCCTGACATGAAGCCACGTAATAACGAAAGGTGGATAGGTCCTTACCCTGCGCAAGAAGTGATCGCAATACGGTCGCTTGTGGACGTAGTAGAGAATTGGGTGTTGCGGCCCAATCGATGTCTGCCCGCCTGCTCCAACCAGCGTCGTGTTCAATCGCACTTCCACCATGTGGCCGGTACTCATACGTCCGCCCTTGGACATGCTGTGGATTAACGTCTCGTCGAGGTCGAGAATGAGCGTCTTCTGGTGCTTGAGCGGCGTCGGTTCCAAATTCAGGTACGAGGGTTGGCGTCGCGGGATCAGCGGTCGTGGAGGAGCAGGAGTCTTGGGGTACCGAGTGAGAGCGCCGACGGGGGAGGTGGGAGACTTGAGCTGTGCGGATATGTCGGGGGTAGCAAGATGACCGGCCTTGCCCGTGCGGGGCGCAACGGATTGCGTTTTCCTGTGTCTTCGTTGTCGTAGGGCTTCTTCGTTATTTAGCTTGATCCGTATTGATTTCCTTCCAGCGGTGGAGTCTTCGACTTCGTCAAGCGACTTGGACCTGGTGTGTCTGATGGTGCTCTGGGACGTGCGCCTGGTTCGGGGTCTTGTAGCGTCACGTTCAGATTCGGAAGCCGCCGAGGACGAACCGGATGATACAGAAGGACGGGGACGAGCAGCGTTGGAACGACGGCGGGGACGGGGGCCTAGTGGCGGTCCCTCCTTCTCGTCGATGGCGAATTCAGAATATTTAGTAGAAGACATGGCTGCACGCGCCTCGACGTCGTACCATGCGTAGAGTCTCTTGAAAGGGTAAAAAGGTGCAAACTGGCCCTGGTCGTTGTAGAAGAACGCAAAGAGGTAGACGCCGGGGGCAGCCAGTGTTGAAAGGAACCACCGAAGTGAGTTGATCAGTGACGCGGCTATCCGCCGGGGTGCGAGCTGCCAGGAACAAGTCGATCGCGTGTTTCCTTCAATCGACTCGCCCAGCAGCGGCGAGCTCTCGTCGTCCACGGAGCTCTGCTCGGCGTAGTTTGATTCGGGTATTATATTGGGGTCATCGTCTTCGGTGGGCGGCGTCGGTTGTGGTGGTTGTGATGGCTGCGATAGTGAATCTTCAGAATTGGGATCCTCCCCAACACCTTCTCCGTGGTCTCCCGAGGCGAGGTCGGACTGGACGGCAAGTCCCAAGGATGTGAGGGAATTCGAGCGCGAAGGAGGCGTGCTTGGAGGTGGCGAAACTCGGGCGGAGAGAATGTTGAGAGAGTTCATCTTTTAAGCTGCCTGGACAGCCATGAGGCTCCCAGTCGCAACTATCGGATCGAGGGTTCGGCGAGGATGGCGTGTATTGATGTTGATTGAGTAGGTAAACCGTGTTGATGAAGGTGGGTTAGGCTAGGGTGCAGAAGCACGCAGCGGAAAGAGGATCGTCGCAATGGGTCAGGTCAGATGAAGCGAGCGTGGGGACGAGGATCGTCGGAAGAGATGGTACGGGGAGGCTTTGATTGGAGTGGGCAATAACTAATGCTTCGGAATTTTTTCTTTCTTTTTTTCTCGGCTCTTTCCAATTCAGGTCATGTAAGGATTGGGCTAGGTGAAAGGGCGGATTAGGATACAAAGGGTTCGGTCGTTTACAAGACAAAGGGTCGCAGGGAGGATTAAGTTTCTCTAGTTCGATGTTGATGTTCCAAGGAAGAGAGCTCGACGGAGGCGCCAGGCACTAAGGACACGGCGGCGACTAAGTGGGTGGGAGAGGCGCTAACGAAGGAACGCTGCGATGGGCCAAGGTGGTTATGTCTCGACAATGCAGAAACGGGTCGACCGTGAGAGAGAAGTTGCGAAGGAGGATCGAGGGATTGGCAAAAAGCTCTTGGTCGGTAGATTTCCGTCGCGGGTTGGAAGCCGAAGAGGGGAGACTGGGTGGTTCGTCGGGGTAGGATTTTGAGAACTTATGTGATCAATGCACCTGCGCTTTTGCTTTCAACGGTTGTTCTGTTCATGTGCCTGATGGGGTCTGGCCAGGTTTAGTGCCGATCTTGCAGTGGGCTCTTTCGGCGGATGGACATTGGAGGGCGCAGTTTAGAGCCGGAAGTTGCCTTGAAATGTTCTCTCTCTTTCAATTGTTCAACGTTCAATGTTGTCGAGCCCTTCGGGAAGTCTGCGTTGTTCACGTGCTGCGTCTCGGTTCAATCACGGTGGCTCCCAGTAGCTCCCAGTGGCTCAACCTGCAGGAAATGTTCGACTAGTGTCAGGTATGGCACCGATTCCGACCTGGATTCCGAGCGTCTCTTCTTTTTATCCTTTTCTTTTTCGGTAACGATGGACGGATAGAAAAGATCTCACGACATTCTTCCGCTAGATTTCCGGGGTGGGATCGACTAGGGCGATTTCGTGGATGTTGGGGAATATTGATGGTATTTGATTGAGGCTCTCGGCTTTTGTTGAGAGTTGAGACCAACGATAAATTGGACGGGAAAAATACTTCGTATAATTATCATCAACATCCGATCCTGCACGGACAAGATACCGAGATCTGATATGGGCGCGCATGTTCATTCTACTGGAGAGATACGTATGCTTCATCGCAAGGCCTACACAGCACCAAGATCTATGCAAAGAACGAGTAAGATTGCATGATCCAGTTTGTAGATCGCTGACCACTCGACACCATGGAATCTGAGTCGCAGCTCTCGTCCCTCCTCCAGTCAGAGCTGTTGGAATAACTCATAAGCTGACTTTGGGGATCGGTCTCGAACGATTCATTGTCCAGCTTGCTACAATGAACTCCATACTTTGTACTCCCTTCGTATTTTCAAACATGACCTTGGACAGATTTCAGTGCTTGGCCTGGCAATTTTCAGTGGCTAATGTGAGGTATGAGCTTTATTAGAGGCTGTTCTGTCTAGAAACAGCATCGAATTCCCGTACCACTTTTTTTTTTCTGGCCAGGCTCTTGAACCATTGACTCATCCCAGGAGCTACCCCACCATTCCACTCAAAGCCATCGAAACACAATCGCGAATTTCACGAACTGCATATCCATCATCACGAACTTCACTCTGGGGAAAAAGAAATCGTGTGGAAACTAGCACATAAACCTCCTCTTCCATTCCACCGGTCACGCCTCACTGAGTCTTGTGATCCCACGACCCTGTTTCCATTCTAACCTGCCTTCAATTGAAAGCCTCACCCCACATTGGGATGGCATCCCTCAATGCTGCCAGCCATGCGGCGGCCCTTGAAAAGTTTAACAAGTCTCTCAAAGGACAGGCCCTCGAGACCTCGATCTACAAGCTGACTTCGTGAGTCCCTATTCATGACCTTATTTTCTACTTCTTGTCTCTACTTGCTAAAGGACTCTGCTAACCTCCCTGCCGTAGCCTCCTCAAGTTGAGGCAAATCCAAGGCTCCGAGCCATGCGCCATCGCAACCGCAAACCTCCTTCTCCAAGTCGTCGCGAAATCCAAAGTTTCCGAAGTCGATCAGCTCCTCGCCCACATCTCAGCTGTTGGCAGCCAGCTAGTTGCCGCCCAGCCCAAGGAACCCGTAGTCGGAAATATCGTGCGGCGCGTGCTTGGCCTAATCAGAGACGAAGCTGAGGAGGACAGGAATGGTGGGATTAGTCGATCTTCCGGACATGCCACGCCTACGGACTTCCAGCCTCTAACCTCCGCAGTCCCGGCCGTCCCGTCGGGATCCGATTCCCTCTCGAATTTAAGACATGCCCTAGCTCGATCCTCCGCTCATCCCTCGCCGCCGGGCTACTCGATCGGCAAGACCAAGTCCCTTCTTCATCTCCTGTCAGCAGCTGGCCCTACGGATGGCAGCAGCTTATCGGGTATGAATCTGTCGGGCGCGTCCACGCCTACGGGGCACGGTCGAGCTAGATTCCAGGCCGTGAGGGGAGAAGTTATTGATGGAATCGAAGAGATCAAGGACGAGATTGACCAGGTTGACGATCAGATATCCGCCAATGCGGAAGCGCAAATACGGCCGGGCGAATATGTCTTGGTCTACGAGCCCTCGGCAACCGTGCGACGGTTTCTCCTGAAGGCGGCGTCGAAACGAAAGTTTACCGTCGTCACCGTCGTCCACCCCTCCCGCCGCCAAGCTGCCGCGAGCATTTATGGCGATCTCAGCAAAGGTCTGGCCAAGCACGGCGTGTCTACCATCAGTGTTGTTAGCAGCGCCGTGATGGCTTATATGCCGCATGTCGACAAGGTGGTGCTTGGGGCTCGGGCAGTGTTTGCGAACGGTAGCGTGCTCCTCGATGCGGATGCGGGTAACATTGCCAGGACGGCCAAGAAGCGAGGCAGTGCGGTAGTGATTCTGAGTGGTGTCTACAACTTTAGCCCGGAGATTCCTTTCGATGAAGAGGCTTTGGTCGATTGGGGCAACCCCTCGCAATCGGTCAACTACTCGGATGGCGGCATTGTCAACTACATCGCAGTGCAGAACCCAACCACGGACTTGATACCCGAGGACCTCGTCGACGTCTACATTACCAATCTGTAAGTCTTGCCATTCGGGTAGTATTGTCCCAAACCGCCCCGCATATACACATTTTATCTTCAGGGCTGGGGTAGGGATCTGAAGCTAACTGGGCATTTGTTACAGCGGTGTGCACTCGAGAGATCATCTCTCCAATATCATCGATGAGCACTACAAGCCAGAGGATCTGGACTTTTACATCCCGGCGGCAGCCCACTAAACGCCAGAACATCTGACATGAAGAAGTTTCCTGCATTGTAATCTCTCCCCCACACGTGGCAGGGACCAGGACCAGGTTGGAAAGCGAGATCAAAGAGCGTTATTTGTACAAGTATACGAAGTATGTTGGTGCTCCAAAATGGTTAGAGGCCAGCCCTGTGGAAGCTTAATCGGAGCGAATCAAGGGGGTGCTACTCGGCTAGCGGCTCGAATCCCGGTGGGTTTTGATGAGTGATCGCTCCGAACTTATTTCCGATTAGAGGGGGACTTCTGCTCGCATTCGCTTACAGCAGCTTGTGTTGCTGTGCGGGCATTCCGAACGACCGCCAGTAAATCGATGCATGATGCGGCTGGGGAGCCTGGAGGACGGGATCTTTTTGCTGCAAACCCGTTGCTGCCTGCATGGTCTAGAGCAGCGAATCTGCGCTAAAACATGACCAGACAGATGATCAGAAATCAGATAGGGTAGAAATAAAGCAGACGAGCAGGCAGGCATGTCCGGGCCGCGTCAGCATTTACGACGGGAAGTTAGGCGGCACACGTTTTCCGAGCAGGCTTCGAATTGGTGACCAATGCCCTGGAACCTCGTGCATTTAACTGCAATGTCGAAGTGATTGGATTTCCTTGTAGTGCGTAAGCCGCTGAATCACCCCACCACATCAGGCCCAAGACGATGCTGTTAGTGAGGATGGTGAACCGTGCTTGAGCCGTCATCCATCAATCAATACCTTGTCCTCCATTCGATGCTACCTAAACCCACGCCATGAGACCCTGGAGATCCTGGCCTCAGGTGTCATTCTGACGAGGGGAACGAGAAGGGGGAATCACGTCTTCAACGGGACAGGCTTCGTGGTTTGTCCAATCGAAGACGTCAACTGAAGCCAGATTCGCAAGCCATGGCCTTGCCGAACATTTAGACTACAAGATACATTGATACATCAAGCCCATGTTCCTCGAAACGGAAACGGTGTGACGTGAAAGTGCAGATTAGGATGCCACAGCCCCGAGCGAATCTTATCTGAGTATTTATTCGACACAGCCCGGTGACTTCGCACCTTCCTCGTTTTTCGTGTTCGTGGATAGGCAAAAGTACTTTCTGAAAGGTACCGGGATGCAGAGCTTGGAGATGAGGCGATCTTTCTGAGCCACCTGGCACTGAGGAATATAAGTACATATTCTGCGCCTTCCCGTAGCATCTCGCCCTGCGCGACTTCCTCTGAGATTCCCGACTTTTGACAAGCTCCAGGGTCTGCCTTTGCCTGTTTGACCTTCTTGTTCTACTGGGCTATATAATTTCCCTTGAAGTTCGTAACCCAACACTTTACTCGAATAATCCGAGCTTCTTCTACAGAGAAATTTCAAATCTCGACAGGAGGGCATTAATATGCAGTCGTTCAACGACGTTCCCCCTCCGCCGTATAGCGAGACCGATATTTACTCGCACGCCGGCGGACACCCCACCAACACGGCCCGCCTTTCAGTCGGCCACCTCTCCCCGCTCCCCTCCCAACACGGAGACGATGCCTTTTCTACTTCCACGAGCGGTGATGTGATTTATACCCCGCCGTTAACCCCTCAGACTTCCCACAGCCGTCCTGTTGAACCATCGGCTGCGGCCGCCGCTTACTTCGACACCCGCCCGGCTCCAGATGTTGTACCGGCCCAACTTATCGAGCACACACTCACCGTAACTGCATCCAGCACGCCCGAGGACTTCCCAATCACCGATTTCCCATCCCGTGATGTGACAGAGCAAGACTGGAGGACATTTCTGAATTTCCTCCTCCCCGATCACACCACGAGGAGGAATGAAGCGGTTGCGGACCGGAAGCTGAGGGCGGAAGGTAGTGATGCAAGCACTTCCGGCGATGCCGAGGCGCAGATCAGCGCCATCCGGTCGGAAAACGGATCGACTGGGCAGTCTCGTCAAGATATCGAGCGCACAGTCGAGGAGTGGAATGTCTGGTTCTTCTCTCCCCGTGGTGTCCGTATACACTTGACCCCCGAGGCGGATGCAAGCCGGATGCCTGGTGCATGGGACCACTCCTTTGATTCCACCGCTCCTGCCGGCCCTTCCAACCCTCAGTCTAATCCCCCTAATCTGCAACCCCCCACTGGCACTGGACCTTGTCCCAGTCCGACGAATGCCCGAGGTTTCAATTTTGGCGGCATCCGCATTTCGGACGAGGGCGTATCCCTCGGAAATAACCTTGTCGCCGACAGGAACGGCATCCGCGTCGGCCAATTCACCGCCGACCACTCCGGTATTAAGTATGCCGGTCGAAACCTCCTTCCTGGAGCCGGGTTTGCCCCGTTCCCACCTCATCGTGGTGGTGGTTGGAGTCACTATGGGCCCCTGGGCGGTAGACATCCCGGCTATGGTCCCTTCGGTGCTCACCCGAGAGGACACCACTATCCTCCTGGACCCCACGGCCATCACCACGCCGCATCCGTTTCTTCGAATGACAACTCCTCGGACTCCTCGTCATCATCTGATAGCGATGACGATGGTAGCTCCATTGGGTCTCTCCCGGACTATGACGAGCTGGATCGTCAGCAATTCACCGTTTACTCCGAGACCCTCCAGGCGTGGCTTTCTCGATCCGGCGGCCACATTTCGAAACAAGACATTCGCCAGCTCAAGACTCAACTCCGCGCCGTCCGCTCCAAACGCGGCGACCTGAAGCCCGACGAGCGGAAAGCATGCACTGTGGAAATCAAGGGGCTCATCCGCCAGCTGAAGCAGGTCATCAAGCAGCAGAAGCAGGAGAGGAAAGAGCTCAAGCGCAAGGAGAAGCAGCGAAAGCGCGCTGAGAAGAAGGAGCGCCGGGAGAAGAAGCGGGAGCTCAAGAGAGCGAGGAGGGACCATGCTCGTGGCAGGGTTGGTGCGGTTCCGCCTATCCCTCCCGTCCCTCCTGTACCCGCCACCCCCGCTGCTCCCGCTGCGGCCCCGGTTCCTCCTACTCCACCCGCTCCCCCTGCGCCTCCCGCACCTCACGCTGTTCCTATGATAGACCCAATGGGCTTCATGGGCCGTTGTAGTCCCGGCGGACGCGGTCGTGGATTTGGAGAAGGTTGTGGTTCCCGCGGAATGGGAGGTGGTCCATGGGGCAACCGCCATGCTCCGGGAGGCCCTTTTGGGGCTAGCCAGTTCGGAGCTGGTCCATGGGGTATGGGTGCAAGCAGGGGAGGCTTTCCCGGTGCCTGGCCGGATACCCGTGGACTGGAGTTTAGCGAGGGACGACTAAATGGCTACAACAAAGCGATTGACAAGCTGGAGAAGAAGATTGAACAGAGAGAAACGGAACTCTCTAAGCTCGAGATAGAGATGGCGTCTGGAAACCACGGCCGTGGCTGGGTAGCGAAGAAGGCGGAGAGCAAGAAGGTAGCGCTCGAGAAGGAGATCGAGGACATCCAGAGCGCCTTGGAGCATATTCGGCTGCAGGCTGATGAGGAGTATGCGAGGATAGTGGAGGCCAGGGAGAATGCCTCGTACTAAATGACCGGCTCTGCTTTGTTTTTTTTCCCCATTTTTTCCCCCATGATTTTCTTTTTCTTTCCTGGTTGTTCACAAACGCTTCTCCCGGTTGTTTTATTTTCCTGATGACATGTACTATACCCCTTGGGATTTTAACGAGATTCATGGATTCATTAATGAAAGTAATGTTACCGCCATAAATTTTCCATACGTGACCGTCATCTATGACCTATAACTTTTTCTTTTCCCGGAAATCCCCAGCTGCTCTAATGCTGGCGAAGCCCAAGCCCAAGCCCAAGGTCTCCTACCGCTATGCAGAAATGAAAATCCAGTTCCATATAACTTTTGCCTCGAATCGAGAACCCTCCGGGATCTAGCACAAGTACTCCCAAAAGCTCATTCATTTTAACCAGTTCGTCCTGTTCTTCAACCCCCTCCCTAGCTCTTATGCGTCTCATCCCTCTCCACCAACTCCCCAACCCCTAACGCCCTCCCAACCTTAACCTTCCTCTTCTTATCAGCCGCCCGTCCGACATCACCCACGGCTTCGCCCTCATCCTGCGCCTCTTCATCGCCGGTTCCTTCCTCGCGCTCGCGGGCCTCCTCGAGGAGCTCGCGGATGTCGGCGAAGTCACGCTTCATGCAGAAGGCGTCCTCGCCGTCGGCGTAGTACTTGCTCTCGGTCTTTTCGGTCTGGAAGCCGAGGGTGTCGCGGTAGAGGCGGATGGCGGCGTTGTTGGAGACGCGGACGTGGAGGGATACGTATTGGGCGCCGAAGGTTTCGACCATTGCGAGCTCTGTAACTCGAGTTAGTTTTCGATATAATTTTGGGGGCGAGGGAGAGTTGGGGGGAAAATGAGGGAGTATAATGAGAATTAGTTCTAGAGACATACGGCTTTGACGCATCAGCTTCTCGGCGATTCCCAACCGCCTATGCGTGCGCATGACGGACAAGCTGGTAATGTGCCCATGCTGGACGCCGTCGGTGGGTTCCTCCTCCATCTTGGCGAGCACGTAGCCGACGATTTTGGGGTAGTCGTAGGGGGACTTCTTGGGGCGGGAGACGTCGACGGCGACGAAGCTTAGCTGGGGCCAGGAGAGGGCATGGTAGAGGTAGTACTTGAGGAAGTAGTTCTCAGGGAGGTTCTCAAGGTTGGCGTGTTGTATGAGGGGCAGGTCGGAGGGTTGGAGGACTCGGATATCCATGGTTGTTATTCTGGCCGGCGGCTAGCCTGTGTGACTTCTAGGGTGACGATCGGGGGTGAACGAGGGAGGGTAGGTAGATAGGTCCGAATGAGAGGGTGGGGGTTTATGTCCGCCTTCAAGAGGGTGGGATGGATTGAGGTTCGTCGATGACGAGGCTGGAAATTTTGGCGGGTTGAAGACCTCAATTCGTCTGTGTGCAGGTGGCAGAAGTCAGCCAATGTCAGAGTGAGCCAGCTTTCAAAATTCGGCGTAAAGTGGGGTTTATTTCGGTGAGCTAAATCAAAGGTGGGGCTGCCAAGGGGTCTAGAACATTGAACCCGGCTTTCACTTTGATCTCCCCATGCAGTTGTTGGTGCTCATTTTCTGGGAGCTCAATTCCTCTCCTGGAAACGAAACGCGATTGTCTGTCCGGTCGTCTGTGAGCTCAGCAACATCAATTGAGACTTGTCTATATACCGGTCTTCGCAGCCATGACGCCAAAGCAAAAAATCAACCCCAAGGTTCGTGCACCTGTCTCGGTTACGCCGTTGTGAGAGCTCTGGATTTTTTTTTTCGCTAATTCTCTTAGGCCGTCATGGCGCCCGTGGCGGCTTTTACGATGGCATGCATCCTATTCTTGTATGTCTTGTGACCACTGTACTCCCTAGTTTATTTACGATTTCGCAATCGTTCACTGATGGGATAATATATAGGTACACGCGATCCTCCATGCGCGCAGCGAGGCATGAATCTGTAAGTCTCGCGACTCTCCCAGACACCAGGCATCATCTTCTCACAGTCGGCGACAGAGGGTAAGGCAAGCCGGCTATCGCGAAAACAACGGGAATAAGCCGTCGTAAAGGTAGCCGGGATATCTTCGACTTCAATCACTACGAAGTATTGATCTCGGAATGGAATCTCAAGAGCCGACGGACCAAAATCATTCTCATTGATATGATTTGAGCTCTGGCGTTGTTGCCCGCGGGTCGAGGGGAACCTTCGCGTCATGTGCTCGGGATATTCCTGCAACCCGCGGCAAGAGTCGGGCTGGTTTGCTTCGAAGTGCAGATTTGGGATTTGGGGGGAGTTGTCGCCTGGTCGTTTTAGGCAAGGGCAGAGACGACCATGGAGAACTGGATCTGACTGGATCTGGGCAAATACTAGTGGAAAAGTCCACTTCCTTCGTATCTAAATAGTAGCAGTACATACCCGTGTCTGTGGAGGGGAATCTGTACAAGAAAGTTCATTGCATTTGCAACTATTTCCTCATTGGCCTGATTAGATATGGCGTACTTCGTTTATCAGAGTCAAATCAGTGAATTTGGCGTCTGCCCACGAGACCTCGTGGGGTGCTCAATCCGTTTACTTCGTGGTTCGTCGCGCAGTCGAGAAACTCCAATGATTAGTCTGCAAATGCGCGAAATCTACTGCATCGTTTGTGGCAACTAATGATAAAAAATTGTAATAGGGGTCCAGTGCAGGGTTTTTGACTCTCGACCCTATTATTCTGTATTTGTACATCATCTAGATGGAGCTGAGGTCAATCAATATCAAATCCAGGGATTGAGCCTTTCGTCCAAGAATCAGTCGTGTGGGTTTCTGATTTCTCTCACACTGTGGCTTCCCAGAACCCCACCGACCTCGGATCCTTAGCTGGAGGGGATTTTCCGGCTGGTCAATCCCCCAAATTCCCCCCAAAATCCCGTCATCACAGTGACACAGCCAAAAATATTCTCCAGCTCCACCGACGAAAACCCAGTGCATCCTGCATTAGTTACACACAGTTTGTTACGTCCCTTCCACCTTCCACTTCCAAAACTTCTCTTCCTCCCCCGCCGCTTCCACACCTTCTTGTAGATTGCGGACCCGGAGTCACTCCCACCAAGACTACAAGACTACCAAGACTACAATTCTACACTAGGGAAGGTCTGGGTTGGACTCGAGTGCTAAAGCGTGGTTAGCCATGATACCTTGCTGCGACATATTCTAGCGGAGACAATACTTTGTCTCTCGCACATTTGATCTGATCCATCTCCCCTCCCTTCCGTTCTTTTTTTTCAGCCTTTTTTTCTTTTTCTTTTTTTTACTTTTCCGTTTCTTCCTTTGTGATTCCTAGACATATACAACCATAGACTACCTCCCGTGAGGGCATGCACATACAACAACTGAGAGTGACGATAACGATATATACTATTTTCCAAGCCCTCGGAACACCTGGACCGTAACTGGCCAGGGACCGAGGACTCCATCGAAACCAGCACCCAATTCCTCCGGCTGCATCCATCTCCGGAACGACAGACACACACAAACACTTCCTTACCGCCCCAGTGACCCGAAAAACCTTGCTGGTGATGTCCCACGACAGGCACCCCTACCAATCCAGCACTCCCTCGACGCCTGATGCACAATACTATGTGACGTCCGATCTATCTCGCGAACCTTACCCACTGGGAGAGCCTCCAGCTCCCACGTCAACCATGAGCGACAATATCAAGTTGACCCCGTTCGAGGCTTGGACTCTGAGGGCGTCGGACAGCCAGTTTCATGCCACGGCCGGTAGTATCGGGGGCATTGCCTCTGGAATAGTCACATGCCCGTTGGACGTCATCAAGACCAAACTCCAGGCGCAAGGCGGCTTCATCCCCTTCAAGAAGCAAGGCGGCCATGTTGGCCATCCCAAAATGTACAACGGCCTGGTGGGAACGGCGCGGACGATATGGCGAACCGAGGGAATACGAGGCATGTACAGGGGATTGGGTCCTATCGTCATGGGTTACCTGCCAACCTGGGCTGTCTGGTTCACGGTGTATAACAAGAGCAAGAATTTCCTCAGTCAGCGCTACAGTATGTTACGCCCCGCCTACCGTCGCACCTCTGCCGTTCCAAACCCTCCACATTTGCGAACAAACCCCCCCTCTCCCAACCCGCCTCGCTATGAAAACAATTCTCACTAACATAACTTTTCCTAGAGCACGAATTCCTCGTCAACATGTGCTCCTCCGTCGTCGCCGGTGCTAGCAGCACAATCGTCACGAATCCCATATGGGTCATCAAGACCCGGCTCATGTCACAGGGCGTTTCCCACCAGAAAGGTGTGCATTATGACCTTTTCCCAAAATCCTCCAGTACCCCAACATCAAGGCCAACCCTCCAAGTGCCATGGCACTACAGCTCGACCCTTGATGCGGCGCGGAAGATGTATACGTCGGAGGGCATTCTCTCCTTCTATTCCGGCCTGACCCCTGCGCTTCTGGGTCTTACCCACGTCGCCGTCCAATTCCCGACCTACGAGTTCCTCAAGACCAAGTTCACTGGTCAAGGCATGGGAACGATACAAACCGATACCGGAGAGCACGCTTCTACACAGCTGTTGGGAGTGCTTTGCGCCACCATCTTGAGCAAGATCCTGGCTAGCAGCGCCACCTATCCGCACGAGGTTATTCGGACGAGGCTCCAGACCCAGCGACGCCCCGTGGCAGGAGAGGGCTTTGCACAAGGTTTCAATATGGAGCCGAACGGTCGCCAGGCACCCCCCGAACTCAAGTACAAGGGAGTTATCAAGACGTTCCGGACGATCCTGCGCGAAGAGGGATGGCGTGCTTTCTACGCTGGCATGGGGACCAACATGATGAGGGCAGTCCCCGCCGCAGTAGTGACGATGTGCACCTACGAGACCTGCATGGCCTTGTTCAAGGAGACGCGCAAGAGCGCCCAGGAGAAGGTATTAAGCGGTGGCGGCGACGAATTACAACTCACATGAAAGTTTTCGCACACACACTCGCAAAAGGGTAACCAGCACCAGAAGGATGTGGTTAGTGAAACGGTCGGGTCGGTCGGCAGGCTGATTTTGATACCCATTGAAATGTATAGACTTAGTATGGAGCCTTTTTCCTCTCTCTATCTCTCTCTCTCTCTCTCTCTCTCTCTCTCTATCCACCCCTATCTCTCCATCTCCTCTTTTTTTTTCGCAATAACTTCAATCTGGGAAAACAGCGGTGGATTTGTAATCCTAGATCAGGGTACTTCAAGTTTGGGTCAATCGGTCGCGGATGTGTTGCCCATGGCTTGGACTAGCGCTGCATTACTTGTACACTCGGCATGATGGATGATTTCTCTTTTTTTGACCGTTCTTGGCAGGCAATGGCATAGAGAATTGACGCATTTTTTTCGGAATGGCATCTTTGGCAGGCTCTGTCTCCATCTTCTCTCTCTCCCCCTTTGCGACGACCCGTACTTCCGCAAACTAAGTTTGGCAAAGTGCGAAACCCACAAAAGACGCCATCGCGTAAGATTGCCATGCTTCTAAAACATATAATGCGCAACGACGACGGCGGTGGATCGAGGTGGCTAGTCCATTAGACGGTATAAATTTATCTACCGGGTTGTTATCGCAATGTCGGACTCGTCTACGGGAGGAGCTATCCGATAATATCTGATACTAACTGACGATATCCAATATACATGGCGGCTCTTTCCGAAAAGGTAGGATCGAGAGCTTACCCCAGTAGCTATCGCCATTTCGCGTCATGATTGGTCGCGACAGCAGCAGTGTGCTCCGGGGAAACCTACCCGCCCTCTGCTGCTGTCGTGCTCGCCTCGCCCTCCCGCTCCTGGGCTCTGATCCTCCGTTTTTTTTATGTTTTATTTTTCCCATCCCATCCCATCCACCCCCTTTTCTCCTCCTCTTCTATCTCTATTCTGAAGCTCATCGCATTATATCCTTCATTTCGGTCATTCGCGACCATTTTCCATTTAAAATTTCCCGCTGGGCAAAAATCAAATAATAGCGTCGCAACAACTCCTCCCCATCGTCGCATAATGCCGCCCGTTCTGCGCAAGCGCAAGGCGCCCGAGCCGCCCCCGGCGCCACCTGCCAAGAAAGCTGCGCCCAAGGCTACGAAGGGCGCAAAGGCCGCTCCCAAGGCGAAGGCTGCGCCTAAGAAGAAGGAGGAGAAGCCTGTGAAGGAGACGGCGGCCAAGGTCGCTGCGCCGCCTGCTGTTGGCGATGTCATCTCTTTGGATGGCTTTGGTGGAGAGATTGAGACTAATGATGGCGAGAAGACTACGCTGAAGGCGCTTGTTGATGAGTCGAAGGGTGGTGTTGTTCTGTTCACTTACCCTAAGGCGTCTACTCCTGGTTGTAAGTGGTCGCATTTCTTTTTGTTCCTTCGCATTTGGGAAACTCTTGATATAAAGATGTGAAAGAGCACTGCTCTCTACCAACAGAATGTGCTTCGTGCCGTGTGCACACGAGTGCAATTTTCTTTGGAGTGGTTTCTAACATGAACACTTCCTGCACACAGGCACCAAGCAGGTCTGCTTCTTTAGAGATTCGTACGATGAGCTCACCGAAACTGGCTTTGCCATCTATGGTCTCTCGTCCGACTCGACCAAGGCCAACACAACCTTCAAGGAGAAGTACAAGCTATCGTACCCTCTCTTGTGCGATCCCGCCCAGACGCTCATCGCCGCCATTGGCCTGAAGAAGACGCCCAAGGGCACGCAGCGCGGCGTCTTCGTCGTCGACAAGTCCGGCAAGGTACTCGCGGCTGAACCTGGCAGCCCCGCTGGCACCGTCGATGTCGTCAGGGCACTTGTTGAGGCATCCGGTGCTGGCGAGCAAAAGAAGGAGGACGAATCCGAGGAGGCCAATGGCGCGGAAGCTGAGGGGAAGAAGGATGAGAAGGAGGAGGCTAACGGAAAGGATGAGAAGAATGACAAGGATGACGACAAGGCTGAATAGGTTATGGCTGCCTCTGTCACTGTATGGACTTTGGGATGGATCGCAGTGCTTATGGGACTACGTGGAATTACGGATAGGGTATTGTTATGAGCGATAGGCGACTTGGTTGAAGGAATAAGGGTTTGGGTTATTATATGTATTTTTTTTTTCCTTTTGATCGTGCACCCCCATAGCTATATAAAACAGAATGCAGCAGCAGAGCTCATGTTTGACAATGCGAATCAGTAATTGGGGCGTAGCGACTGGCTCGTTGGCTGTTCGGGTGTTACCGTATTGTTTAGCCGAATATTTTCCTACCAACTCTCACTTCCCACCCGAAATATCTCACGAACTCAATTGAAGCACGTCAACCATCAACGAAGCGGACAATTCGGACCAAAAACCGGTAAAAATGGCTTCCAAGGTGGTAGCAAAGGCCGCTGGAGGCGTCATGGACATTGCCCAGGTGAGATAGCCCTCTACCCGTGCTACTCCCGCTCTCACGGCCATTCAATGCGAGCACCAAACCCAAAACGCATGAGAATGTTCTGACCACGAGAATCCGCTCCCCCTCCTCCCCGACTTGCTAACCGCCAATTCACTCCAGAAACAAACCCTCCAATCGACCGGCGTCTGGGAGAAAATACGCCGCGCCTTCGCCGTCGACCCCAACCGCTCCAACGGTGTTCCCCTCAACCCCTACTTCCGCAACCCACCCCCCGGCGCCCTCGACCCTCTGTCCTACCAAGACTCAGTGACCATCCCCGCGGGCGACATCGCAGACAATCCCTACTGGAAGCGAGACGTCCGCCGTAACTACCCCCGCCTCAGCGTCGTCGACCAGTCGGACGCCGTAGCGCTCCTGACCGTCGGCAGCGCGGTGGCGCCCAAGGCCGAGCTCGTCGGCGAGGCGGGCCAGCAGGCTCTCGTGGCGGCTAAGGAGGACGGCCAGACGAAGGGCTTGGCTACGTTTTTGGAGGAGAAGACGGCTAAGGTTGTTGCGGCTGATGTGCTTGTTGATGGGTTGCCGCCTTTGCCGAGTGGGCAGAGTTTGGCGTCGGGGAAGTGGGATGTGCATAAGTATAAGCTTACGCCGGAGAAGACTGCTTATTCGGAGATGTGAGTGAATTCCTCATTTTGTTTTATGATGTTATGGTCTATGCTAACATTCAACGATAGGTATCCTTGCAGGTCGTTCGAGTAGAGGGAAGCTTAGAGGCGAAGGGCGTGTACATGTACATAAGGAGTAACATAGAGGAATGAGGTGGTAGAATTCAGATTCTTCTTTGAATATTGTCCGCCATGCTATGCATCAGCCATAAATTGCTTATTTTCTAGAAAAAAAAAGTGTAGGTCGTGAGTCGTCTATGTGCTAGTTTATCTCCGAGAGGAGGATCTTTTATGCTTCTCCTTCCCTCGATGTCTTCGTCCCAATCATCCGCTCTATCACCCTCACTTTCCCTTGCGCTTTTCTTAACCGATCGTCGAAATCTTGAACAGCGTCGTCGCTGTTCTCCGTCGAGAGGGTACCGGGTTCCATGAGAGCATGAACAGACTCGACGTTTTTCGCCAGCCTCGCATTCTGCGGCAGGGCCGGCATCCTCAGCACTTTTCCGTCCTCCACGCCGCCATTCTCGGTCTCCTCTTCCCTCGCTCCATTCGATTCCTGCGTCTGATTCTCGGAAGGGATGAGCCGATTCGCCCACACGACGGACCTGCCGTAAAGCCTCCCGCTCTCGGCGAACTTTTCGAAACCCTTGGCCATGCCGACGGATCGGCCCTCGATCTTGCCCGCGCGTTCGCCGTCTTGGAATCCTTGGTTGTAGCCTTGGGTGTAGAGGTCGTCCTCGAGACTGAGGGCGCCGTCGAAGATATCGTCAGTCATTATGCGGTATGTTCTGTTTTCAACTAGCTAGGCGAGTTCTTTTTTTATTCCTCTATTTTTCTGAGGGGGGCCTTATATCCTGCCCTTCTCTGAAAAGGCGTGGATCTGCAGAATCCCGGTATCGCTTGAGTGAGGTTTGAATGATGGGATGGATTGTTGATAAATCGGTTGAAAATCTATCAATTTGAGCCCTTGAGGCTTCAATGGTGGGGTTAAAAGCCAACACTGAGCGAGATCAATTTTCGCGTGGCAACTGGCGTCAGCACACTAAAATAGAAATTGGAACTCCACTAACACCAAGTCTACGTTTGATCAAGTCACATAAATCCCGCTTGTTCTCGGGATTTCAACCACCATGGGATCAAGTGATACCGATACAGTCAAGATCGATGTTCGTGTGAACACTTGCGAGGAATATTTCTCAAATTTTAAATACAGGGGAACATCAATGCCATCTACTGAGTTCCCAACAGCATGCCGCCGTTCGCGCACACGACCTGACCAGTACACCAAGCTGAGTCCGGCAAGCACAACATCCCAACAATACCGGCAATCTCGCTACAATACGCGGGCCTGCCGCCGCTCGTCTTAGCATCCTCAACGACCTCAGCGGAGTCGATCCCCTCCCTCGCCGCCATAAGCGGGGTATGCTCAATGAAAGGCTTGATAAGCCGCTTAAACTCATCCGTGTTGCTTGCGTACATCTCCGTCAGCACAGGGCCGGGATTGATAGCGTTAACGGTACAGTTCTCTGAAAGCTCCCTCGCCCACGTGCGAGTCATAGCCTCGACGGCGCCCTTGGTACCGCCGTAGACAGACTGGCCGACGAACCCGCATCCGGCGCTAACGGAGCTCAAGTTGACGATGCGGCCGCTGCGGTCCGTAGGGAGGTACGGCTGGGCGGCCTGGATGAGGAGGAGCGGGCCGAGGACGTTGACCTTGTAGGAAATGTCAAAGTCGGAGATCTTGATGTCGGGGATCTTGTCGTTGTAGGCGACGCCGGCGTTGTTGACGATGATGTCGATCTGGAACTTGCCGGCGGTGGAAAAGGCGGCCTTGGTGGCGGCGATGAGCTCGGAGGCGCCCGTGGGGGTGGCGAGGTCGGCCTTGACGACGAGGGCGCGGATCTTATGCGCGGCTTTGAGCTTTTCTGAGAGGGCGACGGCGGATTGTTGGGAGCGGGCGGAGGTGTAGCAGAGGGCAAGGTCGCTGCCCTTGTTGGCCAAGTGCTCGGCGATCGAGGCGCCAATGCCTAGGAAAAGATCAGTAAAGGTTGGTTTCAATTGGTGTCGTAGTGGAGGTCATACCTCGAGATGCGCCAGTCACGATGGCGAGCTTTCCTTCGAGTGGACGAGACATGTTTCTGGATTCCACTTGGTATCTCCCGATTCTGAGAGTCTGAGTGGATTTACAACGTTCGAAGCTAACAACGACAACAACCAAGATTGCACCAGAAAACAAGAATCAAATAAATTACGTCTGTTTCTTATACAATCGGAGGACCTACGGAAATTTATACCCATCAAGCTTTGAGCCCAACCCAAAGTTTGGGGCAGCTCGGCCCCGCGGGGAACCTCTCGAATCGTCGCTTGGTCTGTCCATGGAGCATTTAGAGGGGCAACACTTTGTGGGCACAGCTTTCACTCTGCCGCACCAATAGGCGGTTGTGACAGTGGCTTTCTCGGGTCTCTTGCTTTAAAGCCTTTGACGGTTACGCCGGGAGGCCAGTGTATCGTGCGGATATAGCGTTCGGGATTAGACAATGGACAGACGGAATCAAAATTATAGCGACACAATGATTGATGTAAATGGGAGCTTCGGTTCTCCATGGGCTTCAATGTTGGACACACATCAATTGACACTTAAGAACCTCACCGACGAGTCAAGGAATAACAAACATTTGTTCGGAAAATAAACGCCGGAATTGGATAAGGAATTTCAAAAGGAAGAAAAAATAATAATAAAATAAAAAGAAAGATGACTGGAGACATTCTGTAATCTTACAACACCAACAGCTGAGGCAGACCAAGCTTTGACAATAGAATGGGTCCTATTCTCGACGGTCCAAGGTGCCAACTGGTGGTGGGCGGACCAGAAACTGCGTCTCGAAACCGTCTCCATCCTCAATTCATCACGTGACTTTACCCGAATTCGCCCGGTATCCGTCAGCCAATTGACCATAGCCAAAAAACTCCAATCAACCTCATCTGATTTCCATCGAGGTAATTACTCCCAGCACGATCTTCCGAAAGCCAGCACAGCTAGCGAAACGCCTCCCAATCGCTCCCACCGCCCCCTCTTCCGAACCGACCCAATTGAGACGCGATCGTTTCTTTCCACACTCCCCCATATCTCTCACAATGTCGGCGGTCACGAAGCTCACCGGAGCGGCCAAGTTTGTCGCGCGCCGCCCTTGGCTCCAGGCCTTTGTTGACCGGGCGAACGAGTGGCAGTCGAGGGGTTACCGCCAGCTCGGACTCAAGTACGCCTTTCCAACCCTTTTAAAGTTTTGGAAGAGAACTTCCTGCGGTGGATTGAACGGGTTTGGGGGCATATCGGATGTCAATGGTGGAACCCGGGGCTGGGAAAGAAGAAGAATTTCGTGGAGCTAACGGAGCGGCATTTTGCCGGGGATCGGAATAGGTACGACGATGTCCTCGATGTCGAAGAGTCGCCCATCGGCCAGCTTGCTCTTAAGCGCCTTTCCCCCAAGGAGTCCTACGACCGTGTCTACCGTATCCGCCGCGCCGTCCAGCTCAGCATTACGCACAAGATCCTTCCCAAGGAGCAGTGGACGAAGGTAGAAGATGTGAGTATACCTTTCCCGAGCCTTCCTTCCCCTCGAACACCGAAGCTTCGCCTAGTTCTTTTCCCTCCTCTTCTTCGACCAGCTTCCAGACCCCTCGCCGTTCCCTTCAGCCGATTCTATTGGCAGGACCTGAATCTCGTCATCATCCCGGATCGGAACCCAATTGCTAACCCGAAGCGATCGAACAGGACAAGCCCTACCTCCAACCCATCATCGACCAGATCAAGGCGGAAATCAAGGAGAAGGAGGCTCTCGACTCCATGGAAGTCATCAAGAGCCATTAAAATATTTCAACCATCTTGTGTATAGAGGAGCGCCCGCGGATGTAGAACGGAGGACAGTTTCACATGGTAACTGGGCTTAGAGGAACCTAAACAACCATCCCTTGCGGGGCTCAAGCCCTTTTCCTTACTCCTTTGTATGCTAGTCCTGTATAGAATTTACACATTTATCTACTCTCTTCTTTCCGCGCTCACCGACGTCCGAATATGCCATTCTGCTCGAAGGGCTTCTGAAAGTCGTGTCTAATCCTGGGCCATCCGCCTGCGAAAATAACGATTCCGAGATTACATGGAACACCCCAAGCTAGAAAACACATCTCTGAGAGGACCCGAGCTGACAAGAATTACGCCTTGAATTCAAATTACAGCTACAAAAAAAAATATGTACCTACATATCCCCCTGTTTTCTATTCAAAGAGACATAGAACCAAGTCCCAGAAAGGAGAGTCCATGAAGAGTCCAAGCCAAAAGGAGGGACACATTTCTCCGTCAGACAGCCACAAGCTACACTCCTCCAGCTCCAGAGAATCAATGACAGTCGTCCCGGACGAAACAAACTTGGAAGCTCCCCGTCTAATATTACATCTCCTGGAAACTATAACAACACACAGGTAGAAATGAAATGACAAAGGGAAAGATGAAAATGGAGAAAGAAAAATAAGAAGAAATGAAGAATGAAGAGAAAAAGGTGTGGTTTTGGAATTTGTTCGTTCAAATAAGAGAAGCAAGTCCCAGGCAAAGCGCCCACTCCCGTCAACAAGAGTCTGCAACCCTTGGGCCCAGCGGTTGGTGACGGAGAGACAGGTGAGGAGAGGATAAGCATGGCCTGAGTATCAGCCTAGTCTATGCAGCATGTGGAAAGATGAGGGGGGAAAGGCAGAAGGAAAAAAGGTCTGTGGCGGCGTGTGTGGTGTAAAGGAGCATTCGTAGACACGCCCTATCGGATATCCACCCAGCTGCCGCTTTAGCTATTAGAATCGAATCCATACCGATTGCTGATGCCGTGTGTGTTGTGAGGAATGAATCATTAGCGCTCATATAAAAAATCCCAATTTTCCTGACACCGTTTTAAAAGAAGCCTGTTGATCAAGGCTGGAACCCAATAACAATATCACTCAACAAGAAAGACGACAAGGAGCAGAAGGGGCATTTCCAGAGTAACGAATTACGCCTTGCCGCCCTTCTCGGCGGTGTCGATGTGCCAGACGACATAGTTAGGCAGACCGATGACCTCATAGCCCGCCCTCTTGGCCATCTTTGCGAAACCTTCCGTCTCGGCTTGGTTCTCGAATGCGTAGCAAGGGAAGTTGATACCTGGTTATGCGGTTAGTGGTACAGCTCGTCCTGCAAAAGGAAAAGACAACAGACAAGTCTTACCAGATCGATGAACATCGGCCTTTACGAGGATGCTGACACCACCAACGCCGTCGAGCTCAATTTCCATCTTCGGGTCATCCCTCCAGTCACCCATCTTGGCCATGTACTCTCTTCCCGTCTGGTATTGCTTATATCCTAGGGGATGGTTAGTATGATATGGCTCGTATTGAAAGCAAAGTAGGATTCACCCACCCTCGGCAAGAACGACATCGGGATCGAGAGTTTTGCGGAGCTTGCGGGCCTTGTCAGACTCAACCCACGAGTTGTAGTCAACTATAAGCATTGTCAGCCGTACAATACGTAGTTGACGAAAATGGTGATGAAAACCTACATCGGCCTTCAACATCCTTGCCATCCTTGTCCAATCGATGGAACCAGATATCTAGCGGTCGGTCAGTCGATTATTCGCGAGGACCATACAAAACCGGGCACACTTACTAGGAACAATGATATCTCTATCATGCTCCATGAAGTCCTCCAAAATCCTCTTGGGGCTCTCCACAATATCGACGTCTCGCCAGTAAACCCAAGAGTGCTCGGGCTTAAGAGCAGAAGCGAGAAGATAATTCCTCGCCCGGCCCATGGCTTTCCTGCGGGGACCTTGAGCCTCGAAAGAGTGCCTCTCCTCAACGTTCTGGCTCAGCTTGAAGTTGAAGTCCTTGTTGATGATCATAGCGCTGTTAAATGGCAAATGATCGGAACGGCTCTGGATTCGATCAAGCTCATCCGCAAGAACGGAAACCGTGTTATCGGTCGTATCAGAGATCAAGAAAGCAAGGTCGATGAGGTGGTGAGGGTAGGTCAGCTCGGAGAGAAGCTCGAAATATTTGGCTAGGTACGGCGCGGCATCCTTCAATGGGGTCAGGATCAGGACACGCTCGCCGTTCTTGACGGGTTCGGGGGTGGAAAGGACCGGGTTTAGGTCGATGTGTTGTATCGTCGATGAATTGACTTCGATGGGCCTGTGGTTGTTGAAGATGACCGGTGTCTTCAGATGGCCGTACCACGAGGCCTGCTCGTTCGGCGTCATTTCCATCGGGGGCTTCGCCGGGCCCCAGCAGTAGAAGCTAGAAAACGCAGCATCAAATGTTAGTAATGGGCGCCATTAGTCGAAAAGTCGCACACTCAAAGGCCGATATGTCGACGTTCTCGAGTTGAAACGTGTCGTTGAAATCCTTTTCTTTTTGGGCCAACGGTCTTACTTTTGCATCTCCGACGCCGAGCTCGAAACGCCGCGCCATAATAATAATAGGGCACCGGCTGCCGCGACGAGCAGAAGAATTCTTGTCCTAGTGAGATATACCCAGACTGCCCTCGCCGGCGGAAGCTGTGCCCGGGCAACTTTCCAGTTATACCCCTTGGGAAGAAGCATGGTTTCTGAAGAACCAGCGCGACGACGCGTTAAATGTTGGAGAGCCAGCTTGGGGGAAATCGACTCGAGTGCCGGAGAAGAACGATTGAATCTGCACACAAAGGGCACGGTAGCGTCCAGCGACGGGTCGAAGGGCAAGAAACGAATGCGCGAAAACGACTGTGGTGATCTGATGTCGGGGTAGAGTCTTGGAGATTTCGACTACGAAAGTACAAGTATTTTGAGCAGAGCGGGTGCTTAGGGGGAATAAAAGATACGGGGGTACCAGGCTAATTTAGAGGACAAGGGTACAAGAGGAATACTGTAGGTCTAATGTAAGGTACCTCACACCACCTGGCCTTCTCGAATCCTGCAATCCTGCCGTGTCCCAAGTTGCTACCAATTCGTTGGTCGGGGACAGCGTTCTAGTGCTCTGTTCGCTTCAGGACATTCAAAGTCGATCTTTCACCAAAAGCTTTAATGTTCTAGGCGAGCCCCAAGCTCCATCCTACCTTATTACACTAGAGCATCCGGCTCTCACTTCGTACTCGTGCAAATCACATCAAATAATAGAACATTGAAACATTGATCAAGGAATTTCCTGCTGACAATCTGACCAGAGTCTAGGAGGAGGTCTCCTTGAAAAGCCAACTCTGAAAAGTCTGTGCTGATAGGGGATCAAGTATCTCTCATGTACTTCTAAAAAAAACCTGTCTGCGCGATAACGCGACTTTCAAGGATAATGATTAAGCAGCTCAGGAACTTTAAAAAGACTGGGGGTACAAGGTAGGGAATCTAGGGATACGAGGTCCGGCTCTCTCCTCCGCCTTCGAATTGGCTGCCATCTTGGAAAGAGGCAAGATCCCACCACTCAGAGACCCCTCAGATAACGGGAAGTAACCAGCGCTTAATGCAACCGACATTCCAGGTTTGGCAGCACTATCGGCGCCGTAATCTCTCGAGGCAATGGCGACTCCGAGTTCAATGTACTTCAAAAAACTTATGAATCCTAAACTAGTTTACTGAGGTCGCTAGTGGAGTGTCAATGCATGATCCTCAACTCCATTTTACCGCGTGCGCCCACCGTTCTGTGTCTCCTTTTTATCCTCCATAGTTGGCTTGGCGTCGAGCCCCAGAGAGCCTCCAGCATCGAATCCGCGGCCTGATAATTACCGCTGGCAAGTAGCGCTCTTAGTTCCGCTCCTGCCAGAGCCAACCGGAGCAAAACATTAGGCCAAATATTATGCTTAAAGGGGGTGGTAGTCACGGTTTTCCAACCTAAACTTGTGGGTTAACAGTTACCCCTGGTCGCTGCTTCATTAATTGCATTGGGATTCAAGATAACCTTAGGAAGGACGGCGGTTGAATTAGGCCGGCTCGAGGTCTGACATGACTTGTGTATTCCTTCTCGGCCCCAATCCAGAAGTGATCTTCTAGACTCTTCTGTCAACCAACCGGCCTGATATCGTGGCGAACACTCCAGGTAAGAAATGATATTTTACCGCGGGAAATACTCGGTATCGGATGGTCCTGTTTTATTTCATATGTTGACGACCTAACCATTTTCAATTTGGGTCGACGGAAAGCGAAGATCCTACTGCTGGCGCAAAATGTGAGGGCGATGTCACACGAGAGAGGTGGAGGTCGAGAAGTAGATGGGCAAACATCCACAGACTCCCTGATTCCATGGCCTAGGCTTGAGGAAATCGGCCCTGGAGTGCATGCCATGCGTTTGGAACAGGCTCCGTTGGCGATCTGTCCACGCATATACCTGAACGTATTTGAATGCACCGCCATCCAAACCCACCCACCGGCCTGCTCTTTAGCGGATCGGGATTGATGAGATAATAGTGGCCTAGGCGTTCTCGTTCCACAGCATGCCAGACGACCAGGCAGAGAACGGTATAGGCGCAGGGAGTTTCCTTCCCTTGATGGCATCATGGTGGCATATATAATTTGAATTATTGGCATGAATTAGATATCTGGGTTGATGAAGTCTACCCAAAGACATGTTGAAGTAGAATAGACAAGTTAGCTCTATATCTTCATTACTGGGCCTGTCCAGAAGCCGTCCTTCACTTCTGTCTTGGTTTGTGATAGCCTCTTGCTCGGCTCTTCTGTTCGTCTGGTTTTCAAGCCCCAGTAAGTCTCTCGCCCTTGCTTCGTCCGCCCATACCAAGCGGGCTGCGTTCTCGACCGTTCGTATTACCCATCCTCTATTCGCAATCCCTTGTACGAGGGTACATCATTGAAGTTTCCTTTTCTTTACAATTTCTGTCCAACAATTTCCAGGCCCACACCTGGTAACAGCTGCCTCCTTCCTCACAACTTGACAACCAAAGGGCGCAGCGCTCGCTTGGTTTCGGTGAGTGTATCAAAACATCCATCGTAAATCTGTGAATTATCCAACCCATTGTTCCTCCAACACCTAAGATAAAACACCTCCCCATTGGACTATATTGTTTTATGTCTGTGGTATTCCGAATCTATGTCGATTTCTTAACATATCTGCGGCGTTGTATTTCCCACGACAACTTTCGCCCACGGCCCAGCTTGGCAGGGCAGTCAACCCAGCACTTACACGATTCACGCAACATCTCGTTGGCACTTCAACCCGGACTGATCCGGCTTTATTCACAAAGCCATCTAGTCTCACAACTACGGTCTCAAGGAGGCACAAAAGAGGAAGTTTGGTATCCAGATAGTAGTGTTACGTGGCCGGAAATGACTACCCGTCGATCTGCTAGGCTTCTGGCCCAAGCCGAGCTCAAGGCTCCTGTGCCTTTACCGGCTCCCACCGCCAACTCTACAGGGAGGAAGAGGAAGGCAGTTCCATCATCTACAGATACAGAGACCGTCGCACCATCTACGCCAACCAAACGGCGCGCCCAGACCAATGGCTCGGGACCTATCCCTGTGACACCAAGGTCCAAAATAACGGAGCCACCCAGTTTTGTATCAAACAACATCCCAAAGCCCGAATCGGCAGCCATCAATCGAGTGGCAGACCCAAGGGCTACGAATGCGCCCTTGGTGTCACCTATGACCTCTCGAGTTGTGGCTTCCAGACTCGTGGGAGATGTCTCCCCCTCCAAGGTCGCGAACATCAAGACTACTACTGAGAATATCCTCGAGGAAGCATGCCGGCATCTCATCCAAGCCGACGCACGGATGAAACCCTTAATTGACACTCACCACTGTAAGATGTTCTCACCGGAGGGACTCGCCGAAAAGGTTGACCCATTCGAGTGTCTCGCCAGCGGCATCATCGGCCAGCAAGTCTCGGGAGCTGCCGCCGCATCTATCGAAAGGAAGTTTGTGGCGCTTTTCGAAGACCAAGGAGCCAAAGGATTCCCTTCACCGCCCCTCGTGGCGCCATGTTCAATCGACAAGCTTCGCTCAGCTGGTCTATCGCAACGCAAAGCGGAGTACATCAAGGGTCTCGCGGAAAAGTTCTGCAGCGGCGAGCTCTCGGCGCAGATGCTTATTGACGCACCCTATGACGAACTCCTGGAGAAGCTGATTGCCGTCCGGGGGCTCGGCCGCTGGTCGGTTGAGATGTTTGCCATGTTCGGACTCAAGCGGATGGATGTCTTCTCTACGGGTGACCTGGGAATTCAACGGGGTATGGCGGCATTCGTTGGCAGAGATGTGGCTAAGCTGAAGGCGAAGGGCGGTAAGTGGAAGTACATGTCAGAAGCTGAGATGAAGGAGATTTCTGAGAAGTTCGCCCCCTATCGGAGCTTGTTCATGTGGTATATGTGGAGGGCCGAGAATGTCGATACGAGCGTGCTTGAGAAGGGTAAGAGTTCCGGATGATCGAGGCATGCGCTTTTTGAGTTTCTGTTGCTGTATTGCTAGTGTTATATATCGATCTGTCTTACCGACACGGAAGGTTAATTCATGATTTAGGCGACCGTAAAATGCGAGGCAACAACCACGTAGATTCCTGAGAGGACGGGTTAGGCAACTTGTCCGACTATGATATCAATCTCTACTAAGGCCCTCAACAGCCAGTTTATCTCTCACAGCACGCAACGCCAATCTCCCGAGCACTGAAGCAAGGCCCACGCTTGTATGTCTCGGAGCCCGACGACTGGTCTTAGGTGACGCACGGGTGTAGCTCTGCACAACCAGCCTTCAGACGGGATCACTAGACTTGACGGAAGCTCGGGACCAGCCATGCTCGACCGTACCCGGAGCAGCGGGTGCCAGCCATCAAGTTTGAACTTGTGTCGCACGAAAAACCAAGATTTGTCCGAGGTTGGCAGAAGGACGACTTTGGCAGGACGGGAAGAATCCGCGGACCTCTTCCCGAAAGACGGGCATGCCGTGGACTAGAAACATGAGTTCTTGGTAGGGGCATAATTGGGTAGTCGGGTGCTAGCGGCCATCGAAGAGCTGGCACGAGTCGCTGGATAAAGGAAGATTGATGATGTCATCGTCAGTTTGTAGCAACCAGGGGATTTATATTTAATAGAGTATGCCGACTGCGAGTTGCAATCGATACCACAATATCGCAGGCCCTTGCCAAGACAATCCGGAGCAGAGGGGAAACCAGGTCAAACCTAGGGCGAGTTTAAGAGCAACTGCTTAGGCCCCAACCCCAGAAGGGGAAACTCTATTATCGCAACCTGGGACAAGGCGCTATCCGGACGACAACAGTGGGAACAAAGGTGGATGGGAACGGCTCGACTCCGTGCTACTGGCGGTATTTGCCGCTGGATAAAGAGGTTGGGTCCACGGCAGGAGAGTCGTTGCCCAGTGGCAATATTTTTTCTCTCTGCCGACTTCACTTCCCACCATTCACAGTTCTACGACACTGAGGCTACTAAAGGCACCTCCATTGTCCCGCTTCCGTGCTTGATCAAGTACGCGTGGCAGTTATTGTACTCAGCCCTTTGCGAGATGTAAGTGGTTGGGCCCGAGGGGGTTGATCGAGGCCTGTCTCGTCGAGTTATCTCTCTAAAATGCTGTTGGCGTGCAAGTGAACACAAACAAGGTGATTCTACCACTTTAGCCAACCGCCGGGTCTTAGTGTTGGAGAGTATTTATTCCGCATCGCTGCCAGCCATATCAATTACGGCGCAGCCGACTGGCTTCATGCAACCACCGGTTAGTATCCCTGCCTCGTAGATGATATCTGGCGGCCTCGGGGCGAGAGCTCCGCTTTAATGTGAGTTAGTCGCTGAGGCAATGCCCAAATGCTGCAACTTGAGTCTTCATAGAACTTTGAAACAGCCTGGCATTGTCGAATCTTGGGGGAAAAGCATAAAAAAAAAAGAGAGGATAGAGAGAGAGCCAGTTATAACAGAATTGGGGGGCGCAACCATTATGAAAGAAGTCCCGGCATTTATTCCAGTGATGGATCTCTCCAAATACCGGCGCGGGATGAATCCTGGAGACAGTGCTTGATCAACCTCAGGTTGATTGTGTTGAAACACTCGTCCCAGCCACTGCCCTCATATGGTTGGCCTCTTTGCGTGATCGCGTGTCCTTGGATGAATTCCCAGTATTTCAAGTTTTCGGTGTCGCGGTGTGAGGTCGTTTCAATGTTGTTTATTGCTGCACATCAGTTTATCAAAGTGTGCTGCTTCGTATTGATCACTCCGAGTCGAGTCATTAGAGTTCGATCGATCGAGGATGTTGTACTGGTTTATAACTTTTTAGAGCCACAGAGGTACTTCATTGGATTGTTTACTCGTAGCACAAAGTACCTACTACGATCCAGGGAGCGCCACATGGGGCCGCCCAGATCTTCAAAACAATTTATTGAAGAGAAAAATGAGATCCCCACCGAGATCCCCTCCGTCTGCCAGCTTTAGTTGTTGGCGGTGGACATCTGCGCTGCGCTACTGAGAGTTCAGCATGAGAAATCGATGCAGGAAATGGTTAGGAAATGGTTAGCGTCGTTTTGCTTTCGTATCGATCCTAGCTTCGATCGATGAAGTATTTTCAAGGTACAAAGGTACTTCGGACCAGTCGTCCTTTACAGCTATCATCGTCAAGTACGAAGTACGTATGACTCCCCCAACATTCGTACTGCGTACTTGTTACTCGGGATTAGACGAATACTTCGTCAGGTTCCTCTGAAACTTGTATGATTAATTCCAATCTCGATTCTGTTACCCATTCCTGCCACCTACATGTCTGCCACAGAGAGTACCACGACTGTTTCTTACGATTTCTCTATTTAATAGGAATTCTTGCTTTCACCAAGTGCATCTGGGAACAAAAACGCATTCCCAGCTGGTGATGACGTTGCTTGTCCTTGTGCATCCAAGGAGGTCCAAGGTTCCAGCTGAGGGGTGTGTATAAGTAGCTGGCTGCAAGGTACAAAGTTCCAGGAACCGACACTAAGGACAGTGTAGTGCATGTACTTCGTACATACAGAGCGGTTGTACCTCGGTATTTCGTAGAACTCCGCTTCTCGCCAAATGCTTCAATTTGAGAGAGAGACCGTCACTGGCTGAGACGCTGGTTGGCGTCTCCATGCTTTCAGTTGCCCCCTGTCCAGCTGTGGTTGTCAGGCCTAAAACCCACTAACATTACCTGACGAATGACGCAGTGTGCACTACAAGATCAAGACGACCCAGCACAGGCTCGGCGGGTCATGAAATAAGATCCACTGATGGATAAGTCGGCTATGGACTTACTCCGTAGTGGAGAGGTGCAGACGCAGAGGGCCAACATTGAGCTATCTATCAATCACAACAACATAAAACGAGATGTGCCCACTGTGTCGCCCTTGATACGTCGGACCCTCCGCGCTGCTTGATTAAGGAAACATAGTATCTCGAGGACAGCTATTTCGTACGAAGTATTGTGCTCTACACTTGATGATCGTTGAAATCATCAATTGATCTCCCAGAGAGGCACGATTACACCGCCCTTAGGCCACTAGGTACGTCGTCGTTGACTCGTACTTCCAAATGGTATGGATGGTTGGCAGTAAGAAATGGTGTTCGTATCTTGATTTGTATCGTCTCCACCCCCCATTGTTAGACCAGGCGGAGGAGGCACAGGAAATTGTCGCCATGGATCGATTCGGTGTCTTTAAATTAGCTTGCAAAAGAACATCTCTCGTATCTGAGCAGCATTTCAGGTGGTGCTTGATACTGATACCTCAGGAGAAGAGCGCTGCAGTGTGGTGGGATCGCTCAAGAATGCTTCGTACTTCGTACTTTGTACTGCGAGAGTTTTCCTTGAAATTGGTGTGATCAATGGGTACATTGATGGCTCGCCGTCCAAAGTACCCTGGCCTCCCTCCCGGCTCTAACCCCCTTGTTCCTGACTTTGCTCCAAACTACACGCCCCTTGCCAAGGTTTCCCACACGCCCCAATCTGCCACTCGAGTTCGGGGTTGGTGCTTCCAGGAGCCACCCGAAGTGTTTCTCCTTTGCCCTTGGTTCCTTCCTCCTTTCGTGCCATCTGTGAATATCCCTCCTTCCAACCCCCAAAAAACACTCCTTCCCTCACTCTCGTTCTTGTTTTATCCTTCTCTTCTTTCTCTCGCTTCTCCCATTCTTACTATTATAATTTCACCCGACGAGCGTCCTTCCGTCTTGACCTTCCCTCGTTATCATCAAGAACAGAGGAAGAAGCCGGTCATCCGCCAAAGCCGAACGCGAAGGAAAAGAGCATTTGGGTCAATATCACTCCACCTGCCGAGGTCACCATTATCACGCGTATTTCGACGCCGAGAACGTTTACCGCGAAACCACGATCCTTTAGAGGTAGGGCTTTACTCCGGTCTTGAACGTAGCTCTTGCTCCTTCCCAAGAGCTCTTCGTGCTCCCCCTTCCCGCTCCTCGAGCAGTTTCGTAATCCAATCCGCACCGGCCGCCACCCCTTACGTCTACTCCTATCACATGTGGATATTTTCTGGCAAATTTCAGTCGCGAGCTGAGATTTCAACAACACCACGTTGAAATCCTCGATCGCGAACTATCTTCTTACTTCTGGGCTGCCAGTCTTCATTTCATTCTTGCCTAGCAACATATTTTCCGTCTGCAGATTTTTTTTTATCTTCCATCCGACTATTCTTGAAGCTTGAAACACTGGTGTGGGCAGTTCAGCTAACCTACGAAATTTCAGACCTAGCCGTCACAATGTCCACTGGCAAGATCCTCCTCGCCCTTGCGGCTGTTGGTGCCAGCGTTGTCTCCGGTTAGTTAAGCCCCCTCCTTGTGGGCAAGCGTAACATCAACGCCAATTGCTAACATTTCAACTATTACAGCGCAATCCAACTCGCTCTGCGCGTCCGCTACTATCACGGTTGCCGCGCCCGCAGAGGCTACGATTCCCTGCGAGACTGTCAAGGGTTCGATCGTCTTCGACGCCTCCGACGCCCTTGCCGGCGTTATCAACATTAGCGGCCCTCAGTCCGTTGCCGGCGACCTGATCATCCGAAATGCTACCAACATCAACTCCCTCTCCAGCTCTACCATCGAAACCATTGGCGGAAAGTTCGAGCTCACTGGTCTGCGCAGTCTGAGCAGCCTCGACTTCACTGCTCTGGAGTCCGTTGGAGAGATTTCTTGGATCAGTCTTACCCAGCTTGAGAATGTCCGCTTTGGATCTGACGGAGTCACCACGGTTAAGACCGTCCGTATCTCCGACACCTTCCTTTCCAGCCTTGATAGCTTCAGCATGGTCTCGGTCGGTACCTTCCAAATCGACAACAACCAGCGCCTCACCACCTGGGAGACCCGCATGACCAGCATCGGCGAGAGGCTCATCGTTGCTGACAACTCCCCCGACCTTGAGGTCTCCCTTCCCCGTCTCGCCTGGGCCGCCAACCTCGACGTTCGTGGTGTCAAGAGCCTTAGCGTTCCTCTTCTCAAGGCCGTCAACGACTCTATCCAGCTCACCCAGAACAAGGCCATGGAGTCCTTCATCGCCCCCAACTTGACCGCCACCGGTGATGATGTCTCCTTCAGGAACAACGATAACATCAGCAACATTAGCTTCCCTCTCCTTGAGAAGGCTGGAGGCAGCTTGACTGTCCAGAACAACACGAACCTTGCCTCCATCGATGGCTTCCCTAAGCTTCGACAGGTTGGCGGTGCTGTTACCATGCGTGGAAGCTTCACGAAGTACGTTTATCTCCCCATCTCCCCCCCCTCCCCCACCCCGTCTTTTGCTTGTCTAGTTCGAGAATGCTATCTTCATAATCTTGTTGCACACCCCAATTTCTAACTGTATGGTTTCTCTCATTATAGCATTGAGCTCCCTAGCCTTGACGACGTTAAGGGTGCTTTCGACGTCTCTAGTACCGAGGACATCAATGACGACTGTGCCGGCTTCAAATCGCTTGCCCCCAAGTCCAGCGGTGGCAACGGCAAGATCCAAGGCTCCTTCTCCTGCACCTCGAAGAACGCCAATGCGAACGAGGGCGGCAAGGGAGGCAGCAACAGCAGCGACAAAGAGGATGGCGCTGGCTTCCTAGGTGTCAACACTCCTATCATTCTCGGTGTTGCCGCCCTCGGCGCTCTCGCCCAGCTTCTCTAAACGGGCTGCATGAGCATGTAATGGTGCACGCTACTCTGTACATGATTTCGCAGACTCGGAAGTTGGTGGCGTTTTCCGAGCACGTTTGGGATTTTCTCCCTTGATGACGCTCTTTGTCTTTTTTTTTTTTTCTTTTTCCTGTTTCGTTTTACATACCACTTTGTTTTTCATCGACTTGCGAAAAGGGAGGTGGTGATGCGCATCATCCTCAGCATTGTACTCGGGACCTCCTAGGCGACATACGCAGGAACGAGCCAGCTGGAGTTTTTCGACATATATGGAAATTCGAATTCTACTATACTTAATAATGCGACCCGACGATTCGGCTTTACCTCCCCGCCGGATCGCTCGGTCAACCGATCCTTTCTCCAGCCAAGGAGCGTCTAACGTTGCCGGAGGGTTACTTTGTCCATATGTACGGAGGAGCAGATGGTGGATGTGGAAAAAGATTGCAATACATGTTTTTGCCTGCATTGAAGTGTGTCCTCGTGAGGTTATTGTTCACCAATTCTTCGTGTTCATGTGTGCGGTTGGCCCGCTGTGGAAGTAAACAGCCACATTGGACCACCCGCAATCTTTCAAAAGTTTACGCATATTGGGTATCAGGGGGTTCTCTTCCACAGTTCGGACCCCTCTCGTGGTATATGATCTTCAATGCTGTAAGTACTAATACAATGGGGAAACGCTAATTCCCCAGCAGGCAGGCCGACCCCAGACATGGACTAGCTATAGATACCCTTCTCGAATCTGTCCGAGTCATAGAACTTGGGCTGGATAGCGTTGCCGTTAAAGATGCGACCATTCAGCTCGTTTACAGCCTACGGGAACATGTCAGCATCGTTGACCCCAGATTGCAACCAAAGGGGGAGCTGGGGATAGATGAGTGATGGTAATGATGCTTACCCTTAGGGCAGAAACTTGATCGGTGAATTTGATGAAGACTTGTCTGGTGTCGACGTCGATGTAGAGGCGTTCTACGCGGCCGTACTAAAAAGAACACCAAAGGTTAGCCTCACTGTAACCGATAACCCAAGGGGAAAGGGGGAGGAAGCATACCTTGTCACCGCACTCCTCGCCAATTTCCTGACCCAATCCCGAAGCAATCTCGCCCTGCAAATCATCCATACCCTCCAACATATTCCTCAAAACAATAACCTCACTCATGGCACCAAAACCCTCCTCCTCACCTGCCCGACCAGGCTTCCGATTTCCACCTAGAATCCTCGAGCGCGCTGCAGGCTCAGCCCACCCACCACCGTCGGCATCAGACTTCTTCTTGCGCTTCTCAACCTGGACGCGCAAGGGGTTGACGATCCCCGATTCGTCAGCGCCGAGACCGGAGCCTTTGGTCCAGCCGTATTTGGACATGAGGCGTTGCGCGAAGCCCTTTTGGCCGGGGCGGCTGGAGCGGGGCTGACCGTCGGAGTCTTCGTCTTCTTTGTTGGCGCCGAGGCCGAGGGTTGGGCGGTAGGTTTCGGATTCGGAGTCGGAGTCGGGCTGGCGGGGCGGGGGGGAGTAGCGGACTGGGGCGCGGGAGATGGATATGCCCTGGTTTTCTTCGAGAGGAGGGGTGGGTGGAGGGGGGATCGCCGCGGAGGGAGGAGGGGGAGGTGCTCCTTGGGACATGGCGAGGCGGCGGGCGTAGGCGTCTTCGCCGGATTGGTCGGTGGGTATGGAGGCTCGAGGGGGTGATGGGGGAGGCGGGGCGAAGGAGTAATTCGGTGGAGGGGCAAATTGATCTGCGTTAGGTTCCGCGGTGGTTAGCATGACGGCGGCTCTAAGAGATGGGGAGGAACATTGAAAAAAAAACATACTTGACATAGGCTCTCTGCGATCCTCTCCGTCACTATCAGAGGTTAAATCTTCCCTACCCCGCCTATGCCTGTACAGCAGATCCTTCCACTCGTGTATCTCCCGTATACGCTCATCGCTCCTAAGATATTCTTCCACGTTCGTCGGCCTGGTGGGGTCGTACAGCTCGTCCCAATCGGTCTCCATCTGCTCCTGCCTCTTCTTCTTTTTTCTCCGGCCGCCGCGCTGGCGCTTTTCGGTAGGGGCGGCACTGTACTTCCACTCGTCGCCTGTCGCGGTCCATGCCGCGAGGTTACTCTTTGCGGGAGGATCTGCTGCCGGTGCAGGGGCAGCAGCGGTTGTGGTCGTGGCGGAAGTTGGGGTGGGTTCGGCTGAGGAGGGGGCAGGCTTAGATGGCATGGCGCCGGGGATCGTCTTGGGGAAGGATGGTTTCGGCTTTTGCTTGACCTGTGGTCGTCGTATGGGTTGGAAGCGGAGGGCTATGAAAGAGAAACGTGTGAGTAATGAGGGGAGGGCTAGGAGGATGGGGGCTGCTAGTCAGAAGAGAGAGCTGTATCTGTCGCGCACCTGAATCTAAGGGCTTCTTGGTGGGTTGTGGTTCTGCGGGTTCATTGTACAGGACTGGCGCGCTCGATATCGTGGCCGACGCGTCGCCCGAGGACTCGAGGAGGTTCGCGTAGAGGGAAAGGCCGCCGCCTCCCTTTGGAGGGGGAGGCTGCGATGGAGCTGACATAGATGCTATAAGAGGGCTCCTTGGGTTATAATGCCGAAGTGCTGTGGGATTGTGCAATTCCCACTCAATGATTATCAGTGGCTGTGTTCTGTATTCCTTGTCCTGGATATGGGAGAGGAGCAATGGACTAGGAAGTTTTGTGCGAGTTGGATTTTGTAGGCTGGAAAGTTTAGATGCTAGCCCGGTCGTTTCTTCGACGGTGGATGGATTTGAGAACCAAGAAGCTACGAGCCTTGGGTTCAATGTCTATGTACTACTCACAATACCTCAGTGTTGATTGGCCACGGAACGCCCTGAAGCGGCCCACCAAGGATGTCCAGTGGACAGTGGACAGTGGACCGGGGGGATCCCAACACGGTTTCTTAGGCCGCTAAACCCGCAAGACCATCGAACGGATTTGCGTGCCGAAAGGGGGGGGGGGGTTAATAGGCTCTGGATTCCTCGATTACTGTGCATTTCAAACTCCACAATTGCGCCATCAGCGAGTTGCCGAGTGACAGCATTAATTGATCAGTTCAAGCACGAGCACTCTTGCTAAAACATTGAGAGCTTCAAGTATCTCCGTGGCAGACCTCAGACAGAGCTCTCCTTTCTTCACTCCATCTCAAAATTTATCTCACGACTGGTAGATACATCAGTCTGTCCTATTAGCATCTTATTGCGGGCCGGCCCAGCCATCTATATCAAGATCTATCCGTCCCTTCACCCTGGATCTTCCGATTGAATGATATATTCGCTTTTAAGCCGAGTAGATCAATTCTCTGAACAAAGCCTTTGCGCCATTACTCTTTTTGGATATTTATCGAGTACTCTCCCGCAGGGAACTCAATATCGCCATGTCGTTGACACTCAAGACCGCCATCAAAGGCTCCCGCGATGCTACCGCCGTCATCATCCCCTCCAAGCCCGCGCCCCTGACCGTCACTTACAGTGGGATCAACGCCGAGATCGCAAAGTTCCAGGCCAAGCTCGCAGACCTCGGCATCAAGACCGGAGCGCCCGTCTCGATCGCCCTCGTCAACTCTTACGAGTTCATCGTCTCCTTCCTGGCTACGTCGTGGCAGCGCGCCATTGCTGCGCCGCTGAACCCTGGGTACAAGCAGGACGAATTTGAGTTCTACATTGACGATGTCAAGTCGGCTCTGGTCTTGGTTCCCAAGGGCGCCGTCGCCCAGAACACCCCTGCTGTCAGGGCAGCGAGGCGGTTCAAGGCGGCCATTGCTGAGTGCTACTGGGATGCCGCCAAGGGAGAGGTTGCGCTAGATGTGAAGGATCAAGGACAGCTCAGGGGTAGACAGCCTGTTCAGGAGCCGCAGCCTGATGACGTTGCTCTCGTTTTGCACACAAGGTATGAATGAGACTTGATATATAGCAAGCTTGGAGGCTAGTAAAGGCCGGCTAACAAGATCGATGAAATATAGTGGAACAACCTCGAGGCCGAAAGTCGTAAGTGCCGCCGGAGAGCAGAGCGCGGTACGCTGTACACTACGAATTGCGGCTAACCTTAACTACTTCTAACCTAGGTCCCCCTTACCCATCGCAACTTAACCCGAACCATGAGTATGTAACCTCCCATGTCTCCTAAGCTATGGCGCAAGTCCAGGCTGACATTTGACGGTAGAGAACATCCAGCAAACTTACCAGCTCACCTCGGCCGACCGTACCATGCTGGTGATGCCTCTATTCCACGTCCACGGACTTCTTTGCGGTCTCCTGGCTCCCTTCTACTCGGGCGGATCGATGGTTGTGCCCACCAAGTTCTCTGCCTCTGAGTTCTGGACGGATTTCATCGCCCACAAGGCGAACTGGTACACCGCCGTGCCGACCATTCACCAAATCCTCCTCAAGAACCCCACGCCCAGCCCTAGGCCGAACATTCGATTCATCCGATCGTGCTCCTCCCCTCTGGCTCCTACAGTGCTCGCGCAGCTCGAGAAGGCGTATGGCGCACCAGTGCTCGAGGCTTATGCTATGACCGAAGCCGCGCATCAGATGACGTCCAACCCTCTTCCACCTGCCAAGAGAAAGCCCGGCAGCGTCGGCATCGGACAGGGAGTCGAAGTCAGGATTCTCGACGACGCCGGTGACGAGGTGCCTCAGGGCAAGGAGGGCGAAATTTGCATCAGGGGAGAGAACGTGACCAAGGGCTACCTCAACAACGAGGCCGCCAACAAGTCGTCGTTCACCAAGGGTGGATTCTTCCGCACGGGTGACCAGGGACTCAAGGATGCTGATGGCTATATCATCATCACCGGTCGCATCAAGGAGCTGATCAACAAGGGAGGCGAGAAGATTAGCCCCATTGAGCTCGACAACGTCCTTACGCAGCACCCTGCTGTGTCTGAGGCTGTCAGCTTTGCCATTCCGGACGAGTTGTACGGACAGGAGATCGGTGTTGCAGTTGTCCTGAAGCCCGACCAGAACCTCAAGGCTGATGAGCTAAAGAGCTGGGTCTCGCAGAAGTTGGCCAAGTTCAAGACCCCCAAGAAGGTAAGCTTAATCTTTATCTACCGCTGATTGATCTCGTATCACCTGGCCGCAGTTTCGAGGAGAACTTTTGACTAACCACAAGTTGTGTGCTAGATCTACTTCACGGAGACGATGCCCAAGACTGCGACCGGAAAGATTCAGCGAAGAATTGTTGCCGAGACGATGCAGAAGCAGGACAAGGCCAAGCTCTAAATGGCCACATTGGTTATATCATGTGTTCTGGGTCAATATATAGCATATACGCACTGAATTTGTTTTGAGAACTAGCTAGTTGTATAGATTTGAGATAGATCAGAGTTGGATTGACAATTGATAGAGATGCAGCAACTGCCGATTCACCCTAGCGCAGTCCCCAAGGCTCACTCCCAGTTACACTTGAACTTGAGAAATTAGCCCGATGTTCAGTCAGCATTGTTGTCATTGTCGTCAAACACATCCGAAATCCGTCCGCAGAGGCGTCGTACTCATCTACGCCCTTCGCCCTTCGCCCTTCGCCCTTCGCGTGTCGTCCTTGTAATTCGACCACTCTAAGCTCGGCTGGAGAGGCTCACTCCAACCCCTCCACCCCCACGAAACAATTCCGAAGCTCAGGAGCTTCCAATTCCCGCGCCAGCTCCCAATAAAGCGACCCCCCAATAAAACCCCCGGCTCTAACCGGATTCTCTCTACCACTCCTAACCCCCCAAACCTCGCAAAAGAGTTGCGCCATTCCGAGCTATCTCCACCTCCACATCGGTCCAATTGTACCGTTGCCGTTTCCACACTTCCAGCAGTACTGAGTACCGGCAGCTCGAAGCAACGAACCACCCCGAGTCACTTACATACTTGCCCCTCCCTCCCTCTATAACCCCTCCATTCCGATCCATCTCCTCTGCATATTAGATGTCTCTCCTCCACCGTCTTAAACCCCTCGCGACCCAATTCCGTCCCCAGCCCTTCCTCCGTCCATCTATACCCCTGCTATCTTCGAGCAATACATCAGTCGCCCCTCGCTTCGCACTCCGCACAATGGCTACCGCTAAGAAGACCGAATGGCTCGTCATCATCCCCGACAAGGAGGGCGTTCATGAGAAGAGGCTTGAGGTGAGGCCGAAGCACTTCGAGGGCATTAAGTCGTTTGAGGAGTCCGGGAAGTTTAAGATGGGAGGTGAGTTTCTTTTCCTTTTTACTAGGACTCATGCCGTTCTGCAAGTCCTATACTGCAATATCCGTCTTTTCGTGAAGAAGAGCCATTGGTCGATGTACGGGAAAGCCGATGGATATTGACGATGATCCTTTTTTTCCGCTAGGTGCCGTTCTCAACGAGGTCCCCAAGGACAACAACCCCCAGAACTTTAGCTTCTACGGAAGCACCATCATTGTCGTCGCCGATACCAAGGAGGAGGTTCTTGACATCATCAAGAAGGATGTTTACACCGAGAGTGGTGTTTGGGACTTTGAGAAGGTGAGAGAGTGAATGTCGAGGGGAAAGAGTAAGGAGAAACCATGAACCATATCGCTAACGATGAAATCTCTTAGATTCAAATTTGGCCCGTACGTTCTTGACCTGATCTACTTGCTACTTCGTTTAACCCCTTTCCTTTCGACTCGTGAACACCCGTTTTACTAACAACTCGACAGGTTCTCCTAGCCTTCAGGAACCCATAAAGGAGAGGCAAACTTCATCAGTAACAAGAAAATGTGTCTCAGAAAATGCAATATTAATCAAAGTATGAACCGTCTGTTACACCCAATTGTCCACAACGAAAAAAAAAAAAAAAAAAAAAAAAAAAAAAAAGACCATGACCCAAAAACGTAAAGTCCCATAAAAAATAACCAAAACCGGATCCCAAGTCGAAAAGCTACGCATGAATCGGCACCTCATTGTGAGGCTTCATCACAGGCGCGCCACCCGACTCGTCATCCTCCTCTTCTTCCTCTTCCTCCGGCTCCTCCTCGTCAGACTCTACCTCCGAGGCTGTCCTAGATTCGAGATCCGTGCTCGAGGCTTGAGCCTCAGCTGCCTCGGCGGCGAGCTTGAGCTCACGCGAGAGGTCGAAGCAGTCCTCCAAAAGCTCCGTCACCCTTCCTTGACCCTCGGGAATGTCGTCCCCGACCATGAATTTGCCGTCTACCCGCATGTTGTCGATGGAGTTGAGCTATGAGGAGAGGCGTGATTGTTAGCTAGACCAATTTTGTGCGTCACTTTATGGGGAGAAGAAGAACTTTATCTACCTTCATGCTGTACGGATAAACCTCTCTGACGGTCCTGATCGAACCGTTGTCCATGACTTCCGTTAGACACCGTTTTAGCGTCCTTAGCTGGTTGTAAACTGGAAGTAAAGCCTCCGAAACTGGTTGGGATGCGATCATCAAGGAGAAGACAAATCCGTACGACCTCCTGATAAGATAGAGTAGCATCTAGGTTCATGGGTTGTTAGTCGATATGTGCCCTGCAATGGTGGGGAGACTGTTTTATCACGCACTCTTCTGACGTAAGACTCGGCGGGATTGCCCTCCTCATCTACCCAGTTTCCATTGACTCGCATGTCGTCAATCCTATCCAGGGTGCGGTGGTAATCATATAAATCCGCCTCTCGTAGAGCCCACGCATGCGTAACGGAGAGTTTCTCAAGATGATTGCGGACCCGAATGAGTTTATCGTACAGCGCTCGGAATCGATCAGGGATAGAAGCAGCTCCCTTCCTGGATGCTCGCACTCGTTAGAAGACGGCAATCATCATTATACGGGGAGGGTACTAGGGCCTATTTTACCTTTCAAGGGACACCTCGGCCCAAGCAAGACAGCGAGCCAGGACGTCGTTGACAATATCGTTACCCGCGGGGACTCCCCCATCCTCGGTGACAAAGTTGCCGTCTTTCCTCTGATCTGCAATTTCCTGCGCCTTCTTCTGCAATTCTGTGATTTCCGATGTTGAAACCTATTATCAATGGCACACATATGTAAGCTACTGGCGCTCTCAAGACAAGGTGATATGTCGACACATCCATACCGTCGGCCGAGTGTTTGCCCTCGAAATGGTCCTGATAATAGAAATGAGTCTCTCGTAGATCTCGGGAAGCGGGTCTTCCAGCCTCTTGAGCCTCTCCTGAAGCGCCGCAAGAGAGGTCCTGCAAAGCTCAATGCGCCTCGAGAGGAGCGTGACGTAGGGCCGGGGACATGCCATGTCCCGGCTCACATTTACGGCGAGCTTGTTCAATGTCTCTTCCATGGCTTCCAGATCTTTAGCGGAGTATAGGTCGCTTTCGGCGAGGTGGTCTAGTAGTCTCAGGATGATCGTTGTGGGGGCGTATACGGCGGGCGCTTCGTTGTTTCGGCCGATTGTGAGGAAACATAGGGAGAGGATGCGAAAGCAGCTGTCCAACACGTGTGCGACTATTGCAGAAAAAGTGTCAGATTGGATTTCGCAAAAGAAAAAGAAGAAGGAAGAAAACGAGCAACCGTGGGAGTTGGAGACTAACGCTGCGTTTGCGGCTTCCCATCCACAAACCCGAGATCTTCAAGCTGCTTCACCTGTTGAAGAGTTTCGTCATACAGAGGTATCACCTCCTGGCTCCGGAGATAAGTTGTACGATCGGTCTTTAACAAGACCAATTGGTCTCGAATCTGAGAGAGTTTGTCCAATACCGCTTGATCGCGGGTGTTATCTGGAGGTGGAAGCGCTGGAGTGTCCATCTTGGCTTGTTTGCGAGTCGTTTCCTCTTCGCGTCGGATGGATTTAGGAGGGGCAGATTGCAGATTTGCGATGGAGGGGTTGATGCAGGTGCGAAGGAAGCAGGCACTCTTGGAACGACAAACTAATGGGGAACAATGGACCCTTGGAAACCGGAATCCGGTTTGCGACGGGCTTGGGATTTATTTAATTGTTGTAGCAACACTGTGTGCGGGTCCAACGGAATATAACGTGAGGTGAGAGCAGGACAAACTGGATGTTGGCCTGTGAAGTAGGAAAAGCTGGTGATCACGATTCAACGAGGGGTTGACGGCACGGCGGTGACCAGACGGGGGACCAGGGCTTTAATGGGCGACCGAAGCTTAAAAGCTTGATGGGGTTGCGTTGCGGTGCACCGCTCTATAAGTAGAATAGCATCCAAATAGCATGATCCCCAGTGGATCCGTGTGAAGCTAGTGGCAGACAAGAACTGAGATGGAGATTTGGATTTGGATTTAAGACTTGGAAATGGACTTGGATTGGAGCTGGCAGTTATCAACATTTGATCTAGATTGGTCGAGGTAACCCCCCTTAGGTTACAAATCGGCGAGTCCATATCAGGCAGAGCGGCAAGCAGGACTTGGACGCAGAGAGATGGATCCAGGGCGGGTTTATAAGCAAAGAGTGCAGCGAACTTTGCTGTCGACGTCAAGGAGGGGATGAGGGGCGGGAATGGAGAAGCCGCGGCAAGGAAAAGGGAGACAATGGAGACATAGATTTCGGTCGATCAACGTTGCTTTCCCAAAGGAACGTTTGGAGATTGGAGATTGGACAATGGAACTGCGAAGTCTCTTGCTTCAATCTCGAATGACAAGCCGTTCCCCGTATCCCCATGTATGTACGACGCAATTGATGTAATAACCCTGCAGGCCTCTCATCAATAACCCCCGGACTCTCCCCCTCCCTCCTTTACGAAGTACATCAATCACATTTCAAGTCAGTCTTTGGAGGTGCAAAACCTCGAAATGCAAGATGGCTCACGTTCGGCACTTCCGCTTTGGAAGATCACGGCGCAATCTATTTTAGATCCCCCTCCTGCTCAACACAGAAGGTCCTCGCGAAGCCGGTTACATGCCACGAGCCGCTGTCTGTCCTTCTGATTCCTCCATGGCAGAAGCGTTGCGCACGGCGGCCCCGGAAGCCGCGGCTGCGTGGGACGGCGCACGCGGTATTCGGCCACAAAATGGGGCATGCTACATAAGCTTCTTTCGACATGCTTACCGCAGGCCTGGGTTGTTTTGCCAGCCAACAGGTTTTGGGTGTTGCATCGTCATCCACGGGACATGGATGCACACGGGTCTCGGGCCCGAAGATCCTCAATGACGAAAGACGAAAAAAAGGCGGGGGAGGGGGAAATGTCGAAAAAGCGCAAAGCCACTGATGTCCGTCCCCTGCATACGAGGTGTACAAGTTACGGGTTGACCCTGCCTTGAATCCCTTTGCACAAGTGTACCTTTGTACGAACTTCGTAGTGCGGGAGGAATTAAATGTGATTGGAGAAATATTAGTGCATTATTCAGTGGTATTCGACGAAGGCATGTGAACAAGGGCGGGAGTGTGCAGACGATTCCAAGTGTCAGTTGCAGTTGCCTGGGGATGACCAACTTTAGTCATTTGATGATTCATCAAAATATCAGCTTGGGAAGAACTTTCATCTTGGATCTGCGTGAAATCACATGACCAGGTGCCCTCACAGAATGGCGGGGACACCAAAGCACAGACCACCTCAATACACCACAGACTCTGCTTAGGTTTCCAAGCCCTCCAAATCCCAAAAATCCATCCAGGGAAATTTCAGCCTTGAAGAAAACCACTTTCGACATCCTCTCACCAATTCCATTCCACCAACCCTCGATACCCTCGATACCCTCAATCCACACCATTCAAAATGTCGAACGCTGAACTCGCTTCTTCCTACGCGGCGCTCATCCTCGCCGACGACGGTGTTGAGGTCACCGTGAGTTAATTCCCCAGCAATTCGAGCATTTTCGCTGGGAAATTCTTTGAGAACCCCACCTCGTCTTCGAAGATGCGAAGAATACTCGCTCCTAATTCCAAGGGCATGGAAGGAGGACAGACGCGATTAAGGATTGAATTCTAACAGTTTTTTTCATTGAAAATAGGCCGACAAGCTCCAGACCCTCATCAAGGCCGCCGGCGTCGAGGATGTTGAGCCCATCTGGACCCAGCTTTTCGCCAAGGTACATCTCACCAGTCCTCTCTTCCTCAAGATTCTCGCGAACCTACCTCGAGACAGTCTCGCACCCCTTTCGATCGACTAAAATCCGATAAATTGTTGAATTTGCTGACCGGGGAATTTTTGGGGGGAATAATATAGGCTCTCGAGGGCAAGGACGTCAAGGACCTCCTGACCAACGTCAGCGCCGGTGGTGCTGCCGCTCCCGCTGCTGGTGGTGCCGGTGCCGCGGCGGGCGGCGCCGCAGAGGAGAAGGCCGAGGAGAAGGAGGAATCCGGTTCGTCAATCCAAATTATCTCCGTCTTGCCAGGTTCGCGCGCGAGCTCTCAAGTTCCGTTACTGACCAATTCACTCTACAGAGAAGGAGGAGTCGGACGAGGACATGGGTTTCGGCCTTTTCGACTAAAGCAAACCTTGAACGACTTTTTTCTTTGTACTTCGGATGCATGGCTATGGGGGTCTTTACGTTCAACCGATCATAAAAGGATACGGTGGTGTAACAGCGTTCTGCTGCCTGGACACAACAGGGTTCGCGTTTCTCATAGGTTGTTAATATGATGAAATTGCGCTCAAAAAGAAAAACGGCAATTGGAGTTCAGGTTGCTGCCCACTTAGACGGTTTATTTGAGGAATATCGTTCAAAAAAAATCACATGAAGCCAATACTTGTTCTTTTGCACTCGACGCCTGTGGAGTATAAGTGCCCCCGGGTTGTTCGTTACTATACCTGCGCCATGCTCCTATTCTAACGCCGCACCTGAAATGTAGTCATGACATACAATTCCACCTACCACTCAACCTTCCCAAACAGCCATCTTGCATGGGTGCGTTCGCGCCCGCATGTTAAGACCCGGTTATCTACTTTACATTCAGCACAGCCGATGGGGTCAGACCTGCCTCCTTCAGCGTCTTTCCAAAATCGATCTGTCCCTCGAACGTCTTGCGCGGAAAAGTCGTTGAGAAACTTGTAACCCGGACAGACTGCTCGGACTCAAGTAATTGCGCGAGCTCGAAGAGCGTAGTATCGGCAGACAACGTCTTCATGACGGGTCCCTTGCTAGTCTGCAGCTTCAGCCTCGCTTCGTTGTGATCAACCTTCTTAGCGGACGGAGCTGCTGCTGCTGCTGCGGGAGCAGATGCGAGCGGGCTCGTCTCTACAGGCCGTCCCTCTCGAGCAGCCTTTTCCGCTTCGGCCTTGCGCCTGCGTTCCTCCTTGTCGGCTTCGATCTTGGCCCTGATACGCTTCTTTGCTTCCATGTCATCGAGCTTCTCCTGGCGTTTTTTCGCGGCTTGTTTTATCTGCTCTTTGCGTTGGAGCTCTTCTTTGATGTCCTGTTGATCCCTGGTAGATTTCATTCGGATTTTCTATAAAAGAGTTCATAATTATTAGTCTAAAACACAAAGGGGAAAGAGTGCCGCTTTGGACCGGGTCTATACCTCGTTGCGCTTGGCCTCTTCGCGGTCAAGAACGGCTTGGTTCTCGCGCTTCGCCTTGAGTTTCTGTCGGAGTTCTTCCAGTCTGGCTGCCTTTTGCTCCTCCGTCAGAGGGGCGATCTCCTCGGTAGATTCGGAGAAGTCGGTGTGGCCGCTAGATACAACAAAGTGAGAATTTTCGCAGAGTATGAAAAACGATAGTAAACTTGGCCAGTAACATACCTCTTGGTGGCGTGGTAAGAGGCGAAATCCGCGTTCTTGAACTGCTTGCCGCATTCATTGCACACAAGAGATTTCATTCCCGCCTCTCCTGTAGAGTCTACGATAATCTTGGACTCTTCATCTTCTTCCTCTTCTTCCTGCTTCACCTTGTCTTCGGCGAGGAGCTCGTCGAGGGGTTTGTCCTGGTTCGCTTCGAGCCACTCGAGAGCTTGGTTCACTAGTGACACGAGCTGCTGGTTAGTACAATCGAGGTCTATGTACCCCGCAGCTAGATGCTTAATTGGAGCAAGAAGTAAATCTTACGAGCACCAGCTCTCTTTATCGCGAGCTCGGCGCGGGCTTTGTCGAAGCCCATCTCGAGCAGGAGGTTGAGGTCGGATGGGGCCATGGTTATGGTGGGGTTGGAGCTTGGAGGGGTGTTGCTTTGTGGTGTGTTTTGTTGGAGAGCCAAGGTATGAGCTTAGACTTGAAAGTCGGCTGATGAAAACTGCCTCTACTGGACGGCGATGCCTAGTAAGGAGGAAATAAGCAGGAATATGGGGAGCCTAATGAAGGTTATTAGATGGTGAAAAGGGAGGATCGATGCTATGAATTGGATTGATGACTGAAGGTGGTGTACCGTCTTGGCGGGGTTAAGAGGCAACGGTTCCAGTCGTAATTGAGATGACGGCAGAGCGTCATTCGCCAGCTCTCAAGAGCTCAGCTTCCCACCTTAGAATTGCCACATTGGCCTTTCTCTGCCTTTTTTTCTTATTTCATTTTTTGTTCCCCTTTCAAAAGCAAATGAATACATATTAATTTCGTTCTTGAAATTAAATAGCTTACTATACAAGAGGATTGTCTTCGTCGTCAACCGTGGAAGCTCGTATTGCTAGAGTGAAGGGCCGCGGTTGGTGGAACCTTCAACAATTGATGTTTAAACCACTGCGGCTCAAGGACAGTTTCGAGGATGGAGGAGTTGGTACTCCCAGTATCTTCAGCTGGAGTTCAGCTGGAATTCTAATATTCTCGGAAAATAGAAGTTCTCAGGTTGTTAAGTCAAGTAGACCACAGCACCCAGGATCGTTAACGGCTCGAACACTATGGACATGTAAGACACCTGCGCCAGATTACGCACATCTATCACGAATCTAGTATGGAATCTTCTGGTTCTTCTCAGAGGCTGCGAATGCCATACATCACTCTGCGTTTGAAGAGCTTAACTCCGGTCGGTGGTTGAAACAACCCATTTGCCTCATGAGTCTACATTACATCCAAGATGCTGCCTGGGGGACAAGTGTGGCTTTGTCAAAAGAGGCAGGGAAAAATCGTATTGTTCCTTGTAGACGTTTATGAGGAGATCACTCGATGTCTTTGAATTCCGGGTTGCATACGCAGCTCAATCGCTGCTCGATTTAGTAGATTAGAGTTCTATTACACTTGATAGCTTAGTGAGCAGATCAACGATGAACATCAATCAAAAAAATTGATCCGACCTGGGGATTCTCGAGGCACTCTATTATGGGGCCTCCAGCACATGCTTTCAGTGACGAGGAGGGTCGGGCAATTGAACAGCTGAGAGTGCTGCATGGAGTTTACCTGCACCAACATTCCCGACAGACTCTGATGCCATTCAACCTTGATGTGGTGATAAAGAGGAAATTAAGTACTGGTACATATTGTCACTATTATTTAACTCTCATATTTACTGTACTGTGACATCTCCTTCCATGTTACAATCCACAGCAAAGGCCAGCCCACAGAAGGAACCAGACCACAGTTTCAATGTTCCCTTTCATTACCAATGCAACGGACCCTCGGTAATCTGACTATCCCCGTTGTGTGTTGACGCTCCCCCCCAAACAGCCCCAAATAGCAACGAGCCCATCAATCCATTGAGAATTGATAGCTGAGAGACTGAAACCTGGCCTGTACTTTTACCTCTCAAAGAAACCTTGAAACCCACAACCTCATCAGGTGCCGCTGTTGGCCTGGCCATTGTCTATTATTGCGTCGTCACACGCACCTAATACAACCAGCGTCTTTTCCCGTTAATAAACCCAAACAACAGCGACTCCTTCATTCCAATCGCCGAGCTGCCTGCCTCCTCTCCAAACCTTCACAAGAGCATCACGGAGAAGCTTAAAATCCTACAATAAGCGATATACCCACGAAATCTGGTTCCCGGAACTCCATCATCAGCACCCACCGACAACATGTCCGTCGACATCGATCCCACCGAGCTGAGCTTCCGCCGTACGTCCAGCACCAAGTCTCTCGCCGCTCTATTGTCTCCTCGACTCGCGAAAACCTGGCTAACCTGCTTGCTCTAGGGCCATTCACCCAGGAGGTTTCGCAAGTTCTCATCATCAAGAACCCCAACCCAAGTCCGGTGGCGTTCAAGGTATTTTTGTTGGGGACATGCCGAGTCTCGCTGCCGATTTGCTAACCGCTCTTCGCTCTGTGCTAGGTGAAAACAACCGCGCCAAAGCAGTACGATATTCCCCCTCCCGCGTCGTTGCCCCGTCGCTACGGATAGATTCTCCAGGATTTACTAACTGCCGATCAGATACTGTGTCCGACCGAACTCTGGTCGCATCGAGCCTGGCCACGATGTTGAGGTTGCAGGTGAGCATCCTTTGGATTTATCTGTTCATTTGGAGGTCACATGCATGATGCAACTAACCGGCTGACTTTCGCACACCAGTTCTTCTTCAGGCAATGAAGGCCGACCCTCCTCTCGATGCTAAGTGCCGCGACAAGTTCCTCGTCCAATCCGTTGCCATTACTCCAGACAAGGAATTCTCTGGTGTAGCCTCCGTTGTGCGTTGCCGTTCATGATCCACCCAACGATTCTCTCCCCCCCTTCCTCCCTTCTTTCCCCCGATTCGTATACTGACATTACATTCGCAAATAGCTCGACACCGCCGAGAAGAGCTCGATACAGGAGAGGAAGATCCGCGTTGCCTGGTTACCTCCCACTCAGAGCCCTAAGCTCTCCGCCGCCACACCTGCCGTGCTCGAGACCCCTGTTAGAAACTCGGTGGCTGCCTCCGAAGTAAGTCTATTCTCGGCACCCGAGGTGCTCCCACAGCCCTTTGAACCCCTAGCTAACGGTGACCGCAGAATCACGATGCGACGCCCGATATCTCCCGAGCCTACGCTTCCCCCTCGAACGACGATGTCATCTCCAACCCATCTCCCCCTCCTTATCCCGAAGAAGTGAAGATTACGAAGAAGGAGCCTATCGAAGAGACACCGAAGACCACCGTCAGCCAGATCAAGCCCCAAATCGCGGTCGCCGCCCAACCACCAACCTACGAAGAGCTCAAGAGGAAGTTGGCGGACGCCGATGCTACCATCGACTCCTTGAGGCAAGAGCTCTCCCTCCGAAAGCGCAAGATTGGCACCGACAGCGAGAAGACAGCAGCGCAAGTGCACCAGCTAGCCACCGCAGCTCGACCAGTATCCGAGGGCGTCCCCGTCAAGATCGTTGCGATACTCTGCTTCCTCACCTTCCTCCTATCTTATACCTTCTTCTAAGCACATGACCGCTCGATACCCTACTTTGTTCGGAGAAGTTTGGCAGTTGTCGCTTCAGCCTTTCCCCCATTTTGGGGTTGTAAGACTAGACAACTTGCTCAGACTATAAAAGTTGCCAAGGGCGTACAGCATTGCATGCTTCAGTGGAGTTTATCTGATACCGAGGATATGGTGAAAGCCGTGTAAGAACGGACGGTGAATCTGTACGTTTACGGGATGTTTTGTACCTTGCTCGGCGTATTTGTGGGACGCAGGGAGAAGACGTCTTGCTTTCTTCTTTCTTTCTTTTTTTATTTTATTTTTCTTAATCATTTCCCTTTCGTCTATCTCGACGCTCGAGTATGGCCGTTGCGGCCAACCCAGTTTGGGGTTTCTACTACGAGGAAACAAGAAACTTACGGCTAATCGAGTTTTTATCAAGAGATGGGAAAGAAGAGAAACAAACACATGGTGTGATTACTAGGATAGACGGCTCGACTACTACTACTACCCCCTTTTTTGTTGCCCCCCCTTTGTTTTTCCTTTTGCTCATTATCTGTCTGTCCCTCCGACTTTTGGCTTTTTTCTTTTGTTCTTTTCTCAGTCTTTTTAAATCCCTCTGCCCGTTTTTTCTAACGCCTATGAAAGTCGAATTAACGAAAGCGAAATGAATCCAAACAAAGCGTCCCTCGTCGTGAATTTCTAAAAGAGCATCCTGAGAGACATATTCCCAAAGACCTCTTCTTATTATTAACCAGCCTAGGTAGACCTCCATCAAGGCCTTGAAAGCCACAGCTCATCGATACGAGTAAACAAAAACGGAGGCAAGTGGAAGGAAATCAAAAATGTGGACCACCATTTCCTGATCAAAAAAGGTCCATAACAGTCTAGGACTCGAGCTCGGACTGCTTCCAGCTAGAAGAGCCGCCGCCCACCATCCTCCCACCTTCCTTCCTCTTGACGCGGCACCTCATGCCCACGTTCTCGTCCCAGATGAACCTCCACAGGGCATAGGTCCAGCTCTGATGCTGCGGAAGATCGTCGTAAAACTCGTGAGCGATGTCGCGGAGCTTATGGAGCCGGGTCCAGGGCACGGCGGGGAAATCGTGGTGCTCGTTGTGGAGGCCGACGTTGTAGGTGAGGATGTTGGCCGGGCCGTAGTACGAGAATGTCTCGGGGATGGGGAGGGCGTTGTCCGGATCGCGCTGTTCGGGGGTGACGGTTTCGTAGACGTAGTGCTCGGCGATGAAGTGGGCGGCGAGCGGGTGGAGGGAGCCGGCTAGGAAGGAGCTGACGATGAAGTAGGCGAGGGCGTTGGGGCCGAGGTAGGTGTAGATGGCGTAGTCGAAGGCGGCTTGGGTGAGGACGTTGAAGAGGTGAATCCACGTGAAGGGGACGCGGTAGATGAACATAGGGCGGAGGGCGTAGAAGAAGATTTGGAAGGTGGCGAAGAAGGCTTTGCCGAGGATGGAGTCGAGGAAGATGGCCTCGAAGGCGGTGGGGAGATCGGTGTCGAGACCGTCGACGCCGAGGGACTTGTGGTGTGTTAGGTGATATGGCTGTTCATGGGGAGGAAAAGAAGTATTAGCGAACTGGTTCTTGAAACTCGGGCCATGGCAGGCTGCAGACACGTACTCGAAAGGATGCACTGTAGGGAATACCGATTGGTAGGTTCGCGAAGATAGCCAGGAGACGGTTTCCCATGGGGGATCTGAAAGCCAAGTTGTGCGAGATCTCGTGGATAGCAAGGAAGAGGTTCTGGTTCGCGGTTGCGCCAATGACATAGGCCGTCGCCAAGTACTTCCAGTTCAGAATTGGCGTGTCGCGGAGGAGGTAGGCCAAGAGGACCTGGAGACCGACGACTCCGGCGACGACATACTTGGTGAGGGGCTCAGGACCGCAGAGTTTCGTTACCTATGCGCATTGAAGAAAAAGGAAGTTAGCAACCTATTTGCGTTTCTCCCCCAGAAAGAGTCAATTAAGACAAACAGCGGAGGGAGCGTATGGCCAGGGGAGACCATCTTACCTCTGGATGCGCCTTGATGATAGCTAGCCGGCGGGTGCGGTGAGGCTCTTCGGTGTATGTCCAGAAGAAATCGTGTTCCTTGATCTCCAATGGCTCCTTGCCCTCCTTCTTCGCCGATCCATTAACTCGCGACTTGACCGTGGAGGTCGACGCGGGGGTAGCCGTGGAGGATCCGGCCATCGCGACGTTGGAGAGAATCAATCCTAGGAGCGGCGAAGAGTGATGTGTCCAGAGCTGCGATGGATTAAGAAAAGAAATATTAATAAGAGAAAAAGAAAAAGCTCTCGAACTCTAGGGATGCGCAAAAGGAATGAATTGGATTATAGTTTTGTTTTTAGGAAATCCAGGTCGCGAATAATATTTCCATAGGAAAAGAAAGGCATGTGGGATTGAACGAAAAGAAAATGTTCAAAGGAGAGGTCAATTGGAACCCGTAATCGTATCCCCTTGCTCCTTGCTCGTGATCGAATTGAGTTGGAGTACGACGTCCCTGGTGGTGTTTCTAGGTGGAGGAGACCCCTATTAGCTCGCAGAGTTTCTGTTAGTTCTGTTGGGGTTAGATTGATTGCCGCGAACTGGGCAGGTCAGACTCCATCAGACGCCAGAATTAGTACATGATCCGCATCTTCACTGGCCACTCCCAGCGATTCTATCGCTGCTGCCTTCGCGTGGTTCGATCCCCCACCCGGATCCCGGGTCCCTGATGTTAATCTGACCTTATTTCTCCTGCAGGAAAACGGGAAAACGTGGCTCACCAGACGAGAGCCTGTTGGCTTGACGACTTTATCCTCCGTGTTGACCCGGGCAGTTGATTTTTTTTTTTTCCCTCAACATCAATCCGGTCGCGGTCTCTCCGGAAGCGCTTATTCTTGAGGAGGGATCCCCATAGACACGCCCCCAGATGTTAGGCACACGAATAATTGATCACAGCTGTGATTACTTCACACTTACAGCAAGGAGGATTGCAACTTCCCCAGATTTCCCGCCACTTATAAATAATGGAAAGACCCGTTGGCGACACGGAAAGTCTTTGCTTCATCGAGGAATCGCAGAAGGACTGAATAAAGTCATCTTAAAAGCTGATAACGATTCGTCAGAGTTGTCAGTACCTTGGCTCCTCCAGTCCGTCTGCTTCCACACCTCCAGCTACACTTAGCTTGAGTCCCAGTAACTCTTACCAGTGTACGAAGTATCCCCAACATATATAAAGATGTAATAGAGAGACATAGATAAGAGAGCTGCTCCCCGCTGAGGAACCGAACCACCTTGCCACTTACAACTGTGTCCCGGCGGTTTCTTGCCGGGTGCTGCTGGTGCCCCATCAATGCTGCCAATGGATGACCAACCCACTGCATTAGCCAGCGCAAGAACTATCATTTGGAAGAGCTCTCTGCTGCTGTTAAGTCTAAGAAGCAACATTGATGGACAAGTCTTGTGATAACAAAGTGTTTGTGCCTTTTGTCGTCCTCACTGTCGAGAACCTGGCTAACGAGATCCGGCTTAGAGAGAAAGAAGGAAAAAAGTTAAAAAGTCCTCGAGGCTGTCGCTCTGATGGCGAATACCAGATTCAGACTTGGTAAAGTCGAATCTGATTTGGCCATGATTAGCAATACTGGGGTTAGGCTTTCTCCGCCATCGAAAAAGGAGGGTCTTTTCTCCATTTGCCGCGGGGAAGAGATCAATTGAGTTCGTCTCGGACAGGTGGAGTTTCCATTTGAAATCCTGTTTTAAGGGATATGGCCGAATGGAGTGTATAAAAGGCCTGGCCATCCCATCATTTCGTGGTGTTGATTCTCCTCCTCGAATCGGATCCGAGATCATATCATCTTCACGATCAGGCAATCCCACCGAGCTCCCACTTACACCCGGCCACTCCTGTATAGGCTTAATTGACAACTCGAATTGATATAAATCTCTTATCACACCACTACCGTCAGTCAACTCTAATCACTCTCACTACCAAAACCACCAAATCTCCAGAAGGAAGAAAAAAGAAACCAAAAATCATCATCATGACTCTACGCTCCAAGCTCCACGAACTCCACGAAGCTTTATCCAGATCCAACTCCCCAGCGGGCTCCAGGGCTGGCTCCAGGGCTGGTTCTAGGACAGGTTCCAGGGCCGGCTCCAGAGCTAACTCTCGACCTGGCACTCCTCCAGCCTCCCATCCTCACTCTCACCACCACACTCTCTGGCACCACCATACTCCGTCGCACCACACCTCCACCCCACCCCCAGGCGAGCCATCCTCCTCCTCCCACAGCCACTCTGGACTGAATCCCGCCTCCGCAGCAGCCTCTCATCCGGGCTCCAAGGCCGTCAGCCCTCACCCCTCCCAGCCCTCCTCGCGCCAACCCTCCCGCCGTCCCTCTTTCTCCGACGAGGCACCGCCGTCCCCGGCCCCCTGCGAAGAGCACAACAACTTCACGGGGACCAACCCTTCGGCAGCCGCCACGCTCACGGACGAGTCGGGCAATAACTTCACGGGGGCTACGCCGCAGCCTCGTCGCGGTGGGGATGCCGCTAAGAACTTTGCCGGGTTGAATCCTAAGGCTTTGAGGAAGAATAACTTCATGGGCGCGACGCCGGCTGGGGAGGAGAATGTGAATAATTTTAGTGGCATGGATCCGAAAGCCAGCAGGAACAACTTTCCTGGCGATTTCTAATATGGAAAGGGAAGATTTTGTTCCTTGTTGGATTTAAGAGGCGTTTTGGTTGTGGTACGCGGGTCTTGGGCGGGCTGAAGGGTGGCTGGGATAATGGACCCCTTTCTATGGAAATGAATAGTTGAGGACACTACGACATCACCGGAATCCCCAACGAGACGAAAGTTTCCAACTATGGAAGGTTATTTGTTCTGGTTTTTGAATTGATAGAAGAAGATTCTCTTCGTAGGACTTTAGTATCGAGCTTGGCAAGGCAATCTGGTAACTATTCATCAAGCCCAATGAAGAAACAGGAAACACGACCGACGCAGAAACCTGCGAGTGCCAGAGTGAAGAATATCCATGTGGACTTGTGTGTTTCTTTTCTCTGGTAACGTTTTAGTCCCCAGGCATAAATAATTCGGCAACTGACCTGGGCAGAGTGGCTCAACACTCGCAACTCCTACTAATCCAAGGCCAAAAACCGCCCATGGTGCCATGGTCTCCGCTTAAGTGTATCTACCAGAGGAGAGGATAGCAGTCCAAACGTTTATCTTAAGCTAGATAAGCTTAGCTCGGGTTTCACTCGAAGAGTCGAGAGAGGTCGAAGCATTTATCGTGGGCATGTCTCTAGGCCTAATATCTTAATCTGAGGATGTAGGAGGCAATCTCTCCCTTTTTTTTCCTTCTTTTTTCGGATTTAATTCAAAGAATGGGGTATGTCCTGTTACAGGGGTTAATATGTACCAAAGTGGTAGTTGGGGTTCTCGAAGAGCTCACCTGCCGGTTGCTGAATCTCTGTTAAGCCTTCTCTTTCATGGACGCCGGCCGCCACGCGAACCTTCTCTCTCCATCAAACTGGACATAAATGTCCTCACCTTCAGTGCTCTTGCTGAGCTGAACAAGCCGGGACATGGTTACAGGGCAAACATCAACATCGGTCGTGCGACATTCCGAAGTGTTGTCCTCAAGCCCCTCGAAACTGAGCTTGCTGGTGCGGACAACTGGTGACACGGACGGTAAATCAAGAAACTCTCTTAAGCTCTCTGGAGTCTTGAACATGCTGTCGGCGCCAACGACGACCGGAAACCGCTTCTGCGGTGGCGGACCATTTTCTTGATAGCTCTTCACGGCCGCGGCCCATGCTTTTGGCGACCAGGTCTGGTCCCTGCTTTTTCGTTCCTCCAACTTAGACCTGGCGAGGCTTTTCCTCAAGCTGTCGGGCATGTTTGGTTGGCGTGGGCGAACGCAAGGCGGGATGAATGAGAAAAATGATGGCCTCGAGGTGGCGAGTCGTATACTTATGGAACTGGAATCGATGGGAAAGGTTCCCAAATAATAGGAAGCTGTTTCCCGGAAAAGTTGGCCGAGGGAGGTCCGGCTCCTCCTTCCTGGGAACTGGGTAGGGGCCAATCCCAATCCGCCAGTGTACATTCTAGATCAATGGATTGATGCTTTCAGATTCATTCCAGTTGATACTTTCAAACACATTCCAGATGCCTGCACACACCTGCACACACCCAAGGAACAGCATTGTGAATCGGGCTGCAGCAGTTGAAGTCTGCAAATTCTTCAACTAAATCAATGGCCAGGCATACGGAGGAGATCAGTCCTTCCAATTCCACTACTACTGACCAACCTGTACTTCAGTTCAGCTAAGAATGGCCTCATTTCCACCTTCCACCTCCAACTCATTCCAGTCCCCCAGTTGTCATAGGAGGGGAAAGGCCATCTAACCATTAACAGTGGAATTACGGTAAGGGCTTCCTGCCATCCCCCTGCTCTAGATGCCTCGTTGAAGAGGCCATGTCATAGACCAATATATAGGTATGTTTGGTAGCCGCTAGGATTGTCAGGTGCCACCTAGAAGGATAGAGTTCTTTGATGAGAAGAAACTAGAAGAGTGTTCTTTGACCCGGAAAACACCAGAAGGATCCAAATCATGGCCAGGTAGGTGCTGCCCTGAGACTTGGCTGTGCCAGGTGTGTTGGCGTATTTGTATTATATATTTTTAAATTCCAAGGGAATCCCCCAGCACTGCTCACACTAGCTCAATCTCTCAGATTCCTTTTGCTTGCGTATTGATCCCGCGAGGGCAACAATGCGTCCCGCACGGAATGCCATTCCCCACGTTTCTCGCTCTCCGTTCTTCCTAAACAGGCGAAATTACATAGCTTCTCTATTCGTTGACTTCGGCCTCTATATTGCCGTCTAATATATTTCAGATCATCACGTCCCAGTTCCCTCCGTCCACTTTATCCGCCCGTGTTCTCCATCTATTTGCCTCCTGTCCACTCGGCGATGGGGAGTTTCTCTCCTCGTCAACCGTACCGTCGTCGGGCTTCGTCCGTCCCCGTGTGTGTGTGTGTGTGTGTGTGTGTGTGTGTGTGTGTCAGAAAACCGGGGTAGAGAGGGCTTTATATAAAAGTCGCATGAGAGCCAGATTTTATTTTCAAAATCTCTGAAGTGTGTGAGATGTTCCACTCCGCAATGAAGAGTGTCTCTCATCGGGCTTTCGTATAAGTCGTCAGCGCGACCCGTTCCGGTCCCGAGTTTCAAGGTCTTTACTTCGTACGCCCCGCACTTTCGCCAAGATGCGTTTCTTCGTCGCCATCTCATTCCTAATCGCCGCTGCCAGAGCGAAGCCAGAGCAGATCCGAGGCGTAAGGGAGCCCATCTACCACCTCTACCTCCAGGCACATCCCGATGATCCGACCAAAGTGGTTCTAGGCCCCGAGGCATCGGCCGACACTTTTGAGATCGGCGGCACCATCCAGTCTGCGAGCACGAAACTCTTCATCAACATTGGAGATGACAGCACCTCCTACAAGACCTTAACCTTTGGCAAGGAGGGCGAGACGACAGCATGGGGCCTCGAAGGCGATACCATCATCACGACGACTGGAAGTAGTTTCGGAAGGCGTAAGTTTAATTGACCCTGCGTCATGCACAGCAATCACTGCTATCTCGGTGTATGAGCTTGGCTGGTGTGCATATATTGACTAGACGAACCTGCAGAGCTCAACTTCCTCGTATGTAGTATCAACGGTGGTTACTGGGAGGTGTTCCTCCAAACGGGTAGCGACCAGCCTAGTGGGAAGACGTGCAGTAACTACCAGACCATCCACCTCCCCTGCCTCTGCTAGAAGGTCGGTCCATTGCTCGGAGAGACGAGAATCTAGACGTTTTGGGCCAAACGGACTAAGAAGCAGACGATAAACGGGTATTGACCGCCAATGCTTGCGTGGCTGCAGGGGTCTACGTTGCATACTTGGCGGCGTGCGTGCACCAAGTGCTGGAGAGATTCGGAGCGCTGTTTATACCAATAGAGCTTCATGTCCAAATTCCGTGCCTAAATATCCCTGCGTGTTGTTCGCAGACGGGAAGTAGTGGAATATTATAGACAGAACCGTTTCCGACTTGCAAGAGCGAAATTGTTGCATCAGTCGATTGCTGCAGAATATCGGTTATTCTAGGGTGAACCAGCCCCCCTGCGACGATACCAGCACATCAATGATCCATTTTGATTTTGAGGCGGTGTGTATATCCAGGGAGGACCACCTGCAAACGAACCTCCACCGCTCGCAAACCATCAGTGGCATTTTGCTAGGGGTCCATAATCGGGCAAGGATCGAACGGATGTATGCCAGCTTGAGGTTGCAGGGCGCCACAGCTCATGGCATATGCAGGCACTTTGCTAGGGTCCCTCGCAGTAGGCAGAAACGAGTCCAAACGAGCCCTTTGGGCAGAGTGTACATCTTTACAAGTTGCAAGGCCAAAAAAGCGTCATTTAAGTTGGGGCAGCTTACCCGCTTCATCGATAAGAGCAAGGCAGCTCAAGGGTGTGTGGGGGGCCGATCGAGAAGACACACGGATGTGACATCACCACCGAAGATAAGTCCGCGTGCTATATTACTATGTACATAGATGGCGGGCGTCAGTGCTGAAAAACTGAGAAACGACGAATTACTCCATGGGGCCAGGGCCAAGATCATGCTGAGCCGAGTTCCAGGGTCCCCTTTCCAGTGACACCTGGACATCGGGAACAGTCCAACATGCTTGCAGGATAAGCGCGGAATGCGTGGGGCTAGGTTCGCAGCCGAGAACGGGTGATGCGACCCTGAGCGAGGGACCATCATCAGCATAGAGTGTCTCCATTCGCGTGATCTTAGAGGATGAGCGAGCGGAAGCAGTGTACTCGACCCCGCTTGATCGGGGTCATGGGTAACACCTTGAGGTGATGGCAGGCTGGAGTTTGTGGCCGATAAGGTTGTGTTAGGAGACGCCGGTCGTGAGGTTCATGGAACTTGATACTATCCGAACTAGATACACTAAGAGCTGAGCTGTGCAGAATAAGGAAGATTCCGACAGGACTGCGCATGAGATTGGCAGAACAAGATGCGAAGAGGGATCGGCCCAATGACAAGAAGGAAGCTCGCCTCTCAATCAATGTGTTTAGCAAATTAAAACGCACCTGACCCCTCCCCAGCGACTGACCATGTCGGTAACCTCGATTGTTAGACGGCAGTCGGCAGTGTGGGAGGCTATGGGTGTGTTGGCGAAGTCGCGTTGTGGTGTGTACCTGAGAGCGGAAATGCGGTGAGGGAGTACTTTCTTTCGGGCTCTAACGCCCATTATTACCTCCCACCCAACTCTGGCAAGCAATCTTGAACACTTGGAAAGGAGGGGGATCGCCAATCCTAGGGAAGATTATGACAACAATCAAGGAATAGGGCAGATATAACGCGTTTTCTCGCGTTTCGTTTGGATACCCAGCGCCCTACTCCGTTTGCAAACCAAGAAATCCGGGCCAAGGCATTTCTTAGTTTCTTGGGAGCTCTATCGAGATCTAGAATCTATTAGAGTGGGAAAAAAGTCTGGTGTGTTCGGGAGCGTAGAAAATGGACGTAGAGGTACGAAGTACACCGATTAGTGTAATGTACGTGAGTTGCCAGCTGGTCAGGGTGGAGGTAAGGGCCTGGTCAGGCCCACTGCAGAGAGCGAGCAGTGGTATTGATGCCTACACTGCACTAGCCTCTTCAGGGGAGTGAACTGGCAAGTTACGGAGTATGGGTATGGGTTCTGGGCTGGTCCCGACGTGAGCACTTGAGAGCAAGTGGGTGCATGCACGAGGGACACCAAGTACAATTTGTACACCCAAAGTACAAGATCGACCTGCAGCTACGGGGCTGTAGCACGTGAAGATAGTGCCATAAGGCACCATCACCAGCATCCCTGCATGTACCCTCTTGTCACTCGTGCGTTGGATGAGCACATGTCCGTGGCCTCTATTTCCTCTTCTGGCCACCTCACTTTATTAAGAACTTCTCAAGATTGGTTCAACGCCTTCCTCTCCCTACTTCGTGCTCTTCTTCGACGAGGCAGCTCCATCAGCAAAACACTCTGTTTAATCCGACTGCTGGCCTGGAATCTTGTCGAAGGCTCTTTCTTCGATTTTTGGAATCAAGCTTGTGCGACTTTTCCAGGCTTTGTTTCCCTGATCAGACTAAAAGCACATGCTTCTCAGACCCCTGCAAGCTTTTTTTTTTTTCTTCCGTGGCATTAATCAATTCACATTGATCATTTCACCGTAGCCTAACCCTCCCCCCCTTCACAAACTCAGCCTTGAACACCTTCGAACGACAAGAAAGACTGTTCTTTATTCGAAGTTCGACCCCGCCTTCGCCCTCCGAACGATCGAGTTGGCTAGCGATAGACCACCGACCCGTGTCGCTCCTGACCGCATCACCAAACGAAACCGCACGCTTGGCGCGGCACCGCCAGCCAGCCGTCATCACCCATGTGGTGGCTTTTTCAAGTCATTCTCAGCGCCCTATTCCTACTCAGCGTCGTTCTCTCAGTACCTATCGCCTTCGATGTCGGCGGCCGAGATAGTGGCCTGGCGTACAGCCTAGCTCTTTTCCTCTACTACTTGTCCTACTCTACGATAAGAGCGGCGACCACCGAATCGCGAGCCGGACGGACGATCAGCGGCGTCCTCCATCTCTCACAATGGGTTATCATACCTTCTCTTCTGATATGGGCCCTTGGCCGCTTCGCCGTCGATGCTGGAAGTGCCCATTGGGTGGAGAGGACGTTTGAGCACTTGGCGAAGCAGAAGCCCGCCACCTGGTCAGAGTGGATAAGCGCTGTGCTGGAAACTGTAACTCTCGGCGGGTGGGATAAGACCCTTCGGTACTCTATTCCCGTTTTCCAGCTTCTCGAGGGTTTCTGCACCTTGTTGGTTATCCAGGCCGCGGGGCAAGTGACGAGATGGCTTGTGAACAGAGGACGAAGCGACACTTGGATGGTATGTCAATATCCCCGGTCTATATCCCCAGACTTATCAATCATCGATGAGGAAATAAGGTTGTTGGAAACAAACGGCCTGCTAACTATCACCCCTGACAGATCGCCCTCCTTGCCTTGTCCGGCTCCATCATTGCGAGCGCCTTCTACTTCCTCTGGCGCGTCGCGCAATTCCCCCATATTAGCAACACCGATGCTATTCTCATCGGCGTCACCATGACTACGGCGGTTTTCCTGTGCGCCTTCGGTATTACCAGCAGAAAGGGTAATCCGGTCGAGTCCTCGCTGCTCTTCGCCTATGTTGTTCTCTGCATCTATCAAATCTTCACCGACTACCTCCCATCTTCCGATGCTGCAGCGGACCAGCAGCCATCCTCGCAACCAGACTTCCCGCCATTGCCCCCCATAATTATGGCGTCCTACACCACTTTCCTCCATATGCTCGGATCATTACCTACCGCTGTACACTCTGCGTTCGCCCTTCTATACGCCGCTTTCCAAACTACTACTTCATCTGTCATCATCTCTCTTCTATACCGAATAATAGTATTCTACCTTGCCACGCGAATCATTCCCGCCGTCCGCGAGTACGGGGCTCAAGCGATGATTGAAGACTCAGCGCTTGAGGATAGTGATGGGGCGAATAAGATTCTCGAACTCCTTTCGTGGTTCGCACCGTCCGTTTTGATCGCTATTTATACCAGCTTGCTTTTGCAGCACTTTACAGTCAATGACGGACCCGACGGCTGGACGTTACGCGGCGGCGACGCCGCTGGGGGCAACCTTTGGAGATGGGTCAATGTTGCGGCGACTATGGCCCTTTACACAATCGAGCTCTATCTCGGTAACGATGAGACGAACCACTGGAAGGTCGATTAATGTGGTAGGCATTTGTATAGTCTGCCGGGTTTGGACCAAGCTCGACATGGGCCGAGCCGCCCGTGTTTGATGAATGGGCGGCTTTGTGGTGATACGACGTGAGACTTTCCTTTACCGCGCCAGGGATGTCCGCATCGGCTTTCTGAGGGGATGAACACCATTCGCGCTGAAGCTACAAGCTACAGGATCTGTATGACGACAGGTCTGATCTGGAGTGATGAAGGAGACTTTGCGTCAAGTTAGGCGCAGCATTCTAAGCGCGCGAGAAAAGGAAAAAAAACTTGCACTTCCGAGGCATGGAGGTTGGACTGTTCTTATTTCTTGTAACGAACGACTTGATACGACTATTCCCCCTTTGTTCCAGTCTTCTTGGGTTACGAACAGGAGGTAAGCCACCAAAAGAGTTGGCAAGCCTCGAGGTAATTTTGTTGACACTAGCACATGTAGTTCTTTTCAAATTCCATATTAATGACACCGCCTGTTGAAATGGCATAGCCTAATGGTCATCCAGTTCGTATTGTCTTTTCTAGGAATCTGTGTTTGTGTGGGCGATTAATATGTTTTCCGGGTTATTCCAGTTGTTCCCACTTCCCTCCCCCGGATCTAATGCATCCTCGGCATCAGTGTTCGAGCTAAAACTACTACCATCCCTTTCGCATGAACCCACATTTATAGTATTAAACCTTTACGAAACGTGCCCCAAGCTTGAACCTTAGCAGGCCCGATCATATAATTTCCCCCCAGCGCATTCTTCAAACAATTAAGCTCCCAAGATGTCAACGACTCGCACAGAACCCCTCCCACCCCCGCCATCCGTCTCCAAGAAGACGATCCCGATGGCGGGGCTCCTCGTCGACGTCTACGGCCTCGCCGAGCTCTCCGCCCCCTCCCCCGCCACGCGGCTAACCTGCCTCTGGCTGCACCACCCGCGCATGCAGACCAAGGAAATCATGGGAGATTTCGCCAGCCGGACCGTAGCGGCGTGGAACGAGCGTCGCAAAGCCAGCGCCATCGCGGCGGGCAGGGGACTCGTCGCGCTGGCGTTCGACCAGCGGAATCACGGGACGAGGTTGGTTTCGGAGATTGCGAACAGGTCGTGGAAGGCTGGGAATGAGACACATGCGATTGATATGATGGGGGCGATTAGGGGCATGGTGGAGGATACGAGGGGGTTGATGGATGTTGTGGAGGGGTATTTGGGGTGTGCGGGGGCGGAGGGGGCGGTGGTGGATGGGCATTATGTGATGGGGAGGTCGTTGGGGGGTCATAGTGCTTGGCAGTTGATGTTTGGGGATGAGAGGGTTACGGCTGGGGTTATCATTATTGGATGTCCGGATTATATGGGTGAGTCCCCCTTTCTCTCTCCTGGAGTGGTGATTGGAATGAAGGTTGGAAGAGGAAAAGAAGGAGATGAACCCGATGCTGATATGGGAGAGGATAGCGCTACTTTCGGACCGAGGACGACGCACTGCTCTGGCTACCTATAAGTCGGAGGATGGAGGAGCATCTTTCCTTGGGAGCAGGCATTTCCCAAGGGACCTCGTCGATGTGTGCCGCCGCGCCGATCCCAAGGGCCTACTCTTCGGGACGGACCCCATCGCGATTAACCCTGATGAGGCGAAGCGTGAGAAATTGAAGCCCGTCCTGGATAGGACGATCAAGGGCAAGAGGTTCCTCTCTTGCTCTGGCGGCGCCGATAGGCTGGTGCCGTATCATATGGCGGAGCCTTTCATCAACTTCTTGCAGGGCGCGTCTCGTGGGTGGTATAAAGATGGGAATGTGGTGATGGACGATAGAGTGTATGCGGGTGTTGGACATGAGTTTAGTGATGATATGATTAGGGATTCGGTGGAGTTTTTGATCCGTGCTTTGGAGGAAGAGGGTAAGAATAGTGAGGAAAAGGCGCGGATTTAGGGCTTCTAGATTCTAGTTTCTATTAATGATCTATTCTAGATTTGTACGGGCATCGAACTGGACATGGAGAGATGGTCCTATCTTCTCTTCTCATCCTCTTCCTATATTTACCACGGACGTGGGGATTCTGGCTTCAAAACCTCGTGACCATCGTCAATGCGAATAGTAACAACTCCGCTTCGTTCTCGCCCCTTGTCATCTAAGAATAGATCCTGGTTAATACCCCAAGGGTTCCGCGCCCTCCTCTTACCAGCCAACGCCTCCCCAATGCCATGAGGATCCTCAGTCCACTGCCTCAGCGCAATCTCCACACCCTTCAAAGCACCCTCTTTGGCCGCACTGCCCTCTACCATCTCCGCCGGATCAACGCCCACATACCTAGCCCGCTCGAGAGGAAACCCAATGGCAGCGCAGTGACCATCGTAGATCCTCGACTTCTTGAAAGCATGGCTGACGACGGTAAGACGTTCGGGCCAGATGCAATCGTGCAGGCGCCAGAACTCGAGGATCGAGAAGAGGACGTTGTAATAGGAATCGAGGGCGCGCTCCTCGACGAGGATCCTGTGGGCTTCGGTGGGAGGGATGATGCTGAAGAAGTTGTTTTGGATGGCGATATTGGCGTAGCTTTTTGCTTCTGTGAGTTGGGTCTCTTTGCGGGTCGGGCCTCTGAGGTAGTAGTTTGACATTAGCATTGGTTCTTTTCCTTGTTTTTCCCCTTGACTTACCCTGAGAACATGAGGACTGCATTTTTGTCCTCTGCTATGCATTGGAGGCCGGCCTTGATGTGTTCGATGAAGGTGGGCGTTTCACCCTTTTGGAAGGCTGCGATGAGCCATTCTGACTCGTCGTGTCCGAGGGACTTGCCGCCGAGCCAGATTCCGTGGCAGCAAACAACGACTAAGTGTGTCGGACTAGTCATCCGAAATCAAAGCGTCGGTATATTAGCTTGATGCGATTTTGGCTTAGGAAGAGATTGCTAGAGTGGTTTGAAACAGTTAGCATGCAATGTACAGCATAGAAATGAATTTCATGGCAGGACGCGCTACGGTGGATTATTTCACGATCCCTTTTGGTTTCATAAATGGTCTAATTTTTCCTTCTCCAGCGCCTCAGATCCAAACACCAAGAAATGTCACGGAAGCTCTATTTTATACACTGCCTGCATCATTTTTCAGCCCATTTCGGTCTATGGTTCGGAGCATTCTAATTTCTTGCTTGGTCCACCCATTTCAAGATGTCCGATATCAGGTATAAACTCCCCGTCACCACAATGGGAGTCTCCTCTCCAGGTACAGGAGACTTAGACATCTGACATGCCGTTCCTATTGCGTCTTCTATCGTACTGCAGCCTACAACTTGGCTTTGCGAAGCGTCAAAGCCTGGTAATGACTTCACTGCGGACTCCAACTTTGCAATGTCTAGCGGCAGTGGTCGGAAAGAGAGAAAGTGGTCCGAAGAACTTGCGCTAGTCTTTGGGCGTACGGGGTGATCGTACTCAATCAAGACAATCTTGTCTTGGGGCCGTAGGAGGGGCTGTAGGATTTCAGAAGCAGTGTCTTCTCTTGGACTCGACATTCCTATCACCCAAGTGATAGGTTTTTGTGTATCGGTTTTGGTAGTTCTTAGATGTTGATCCACATGTTTTGCAAGGGCAATGGCAGCGTCTACGTTATGCGCGCCGTCGAGGATGATGGGAGTGGTCCTCCCCTCCCGGCTCCCAGGCGCCGTCGAGCTGATGTCAACCTTCTGTAGTCTCCCCTCCATATGGACACTGGGGAGTTGCAAAAGATCGGCTATGCTGAGTGAAGAATCGCGGTACTCCTCAAGCTGCTCGCAGGCCTTGATGGCGCATATCGCGTTGTCGAGTACGTGCTGCGGCCAAGTTCCGGAAAGAGACGCGGCCTCCTGACTGAGTCGCGAGTCGTCCGTTGACAGGATAACTTTGGAGCCGACCTGTCGCGCCATGTCTAGAATGACTTCAAGCGCAGCAGGAGAATTACGGCCATTGACAACGCAGGGTGCACCATTCATGATGGCGGCCTTCTCGGCAGCGATCTGTTCAATGGTGTCGCCGAGGTACTCTTGATGGTCGACGCCGATCTTGGTAATGACCGTCACCGCCTTGTTTCGCATCACATTAGTCGAATCGAGGCGACCGCCCAGCCCAGTCTCGACGACGCCATATTTGACCTTGAACTCGTCAAAGGCGGCAAAGGCCGCATACGTCATACGCTCAAAGTGAGTCGGCTTGTCGGCGGGCGACACCTTATCGGCGCCGTAGTAGAACGAGCGAAACAGATCAGAGGGTATCGGGGCATTGTTGATGAGAATGGAGTCCTCTGGCCGCCGTATGAAGGGTGAGGTGAAGCGACCGTATGAGATTTTAGAGTGGGCGAGAAGGGACGAGACGTACGAGCAGACGGAGCCTTTTCCGTTGGTCCCGGCTACGTGAATGGCTTTCCACAGCTGGGGGCTTTTCCCGTAGAGGCCTTGCATGCGCTCCAGGCCCAGCTTGATCACCATCTTGACAGATTTATACCACGAGGTCGGCGAGAGCTCACTGGTGGATGCCCATGTTAGAGGGGGAGGGAGCGTGTATTCAAGTTTATGAAGACTATTTAATTGTAGTTGTTTTGGGTATACAGGAAGACGTGATAGGTAGAAATTTACCTTGAATGAGGGAAGAGGGCCGAGATTCGAAGAGGAGAGCTCAAAATATCAGTGGTCCATGGCTTGCTTCTTCACCCAGTCTCTGTTTGATAAACTGATGCGATTGCCCTTGATGGCGGCTTCTGAGAAGATAAATGATTAGTCATATACACACTCGAGTCCAATATCACGTGATCTATGGAAACCTTCCTGATGTGGTGTTGCCCCTGGCTATTGACCCTGGGGCACGAAGACGCTTGTTGGAATTTGTTAAGACTCTACTTTTAATTGCACTATGGAAAGCAGGCTTTCTAGGACTTAGCTTATCATCCATTCACATCCCACTTGTCGTCACTTCTGCAAGAACTGGGACCACTCATCATCCTCTTTCACCATTCCAAGCCCCCCACACATCTCCCCTATCTCCAGCCACCTGGTCGAATCTAGGCTTTCGTGACAGTGTCAAAAATTCATTTCACAGGTTGGTCTGTGAGTGAGGCTTTCGCATCGCAACATCCCCACTCTCTTCGCGTTCCGCGTCTCATCCGCGCCAATTCACGACTTGTTCCTGTTGCCTTCACAGTGCATCACGAATGTGAATGCGAACGTGGCACTGCTCCTGCCGGCTTTGTCTTGGGGATAAATAATTTTCATCATCTCCATTTCGCTCTCTCCCATCACGACTCGAATCACACGACCGCCTCGGTCATCTCACCCTCGAAACTCCATCCATCTTTGCGACTCGGTATTGTTTCCCCGCGTCTCTCTCATCGAAGATGGGTCTCCCGTAAGTCCACATCATGCTACTCAATCCATCCCTCAGAGTATTGGTTCGCATCTCGATCCATCGATTCCGAGCCTGCTTGACGTTCTTCGGCCCGTCCTTTGCCTCCATTATCGATTAGTCGTTCGGCGCCATCGATACTGCATGCTGTCCCCTCTCCTCTTGCCATTTAACTTCCGATCCTCCCGTACCATTGCGTTTGGAAGGCTGTTCCCAGGGCAGATTCGCGTCGTTGGATCGAGGATCAGATCTCTTAGGACATTGGTATTCTCAAACCACTACCACGTCTGAGGTGGGATCATATTTCCTCGACCATCATCGCTTCTTGGTTATCCTTGCTTGTCCCGACCGTACCGTCTTTATATATGTACCCATATGCTTTCTTTATCGCAATCCCTGCGTCATTTCTTTAAACCTCGCGTGCTCTCCGCCCATTATTTCGTCGCTAATACCGATCGCATTAGACTCTACGTCGCGCGAAGCCCTACCTCGGAATCGGATTCACAGGCTAAGAAACGTGATAAGATCCCTGGATCTACTCGAAGCATTCGGCGACGCGCGCGGATTGATGATTTGGCGCGCGACTCGGAGCGGGAGCGAGCTCGACGTCGCCAGCGAGCCGTCTTCATCGCCAACTATGTGAACGAGCGTAGCAGCGACGAAGACCAACCAGCTGGCAGTGAAGATGCGCGACCAAGAGATCTCGGAAGGTCCTGGGGCTTCTCGCAGCCGAGACGTTGGGACCGTTCCGACGTTGATCAAATGCGACGTCTGGAGAACCGAGTGCGGGACCAGGCCGCTTATGAGCTAGAGCTCATGGCTCGCTCGAATAGAGATTCGCTGGACGCCGTGCTGCCCCAGAACGACGGCGATGCCGGTTCCGGCGGAGAGGAGAGACGACGACTGGTATGTCGATTCTAATTTTCTTTATGCGCTGATTTCGTTGCTGTTTCGACGCTAACCTTGGTCTCCAGAGCGCTGGATTCTTGGACGGAGTCCGCCGTGCTCGTGAGGCTCGCCGAGCCCGCGAAGCAGAGCGAACTCGTTCGAATCTTACTGGTGACTCCCGTCAGCCGGTCATCGGGTTCGATCCGTGGGAATTATATCTCTTGCAAACGGGGCGCTATTCCGAGATAGAGCTGAGTAATCTGGATGATAGCCGTAACCCGTTACAAGATTCTACACCAGATGAGGAGGAAGACGACAATAATGAGGCGTGGGATACCCTTCTTACTACCCTAACACCCGACCCACAGCCTCCTAGTGTAGGATCCTCCTTCGCGTCTGCGACGGGCCCAGCGCCGGCTGCTGCGACCGCGGCTACTGCTACAGGCCAAACCGTGACGCGATCAACCTTGTCAACGTCCGCCAGCCGGGTACCAGCGCCGACACACGATTGCGGCGGCGTTTGTGAGATTTGTGCCCGCGCTCGTGCCTCGGCTACCTTCACGTATCCTCGTATCCCGCAGCGGCCCGACGCCGGACGTAGCTTGAGGCGAGCAGCGCCAGACACTATCCCCCCTCCAGCTGGCTTCACCTTTTACGACCGACGACAACACTGGCGACAAATGAGAGACTTCGCTCGGGAGATACGAGCGGATTCGGTGGAGCGCTACACCGACCGCATTATTGATGAACTCAATCGGATCGAGAGGCGTGGCGGCATCATCCCGGCGGGCGCGCCCCTCAACTGGAGGCCGCCGCTTGCTTCCCGAGGTGATCGTCCCGATGGCTTTGAAGACAGCCGAGACGGCTTCGCGGATGACACTGTGAATCCCTTCTTCTAATGCTGGCTGAGCATCGGTAATTTCCGGAGTAGAGTCGACGGGATGCTCGAGCGAGTAAGTCGCATCTAACGATTGGATGGGGCGTGTTTGTGCGCTTCATCTCTATGCTTTATGTTCCGGGTTTTGTTTTTCTATTTTCCTTTCGAATCCCTTGCATGGTGCTGGATAATGATCCTGGACGACGAGACAGCCTCGACTCTGTACATCAATCCTGTACATCAACCTCATTTCCACGAACTATTCTGGTCGTGGTTGGGCTTGGCTTCAAACCCTGGCTGTCCTCCTGTTACAATTTGGCGGTCCACGGCGGTTGCTTGGACCATTGTATGTTTGTTTTGTTTTGTTCTTTTCTGTTTTATGTTTGGTATGGATGGGAAAAGGGTTCCAGGTCTCTCAGCGAGCGACGGCCGGCGTTTGGGAGCATCCGGGTTTACTGCTATGATTTGTACATGAATCAACTTTTTTCTTATTCTAGTCAAGGGACGCTGATAGTGAGGGGAGCGAGGTCTCTCTCATGGGCGTCAACCAAATCTAGAACTATTGATTGACTGCGCGAGTCTTGTCTTTTTTTTCTGTCTGTCAGAGTTGAATTTGGATCCATGAAGTTGAACTGGATGGTAGGAGATCGACATCCAAGGGAGAGGACAATACTACAGTACCTCGATATACGCGACTGTGTTATTACGCAGAAACACTGGGAAGCAAACCACGGATCAGGCAGGGCATCAGTCATGCTCTGCTACAGTAAACTAGTTGAATGGTAGGAAGTATTATAAAGGTGTCTACTTGTGTGTACGGGTAGCTTGCTTGCTGTATGCATTAAAGCTTCAATGTTGTCTGCAGCGGCTGCTTCGTGGAGATTACTTGGTCGGACCATAACTTTGTCCATTCAATCTCGGTGACTTCTTTTTGCCATTTTTTGATGTGCCACGCCTCCGGCCGAGTCACAATGTTTATTGGCCGACTTTATGCACACGATACGCGACTGCAGAGGGTCCTACATCATGCACAACGCCCTCGTGGAGGGACTGAGAAGGTGTCCCAGATGATCTAATCGTGCAGAGAATGTACGGATATATATGCATCTTTCTCTCCAAGCGATAGGAATTGGTTTAGATGCTGGTCTCAAGACCTAATTTCGGACAAGTCTTGGAGCTAATAAGCTTCATGTTGTTACCCTTTCTCTCGCATATTTATTGTCAAAACATACTTGTAATTGCCTCGCGAGGGGGATACGGACGTGGTTGACCTTGACGAAGGAACGCGAAGTTGAAACACTGGAGGAGCCACCCCAGACGCAGCGCTGACGACGGGTGGGACGTCGACATCTGGCTTCACATCAATCAATATCGAGTTGTTATCGCCCCCTCGCTTGTTTCTCTTTTAGTATTTTGATCCTTGCTCCTTGACTCGGGTTTGCTACCTACTTCGTCTGTGTCTGCATTTCTTATGGACCTCCCGTGTTTGTTCACCTTGAAGTCTTACCTTTCTCGTTCATCATTCTCAGGTCAGGGACCAGTCACAATGTTGAAATGGGGTGTAATACAACCCAAAGACGCAATCCGACGCCTCCAGGGACCAATTTCCACGCATGTCCGCTGGGTTGGTGGACCGGGACCATTCCAGAACCAGATGCGCCACTGTCCTGGGTCAGCGTTGGATCAAGGGCGGGACATTGCATGCAGCTAGGCCTGTGAGGCGAGAATCGCAGGGCATTGATTGTTTCCCTGGATGACAATTGGAATTGTTGTACTTCGTACATGAGAGACTAAAAGATGTGATGATTGTAATCTCAAATCGTTAGGCCGGTGCTACTTGGCGACCTCTGTGGCACATCAAATGGAGCCTCATTGTCCCCGTGTTGTCGTTAGTTTACAAGTTTACAAGTACACTAGGGCGAGCGACAGGGGTGCCTGCAGGTTGCAACCTTCCTGGTAAGAGGAGAGGGCTCCATTGATGCCAACAACCAGCCAGCATGGCTGGCATTACTGCCACTTCACAATGGCAGTCTCTCGACTCTCGTCTGTCCGTCGAATGCTTGAAGCCTCTGTAGCACACCTTGCCCATAATACCCCTACAAAGAACGAGGACGACTGGACTGGACCAACTCTGCCTGCCTTCCCAGACTTGGAGCAGCCCAGGACCCACACCACCATCATCAATTCCAGCTTGAGACGCAACTTCCCCGAGACAGCCAGGCACTGCAGTACTTCGCAGTGTACTTCGCACTTTGCACAGGCGTCTCAACTCGCTGGCAACCGCGACCTTAATTGGGTTTGGATCTCTTAATTCCGTTGGTGTCAAAGTCAATGCTGCCCACCTCGTCTCCTTGACCTCGTCCGACTCCGTCCCATCCCAACTTCCCGACCCACCTGCATCAGCTCAAGACGGCAAAAACCCGCGGGGAAAGCAGCTAGAGAGCGCGGGAAAATACAATTTGACGTGTGCTCTTTTTACCCCCGTCCAACCCCAGGTTAAAAAGCCAGACGACAACCCAACGGGGGGAGCAAAGGATAAAACAGAGATGTAAACGAGTGGGCGTCACGAAAAGAAACGAGGGAACGGCAACGGGGCGAAGAAAAAAAAAAAAGATTCAGGGAGACCCACTCCCGGGCATTCGAGGCAGGCAGGCCCCGTTGTGCATTTCGATACGCGACTACTCCCGCTTCCTACTGCCTCTCGCGTTCCCTTTTCCCAACCCGCATAAGGCTGGCCTCTAATGAATGGAAGGGGCGTGGGTTGCTCTCCTTCAGAAGCCCCCTCCAGGTTTACCACAGAATTCGGGTTTGCAGCGTCGACACGTGCCTTTTTTTCTGCATCGCCAACGCATAACCAGCTTTGTGCGCCACCTTTCGAGAGAAAGAGAGAGACGAAACCGACCCGAACTTTCGAATTCCGTTCAGAACCCTCCGCATACGAAGTACGTCTCTGCACTATCTAGCGGGCTCCACCTCCCCCCGGCGAGGGGCATCTTTTTTTAACAACGAGAAAAGTTGCGAACGAGTACGACCAACCCATACAATAGGGAAAAGCCACCAAGAATCTTATCCTCGGATTCATACGTTCCTACATTCTCCTCTGCAGCCACCGGGCCATCTTAGCCGGCCATGGCGCCCCAGGCCTCATCGTCGGCTGAGCGCCACCTCCATGCGAATGGAAAGGCGGCCGTGGTGGTCTCGAGATCAGAAAAGCCCCCCGGTACACCACGAAGAGATAAGAGTCATGGGCGAGAGAGTTCGGCGGTGCAGGACCCGGGCCTGAAGGACTATGTGAGTTGCCGGAAAACGAAACCGCTTAGGGTCTTGCGTGGCATATGGGCTTGGAGTCGACGGAAGGACCGATATCTGTTTTCTAAACCGACCTTGGCCTTCCTCTCAACTCTAAAGCTCCCCAGCATCTATATATATATACTAACTGGATATTTCTCATGTGTAGCGTCTCGGCGAATGTCTTGGCAAGGGTGCGTTCGGGTCGGTGTATAAGGCCTTCAATTGGGGCACTGGGGAGGCAGTCGCTGTGAAGCAGGTCAAACTAGGTGACCTGCCCAAGAGTGAGCTGCGTATGATTGAGGTATAATCTGCCCGGCCCCGAACTACTCGAGGTTACGCCTTGGGCGAGCTATCTATGTGTGTGAAGCCTAGCTCTAACTGTGTTCAACAGTCCGAAATCGACTTGTTAAAGAACCTTCACGTAAGTCGAGCGCCGAAGATTAGCATGCTCTTGGAATTGTTCTGATTGAGGGCTAATCCTCTTGTGTATAGCATGACAACATTGTCAAGTATATAGGCTTCGTCAAGTCTGTCGATTGCCTTAATATCATTCTCGAGTACGACATCATCCACCCTCCAGCTCTGTTATACGCCTGTACGGGTTGCCCCTAACGATGCTGCAGATACTGTGAAAACGGCTCCCTCCACTCGATCCTCAAGGCATACGGCAAATTTCCCGAAAACTTGGTGGGCGTTTACATGACTCAGGTTCTCCAAGGCCTTCAATATCTCCATGATCAGGGTGTGATCCATAGGGATATTAAAGGCGCCAACATCCTAACGACGAAAGATGGCACTGTGAAGCTTGCAGACTTCGGTGTCTCGACTAGCACCTTGGCAGGGAATCAGGATAAGGAGGCCCAGGTGGTAGGCACGCCGTACTGGATGGCACCCGAGATTATCCAGCTTTCTGGAGCTAGTTCGGCCTCCGATATATGGAGTGTGGGGTGTACTGTGATCGAGCTACTCCAGGCTAAACCTCCATACCATAACCTCGCAGCTATGCCGGCGTTGTTTGCGATCGTCAACGATGATCATCCACCGCTTCCCGAAGGCATATCACCTGTATGTTGCTACCATCCGGGATCAACCTTAGTGAGCGAACTAACTAACTCAATGCGCTTTCCTGCAGGCTGCGAGAGACTTTCTCATGCAATGCTTCCAAAAAGACCCTAACCTGCGTGTAACGGCCCGGAAACTTCTTAGGCATGCTTGGATCGTTGGTTGCCGTCGGAGCGAACCCCAAGTCGCCAAGGCGCCATCGAACTTCAGCCAGGCAGTCGAGGAAGTGAAGCAGTGGAACAAGGCCCTCAAGTCTTCTGAAACGTCTCTCCGAGCCTCAACAGGCTCCGACGGCGCGCCTCCCATGGCTTCTGGTCAAGGAGCCTTACGGTTTAGGGAAGCTGACCCTCTTCGATCGAATCACGCTACTCCCGCGAGAGTTGCCCTGGCGAAGCCCCGTGCTCTTCCCGAAGCGTTTCGGTCCCCGGAGTTGGCGGATGACGATAACTGGGATAATGACTTTGCCACATCCATCTCGCCGAGTGCTCTGCACCTACCACACCTCAAACCCCAGGATAACTTCGGTGGCCTGTTGTCCGCCGATCGTCTGAAAGCCTTCGCATCTACGATGGATCTCAATAACTCGTCCGAGAACTACGATGACGACTTTGAAGGAGAGCTCCTGACCATCAAGGTTGCCAAGCAGTGTCATGATGATGACGCCCTGGAGAAAACGATCCGGCCGATAACCCGAAAAATCGAAAGGAGCCAAGACCCAGTAAAGTCGCATTCACGAAAGCACTCGCGGAACTTTTCGAGATCCAGTACGGCTCCTGTATCCTTGGGTGGAAGATCTCCAACAAAGCCCAACTTTGGCGGTAGCAAGATCGAGCTTCCTGCCCGACCAGACCTTGTGTACAGGGAAGAGTCTGTTGAGGACTTTTCCGACCTTCAATTTGATAATGACCACGTGTTCAGTAAAGGGCTGAACCTGGCTGTTAAGAGGGTAAGCGTGCAACCCGCCATCATGGAGAACATCGCAGAGAACTCGAAACGAACTAAGACACCTCCGTCATTCAAGGGTCCTCGGCAGAGTGATGCGCCCCAGTTGTTCCACCCGTCAGACCTTACTAGCCTACCGCGCTCTATGCAATCGCCGGCGGTGTCTGGTAGCATACGGCGGCAGATCTCATCGCGGCCGTCAGTGTTACCCGACCGATCCATGCGTAGGTCGAGGTCATCGGCTGAGATTGAACGATTTGTCGAACCGGACGATGACGAGGACTTTTCCGATATCCTGGGACCCGGCGACGAGTTAACCCCAAAGGACGAAAGCGACCACGGGTCCGAGAACGGCTTCATGTTGGCTTCGAAGTTATCGAGCAGCTCGTGGCTTGGTGATGACGATGATGAGGATGATCCGTTTGCGTCGATGGATCCTGGGTGGGATGAGCTCGATCTCAAGGCCAACATCGCACGAGATCGTCATGCGCGGCTATGCGAGAGAGTGGAGGAGCTCGTGCGTTCCTTGAAAACCACAGAGAGCGAGGATATCCTATGCGAGTTAGCCGAGGACTTGGTATGTCATTCAACCCCGTATTTTGGGTGTGAGAGTGCGAGGGATCCAAAACTGACACTTATTCTACAGCTTGTCCTTCTGTGGGAGAACCCTGAAGTCAAAGGCCTAATCATTACGGCTCATGGTCTTCTCCCAATTCTAGAAATTCTTGAGCCTTGCACCGTCAAGACTCGGCAGCATATGATCCTCCAGTTACTCAAAGTCGTGAACACAGTAAGCAGTCCAATATTACTTAGAGAGTTGATGCCGAGCATGACCGAGGCGAGCCATAACTAACTTTCCTTCAGATTATTTTGGATGATGTTGAAATTCAAGAAAATTTGTGCTTCGTTGGTGGTATTCCGATCATTACCAAGTTCGCTGCGCGGCAATACTCGAACGAGATACGTTTAGAGGCAGCAGCCTTTGTTCGACAGATGTACCAAACATCGACCCTGACGCTGCAAATGTTTGTCAGTGCCGGTGGTCTCAACGTTCTTGTGGAGTTCCTTTTTGAAGACTATGATAGCGCGAGAGACCTCGTGCTTATCGGTGTCAATGGTATCTGGAATGTGTTTGAGTTGCAGGTTCGTTCGCTTTTGGTTACTCCGTCTACATACGCGACAGACCCTCTAACCTGGTATTTTCTGAGCAGGGGCCTACTCCGAAGAACGATTTCTGTCGAATCTTCTCAAGGAGCAAGATCCTATACCCTCTGGCACTTGTTCTTCATAGGGTGCTCGATGAAGAAGACGAGAATGAGTTGTCCGAGTTAATCGAAGGCCGCATTGTCAACATCTTTTATCTGTTCTCACAAGCAGAAAACTATGTCAAGGAGGTCGTCGCAGACCGGCAAGTGCTGAAGAGTAAGATTATCGAACTTTGGAATACCCTGTCGTTTTGGAGTTGGATTTGCTGACTTCCATACCTAGGTGTTCTCAAGGACTTGCGCCGCATGACCCCTGCCCACCAGATCACGATGTTGAAGTTTATCAAAAATCTCTCCATGCTCTCGACCACCCTGGAAGTTTTACATTCCGCGGATGCGATTGACTTCTTAATCGACCTTCTCAGTTATAGTATGAAGAAGGGACACACTCACTTCCGCGAGATCTCGAATCAGGTCCTCAATACAATGTTCAATCTTTGTAGGCTCAGTAAGGAACGTCAAGAGGATGCGGCCGTTGGAGGAATCATTCCTTTGCTTCTGCGGATCATGAGGACGGAAAGGCCACCCAAGGAGTTTGTCCTGCCGATCCTTTGCGACATGGCGCATTCGGGCAGAACGGGTCGGCGGTTCTTGTGGCAGAATAAGGGACTCGATTTTTACGTGTCTCTACTAGCCGACCAGTACTGGCAAGTTACGGCACTTGATGCCATTCTGGTCTGGTAAGTGTTTATTCTCTCTGAAACCCGCCGTTGAGATGGTTTATTGACGCATAGTTCTTCCGTCTTTTAGGTTGCAAGAAGAAACGGCCAACGTCGAGAGTCATCTGCTGGAGAGCGAGTTTACCAAGACCATTCTGTCTTCCTTCAGCACGAACAGACTCAACTCGTTCGACTCTAACATCCTCGAACCGCTCCTTAAGCTGCTTCGTCTGAGCCCTTCGATTGCTGCGTCGCTCGCCACCCCAGAGATGTTTGCGGGTATCTCTCAGAGGCTCGGCCACAAGAAGCCTGTGGTCAGGTTGAACCTTTTACGTCTTGTTCGCATCATCATCGATGCGGGCGACCAAGACGTGGGTCTCGGAAATGGCTCCGGCGCTCTCAACAGCAAGCAGGTCAAGTCCTTGATGGATGCCATCCAACTCCTGGCCGAGAAGGACTCGGCCGTTTTGGTCCGAAACTTAGCGGCCGAGCTTGTAAAGCTGAAGATTGGGGCGGAGGCATTCCCCGACATGTTGGCCGCGCCTCCTGTCATTTCAAGCTCGGCAGCCGGACCGACACGGCGACCTGGCTCTGGAAACAGAAGGAATAACTCCTACACCCCGCCGAGCCTGCATGTCTCGATGTCTTTGCCGCCTACGCCTACGCAGTCCGGGTCTCGGCATCGGCCTAGTATATCGGGGTCCGGTAGCGGTGCGTATATCGAGGTGGCGGCTAGTCCTCGCCGGACACCAGCTTCGATAACCCACGAACGAGACGCGATTCTCTATCGACCCCGTAGCAGGGATGGACCGACCGGAATACCGCGGAGAGTTAGTGGCGATGCGGCCTCGGCGGCAAACATTCTCTCCAATGGAAGCGGTTCGAACACATCTATTCCCAGCAAGAGCCGGCTGCCGAGGACATCGATGGCCTATTCGAGATCGAGCATGTCGGGCGGACAGCCTCCGATTGTCACTCTGTCGGAGAGCGCGCTGTCGAACAAAGAAAACGTCAGCAGAGCCTCTAGCAGTGGCGCCTCGGGCTCGACGACAGGTTCGCCGGCCCCGATCAGCGTCATTGCCGGGAAGAGGCGGAACAGAGCACCGAGCTCTGACTCGAAGTGGTCATGACGACAAAAAGTCCAGTCAACTTTTCCCTCCTTCCTTTTTTTTTTTTTTTCTCTCTTCTTTTATTCTTATCGTCTATCTTGTGTCATTTTCTTTTTCATGCATACAAGGGCTGGACATCATGGCATACAAAAAACAGCAAAGGGGATGATATGTGATTGGACCTGCATTCTCGCGATAGAACAGCACTATTCCTTGTTTTTTTTATTTTCTTTGTCTTTTCTTTGTCTTTTTTTTTTTTTTTTCCTTTTTCCCTCGTATGCTTCATTCACGAGGATGAACATGGGTTGGTCAGTTACACACATGAGAGGGGAATGATGAGGTTTGTAAAGAGGTGATGCAGTGGAATCATGTTTATGAGGCGAGTATGAGAATGGATGGGCAAGCATATACTATGGATGAGCACCCTTTTGTCTTTCCGCACAAGGCATTTCGTGATAGAGCCTATGCGATAGGACTAGGGTGCAGGTGGTATCACGTACACTGGGAATGGATGAGCATTACTGGATGAGCATGTAGTGCTCTAGTATAAATAGAATAGGCTCCCTATGATCTTTCTGCACATTGCCTCCGCCCTAGGCGATATGTGATGGGACTTGGGTAGCATGGGCTTGGGAATATACTTATTCTTCCTGTCTTTTGAAGCAATGAGCAAGAAGATGAGCAGTAGACGGTGGGACTGACTGTCAAGATAACTGGCAGGCAATTGTGAGATGCTTTCGAGTTTTTTTCAAAGAAAGCTGTTTCACACGTTTGCTTGTCGATGGCCTCCGTCCAGCCCCATGCCCTACGAGTAAGTATATCTGCGCTCTAGGCCAATCAAACACGGCATAGAAAGTAGATCCCGTCGATGGGATGTAGAATGGAGAGAAAAAGGGGCGAAAGCGGTTTGATTTAAACGAGCGACTAACCCCTATATCCACCTCCCTTCCTCGAGAGAGGAAACGACTCCCTCGAAGGGAAAAGCATGGGTGCTTTCCCTCGTCCTTGGAAGCATCCACCTCATATAACAAAACCTTTTCAAAAATGGCACAAAATTGGATAGGAACGCCCACGAGGCAAGCCCACGATAGCGTAACAGCATTGTCGCGGTGAAAAGGTACACAAACCCGCCGACCCAGCGAGTCCTTCCCTTCATTGCCTCAGTTTCCCGATACGCCGTCCCAGCGATGGCGTAGAAGCACTTTCGCTGTCGAGATTTCCCCATCTCTTTTATTTCCTTTTATATCCCATAATTTTTCCCAAAACTTGGTCGTTTAGTAAAGACATTATTTTGTGATCTCTCTCCTCGGATGACAGCGTATGTAAACACAAATGGGGTATCATAGAAAGAAGCGATGAAGCCATGACATAGGAAAGAAAAAGAAGTGAAAAACAAGAAATGGGAGTCTTGTCCTGGAGGGGGAAATTGGATCGTAGCCGGGGACACGATGGAGGGGAGATGGAACCTTGCGGACGATAGCGCTAGGGCATTGTCGTGCTGGCAAGGTGGGAATCTCAACTTCATGGTGGCCGTGGCTAGATAAAACTTCGCCGGTGAGGACCGACAGAGAAGGGAATCCGAGTAGGTTTCTTGCATCGAAACTGAGAAGGAAAAAGGTGAATCGTAGTAAAGAGGCTCTCTAGCGGGACAAGTTGAATTGCCCCAGAGTAAAAAGAAAAGAAAAAGCGAGCATTGATCAAAATGCAAGGTTGCTAGCTCCTGAGCGCCCTCTGATTGTTGAGCATCACCCGGCACGCAGAGCCCGCGGCCTTTGGTTCCCCCATGCCCCGAGAAATCGATGAGATCAAATCACGCAAACCTCACCAATACAGAACGTGAGGAGCCCGAAGACGATGAGCCTTTTCACTTCCTGATCCAGGGAAGGCAGCCACTAAGGCCGCGCTCCTCGGCTTCTCTCTTCGCCGCTCCATCTTCAAACGAGCTCGTGTCGTCATCGCTCGGTGAAGCACCGCCACCATTCCTACTCTTCTTGGCACCGAAGATCCTCAAGAGGACCATATTGGCAAGGCTGCTGAGCAGGCTGATGCACAGGATACCGATCATGACGAGGTTACTCTTCCGGAAGCGATGAGGTCCCTTGGCGCTATCGGCAGGCCAACCAGTGTAGAGGGCATAGGTGGTGACGATACTGCCAAGGTTACCCAAGCCCGACACGAGAGCGGTGGCGGAAGCGACGCCGACCTCACCGTGGCGGCTCTGGAAGACCTCGTTGGTCCAGGCCATGCAGGTGGGCACGGTGGGGCCGAGGCCGAAGCCGACGAGGAGGAGACCGCCGTAGCGGGCCCAGGTGTTCTGGAGGGCGAAGGTGGTGGTTAGGAGGCCGGCGATTTGGATGCAGACGGCGATTGAGAAGATGATGGCGCGGCGGGAGTGGAAGCGGTCGGAGAGTGGGGTGAAGATGAGGATTGCGATTAGGTCCATCTGTTTGAGAGGTTAGTTTGCTTGAATGAGATGAATGGAGCGTGAACTGAAGCTTACGATCCAGATCGGCGCGAAGAGCAAGCTGATCTCGATGCCGGTAAAGTTCGGGTTGATGGACGCAATGATGATGCTGCCGTAGAGCTGGGTGCCAATGCCTACACCAACAACGCCGAAGTACATGAGGAGAAGGGGCCACAGGCGCCAGTCCAAGAGGACGTAACCCAAGTCCCTCAAGGTCCAGCGTTTGCCGTGGTACGCCCGGCGGAGCTCATGATAATGAACGACGGCATCTTCACCAGTGAGAGCCTCGGGGGTCGCGGGAAGCCATTTCATGATACCGGAGCGCTGCCTTGTCTCGCCGGGCGGCAGGGGCTTGTCGGGGAGCCACCAGAGGAGCAAGAAACCGACGACGATAGTCACGAGGCCGTAGAGGAGGAACATCCACCGGAAACCCGTGAGACCTCCGACGCCGTCCATGAGCTGGAAGCCGGCAGAGATGAGGCCGACGACAGCGGCAGAGACCTGAGCGGCGGTGAAGTACATGCCGATCCTTTTGCCGGTTCGCGAGGGCGGGTAGAAGGATGTGAGGTAGAGGGACATGCCGGGCCACATTCCGGCGATGACGGCGCCGAGGAGGAATCGAAGGAGTTTTGCACTCCAGGGTTTCTGGACGGCGGCGAAGCAAGACCCGACAATACCAGTTGCGATGACGATCCTGGCCATCCACGCGCGAGGACCGACCCTGGTCATGATCAAGTTACTCGGGAAATCAAAAATGATATAGGAGACGTAGAACAGCGAAAGTGTCTGGGACACATCGCTTGGGGTCATGCCGAGGACCGTGATGAGGTCGTGGCCGACGTCCTTGTTCATGGTCTGCGCGATACCAATGTTGGAGCGAATGGCACAACAGAGAAAGTAAAGAATCCAAAAAGCTAAATGTGCATCCTCTTGTTAATTGTACTCTACGAGAGCGAGAGTGGGATTGTGTGTATATACGAACCTGGGATGATACGAAGGTCGAGTTTTCTATAGATCCTCTCTACCGTCGCGGTATCATACTCTAGCTGCTGCTGCTGCCGGGGCTCACGAAACTTGCCATCGCCATCACCGTCTAAACGGGGTGACTCGGTCCCGGAGACGACGAAGTTGACGTCGGCGGCATCTTTGCCGTCGGCGCTCTTGTCTGCAACCCGCTCGGCCATACTTGGGCTATGAAGCAATGGAGACGCGTGCAACTAGTCCTTTCAGGCCGGGTCCAACAAATTTGAGACGAAAAAATTGATACAGTCTATATTTGGTCAGAGGAGGAGGAGGAACAGCAGCTGAGTGTTGATAATCCGGACGGAAGAGGTGCTGGAGGAGTTTGAAAGCGAGGTCGTTGCGATGGGTAGTTTGGGAGAGGAATTGAGACAAGATCAGAGAGGACGAGGTGCGATTTATGAAGGTCGCAGTCTTTTTTTCTTTTCTTTTAGAAGCTAACTCGTTCTGGATAATATCCATCTGATGCTGGGCTTTAGAGATACACTACACTAGTTTAGTATGAGCTGCGAGGAGCAGCTGCGGGTGGGATTGGATATTGGTCCCTATCGATCGATTGATCAGGGCCTACAGAAGCTATTCCTCCACAAGCTCGACGTCCAATGGCTCAACAATTGGACGATGGTGGGGGGCTTCTGCACCATTCCAACGTCCTAAAGAGCGTTGTGGAGAGTGGAAACTTTCCGGTCGAAGCTTAGTGCGGGCGAGATGCGGGTGAGATGCTGGTGAAGCCTGTTTCTGGTAGGTAATGATATTTGATCTTGACAGGAACCAGCATTTGATGGCACGGGCAATCGGCTCAGCTCGGATAAGAATACGCTAGACTCTTTTCCCTGGTTATTTGGTAGTGTACGGACCGGGCCCTGATGGCAATTGGAGACCCGAGGTTCCTCCAATATCAATCCATCCGCGGATGTTGGCATGCCGAGGGAGGGCGACCAGAAAACGACGAAGTACTGCGAAGTACTCGAAGTTCGGTCTTGAAAAGAAGGGGAAAAAAAACTGATGGGCTGGGATCGGGAGGCATCCCACGGGTCTAGTTGTCTGAAGCCTCAAAGGACGGAAAATTGTAGAAACTTCGGAGGAAGCCGTTGGATCATCATTAATGCATCAATGAAGCTCAAGTTGGCCATGCGGCAGGCCGAGGTGACTGCGGCTGGTTCGTTGCTCCTGTTGGAATCAAAATTGCTTCTATCAGCCTCAACGGCGAGGGTTGTCACAACCCCGCACTAACAGTTGAGAACTTGAGGGCTCCGACAGGGGCTTCCATAGGGCTCAGCCTCCCTCGCCAGGGGACCAGTTCTCGACGGTTGAGTCAATTACAGGGGCAGCGCGGGGGTGTGATGGGGGGTACTACACGGTGTGGTACAGGGGAGACCGCGAGGTCAGAACTTAAAATGAAGCGGGCGAAGCAGGATCTGAGCTAGTTTAGAATCGATCAATCACTTCAATCACTTCAATCGCTGATAATCTTGATCTCCCAGTCTCTTGTACACAGCATGTATCGTATCGATGCCCCTCTGGGCCGAGGGTTTCCGTTTCTAAACGAGGCCCGACAATTTCATGAGAGCTACTCCGGGTTTCTGATCCCGAAATCGATGTTCGAAGGCCCAAGCCGTCTTCTGTCTTCTCGATTCTTTTTCCCAAGATCCCATGCCCCAATGTCAGAATTTCAGATCGTGCATCAATCTCAATGGCATCAATGGTGTATGTGGTTGTGCGCTCAGCGGCAGTGTCTTCATGCATCAAATCAATCCTCCTTATCAAGGCTAAGTACAAGTACAAGTACCACTGCACAACCCATCAAGAAGTGTCATTTCCATCATCCATGGCCTCAGATCTGCAGGGGCACAAGCGCCCGCGGCAGGCGCCAGCGGTGGCGCTGGAAGTGGAAGCTGACTGGAAGTCTGGAAGTGGAAATCGCGGGGTGATGCTCCAATGTCTTAGCTTGATCGCCCGCGTTGCTGCCTTGTCATGATGAATGCCTCAGGAACCTCTTCTTGGTTTGCGCCTCGTTTTTCTGGATTTAACGTCAAATCCTGCATGATTGGTGAATGCGTCGAGTCGCAAAATTGATTAGCTATGCTGCCTACAGCCGTAGTCCCCAATTGCAAACTTGACTTTACGAGTAAGACGGGAGATACACTTTCTCACACTCTCTTTCCGAGATGACTCTTGCCGTTCCATCAGCCTCGACCCGTAGTGCCGGAAGGCAGCAGCATGCTCCATCCTGATCGATGAGCTTTGGCCTCATTGAGGCCGGCCATTGCAGCCGGCAGCCCACTCCGCAGCATGCCATCATTGCGGCTGATCTACCATCTTCTCATCCCCCCACGGGAACAAGGTAACAGGGTGTTGGGAACGTCCTCCTAGACCCTTTTCTCTCACCCTAGGACAGGGATTCCTACCGTGGCAGCCTAGACTCTGCATCCAGAGACCACCATCGTGTGGGTGCTCACCGGGACAAAGGGAACCTGAGCCATCACTTCCCTACGCTGAGGTAGGACATGCGCCGCTATCCCAGGACCATCCATGCAGGCCAATGGGGCCATTTGCGCCATTTGCGGTTCTCTCTTCTGATAAGGAGGCCGGCGGCAGGTTCAGATGCTACTCTCGAAGTGGTTGCAACCACTCCGCCCAAGATGAGCACCAGATGTTGGATGCTAAGACTTTGGAATCTGGAAATGGAAGACGTGTCGGGAGGGTCCGGGTTCGGTTCGCACCAACGTGCCCTTAACTTTCCTGGCTGGTCCGCACACATCCCTATCCCTGCACTTGTCACCGACAGTTCCCTGTCCTAGTCGCGGCGGAGTCTCTTGGTGCTTGCGCTCCCCCTCCTCGTGGGCCGTGTCCCCCTTCGCAGATCATCTCAGACCTCCAGGCACCCCCATAGAGTATCTTGGGTCCACGATTGTTCTAGTTTAGGAGTGATAGGCTATCTTTGCCCTAGCGCCCAGCCCTACGGAGAGCAACACCCTTGACGGTTCGACTCACCCTGGCCATCCATCCCCAGCTGCTCCTCTCGCCTTACCAAATGTGGTAGTCCTGGGTGATAATCGTTCTTGCCTAGGACCCATGGCGCACCCGGCCATCGGGTGCGTGGTGATGTTACACGTCAGAGACGGGTGCGTGTTCTGGCTGCCTATCTAACGTGGTCGTCGGTCGTCCTAGGCAACATGCCAACTGTTCTCGTTCTGCCTCATCGCTGAGGCCCTTCTTCCGTGCCTGCTGGGCCTCCTCTTTTGGTGCGCCTCACGATATCTCTTCAAGCTTGGATGGCTGCCCTACTCCCTCACTGGCTGGTTCGGAGTCCGGGATACTGATTCGTCATTCGGTCTTACCCACTCTAGGATTGGCTGGTCTCCGTCGGCTTCTAGACTGCCCAATCTTGACGGAGCACATGTTACCTGCGAGTCATCATAGTCCTTCCCAAGTTGCTAGGCCTCAAGGCAAACCGCTGGCACGGGTTGATCCACCTGGAGGACGGACTGACATGGATCAACGGTCAAGCCCAACAGCTGCTCTGCCAACAAAAATTCGGTGCTAATTTATATTCTTCGATATCAGTTGGCATAATAATAGGGCTAATTAATAGCTTTGCGTTGGCTTTTCGATGCTGGCAAAGCGTGGTCCTTTGTTTTGGCCTCGATCATTGCTCACCTATCATCAGTCCTAACGATACAGAATACGTCATTGACAAGAAAGAAAACAAAGAACTGGTTTCGCGAAACAAAAACTGACGCATGGTCCGCTGCCACCCTGTATTCCAGCACTAACGTTCCATTTCGGAGGCCTGGCTTTTTCAGCGATCGCGGCGTGGATGCCTGTGCCGGAGCTGAGCCGGCCCCGAGGCCCAGGGTCGATCCTGTGAGTTCAGCACGGTGAGTCATTACATATGTTGCAGCCAATATGCTCTTTCAGGCACTAATACTGAACTGGTCACGAGATTAATAGATGTTCTTCTTCACTTGGTGCCATGGATGGTGCCTAGTGCAGGATCCAGACCAAGAACTATATTTTAACCGCCAAGTCGACGGGCTCGAAAGTCCGTTGTCCCCGTCACATTTCCAGTTCCTGCATCTGCATCTGAGCTAATTCTGTTTATGAGCCAGGCCGACGCCGCCACCTGAGCTTGTACTTGTTTGTACCCGAGTACTTTGTACTTGTCCATCCAAGCTTGACCACTCACACACACAGCCACAACTCAGCTCAACGACCACTTCATTCCACGTGACACTCCATTTGTCATTGCTGTATTACAAAGTACCGCTTCAGCGCTCCTTCCGCCTTTATTAGCGCCAAGGAGGGTACTTCTGGCCTTGTACAACTCGATTTTATATAATAACTTGACACACGCCACCCAAACTTGACCGGAAAACACACCTTCACCTTTCCGTCGCGAAGCCAAAAGGCGCTACGAACCACTTTCCTCGACAGGCACCGACATACCTACTCGTGGTCCACGTCGACAATTCGCCACTTCGGCATAGCCCACGCGGCCAGAACCCACCATCCCCCATATTTCGCCTTCCGGCCTTGGGGCGATAAAGCTCTTTGACTCGACGAGAGTTCCTCTGAAGGAACCTTCCATCTTCTCTCTCATAAACCTTGCGACCACCTGCACGAGATTATCATGGGGACCATGTACGACTCAAGGACCTTTGTGCACGAGGCATCCTATCCGTCCATGACGGAGATGGACCACGACCACGACCACGATCGGCCTGGAGACGGCGATGGCACCGACAGATTCGGCGAGACTGATGTTTCCGAGCTTGCCAACTATAACCCGACTCCATCGTCACTTCTAGCGCCCGAACGAACATCCTTGGATGATTCCGAAGAGGCCCGATCCATCCTGCTCCAGGGCAGTTCGCGCTTAGAGCTTCCTCCGACCTCTCCTCAATCCGTGATACCTTCTTTGGCGCCCGAGTTGGCGAAGCTTACCACCGACCCGGGAGCTTCTGTCGCGCCAGGCCTTGCGCACGACATCGCGACTCAGCTTGCGCCTGCCCTCGGTTCTGCGACCTTGCCCCCCTCGACACCGACAATGACCGCCATGATTGATACAAGGACGAGGTCGATTGTGTCTTCACGTACCAAGTCGAATCCGGCCGCTGCTGCGCGCTTGAAGCTTATTGCAAAGCCCGATCGTGAAGTGACCAAAGGGCCTGGAGGCAGGTTCTATTGCACTGTGGAAGGATGTACGGAAGTTCCAGATGGCTTCAAGCGTCGCTGTGAGTGGAAGTAAGTCAATGCCCCATTTTCCTTTTTCATTTTCTATGCAGTTCTTGTTCTTGTTTTCTTGGTGCTAACAGATTCTTTGCTAGCAAACACATGGATAAGCACGAAAGACCATATCGATGCGAGCACGACAGCTGCGAGAAATTGCCCGGATTCACTTATTCAGGTGGCTTAGTACGTCACGAAAGAGAGGTCCATGGGAAACATGGCGGACCGAAGAAAACTCTCAAATGCCCTTACCATAATTGCAAGCGATACAGTGGCAAAGGCTTCTCGAGACAGGAAAACTTGAACGAGCATCTGCGCCGAGTCCACACCGACGCCACCTCCCCTCCCGAAGACGGCCATCCGATTACCAGCGATAATGACAGTGAGCGTGGCCAGAAGCGGAAGCGACTGTTCAGCGACTCGGCGGACAAGGGTGACGAGGACATGAACTTGCTCGATGTGGTGAAGCGTCTACGCCAAGAGAACCAAGAATTGCGGGAGGCTCTGCAACAGCAGCGCGAAACGCAAATCACGATGGTGGCTCAGATTGCCGATCTGCAAGGCGCGTTGCAGCTTAACGGGGCAAATATGAGCACCTCTGGCTAGAGCTAGAGAGCTTGATTCATGTTCTCTACACTCCGCCACTTTTGATTGCTGATCCGCCAGGCCCGGAGTGAGAGGGGAGAGCTTGGCTTTGCATGCTTCCCCGCCCTTTCTTCTTTTCCTTGTCGTTGGCACACTTCTCCCCGCTATTCGAATTCGTTCTTCGACTCATATCGCCTCATTCTGTATTAAACTATACCATGCCACGCGTTTACGACTAAACCGATTCACAACCGCCACACGCCTTCATCTTTTTCGTCTTGTTTTCTTTTTCTTCTTCTTTTCCGCGTTAGACCGGGCTCGGGGGCTGCTAGTTCATCACAAGACCACTGGACGCACCAAACCACGATACCCAATGTCCATTTTCATTTGTCCTTCCTCGCCGATTCACTATACCCACCTCCGAGAACGAAACGTCACGCTAATAGACTGCACACACACTCCCCGGCGCACATTTCATCAAACCTTGGGCATTAGGGCGTTTCTCCCGCACTGCCACCTCCGCTCCTCTCTCTTCTACACTGTTTCTTAACGGCCATGATTATGACGAGTCTCTTTTGTTTTACGTTATCCTTGTCTTTCCGCACACCCCTTACAGTTGATTTTCACTCCCCTATGTCTTTTTTTGCTAATGATGACGGCGGGGTGTCAATTTCTGACAATGGAGTTATTCGGGAACGGCTTTTTACTTTTCAAATGTTGTTTCACGCTTGGAACGCTCTCCTTTGTCCATGTAATCTAGTGTATGATAAGTGTTACGATTACCAGACATTGGCGAATGGGAATAGTTATAGTATCGAAGGGAAATAAACTTTTGTTTGCAACCATATACTTTCTCCGTCTTTCTCAAGGGCACAACCACTTGTGCTTCGACTGATTCCAGCACAAAACGGTCATGGTGGTAGTTGCATTGTGAGCTTTTGATTATGTAAACGTAATGGGACTCGGAATATTGATACATACACGCCACTGGCGTCTTTTACGGTTGATGACGACTCTTCTTCGTACAAGCTAGAAATGAGTGACGTACCTATCCGAGCTGCGCCTGCCGTTTGGTTTACGAGATGTTGCTCACTAACGACGAAGGGAGGTTTTAGAAAATAACCACAACGCCAGCTCGAGCTGTCTCATTCAGCTCGTTGTGTTCCCCATCTCAGCTCTTCGTAAGCCCGCAACCGCGCCTCAGGATAAGAAAGGAAAAAGAGGCAAAAAAAAACGAGGCAGCCTATAGGAATCTGCGGAGAGGGTGATCTTCTACAGGGGTTACAGGATATTAAGGTTTTATTCTCGCTAAGTAGGGCCGTTGTGTAAGTCCTACTTGAATTTAAGGATCCATGCACAAGTGCCTTTGAATACCATCCGTCATCTCAATCAGCACGGGATAATATTAGAGTCCGGGGGCTTCGGGAACCTTGGGAATCAGACGGGATCCGTTTGCATACATGGCTTACAAAACACTCAGATGAGAGTGGCTGATGCTTGTGTGGAGGAAAAAGACTGATGGATAAAATTTGGAGATAGAATAGAATAAAAAAAAAAAAAAGAGGTCCAAGTGTTTCCATAGAGAGAAAACGAGCCGGAGAGCGGGAGTGGCGGAAAAGAACGCGGGAGGACAAGCCGCCACTCTCTGTTCGGTTAGGGAAGAGGCCCAGGACTCCAGGACTTTCGGCGTCAGCCAGATGCAGAAATAGAACTGTGCACTCACTATGAGCCTTCGAGACCGCTTCGCGAATACGATGAGAGCCCTAGCAGATGCACTAGAAGCATTCGCCGATGATGATGAAGGTGTCAAGGTGTGTGGGGTGCCAAGCGTTCCGCTTCCGCTTTTTTTGATTCTCGTCCTCATCCTCATGTGCACCTTCACGTTGAGTTGTGGCCTTTCCCTTCACGCATAAACATGTTGGCTACTGAGTATTCCACGCGATCCTTATCCTTCTTGACGTTCTACTAAGAAGGGTGTGTGTATGGCCCGGAGGAACCAAACAAACATCCCGTAACAAAAAACCCTTTTCCTGCTGCCTGCTCGCCTCGTCCACACTTCCGCATCCTCCCCCCAAACCCCCTTTTCTTCCATCCCCCCTTTCCTCACTTCCTACACATTTCCCCCCCTCACTTGACAAATAGATCTCGAGCTCGAGACTCCCAAAGTGGTGTGTATTTTTCGTTGGCAAGCCGGAAGGCTCGGCTATGGGAGTCCAGGCGACCCGAGAACGGATTACAAACACTCATTGACTTGGCTGCGAGGATTTTTTTTTCGTTTTGCTTCCCCCATCCTCTCTCACCCGCGGAGGTAGTTTTTGCTTGGCATAACGAAGCCGTAAACCTTAGAATAAGGAAGCCTGGGGAGTTTAAGTCGCTGCTAAAGGCTAAGTTCGCGCCCTTCTTAGCGCCTCCCCCCATCATGTGTGCGATTGCGCTGCTCGTAAAAGTTCGCGCGGCGTCGTGGCGCAGTTGCGTGGGGTGGGAAAGAGGACGTTGAAAACCTGACGACACCATTTTAGGTGCGGTCAGACGTTGCATGGGCCGATGTCTCTCTCTCTCACCAGGATTTCGTTTTGCTTGCAAAATGGCCGCCGTTTTGTGGGGATGCAGGGAAAAAGAAAAAGAGATAAACCATGGTCACTTATTCTTCAGTCGAACCCGCCGCCAACTTGGCTCTGGAACGCAGTGCTGACACTCTTCTCGTCGTCATCGATGCGCCTGGGGAACCTGTTGCCCGGTGCCATGCGGCCGTCGCTCTCGACGTAGCGCTTGAATCGATCCTTCTGGGCGCTGGAGGTGTGTGGGATGTTACGCGCGGCCTCGTGGAGACCAGCACCGAGACTGACCCCACCTTGCCCGACGCCCTTGGCTCCAATAACGCTCGCCGTAGCGTCCGTTAGTTCTGAGTTCGCAACGCTCTCGCCTGCAATGCTCTCCGTTGCACGGCCGCTCTTGCGTCCACCGGACCTGGTAGCTGTAGGCACGCCTGGCAGGCCTGGCCACTGCTCTGGCGTGAAGCTGGAAAAGATGTTGGCGAATGCGGGGCCGAGTGCAGCGCCGCCTAGTGCAGAGCCGTGGATGGAGGATGCGTCATCAGGAATGTAGGACAGCATCGATCCCGCATCGAAGTCGCGCACGGAATGCGCCGGGCCATGCTGATGACGACCGTTGGGATATCCCTGAGGGTTGTACTGCTGCTGAGGATTGGGACGGGGTCGCGATGGTTTGGGCCGAGGGAACTGGATCAGAGACGTCTGCAGGTTGGTCAGGGGACCTTCGACAAGGCACTTGTGATCCTTGTAGTGCACGAGGAGGTTGTGCCAGAGTTCGTGCTTTGCCAACACCTTAGGGTTGCCGAGGATGACCAGGCCGTACTTGGCTCGGGTCAAAGCGACGTTGAGACGACGCGGGTCCGACAAGAAACCAATGCCCTGGTTGTCATTGGATCGTACACAAGACAGTACAATGTAGTCCTTCTCTCGTCCCTGGAAGGCATCCACGCTGGCGACTTCGACCTCCTTGTAGGCTTCCTTCTTGAAGGTACCCGTGTTCTGCATGGTGCTGACGACCCAGCTTCTCTGGCCTTCGTATGGGGTAATAACGCCAATATCGATGGGCTTGACGCCGGCCTTGAAGAATCGAGTGACAATCTTCTCAACGTTGGAGGCCTCGGTTCTGTTGAGATAAGAGGTGCCAGATGCGGAAATTTCTTCGCTGCCGTAGTTGGCCCAGAACATCATCGGGGTCTCGGCTACAGGCCAGGGGAAGTCGACGTCTTTGCGGAGACGCTGCTCGTAAGTAACACCATTCTGAAGCTGGCCGTCGTAGAACATATTCGAAGGGAACTCGGACAGGCACGGATGCATTCGGTACTGGATATTCAACCGGATTGGCGGCATGCCCAGATTAACAAGTCGTTCGAACAATGACTGGTTGAGGCCAGCCTTTGCGGCCTTCTTGTTCATGATGACGGGTCCCAACTGCTTGTGATCACCAACAAGAACAACCTGCTTACATCCGAGAACAAGGGGAATTAGGCACTCTGGTTCAGCGGACTGAGTCGACTCGTCGATAAGGACGTTTCGGAACTTCATCTTGGCCAAGCGAGGGTCCCCGGCACCAACGCAGGTACAGCAGACGACATCGGCATTGTTGAGAATCTCCTTCTCCGCCTGCTTGGTAAGTTGGCGGAACTTCTTCTCATCCGTGACGGACAATTCTCCTTGGTCCGCCTTGAGCTGATTCAACTTGACAAAGTTGGGGTTCGTATCGTTCATCCGAACCTGCTCGTGCAACGCTAGGAAGCTGACGGAAGACTCAACATCCTCGCGCGATTTGGCCGTCAGTCGAACGACCTTGAGGTTGGTGCGGTGAATGCGTTCGCAAAGCTGGTCAACGGCAACGTTGGAGGGAGCACAGACAAGCACCTGGCCACCCGTCATCTTGACAAGGTGATAGATGATGGTGGCCGATGTGACGGTCTTTCCGGTTCCGGGCGGCCCCTGAATCAGACTGAGCGGTCGCTGCAAGACGGCTCGAACAGCCTCGCTCTGGCTCTGGTTGAGATCGGGCAGGTGGGGGGCGTTCATTCGCTTGGGGAGGTTCACTCGGCCCATGTCCTTAACTTGGACCTCGTGACCAAGAAGCTTGTGGAAAATATAGCCCGACACGCTCTGTTCTTCGACTGCAAATGTCTTCATGGCAAGCTGCATTCGGTCATACGAAGTGGCCTTCCACACATAATCGGCTGAGAAGTTAACCGTACACCCCGTAGGCGGAGTTGGGTCGTTCGCGGTCCTTCGCAGTTCTAAGGTCACTTGGTCTGACTGATTGTTAGGAATTTTGATGACGTAGCCGACGCCCTCCCATGGCGCCTGAAGGTCGCCCTTGTAGCGCAGTCGCATCTCGTCACCAACGGCAAGCTTGACATCTCCAGACTCGATTTTTCGCAACTCGAAGCTAGCCAGATCTCGCTCGTTGAGACCCTTGGCCCACACGACCTTGAGCCCATCCTCGGACTGCGCTTCCTTCAGCTTTTTGTCGTAGTCAGATTCCATCTTGACGAGCGGGCCGAAGGTGTTCTGGTAATGGTAGGGATCTTCGTATCGAAGGAGGACAGGCTGCGGATCGTCCTCGACGCTGAGATTGGCTACGAGCGTAGGGATGGTTGCGTCCGGGTTGTCCTTCCAGGCTTCTTCCAGCTTTGCCATCATCGTCGGTGTCAAGTGGCGTGCGCGCAACTGCTCGGCATCGGAAGGAAGCGCCACCAACCAGCTGAGAAAGGCGCGCTCCTCGATGAGGGGTTGCCAACGGGAGACATCCCAGCTTATGTCTTTATTCGAGGACGTAGCAGCACAAGGCTGTCGGCAGAGGAGGACTACCACAGAATCGGATTTAGCGGGGATGAAGCCCAAGAGAAAGACGTTTTTAGTTCCGCAGTTGTAGCATTCGAGGGTGGTATCTCCAAGGGCAGAGTCGGGGTGAAGCTGAACTTCCTTGTGGCGCGCGCGGACAAGATGGTTGATGATGTGAGAAGCAGCACCGCTACCACGGGCGCTGCAGAACCATTTATTGCAGGTGAGGCACTTGACGACGGAGGCCGGGGAGTGGATGCCGCAGTACCTAATAGAGGCGGGGATGGGTTAGCCAAATCCTAACAGGAGGAGAAACCCGCAAGGGTTACAGGAGGGGCGAGGTATAGACATACGCGCAAGCATGCTCGGGGAGGCTATGTTCATCTTCGGGCCCAAGGTGCAGGGCTCTCATGCCATCGACGGGGGCGCTTGTCAAGCTGTCGATGTCATCGTCGTCATAGAGCTCTGTCTGGTTATCCTCATCATCGTCTCGACGACGGCCAGGGCGAGCTCCATGTTTGTGGTATAGCAGGGCGTCGTTCGGGTCCAAGGTCGACAGGTTGTCGCCGCCGGCCTTGATCGTGGCAGCCGAGTCAGATATGAGGTGGTTGCCGAGATGGGTGAATGCGCCCTCCATTGTGTCGAAATCACCGAGTGGATGGTGGAAAGGGTGTCGAAACTGGATGTCCCGGACGGCAATGTGAAAGAGTTGGCTATTGCGCTACCTCTCAAGAGGCAGGCTTGGTCAGAATGCAACGGGGGGATCTGAGGAGGTGGCGGGATTCTATTGCGAACAAAGGGACCCCGCGGTTCTCTAGCTGACCACAGCGTTTTCCTTCTCGTCCCGTAGGAAAGAAGGAAGAGGGCTCAAGTAAGCTTTCTTCCTACTCTGAGAGTAAGAAAATCTTCTCCCCTAGCTTAGCGGAAGGGGAGAGCGACGTTGAAGTATGCGTCTGCGGTTTGTTGGTATAGAAAAGGAAACCAGGGTCCACAACAGATCACATTCTCGCGACTTTTGCTTGTTAGATCCCCACTCTAGGGAGGACGTAGCCGGATTTGACTGGAATGTATCAGGGACCGCTCGCCTGTTGTAGCGGTATGGGGAATACGTTGAAAATCTGTTGTTTGTCCCAGAGCGGGCTGCGTTCGGTTCTGGGATGGGAGGTGGCAGACAGCACAAAAAGTAGAGAATTTTGAGTGCAGCACTTTCGTCCTTGACCTGCACACTAATACGCTGGGGAAACCAGTCGAGGCGAGAATCAATATTTTGTCAGTGAAGGCCCCGGAAGTTTTAGTGGCCAAAGAGTGGGAGTGGGTGGGTTAATGTAGAGGTACATAACAACATTGAATTTCCACATAATTGCAGGGCTGTACCTGTCTTGACAGTGAGTGGTGGCGAGGTACATCGCCGTACATTTGTACCGGAACTGCGGCAAAGGGCTGCTAACAGCCGAACCCCACATGAGTCATGGTTTATTCTCGGCTGAACCGATAAGATATAAGAGCCTTATCGATAAGCGCAACTCGTCAAAAATTTGGTGGAGGGGAGCGAAATGTACTTCATACTTGATGTGGACATCGTCAATATAATTTTTCGATCTAAATCGAGCTACCCAGGACGTCAGTTTTCCTCAGCAAAATAACTGATTGACCTCGTAGAAAAAAACATACTCACGATGATTGTAGGCCTTCTTCTTTTTTATGAAACCCATCATATCGCTCATATCACTAACTTCAGTTCAACAGCGAAAACAAGCCCGCCAAAGGCGTGACTACCTCTACAGGAGGGCCCTCATCCTCAAAGAGGCAGAAATCAGCGAGAAGCGCGCAAAACTGCGAACCGCCATAGCCGCCGGTCGATCCATTGACTCCTCCATTGCTCAAGATAAAGCCCTACGGAAAGACTTTCAATATGACGAATCGAGACAAGACCTCGACGCCAATGAGATGGCCGACCTCGATGACGAGTACCACCTGTCGGGGATTCAAGACCCCAGGATATTAGTGACGACCTCCCGTGACCCTTCCAGCCGACTTGCCACTTTCTCCAAGGAAATCAGGTTACTCTTCCCCACGTCGATCCGACTCAATCGTGGAAACCTCATTCTCCCGGACCTGGTCAGGTCATCCCAAGGCGCCGGCCTCACCGATATGATCCTCCTCCACGAGCACAGAGGTACTCCGACGGCCGTAACAGTCAGCCATTTCCCACACGGTCCCACTGCTTCCTTCTCCCTGCATAATGTCGTGCTTCGTGGAGATATTCCCGGCAGTTTGCGTGGCACGGTCAGCGAGCAATATCCTCGTCTCATTTTCGACGGCTTCACAACCCGGCTTGGTCAGCGAGTTGTCAAGATATTAAAAAACTTGTTCCCTCCGAGGGACCCGCTCACCAACAAATCGAAGATAGGCAGCCGCGTTGTAACGTTCAAGGTTCGTAATGTTTTCTCTTCTGTTAGATGGATGTTGGAATCTAACGGCAGTTGAAATAGAATATCGAGGATAGCATAGAAGTCAGGCACCACGTCTTCGTCAAAACTTCGTACGACAGCGTAGAGCTTGCTGAGGTCGGCCCTCGAATGACGATGAGGCTCTTCGAGATCCGAGCCGGCACCTTAGAGAACAAGGACGGCGATGTTGAATGGCATCTATCGCAGTACACGAGGACGGCAAAGAAGAAGGACTATCTCTAAGCTGACCAGGAAAACTCGCTTAGAAAAGAAGATAGCGCACTTGGATTTCTTTGAAGCATAGCGCAAGGAGGACGCCTCCCTCCAAGCTATCGTGGCATTCGGAGTCGGCGAGTGCGGCGCAATACAGGACAGCAGCTTCGAGCAAAAAGCCCTGGAAAAGGAGTTCTAGGAGAACCATTTCTTCAACCAGACTCTACAGGCCAAACCTTTGAACGACTTGGTCTACATCATGAGGAAGCATATGATATTTTGTGCTACCTCTGATTTGTTTATATATATATACCCCTTCAATTCCTCTGACGGCAATTCAGGTGGGGCGAAGAGAAAGCAGACAGACACAGTTCTACGACAGGAAGAGGGTATCTGCTGAGATATGAGACCAGAGACCGTTGGGCAGGAGAAATATGGATTAAGAGTTAGACTTGCATCACCTTGTACATAGCTAGGAAGAAAGAATACCGAAGAAGATCACGATCTGAACCGAGACGTACCCGCTCTGACGGAAGGCTTCCTCAGACCCATCCTGGCAGATGACTCTCAAGGCTCTATCTCCATGTACAGTTAAACACAATGACTTCAAACCTCAGTCGCTGGAACTCAGTCACTGGAACTCGGAAAACATTACCAGAAGACGAAGAAAAAGTTTTTCACATTCCCCTGAATCTACTCGTACAATTTTTATTACTCTCCCCTTCCTTCAACAAGCAAGAAAACGAAAGAGCGAGGTATTAATATGTACAAAAAGACACACAAGTAGCCGGCCACCAAGACAAAAATCGGGAAAAGTTTCTCCCTCATTCTTGGTGTTGCCTACTTTTTTTCTTCTTCTTCTTCTTCTTCTGTCGCGAACGTTTCCATGACGTTTCCATGATTTGTTAATTCCCTTCCAAATGCAGCCGGTCTACAAGACGCCCACCTTTTGGCCGGCCAACGTGCATTCATATCCCTTCTCGTGTGTTGTTTTGTTTTGTTCAGAATGCCCCTTATCTAGTGAAACTGCTGCGACATAGACGGCCACCTGGAAAGTTAAAGAAGAACAAGGAAAGGAGAGTAAAAAAAAAATAAAGAGGAAGAAGTCCGTCAAAGAGCTAATCGCGACTAGCTCCAAAATATCGTCGACATGGATCAAAATTACACGAGATTCGCCGATCTCACCTTGCTCACCAGCTCGGGGTACTCTTCTTGGATCTTGAGCTGGCAGGCAGTCGCCTCGCTGTACGAGAGAGCATTGATCATCTCAAACTCGGTGCGCGCGAGGTCCGCGGCGCGCCTGAAGTAGGTGAGAGCCTCAGCAATGTTGCCCCTCTGGAGGAGAAGCTGAGCCATGGTGGCAACGGCGATATCGCACTCAGGATCGACTAAAAGCATCCGGGTCAGCTCGTGCTCTAAGTTTTATATCACGGGATTGGAAAATTCCACTTACTCTCGAGAGCCTTTTGGCAAAGCTTCTCAGCCTCGGCGCTATCTTGCTTCATCTGGAAGATGGCAAGAGACTTGTTGACGAGGGGAAGGACATTCATCGATCCCGGGTTGTTCTTGCTCTCAAGTTCTACAGCAGTCTCGAACTTCTCAATGGCCTCGTTCACCTGACCCATATCGAGGAGCAACTCTCCGTAGTAGTTGTAGACATCGGGGCACTTGGGGAAGTTCTTCACCGTGCGTCGGAAGGTGGCAAGAGACGAGGCCATGGAGCCCATCTTGTACTGGGTTACACCAAGCTGGATGTGGGAGAAGATGAAGTCACGATCGAGGTCCATGGACATCTGGTAATCCTTAGCAGCCTCGGCGAACTCGCCCTTGATAAAGTGGAGCTGCGCCCGGTGGTAGTAGATATCGGGATCCTTGTCGTTCGCGGCGAGGGCAGTAGTGAAGTCCTCGAAAGCCTTGTCGGCATCACCTATGACTTTGTGTTAGCAAAAAAAAGATTCAAATCTGCTATTAGATTTCTGGCGTACCCTGCTCAAGACGCATGCTAGCGAGCTTGATGTGAGACTGAGTCATGGAAGGATCAAGCTCAATCGACTTGGTCAGATCGGCCATGGCCTCCTCGTGGGCGCCGAGGAGACAGCGGAAAGTTCCTCGCATGTTGTAGGCGAGGCCCTCAAATTCGCCAAGGTCGCCCAACTCGATGGCCTTGTCGAAGGCTTGCCTCGCCTCCTCGTATCCCGTGCTCGTCTTCTTCTCAAGCGCCTGGAGGCCGAGTCGCAACTGCTCCTTTCCAGAGCCGGCGGGCAACTCGTCAGAGTCCTCCAGACCAGCGGGCCTCGGCTTGGCGCGGAAGCTCACGAAGTAGTTGTTGACGAAGGTGTGGCTGGGAAGGGTCTGCTTTCGGTCGGCCATGCGCTTCTGAGCCTCCTCTGTAGCTACCACCTTAAGCAGCTTCTCAACAGCGTTCGCCGCAGATTGGTTCTGGAAGTTGTCGATGATGCAGGCAAGCGTATAGCCGACTAGGGCGTCGCGATACATCTTGAGCTCCTCGTAAGCCTTGGCGCGGCGGTTAATAGCCTTAAGGTACACGCGGTCGATGCTTAGAGCAGTCGTCGTATCGTCGACAACTTTCTGCCACTCAGATAGGGCACTGTAGCAAGCCGCACGGTTGGAGTAGTAGATGGGGTCCTTCTTGCATAGGATCGCCTGCGAGTACAAGTCGATAGCCTTGTTGTAGGCCTTGTCGCCGTAAGCCTTGTTTCCGGCTCGCTTCAGTCGGTCGGCATATTCGTTGCGCTGGTCTGTCGTGAGATTGGCTACGGACTCCTCCGTGATGGTAGGAAGCTCATCCTCAGCCTCGACGGCAGCCGGCTTCGGTTGCTCCTTCGCCTTCTCCTTAGACTCAGGCTGGGCGGCGACATTGTTTTGTGACTCGGCAGCCTTTCGTTCGGCTTCTTTCCTCTTGCGACGTTCCTTCTTTGAAAGTCGTGGTGTTTGGGGTTCGGCCTAGATGAAATCGCGAGCGAAAAATGGTTAGACGACCCAAACTTGTATCGGAAGATCATGCCCTCGAAAAGCAAGGCAAACGAGACAGCTTGTTGAACGTAAACAACTCACAGGAGTGTTGAGATAATAGACGACACCGGCACCAGTGAAAACGACAGCCACGCCAGCAATTGTGTAGACAACAGCCTTATTCTCGGATACCCACGTCGATATGCGTTCCCAAAGACTGGAGGACTGGTCGACTGGGATGGCGACGGCCGGGGGGCCGGGAGGAATTGAGGGACGGGGGTTGGACATCGTGGGTATTTTAAATAGGAGACTTCAGATATCAGAAGTCCTCTAACAGTCGTCAAAGAAAGAAGGAATGGAAAGGAAGCACGGAAAGACAAACAACCTCAATGGGCTCGGAAGATGGGGATGGTGTGGTGAGGATAAATTTTCCTGCGATAAAATCGTCAGAAAATCGTGACGCGAGTACTTCGTAGTTTCCGTCAGCCGAGCTTCAGAGCAGCAAAAAAAAGCTCCAAGAATTACCATTGATTACAACTGCCCAGCCAAGACAATTGGACTAAGGAAGACACACAATGGACCAGGTTCGGGATTTTTAGCGGCTCAGCCCACCAATGCATATCGTTTACAGTAACATCAGAGGGTCTCGCCACTGATTGCACAGACAGATTGATTACTAAGAGGGATTGTCCGAAGACTCCTTCCTCATTGGCCAATCACAATGCCATGATTTCCTGTGCCTGTGCAGATCTCAAAAGTGTGCAGCATGAGTAGGATAAGGAGATTCTTGATCTCTGTAAAGAAAGAGGCATGAGTGAAATAGAGACTTGTCCTAGGAAGCTAAGGGTCTGAGATGCTGCTTGTTTATCTTAGAGCTTGCTTGCTTGCCCCGAGCTAGACCTTGACCCGAAGACCAGCAATGTAACAGAGAAAGGCATATATTGATCTAAGGGTAGGTAAGAGCAGGGGAAACTTCGAGTGGCCGACTCCCGATCTCGATGCTATTCTATACACTATATTATATGCCTTGATCAGAACAAGGATGTGCTTCTTGGAGCGGAGAAGGAAAGCCTCGACTAGATCTTCCGCACTGACGCCCATTCGACACATAGCGGTCGTAGTCTCATGAGCTCTTTCTGGCGTCGAATTTTGCGAGGATGAAGCCTTTCGCACCATTGCTCAACCATACCAGCTCCCCATCAACGATCGAACTAGCCTGAACTACTTCCTCAACAGCATATCCCCTTCAAAAGAAACAACGTTAGCAAATCCCATTCCAACCAAGGCAAAAACGCCCTAGGAATTCAAAAGCCTACCTCTCCAAAGTCCACCTCCTCGTCGTCCCATCCTGCCCACCACTATCCCCTTCCAACCCCCACCTCTCCCTAACCGGCGGCGTAACCCACCTCCCTCCCCTCCAGAAATACGGCGTCACCGTACTCCCCTCCATGACAGCCCCATCCTCCGCCGCCAGCAAAACCTCCTTCGGATCCCCAAGTTTAATCCCCGCCCTCTCCCTCGCCCCATTATACATCTCCCTCCTCGTCGTCTTGTAATGCGTATACTCCGACTTGACCGTCCTCACATCATCCAGCACCACCGTGTACGTCGGAGTCCGTCCCGCAAGTTCCTCAGGCGCCGCTAATCCGGAGGGGTACAAATCCTCCAGCGTCTTCTCTGTCTCGGCGCCAAGCCCCACACTTAAATCGCCTTCCTCGTTCACAACGACTCGTACGCGGAGCGGCTCCTCGTCCTTGCCCTCGGCCGTGACGCCCTGTAGAATTACCGTCTCTAGCCGCGCGAGTCCCGCGTCGCCGGAGAGCGTAGCCGTCGCGGCGTCCCAGTGCCAGTACGTAGACGCGCGGAGCATCCGGTCGCGGTGGAAGTCGAGCATGTAGCAGGGCGATGCGCGGCGGTAGTTCCAGCCGGCGTGGGTGAAGGCCGGGTTGTTGTGGAGCGATTCGAGCTTCACATCGTAGCGGAGTGTTGTGAAGAGGTTGAACGGAGGTTCCATGGTCTCGGACACCTTTGGAGGTGTGTTTAGACTGCGAGCTGTTTTTATGTAAATGAAAAAGGCGAGCACGAAGTTCGAGAGCTTGCGCAAAATATGAGAAGCAGCTCGATAGCTTGGGGAATGAAGGAGGGGAAATCCCAATGCTGCGCTTTTCTAAAAATTAAGTATGCAGTTCCTTCCCCACGCCAACATGCGACTACCTGGATCGATCTGGTGATGACTCAAGGGAGACGTAATACGAATACATGCAATAAGATGCGGACGAGAGTTTCACCGCATTTTCAATGGATCAAATAGTTCTGTTCCTGGCCGTCGACTGATATTTGATGAGAATGGCCTGCCAGCATTTGCCAATTGTCGAATCGTCGCAAGCCGTTGGGGTGACAAGCATCATCATCGTCATTACCATCTTTATCATGAAATCTGGGTATAATTACAATGCACCCTGTACTACGCCGTACATACAATGACCCTTCCTTGAAAACAATATGGCCGAAACCGAATAAACGCCCCTCATAAGATGCTACATATAGTTCTCTAAGCGAAGAGGGAAGAAAAGAAAGTCCTATCCTCTATTTGCTGCTTCACCTCTCTGAACCCTGAGCTCGGGCTTCGGTCGCCTAAATGGATGAGCTTCAGTGTTGAAGATATAATCGTCCAGGCTGATGACATCGGGTGGGGAGAAGATGAGGTAAAAGTACTTGAGGGTTTCCGAGAACCAGAAACTCTAGAAGACATCAAGTCCAATTAGTACTTACGGCCCCAGAGAGTTAGCAAACTTTAAGAGTGAAACCTTACCTCCATCGAGTCAAGCTTCCTCGTCGTCCCGGTTGCCTTGACATCCGCAATGGCGGAGTTCGCAAGCGGCGTCTCGGTAGCAGCTTCGATCGCCTTGAACATCTTCCACGCGATATCGAGATACTCCTCCTTTCCCGTAATGCGGTAGGCGTAAAAAATGCTCTCAATCGCCTCCGGCCGTAGTATGTATCGAGAGTCCTTGACCCACGTGAAGCCCTCGGGCAGGTTGTCGTCACGATCCAAGGCATCTTCCGTATCCTTCTCATCGTCAAACTCGCATGGCCCAAGATTCTTCGTCTTGCATGGCTTCATCTGGAAGCGCTCCGGCATCAGCCCGGTGGGAAAGCTTTCGTACGCCCACGCACATCCCCGAGTGAGCTGCTCGCCGCAATCGAGGTAGTCATCTCGAGAGAATAACTTGCCAGCCAGACTAAACATGCCGCCGGTGAAGCATGTTAAGTGTTCGCCCTCGGCAGTAAGGTCCCGCTCCGAATCATTGCGGAAGGGAACGACAACGCGACCAGAGAATAGAACTGGAGGAGAATTCCTCACCATCGGTCGGAAGAGGAGATTGTCCTTCGCAGTATCCAGAGATGCGATCGCCATTTCCTTGTACGCCGGGTCCAAGCCACCCAAAAGCATGTGCATCTTTGGAAGATATTCGTAAAGGGAATCCGCACGGCCGCCAAGCGTGAAGTATCGACTGGTTGCTTTCTCACTTCGGAAATTGATCTCAATCGGCCACATTCCAGGCAGAACGGTCTGGTTCTGCGTCTTCTGCAAGACGTCCTTGACCCTATCGATGGCATCAAAGTACTTGTCGTTCCCCGTAATTTGAGAGAGCCTCGTAAATTCCATCGATAGAGTGCCGACTGCAGCAGATGCTTCGCTTTCGCCAGCCGTCTGCGAGCCCTTAAGCGCATGGTTGAAATTTAGCCAGAAAGGAGGCATGCGATTCGGTGTGTCAAATGCCATGTAGAGCATGTCGCCCAATTCTATCGCCTTGGCTAGTAGCGCAGGGTGGTAGCTCAGGTCATAGGCGCTCAGCAGGCCCCCGAGATGTCGGATAGTCGTCTCGAACACGTTTAGACTAGAATCGCGAGTCTTCGACCAGTCGATCCTTGCTATCGCATGAGTAGCCTCCGTGAACTCGTGGTTGAGCCCCATGATCCACAGTGTATCGAGAGCGTCCACGGCTGTAGCCGCCCATCCTCCAAAGGTGGTCTTAGGCGTCCCAGACACGGGAGCAAGCTCGTCTGACATCCATGCCAGCTTCCTATACGACTTCCACCCCCTCAAAAAGGTAGCGCGCACCTTTTCCCGTCTCGCTTCGAGCTCATCTTTCGAAATACCGGTCGGACCGCCGGTCGTGAAAACATGCTGCACGCGAGGCAGGTCGTGAGGGTCTCCGGTCGGGAGGGACCTGATCGAGTCTACGGGGTTCGCCTGACGGACGGTGGCCCAGTCAATGCCCGATCGAAGAACTTGTACGCCGGCGAGGGAGTAGGTCTCTTCGTTGAATGTTAGCAACGTCCGGCCGGTGAAGTAAAGAATAACGGCCGCGATGAGAAAGAGAAGGCGGGACCGCCGGAGCAGAATCGCCATCTTGCTTCTACAGGGCACGCCGGAAACTGGCGGCTCAATTCGACTGCCGAGAATTGATTGCCCTTTGTGTAACGCCTCGGTTTGGCAAAAAGATGGCCATGAGGAAGGGAGGAAAAAAAAAAAAAAATGGCACTGCTGAAAGAATCTAGGAAATCACAATCATTATTATTTCTAGCAATGCCAGAAAGGCTGTCAATCGTGTGAGAGAAGCAACGGAAGCAAGGGATTGGCATGCAAAAGAACCATTCCCGCCTCCCAAGACTTCAGGGGTTAAAGTTAGCCGTGCCAAGAGCCAAGGTCGTAACAAGCCACCATTCCTGAGGGATCGTTGCCAGCGACAAACAGCAGCTGTAACTTAAGGAAAAGATACGAGGAGGCACCAAGCAGGGGAGAGCCAAAAATGATATTTAGGTTCAAACGGTGAATGTATGTAGCAGCCAATCACACAATAAAGGCGAGGTTCAAATTGGCGGATTGATATTGGTCTTTAAACAGGAGCTGAACCAAGATCGATTGGTGGGACTTCTTAGCACCAGCCATCTGCTTCATGAACTCGTAGGAGCTATTGATGTGTACAACCAGTTTGACGGGAGCATAAACGGCTATGTAGGGAAACGAGGACCCAAGTCCTAGACATCAGAGGTGAAAAAGGCTGGGGAACTTCGGTTGGAACAATCAACACTTGGACTCCATGAAGCCAGCCGAAATTCATTGACATCTAAATCTCATACTTATACAGGCAATAGAACCAATTCCTTATTCAACCTCTTCCCCATCAAAATTCCCTGCCTTGCCCAGATACCATTCGCTAACATATTCATATTTCGAAAATGTCGCCAATGCCCTGTCCGCCACCTCTACGATTCTCAATAAGATCCAACCTCCAACCAACCCAGTTCTTGAGACCCCTCTTAACCTCCTTAATCCTCTCCAGCCGCCTAGAATTCTCCTCGGCCTGCGCCTTCCTGAAAGCATCCTCGTCGAAGTCCATACCATCGTCAGACAGGAAGCCACCATCATCGGCGCCGGTAAGAGCATTGATCCCACTCGTAATCAGGTCTCCAATGCCGCCACCGCCGCCGTGCTTCCTGTGAGTCGGCGAGAGCACGCTACCCGAACCAAGATCGACATCCTGGAATGATACGTGGTGCTCGCCGCCATCGAATTCACGCCTCTTGTCCTTCCAGATACCTCGGCGCAACTCGTGGTTCTCCGCCTCAAGCTCCCTTATCCTCTTCTCGAGGGTAGACCTACCCTCGTCTACCAGCTCGTCCACGGCATCGTCGTCGATGCCTCCATCGTGAGACCGACGAGCCCTCAGCTTGACCTTCTCTACCTCGAGACGCTCGACCCTGGCCTTCAACTCCTTAACCTCGTTATCCGCGCGCTCCTTCTCGCGCCGTAGAGCCTGGCTCCGAGAATCCTGTTCCCTATGTAGTGTAGTCAGGGTAGCGACCTTTTGCTCGAGCGCATCGACCTTCGTCTCTAGATCCGCTCTTATGGCAAGCTGGTCGGCAAGATCATGCTCAACCGTCCGCAGCTTAGTTTCGACGCTAGTCCGCTCGCTGCTATCACGAACGGCCTTCTCGGCCGTTCTATCAAGGTTGCGCCGCAGGTCCGCGAGCTCGCGCTGCGCTTGGCCAGCTGCACGCTCAGCTCGAGCGAGCTTATCTTCGAGCGCCGTAATTTGTTCCCTTTCGGATGACGCTCCCGAGGCGTGACGGCCCAGCGCGGCTCGTAGCTTGGATAGTTCTAGTTCCATTGATTCGATCGTAGCTGACTTGGATGTGAGTTGCTCTTCGAGTTCTGTAGCTGAGGCATCCTTGCCGTGCTTTGACCGGGATACTTGTTGTTGGAGCTGGGCGTTTTGTCGCTCGAGTGCTTCTATTTTTGATTTCTGGAGGATTTTAAGTCAGCATTGTTTAGAATCGCAGATGCGTTGGGAGGGGTGGGCAAACGCTCACAAGCTTCTCAACCTCGTCGCTCACCCCACCACTCTCCCGAGTAGGAGAGTCTGCCTCTCGCAGCTCCTCGAGCTCATCCTCGGCCTTCTTCCGCCTCCTCTCAGAATCCGCAAAATCTTTATTGAGGCGCTCGTTCTCGGTTTCCAGTTCCTCGATCCGTGCTACATGTTTCCGGTAGATCTCGGGGGCTGTTGTGCCGTCGGGGCTGGAGAGGCCAGGGGACAGTGGGCCTGAGATGGAACCCTTTCGGAAACTGGAAGACCTCATCTTTGACTGTTGCGCTAGGGACCCTGCGTCATGCGTCGGTGAGGTGGCCTGTTCGTATTCGGGCGGCGCGTCTTCTTCGACGGCGGCGTCTGTCCTCTCGGTCTCGGGCGCCGCAGCAGATGTAGATTCAGCAGGCTTCTCAGTCTCGGCCTTGGGCGCCTTTGAGGCCTTTCCCCCCTCCTTCTTTTTTCTCCTGAGAGCATCGGCCTAGTTCCAGCTAGTTAGTTAGCTTGATAGATATCACCAAGCTGTCGCAACTCGTCCAGACACGTGCCTTTTTCTTCATCGCGGCCAGCCTCTCGGCCTTGGCCTTATCATCTAAATCCGCCATCCTTGTCAAAGTGTGTGGATTTGGTATTGTTTGGAGATGGTTGGATATTGTCAGGTTGGGTTGGTATGATTGGGAAGGGTGAGCTCCAATTGTACAGATTGAAGGTCTCACCTTGGCCCCTCACCGAAAGTGGATGCCTCAGGTGAGCACGGAGCTTAAACCCTCCACCACCAAAACGGGAACGGGACTGGATCTTGTTCCTCGTCGAGAACCATCAATCTCATCCCCACAGAACCCGCTGCACAGAATATTTTTATTGTTTCCTTGTACTACTTTAATCGCCTCAAAGCTGAGACCCGCCTAATATACCTACTCTTCAAGAACTGAATTATAATACGCTGGCTATCGTGTTCTGCTGGACTGGTTAATAGAGGTTCCATGATGTTAAAACATTTGGGATCTGTTATAGGTGCTTTTTCCAGAACGGACAAGGTTTGAGACTAAGGATAACCCATCTCACTGACGGCCAGCCTCTGGTCCGCAAAGGATTTGGTAGGAGGTGGGTGCCAGCAGACATAGAATATATATCATCATGGTCCTCGTACCTATTGGACTCCCAAGAACTGCATAATTCTCTTGACTGCCTGTTCATCTCCTTCAACTGTGTCGGCCAGCTTCTCATCTATCCATCCTTCTGTCCAGCCGCCGCCCAAGTCAATAAGCCAAGCATCGTCGTCGATGTCAATGATGACATTGCGGGCTTTCCCATCGCCCCAGATCACACCGATCTCATGAAGTTGGTTAACCGCCTCACAGAGCTGCGATGCCCATTTCCGTCGCCTTTCTTCAGGTGTTGAAGGGATGTCAATCTCCCTAAGACAACGCCCCGGAACCAACTCCCGCAGAAACCCAAGGATGCGACCTGCTTCGGGATGCACAACATAACCCAGGAGCGGCGGGACACGTATGCTAGGCAGGCCGGATTCTTGTATCTTTTGAAGCTTTCCAAGCTCTCGCTCTAGGCTTAGATTAGTCAGGCCAGTGTTCGAAGCCTTGCAGAGCATGACCTTGCCATCAACTAGAACCTGGCAGACAGTGTGGCCCCCGCCGTGGACGAAGGCCTCTTCAATGAGGATCTCCTTAGAAGAATACTGTGTGAGGCTGGCGTTAATTTCGAGGTCGATATAAATATCGCGGTCCAAAATCGCTTCAGGGCAGGTGTTGGCCTCTCTTGAACTAATCGGGATAAGAGAAATCTTGCCGGAGGTGGTCAAAAGACGGAAGAACGAGGTCTCGGGGAAGAGAGCAGAGTGTAAGTCCTGGGCCGGTTCGGGGACAGGGCGAGGGGATGCTCTCTGGGGAAACGCAGTTCTGCCTGCGTCATCAATGATCTCGAAAAATTCATCTATCACCTCTTCGTATTCAACGTTTATATCACCATAAACGGCGCGCTCCAGAAGTCGGATCAGATACCCTTCGGTAGGCTGTCTATGCTTGTCGGACTGGTCATGAATTTCGGGGCCGGGGAAGATGGATATAGAGATCCGTTTGTGGTTGTAATTGAATATAATTTCAGCGCCATCACCATCACCAACATTGATCTGGAAGACTGCGAAATCAAGATCCATCTTGTCGATATCGTTCCGTACGGGAACACCGCATCTCGCCTCTCCACGCAGTCCCACCCTCCTGCGCGGATGGCGTTGGCGAACGGCTCCTGGGGCCTGGGGTTGGCTCGAATTGCACCGTGCTGCACACAAGGCACTAACAATTGAATCCTGAAAGCTGCCTTCGTGCACAGCGCCATTTTGTTGCCATCCCTCCTCCGTCTAGCAAAATACCCTTGTATCGGGGCCCGAAAGACCGCCGATTCCAGGGACCAGCAATGGCAGAAATGGCAGAAATGACACACGAGAGCCATTACATCACAGAGTTTCCGACAACCCCAAAAATTCCCACCCATTCTTAAAAGTGCAATTGCCCTCCGCCTCACACACGCCACCTCACCTCCTCCACACCAAAAGACTCTCCTTTAGAGCCATGATATGGTAGAGCTTAGAATGAGGCATGCCGCTCTGCCAAATCCCCCGCCGAGCGGCCCCAATCTCCGCCATCGGCCTCCTCCCAATCCGCCGCCCCTTCGCCACGACGGCGCGTCGTCTCCTCGCTGAACCCCTCGACGATAAGGAGAGCCACTATGATGTCCTCCAAGTCCCTCGAAACGCCTCTCCGGCTGAAATAAAACGGTTCGCTTCCTTACCCCTTCATCCCCTCTCCGTAAACAGGAAGACTAACAAACGAGATATATAGCTCCTTCTACGCTCTCTCCAAAAAACACCACCCAGACCACAACCCCTCCGATCCCCACGCTCCCCGCCGCTTCATCCGCATATCAGAAGCTTACTCCGTCCTCTCGGCCCCGGGAAAACGAGCCGCCTACGATCGCGACGCTCGTCATTCACACGCTCACGTCCACCGCTCCCCCGGCCACACTCACACACACCAATACTCCAGCGGTCCGGCCGGCGGTCGACCCGCCTCGGGCCTGGGTCGGAGACGTCCCCCCACTACGAGCTCCACGCGTGGAAGCTTCAGGGGTCCGCCTCCGAGCTTTTACGGGCAGGGCGGATGGGGCGAACACGCCGAGAAGCGAAGGGCCGCGCACGAGCAGAGCACGGCATCGGGGAGTAGGACCGGTGGCGGCGGCAGCAGTGGCAGTGGCAGTGGCAGTGGACTCGGCGGCATGGGACCCGGCCAGGATCATTTTAGGTGCGACGTGCCGCATTTCGATAACGTTTCACACGAGCGCACGCATAAGAGGCAGGACCAGCGGAGAGAGGCGCGTCGGGCGGCTGAGGCTGCGCCTGGTGGCGGTGACGGATCACCTGTTGTCTTTGTTATTGCCGTTGGCTTCATTATTGTCATCGCCAGCTTGGCGCCGTTGGTGTTTGCCGCTGGGCCGAGTGAGGCGCCTAGAAGAAAGCCAGTGAAGAGGAAGCCGCCGAGTGGTGATACTAAACAGTCAGGTTAATGATGCTTGATAACCTCACATGCATTTTTTGGTTGGCGTTCCGGATACATGTATGTTGTGCCCACGGCGCATTGAATTGATGGGCGGAGAGTTCCTTCGGATAGTTTGAGAAAACTACTACCGGCAATGATCAATCACATTGTCTCACAAGCGACAAATTAAGGACCCAATATTGTCTAGGTTATTCACATTTATACACCCCTAGTATGCTACAGTCAAAACGGGGAGGAGCTAATAACGCAACCAGAGCTCATGGTTTAGAATACACTGCTTAACCTAGCATCCTAAGCCCGGGAAGCTTGCTTTTATATCAACCGAGTTGCCTCTCCAAACCTCACAACACATGATCGACAGTACATTTAGGACTCAAAGGTGAAGCTGGCGCCGACCTGCAGATGGGGAAAATCGTTAGTACATCGCACAACGGTTCGGTGTGCCAAGATATGGAGCCATCGCGTACCTTGTGGGTGGCCTGGTCGAGCTTCTGGGTATCAACGGAGGCACCAAGACCGAGAGTAACACCCTCGCGGAGGAGGACGTTGTAGGCAAGAGCAACAATACCACGGTCGTTAAGCTTGACCTGAAGAGGAGAAAACACAAGCACATTAGTATTTTGAAGCACGCACATCAACCAAGCCAACTCTATTTCTCCCTCTTGAAAATGGTCTCTCGCATCGACAGCGTCGAAATTTCAAGAAAAGAGCGTCCTAAACCACAAAATTCGGGAGTGGGCATTACGAACCTTGGCGAAGGAGACGGGGTCAATGCGGTACTTTCCGGCGAACTCAATACCGACGTTGCTGCCGGTCTTGGAGTTCCAGACGGCCTTGCAGCCACCCTCAACTTGGCTGTTGACCTTCTGGTAGAAGGAGGCGCCGAAGACGCTGAGGTTATCAGTGGCAGTGACGGCGAGGTTGTACGAGGGGCAGGTGTAGCCGACAGCGGCAGCGTAGGAGGTGATGGCGGCCTTGGTCACGTCATAGCCGGCAGACGCACCAGCAAGGAAGCCCTTGTCACCAACAACGGCATCGATGTTGGCAGTGGGACCCTTGAGGAGGTCGAAGAAGGCACGGCCGTGGAAGTTGTTCTGCTGGAAGTGGAGGTTGAACTTGGCACCCTTGGCCTGGGAGGCGGGGAAGAAGGCGAAGAGACCCTCAGCCTTGAGGCCCTTGGCGAGGGCGTCCTTGACCTCGACCTTGGACTCGAGAGCGTTGGCGGTGTTCCAGGTCTGGGTGAGGGTGAGGCCTGAACGCGAGTAGAGCATTAGTAAATGGGTCCTCTCGGGGGTTAGGACGGCCATCAAGGAAATGGGTAGTCTAGGCTGGCCCAAACGAATCGGGCCAATCCTGAAGCTTGTGTGTAATTTTTTATCGGGTTTGCGTTTAGGGCGTGGGCGTGATATACCAGTAGGCTTATCAGTGTACTTGGCCTCCAACTGTAGATTGCGCAGGCATGGTTAGCTCGGATTCGGAGAGGTATAAACAGATCCACGATCCAATGCGCCCATTCTCAGCTGCTGCTCCGTCGCGTACGACTCGGAGAGACATCTCATGATGGCACCGGCAAAAAAAAATGAGGTTGGGATTGAACATACAGCACCAGAGGTAGCCTTGTCGTGAGTGGACTTTCCAGTGACCTTGAAGGCAACGTTGTTGGGGGTGTTGCCCTTGAACTCGAAGGTCGAGGCGGACTGGTGGTAGAAGTCCTTGTTGATGAGCTAGACAACGCGCAAAATATCAGTACTAGCTTCAATGGATGGGTTCTCGGTTCTCATTGTCCTCAGAGAAAGTGCCCAAAGCCCCTGCAAAGGTTGCGCAAAAAGGAGGACCATGAAATGCCGCTGGTTTTCCACGCATCGTCTTTGTTTTGTTGGGGAGGCATTTTGAATAAGGGGGCAGGTGGTAGATCAGCTTACGTCGTTAGCCTGCTTGGCGATATCGGCGAAGTTGGGGATGGCCATTGTGAAGGTATTAAAGGAAGATTACAAGTCGATTGATGTGATGAGAATGGAGAGGGTATCAACAGAAGGAGATGATGAAATGTGAAATGTGGTGATGGAGGTTTTGTTGGTGGAAAGAAATGGAAGCTATCAAAATGTCGGATTGAAGTCTTGGTGCTGGCACTGGCACCTGGCCGTTTTTTTTTTCTTGGGCGGCGGCACTCAGGAGATTGGTGAGTGACAGTGACAGGGAGTCTCCCAGGACAGTCTGTTTCGATTGGGCTGTCCTGATTGGCTGGAAGGTGGCACGAGGGTCGGTTCAGGCACTGGGCTGACGGAGACTTTGGGAATACAGGCGCTATGCTGCTTCCGGAAGGCCGAGGTAATTCCATTTCAGGGTGCAGCGGAACGTCCTTTGTACCGTCCCCTACGATGACACTACAAAGAGTACATCTGAGGGACTCTCGAAGGGTTCTTTCGGGAATTGGTCAATGGATCAATCAATGCGAGCCAGTCTCAACAACTGAGTTCGCAGGAACTTCGATTTGCTCCATCTTCAATGCAAGGGTCAGTCCACAGGTCTTCGACTATTCTGCAGCGTGGTGCCGACGTCATTCGTTACTCGTTGGGGACTTGGATGGAAGGTTGAAGACCCCACCATGGCCTCAAGCTCAAGCTACAGCGCACCACAATTGATCAATTTGATTTGATACAGCAACGATCGACATTTGAGACCGACAAAAAGCGAAGATGGGCTTTTTCACCGTGGTGGATCCTCTACAGACACTCCGCGGTACACCTGTTTCTGCTCCACGAGAGCCTCTTGATCCTTGGGTTTACCGTCTTTCCATGCTTAATGCCATCACCTCACCGCCCCCGTGTCTATAAAGTACTCCGTAGCATTCAACTTAGACTCGAGGCACTGGAAAGGGATGGCTTTGTGATGTTCGTTGGCTTCTCGCAAGTTGATTATTCCCGTCTCAGAGTCAAGAGCAGAATCCAAGCGATGATATAAACTAGATCATTGATGAGTCTGGAAACACGTCGGCGCCTGCCGTGTGAGTCCTGTTGTGGCGAGCCATCCAAGCGGTTTGGGCAACCTCGCGGTTGATCACAGTTCTTAATGGCACCACAGGAGGATAAGCTCTTCTGTTCTGTTCATCATAAACTACTACAGACAAAGTTCTAAGCATTGGGTTTCGGAGAAACTCGAAGTGAAGGGCATTAATACAGCACTGACATGGGCAATGGCACCGAAAACGTAGCCGAAGACGAGGAATCTCTGTGTGTTGACGCTAGGTTTTAGTGGGGGGACTTGGCTAGTGAGGTTGAAATTACCACCAGCAGCACAAGATTTTCATCAATCAACACCACAAATCCCATATGGTGTAGTGGTTAGCATAATGCTCTCTCATCTAATGAGCGCAGCATAGACCCTGGTTCGATTCCTGGTATGGGAGATGCTAAGTTTCTTTTTTTACCTTTCTACCCATTTCTTCTTTTCTTATTTGCTTTTCTTTCCTTTCCCGTTTTCCTTCCTTTTCCCCCCTATTTTTCCTTGTTTTCTTTTTATACCCGTATCAAATGTCATAAGAGATATAATGAAACCCTGACTTAATCGTTGTGCGGTGTGTAAGTTCAAGTCAGAAGGGAGGAGCATCGAACAACTCCACATTGATATCCCTCAATCAAGAGTCGTTAAGGACTGCCTCTTAACAGTCCGATGGAGTTTCTGATTCGAAGCTTCGATGACTTGAAGGGGAAGAGGTAGGCAGATCGAGGTTAAAGCTGGGCTTCAATAGAACACTTCGTGAAACTAGGAATCTTAGCAGGCTATCCCCACATACGCCGGGATGAAATCTCAAACGCCGTGCCATGACTCCGGCAGCATTCCCCAACCAGCAAGAAGACATCGCCATTCACAAGATTGTACCCTCCCGAGACGAAGCCTTCCCCGCCTTCAAACCTCGACGATGCCTCTCTCTAGAAAGACCGTAGACACAGAGCTTCGAGCGATTCGTCCCATTCCATGACTTGACTGTTATCCACGAACCCCAATCAATGTCAACTGCGAAGGCAAGAGCCCTCAGTCGAATTGATATTGTTCCCTAAAATGTCCAAGAAATATTTGATTGTTTTGCTAAAAGAATCGCGTTCTACACTATAAACCAACTTGACGTCTATAGTCAAGGGGTGTATGACAAGTAACGGTCCCCCATCCGATTGCTCCATATATACGTGTCAAGTGTATATATATATTTTAGTAAATCCCCAAGTAATTCCCATTTACTCGGTGCCGTCGTACTTGGCGTTGTGAATAGCGATAGCCCTGCCGCTAGGATCGGTCTGTTTAGACCACTTGGGTGTCCACCTCATGACGGTCGACGCGCAGTACGAGGGGAAGTGCTCGTCGAACATGAGTCGGTACCAGTAGCTGCAGCCGGAGACAAATTAGCCTAAAAGCGCTCAAAGAAACGCAAAACGAAAGGGGAGAAGGAGATGAGAATTCTAGAATCAACTTACGCCTCCTTGGTAGTAGGAATCTCATCACCCCACTCAGGCTTAGGGTTCTTCATCATCTCGTCGGTAACGTGCAACTCGGCGTTGTCCTTGAGGGCATCGATCCATCCGTAACCGACACCGTCGGAGAACTGCTCCTTCTGCCTCCACAGAATCTCGTCGGGGAGGTAAGGCTCTACGCCGGGCTCGTCCTTAGTGTCGAAGGCCTTGCGGAGGATGTACTTCTCGATCCTGTCCTTGGTGATCATCTTGTCCTGAGGGTCAACGCCCATGGCAACCTCGAGGAACTATGAAATTATGTGTTAGTGCTAACTAGAGATAATGAGGGCAGACTCGGGACAACGGAGCGACGAACCTGCTTGTCCAGGAAGGGAACACGGGCCTCGAGACCCCAGGCGGAAGTAGACTTGTTGGCACGGAGACAATCGGCAAGATGGAGGTTCTTTACACGGCTAACAGTCTCTTCGTGGAACTCCTCCTTGGACGGCGCCGCATGGAAGTAGAGGTAACCACCAAAGATCTCATCGCTTCCCTCACCACTAAGCACCATCTTGATGCCCATCGCCTTAATCTTTCGGGAAAGGAGGTACATAGGAGTGGAGGCACGGATCGTAGTGACATCGTAAGTCTCGAGGTGGTAGATGACATCGGAGAGAGCGTTGAGGCCGTCCTCGATAGTAAAGGTCATCATGTGGTGCTTCGTTCCGAGGAACTTGGCGACCTCGAGGGCGGCCTTGGTATCGGGAGCATCAGGAAGACCGATGGAGAATGAGTTGAGCTGGGGAAGGTAGGTAAGGGTAGATAGGTTGTAGTCTTCGTCGATACCGACAAGGCCCTCGCCCTTGTCGACGTTGGCGGACTCGTCGTCGACAACGCCGCCGTTGACTTGTGGGCCGGCCTTCTTTAACCTAAGGGTCTCGCGCTGGGCAATGGAGGCCACCAAGCTAGAGTCCAGACCGCCAGAGAGAAGTACACCGTAGGGGACCTCAGCCATCAGTCGCTTCCTGACGGAGCGCTCGAGGGTCTCCCTGAGGAGCTTGTAGTCGACGGGGGTAGTGGGGACCTTGGAGGCATCCCACCAAGAGGGCTCGAAGTATCGGGTCGTCTTGCCCGTCTTGGAGTCATAGATGTGTCCGGGAGGGAAGGCGATGATCTTGTCGCAAACCGGGTGGAGAGACTTCAGCTCGGAGGCGAAGTATACGGTATCCGGCTCCTTTGAGGACCAGCCCTGGTAGAAGCTAGTGATACCGATGGGGTCACGCGCGGCAACTACCCTGTCCTGGGTCTTGTCGTAGAGGACAAAGGAGAACATGCCGTCGAGGGATTTAGGGGCATCGATGTCGTGTTCCATATACTTTGGACCAGCAGTTAGTAACAGCCCAAATAATCGGAAATATTACCGTCGAAGTGAGAGACGATGCCATGGGTGCAGGAGGAGATGTCCATACCAAGGGGATGACGACCTCGCAGTCAGAGTGGGTCTTGAAGTGGTAGGGGTTCTTTAGGTTCTTTCGGATGAGGCGGTGGTTGTAGATTTCGCCGTTGACGGCAAGGATGATGGTCTCGTCGGCATTGGTAAGGGGTTGGGCGCCGGATTCTGTTGAGTGGTGTGTAAGTCAGACGAACCCCAATGCGCCGGCCATGTAGAGGAAGATCGATCGTATCAACATACCGACACCCACGATACTCAGACGCTCGTGGCAGAGAACTGTGACCAATCTGTCAATTGAAACGTCCCGTTGAATGGTCTTGAAAGTCGATAACACGTACTCGTGCTGTTAGCGATAACGCTTCCACCTGTTTGTTATCATGGTCAGATCCCAATCACCCTCATTGCTACTCCTTGTCTCAGAGTTATCGCGCGTGAGTCACAACCTACTCCAATCGGGACCCCTGTGCCGAACCCTGCAGATTTTGATATACTAGTCAATTCGAGTGTTCGAGCATCACCAGAGAATCTGAGAGATATTTGCACATACGCCTTGGCCAGCTTCAAAGCGGTCGGCTTGAACTTTTGGACGTCGGGATGACTAGATTGGCGTCGCTGTTAGCTCCTAAGATCGGAAAAACCCCTGCAAACAACCCTGCCCCAAGAATCAACGCGACCACAATTGATGGCGGGGTAATTTTTCTTTGGTAATTGGAAAAATGCCCCGCCATTGGATGCGGCCACGACAAGAAGGAAATATCATTGAAGGATCGAGCACGAGGAGACTGAAATCGGAAAAATGTCAACGTCAAGGGAGGAAGTCGACATACCGATGGCAGGCGAAGATGCCACACATCGTTGCGATCGGGATAGCTTAGGCTGGGAGGTGCGCGAGGTTCTCGGTTGACGGCGACCGGGTGGAAGGAAAACTATGAGTAAAGGAAGACGCGCTCTCGTAGAGGGGCAGGTCAAATCAATGCGGGATGGGCCTTGCAAGACGACTCTGGAAAAGACAACAGGACAGACCAAGGACAGGACGAATGGAGGACCTGACGACGACAAGAATATTCGGGGGAAAAAAGAAGAGTCGAGGGGAAGTGCTCTGAAAAGTGTGGCAATGGGGGAAGATTTAAGGTCCTTGAATTTTTTTTTCCCTTTTTCCCACTCACCCCCAAAATTCGAGGCGACCAGTCTACAATTGTTTTGTACACTACACTACACCACACTTAGTCTCTCCCGCCCCCAAAGATTTCAAGCTCCCCTTCTGGAATAGATTCGAGTCATTCTCTGACTATGACTCCTCTGATTCTGACCCATCCCAAGCCGTCAATTGCCCTCTAATACCGTGGTATAAGAGGGACACCTGGTACTTAGCAGAAAGATTAAAAACCCACGGACCAGAAACTGGCAGGCCCCGAGATCGGAATTGAAAATGGTGTCTCATTATTGGTCACTTCGTCCTCTCCATTACCAAAATTGGCGATAAGGGGGGGGCAAGGGGTGTGGCGGTAACGGGTTGCACACAGGATGCAATCCCACCAGCAGGGCTTCGACAGATGTTCTTTTTTGCCTCAGATAGCACCGGACTTGCCCAGTGACGAGCCGCCATGCTACGGTTGCAAGGTACCCAAGTACACTACACTACACTAGAACCCGGTGATACAGGGCCTGATAAATCCGCCATTGGCATTGATCTACAAAGTACGAAGGACTGTGAATAAGCATCCCGATAAGATAACATCTGAACCCTCAAGCAGCTGTCCTCCCAGTACGAAGTACATAAAGATCAGCATCCCGCTGAACTCGGCAAATGAGGCTCCTGAACAAACATCGATGCAGGATTTCATTTGTGAGCAAGACAGTGTGGAGTGCATTTCGGTAAAGTCCTGTTGCCGACACCAATGTGACCACCCGCCAGTGCTTGTCTCATTCGTCCTGCCCGCAGGCTTCAATGCCTGCGCAAAAACCCCGAACCTGCACAGCAGCTCAGAATCCCCAATCTGGAGGTGGGGTGAGGTCAGGAGTCCACCAGAATGGGAATGCCACCATGCATCTACGCCTTCGTAGAGGTTGCTTCTCCACGCGGCGGCGTGGGCGGGATATGGGGATGTCAGTAAATGGCGTGGGAGCGTGGGCAACGAGTTGAGCGCTCGTTGCCCATGTATTACGAGAATCAACACATTTGTCACAGTAAAAGTAAAACCAGACATCACATCCGGCCTCAGATGTACACTCCCGTCCTCTTCATATCCCTAGAACCCATCTGGAATCTCATTACGTGGCTGATACGAAAGATCAGTTCGTCATATCATTACCCATCGATGTATCTCTAAGAAAGAAAAAAAAGCGATTTGTACTAGGCCGAAGAACAAAAACAAAAAGCCCATGTCCCGTCCTGGTATCCTTTCCGAACTCCGCGTAAAGATCAAGCTAGCCCCTTTCCATCACACCCTTTTCATGCGTGATATCCTTGATCAAGTGAACAAAGTCAAGCTGCGGGTTTTTGCAGAAACAGTTTTCCTTTAGCTCGCGGGGTTCTCCCGCACAACCCGTCGGATTCTCTTTTCGTACTCGACGCGATCCTTCTTGAAGAGGTTATACGCCTCTGCCTGGGCCGGAGAGTCAGGGTTGGGATCGTTGAGCAGGTCCTGGATTCCGAGGAGGATCTGCTTGACGGTGATGGCTGGCTTCCATGCTTCCTCTTCGTTGAGGATCGATAGACACACGGTGCCGGAGGGATAGACGTTCGGGTGGAACAAGGGAGGCACGAACTTGCCTAGGCGTTAGGTATGCATATGTCAGTAAGTGGTGAAGTGGGGGATGCTGTGGACCGGGAGGTTGGCTCTGCGCTTACACTTAGGGGGCTTCGTGGGATATTCTGGGAAAAGAAAAAATATGTCCGTTAGCTTGAAGGCACGGTGTGGGATAGTTGGAACGGCTACAAGGGAGAGCTAACCGTCGGGAAAGTTGATAACGAGTTTGAAGAGGCCGCCTTCCCAGATCGTCTTCTCCTTGCCTGGAATGCCACACTCCCAAATCTTCATATCGGAAACGCCCTGCGCATTTCGCTGCGGTCTCGCGTAGAATCCAAAAGGGTGGTCACGACGCCATTGCTTCCTAAATTCATCTTGACGTTAGCATCGGGGATCCGGGAGTCTAGCCGGGTCGATAAAGCTGCTGGGGCGGGCCGGAACGTACCGCTCCTCGAGTAGGCGGTTCTGGCAAAGACTCATGGTGATTTAACGTAGTTGAACGGTTATGCCGAAAACGTCCTCGATGAAGAGAAATGGATGACGGGTTGAGTTTTGGTTTTGTAAATTCGAGGTCGCGACGGACGGGGGTTGAGAGAGAGGCGGGTGGGATGGAGTGTAGAGAAAAGTTGAGGTTGGAAAGAGGCAGGCTGTCGGCGAGGCACGAGGAAGCTAGAAGGTTCGAACAGCGCACTTTAGATTAGTGAGCAGGCGAAAATCAAGGGCTGTCAAAATATCGAAAGTTGGGCGATCCGGACGATGTGGAACTTTTGTAATGAAGAAGATGATACAGAAAAGCAAACTATTATGAAGCAGGTCAAGGAAGATTGATCACATCACATCGTGAAAGAAGGCAGCAATGCACATAGAGGGGGAGGGGTTCTTTGTTGTTGGAAATGGCACATGGGCAACTGGCAGGACTCAGGCAGTGGATATCGGCTGGCAGAAGCGTCACCAAACAGACCAGCTGGCGGAAATATTGCTGGAATATTGCTCAAATAATTGACGATCCAAGGTCAGCGTGGTGCCACAGGCGCTCAGGCTTTAATGGGTCCATCAATTGATAGCCGCAGGGGGCAGCTTAGTGGCTAGGCCAGGCCGGGCCAGGCCAATGTGTACCCCATGTCCCCCGTATCCCAGACCAATGATTCAGTGCATTCAATATGCGTTCTTGGCCCAGCACCACATGCTGTCATCCCTCGGCTCCTTGTCCGGATAGACTTGCTCGACTCAGAAGGCAAATCTTAAAACCGCCGTCGCTCTTGAACATAAACTTTTGGGAGGCAATACAAAGAATATTTCTCGATAAAACAAACCTATATTTCACTGCGGGTGTTTCCCTATTCCAGCGACAACCTGAACCAGACTGTTCGACTCACGCTGTGCGGGGTGAAGAGATCGATATTGATCGATCGCATCGTTGCCCCTCTTGCATGTGGATCTGACTTTTGCGACCCCAAAAAAACCCAAGCAAAACCCATACGCGCAATCCTCCGAGGCCATGGCGGCCGAACAGAAAGCCGGCGACATAGTCGCCGACAATAAGAAGAATACGCCCGTTCCCGAGACTGCGACCGCACCGGCGCCTAAGGTAGAGGTGGAGGAGGTTGAAGATTTCCCCGACCCGGATGAAGATGACTTGGATGACCTTGATGGTATGGCACCTCCTATCGCGACAGGAGGGATGAATCTCAAAGGGTCAAACTAACGAAAAGAGTAGAGTTTTTGGATGACTTTTCCGCCGCGAAACCCGAGAGCAAGAAGCCTACAGAAGCCTCGACCTCGGCGCAACCGGCCAAGGCCGAGAAATCCACAACTGTGCCTGCGCCGAGCGCCGGCCTTGGTGACGAGGATGCGCTACTTGACGAGGAGCTCGCGAAGGAGCTAGAGAAGGGCATGGCCAATTTCTTTAGCGGACTAGAAAATTCCGTAAGTTTCTCCAAAAAGCGAGGTCGCCGTCTTAGAACATCTCTCTAACAACGAGTGATAAATAGTCCGAGATGCAGGCAGAGTTCCAGGAGATGTTCAAGAAGATTGCCGAGGCTACGGCGGAGGTAGACGCGGAGACAGCAACCCCCGCTGCGACTGCCGGAGCATCGTCCGCGAAGGCCGATTCTTCGAGGTCCGCCGGCCCCGTCCCAGCAACGGACGCCTCTTTCCAGGAGACGATCCGGAGAACGATGGAGAGGATGAAGACTTCGGGAGATAAGACCACGGAAGACCTCTCAAAGGACGACAACCCCGATATCTTTAACGATATGATGGGGCTTCTTGGGAACGCGGCTTTGGGCGGAGAAGGCGGCACGGACGAGCTGAACAAGATGCTGCTGGGTATGATGGAGCAGCTCACGAATAAGGAGATTCTCTACGAACCCATGAAGGAGCTACATGACCAGTTCCCTGACTGGATAGAGAAGAACAAGGAGAAGGTTGCCGCGGGGGATTTGAAACGGTATCAGGAGCAGCGGGTGATAGTGGCGGAGATTGTCGCCAAGTTTGAGGAGCCTTCTTACACAGACTCGAACCCTGCTCACCGAGAATACATCGTCGAGAGGATGCAGAAGGTAAGCTTGGCCAAGTCGTTTATCGTGCACCCTGTTGGAACAACGCTGTGTACTAACCTTTCGTTCGCTCTAGATGCAAGAGGCCGGTTCACCGCCACCCGATCTGGTAGGAGACTTGCAATCAGCACAGGAAGCGTTGAACGCGCCGAACGACGAGGCATGTAACCCTCAATAGTATATTTCGGAGCCATGGTATCTCTACACAGTAGTAAAAACTCGATATCCCTTCAAGATAACAACACCCTTGAGTATAACTGATGCCACTGTTATGCATCATTCCGAGAACCTAGAAATGCCTTGGGTTTAGTACCCGAATAAACGCCCCAAAAAGAACTTTCCCCGTTTACCCTGCCTGAACGCCGACCACCGAATAAATAAAACAGCAATATCCCATGTGCCTCGAACCCATCTTACAGACTGTCCCTTTGCCGACGACAGGACTCGGACGCTAAGACATCTCCGTGTCCTCCCCAGCTTCCCCAAGATCATTTTCCGCCAGTTCCATGAAAATCTGGTCATACTCTTCATCGTCTGAATAATATGGCGAGGGAGGTCGTTGTGGCAGGCCTTCTTGCGAGTTTGAACTGAGTGGTGGCGACGGTTGCTCGTAGGACGCTAGCAGAGCCTCAAGTTCCAATTCTTCCTGCCTCGCAATTTCGTCAACCATCATGTCGTCGAGATCCTCTGGGACCATGGCCTCCAGTTGATCTTGCTGATCCACCATAGTGATTGCATCCTCGAGATCCTCTTCGGTCGGCATGCCGGCTACGTCATTCTCCTTTTGGCGGTAGATTTGCTGCTCCTCTTCGTACCACCGTCTCAAAGCCTTTTCGGAAATCAGTTGGTCAGCGCTGTCCGTGATGTTGGAACAAGGTCTCGCATCGACGACTTACATGTCCTTCTATCGACCTCCTCTCCCAAGCCCTATCATCCGCGCGACCGCGAACCGTCCTTAGGAAGAGCTGCCGTCTCGTCTCCTGCCCTTCCTCACGCTTCCGGAGCAGCGGGTTCGGCTTCGTCTGCCTCGTGGCGAACTTGGATTTTGGCTCCGGTGGCGAAGAGAAGCAATTTCTTTGGTTCATCGAGTTTCTGTTGACCGGGGAGAGCGGGGCGGAGGGCCGGATGGGCGAGGATGATAGAGGTGATGATGCGGCAGGCTTGTGGTGGGCCCAGCTGTTTTCGTTGAAGAACGGCATCGGTGCAAGTGTAAACATGATTCTCTTGGGGTGGGAGAATGGATTATTCAAACGGAATTGTAGTCGCTGTTACTAACTCGATCAATTCATGAAGCAATTCGTGGGAGAGAGGAGACTAGAAATGTTGTTGGAGGTGCTGTGTGATGGATGTGAGGGGACTGGTTCAGCTCAGGTTCACTCGTCCTTTTTGTTTAATGAGAACGCGCTGCGCCCACTGCGCTGAGCGTGTCTGTGTCGTGTTGAGGCGTTAAGTGGATACCCGCACAGTGCGGTCGCACGTGACGTGACGTGACCTGGGCAGCCTTTCCTCAGCACATACAAAAGCTTACTTCGCATGTTGCCATCTTTTGACGCACCCGTTTACTAGTTTACTATCAAATTGGTGCCTACTTCGTACTGCAAATTATCAGATTGTGAGGCGAAATAGTAGTGTCACGCGGAGGAATTAAAAACACTAGTCCTCGTGAGAGCCACATCCCGCGGCAACCAATTCCATCTGTTTCCTAGAACTTACACTTGGTCTGGACTCTCCACCAGCAGGGGCGGTTCCCGCGGAGACAAGAAGATTGAGAACTGAATGACTACATGTATAATGACTTCCCACGATTCCAGTGACACCTGAATATCGTTAGAATAAAAGCCAATACTCCGTACTTCCATCGCGACAGTACCGCCATCACCAGGAACATCTGTCGAACAAGGGGGTGATTATGTAGATAAAGTAGTGGAGCGTGCCAGCAGGGTCACACTCACAGATGGAATAATTTTCAGAGGTACCGGCGCGTTCTGAAAACCAAGAAATGTCGACTACTCGCAGTGTCAAAGCTGTGAAATAGGAACGGGAAAACTAATTAAGTTGTTACCTTGACCAAAAAGGGCTGGAAATGGTTGGACCCAGAGTCACAAAATGTTGGTGGCAACAATCACTTGTGGAGGGGTCAATCACAGTGGACCGAGGCCCCTGATCACTCGCCGATTTCCGGCGGCTCCTTTAGTGGAGAAGTGCTTGGTACAGGTACCAGTTCCACTTAGACCCCTGCCAGATGATGCCAAGGCTGGTCCCGAAAACGAGGGACAAAAAAAAAAGAGAAAGAAAAAAAATGGGAGCGCGAGACTATCTAAAAAATTCTGGAGAAAACGTTGGGGTCAATGAGACGATACAAGTTCCCAAAGTGGAACTAGGAGACGATATCACTCAAACCACCATCTCGAAGGCGGTCAGAGATTGCCGAACGTCTTTTGCTTCTCGAAGGCAAAGAATGTTCATGTTCTCAATTCCTCCCTTCGGCTAATAAGATCACCCCCAATCCGCCAATTTTTTTTTCCGACGCGTTTTTTTCGCCTCGGCCTTTTCGCACTTACACGAGAGCCAAACAGCGTAGCCTTCCCTATGAGGTCCACCCGCGCCCTTGATCACCAATGAAGGTCGTTTCGGCAACTTGGCGGTCATGGAGTCGAACCCTGCGAAGTCCATCGACTTATAGCCTCGGCGAGGGCCAATTCCTCCTCCCGCGGACTCGACTCGCGAGGCCACACCAGGGTTGGAGAAGGGATAATTCCTCATGGAGCGGCGCCCGACAAAAGACCGACGGCCCGAGATGGAATCGCAGGCGCATTCTCCTCGCTTCGGGAGGCGCGGCGACCGGCGCAACGGTTCTTGCGTTTACGGACGACATCAAGGCGAGCTATGAAACTCTGGAGAGATCTGGGAGAGTTGCCGTTGCTCTGACGGTATGCATTAATGAGTAGGTGTTGCGTTCGAATCCAATGCTACCGTGGTGTCGCCGAAGGCTGACTTGGCGAACTTGCTATAGTTACCGGACAACGTTGAACCAGAGAGAGAAGATAGAAGACGAAGAAGAACAGCGGAGGTTACTGAAAGCATGCCATAAACGGTGCGCAGAGCGCACTCTCAGGGTCCTCGAGAAGAATGGGGGCATCTTTATCAAACTTGGGCAACACTTGGTAGGTTGCTTCTTCACCCATTGATAGAGCAAAGGAATACCCTACTAACGAGACGACTACCTAGAGTGCAATGAACTACCTCCTCCCGTCCGAATGGACCACGACATTCATCCCCCTCCAAGACAAGTGCCCCGTCTCCTCCTTCGAATCGATCCAGCAGATGTTCAAAAATGATACCGGACGGTCTATCGAAGACTACTTTTCCAGCTTCCAGGAGAAGCCCCTCGGCGCCGCCTCCCTGGCGCAAGTCCACCTCGCCGTAATAAAAGAGACGGGCCAACAAGTCGCCGTCAAGGTGCAACACCCGAGCCTAGCGCAGTGGGCACCGCTCGACCTGTCCCTGACTCGGTACACGTTCGCCATGCTCAAGAAGTTCTTCCCCGAATACGACCTCGAGTGGCTCTCGCGCGAGATGGACGACTCCCTTCCCAGGGAATTAGATTTCCGCGAGGAGGCTAACAACGCTAGACGCACTCGAGACCATTTCGCCAAGATCCCCGGCCTCCCCCTCGTGATACCCGACGTCCTCTGGGCCGAAGAGCGAATCCTCGTCATGGCCAACGAATCCGGCCACCGCCTCGACGACCTAGACTACCTAGATTCCAACGGCATAGACCGCGACGAGGTCTCCGCCGCGCTGTCCCACATCTTCAACGAGATGATCTTCGGTGAAGGCGCCCCTCTCCACTGCGACCCGCACGGCGGCAACCTCGCCATCCGGAAGAACCCGAAACGCCGAGGCCACTACAACTTCGACGTCATCCTCTACGACCACGGCCTCTACCGCGATATCCCCCTGCCACTGCGCCGGTCTTACGCCAAGATGTGGCTCGCCGTCCTCGAGGGCGATATGGCCGCCATGCGCAAGTACAGCGGAGAAGTCGCAGGCATCGGGGACGAGGAATTCCCGCTCTTCGCCTCCGCCATCACGGGTCGCGATTACAGCGTCGTTAGCTCCTCCATCCTCAAGGATCGCACCAAGGACGAGAAGAAAAACATAACCGCAGCCCTGCAGGAGGGCCTGCTCACCGACCTCGTCCAGCTCCTAGGGCGTGTGCCCCGCATCATACTTCTCATCCTCAAGACGAACGACCTCACGAGGAGCCTCGACGAGAATCTCCATACGCGACAGGGTCCCGTGCGCTCTTTTCTCATCCTTGCTAGGTATTGCTCCAGGACCGTCTTCTACGAAAAGGTTGACGAGATTTTGGGCCGTGGGTCCTGGTTGTGGCCCGGGAATGCTCTGAGGTTGTTTGCAGCTTGGTTGGGCTTCGTGAGGGTCGAGGTGAAGCTTGGGGTGTTTGAGACGTGGTTACACTTGAAGCGTTTAGTTGGTCTGAACGGTGCCATGCCTGCCGTGGCTTTTGGAATGTAGGGCTGGGGTGGTTTTCGCGAAAGCATCAATTGCATACATTACGTATTTGGGTACCCCTTATTCATCTAGATTCTAGACTGGAGCTCGGGTTTTTGTGTGTACATATATATATCCCCGGGTCCAACTTCACATAGTCATCATAGATATGAAAATTAATGTCGTCCGCTATTATAGGCGGGAAATTCACTCCTAGTTTCATAAAGGTAACTCTCGGCACATCACAAGGGATCTTTTCCCATCCCATTGCATGGGCTAGAACCTCCTAAGCTAGCTAAGTCCTGTCACCGCAATCTCGACCTATGAACCCAGAACCCAAATTCCGTAACTCCAAGACGCCAAACAAGAATCACCAAACAAAAGACAGTGCCAGGAGGTCAAATAAAACCTATTTCATCACTCCCTCGTCATATTTCCCAGCTGGGGTGCAAGCAAGCTACGCAGTTTTCTGCCTTTTTGCATCAAACGCCCCATCATTCAGCCCCACGGCCGAGTTGGTCGATACCTCAGTAAGGGCCGGCCTCGCCCCGTTGCCATCACCCGGTAGCGGTCTCTTCATCGTCGGGGGCCGGTACTGCCCTCTGTTGGCGAGGGGACTAGCTCCGCCTCCCGGAGTACCGATCCTCCTGGCCTGGTTAAGATGCGGATTCACAACGTTCCCGATCCCCGACTGGAACCCTCCACCAGGTCTCGAACCAGGGCCTGCGCTCGGGACCGCTGGAGAGGCGGGCGCTTGGCTGCTGCTCTGCACAGCGTTCCTGGTCACGGGTTTCGACGAGTTGTGGTCGATGCCGGGCGTCTTCCTGATGGATGGGCTCTCTGCCTTTGGGTTGAAGAGTTGTTGTGCCTTTGGAATGAGACCGCTTTCCGCTGTTAAGCTGGATTCTGGGATATCCTTGTTTACGGCTCGGGCTGAGAAGAAGGCTACCGGTTCAGAGGGTCCAGGTACATGAGGCCTAGGACCTGGGAGGTTCGGTGCGTTCGCGACGGGTCGAGGGGCGACTTGAGGTGGCTGTTGTCTGACTCCTACGGCTGGTCCACCAAAACGAGGTCCCTGGTTTGGAGTTTGAGGGGCCCTATTCACAGGCTCAGGAGGTTTGTTCTGCGCAGATGGTGCTGATGGTCTAGATGGGTTTGGGAGCACGACCTCATCTGGATGACCTTCCTCGACAATACAGAAATCCGCATCATCGAAATCTACTCGTCAAGTTAGCCTGGTTATGCGAAAAAAGATGCCAGGTGGTAGGAGAGAAGAAGCCTACCGCCAAAGTCTTCGAATAGGTCCGAGTCAATGGTGTCTATTTCGGGTTCGGGTTCTGGCTTCGTCTCGTGCCTAACGGGAGCTTTCACCGGCACCACCTCCTTCTTGACAAAATCCGGGTGTCGATGCAGATTCTGCTCGTCGAACTTCGTCGGCGCAGGCTTAATCTTGATAACCTTCGACAGGTAGTCCTTATCATAAATGCAATTCCCCAGCACGTTCCCAAAGTTCCGCAACGCCCTCTTCAGGGCATCCGTAGTCGCCTGCTTCTTCGCCTTCTCAAACGCCGACGCCTTCCCCTTGCAATTTTCAATGTTTCCATATCCGATATCCTCGTGGTACGTGCCATCCCGAAGCGTCACCCTCACGACGACAGAGAGACCCAGACTCACCCGCAGCGTCTGCGGGTGTTCGTCGACGAAATCCACGGTGATGTTCTGGATCGAACTCGACCAGCCGTTGAAACCGAATACTTCGTTCGCTAGGGCGATGCATTTTTCCGACGTAATGTAGTGCACCTTGACGCCGCCGGGTCCTGCGCGGGATGATATGTATTCGGGGCCGAGCTGCTTCTGGAGCCGGCATTGGAGGATGGCGATCTGTTGGGCTGTGTACTCGGAGACGCGAGGTCGGGTTTCCTCAAACGGGTTGGCTGCATCGCCGTTGTGTTGGTCGCCTGGCCTGCACAGAGTACGTTAGGGAAAGCCCGAGACAACATAACTGTCCCGTTGAGGGATAGGAGATACGCACGCAGGCATGTCTAAGATCTCTGGACACTGTTATTTGGCTTGGGAGTCATATATCGAGATCTTTTAATATTCTATTGTAGTAGACAAAACCAAAAAGAAGGCCTATCGGGCAAATTGAATGCGGCTGAGGGTTGGAGATTGCCAATGCAAATCGTCGTTGGTTGGGGATGTTCAGCTTGCACGTCGTGAACTCCTGTCGCGTTCACTTGGCGTCTTAGGCTGCTTCTGCCTCAGACCGCGCCGGGATGGGTCTTTGGATGACGGGAGATCACGTGGTCAACTCTTGGACGGGGTTACCAGTCAAAAATTAGACTGGTCCGATTGAGCCAGCATCATCGTACACTAATTTGAGCGGCTCAGAGTGGATAACAACCAGGAACACTGAACCGTTTCGGACTTTTAGGTTCTATTTTAGGCACCGAAACCCTTAATTGGGCCGCTAGCTTCTCTGAAGCATATCCCAACCCCACGCTTCCTTCGTCGAAGATTCAGCTCACGTTCTCTCATTGCACATCACCAAATCCGCCTTCCTCCTCGAGAGTTGAAAATACCTTCATATACGAGGATACAGGAAGAACTCCCAACCGAGCAGCTCAAGTAGGTAACACTGCGACCAATAGCCAAGTGGTCATTAGAGCGCTCAGAAGGTTAGAAAATTGCAATTTTCGTAGCTCGTGGCAAGCAAACTTGATCAGTTCGATCCTAGGAGCGCGCCACGAGCGAGCTTTTTTAGTTCTCGCATTAATCTTGGGCAGGTCTTTTTTTGGTTATTTCTCCCAAAGTCATGAAAGTCCTTTTCGTAACAATTCCATTGACTTTTAATTATCATTGTTCAAGGGGATTGTTTCATTCACCCAAAACAACCAAGATAGGCGGGAAACACTTGGTGAATGTTGAAAGGGCAGGAACCCGGCTAAAACAAACCCCCAGTCCAGCGAAGAAAATAAAGGGAAAATAAAAACGTGGGAGGACAATCGGAGGGATTCAACATGTGCTCAAGCAAGCTTCTTTTTTTCCTTCTTTACCATAAAACGCTTCCCGGCGGCTAAGGTCGATCAGTCGAGCCTAGATTTCTCGGTTCACGGATGGGCGATCAAGCGAGGGATCGCCAAGAAGCCCATGTGTTCGTAGAGGCCCAGCCTCGATGACACCGGAAATCGAGGTTCTGCCGACGATTAAGAGATGCGTTTGATCACAGAGAGGAGGCGGTGGAACTGTTTATTACAGTCTACGTGTCTCTTGTGCGGTAACACCGCAGGATTCCAACCCTAAGCAAAAAAGTCACATAGGTGAAGCATAAATTTGACAATGAACCAAGACTTATGGAAGAGGTAGATATGCAGCAGCCAAAAGAGGCTGTATATTGAGTTTGTCAGGTTTCCCTAAGAACACAACCCATCGAGGCAATTACATTGACCAACTAACAAGCGTAGATGCCTACCCCAAAACCTCGATTTGCTTCGAGGCACCGCTCAAACCCGGATCCAAATATGCACCAAACAAAACTAGACAATAACCCAGTAGCCACCAGAATGTTCCCCGGCAAGAAGAGAATGCATGTGGATATCGATAGGAAGATCAGAAGAAACAAAGGGAAAGAAAACGATGGACATGAAGATGGAAGAATAAGAAGAAAAAGAACGCCACTAATCTTGCCCCAGGAGCAGAAACCCTTGAAACCAGCCGTCTATGCCTAAGCGCCGAAGCCGGGATGTGTAATGTAATCGTCGTGAAGTGTTCATGATGGTTAAGCCGGCCGTGGAAATATTGAAATGCTAACTCCGTATGTTGCTGTAGTCAATTACCAGGGTCCGACTTTAACAGGAGAGCCATAAGTGCCGGACATGAGTTGGTTGCGAATCGAAGCGGGGTCGGAGGGCGAGGGTTGTGCCGCAGGAGGAGCGTTGCCAATCCAGCCGACGCTGGTGGCCATGGCATTCATGGCGCCCAGGAGTAAATTTCCAGACTGCTCGTTGTGTTTCGCCAGGCGCTGATCCCAACCACCAGTGTGCAAGACGAACCCACCACCACGTTTCGCGGCCTCACTGATGACGAGTGCCCAGGCCTTTGAGATCTCTTCGTAGGCATTCTCCTTGTGATGTCGGTATGACTGGGAGTCCCAGTCGGGGAGAGAGTGGATGACCTTCGTGACGCCATCGAGATACTGAAGAGAGGCAGTGGCTTGCGTCTCTACGGGAGGCAGATATTGAGGGGTGAAATCGGCAATGGCATCGAGAAGAGCAACGAGAGGCTGCTTCACTCGGTAATAAACGTATTCCGAGCTCGAGTTTCCGTAAGGCATGGCAGCCTTTAATCGCTCCTGGTATTCTTGGAGAACACTGAGGGCTGAGGGGACGGTCGGTCGGGGAGCGCTGTTAACAACCTCCTGACCGATCTCAGGATGGCGATCGCATATCCGCTCCAATACGGTGCGGAGTTGGTTTGTGTCTAGGGTTTCGAGGAGGCGATGGAGAGCGAGGGGTCTACCGACGATTTCACTCGATCGGATCTTCTTGGATGGACGGGCGAGCTGGCGGGCGGGAAGGGCGGGAGATGTGTTAGGCGATACGGCCATCTCATCGCCGTCGTCATCGAGTCTTCGCTTCCGGCTAGACATGTTTGCCGTATAGGGCGATACTGAAAAGGGGTCAGGATTGGTGAACAAACCGGCCATGACTAGGAGGGGTTAAGCTGGGTGCAAGAAAAGACAGGAATAAAGGATCCGAAGTGATGTGGAGATGAAGAAGGGATGGTGGCGGTGTCGGGTAATAATAAAACTGCCCAGGACCTGAAGAAACGAAAATGAAGGAAACGGAAACTTACGAGGCCTTGTAGGGGAGACTCTGGAGGAGTTGTATTGATGAAGATGAGAGAGAGGTGGCGGCTGAGGGGAAAGCAAGACGTTCATCTTCTGCCACTCCCGAGATGAAGATGCCAGAGGTGCCCAGGCAACCAAAAGAAGTCGGGAGTGCAGGCAAGAATTTCCTCGACGACGACAGCCAGAAAATTAAATTAGCCCGTGAAGGCCAGGCATAGGAAAGGTCTAATGAAGTATAAAGGTAGATGGTGGGTGAAGAAGGAGGACGAGGCGGAGTGGAAGGAGAGACAAGTTTGATGTGTTTGTGTGTGTTGTGTTTTCATGAAAAAGTGGGAAGGTGAAAAGGGAAGTTCAGGAAATAAAAGGAGTCGGGCTTGTGGATGGGCAGGATGACAAGTGGAGCAGGCGACTGAGTTATCAATGTTGGATTGCCCGCCAAGCCAGGCCGATTTGGCTCCAATACAGCAGTGTACAGCAGTAGTGTAGCGTAGTGTATTAGTACGTAGTGCAGTTTAGTGCAGTGTACACAACACTACTTCATCCAACGATGGCGGGTGCGGGAGTTTCGTTTTAACACGGCACACACAGTGCAGCGCAGTGTGCGGGAGTTTGGCCAACCTACCAACGTATTAGCCGTGCTGCACCCTTTTGGGTGTGCCAAACAGGACCAGCAACCAGCAGGCGCTAGCTCAACCATACCGCCTAGCGCTGGGTGGTAGTGCGTCACAGGGTGGAGGGGTTATCCTGGGGTGGGGAAAGGGGGGTGTGCGTCGTTGCGTCAAGGGTAGTGTAATGCTGGTGGGGTGCTCCTGGCGCCTGGCGGCATCAAATGCAAACCAAGTGGCAAGGACTGAAGTACAACTGTGGTGTCTGGCTGCCCGATTGGTACGAAGCAGTATGGGATAGTGCATATGGCTGGCATCGTGCTGGAAAGTAATGTACTTCGTGCTTAACTGGCAGGAAGAGGGACCCAAGGAACGCATCATCAAGGTTGTCTCTTTGCCAACCAGTACCTCTCCACTCGCATGGCGGGTCAAGGCCACGCAGGGAGCCATGACAGGGCTATCCATCCTCATCCTCAGTCCAGTGAGAAGTCAGGACAAGGTCTGCGCAAAAAAAAAAAAAAAAAAAAAAAAAAAAAGGCCGCCAAATTGCCCCGGCAGACTTGAGGTGGTAGCCACCGATACTTCACGTTGCTTCGCACATCAGTATCAAATAATAGTAATACTTAACAGGTCACACACCAAGTTCTCAACCACCCACCAAACCAATCACCCTTAACCCGTCCTGTTATTAAATCACCAAATACTAGCTCCCCGCCTCCTAAGATCTTCGCCTTTGTTCAGGTTGAACAGGCCCGCTCAGACGTAATTCGCTTCGCAACCTCCACGCAGCCTCCACACGATGGGGGTTGATGGAGGAGGGGGTGTGTGGGAATGGATCAGCTCCATCACAGACCCTAATTGTTCGGCTGGTGCTCGTCATTTCATTCGCAGACATCGATATTGACCACAACTCACTGCAACTTTTGTTTTTCCATGTACGCCGATCAGTGCCCTTGGACCCTTGTTTGGGAAGACTTGGTACATCATGTGGGATATTACCGAATTCCGGGCAGGGATCGAGAAAGCTCGCCTTCAACACACCAGACTACCTGCCAGATTCGTCACTCTCATCAAGATTATCGCCGAGGCCTGTGTCCGAAGGAATTTGGACGGGGAGCTGAAGAATCCTTGTAACAGAGGAAGAGAAAATGAAAAGGTATCAATATGCATCCTGGCAGTTTACTTCGTAGACAATCTAACGAGTACTCTGGGGTGTCGCCTCCAATTGAGCCTCAGACCCATCAATTGCGCCGCTCATATGGATGTATACTTTGTAAATGTCCTGAGGATGGCGCTTCTATTCTTCCTGCTCCGTTCAATGTTGTTTCTACTATCCCACATGGATATAATTGCACCTAATATGGCCGTTCTCTGGAAACAAGGATTAGGCTTTTTGACCATGGCACACCTCTTTCTCTTCTGACCGGTATAACCCTCAGCCATATTATGCCAAAAAGAGAAAAGGAAAAAAAGAATAAGAAGAGGAGGGTGAGGAGGAAGAAATAGAGACTCGTATTTATTCATACCGCTTTTTCCGCCGAAGGTGCACCGACCACCAGTCACTGTCGGGGCGAATGGTTCATCATGAGTGGACTTGAAGAAAGGAGCTGGCGTCGCCATGTCGTCATCCTTCTAACACATCTCAATACTTTGTAACGACTACTCTTGAACGCATACTTGAGAGCTTTGATGTTATCCGCGTATAGATTCCCATGCTTTCGCAATCTGGAAGACTATGCCATGGACAACCTTTCAGGTTTTCAAAAAGAGGGCTCGGTGTGATGACAGATGCAATAACATATTTCCACCAACGGCCAGTTGACGACGTCGACCAAGTCAATGTGGCAGCTATGAAGTTGACATTGGATTGCTGGAATAAAAGTGAGGGGGAGGAAAAGTACATATACAACAGGCTCATACCTCTTTACAGGTATAAGAGAGCGCAGCCCAAGACTATCCTCAGCGTTCGTCGTGCGCCTCTTCCCCGCCAAACTTGCTTCTTCCATGGCTGCAGGAGCTGAGGGTGCGAACTATGCAGGTCAGTTGAACGATGTGTTAGGGCAGTGTTCGTCTAACCGCAAAATGGAATCAAACGGCTATCATTTGACATGCATAAAAACAAAAGCCGGATTTTAGCTGTGGGTGGGCAATACTACAAGACATTGCCCGACGTCCACCTTGCAACAAACTATTACGAAGTACCTGTGTACGGAGTAGGGTGTTCCAGATCCCCGCTCATGTTGCCTGACACAAAATGTCAAGATCGGACACCCGAATGAAGTCAAGATTAATAGTTGCTGCCAGTGTTGTTGCGGCATCGATGGTCGATATTAAAATAAGACCCGACGAGGTGCAGCTGTTGTTGGAAGAGGAGGAGCGAATATCCAAATGATTGATATCAATTGATGAACTCTACACAATAGATGAGATTGATGGGATGTTTGGTTAATCCGACCCTGAAAAGATCGTTGCCAGACTGTGTAACTTTGGCGGTCCGTATTAGTGCGGGGCGTCATCCCGTCTTATCTTATCAGGCTGAAAGAGGAAAGATTGCAAAAAAATTGCTTATCGATTAGAAAAATTAAAGCGAAAATGAAAATCCCGTGAAAAGTTCAAGGAAGAACAATTGCACTCGGAGCATCCAATTCACCATAAATTGACTTCGATAATACTTTAACCCCATCCTACCTCCCAGCCATGTCTAAAGACGAAGAGACTCTTCGTGAAGGCACGTCGCGCGACGCCAGCCCGACGTCCGATTCGGAAAAATCAAAGAAGCGGAAATCCACCATCCACGAAATCGAGGTCGACTTGAACGCTCCCGAACCGCCCTCCAAGCGAGCGAAGCGTGCACTGAAGAAGGGAAAGAAGCTTCCGGCGAAAGGCGCAAATGAAGATGACGAGAAGGACGGTGAAGATGCTAAGGAGGACAAGGCGAAGCGGTCAGAGCACGGTGTTTGGATAGGTAACCTTCCTTTCACGGTGACCCCCGCCGAGCTGAAGCAATGGTTGGTGGACAACTCGGGAGGCGTCGTTCTGGAGGAATCCATCACGAGGATAAAGATGCCTATGAACAAAGACAAGGCGAGAGGCAGAGGCAGGGAGGATAATAAGCCTATGAACAAGGGTTTCGCCTACGTCGACTTTGACGGAATCGGAGCGCAGATGGCCGCCATTGCGTTGTCCGAGAACAAGCTAGGATACCGAAGTCTGCTCATCAAGAATTCTACGTCATTCGAGGGACGCCCGAAGAAGGAAAAGACAGAGACCGCGGCGGAGGCTACCACGGAAGCCGAGCTGGCCAAGAACACGAATCGCAAAGTGTTCGTGGGCAACCTCGGTTTCGCTACCAACGAGGACGATCTATGGAGCCACTTCGAGAAGTGCGGCGAAATCGAGTGGGTAAAGGTGGCTACGTTTGAAGATACGGGCAAGTGCAAGGGCTACGGCTGGGTCAAGTTCAAGACTCCGGAGGCGGCTTCTTGGGCCGCCAAGGGCTTCGTCAAGATCAAGGAGGAGATCTTGACAGAGGACGATTTCCGGGGACCTCAAGAGGCGAAAGACGAAGGCGGCGCTGATGCCGATGCCGATGCCGATGCTAAGGACGGCGAGGAGAAGAGGAAGTACAAGATGAGGAAGTGGTGGGTCAACAAGCTCAAGGGCAGGACCCTGAAAATTGAAATGGCCGAGGACGATCAGGCACGCTACAAGAAGAGATTCGGCAAGGACAAGCGACCGGATGCCCAGGGCCGTGACGTCAACTCGTCGATGGCGTCTGAAACGGTTGCTGCGTAGACTTGGTTTTACGCATGTCGAAAACAAAAGAACGTCGGTTTTGATGATCAGAGACTCTTTCGCAACGGGGCACGGATCAAATGCAATTGATGCTTTGTTTGAAATATTCATGATGGATCGGGATTTGATATCAAATCATTTAGAGTTGATTTGTCATCCGGGTGTCCTTGGCTTGGGATTTCAATTGTTCTATTGTTCCTTTCTCCGGTGATGGTGGGATTAATATAAACGGGAAGGGTTTCCCCAGTTTGCGATTCTGAGCCTCTTTTTTCCGAGATGTCGTCATTGAGCTGTCCTATGACCACTCGAACCTGAACTTAACCTTTCGATCCGGCGCACTCTGTGATCATTTTCGACTCTTTACCCGTTTTAGGATCCAGCAATTCATTTTGACCATGGCCAAATCTACCATCTTCTTCACATTGGACACGGTCTGTCCTTGGTAAGCGGCGTTATCCTCAGTCAGAATTGAAGGATTAAACGAGACTAACACTTCGCCTCCTAGGACCTATGTCTCCAAGAAAAGGCAAGTCATTGACCCAGAAGAGCCGCCCGCCCACACACTGGCACAGCTTGGATGGACCTATATGCCTGCACTAACACCACTAACACGCGTAAAATAAACCCTCTTCCCCTAACCCGACTAACAAACCCAAAACACCCAGACTCGAAAAGGCCCTGAACATAATCCGCTCCGGCCCCGACTCCTCCGCCGTGACCTTCACAATCCTCATCCGGCCCTTCCAACTCGACCCCACCTTCCCCGTCGAACCCGTCTCCAAGCAAGCCCTCCACAAAGAAAAGTTCGGCGACCAATGGCCCCTCCTTGAGGCGCGCATGGCGGGCATCGGCGCCGCGGAGGGCATCAACTTCCGTTACGGGGGCGTCATAGCAAACACACTCCCGGCGCACCGGTTCCTGCAGCAGGTGCAGAAGGAGAAGGGGCCCGAGGCGGCGTGGGGGGTGTTGGGGCAGTTGTATAGGCGGTATTTTGAGGAGGAGCAGAGTCCTAGCGCTGGTGAGACGCTGGAGGCGGCGGGTGTGGAGGCTGGGTTGGAGGAAGGGTATGTGAAGGGGTTGGTGAAGGGGAGCGAGGGGACGGAGGAGGTGAAGAGGTTGTTTAGGGAGCAGAGGTTGGATGGGGTTTCGGCTGTGCCGCATATTGTGATTGAGGGGAAGAAGAGGGACATTAAACTTATTGGGGCGAGGGATGTCGAGGAGTATGTGAAGGCGCTTCAGACGATTATTAACGAGAGCAAGTAGGTAGTAACGTTGGGCTCGGGGGAGCATCTTATTAGTAGAGTAAGATACTAGAGGTGTTTACTTTGCGTTGTATTTTCCCCATCTCGCTGTTTCTAATAGTGTGCTAACACCCACTGCCTCCTCTCTTCAACACCCATAGACTTATAGTTTTCGATTTCAACTTCCTTAACGGCAGAATACCTCTGTACCAATTCCTGGCCTATCTCGTTACAGAGGCCCCTATCCCTTTTCAGTTTGTCCAGCGCCTCAGAAAGGTTGCCAGGCAACATGTCTACGATCCCAAACGAATCCTTTGCCGACTGTCGAAGTGACGCTGGGTCCCAAGGGCAATCCTTCTGCCTCAACTTCGTCTTTGTGAGAATTCCGTTCACACCGGCACTTAGAACAGCTGCCATGGCGAGATAGGGGTTGGCTATCCCGTCCATGCACTTGAGCTCCCAGTGGCTGTCCTTTATCTTGCGTAAAGGTGTCTCGCGGTTCTGGGTACCCCAGGCGATCCACCTCCCACCAGCCCAGCAGCCGTCAAGAACTCTCTCGTAACTCGCCGGGTGGCTGTAGGTAAAGGCGCAGACACCACCCAAGTGATGTAGGATGCCTGCGTAAAAGTTTTCGTATACGACAGGATCATCGCCGCCGGGGGAAGATATCGACATGTGAACGTGGGCTGCGTTTCCGGCTGCCATGCTGAAAGGCTTCGGATGCAGAGTCATGCGATAGCCGGAAGCGGCGGCTACGGAGGCGATAACTTCCCGGACGAAGAGAAGGTCGTCGACGGCCTGGAGGGTAGGCGCTGCAGGAAGGACCACTTCTAATTGGCCTGGGGCACTCTCCGCGTGGACTTGTTCAATGTGAACGTCAACGCTTCGCAGATAGGAAATGGCTTTCTCGATGATATCGGAGAAGATGGGGCGGTCGAGCATGCGAGATGATGACCAGCAATGGCCATCGCTATGCTCATTCCGGCCAATGGTGTTGTCAGCTTCCTTTTGCATGAGGACAAGTTCAAGCTCGAATCCGAGAAGGAATTCATAGCCAAGTGAACGCGCGGATTCCACGATTTTCTTCAGAGTCGATCGAGGGCAGAGAGGAGATGCTAAGCCGTCGGCTGTTTTGAACTCGCCGTACACTGAAAGATGACTCGGTCGCGGGCCGCGCTTCACCCATGACCAGTCGGGATGGAATTTGAACTCTCCTGTAGGCGACGTACCAGGAGCAAGGGTGTCATTTTGCATAAGCCCGAGAGAAGCCGTGGTGATTCCGACTGAGAAACTACCTTCCTTAAGGCGCTTCTTTACATGGTCGATATCCACAGCTCGAACGCGCGGTGTACCTGTCATGTCATTCCAGTAGAGGCGTAGGTATCGAATGTCTGGGTCTTGTGCCAAGAAGGCGTCAAGAATCTGAAGGGGGCGTTGCTCGATGGTGCTGGACTGGATTTGAGAACCGACAAAATTAAAGTTCTGGGTTGCGATCTGGGGCTTTGGAAGCTTCAGTTCGTAAAGCTGGTTGGCGTTCTGGTACAGGATACCGACTGCAATATTCTCGGCATCTTTCCAGGACAGATCACCTTTACGAACGTAATCGACGAGGACCTGGCCATATACAGAGGTCAGTCTCACTTCGGAATATAAAGTTGGCGAAAAAAGGAGCGTAGTCAACTAACAGCTTCCAAGACTTCTCTGAACTGAAGCTGGCCCAGGTAGTACATCTCCGGAAAGAAGTTACCATCGGTGCTAAACAGTAGCTTGGACCAAGGAGTCAACTCGAGAAGTTGATGCAGGACGGCCTCCTGCCCAGCCCGGCTGACACACGGAAACACCTCGCCAACATCCACCCACACATTGGCATAGGTGTTAGCCAGGTAACCGGCCTCTCTTGAAAAGGGGTATCCGGCGTGCAAGAGGACAATCTTGATAAAACGGTGGGCGCGGATAAAGTCTTGTAGATGGGAAGGAGAGGAGCGGGCGAGATTCAAGTCATTGTCGCCGAATCCCGTATGAATCTGCAAAATCTTGCGCGAACGAGGTGGAGCTTCTTGAATCATCCGAGCTGCTCTGAGGAGGAAGAATTCACTCAAGGAGGGCTGGTGAAGGCGGAATCGTGAGGTGTTCTTTGTATGTTTCCGGCGCCAAAATTCCTGTGCGAGAGCAGTTTTGGCCGAGTCGCCATGAACGAACCCCGGAATCTCTAGCCCAGTTCGATAGCAGATTACCGATTTGAATGCGGCAACGCGAGGGTCCTTCAGAGCAGCCAAGATCTCGTCATCGAACCGAGTTAGGACCTCTTGGAATTTAATAGTATCAGGCTCAGGCGGTGGGCTGCCAACCACTTCAAGCAACTTGTTGATAATATCCTCGACTACTCGCTCTATGCGAACGACCCTCCAGCAGGCGCTCTCGGTGTAAGCTGATAAATCCTCATACCGGTAGAGCTCACCAGGATTACCAATTCCATCATCAACGAGAATAGTCTCAGTCCCCGAAAGACACCGACCGATCCAAGCCTCATACTTCATTGGATCTCTCTTGCCCTCGGTGGATTTCACCACGGCCTCCCATGTCGGCGCGCATGAATGCAGACTCGCTAGCTGTTTCGTAGCCCTTATATGGGCGAGGGATGATGGCGTAAACGAAAGAGCCTCCCCGTTGGCCTCCGACACGACGCCCTCGAACGGATACGATGACAGCGCTGTGGGGAGGAGTAAGGGATGGGCATGGTTGTCGACGACGGGGATTGTCTTGATGACATGGCTGAGTCGATCTCGACCGGCTTGATCGTTGTTGCTAGTGGTCTCCGTCATTTTTGGAGGGCGTATTGGGTTCGTGACTGGAGGTTTTAATTTAGACAAGTAGTAAATGGCAGCCAATCGTCAATCTGATGGAGGCACTCGGATGGAGGCGAATGTGTGCGAAATGACGAGGAATTGCGTGATGACAACCTGGCCGGAGTTGATATGCACCTCGATCTGGCAACACAGTCCACAGTCTACGTTGTACAGTCTTTACGGGAAGGAATCTTGGGGGTTATCGGACTCTTTCTACCTATACAGAGATGATTTTTCTCAACGACAGGCGCCGCAGGGAGCTGAGATAGAAAAAGCATCGCGCAAATGGCACCTCACAGGGTGATCATCAGCGGTGTTGGCCTGTGTAGCCAATGAACTCGTATGCGGATAGACGCCTAATGCAAGATACTGCAGACGGCACGCCGATCAACGCTGTTCGAAATAAGAGCAACCCGCCTGATGGCGATATTACTCCGTACGCGAAGGATTTCATAGGGCTCCGAGGGCTGTGGGGACATGAAATTAAAGTTGCCAAGGCAAGAGGAGAGAGGTGGATAGAGATTAGTGTCGAGACCTAGTCGAAGAGATCTTACAGGATCTCACGCTACGGCTTGTCGAACCTTCTAGGGCACGCTTCAATTGCTACCTAAAGGATACCGAGATAGATCTCAATTCTAGATTATTTTGGGGCGGCGGTGTAGTTTATGAAGGTGTCCGCGTGTGTAGGTTTTGTCGGCGACTCGGTCATGTCCGTGTAAGTCCCCGACTTCAACTCAACTGGAGCATGGAGCACAGTACGGTTGGTGGAAACCGATCGCATCTGTATACCGGGGTCAAATTCCTTCGTTTTGTAGGAAAGAGAGACTGTAGACGTGAACTGTCGGGGAGAGCTTGGTGGTGACAACCTACTGCCTCTGAAGAAAATGCCATCGATGATATCGCATACAACAGCATAGACATGAAGGCTTGCCCTGCTCCAGTCATAAGATAAAGTCCTTACTATGCTTTGCCATCTAGTTTGATGTGAGGTGAGCGATATTAAAAGCATCTTCGCTATGGCTTGCACAACTCTAGCCCCATCACCACCTTGCACTCCGAGTTGAAGAGTCGTCGGATGGTCTGGAGCTAGGTGAGGCAGCCGGATCGGCAAGGCTGCGCCTCGGCGGAGAGTGTGGTATTTTGCATTTCGGTGAAGGGCTAATAGGACATGCCTCTCAGAGTCCACACTTTGAGCATATCGAAACACTTTGATCCTACCAAGAGAAAGGAAGAGAAGAGGATTGGGTTTCTCACATCAAATGGGAAGGATCGTTACACCCGACCTGCCTTTGGCTGATATGGAAGGAGCCCCTGTTGCTTGGCCCTAATCATGGGAAGTGAATTATCCTCATTCACTGGAAAACCCTTCACTGAGAAGATCCCGACAGTCCTTTTAGCCCCTTCAAGTACCTCCAAGCACCCACACTTCTTCTCACTTCCTCCTCAGAACAATCACCTTTCACCACACAAGCACAAGAAACAAACCAACTTCCACCATGCTTTCTCATGCCGTCTACGCTGTTGTTCTCGTGGCGAGTGCTGCCACTAGTGCCATTGCTGGCCCCGCCAATCCCTCCAGCGGAAAGCTCTATCCCTGCGAAATCACCATCTACAATGTTGGCACCGGCTCCCAGAACTGCAGCACTGATGGATCTGCCCACATCTGCAGCGGCAGCCACGACATGATGACCACCCTTCTGAAGTACGATGTTCCCAATTCGCTAGCGGGCTATAAATGCCAGCTCGACTTCATTCTCGGTTCCGGATCGACCTCGGGCTCCAACCGTCTCCAGCTTTACGACAGCATCACGGCCTCTCCTGCCTGTGCCCAGCAGGATGGCTACATCGCCAACTGGCCCCCCAGCAACTGGCGCGGCAACAACATTGGCGACCTTACCGTCCTCCCGACCGGAAGCTCGCCCATCACAGGCTACGGCGACTCGCTTGTGAATTTTCAGGACTGCCCCGCTGGCCAGACCCTCGCGTACGAGCTTGTTGGCCAGGGCGACGATGTCGCGGTCAAGTTCAACGGATCCTCTGACGGCCTTGCCATCTTCTACTGGAAGTAGATTCGACGGTTGCATTTCTTTTTTGTTTCTTCATAGAAACGGGAGCCGGCACACTTTGGATCGAGACCACAGGAGTCATGGCGTTGAGATAGACTGTTTGTCTTTTTGCCTCTGGGTTTCGTTCGTTTACTTCATCTGCCTGTCCATTCGGGACGCCGGCTTCGATTAAAGTTAATACAAGATCGAGTTCATTTCGCCATTGAGTCCGTCAATCTTGGGAAGTGACATCATTTCGATATTCGTAGAAATCGCCGGTGATACTACTGCATTGTTTGAGGAACCGAATACTCGTGGACAAGTGATCGTCAAATTCTCGTCTTTGAATCAGTTCAGTCGAGACATAGTCAGGATGATGCCACATGCCAGATGGAAATCGCCCTTACGCCCACTTGCCTTTTTTGGACCGAGTCTGGGGAACAACGAGGACTGAGTCCCTTAGTCATCAGAACTCGTTGAAATAAACTACATCGTAATGCAAGATCCTCATTGATTTTGTACACGACTGCCCGAAAACTCAATGGAGCCGCTCTGACGAATCTGGAACTGGGCGGACTTATTTATAAAGACTGTTGGATGTGCCCATCACACTCCCCTCAGATCATTGGAGCTCTACATGGAAAAACTGGATTTTTGTTGTTTTGAAACGACCGGCAATCGCAGGACAGGAAACATCATGCATCCACATAACCTTTCTCCGTCCGCCATGGGAGCCGATGGGGACACTTTTGGCTGAAGCAGTGGATGTGGAATTACAACTCCCAGCGTAGCGTATTGAGTCGGAATGCCTCTTGGAGATTGGAGCCCGCTCCACTCTGCTTGTTAGAGGCATTGACATTGTAATGAGCTCAATCGATCTTCCCGCCGAGTCCGAGATCTATGCTTGTACTGGGTACAAAGGCCACGGAGTATGATTAGCGCCCAGACTGCACAGCCCCCTTTGGATTGCGCTGGCTCAGGGCACCTGGGCCAAAGATATGTCCCATTCTGAACCCCTCCTAACCAATCATTTGCCAAGGACAAGGTATTAGGTACTTAGAGTACGAATTTTGCGAGACATTTGATCCTGTTTTGGACATTCGGGTTACGAGTGTGGACGCGCATTCGAGGCAAGTACCGAGTAACAGTGTGGGTTGGCATTGATTGATCCATGCTGGCGGTTGTTCGCTCTTTGATGCACTCTCAGCCAGTCGCCATTTTGATGTCTTGACCCCTTTCTTGCCCAGTACGAGGTAATAGTGTACCTTCCTTTCATGTGCCTGACCCACCAATATGAGAAGTACTTAGACCACCCATATCGTACCCGTGTCCACTGTTATTACCCCCCAGTCTGTCTCCCAGTGCTCTTTCCTCGTCTTTCTCTCCCTCAGTTTTAGGTGTGAATTATTACTATCCACTGTCCACCATCCACCGTCCGTCTGCAGGACCGACCGACACACTCGCCCTTCCTTTATTCTTTGTTGTCTCTGCCAATACGGTGGCTCATCGCCCGGTTTTGCAACCTGCCCCCTTTCATCCATCGAGGACGAAACATCATCCGGTCGCTTGTCGTCTCCTTCTCTTCGAACTCTCCCTTATTCTCTTTGTTCTTCTCGTTTTTATCGCCCAACCACGCTCGTTCTACACCCGCCCTCGATTTAATCGGACATTTCCAACCGGTCCACGGTCCAGATAGCCCGCTCACTTTCGTTTCAAAAGTCATCCTCGTCGCCAGTCCAGCTCTCTCGCCAAAACACTCAATTCCCCCTAACCCCACGACCTCGCCACGACCGCGGCACCGGCTCTGAACCACGAATCCCACGATCCAGTTATTTTGCGACCAGGTCGCACGTTGCTGCAATGACCGTCACATCTACTGCCCGCCGTAGCGCGGCGCTGTTGCTCGCCCTTGGCAGCATGGCAAACGCTCAGTCTGTTTTCAAGCTCGACACCGATGGTAAATCGTTCCTTCGCCGGCATCGGCAATGGCATATGTCTTTCTCCCTCGGGCTTTTCCGGGCAATGATTGCGTCAAAATGCGCAATCGAGGGCGGTTGGCGGAGAACGTAGATGTAACTAACATGGTGCCATATTACAGACGAGATCCGCGCATCCGCTCGAACGCTCGCCTACGATACGATGCTCTACTACCACGGAAACGAAACTGGCCAGACTCCCGGTATCTTGCCAGGACCTCCTCCTGGCGGCGATTACTACTGGTGGGAAGGAGGAGCCCTCTGGGGTACCATGCTTGATTATTGGCACTACACAGGCGACTCGTCCTACAACTCCGTCATCAGCCAAGCGCTCCTCTTCCAGGTCGGCGAAGGTGTCGACTACCAGCCTCGAAACCACACCGCCTCGCTGGGAAACGACGATCAAGGTTTCTGGGGCATGTCTGCCATGCTGGCTGCCGAGCTTAACTTCCCTAACCCGCCCTCCGACCAGCCTCAATGGCTTGCTCTTGCCCAGGCTGTCTGGAACACTCAGGCCGCTCCCGATCGTCATGACGAGACGTGTGGTGGTGGCATGAGGTGGCAGATTCCTTTGTCCAACAACGGATACAATTACAAGAATAGTAAGTTTGATTTTTTTTCCTCTTCCTTTTTGGGGGGTCCTTTGTTCTCTGTCTGTACCTTTGGAGAATTAACGCGGTTTAGCCATTGCGAATGGATGTTTCTTCAACCTTGGTGCGCGTTTGGCCCGATACACTGGCAACTCGACCTATATGAAATATGCCGAAGAGACCTGGGATTGGCTTGTGAATATTGGCTATATTGCCGATAACTGGGACATCTACGACGGTGCTCATGTCGAATCCAACTGTACCGACATCAACAAGGCACAGTTTTCGTACAACGCTGCCGTTCTCCTGCAAGGCATGGCCTACTTGTACGACTTTGTAAGTCCCCGAATCGGTCCTATCCGTCTTATGCTATCAGGCTTCCTGGTTTCTCTCCCTGTGTGTGTGTGTGGTGCGTGACACATACACATGCTCTCTCGGCTCAAGGGTGGTACTATGTAAACCTCTGTATGAACTGCGTATTTCTAACCCATTCATCTATGGTTCTAGACCGATGGCAGCCAGCGCGCGATGTGGAAAACGAGAATCGATGGCCTCCTTGCCCGGACACTTGAGGTCTTCTTCCCCGATAACATCGCCTACGAAGTCTCCTGCGAGCCCGGACTCACTTGCACCACCGACATGTACAGTTTCAAGGGCTACGTTCACCGCTGGTTGACTAATCTCGTGCAGCTCGTTCCTGACACCGCTGACAAGATTAAACCGGTCCTGAAAACGTCTGCCCAGGCCGCCGTCAACCAGTGTGTCGGTGGGGATTCTCAACGAGCATGCGGCTTCAGCTGGAAGTCGGGCAAGTTTGATGGCAAGATGGGCGCTGGCCAGCAAATGAACGTACTCGCTGCCGTGTCGACCCTTCTAGTCGATAGCGCGAAGGGCCCGCTCACTGCCAGCTCTGGAGGTACCAGCAAAGGAGATGTCAACGCCGGCTCCAACAGTCCGTACCAACGCGAGCATGCCCCCATCACCACTGGAGACAGGGCTGGTGCTGGTATCCTGACTGTCATTGTCCTCGCCGCCGCGACCGGCACATTTGGCTGGATGAGCTGGGAGAGGTGAAGTGATGGCTCTGTGACACACGAGGTGTCGTTTTTTGTTGGGCTCCCGAAAGGAGTGGCATAACCCCCGGCTCTAAAGAGCCCCGGGAAGTTTTCGCGGTCGGTTTCACACTTTAAACAAGCATGAGGTTTTGGGCAGGTTTACAAATGGCGTCGGGAGTGGAAGGATCGGGTTCGATATTACCTTACAACGAAATACTTTCCTGTCTTGGTACCGGCTACGGCTCGCGGCTTTCTATATTTATTATTCCTTTTTTTTTTTCTTATTGTATTTTTTTTTGTTTGAGTTTATTTAATTTCCAAACTGGGTCCTTCTTCAGATTGTGACGCAGCTTCCCCATCTGGGAATGTTGCGCAAAGATAGTGTCTACATAGCTGCTGGTTTCTAGTTCCGATCGCTGTCTATCTTCATGGAGTTTAGTCTGAATTAGCAGTTGATATCTGGCCAGTAAACTGAATACTACATGTAGTATTGTTTGTTCAATTTTGTTCGGTTTTGGCGTGGTGTCGTGAGTCTGTGCAAGGTGTGTGACAAGTTTCAGCCTCGTATTTGATGCGGTTCTCAGACCCAAGCCTTGCCCTCACCAGCTTCTAGACTTCTCTCCTACCCTTTCTACCAGGGCAAACTTTAACATTCTCAATAGCTTCCGAGCCACCGACCTCTTTTGCCTTCACCCCGCCATATCTCATATTCAATACCTTCGACCTTTATCCCATCATCCCTCCCAAACACATTAGCAGGAACAACGCAACCATGTCCCTCCTCTCCAACTTCACATCCACAACCACCTTCCCCCCCTTCGACTCCCTCCCCAGCACAACCTCCCCCAGCCCCTCCGAACCCTGGTACCTCGTCGCCCAAATCTTCGAAAACATGACAATAACCCAACCGACGCTGATATGCCGCGACCGCAACAGCGCTAGCTTCGCCCTCACCTTCGAAGACCGCGACTTCTCCCTGTCGTCCTTCAAGAAGGGCTTCACGGTCGTCGTGAGGCGCGCGAGGAGGACGGAGGCGAGGGAGGAGGGGAAGAGGGGGTTTGTTACTGTTGAGAAGGGGGAGGAGGGGGTGAGGTGTCTTCCGGGGTCGATGGAACGGGTGTTGGTTTTGGCGGGGGATATGGGGGAGGGGGAGGGGAAAGAGGCTTGTGGGGTTTGTGGTGGGGAGGGGAGGAGGAGGTGTACGGGGTGTGGATGGGTTAGGTATTGTGGAAAGGTAGGGTTTTATTTGACTTCCTCTCTCTCTTTGGGTTTGTTTAAGATGATGCGAGAGGTGGAGGTTACGATGCTAACGAGAGGGGGGTTTGTAGGACTGTCAGGTTAAGGGGTGGACTGAGAAGGGTCACAAGAGTGATTGCAAGATCTACAAAGCATTGAGGGAGTTGGATGAACTCGAGTCTTGACGAGGACACCAAGAGCGACTGGATGCTAAGACGAGTCAAGCACGCGATAGGGAAGGCGGCTGTCTTCTCCCACTCTTTCTCCCCGGTATTGAGAATGCCAATGGAATTCCAACGAGCCAGGACGAAGGAGAAAAGACATGGTTCCACGGCTTTAGGGACATGGCTCCATGAACGTAGAAAGACATGAGTAGACGTAGATTTGGGTTATTATATATATCCATTTAAGGCGGTTGACGACTATCGCACAACATGCCCCCCGCCCTCGATTATGCCATTAACAAGTATGAACGCTTTTTGTTTTCCGTATCCACAGCCCACCGGTTCGTCCGAATCAACGCTCTGCCCATATTAAATAACGGTATATCGAGATATGTACAGAAATCGAACAACAACGACAACAACGCCCAATCAACCGACAACCCATTATGCCTCCCCATTAGATGACGTACTGTGAAGGGAAAGTTAGCTCGAGAGTGCTGAGAGTAATGTGGAGAGTAATGTGTTGGGCCATGGAGCTTGCTTACAGGAATGAAGAGGTAAGGGACCTGCTTCTCGTACTGGAGCCAGGTCTCACCATACTTGGTTCGACACCTTCGAATGTCACGAGCGGCACGGTGAGCGATCATAGTGCAGAAGAAGACGGGATAGAACCAGGGGAAAGGGCTCCTGCATAGCTGTTAGTCCACCTTGTTACGCCAATGAGAGTTGCGAGAGATATTATGACTGATACGTACTTGAACCCGGTAATCAGACCCCAACTGACGGCGAAGAAAACGTCGCAGGTGTAGTGGATCTTGCGAGCATACCCGTACCATCCGTCAACGAGAATGGTATCGCCAGAAGGAGTCGTGAGAGTCTTGGGGTTGTGGATAGTCTGCCAGGGAACCTGGGGGAAGGTCCTGCGCCAGACAACCTTGCCGCGCTCCATGGCCCGGAACCTGTTCTTCTGGCTGTTGCAGCTGTCCCAGATCCAGTAAAAGAAGAGGTAAGAGACGAAAAGCGCGGCAAGGGCGACTCGGTTCCATCGGTACTCCGAAGGGTCGTGGTTGGCAAGGTAGATGGTGCAGTGGCAGTACGAAAGAGGGACACCGGCCAGATTCCAGAAGATGAGCATGAATCCCCACTTCTCGTAGTACATGTCCCTGTTTCAAGGCGAAAGACAGTTAGCTAAACACTCTACGCGCAATCGACTTTGAATTTCAAAATGCGACCAAACTTACCAAGTGGTGACGATAAGCTCCTCGCCCTTGGAGCAGGCGTTGGCGTAGAGGTAGTGGGCCATGACGAGGAACATAACCTCTCCAGAGACATAGCCGTACCTCTCATACTGACGGGCAGCGGCACCGCAGCTCAAGAAAAATAGGATGTACCAGGGAAGTCTGACTTCGAAGAACATCTTAAAATCGAGGATGCCGAACATGCGGGGATTCAGCTCCGCACCCATGAAGAAGTCATAGATGGGGTAGCCAGTCATCCTGTGCTGAGCTCCGCGAGCGAGCGCCGAGAAGTATGCGATGAAGCTGACGATGAAACCACTGCAAATGGCAACGGAGAGCAGAGGGCCAAACTCGTCAATGATGGTGTACAGAGGGAAAACGCCAGTGTAATGGAGGATTCCAGCGACCAGCATGCTAAAGTAGAGACTGGTGTAGGCGCTGCAGTAGTACTTGAGCTGCTTTCCTCCAGCGTGGGGGAGCGGCTTGCCATAAGCCCAGACACCGGGCAAGAGACAGTAACAGGCGCCCTCAAAGATGAAGAAGGACCAGTAGATCTTCCAGGCCCTGAGGGTCGGGAAAGCGCCGGTATACACAAGATCGACGAGGTGTTGTCCGAACTCCGACCAGCTCTGGCCAGGCTCGGGCTTTGGCAGTCCACCATCGTAGTAGGTCGCGCCAATCCACATGTACCACATGAGGAGAGGGAAACCAATCATCAAGCCCAAGGTGCCAAAACTGCCGCCGAACTCGAATTCGCCAGAGTAGTCTATCTTGGGGTCTCGGCCGGGAATCCAGCCATCAACAGCCGCTGTACCAGAGAGCTTCTCAGGCTGAGCATGCCCGTTGGAAGCTGGCTTTTCAGCCGGCTCCGCGACAGGCGTGGTGGGTTTGGTGGTGGCCTTTGTGGTCTTGACCGGTGTCTTGGGGGGCTCTTCTTTTTCCTCTTCGCTAATATTCTCAACAAACCTGGCCGTTCTCCGTCGAGTTGGCCGTGCGGGTTTGGCAGTCGTCTCAGCTGCGGAGCCGGAGTCGCTGTCCTCGACTGGCGCGGACGTCGAACGACGTGTCGCTCGTCGCGGTGTCTCAATCATCCCTTCGAAGAGCTCCTTCTTTCTAATCACATTGCAAGGCATCATTGGTTAGTTCAAGTACATGAAGAATTCACTCAATAATGCCGAAGAGGCGGTGGCCCGTCCTCCTCGACATGATTGGGATGATTCTGGCTACCCAGACCGCACAATGGGCGAGAAAAAGGAGTTGCATACCGAGGAGTTTGCCTGAGCGAGTAACGACCCGACATCTTGAGAATTGGAAAGAGGAAACCAAGGGAATGTCACTAGAAAAGGGGAGAAGAAGAGGCCTTTAAAGTGGGCATGAAGGCACCCGAGGCTATAGATGCATGATCCGATGCAGCGCGAATTCGAGAGAGATGCAGGATGAATCAATTGACGAGTGTCCTCATGAGACTCAAGCCAGGGTCCAACAAATAATAACAAGTTGGGAAGCTCAGCTCAGGGTACTTCGTACTCGTGTCCTTGTATTATTTGGTTGACATTGACGAAAAGTGCCGGTCACCAGGGGCGATCAATCTTAGAGCCGTTCTTCGCTAAGGGCTGGGCATGTTCCGCCTAAGAGCTTCCATTTAGGGACCTAACTAATACCCCGTGGCACACGTTCCTGAGCCACTGAGCGCACTAACAATGTCACCAACTACTGGAAGTACAATATTGTACAATAGTACGAAAGTCGTGATCATAAATCGGTCGATTCTTCGCGAATTCGATTACGAAGAATATGCATGATCAATCAATGTGCATCGACAATTGGTATGCAATGACAATCAATATGCAATGTTTCAACGTTCCAACTGGGTAGAGCAGGAACAATGGAGCAAGGCCTTTGCTCCAATTGTATGGAGTACAAGTAAACTACGATTTGTTACGTACTAATTCGAAAATGGAGTTTGGACCCTGAATCATTAGGTAACCAGATTCTGCCCAATCAAAATTCGGCCCTTTGACATTGCTCCAGTCGAGGAAGGAATTATTATGTAAAATGTTTTCTGCCGGGAGTGATTGGGGGCACACCTCACCGCCTTCGCTCGAGTATATAGCCGACACAATCCTCGCGCTTTTCAACCTTTTCTTCTTTTCTTCTTCAGCTCTCTTTGCCTGTACGTTCCCACCCCCAACGTTCAACTCGACTCGCAATTTCGAAGATGGTGCTAACCTCCCCGGCTACAGTTTGGCTTAGATCAAGTGTAGTATCTGTTCTTTTCAGTTTAATCTCTGAAAGGTCTCTAAGGAGGCCAATCGTGATTAATCTTATTTTTGCCTCTCGGGAGAAGCCCTCTGTGCTTGCACATGGCTTCACCCACAGTGTCCCTGGTATTACACTGCCTCCAGGTGACGCGAACACATTCTCTTTTTCGTTTTCATTACTTTTCCAGGCTTGCCTGGGATGTGAAGAAGACGCATGGTTAGCATTTTGGAGGGGTTGAGTTTTGCGTGTGCCGTCTCGCTCTGCAGGGAAAAAATGTAGAAATAGTTCCGGATTTGTGGTGCCTGACGAACGTAGAAGCATTATCAACACAGCATCTCTGAGCTACAGACGTAGTTCTAACTAAGATCAACTCTCCTGCCTCAACTCGTTTTCTTGCTATAATCCTGCTCTAATCCTCATCATGTCGAACGACGCCCAATCGCGCCTCCTTGATCCTGCCATCTTCCCCCATCTGAAGGAGAAGATCGAGCAGGAGCTCCAGGTCAAGGACTCTCTGACGCAAATCGTCCAGAAGCTAGAAGCCGCGAACTCGTATGCTGAAGGCTTGCTCTCTCGCATCCATGCCACCCCTCGCCAAAACTGTGAGTTTCTGTGAAAATTGTCATCTAGGCAGTGCCATCGACCCCACTGTCAGATCAAGGTTTTGCCCCATACTAATGGCATACCATTATGTGTAGACCCTGAACTTCTAGCCCAGGTTGAGGTAGAGATCAAGAAGGTCATTGATATTGTCAAGGAGCTTTCCGACTTTGCTTCTCAGTACCCCTACTACAAGTAAGCTACAATTGAGTCGTTTGGTTTTTCGTTGGGTTCAAATGTTCGTTTGGTCTCTGACATCATGATTCCTTTGTCAGGTACAACCAGAAATGGTCATGGACTATCAACCACGTCCTCTTCACCGTGATCCTCTGCGGATTCCTGGGAGGTATGGCCACCGAGACGAAGCCAGGTGAATTCGGCCGTCTCCTCACCCCAGAGGACGTTAGCGAGATTCTTCAAGGTACTGTAAAGCCCAAACACTCTTCCTTTCTCTCTACCCCTACTAACGTTCGCTGCCTTGTGCCATATAGTCCCTGTAAATCTCAAGGATCGGGACGCCTTCCATATCACCATCGAAGAGTACCTCACCGCCCTCACCATGCTCTGCGACGAGCTCAGCCGTCTCGCGACCAACAGCGTTACACTCAAGGATTTTGACCAGGCTGTCCAGATCCAGTCTTTCGTCAAGGAGCTCTTCGCTGGCTTCCTCTTGCTCAACCTCAAGAACGATCCGTTGCGCAAGCGCGTCGACGGCGTCAAATACGCTGTCAAGAAGACGGAGGAGATTGTTTACGATCTTACTGTGAGGAAGTTGGTTGCGCCGCCTGGCGAAGCTTCGGGTTCTACTGAGATGGAGAGCTGAGATGGAGGAACGTCGTGACCGTTCCTTGATCACCAGCTTGTATTGGAGCATCACGGTGAAGCTTGCCTGGATGGCTCTTTATCACCGTGAATGGCAGGCTCTACTCGAGCAGGTTCAATATCGTTATCCCGCTTTGTAAGCCTCGTCAGGCAAGGATGCTCGGCGACAATGGGGATACGGAAAGCAAGGGTAAACAAAACAATAAATAGAAAAATCAACAGTCTAGCACGACGTCCCAGACCAGACAACACTCGCAGTACATCTCTCACTATTACCGTCTAAACCAGTCAGCCGTCCGAAATCAAATTCAATGTTGTCACAGTAGAGTACATAAGAACCAGTGCGAGAACCCTGAATGCTTCCCGTGATATGCGTCCCAATGCCTTCCCAGTACCCTTTCCGGATGGATAAGCCCATCCTGCTATCCCATTATTTCTTCAGCCAATCTACGAACCAGAATGTCTGTCCGTGGCCGCTGACAACCAAAGAATCTCTTTAAACTAGTAGATATCCATATATTTGATCACCGGTGATTGCTTACGCGGAGCCGCTCTGTCTAGCTAGCCAGTTACAAGATCCGCGTAAGCTTCGAAACCTCGCTATTTCGGCCCTTAGCACTGGGTTCCAGTAGTCGCCTTCGAGTTCATCAGCAAGGCAACAATGAGACCGTAGAGACCTGCGAAAAAGGGAGGGGTTAGCATCTTCTTTCTTTTTCTCACGGAATATTCGTCGAAAGTTAAAGCCATACCCAAAACTTCGGCGAAAATGAGAATCAAAATCATGCCGACGAAGAGACGGGGTTGCTGAGCAGTTCCACGGACACCCGCATCACCGACAATACCGATCGCGAAACCAGCAGCAAGACCCGAGAGACCGACGGCAAGACCGGCACCAAGCTGGACGAAACCGGTGTAGAGAGGAAGCGCTTGTTGGAGACCGTCGGAGATGAGAACCGAAACGACCAGACCGTAGATACCAATAATACCAGCCATAATAACGGGGACGATATCTGTAGATTTCGTTAGAGATGGTGTTCATTGGACGGAGCAAGCTTCGGGATGCGTAGGCATACTCTTCACGATCAGGTCAGGTCGGAGAACACCCATCGCCGCGATACCGACACCGGACTTGGCGGTTCCATAGGAAGCTCCCAGGCAAGTGAAGACAATGGCAGCCGTGCAGCCCATGGCACCGAAGAAAGGCTACAGAGTTTGTTAGCGAATCGGTCATCGGACTATCAAGTTTCCGCTGTTGAGAGTCGCCGTCGTTCAAACGATTTCGATAGCTGGGGCATAAACAAAACGGCTCGAGAGGATAACTGACCGCATAGACAGGGCTGCGAGATAGAAATGTTAGCTCGATACTCTCTACAAGATGGTGGGACGGATGCAAATAAATGGCTAATGCAGATGGCAGAAGCTATTGGTGGTCATTTCGCGAAGCAAGAAGCTGGGACCGATGACGACGTTATGCGGCAGCAGCAGGACAACACATACCAAGCCTCGGTGATCCTCAGACCGCCGTCAGACATCTTGACAAATTAGTTGGTGGTGATTGTGGGAAATGAAGTAATAAAAGAGAGAATAGAAGGTTGAAAATAGTAGAAAGGACGAATGAAGAACTGGTGGTAGCTGTGTAAGGATTGGCGAGAAGCTCGGGGTGACCGAAGGACAGGTTAGTTGAAGAAGAGCACTGATCAATACTGGTTCTCGAGCGCCATTTGATGACAGGCAAGGTTTTGATTCGAGGCCTCGAATTCAGGGAATCACGTGAATGCACGGGCCAATGTCTCTTGTTTTTGTCTCAGATCTTGCTTAACTAAGGGCAGTTGGTACCACCTGGGGGGATTTTCATCCAGACCCTCACACCTGTGGGATTGGAGCAAGCCAGAGAAAGAGAAAAAAAAAAAAAAAAAAAAGCTGCCGCACTATTGCGACTTCGTTTTCTTCTTCTCTCTTCTCTGGTTCTGCCAACCTAACCACTTTACAACACCGCAACCATTCCGTGAACGATCGTTTCAGAGGATCAGGGCGAGCAAAGAAGCCGTGAACCCTGAAGTACAGCAACTCAAAACTACCTACCAAAAGATTTAGTCACAATGGCCGACGAGAATGGTGCTGGTAAGTGACCCTGGCATGGCCAGCCTCGCAGCAGTGGAAGAAATTGGATCCTAACCTTTCCGTAGCCTGGCCTTTGGCCGACGCTGCTCTTGAGCAAGAGCTTCTCGACCTCGTCCAGTCCTGCCAGCGTAAGATTTCCTCCCGACATTTCCCCAATGCGATCGCGGCTCGAGACCTTGCCGATACTAATCCTTACAACAGATGCTCGGCAGCTGAAGAAGGGCGCCAACGAGGCTACCAAGTCCCTCAACCGAGGTGTTTCCGAGCTCATTGTCCTGGCTCAGGATACCACCCCTCTTGCCATTGTCCTCCATCTTCCCGTCCTTTGCGAGGACAAGAACGGTGAGCATGCGCTCTCGCAGATCTCCCTTCGCTGTTGTCCCAGTCGACTAACTCTTACTTCCTCCCACAGTTCCTTACATCTACGTCTCTTCCAAGGTTTCCCTTGGCCGTGCCTGCGGTGTGAGCCGAGCTGTCATCGCCGCCTCCATTACCAGCAACGAAGGAAGCGAGCTTGCGGACAAGATTAGGAGCATGCGCGAGAAGGTCGAGAGGGTTGCCCTCTAAACATGTCGCTTCATCTTGTACTCTAGACGTGCAACAAAGGTTAGGGCGGATACGAAGAATGTATGGTTCGCGGATTCCGATTCGAAGACCCTTTGGTACCATGGCGGTTGAGCTTTTCTAGCTCCTGCCTGGTGGATAGATGATACCTGGAATGCCTTCGCAGCCCGGGATAGACGATGGTGGGCTTGAATAAGATTTTTCTCTCAAATACGCAAGTATCCCTTGTAGTTGAGGATCAATTTGTGGACCTTACTTCATGCAAGGTGTTGAAACTCTAGCACCGAACTGTAGCGTAGCATCCATAGAAGCCGTCTCGTCGCCGTCCTCGGCTGCCTACCCCACCATGATCCAAACCTGCAGCCACTCTAATCCCAATAATCCCAGCACCCCCACCATCCGTCCATGGACATTGGACCACTCGGTTTACAGCTGTTCCGGCGGGCCACCCAACCTCAACGTATTGTACACCTTCCTCTGACGGCATTTGCAGATTCGGCGTTCACACTCCGTTAAAAATCCCTCCAGATTTCACACTCATGTCTCCAATGAACAGAGTGTCTGTAACTTCTTACTGGATGTTTGGTAGGCTCTGACATTGCTCAACCGCAGAATGGCCATCGCGCGTAAGGTCATTGTCTCTGCCAATGGCGAAGGCCTCGTACTGCAAACGGCGTCGTCCAAAACTCAGCGCTCGTCACAGCAACTCTTGATTAAATATGGCGACGGTACTGTCTCTTACCTGCCCCGCGAAAATGGGGCCGATTCACCACCGGGTTCCTCGCCATCCTTTGAGGTCTTTGGCGTCATAGGTGAACTTTCTCCTCCCACTCCCAACGTCCCTCCCTTGATTTCGCATCGCGGCCTGACGGTCCGGGTGCTGGGAGACGAGTGCTAAACTGGGCCGCTTGTAGGACTTATGGCGGTATTCAGACAGAACTTTCTCATTACTATTACACGCCGGGAACAGGTTGCGCAGGTCAAGGGCTTTCCCGTGTATGTTGTGACGGGTGTTGCGATTACGCCGTGCTCGTCGCAGGCGGAGACGGAAGCCTCTATTGCGAAGACGGCTCAACATTTAAACAACAAGGACACTGGAGACAAGTCGCTCGATGACAGCGACACACTGGAGGACGAGTCGGAAGCTATCCCGCGGGTGAGTGTGAGCGACGATGTCGACGACATAGTGCACGTTGAGAGAAACCCGGAGGCAGCTAGCGTTGAGGAACCTATCACTAGCACCGTAGCTGAGGACGTTATTCGCCGAAGGGGAAGCTTCGGCCGATTTGCGCAGCGATGGTTCAGCAAGAAGGGGTGGGTACTGGATCAGCGACGGACTATGGGTCTGAGCAGACCGCCCATTGAGCAAGAACCTGTGCCGGCGGCTACCCGGGATTCGAGGAGTTCCGAGGACAGCATTGAAGGGACAGGGACCGCGCTGCTTCCCAAGCTCCTGCATACGACGAGGGTATTGTTTGGCTCTTCTCGGAGTTTCTTTTTCTCGTATGATTTCGACATAACGAGGAGCTGGGCAGAGTGTAAAGCATTTGAACCAGAGATTCCTCTCTACGCTCAAGTGGCTCCCATACACTTCTGGAATAACCACCTCCTTCTGCCATTTCTTTCTGTCGGCGCAGAATCAGTTGCTCTACCGATCATGCAGGGCTTCGTGGGCCAGAAATCCTTTGTCATGGATTGCCACCCGCCGCAGGTCGACGACTCAGAACCCGAGGCGATGGAAATGTCTAATCTCTTCCTAAGCGGCTCCGCGCCTACGTCGCCTCCGGACGAATCGGTCAAGGAGTTCATCGAGCGTAGACCGACTGAAAGAGACTTCTTAATTACGCTTATATCTAGGCGGTCGACGAAGCGCGCTGGTCTTCGGTACATGCGCCGAGGTATAGATGAAGACGGATATACTGCCAACTCTGTTGAAACGGAGCAGATCCTATCTACTCCGTCGTGGAGCTCATCACCACCGCTTGGCACTAAGATTTACTCCTTCATGCAAGTTCGAGGAAGTATCCCCGTCTACTTCACGCAGTCGCCGTATTCCTTCAAGCCAGTTCCAGTAATCCAACACTCTCCCGACGCGAATTATTTGGCGATGAAGAAGCACTTCACTCACCTCAAACAATCATTTGGTTCCATACAACTTGTCAACCTTGTCGAAAAACACGGCCCGGAGGCCATCGTCGGCGACGCTTACGCAGACCAAGTCGACCGCCTGAACGGCGAAGTACCCGAATCTGAGAAAGTTCCTTTTGAGTGGTTCGACTTCCATGCCGTCTGCCGCGGGATGAAGTTTGAGAATGTCAGCCAACTGCTCGAGAGGCTTAAGGACACTCTTCACGAATTCGGCAGCACGGTTGAAGCGGACGGGAAGATCGTTCGTAAGCAAGGGGGAGTCACGAGGACGAACTGCATGGACTGTCTGGATAGGACGAATGTGTGCCAAAGCATGTTTGCGAAGTACATGCTGGAGGCGCAGCTTCACGAGGAAGGGTTTGATATGAGTGCCCAGGTCGACCAGAACGCGTGGTGGTTTAACAACATCTGGGCGGATAATGGCGACGCGGTGTCGAATCAGTACGCTTCAACGGCTGCCATGAAAGGAGATTACACTCGGACGAAGAAGAGGGATTACCGAGGAACGCTCAACGACCTGGGCTTGTCAATCACCAGGTTTTACAATGGGTAAGTGAAGAATGAATGGCCAAGACCTCCCATGTCAGGCCTGTTATTGACGCGGTCTATCTAGGTTGGTAAATGACTACTTTAGTCAGTTAGCTATTGACTTTCTCCTCGGAAACGTCACAGCCCTTGTATTCTCCGAATTTGAGGCGGACATGGTGACGAAGGATCCGGCTGTATCAGTCGTGAAAAGGCGGGAGCAGGCCATCGAGCTATGCCAAGACCGCGTCATTGAAGACGAAAGCGAGGAGTTCATCGGCGGATGGGCAGTGCTAGCGCCCGCAGTATCAGGCGTCATCCAAGGCCAGCCGATGGAGGAGTCCATCCTCCTCCTAACCGATGCCGCCCTCTACCTCTGCCGCTTCGACTGGGATCTCGACAGGGTATCATCCTTCGAGCGCGTCGACCTAGCACACATCGTGGGCATAAAATTCGGCACATACATCACATCAACGATCTCGACCGTGCACATGGACGAGACGAAGAACGTGGGCTGCGTGATATCCTACGAGCCCGGCAAGTACGATTTCACGCGGACCAACACGAGGACGCTGTCGAATTTCGAGGATAAGCGTAAGACGCGCCAGTCATCGTCTGATTTTGGCAACGGCTCCATATCGGGGTTCGCGAGCTTCTTCTCCGGAGGGAAGACACGTGCTGGACCTGTCATCAGGAGAATCGCGCTCAAGGCGCCGTACGCGCAGTCTTCGCTGGCAAAGGATGGCGATGGGCTCCGCCAGACGGAGATTCAGCAGGTTGTGACCATGTGCTCTGAGATTGAACGTATGGCGTTCAAGGCTCAGGGGAAGGAGACGAATGGCGACACGAGCATGATTGAGAAGGAGGATATAATCTCGCTGGAGGAGGCGAGGAGGAGTACGGGATTGCTAGAGCAATTGGGGCATTCGATAAAGCGTATGGTCTGGGCGTGAAGCATTTTGGATTTTTCCATACACCTTTCTAAGAAGGAGAAGGAAGATAGATAATTGTAATTAAGAACTCGTGAATAAGAGCTTTTTTTTTTCCTTTTCTTTTTTTGGATATCTATTGCGGGTGCGTCATGTTGGGGAGTGCACAAGACGGTAGAGGTGGAGTTGATATCGCATATTCTCCAGGGGTATAGGATATCGTAGAGAATCCGCGAGACGGAACCATATTGAGTCGTTGGCTTCTAGCCTTTCCCATGTGTCACTGAGAGATTTTGTGAGGGTGTGATCAAGAAGCCATTGCATGGGATACTTCTTCGCCTGGGCACCAACGCCAGTCTCGGAGTAACTCCCAGGACTGTCAACGACAAGGAGCAGGGTCCCGACGGGAGCGCACGAGGTGAGGTTGAGCAAGAAGGTAGTCGTCTTTCCTATTCCACCGGAGGTATAGAGCTCGTTAAGCGTGAAGAGGATAGTGATAAGGAGGGGCTCAGTCCCAATAAGCTCGGACAACTGCTCCTTGTTAGTCGCGAGGACATCGCTGTGACTAAATCTCATGAGAAGCGATTCTGGTGAGACAGCCGGCCCGTTATCTGCATTCTCTCCATGGCTTGTGTATTTTGAGATCTCACGGATGGTATGTGTGGTTAACACGTCGTGGAGTTTTTTGACCACACTTCCCCACGGGCCGGAGTCGGCTAGGATAGCTTCGCCCCGGGTGAATCTTTGGCCTATAAGTAGCGCAGAGAAAGCCGCAAGCTCCGCAGCGCCACCACCTACTGACAGCATCTTTAGCCGCGGTGCGGCCTGGGGCTCATCTTCATGGCTCTCGGCCTCGCCTCCCCTTGGGGTTGTAGCAACAAGACCTTCGAGATGGTCACGGACACCCTCAAAAATTGAAGCGTAGCAGAGGGCGCGGGTCGGGCTCCATCTAGCCGCATACGCAGCTAGATACTCTTCCTTGGAGAAAGCTGCCGCAAAGTCCCGATTGAACAAAGCTCCCTTGATGGTCTGCAAGGTAGCTTCAAAGTCGCTCGCAGATAGCTCATCTGCAAAGGTTCGGGAGAACAGGTCCAGTAGTAGCTGTTGGATCTTGGGATCTAGCTGCGGAGCCGGAGCTGGCGCAGCTTCCTCTTTTAAGCTTCCCGATCCTCGTACGGCCTTGTTTCCCGCGCCTTTGCCTGACTTAGACGACGACCCTTTGGTGGCCGGTGTCCGGGAAGCCTGAGACTTCCTCGCCATCCCCCACTAACCTCCGAGTGAAACAAGGGCTCGGGATCTTGGTAGTGTCCGTAGTGGGTTTAGCCCCGACACGTTCGCAACCGGGGAACTGCCAGATCTTGGAGAGATAAGGCTGGGTCTAATTGGGGCTGGACGCATTCACTTATGCAAAAAGTCTCCTTCGATGTCGTCAGAAATCCGCGTGTCTGGTCCAGCTACGAAGAGAGTTGGATGTACAGTTGTATCGGGAGAGTGGGGGGCACATCAGAGTTCAATTAGGTCATCATTTAGGAGAATTTAATAATGCTTTCAAATTTTGAAAGAGACAAACCAGAACCTGGAAATATCAGGCACACACATACCCAGCGGCGACGACGCTAAACCTGGATGGCGGATAAAATCGAGATGGGAGGATTGTGGTTCTGACATCAGTTGAGCCCGCACCCGCCACAAGGTGTAAGATCCGATCCTGTATGGTTGGTTATGTAGGTCCGAAGAAGAGTGCTGGGATTTGGCTTATCAATTGATTGATACAATGAATCAATTGAATTGATCAGTACTCGCTAGAAGTCAAGGGCTTTGTGTCCCTAGGAGCGTGCCATAATAATCAAATTGATCTGTGAGTCAACCAAGAGAGCTGCTGTTGTGCCTGCGAAGTACAAAATCAAGCTGGCATGCTGGACACTACCACCAGTAAAGAGCAAAGAGCTGTGGCAAGCTCCGACAGTTATTGCCCAAGCTTCCAGCTTTCATCGATGCCACCCTCTATTAGTTCTCGACGAAGTGAGAGGCGAATCAAAGCTCCGTGGCACTACAAATACACTACACCGCACATAGTGTAGCAGCGGCATCGGCGGGCAATGACAAAAAGTGGGATGGGCGTGGGTGTCCAAGTCCACTAGCAGAGGGGGTACAATGCGACTAAATAGCCCCTCCACTAGAAATCAAATGCGTAATCGGCTGCTCTTGAGAGGATTTCCGCATCGCCAACCCCAGACGGATTGGCCGGCACATGGTGCAAATTATTCGTGCGGTTCCAACCAACCGTGGGGAATAGATCAATTGGAGGGCTTGCGAGATTTTAGCAAACCTAAGGGACAAGGAACGACATGCCTTGTGTGAATCTCTAGGCGGGCATAGAATGTCAAAACGGAGATAACCTTGCAAGCTGGTGGTGCCACAACAAGGAACGCCCGAGAGGCATTCTCCACATCTCTGCCAGGGCTTCAGGGCTCCTCGTGGACGAAAGCGGGTATCGATTGATCGCCACTCGACCTGGGTAAAGCTTAAAGGACGCCGCGAAGAGGCTAAAAACAAGAATGTTACTGGTAGGGGTGAGATGATACTGCTGTTTCGATGCTTCCACAAGGGCTTGTCATGCTGTGCTTGGATGGTCAAGCATCGCTAATAGCTTACTGTTTCGTGGTCAGTATCAATCAATACTCTCGGGGTCGCCTTGCGAGGAGAAGTCTGGGGCTTTATAATTACTGATCCGATCCGAAGCTTGCAAGTTTCCATCAAGTCCGGACACATGTACATGGCCTCCGCGGCCAAGGTGGACATCAAGTTTCTTGAAGGTAGGTAGCCTTGACGGTTAGAGATACACCCCAGCCCGGCGCCTTCGGAGGAGCCATTGGGATCCATGTAGTTGTCGACGATCATTACTGCGCTGGCCCATTATCATGGACTGAATATCGATCAATAATGGAATACATAACACATCAAGCTTGGGTAATATGATCTCCCCCACCCGAGCGCAGAGTGTGTATCAGGATGGAGCTGAGGGAGGGGTTTAGTGTCTCTGGTGCCGCGCATCGGGCTCTGTGCTCTAAACTCAACTCTCCTCGCCTCGTTGCTGGCGAGTAGTAGCATTGAAGTGTAGTGGATGGTCTAGTATGTACAGGTGGTAGTGTAATAGTGTAATAGCCTAGTGTCATCTTCTGTTGTCTGGTGTCCGATTGCTAAAATATTAGTGTCGGAAGGCAGTTGAAGCTCGTCTCAACTGGGGGTGGGAAACGGCGACTGACTCTTTCCAAACAGCTACGGATACCCCTCCCCCTCCTTCTTTGCTCTTCCCCTCCCCCGCCTTCGTCTCTTCTTGGACTTCAAGCGCCTCGCAAAATATTAGTGCACCGCTTGCACGTCCGGACGGCCACTTTTCTCCCACCTCGTTCCATCCTCTCCTTCCAGACCTCGTTTATTAGAAAAAAAATTTGCTCCCATCTCCCGACAGAGCTTTTCGTCGACTTTTTCTCTCGTCAATTAAATCCATAGACAGCACAGTCTTTTTTGTCCTTTCCTATTCAGAGATACCATCGTCGTTTACCGCAATCATGTCTGGCAACATCGACCAGCTTGCCGTCAACACCATTCGCATTCTTGCTGTACGTTGCGTTGCGCCCCTCCAACCCCACCTTGGCTCTGACACATCTGGTTTCGCTCTCCTGCCTCTGCTTCTGCCTCTGCCTCCCGCCATGCCCTACACATTTGGCGATGCTTGCGATGACTGCTTCCATTCAGAGTGGAATGGGGCAATTGACTAGAATTTGCTTTGAATTGCGCGGTTGCTAACACCGCATTCTCCTCTTAGGCCGATGCTACCGCCAACAGCAAGTCGGGTCACCCCGGTGCCCCAATGTTAGTGCTCCCGATGGATGTGATTTTGCCCAAATTCGCTCTACTGACGCCAGCTCCAGGGGCATGGCTCCCATTGCGCACGTCCTCTTCGACAAGTTCATGAAGTTCAACCCCAAGAACCCTGAGTGGCTCAACAGGGATCGATTCGTTCTTTCGTATGTTTAACCCGCTCTCCGCCGGCGTGACCAGTCACGTCTCCCTATGCTTGGAAGCTCCCATGGGGAGGAAACGAGCCATATGCAGGATGTATTCCTTACTCTGGCGACTTGATTAGGAACGGTCACGGCTGCATGCTCCAATATGCTATCCTCCACCTCTTCGGCTATGCCATTACTATGGACGACATCAAGAACTTCAGGGTAAGGCGCTAGTCTCGTCTCTGGGGCACATATCCCCCCCGTGTTCGTTTGAGCACCGCTGTTAACCTTTTTTTTTTCTTTTTGATAATAGAAAGTCGGCAGCATCACTCCTGGCCACCCTGAGGCTCATGATACCCCCGGTATTGAGGTCACCACTGGTCCCCTGGGCCAAGGTATCTGCAATGCTGTCGGTCTCGCCATGGCCCAGGCTCACACCGCTGCTACCTTCAACAAGCCCGGCTTCAACGTTGTTGACAACTACACATACTGCTTCATGGGCGACGGCTGTCTGATGGAGGGTGTCTCTGGCGAGGCTTCGTCTCTTGCCGGTCATCTCCAGCTCGGCAACCTTATTGCCGTGTGGGACGACAACCACATCTCCATTGACGGCGACACCAACTGCGCCTTCACTGAGGATGTAGTTAAGAGGTACGAGGCCTACGGCTGGCACGTCGTCACCGTCGAGGACGGCAACCACGACCTTGCTGGCATGGCCGCCGCCATTGAGAAGTGCAAGGCTGTCACCGACAAGCCCTCTCTCATCCAGCTCAAGACCACCATTGGCTTCGGTTCCACGCAGGAGGGCACCCATGGTGTCCACGGCTCTCCCCTCAAGGCCGACGACATCAAGCAGCTCAAGCAAAAGTTCGGCTTCGACCCCGAGAAGAGCTTCGTCGTTCCCCAGGAGGTCTACGACTACTATGCCAAGCACGCCGCCGAGGGTGCTGCCGCCGAGGCCGAGTGGAACCAGCTCCTCGCCAAGTATGCCGAAAAGTACCCTGCCGAGCATGCTGATCTCCAGCGCCGCCTGAGGGGTGATCTCCCCGAGGGCTGGGAGAAGGCTCTCCCCGTCTACTCCACCTCCGACTCTGCTGTCGCCTCCCGAAAGCTCTCCGAGATTGTCCTCAGCAAGGTCGAGGCCATCCTCCCCGAGCTCGTCGGTGGATCCGCCGATCTTACTGGCTCCAACCTCACGAGGTGGAAGGGTGCTGTTGACTTCCAGCCCCCCTCCACCGGCCTTGGAGACTACTCTGGCCGCTACGTCCGTTACGGTGTCCGTGAGCACGGTATGGGTGCTATCATGAACGGTCTTGCCGCTTACGGTACCATCATCCCCTATGGTGGTACTTTCCTCAACTTCGTCTCCTACGCCGCCGGTGCCGTCCGTCTGTCCGCTCTCTCCCACGTCCGTGTCATCTGGGTCGCCACCCACGACTCCATCGGTCTCGGCGAGGACGGTCCCACTCACCAGCCTATCGAGACCCTGGCCCACTTCCGCGCTCTTCCCAACTGCATGGTCTGGCGCCCTGCTGACGGCAACGAGACGAGCGCCGCCTACAAGGTTGCTTTCGCCCACAAGACCTGCCCCAGCATCATCGCTCTCTCTCGCCAGAACCTTCCTCAGCTTCAGGGATCCACCATCGACAACGCTGCCCGTGGTGGTTACGTCCTCCAGGAGGTCGAGGGTGCCCAGGTAACCCTCGTCTCCACCGGTTCCGAGGTCTCTATCTGCGTCGAGGCTGCCAAGTACCTCGCCGACAACCACGGCATCAAGGCCCGTATTGTCTCTCTCCCTTGCTTCGAGATCTTCGACAGCCAGTCCAAGGAGTACAGGCTCAGCGTCCTCCCCGACGGCATCCCCTCGCTCTCCGTCGAGGTCATGTCCACCATGGGTTGGGAGAAGTACACTCACGAGCAGTTCGGTCTCAACAGGTTCGGTGCCTCCGGTCCTTACCTCGATGTCTACAAGGCGAGTTCTAGCCAGCATCCCGTAACTTACGCTTCCCGTTTACCCATTACTAACAACCTCTGCAGAAGTTCGAGTTCACTCCTGAAGGTATTGCCAAGCGCGCGGTTGCCACCGTCAACTTCTGGAAGGATGTCCCTGTCAGGTCGCCCGTCAACAGGGCTTTCGATCAGATCATCTAAATTTACGAGGAAATGGAAAAGCATGGGGTGTGGATCTTTTATTGTCAATTCTGCAGCAAGGAGGAAAGTAGTGTATATCGTAAATAGAGTGCCGAAAGAGATAAAAACGAGCACCGGGTATCTTTTTTTGTTGTTCAACCTCTTTTGTTCTCTGTTGTTCTCCATGTCGCTGTCTAGACGTGATGCTTCGCCTTCAGTGGTATGAGCGCCAGAGTCACCTTGTACTAGCCCCGTAGCGGAGACAGGCTTGTAGTCGCCTGTATCTCGACTGTTCTCCTGCCCCGATATGTTGATTTCCGTGGCCTAGGCCCAAGGGAAAAACGAGGCAAACGAGTCGACGTCTGGGAGTCGAATGCCCATGTTCACGCTCGAGTCGCCGCTGGTAGTATATATGTATGTATGGCTGGCGTTCTTCGGAAACACATCGCGTGCCCGAAAACCCAGAAAACGCTCTCCTCAATCACCCCGATCCACCGCCGCCATCTCCTCCGCCATCCACTCCCTCTGAAAATTCCTCCCCACCCTCTCCAACCTCGCCGCCGCCCTCTTCGCCTCCCTCCCATCCTCCGGCCCAGCACCAACAACAACAGCGACCAACATCGGCGGATCCTCAGCGTCGTCCGCAGCGGTGCCGCTACTCGCCGTCGTCGCCGCCTCTTCACCCGCGCGCTCGTCCCCGGGCGAAGAAGAAGCGTTTATGTCCAGCTCGCCCAGGGCATCGGACAGCCGGTCGTGCTGTTTCCGCGCCGAGGGCGGGTCGAGGAAGGAATTGAGGATCAGGGGCCCCGGGTGGGGATATTCGACTATGAGGCGTTTGAGGGAGCCGAGGCCGAGGCGGAGGGCGGTGGAGTGGGCTGTTAGGGCGGTGGAGGTTAGGGAGGTGAGGGCTTCGAGTTGGGGTTGGGAGCGGGCTGTTGTTCGGAGGGGGGTTAGGGAGGGGTCGGCGAGGTGGGTTGAGATTGTGTTTGTTGTGGGAGGTTGGGGGGCGGGATTCGAGGAGGGCGCCATTGTTTCGTTGAATGGAGATGGTTTTTGTTGCGAGGGCGGACTGGGGACGGTGCTTGTGACCACGGATTGAGTTTGGTTGTTGAATTCCGAGGATGATGGTGGTGAAGTGAGCTTGGAGCTAGTAATGATCAATTGATGTCCCTGAGTTGGTGTTTCTTCCTTGCAATATTTCAATGGGTCGAGTCGCTAGCACAGAGGCACACCTCAGGAAGCTTGGGGTGCATTGATGTTGCGGGGGGCTGCGAGCCATTAAATCCGGGTGTGGGCACCTGGCACCCAGAGGTGGGGTCTTCGAAGAACAGAGAGCGACCAGAGAGCATCAAATGTATCAATGACATCAGTAATTTGAAGCTTGTGGTCTGGTTCAGGCCTTTGTCCCTTCATTGATTTGCAGACCACATCACACCAGCGGGCTGTTTTAAGTCCGAAGCCCGGCACGGATATCACAATGCAAAGGCTCCATTATGCAATTTGGCTCATTCATCAATATATTCCCCGTCAAGTGGCAAGTGGAACGCTTCATTGCTTCCCGTGATTCCGATGCCTCGATGATGCTCTTTTCCGTTGAGATTAAGTTCCCCAGCCCCGCCCACTTCTAAACTCGCATCAACGGCAACTTCGTGATTCCGACAAGCGAAGCTAGCCTGTGGGAATTCACAGCAGGAACCGGACGATAAGGTGATAGATATTACACAAGATAGCGGTGGGATGGGCTCTACTCCGTACGCATACTCAGTACGCAGCACAGGGTTTTTATACGAAGCGAGGGCGGACGATGTTGCTCGAACCAAGGTTGGGGTGGTGGGGTGACAACAGGTTGTGGTAGCTTCGGATTAGCTCATGTTGGCTGCTCTCCACTCCGTCCAGTCCCATCCACGACATAGCACGTAAACTTAGAACGTCCATCAGTGATGTCTGACATCTGGATGGATTGGATCGGGGGAGGGAGGCAGGCAAAGTAAGTCACGTCTAGTCCGCCGGATTTGTCATAAGGCCGCCCCGATCGGTTAGAAATCCTGCATCAATATCTTCGAGAAGCTCGCCAATGTCTTGGGCGGAGAATGTGGTCTGGATCCACATCCGGCTGTTTCTCGACGCCCGCCCTAGGGGAATAAAAAAGGAATGACTGACTACCATATCAGGAACGCCGAATCATTCGCGAAGCTGCTTGCAAAATGCCTTCCATAGAACCCCTGCGCGCGTATTACGCCTCGTGAAAGGGCTATGGATTCCGCCTACATCTTTGTGCTCCTTCAATGGGCTATCGGGATACGTTGTTTATGGACCGCGGACATGAAGCTACCTTGATTCTGGTTGTCCGGTTGTTCACACGCGGATTGTGAATTGGAGGAGGGCGTATTGGAAGTACTGGCGTTGCGCATATGCCTACATGCCTAGACACGCACTAGCGTACAACACAGGTGCTTCCTCCACTCGACGGAGCCTGGCTGGTGGAAAGCCCTCCATCTCCAAGAACGAAGACGTACCGCCGTGTCCGGCGTCCTCTTGGCTAGGAATCCTGATTTTGCTTTGTCGTGAACCAGGTACTGGATCAATTTAGCTGTCTCTCTCTCGTGCCTTGCAGTTGTTGAGCTTGTAGCTCCATATTCCCCAAGGAAGCTTTTTGATGGGTTGATGCCGGTTGGTTCGCCGTCAAGAGTCTAGCATAGCGAGAGACCGTGGCCATGGTCTGATGTTTCCTGAGTAGGGTGCGAGTAAACACACGAAAATGATCCGCGACCAATGCGGTGGTGTCTTCGAGGGCTCGACAGGCGTTTTAGGTCAAAGACCGAGCTGCTTCCAGCGGCAATTGGAGCCTGATCCGTTGAAAACTCGGCCCGCTCACAAGTCATGAAAAGTGCCGCACGCATGCGTTGGTAAACAGAAAGAGACAAAAAAGCCAGCCACATGCTGTGGTATGTTCTGCACGGCCTGATGGGGGTTGATCAACGACTGGCAGAGAAGCCCACTTCCCTTCAACGACTGTGTTGGACCAATGGAGCTTGAAGCTTGCGGAAAAGAGCCCCCCTGTTGGATGAGATAGGTGTCATGGTGGCATTCTATTGGAGATGGTGGAATTGGTTGGCATTGCATGAGCGTGGGGAGGGCCGGCACTGTGTCGTCGAGACTTTCGCTTCAGCGAGCTATCCGCTACTTTTAGCTGTGATTGTGCACATGTGGTCGTGTAACCCACTAAAGTCTGGGGGCCTCAACGCTGCAGAATGGGTTGTTGATAATGGTAATACAGTGTCGAATCGCGTGCTACCGCACTCTCGCCTGCAGGGAAGAGTCGAAAACAGCAGAAGCAAGAAAGAGGGAAAACTGGCTTAAAGAAAGAAAAAGACCTTCCGAAGTCACTTCGTACTCCGTCTTGACCACGGCCCAGAACACCCACGTCGTTCCTTCCAATCAACCCATCAATATCTTCAATCAGCATCTTTTTTTTTGGTCAACCTCGACAGTTCATATCTTTTTTTTTTCCCCTTTCAGCTACAACATCCGTTACAAAACGCGAGCTTCAAACCTTAAACTTTGCCCATCTAAGGAAACAACACTAGAACAGACCCTATTATTTTTAATTCCCAACCCAGGTTGCTAAGCAGCCATACTTTCCGCATCTCGCTTTCTCCACCACCACCACCACCGCAGGGCGGTTTCCCTGTTCACGTCATAATTTTCTTTGCTCCCCATCACCCATCAACACCACCACCGTTCTTCTCCGTCTTGATGAACGCCTCATCCAGGTTCGAATGACAGCGTAGAGGCGCTATCAGAGCACCCTACTTGCCCGCTCCGCTCCGTTGCCCTATTGACCTCGCAACATCTCTTACTATCGCTTTCTCATAACGTCATCAGCCTTCCCCCCCAGCCATCATGCCTGCTCCCCGACGCCGGCGGATTGGTCATCGACGAAGGGTTGAGGATGAAGGAGACGACGACGGCGGCCCCGATGCCCTCGATCTTGATGACGATTCCCTCAGCGATGGGTCCGGTCTTACCGAGGACGACGACCCTGCCGATGACAGCGATACCAGCAACATTGAGGACGATGCCTCGCCCACCGTGGCCAATCCCCGAAAGACGGCGGGAAACGGAACAATCAAGCCCGCCGGACGACCTGCTTCTTCGAATCATCATCATCCCAGCAAGCCCATCACCGATGCCGAGATGATGCTGCAGGGTCTTTCGATTGCTGACCCGACCCACCCTGTCCAAGAGATGCACTTCGACGATGTTGCTAGTTCCACATCACCAAACCTCTCTCCCGACGCCCCGCTCATCGTGAGCTCTGCTTCGGTGTCTCGCCCGCCCCAGGATACTGCCGGTGACCGTCGGCGTCGGGAGCACGAGGAGTACAAGCGTCGGAGAGATGCTGACCCCTCGTTTGTGCCCAACAGGGGGGCCTTCTTCATGCATGATCACCGACATGCTGGACCTGCTGGAAATGGATTCCGCCCATTCGCAAGGCAATCTCGCGTCGGCAACAACCGTGGTGGTTATGGGCCCCCCTATGTGCCATATAGGTATGTTTGGAATACATCTCAGCCTGACATGACTTCCGTCTCTTTGCATTTTTCTTAAGCACTCTCGAAGCACCGGAAGCTAATCCGTTTGAGTAGCCAAATGCAGCAGCAACACCCTGCAGACCCCACCGTTAGCGGACAGTGGACTCACGACATGCACGAGACGGTCGCCGAACCTGCTCGACCTCGACCACCCAGGCGTGTGCACAATGCCGAAGGACCTCCTAATGGAACTGGTCACATCCCGGTCTGCCCACAAAACCCGACTCCCATCAATCGAACTCTTTCCACAGAAAAGCACATCGGAAATGCACAAGTGCGAGTCTTCTTCCCGCCTATGAAGGAGCCCATTATCGTACGCGGCTTGCAGGTAAAGCAGTATACGAAGCTGCCCGATCACCGACCGCCTCTTCGTCGAGATAAGCCTGTCCGCATCTCCCTCCCAGATCATCCTCCTCGATATATATTCCCGGCAGTCGACAGATCGTTCATCTTTATTCCCCGTGCCATGAGACCGAACCAGAAGCCCGGTGTCCGAGGAGGCAAGGGCCCGAAGTCGGTCTTGGGCTCCGTGGGTGGTTGGTCTCGACGAACGAGCGTCATCGGAAGCTATTATGGTAGCACTTATTCCCCTAGCATCGCTCGGAGCCGCCGCTCCTCCATCGCTCCCGACGGGCGAGAATACATGTTTTCACCCACAGCGTCTGTCGTATCCCGGGCTGCTATACCCCCCGATACTATGAGGCCCGTCGTTCGACTGCCACCTCCCGCCAATCTCCCTATCCCCGATGTTGATGCCCAGCACATTCCTCCCATGGACAGACCCGTCGGAGAGTCCCTAATTAGCAACTTCCCGCCCCCACAGACGCACCCTCTTCCTCAGAAACCTACCTTCCAGGAGAATCGCCCTAACGCCATCCCTATGCATCAACCACGACCGCAGAAGGCGGTCTCGGTCGCAGACATTGAGTCTCCAACCATGTCCCAACATCCCCAGCAGCAACAACCGCAACCGCAACAGCTGCCCCAGCCATATCAGCAGGCTTTCCATCAACAGGTTCCCGTGCAAATGGTTAATGGCGGCCCACCAGACAGCCACACTCGCAATCCATCCTTCCAATCTCAACACTCTATCGGAACACCCCTTTCCCAGATCCCGGAGCGTGCTATTCACGCTGCTCCTTTCCAACCCACTGCGTACCCGCAACAGCCATTCTACAACCAGCCGTATCCCGTGATGCAGCCACAGCCAGGATACTACTATCCACCTCAGCCTTACAACATGCCACCACAGTCAGCCGCCATGTCTACATTCGTTCCAGGCTCACAGCAACCCCAGCCTACTGGCTACCCCCCACAAATTCCTCAGGAATCCCAGGCCGGGCAGGCAAGCATTCCGGGCCAGGGCCCCATCGCTCGAGAAATGAACGGCATGGTATATTACTATGACCCGTCGCAGCTTCAGGCGGTCCAAGCCTACCAAAGCTATCCCGATCCCCAGGGATATGTACCAGGCGCGGTTGGCATGGGTGGTATGGTGAATCCCAATCCGGAGGGATACTACCCCTATCCTCAGGGAGCTCCCGGTATGGTGTACTACCCGCAGTAGGCTTGCGGCTTACCCGACTACCACCGATTATCTACGCTTCACATGTTATACTCTACCTAGTTCTTCTTCTCTTTTTTTTTTTTTTTTTTTTTTTTTTTTTTTTTTAATCATCGCCGGTCCTTTCAACGTTTCGCACGCTGCAACCCGCTAGATCAAACACTTCGTTGATGAGGACGGCAACACTTGCTATTCATCCAGAGACCGCTACTGAAGACAAAGCCAGGCGGCTTGTTCAAGGCGCGAGTGCCTGTCAGCCCTCCTTGGGAATTACGACGTTGGTGAATGAGACCAATGGGTATTTTCCGAGCTTTCTAGTACTACGAGGACGAACATTTGGCCTTCCCTGCGTTCCTTTTGGAGATTCTTGTTCTCATGCGAAACTCAAACTCGGCCTCGATGCATCCTTCATGGGTCTTGAGGTATGAATATCTGCCACATGCAAGACTTATCACATTTGGATATGGCCTAGCGATTAAAGAGGATCTTGGAAGTCTTTTTGGGGGACTCTGTCCAACTCGCTCGTTTTCTGCATGCTCTTTGCGACAAACATTCAATCCCGACACCTTCTCATCATTCTCCTGTAACTTCTTTTTTTTCTTCCTCTTTCTGGCTTGGGCGGTTTCTTGTGGCCTCCACGTTTTTCTCCGCGCTTGCTTTTCTTTTACTTGTTGCCTCATATTATTCTTCTTCTGTCTTGGGCAAAGGCTTGATTGGCGTTTCAGGGAGTCCAAATATTAGCAGTGATGGTTTCTTCTCTAACTTTACATGCGAAGCATCAATCCTATATACATACATTTTTCCCCAAAGTAACCGCTCGAGTTTCATCAGTCGTTGTTTTCTCCGCATCGTGCGTGTTTGCATGTTAGATCTGTTACCTTGCACTTGACTTTGGTGTAAGTATTTGCGCGGGTTATATCCGTAGTCTGTTCTCCGTTGACGACTGGGTAGCTTGTTTTCTTGCTTGCGTCTCACTTGTGCTCCTATTTTATCAACTTTTTGCTCGTAATTTCTTTAATATTTCCTGTTTCTCGTTGGAGAGGGTGTTAGTTAGATCTGGTGTCATGTACGGAGGTACGAGGCAGAAACAGCCGTTTCTCCTTCAACTAGGGAGTTGGACGTTGTACTAGGGGATCGATATCTGTTCTTGTATATCGTTACGTGGTTGAATGCTATTACTTAAAAATGGTACAGAAGCGTCTGGACGAGTCCTGAAGAAACTACGCGTAACAGTTCAGTGGTCAAGAACCGAAAGCCTGAGGCTTCAGTAGGAGGCCTCGAGTCAAGAGCTCAGACAGGCTGGCTACTTTTTCTACATTCTCCTCCCGAGGCCGCCGCAAGATGGTCTATTTGTTTCTACTTTTACGAAGTATTGTATGTATCCTAAGGCTGTGAAGCCGAACGAGCGAACTCACGAGAGCTGCACCGATCCTTAGCAAAGCCTTACATCTATCAGAAGCAGCCTAGGCATCAGCTCCGCGAACGATATGACGCGAGCCTTACCACGAAGGGTCTTGAAATCTGTCATCAGGGTTCACAGGGTGGCGGTTCGATCGGTGACCCAGACAGAGCAAAAGGATGGATGAGCTGAGCAAGCGTTTTAGCTTCCCAGAGCTTAGCCAAGATTCTGGGGAGCAGTTAGAAAGGAATGAGCTAGTCTGGAAGCTTCTCTTAGAGCGGCATCGCCACAAGCCGGCCTGTTTTCGGGACCCGGGAGAAACTTTGCTTTCCAAGGCATTTTAGGCAGCCTTGTTGACGCAGGTGCGTTTGAGAGGACATGTGTGGCAAGATAGGGTAGGACTCATTTCCGTTTTAGTTATTTCGGAGCCTGTTGGGCTGCTTTGGCGAGAAACCTTGGGGGATGGTGATGGGGGGAGCCTTGCCTGTCGCGGGCTACGTCGTCGGTTGCCTACGAGGCGAGGGGTTTCGGGAGAGAGTATCAGGCTAGTTGATTTTTTGGGGGTAAGCAAGAAGAAATTGATACAGACCATGCGCCCAGAGTGGCTTGCAGTTTACTCTATAAGGTTCTGATCTCGTACTCCAGACTGAAGCGAAGGAAGCAGTGGCAACATTGAAAGAGGCCAGAGGAGCACAGGCGTACGGATGTCGCCGAGTCTGTATTGTTAAATAAACATTTAAACTTAGTTTATTTGATTCACAGCTGAAGAGTTGTTGTCGATGTCCATGTGGATGCTTCGGATCTAGATCTGTATACCGAGCTTCACCGAGGGCCAACATTCCATGGGGTGACTTTTCTTTTACCCCACCGTTCACGGGGCCATCGAACATTTCTCGACCCCGGCTACAACATCGATTTTTTTTTCCCGTAAACGGAGTCGGCTCCAGAGGCGGAGGCTGTCTCAAATGAGAAGAAAGGGCCCTTCTCGAGGAGCGAGCGATGACGCTCGTCCATTTAACATGCGTGAAGACAACCCATTGGCAACAATTGAATGACAAAACTGCGAGAGCCGCAGCCTTAGCTTTATCAGAGGCCATTTGTAAAGTTTCAGAAGAGAGTGACCGGCAATAGGATTACGCAGGACACGAGAGAGGGCGCTTGAAGATTCCGAAGCCCCCGCCAGGACCCCGGGCTTGGATCACGGGCTTTGCCACCTGACTGAGACAAGGATGACGATGGTCGATTTGCTGAGTACAGCTCCTGAGACCGCTCGTGAAGCAGGGTTTCCCTCATCAGCTACGGAGTACTCATTAGTGCAAAGGGCGTAACGGGAGGCAGGTAAGTCTGAATGCTCAAAACTGACCGTTCCTATACCTGGCCTCCGCCTGTCTCAGTCCCAGAGGGGCGGAGGCACGCCAGCCTACGGCGAAGTCCCCTCCGTGTAAGTAGATGATGCAATATGGGGCCGATGGAAGCGGTAACCAGAACCATTAAAGCTTATCCGATTATGGAAATGCCTCATGCTAGTATTATACTAAATTAGTACTACGTCGGAAGGCTTATCAAGATCCGAGGATGCTCGACTTTTAGGGGATGGGGATCGAATCTAGTGTCAGTCAATACCAGTGAACAATGCTACGCAGCTATGGTTGGTGTATCAAGAAGCCGGGGCCGAGTGCAGCACGGATTTGAGGTTGGCAACGGTAGCACTCGCATGGACAACCAGGATGAGGAAGCTCTCCTCACCGTCGATCTCTTTCCATTTTCAGCCACCAACCATCAATGCTCCAATCGGACAGCTCCTTCACAAGTCGACCTGGCGAGCAATAAGAACGAGGCAGCGCATGAATTGGAAATCCAGCTTTGTGATACATAATTCTTCTGCCTTCGATCAACTTGGATTGGATAATGTGGCCTGGTCGTGGCCCACGTCTCAATTAATTCTCCTGCCTATCGATGGGAGGCGGCAATGAAAAGCGAGGGAGGTTGAATAGGCGGAAGCAATTATGAGGAAGTGGGCACGGCATTGAATCTGATGGGTTGAACTGTTTGTTCCCGTACTCTCTCGTATACACGCACGTTTTCGTACGTCACAGGTATACGCAGAGTGTTAGAGTGTATGGACGTGATATGTTGTACACCTGAGTAATTATTTTTGCTGGCCTCCAAGTACTTACTTCATTTACACCGTTTCTCCCACCTCACATCGACCAGGCTATCCCATGTCCAAATATGGGGCGAGCAGTTGCCAGTACAGAGATTCTGGATACATGGGGGGAAATGGATCTCCCATGCTACTTCGCCCTTTGCAGGCAGCAGCTGCATACCAATACCGCCGCTATCTCCATACACTAACCGACTTAGTGTGATCCCGTTGCTTTCCAGTCAACTAGAGATACGCCTTGAAGTGTTCTCGAGCAGTGTAAGATTCGACGGTAGGACTTTGCGCAGTTAGAACAGGTCATCGAATTGGCTCGCCAATCAGCCATGGCATGACATTAACAGTTTTGAGTGCATCGGGTCGTGAACTTAAGCAGGCTAGCCCAGACATCGTATAACTTTCGTAGAATCGAGAATCGAAACCGCCCGTGCTTGAAAAGAGTACACCCAGACAGTACCCCGCAGCTGTCGTGTGGTCCAATTCGTTCACCAGGACAAAAAGTCGGGGGTGTGGGTGGTCTTTGCTGGTTACCGTCAGGCAGGTCCCGACGCCGAGCCTGCCATCAATGGATCAATATTCCCCTCACCCGACCATTCTTGCGTCAGTGGCCAATGGGCCGGCGGGGTTTAGTTGGCGGTCGGTGACCTGACCGCCCTTCAAGCTCGAGGTGCTTAACGAACTGGCCTGCGTCTTACCAATCTTCTTCTAGTTACTCGATGTTCAATGTTCCGACTCCCTCGCTTCTGCTGGTCTTCACACCAGGCTGCTGCTGTATTAGTGTACACTGGTTGGTACTTAATCGTTGGACACTGTACGGTTAGAGTGGTACCAGGCTTCCTTGCTCTTCGTACAGAGATGACCGTTGCCTGCAAGTACCAATTGACGTTTCTGCGTAGGACGTGATTTTAGTGCATGACCGGCGGGCGTAAACTGGTACCTCGACCCAAACCACATGTGCACTCTCTTACAAAGTAACAATGACTGGGTTCCAAGTCACTCCTTCCTGAGGCCAAAAGCAAAAGCAAGACGACGCAATCCCTCGTCATCGCTTGGTCCAGTCGTCCTTCCTCTCCTCTTCTCGCCTTCCACCTTCCCTCTCTTTCTCCGAACCACCATTGGAGCAAGCAACTATTGATGACTCCTGCTGTTGATCTTTTCAACAAGATCAGTTTTAGAGAAGTCATTTTTAACTCGTGAACCCACGCACCTTCTTTTCCTCTCCACCCCTCAAACATTTACATCTCACTTCTCACCTCAGTTCTCTTTTATTTCCCACCGCCGCCTTCACCGTATCATACTCTCCACCGATAGTACAGTGGGGTAACCCACGCAAGCCTTCTTCCATTCCTACACTACTTCTTATCTCCACCATTGTCCTGCATATATCGGACCAGGTAAGGCAACACCCGTCCTCACCTCCATTTCCGTTTCAATTCGCCCCGAACGTCGCCGAATAATTCGACAAGACGTCAACTACGATCCAGAATTTGCTAAACAGGTATTGTTTGGCGTTTTTCGTAGTGGTCTGCTTGTCATCATGGCGTCCTCTGAGTCCTCGATCCCTGTTCCCTTGGTCACGATCAAGGTGAACTATGACGGCGAGCCTCATCGCTTCAAGCTTCCCCTTCGCGAGATGGGTGCCACTACCTTCGAGGATAAGGTAAGATCTGTTTTCAAATCTTCTCTTCTTGGACGGAAATTTCTGAGCAGAATTACTCACCTGCCTGGGACAGCTTCGACGATCGCTCCGAATTCCTACCGATGTAGCCTGTGTTATCGAGCGCTATTCCGACTCTGCCGGCTCCTTCGTCGTTCTGGACCGAGCCAACGTTCCTGTGTACAAGCAGCTCTATCGTGCCGCGAAGGCCAAGTCTAAGCTAAAGATCCGAGTTACTACGATTGAGCCGCCCAAGGCCGACGAGGTCGAGGAAGATTCGCCTGTCGATGAGCCTACTCCGGAGGCCGTCGAGACGCCGGTCGAACAGCCCGCTCCTGTTGTGGAGGAGAAGCCCATTGTCGAATCGGTTCAGCCGATGCCCACATTTGAAAATGTCCCTCTTCGTGTCCGACACAACCCTCCTGAGGAAGAGGTATGGTTGCGGAACTGCGTTTCCAGAAGGAATTCTGAGAGTATCACGGCTGACTTTGGAAATCTCTAGGACTCCACCGTTGACCAGACCGACCGCTCGGTTATGACGGATCCTTACCTTCGTAGCATGGCCCCTCCCGTTTGCCCCTACGCGGGCTCTACTCTGGAATATCGAGTCTGCTGCAACAGCTGCGAGCGAACCATCCCCGATGCCCACTACCACTGCACCAAGTGCGATGACGACGACTTCGATCTCTGTCTCACCTGTGTCGAGAGCGGCATTACTTGCTACGGCCCCGATCACTGGCTGATCAAGCGCTTCAAGAAGGACGGTGTGTTCGTCAGCAGCACCACCGAGGTCCTTCCCCCGAAGCCCAAGGCCAAGCCGGTACCGACGGTCGAGAAACCGGCCGAGCAACCAGCCCAGCAAGTACTTGTTGAGCTTGTCCACGCTCCTCAACAGCAGGACCCCCTTCGTAACATTGAGCCTTTGGTTAATCTGCGAGCCTGCAACTGCTGCATGCAAGGTTGGTTACAAGCCGCATTGCTCCCACCTCGTAACACGAGAGCTAACTATATCTTGTTTAGAACGAGCCGAGCGCCACTTCCTACACTGCACCTCTTGTGAAGACTTTGATCTCTGCACAAGCTGCTTCGCGAAGGATGTTCACGGCCATCATCCCAAGCACTCTTTCGTCCCCGCTGTGGCGGACGCTTACGTTCCTGACCATATCGCGGCCAGGCTAGGTCCCGGCCGTAACCAGACTCATCACGCCATCTGCGATAACTGTGACAAGTTCATCCGCGGAGTTCGCCACAAGTGCCTCGATTGCCCCGATTGGGACTACTGCAGCGAGTGTGTTGGCGACGCGCCGTCCGAGCACGCTGGCCACCGATTCGCACCCATCTATGAGCCGCTTGCCGAGCCTCCCCGCTTTAGCTACCGCACCGTCCACGAGGGTATCTGCTGCGATGGACCTCTTTGCGAGGCCAACTCTGTCATTACGTACATTACTGGCGTCCGATACAAGTGTGCCGTGTGCCCGGATACGGACTTCTGTGCGGCCTGCGAGGCCCATCCGTCCAACCCTCACAACAAGACCCACCCCTTGATCAAGTTCAGGACGGCAGTTCGTCACGCACTTGTGAGCACGACTGGTGTCGACAGGAATGGAAAGGAGATGCCGATCATGGGCGATGCTTCGATCGCCCCCAGCTCCAGGTTCTCCAGCAGGCCCACGTCTCGCCGCGAGCCTACCATCTCCAGCCCCCGCGCCATTGTTAGCGTAGAACCCTCGGAGCCCGTGGCCGCCAAGGAAGAGGTTGTTGTTGAGGAGAAGAAGCAGGAAGTTGAGCCCGAGAAGAAGATTGAGGAGACGATTCCCGCCCAAGCCGTAACGGAAGTGAAGCCTGCCGAGCCGGTAGCGAAGAGATTCGGCGCAGTGTACGTTCATGACACGGTCATGGACGGCACCGTCCTCCCTCCCAACCACGTCTTCGAGCAGACCTGGGTTCTCCGCAACTCTGGTAACGTCGCCTGGCCTGCAGGATGTGCCGTCAAGTTTGTTGGAGGCGACTACATGGGTCACGTCGACTCTAACCACCCCGCCGGTATCTCAGAGCTCGTCTCCGCTTCGGAGTCTACCATCTGCTATGAGGCTCTCAAGCCCGGCAAGGAATATCCCTTCACCGTTCTTCTCCGCACCCCTCCCCGTGAGGGCAAGGTCATCTCGTACTGGCGCCTGACCACGCCTAACGGCGTTCGCTTCGGCCATCGACTGTGGTGTGACGTCAAGGTTATGGCGCCCATGGCGATTGAGACTAAGGCCCCCGCGGTACCACCAAAGGAGGAGATTACCCAGCCCGAGGCCGTCCTTGACAGCAGCCAGATGGTGTTCCCCAAGCTTGAAAAGGAATCGCCCATTTCCAGCATCCACGAGGAGGTCAAGAAGGAAGAGGAGGAAGATGTCCTCTCGACACCTCAGGATGCAGACTTCGATGACTTGGAGGGCGAGGTCTGGGATGGCTCGGATGAAGGCTTCCTGACGGACGAGGAGTACGATATCCTGGATGCCTCGGACGAGGAGTACCTCGAGGAGGCGAAGAAGACTCCCCTCAAGAGGTGAAGTAGTGGTTGTTCTAAATAAATGACGGTAAGGCTTTGATCCTAAGTAGGCGAAGTCTTTTCGTATCGTCGTGCGACAGATATGAGGGCTGGGTTTGCCTCACAAAACATCTCCAACATTTGGAGTGCACGCGGTTGCGTGTTTTTTTCGGCTTTGGCGCCATTCTTTCCTTTACTCGGTCTTTTCCTTTTTCATACATTTTCTACAGATCAGTTCGGACTCGAAGCAAATCTCAAAGCAAGGGAGGAAGGCGAATGCCGGTAACAGCGGGAAATAGTTCTATGTTGTCTTTTGACACATCCCAGATTGACCTTTAGGGGTGCACACGATAACTGCGGTTTCAGTGATCCTATGATCAAAGCTGCGAAGTATCGTGGCACAGGGTGCAATGGGTTTCTTTCTTTTTTTTTTTTTTTTTCGTTTTCTCTTTTTTTTTGTTTTTTCTTTTTTTCAAGGCACGGTCTTGTCAGTGTATTCTAGTGCGCAGATTGTAGGTTTCTTCAATCATGGTTTGCCATTTGCGTGAAGCTCTTCTGCTCCTCTTGAAAGTGTGCTTTGTAGGTTGATTCTCGACGCTTCACGATGTCGAGTCCAGGAAAGATGCAAGTATGAAGTGTCAAGGGCCGTAGCATTATGCAATATCCCAGATCAAATGCATAAAGTAAGAAGTGTGCTCCCGGTACCTCACCACCACCCAATTGTGCAAAGTACAAAACGGTACCTCCCGTCAACCCCTCCAGGACCGAAATCCCGACCAATGATATCGCGTGCCTGGCGGAGCTGTTACAGTGATGGCGCCAGCTGCTAAGTTTGTACGAAGTAGATATGTGTTCAATCCGATATTAATCTTTGACGTTTCTGCGTCTGGGCTTACGACGGCCGTACTTTTCTTGCGCAATCCAATCCAGACACGACCAATTTGATTGTTATACCCTGAAAGAACCAAATCAGGGCATTTGGCCAACGACCTTGTCCGAGGGCGACGGAAAGAGCGCAGAACGTGCTCAGATTTGTCCAATTGATACCTGCTTCCCGGTTCCCATCGCGAATACTGGCAGTCCAAATCGAACCGGCTCGAAACTAACACGAAATCCAACGGTCCTACGATTCCTACAATTCAAGAAAGGGTGAATTGCGCCTCAGCAATTGCTGAAAACCCCATCCTGACAGCAACTCGTGCTGTGTTGCTTTCGGTTGTGGGGGAGGGCGAAGTGAACGTGGTAACCGGAACTGAACTCAAGGGTCTGTTAAGGAAGAGAAAGAGAAACTATAAGATCTTGGGAGGAACGCCAGCCTTGTCGCCATGATGAACGGTTTCAAGGAAAAGGACCACCTCCACCACCTCGACGAGGACAACTTTGGCGCGAAGGCGGGGAGTATAGTCAGCGCATTTGACGCCTTTCGTAAGTTTCCCCCCTCGCTTTTCAGAGCCTCGGATTCTTGCTGGTTTTTCTTCCGCGGCTAACATTCCACTCCACCTGCGACAGCAAAAGCGAAACCCGAATACGTAAAACGAACCTCGGGAGGCGGAAAATGGACCATCGTCATGATAGTAATATCCTCCTTCCTCATCTTCACCGAGCTAGGCCGTTGGTGGCGCGGCCAAGAACACCACACCTTCGCCGTCGAAAAAGGCATAGGGCGCTCGATGCAGATCAACGTCGACGTGGTAGTGCGCATGCCGTGCCGGGACCTGCACGTCAACGTCCAGGACGCGTCGGGCGACACCATCTTCGCGGGCATGTTGCTCAAGAGGGAGGACACGGCGTGGAGCCAGTGGGCGGACGCCAAGGGCGTGCATAAGCTGGGGGCGGACTCGAACGGCCACGTCAAGACGGGCGCCGGGTACGATGAGGAAGGGTTCGGGGAGGAGCATGTTCATGATATTGTTGCGGCGGGGAAGAAGAAGGCGCGGTGGCAGAAGACGCCGAAAGTTAAGGGGACGGCGGATAGCTGTCGGATTTTTGGGAGTATGGATTTGAATAAGGTTCAGGGGGATTTTCATATTACGGCTAGGGGGCATGGGTATAGAGGTGTTGGAGAGCATTTGCCTCACGACAGTGAGTTTCTTTCTTGGCTAGACTCTTTTCTTCTCTCACACCCCTCGTTACTAACTTGCGGAACCAGAGTTCGACTTCTCCCACGTCATCTCCGAACTCTCCTTCGGCCCCTTCTACCCCTCCCTCGTCAACCCTCTCGACCGCACCGTCAACACAGCATCAGCGCACTTCCACAAATTCCAATACTTCCTCTCCGTCGTACCCACCGTCTACACGGTCGGATACAAGGGCACTCCTTCTAACACGATCCTGACGAACCAGTACGCCGTGACGGAGCAGAGCAAGGAGGTCGCCGAGCACGTGATCCCCGGCATCTTCTTCAAGTACGACATCGAGCCCGTGCTGCTGACGGTGCAGGAGACGCGGGCGGGTCTCTTCGTCTTCGCCATCAAGATCGTCAATGTGCTGAGCGGCGTCGTGGTCGCTTGCCATTGGGGTTTTACATTGAGTGATTGGTTGAAGGACGTTTTGGGGAGGAGGAGGAGGAGTACGCTTGGGGTGCTTGGGAGGAAGGGTGAGGAGGAGGATGAGTAGAAGGGTGTGGCTACGTGTGTGTTTGGGTAGAGGGACGGGGGAAGGGGGGCGATGAATTTGTGTTTTCTTGGTTTTCTTTTGGCGTCTAGGATGAATGGATGGATGGGATTGATTTTTACTGCTATTTGTTCGTGTCAAAATACGGCTGGTTGCATTGTATGCATTTCATATATCGATATATATATATATATGTTCACTGTTCATATCACGGAAGGCATCGAGAAGCAGAACTCGGGTACCCATGATTCGAGATCGACCCATCGATCTATTTACCCTCCGGCCCCGAGGCCGAGTGTCGACTCTCTAGACCAAGCTGCTCCTTTGAAACACGATCAAGCCCTTCGGGGACACGGAGTCAATCACAAATACACGACCGGGAAGGCAACGATGCAGATCTCCGGCCAGTTGGCCCTGTCAAACCAGATCATTTCTTATCATTTCTTCTAGAAGGCTTCCCCTGTACAACAAAACACCACGTCCAACCCCTCCGCCCCCCCTTTTCGCCGAGTTCCGTCGGCCTTGCTGACTCCACCTCTTCGTTCGAGAAAGCAAGAAGGGAGAGAAGGGAGGGGGTAGAATAGAGAGTCCGTTCCTGAGTGTTCGTCTGAGAAAACACCCCGGGGAACATACGGGTGTTCCCCGAAAACGCAGTAACCCCCAGGCGGGGGAAGGGGGGGTTTTGTTTGTTGCCCCGTTCCCTTGTTACCGTTTCTCTTCTTCTCACCTGTACGTGAACACGAGGGCATGTGAACACTGCGGCGGGTGAGATGTGGTGTAAGTATTGATTGATGATGAGATGTCAGGTACAGAAGGGTCTTCTTTCTTCTCTCTCTCTCTTCCTCAAGGAGGACGGAATGGAACGCAACGATGACCTCGGGAAGCTTGGCGGTATTATCTTTTGATATGGGGAGGAGGGAGTGGAGAGTAGTTTTTGAACTGGTGTAACTCTAGAGTATTTATCAGTTCATTTTTGTTTCTTTGTGCTATTTGGAGATGCTGCCCGTGATAGTCATTTCATGGGAGGTGATAGAAGATGGGACGACGTCTTTGTTGAGCACTGAACAATAGCTAAAAAAAAAAAAAAAAAAAAAGTTCTATCAACCAGGAATGGGAAAAACTAAATCTAAATCACATTGCTGCAGGAATCTTATAATATCAAGATCGAGGTTCTAAAAACAAGAACAATAGCCAGGGAAGAAAAGCCAACAGCGACAGTTCAAAAGAGGGCAGAAGCCGAAAGCAATCATCAAGAAAACCAGCCAACCCAAGCCAAAACCCAAGATCGTCTATCTCTCTGCTACCATTTCTAAAAAATACGGAACCATGAAAAAAAGAACAAAAGAAAAAAGAAGGGGGAAAAGAAACACGGAGTTCAAGATCAGCCCCGGCGCTTCTGAGTCTTCACCTTCTTCTTCTTCCCCTTGGCACCAGGCCGGCCACTCTCCCCCCCACCGAACCGCGAATCCTCACCATTTGAAGAAGAGGTCTCTGGCGAGCATACCCTACCGTCACGCGGAGGACACCGCGGGCATGGGTAGAAGACGTAGCCTCTGCCTTCGCAGTGAGAGCAGTTGAATACCCTGCATAATGTTAGCCCCGGGGGAGGCGGAATCATGAGATAGAGGAGAGCAACTTACAGTTTCGGAAGGCCGCCGCAGTATCTGCAGTTCATGGGTTGCTGGTAGTTTAGACATCCGCAGACGAAGGATTCATCATAGGTTTCTTGGACTATTGAGGACATTTTGGTGGCGTCAAAGATTGGCGAAGGTTGACGAGAGTAAAGTAGAGAATATATCTAGAGAGCTCTAAGTCGAATTTGGGTTCAGATACTGCTAGAGAGATATAGAGAGAGCAGAGAATGTTTTAGAGGAAGCATAGATCAAAGAGGCCAATAGTTCAGATCTCATGATTATCTCAATGTCCAAAATCAGAAAGGGAGGAGGCGGGCACTTACAGTTCTTTATATATCTTTTCAGAGGGTCTGTTCAATGACCCTCTTTGCACAGCCAGTTCCCCTATGCCCGCCTCCCTCCTAAAAGAACAAAAAAAAGCCACGATCCTCTACGTCTTCGCCCATTCAAGACTCGTCACATTCGAATAGCCCAGCGAGGGCCGGCCGGGAGCACGCCGGGAAGAACGAGTGACGAAGCTTATCGTGGCGCCCACTGACTCAACCAAGGGCTCTTCTCCTTCGCAAGGGAGAACAAGAAAAGGTGGAAACACAAGACCCGACTCATCTTACTGGGACCACGAAAGCAAGCAGCAAGTCGACACATGATCGGACGAGTGATCAGGGTATGGTACCTGAGCAAGCTGCAGTGACGACGCCGAACAAGCAGCCACGTTTATACTATACACTACCTTCCCTGTTGTCTCATCGGGAAATGGCATCCGACGGAACCTTAGGATTGGGAATTTGTAATGTGTACGGAGAGGGGTGTATGGAGTCTCACGTTAAGAACCAGCGCTCTCAGGAGCACTGATTAGGTGCTGGACGTTAGAAGACAAGCCTCACGGCAACCGGCAGAATATTCCAAGATCAAGCGAGTCGAGTGTATTGGGAGTGTTGGGAAGTAGTTTCTCAGAGATAGGGGGCAAAGAGACAACAATGGCTGGTGGTAACCAACAGGGAACTCTGTGCTCGCGACGACGATGATCGGACTGACTTCGACCGAGCGATGTCATCATCCGCCTGCTCTTGTTTCTCCCTACAAGAACACACGCAGCTTTGCGCTACTACACCCTCACCGCTTTATTCCGCTGCTCGAGAGTATGGCTTGCTGTACAGCGCTGAATACCATGTCGGAGCGAGCGAACTAAGTTCTCAAGAGGAGAGATGGCAAAGTAGCAGTTAGCATCCTTAGAGGTCAAGAGAGATCGTGAGTTGAAAAAATCAGCCTCTACGCACGGAAGACAATACAGTATGCAACGGAGCTCGTGTAGCAGTGCAAGGGAAGGAACGGAGTAGGGGAAAATAGAACAACTGTAAAGGCGATGACCAAGGCAAGAGGTAACATCCATAACAATGCACACCTGGTGAGAGAATAACAAGGAAGACGCGGCTCCCATGGCTGAGGTCGTCTGACCACGATCATAGCACGAGGTCCGGACTTCGGTCTGCGAGCCTGTTGGGGAGGTAGGGGGCAGAGTCGCCGAGCATCAAGGTCCCTCTGTGAGGCACAATGGCTGGCAATAAGCTGCATGGCTGTCATACACCGGCCCCTTACCTGTCATATACACTCTTAAACGACAACTGGTCGGTTCTAGAAAACTGACCCTGTGGCAACATAGCTTGGAGAAACCCGGATGTACTTTAGAGATGAATGAGAAGAAGAATAACAAGCACGGTAAAATGTTGGCGGCGAAAAATATATAACGAAGAAAAGCCCATCAAAGCTGAACCAGAAGAGGAAGAGGGAACGAGGTACGGAGTAGAGGCCCTCTTGCCACTTGCCATAAAACCGGTGGGACAAGTCGTTGTTAGTTTTGCAACATGTAAAACCTGCATCTTCATCTCATCAGATGCCCGTCCCACACAAAAGCTTGCAAATTGGATTCATTGGATAGATTCGTAGAATCTCGGTCCGATATGGAAAGAGATCGTCCTCCTGTGACCTTGGTGGCAGACATTTCAAAACATGACCCGTTTGGCATCGGCTCGTTATCGTTGTTGCTTGTGCGAGTCCAGAGCGGCCTCGCCGAGTTTCTAGACGCTGGTCCCTGTGTGTAAGAGGCTTGGGCAATGACTGCAAGGCGATACGTCGGCGATAGACGGCTTGGTCTCGGGGAAGACTTGAATAGTAATAGACGAAAATAGATCAGGCGGCCTTGAAGGACGCTTTTAAGAATGCTGTGCCCATCGGATAATGAGAAAGTGGGCTTGTTCGCGTGATGGGGCGACAGAAGAGATAGTAACTCTGTTCTATTTCTCCCCCCAGTCCCCAGCCCGCGCCCGTGGCTGCAAGAGATTCTCCTCGCTTCAAATCCGGACCTGGTGCATGGGTCGATGTTCTTTGTCGGCTCTTCGGCTCGAAAATTAAGATGGCATCGACCTGAGAAGAGACACTCATGAGAGAGGACGTTCTCATGCACCCGTGTCTCCCCCCCGTTGTGCCCAGTAGCGCTTCATAGCGGGGCATCCCGACGTCGGCAGATGAAACCATACTGAGCGAAGGCTTGTTCACAAAGAATAAAAAAAGAACACGAGAAAAAGGTCGACTAAAGGGGGGACAAGGAAGGGGAAGAAACAGATTGTGCGAGATACAAGTGGGGAGGAACCAACCGACTGGAACATTTTGCATGGCCTCACGTCGGACGTGGTGATCAAGATCATCATACCGCACCGCAGAATGAAAGAAGATCCGAGACCATCATAGCTGAATGGCTTGCGAGGGCTTGGCTCTCCAGAGGCATGGACCCCTTCAGTTCTCCCCCTATACACGTAGTTTGAAGAGTAGCCCACTCGTTGATACGCCCGCCATCGCCGCTCATCATTTGGATGGCTGTAACGCCCTGTGACGAGAGAGACGGCATGAACGCCACCCCGGTCGAGCTTACCTGACTTGTCATGTAGGTATCCTTCCCTGTGATATGGCCGATCCGAGCTCATTTGCCCGCTGGCAGGTCGTTCCACCGTGCTGGTGTAACCAGCTCGAGGCCTGGCGTAGCCAAGGGGAGTGAATCCAAGATCAACATCTACTTTCCTTCATAATCAAGTCAGTTCCAACTCCCTTACCGCCGAGATTCCTTGTGCTGCCATGGGTTCCTTGGAGAAGCGGACAACAAGGAGCCCAAGGCATACTGCGTAAAATCAACCCCATGACCGAGTTTAGGGACCAAAGTTCGGGCTTTCTTCGTAGGATATACGCGGTGCTCCGAAAGTTATCCATCACTCCAGCTCAGCTGTTGAATGTTCCGAAGTGCGACGGGTACTGGCTCTCATGGTGAGTTGATGTCCAACACAGTTCTTTTCTCCCTCAAGTTTCAAGTTTCCGGTGTTGCCAAATAATGAGGCTTTCCTTCGGTAACCTGGCATCATGCGATGAAGGGCTATGCTCCTCTGCTTCCCAATGAGATTCAAGCGACGGTAACGTAGTCAGTTCCATTCATGGTCTATTATTCGGCGAAGTCCACAAGGCTCGGTTCTGCTTTTAATTTCCAAAAGCGCACGTCCAACTAGGCCCATATGAAACGCCCAACCTGCGGCGAGCAAAACCTTGAAAAATCCGTCACAAATCTCGTCTATCCTGTTCTAGTTCATTATGGTGATTCCGTCTAACTCTTGTCACCTATGTCAACTGCGCCCTCCGATGTCCAGCTAGATTGACCACAAGACACCGCGACGATATCGGGATTGGCTTCAAGAGATATCGTCGTGTAACGCCTGCTTGTTTCATGAGCTCCACCGCAACCCGCCTATCGTCTTCCTTCAGGCTGGTGGCACTCATTGTTTTTGGAACCCTTCTATAACCCCGTGCTGATCACTCAGACGCGTTGTACTGGAATGGAATCATGCGCGGGTGTCAAGGTCATCACCGGCCGCTCGCATTCTTGTCGCTGTCATATGTGATGGGACACCTGGCGATGAGATATCCCCGGAGAAGCCGGAACCGAACGAGTTCGCCAGCTACGTGTGCAAGTGAACCGTCCGTCTTCATTCGGCCCTCGCATTGTCTTATCCTCGCACGATAGTGGATTGCTTGAGGTCGAATCCAGAAAAAAACGTCATCACCATCCGTCATCTCCCCAAGCGTCGCCATCCATATCGGTCTCCTTAGGCTTCATGTCAATCTTTTTCGCAGGCGCAGCCTTTGATGATGAAGTTATCCGGGTAGCAGATGAAGTGGATTTCAGAGCCCCAGATGTCGGGGACTTGGACTTTGCCAGGCCCTTTGGCAGAGGTTTACCTCCGGACTTCTTCTGAGACTGGGCGGCAAGCCACCCAGCAAAGTCCGGCTCCCCACCATCATCGTATGCGATGCTGCTTGCTGGAGGAGACTTCTTCGGGAACGTCTCTCGCTCATCCTCCGGCGCATCGAAGAAGCCATCATCGTCGCCCATATCGCCCCACGCATCGGCGCCGTCATCCTCCGCGTTATTATCGTCAAGGAACAGGGCCGCTGTGTGACTGGCCGCGGAAGACGGAGTTCGTGACATTGCCGGAGGTGACTTGACAGCTTGCCTATGGAGCGTAGACGCGGAGGATTGGCCTGCTGGTCTGGAGGGAGCGAGCCCGGGAGATGCTGCGGGTTTGGGAGTAGCTGCTCCATTTGCTTCGATCTCCCCCGCCGCAGCTGATAGTTTGTTCGTAAAGGATGAGATGGCCCAACCAGCCCAACTGGCTGATGCTGACTCTGCTGGCTGAGGTGTACTCATCCGGGGTGCGGAGCCGTCGGATGTGTTTGGAGGGGGCAAAACAGTATCCGGCATGGCAGAGGCTGCCTTGCGAATCTTCTGTAAGTAAACATCAATGGTCTTGTTCACCTGATCGCGGACCAATTTCTCCTTGTCTATCAACAAAGGACACATTGACGGTAAAATTCGGTTTGCGCAGTCCTCGTCGCTGAAGTACTCGCTCGTCACGGCCAGGGCCATTAAAGAAGCAGTTCTTGCGTGGACAAATGGATCGCGCAAGGACCGAGTAAAAGCAGCGATTAGAACCTTGGCTCTCGTAGAGTTGCTCAAATGTTTCGCCATTTTCCCGAGGCAGATGGTGGTATTCGTCCGGATGCCGGGTTGCTCGTCATTTGCCGTCTTGGCGAGATACTTGAGAAGTTCACCATTGATCGTGCGGTCCGATAGCTTTGGAATGATTGTGAGAACTGACTTCAACGTTTGTTCTCGAACAACCGGAGCTACATCAGTAAACCCAGTGACCTATGAGGATGGGAGTGTTAGGAAAGGCTGCCTAATACGGAGGGGGGGGGGGGAGGTACCCTAGGATATCGGGCTTTGACAGGGACGTACCAGCTGGGGAAATATCTTGTCGTTGACCACCTTCTGGGCCAATCGCTCAATGATTAAGGGTAGACCATCCAAAAGTGCGACGCGAATAGCTCGGTCTGGGTTTCCAAAGAGTCGGACAACAACCGGAGTGACTCGGGATTCGAAGTCGTCACTCGAAAGGTTTGCCGAAATCTTTAGGACAACCTCGAGAGCCTTTGGACCACCGCCTCCAAATTCGACAGATTTGAGCAGTTCCGGTAGGACCTTCATTTTGAGAAAATCCTCGGGGAAATCTTCTGAGAGCTCGGCAAGTTCACTGCGGTCGTCAGTTAACTGAATGCGCCATATAATATACTCAGTAGATCAGACTTACGCCAAAACCTCCTCCCTCTCCTCTGGAGATTTCACGCCTAGATTCTCAAGGTCGTTGGTAATCTTGATAAGTGGGATATCAAAGAAAGCGCCGTGTCTTCGTCCGAGTTCAAGGAAGTTCGCAACACTAATGCGTGCCTTTGGATTTGCGTTTACAAGCCTCTTGTAGCTTGCATGCATCGAGGGAGGAATTCCTGTAGTCTGGCCCGCCTGATCGCCACCGGTGTATGAGCCGTTGAAAACTTCATAAATCAAAGTGCCGAAGTTGAAGGAATCCACAGCCGTGTGAGGATTCTTTTTTATGGTATCCCAGCCGTTACGGGCGAGCTCTGGAGGGGCATAACGCCCAGAGTCTGGGACAACGCTCCCATAGGTCTAAAAAGGTTGTTAAATTTCTCTGCGTCGAAAGATATGGCCGACAGCATCGCTGATGAGAGGTCACTCACATAAATGATTGCCTCATCATCTTTTATGCCACTCAGCACTTCGAAACCTCCAAGCTTCCATTCCCCACTCTCCGAAGTATACACCGAGCCGACTTTGAGGTTACCGTGGATAGAGGAGGCGTCTTTGTTTATGAACTTGATGGTATTCTGGGGTTTCCAAGGCTGTTAGCTGCGAAGGCTTAATCAGATATGAGGCGGTGAGAGAGCTTACCGCGATGCTATGAAGGCCCCATTTCGTGCCTTCCTCTGTCAAGCTTTTTCTCTTAACATGCCACCTTAAGGGGACAAGTCTCTCGGTGGCTATGTAAATATATGTATCGGTCTGGTATCCAAGTCAGACTAGGCCCGAACAAAACTGGGCGCAAGTAGGGGTGAGGTCCAGCATACCTCGACCGTGTCAAGCACCTTGATGACGCCAGGATGCCGTAAGGTTCGGAGCTTCTTTAATGCGTTTCGAGCTAGGGGGAGTCGCGATCGATTCGCCGTTATATCGAAGGAAAATATACTACATTTGGAGCCATCTTCCTACGTCCGAGTTAGATGATGTGCTTACGGGGGGAGGTGGAATCGTCACAAATAAAGAGGGCAACAACATACTCTCTTGGTTCCGTTATGAAGCGCCCAGATAGATTCATCGATATCGACCTTGTCGCCAAAGGAATAGGGAAATGGTGGCCCCTTGGCCATGGCCGAGGCCATGGCGGACTTGAGAAAGTCCATCGCGTCGCGCCGTTGGGGGGACGGTGGATAAGGGAGCTTCGAAGAGTGGTGTGGTCCGCCAATTTCGGTTTGACGGGTGTAGATCGAGGAGCAGAATACAAAGGTATACGAAAATAGTCACTTTAAATTGAAGCCTTGCTGTGGCGCCTCGAGACAATGACACTGTTCAAAGACAAGGCTAGGGGGGCAAAACGAGAGGATGTGTGCAGGGGTCGCAATTTAGTAGTTTGCCCCTGTTGACAACGTTGCCAATCCACAAGAGCCCCTCATCAGGCTGAGGTGCAGTTATCGAGGCGGCTAGGAAGACATCAATCAAATTAATCGGAAGAAGGGCGTGCTTAGTACCCCGTACAACCCTCGAAGGAAGGCTGAGCTCACCTCTGTGAAGTAGTTTGCGTGCTGTCTCGGCGGGAGCAGGCACTGTCAATTATCCATTATGCGCTCGACTTGGAGCACAAACCGCTAAGTTAGGTCATCAATCTCAACACCTACAGTGCACCCTTGCGCGCTACTAGTGTACCGTGGGCGCTAAAACTCACAAGTCTCGACTACTAACATCGAGCTTTCCACGTAGTATTAACTTCAGATTGGGAAGGTGGTTGACACGGGTAATCGGCGGCAACATCCAAATGCCTGCATAGTAATATCTGAGGACGTATGACTGAATTGATCCGTGGAGGTTTATCCGGCAGGTGATATTACTTTGTCCACTTTTCCACTTCACTGCCTGTTGGAAGTTAAGCAGATTAATTCATTCTGATGGTTAGTCAACAGGCATACCGAGATGCGGTGATGCTGAGCGGAAATGGTCCAGATCTGGAAGTGGAAGCAACAGGTTCTAAGGTTCTGGGCAATTTCTGGAGCTTCGTACTGTGCTTCGGACCTTCCCAGAGCCAGTCGGTCACCAGTAGGCCAGCGCTTGGGCCTAGAACCAGGGAATCAAGAGCTATGGTTGGCCTGTTGCATGTAGCATATCGCATATCGCATTTCACCTCCAGCATTAACGTGTGTATGAAGTACGAAGTACTTGCATCATGTATCATGTAGCATGTACTCCCGTAGCATGTACAAGTAGCCCGTCATCACTCATCACCTGTAGCCTCGTGCTAAGTTTATCCTGTTCACTCGCACTTGCCGTCTCCAACTTGAACCTTAATTCTCACATTCCCACGAACTACAGAGCCTGGACAAGCTGGAGCGGTCGTTTCTCATGTCGCCATTTCGGGTTCTCTTATAAAACGCCGACTCACCCATTCCCTCCAGAAACCTCGCTCATTTCATGAGCTGCGACGAACTCCAACTGAACCCGCCGCTCTCGTCACAACTTATCGTCACTCTGAACTTCGAGGGTCACCAAAGCTCTTTACCCACGGCTGCCTACCACCGAGTGAATCTCAACGTTCCGATTCAATGATCGACGCGAGAGGCGGGCGGTAGTGCTCTTTTTTTTCTTTTTCCCAGGAGGGGTGAAGGAGGTGAGAAGAGGATTCTCGTCAATTTTTTCCCTCCTTTTCCTTTTCTTTTCCTTCTTGCCCCCACGAGGTATGGTTTTACATTTCATTTCCTCCCTCTAATGAGTTCTTCAATTTCACCTCATTCTATGTCTTCGTGATGAGCTTTGGTAAAAGGTCAGACTACCAAAGACCCTTCTGGGATTATCGTTGGCTTGGTTCCTGCCGCCGCCGTACTTGCCACAGTGGTCGCTTGATTCTAATGGGTCTGCGGCACACCCTCTCCGGCGCCGTCTAGTTGGCCGTGTATATGCATATCTACCTATATATGCCGCGACAATGGAGTGGACATGAATACGAGGCACGTTTGGAGTCGCGAGTTCTCTATGATTTCGTGATCTCGGGACCAAAGGCTGTGCCCGACAGTGTGGGATGGATGTAGAGACCCTTGTCCCTCGATCCTTCCCAAGACAGCGGCAGTTTTGGCGACGGAGACGGGCTTCGTTTAAACCCGCTGCGGTCTTGGATGATGACTGAAGCGATAACTGAAAAGATCTGATGACTTCTCCTTGTTTCTGGAACATATTTCTCGTCATATTCGTTGATCCGTTCCGCCGCATTACATGCTAACTTCATTGTGGTGTAGCGCTTTGAATCGCAGCTCATAGATCGAAATCTTGTTCAAGGCTGCACATTCATTGAAATATCTCATTCAAACGGAATTGATGAGGTGGGCTTCCTCTATCGAACGACTCCTTCAGTATCCTACAGACCTTGCTAGTGGAGTGATGTGCTAACAACAACGTTTGAATGAATAGTAGCAAAAGGGCTTTCGTATTTCTCTTCTAGTGCTACTGGTTTTCAGTAACGGACAGCCAGGGCGGCTTCAATCATGAGCCCTAGCTCCTCGAGGACAGGCGGACAGATTGCGACCGGCGCACCTCTCTCGTCTCTCCCAAGGAGCATAGGGTTAAACGGCTCGCAGAGTGCTACATATGGGAGCCTTGGGCCGTCTTCTGCACCAACCGCATCATTCCGGCGGAGAGAACCTTATTTCGCCCTCAGCCGCGGTGATTTCTTAAGAAATGAAGAGCACCAGGAGCCCAACGGCGTACCGCCATCGGATTTCTTTGTTTATGAGGAGGTGCAACCCAACCTTAACCCTGATGCCTACCCCCTAAGCCCTGATCAGTTGAGCTCGCGAGCGATTCCCCCCATCCACACTATAGAAATGACTGCCCTTGACTCGATGAGAAAACCAACCTCTTCCCTAAAAGCATCTTTATCGCCACGAGAACGAGTCAATGGGGCCCCTGCCGGCCGCAGTCCCTCAACTACGAAATCTCTATCGGCTGTAACTAACGGCAACGGTAAAATCTCTGCCACCGGCAAACGGCCCGTACAAAGCACCAGCCCGGCGGGAAATACCGAAAACCAAGATATATATGCGTTTAGAGATGCCATGGCACCACAGCCGCAACAGAATAATCCGAGTGAGATTGACATGAGCAAACGGCCAAGTCAAGCAAGGCCCAGATCATCGGGCAGAGTCGCCCCGAAGACGCCGACGAAGCGCAAGCGCACCGTCATCTTGGATGATAGTGATAGCGATGGCGCAGCGGCAGCTATCGAAGAATTCAACACATCCACCCAAAATCAAGAGGGATCGTCCAGAGAGGAGAGCCGCGAAACTAGTGCCGCGCCCGCAGTTCCAGCCTTTACTCCCCGCAAGTCTGCTCTCCTGCAGCAGGGGAGAGAGAGGAGGAAGGAAATCCCGCGAAAGGTGGATGAAAGGGAGTTCGACAACTGGATTTATAGCCAAGAAGGAGCTTCGAAGCCGCCGCCCGGCGTTGTCGTCCGACAGCCCATGCAGCGCACGAATGGGCATGGTGCCAGCGGGCCTGCTCGGGGCCGTGGGGCGCAAGACGAAGCGTCTCAGCTCTTCCTGAGAGTCGACCCAAGGGTCCATTGGAACCATAATAAATCAGACGAGTGGTATCAACGACGCATGGAAGAAATTCGCCGGCGAGGCGGGCGGAAGGCGAATTTCGGGAAGGCGGCATCCCGAATGCGAGCTAGGCGGCGAGAAGAAGCCCTGATTCAGAGCGTCACTTCGTTGGGCCAGTCGAGGAACGAATCGGGATCGGAGAAATTCGGCCGCCCCATAGACTTTAGCGATGTGCCCGAGTCCGAGCTCCCGGATATGGTAAAGTCCAACCCGAACTGGATGAAGGCCGTCGCATGGATGCGAAAGTGCCGCGAAAAGTCGATCGAGAGACAAAAGGAAATCGAGCGGCGCAAAAGGCAAAAGCGTCCATGGGATGATTCGCCCGGCCCTAGCGGCTTATAGCGAGGATGAAGACGGTAGCTGCATCAGCGCAAGTTCCCTCGCTGAGGACGGGTTTTAAGCCTCTAGGCACCGCCTAAGCGCCCATTACCCTCAATCCAAGCAAAGCCTTCAAGGCATCTCCGTCTGGGCCATGTAGATTGATACATATGCTCACGTTTCGTATTTTTGTGATGATGGTTAAGGCTCTTCTTACCAGGAACGGAGTTTGGGAAAGGGTGCATCCATCGTTGGGCGCGAATTATGATACCTCATTGTTGATTTTTCTACTTCATCATCTCTCAAGCTCTTCCTGTTGTCCTCTACATTCTATTGTTCTATTGTGAGGCTACCTTGATTTAGCTTCTTCATGAGTTGATGGACTTCCATATAATATATACCATGGAAAACTCTACACGTGCTGCCAAATTCTTCTTGAAAGGGAGATGGAAAATGTTCACACAAAATGGCCTAGGGAGGCTTTGTATAAGTTGCAAGTCTGGACATGGTGAACTGTTAGTGTGTGTTCAATCTTGTCCACCCACATAGTTCCGACATGGTGTCCAGAGCATCAATCAAATGTTTGTCTTAATTCCACTCGTTCTTCACAGGACCTCGATTCCGGACCGGTTTCGGCTTGATGATTTCCCCACACTCCCACACTGGGGAAAGGGAGGTTCGATGGGAGACATTTCTAGCGAATAGGAAGACATCAATTTTTTACACTTCGCCGAAGATTGGCAAACAATCAAAGAGACCCTTGCAGCATTGAGTTTGATATTTTTTTCACCTTCCACATACGCTCACACTCCGAGCCCACAAGTCCACACGACCACACGCCTCCAAGTCTCGAGTCTCGCAGACCAGAGCATGCGCTGGCCTTGTCACCACAATGGCGCCAATTGACCTTGCCAGGCACTCTGGCCACCTCACCAGGGTGCGCATCTCTCTTCCTGTCGAGAATTACAAACCTTCGTGCTCCTGTGTTCATTTCTCTGACGGTATTGACTTTCTAGGGCCTCGTCCAGCGGGGCCTGCTCCGCCCATCCACATTACGAGCCTCTTCCTACGCGAGACGATACTCGACTTCTCCGGGCTACGGTCTCCCGACGCCGGTCTACGAGAAGCTCTATAACAAATACACGCAGGTTCGACGAGTCCTCGGTGCCCAGAGACTAACCCTCGCCGAAAAGATCCTCTACAGCCATCTCGACAACCCCGAGGAGACGCTCCTGACGAACACGGACAATGGCAAGAGCGTCCGCGGAAAGGCGAATCTGCGCCTTAACCCCGACCGTGTGAACATGCAGGACGCTTCGGCCCAGATGGCTCTGTTGCAATTCATGTCTTGCAACCTCGCCAAGCCCGCCATCCCCGCCAGTATTCACTGCGACCATCTTATTGTGGGATCTAAGGGAGCCGAGGACGACCTTTCGGCCGGCATCCAGACGAATAAGGAGGTTTTCGACTTTTTGGAGTCGGCGGCCAAGAAGTACGGCATGGACTTTTGGCCGCCCGGTGCGGGTATTATCCACCAGACCGTCCTAGAGAACTACGCCATTCCCGGTCTCATGATGCTGGGAACCGACAGTCACAGCCCCAACGCCGGCGGTCTCTGTACGATAACTATCGGCGTCGGTGGCGCCGATGCCGTCGAGGCCCTCGTTGGCGCTCCTTGGGAGCTTAAGGCGCCCAAGATTCTCGGTGTCAACCTGACGGGTAAGCTCAACGACTGGGTTTCCCCCAAGGACGTCATTCTCAACCTCGCTGGCCAATTGACCGTGCGGGGCGGTACCGGCTTCATCATCGAGTACTTCGGCCCAGGCGTCGAGACCCTCAGCTGCACGGGTATGGCGACCATCTGCAACATGGGTGCCGAAGTCGGCGCCACGACCTCCATCTTCCCCTATACCGCCGCTTCAAGCCGATACCTCGAGGCGACCCGCCGTGCGCAGGCCAGCAAGAACGCCGAGGCTCTGCAAGCCTTCCCTGGAAAGGATGCCCCCGAAGACCTGTACTTCAAGTTCCGGGCCGACGCCGGTGCCGAGTACGACCAAGTCATCAACATCAACCTCTCTGAGCTCGAGCCTTACATCAATGGTCCTTTCACGCCCGATCTCGCGACACCCCTCTCCAAGTTCAAGGAGGTTATCAAGGAGGAGTCGTGGCCCGAGAAGCTGTCTGCTGGACTCATTGGAAGCTGCACCAACAGTTCGTACGAGGATATGACCCGTGTCGAGAGCCTCCTCAAGGACGCTGCGGCGGCGGGACTCAAGCCAGCGGCGGACTTTTACATCACACCCGGTAGTGAGCAGATTAGGGCCACCCTCGAGCGTGACGGCACTCTGGAGACCTTTGAGAAGGCCGGCGGTATCGTCCTATCCAATGCCTGCGGCCCCTGCATTGGCCAGTGGCAGCGCCAGGACGGCGTCACCAAGGGCACCCCGAACGCCATCCTCACTTCTTATAACCGAAACTTCCGCGGCCGGAACGATGGTAACCCCCAAACGATGAACTTCTTGGCGTCGCCCGAGATCGTCACTGCTATGGCCTTTGCCGGCTCGACCACCTTTAACCCCATGACCGACTCTATCAAGACCCCCGACGGCAAGGACTTCCGCTTCTCCCCCCCCAAAGGCCTCGAGGGTCCTCCTTCGCCCTTCGTCGCCGGCGAGGAGAAGCTCCTTCCCCTCTCCCAGCCCGCCAACGCCGACGTCGCCATCGCCATCGCCCCCACTTCCGACCGTCTCGCTCTCCTCGAACCCTTCGACGCCTTTCCCGAAGGCGACCTGACGGGCCTCAGGGTCCTCGTCAAGGTGACGGGCAAGTGCACGACGGACACCATCTCAGCCGCGGGCCCCTGGCTCAAGTACAAGGGCCATCTCCCCAACATTAGCACCAACACGCTCATGACGGCCGTCAACGCCGAGACGGGCGAGGTTAACGCGGCGTACGACCTCGACGGCTCGAAGCACACGATTCCTGAACTGGGCCAGCTTTGGAAGGAGCGCGGACAGCCGTGGCTCGTGGTGGCTGAGCATAACTACGGCGAAGGCAGCGCGCGAGAGCACGCGGCGCTGCAGCCGAGGTATCTCGGTGCGCGGGTGGTGCTGGTCAAGTCCTTCGCGCGTATCCACGAGACGAACCTCAAGAAGCAGGGTGTCGTCCCGCTTACGTTCGAGAACGAGGCTGACTACGACCTCATCGGTGCCGGCGATGAGGTTAGCACCGTGGGACTGTACGAGATGTTGCAGAACGGCGGCAAGGGAGACGTTAGTCTGCTGGTGAAGAAGAAGGATTCGGGCGAGGAGGTGACGATTAGGACGAAGCATGCGGTGAGCGAGGACCAGGCTGGGTTTATCCTTGCGGGAAGTGCTCTTAATCTGCTGTCGAAGCAGGCGTCGTCGGCTTAAAAAGCGTTGATTTCATATAGACTTTGGAGAGGGCATGATGTCTTCTATATTTCTATTTTTGTGGGGGAAATTTTTTTGACAATGCAGATATTACAGGAGGCTTGTTGTGAGGATGTTGGTATGAATGACTTGGTTTGATAGCTTTCTGTACAGTTTCTAGCCTTGGGGGAGGTTTGAGCATTTGTCTCTTTAGATGTAGACTTTGGGTTTCAATGTATTGATATCTTCAATATCTTCAATGCTGTTTATTTACGTGACGTGTAACATGCGATGGGATACTCTCAAGAACTCTAAACCAGTGGGAGGGTTAGGTACTTGGTATATCAAGTTAATACATTGATCAAGGTACAGTTCCTACAATTATACTCTAATTTCCAAGTATCATTTTAATTAGTAGAAGTAGTGAGGCTGATTGGTAACATCAAATGATGTATCTGTCCATCCATCAATTGTACCTTCCCTGGTTCCTAAATTTTACTTTGTCCTGACTGATCTTGGGATAGCTCGAGGTCCCATCTCCAGGAACATTGAACCCCTCCACCCTTCAACCTCCAACTCCAACCTCCAAGCTCTTTACTCAAAACCTCTCCCAGCTTTACAACCTCGCTTGCTCCATTCTTACCTCGACTACTATCCCCAATAACATGGCATAACTGCATCCTCTGATCCAATTTTGTCAATTACTTATTTCTTTCAAAATGTCTGTCATTCTTTGCACCGGTACGTTCCAATTTCCTCGACCTCAAGCTCGCAAGCTCTCCGACGACTACCCGTCCTCCTTGATACTAACTTTGCTTTTACAGCCGGATATGACCATACGATAAGGTACCGCCCCCCCTATCCCAATGATAGAGGCATCTGCGCCTGCAGTTAGACACCCAGATTCCACGGACATCCTCTCCAATCTAGACATCTAGGCATACCGAGGCTATGCGACGCGACCTTGGACAATGACTGACTCGCCTGCCCCCTTGACAGATTCTGGGAAGCCCTATCAGGGATCTGCTCCCGCACAATCCAACACCCCGAATCACAAGTCAACCGGCTCTGCATCTCCCCCGACAAGCGCTTCCTAGCCGCCGCAGGCCACCACACCGTCAAGCTCTACGACATCAAGTCGACGAACCCTAACGCCGTTCTCACCTTCGAGGGCCACACGGGCAACGTGACGGGCGTCGCATTCCACTGCGAGGGCAAGTGGATGGTGACGAGCTCCGAGGACGGCACCGTCAAGATCTGGGAGACGAGGAGTGGTACGATCCAGAGGAGCTACAACCACTCGTCCCCCGTCAACGATGTCGTCATTCATCCGAACCAGGGCGAGATTATAAGCTGCGATAGGGGTGGGAGCGTGAGGATCTGGGATTTGGCTGAGAACAGCTGCTCTCATGACATTATCCCTGAGGAGGATCAGTCGGTCGCCAGTGTCACCGTTGCTAGTGACGGTTCACTCCTCTGTGCTGCGAACAACTCGGTACTGTTCTCCTGAATCTCTCTAAGCATATAATAAGTACAAAAGCTAACCCGAAGTCCTTCTCTTCCCTCAGGGCAACGTCTTCATCTGGAAACTAGCCCAAAGCCTCGAACGCACAAACATCCTCCCCATCGCCCAATTCAACGCCCACAAAGAATACATAACCCGCATCCTCCTCTCCCCCGACGTCAAGAAGCTCGCCACCTGCAGCGCCGACCACACCGCCAAAATCTGGGAGGTTCGCGACATCGAACCGGGCCAGATGGACCAGCTGGGCCCCCATCCCTACCCTCTCGAGGCCACCCTGACGGGCCACCAGCGCTGGGTCTGGGACTGCGCCTTCTCGGCCGACTCCGCCTACCTCGTCACTGCCTGCTCCGACCACTACGCCAGGCTGTGGGAACTCTCGACGCAGACCATCATCCGACAGTACAATGGGCACCATCGGGGAGCCGTGTGCGTCGCGCTCAATGACTATTCCGAGGCTAGGTAGGACGGTGAGGAAGGGCCTGCGACGTTGCGCGATTACGTGAGGGCGTTAAGGGATGTGGAGGCTTCTTCTTCTACGGCGGCGGGTGAGGAGGGGGTGAAAGACGAAGCCGAGGGCGATGGGGAGAATATTAGCAAGTCATAGTGATGGCTTATGCTATATCCTCCTTGGTCAGGATGGTTTACTGCTTGTTTTCTTTTCTTCTATAAATCTAGCGCTTAGGAGTGTATAGCGTAGGGAAGTGGAAAAGGGAAGGAAAGGATTGATGTAGCGATTGGTTGCTTTCTAGGCGGTATGGCGTTTGCTGGTGTTTTTCGGTTCGGTCTTCTCCGTCGAGGTTTAGCTTTATACTTATTCTTATTTCAACGCACTCTTTCTTTGCTCAGTTCTTTCTAATAGATAGGTGAAACCTTCATGGTTAGGCCCAAAGCTTATGGTAAAGCCGTGTCTTCACATCAATGATCCCTGGGTTCTTAATGTGATGCGAGTCTAAATTGGCAATGCGGAGCTCGGCTTCGTGACATGTGTAGGCATTGGTGTCATGGGGCGGGCTTCGAGACATATGAGATTTGATGAGTTCACGACTACCTATACTCAAAGTTCACCGAGGCACTCGATAGAGTACGATGATATTGAGGTCGAAAGACAGACAACAATGCTAGAGTTCCATTCTGTTTTGAAAACGATCGACAAAACCTTCCCCATTCTCAAAAGGGTAGCATTCCGAACAATGACCATCAATCACGTAAAAAGGGTCCAGGAACATGAAAAACTCCATCCCTGCCCTTCCTTGCTAGGGCTTCGAAGACCGTTCCGAACAAACACAAACCGAACATTAGATAAAACATAATAGACCGAAGACCAAAGACCCTTGCTTTCCTTACATGACGCCCAACTGAAGACAAAGGGGAGGGAGAGAGAAAAAAAAAGATAATTGAAGCCGACTCCTGACCGTTCTAAGACATGCGTAAAGAAGAAATAGCGAGCCCGAGAGGGTTATAAAAAAGCCTCACGGAGCTCAAAAGGTAGGGCCAGAGGCTACCAGTGTCGTGAAAATGGCAATTCCACCGACCAAGGTGCCTAAAGCCGCGTATCCAACTTTACCTGCCGCTCCATGGAAACGCTTGATAGGTCTGGGTTCTTCCTGGGAATTGTTGAGAGGGATAACGACAATGGGCTCTGGGATCACAGGCGAGGGGTCGCTAATCAGCAAGGGAGGCAGGGCTACAACATCCTCTACCTCATCCGTCGACATCTCTTCTGCCTTTCTCTTCTTGTTTGGCGTCGAGGGACTCGCGGGGCAGGCGTCTTGGCTCGGCTCGTTTACCTCATCTAGGTCGACGAGTGTGATGTCTGCATCAACGACTGATGATTCCGAGGAAGAAGATAGATCCAGGTTCTCAGTGATGGGTTCTGTCGTGGCATCTCCATTGATGACTGAATCGGTGGCATCATTATCAGCCGTCTCAACAATGAGATCCTGGACGGTCTCCTCAACAGCTGAGATCTCGTAGGCAACCTCTTCGTGGTCCCGAATTTCGCTGATACCGTCAGGCAGCACTGTTTCATCTTCCTCCACTCGTTCTTCGGTCTCATGCTCAGGGGATTCATCATGTTCTCCAGCTTCCCCCCGTTCGATGCCCTCCTGTTGTTCTTCGGTCTCGTGTTCGCCGCCAGCTTCATCATCCTTTCTAGCTAGGTCGTCTCCCCCAACTTCTTCACGCGAAACCTCCTCTTGCTTTTGGGTCTCCACTGGATGGAGAGTGGTCTCCTCGGTGAGGTCGATGAAGGACTCAGGGCCACACCTCTTCATGATCTCTACAGCACGTCCGATGAGATCTGTAGGCTCAGACTCGTACTCAGAGTCTTCATCTGGAACCACGAAAGTCCCTTGCATGTGCTCCCGAGTAAGCCTAGTGCTCCCGTAGGTTCGTTAGTATAAGGACAGAAAGCGACAAGACGAGAGGGCGGGCAAATATACTTGATCTTGCGATACTTGACGCCGATCCGCGCCTTTATGGGGTGAACCACGTCAGAGCCGTTCCGAATAGCCACCCCAAACGTCAAAAGGTCACCGTCTTTCACGGGGTGCTGCACAACAGGATCGAGCTTTATATCGTTGATCATGGTCCCATGCGACGACCTCGCATCCTTGAGATAGACTCTCTATGGAGAGGTTGTCTTGTTAGAATAGAGCAACTCCTAGGCAGACAGCTCCCTAGCCGGGGGATGAGCGACACATACCAAGTATCTAAGGTCGGCGAATAGTTCCGCATGCACTCTGCTCATCACAGGGTTTTCGAAAAAAGCATTATCCTCTTTGGGGGACACGGCAGCAATCTTGCTGCTCGATCTCCCAATCGGCAGCCTCACTTTGTCAAAGTTTAAAACAATTCTTCGCTCCGGGAGGTCCGTCGCCGGTTCCTCCACCTTAAGGGTAATGACCACTACACACAAACCTTAGTACGCGAGCGGAGTGGGATGGATGGGAAGCGTCTGTAGAAATGTACCTTGGCGATCTCTGAAAAACATTCTCGCCGTCACTTTTGCGTTCGTTGGGGAGGGACTCGTCGGTTGCTCGAAATTCGAGCACGGGTTGGGCAGAGTGGTCGAGGGCGGTCTCGCCTTATTGCTCGCGGAGGTTGTAACTACTCCCTTGGAGCTAGTTCGAAGGAATTCGTCGCGGAGGGGAGATGCTCGACAAGTCTGATCGGTGGGCAGGATGAAAGATGGAGGATGGAAGAGGTAAGAAAGAAGATTAGATAGCTTGTCTGCCGTCGATGGGATGGCCGTGCGAGGCGTACGAAGGAGGAAGTAACAAGACGGAGATGGTGGGGCTGCCTGCCGATAGCGATAAGAAAGCGCGGGGGGAAGGTGTCGCTCGTGCTGGAGCCTCTCAGTCTAAGACGAAGACAGGCAGACTTGGGAGGAAGCAGTCAATCGATGTAGAGTGTACGTTCCAAGTTGGTACCAGGAATTGCACATGGGGTCAAATGGTCGAAGTGCTAGGATAACACTTATGGAGGAGTTGGCTGCACAAGCTGCATAGGCGGGGTAAGGGTGCGAAGTCGAGTAGGCTCCGGTCGTGGTCGCCGCTGCCTAACATCAAATGACGTTGTTCGCCCAAGTCTGAGACTCAAACTCCAACTTTGCCTGGTTGCAACTGTGCGAAGTACCGCGGTACACTTTAAGGCTGTTTCTAGTGTACTTTCATACGCACACCATGTGAACCAGAACGAGCCCCAAAGTGGAACAGCCTGATTCCTTGACTGGACTGTTGTTGGAACTCGAAATCCTTAAACAGCTTAGAATCTCCCCTCGATTTCCATAAACCCACCTTTGCAAGTGAGGAACTACGGATATGGCATATATATAGAAGGCTTTTGGGATTTTGCAGAGTTTTGTAAGATCAGAAATACTATCGCTTTTTCTTCAGCCGATCCGTCTGTGTCGAGCATTCTTCCGGGTTCGAGGAAGGTTTAGATGAGGTGAGGTTTATCAGTTAATACACTATCAAGTACAGCAGGCTAGTCGATAAGTACAGTTCTTTGAATCCCGGTATTGCAGCCTCAATCCCGAGTGAGCGTCCCTTGAGAGAGTAAGCTAGCATCACAGGGCGCTTACACAGACCCTGCCAGAGGCACACAAGATCAGAAGCCTAGGATCTAGTTTCCTTGTTCAATTTACTACCGGAGACGAGCTTTTCTATTGCTTCTAGGCGACCTTACTGTCTTGAATCGAATTTCTCCCAGTCTTCTTCTGCTCCCAAGCTCTTGATTCCCCTTCTTTTTGAGCATCTCGCTCCTATGCGCCTACGTTTCAATTGCCATAGTACGATTCCTTTTCGTCATCGGTTTTCTTACTGCGAATTCTGTGCGGGATACTGCCGAACATACCGTTCGCTACGAAACAAACTACATATCCCCGCCCTTTTGACATTCCCTGAGAGTGGATGGCTTTAGGACTTCTGCACATTTCCGCTTGATTAGAAGCTTGACTTACGCTGTCCACATGTATCAAATATGGTTCGATAAATGCTAACTGTGAGGCAAGTTATGGTATGGGCTGGTTGGTAGCTTCGGTTGGCAACGTGTTAATCCGTTCGCCGTTCAAACCCATCCTCTTTTGGTTACGAACGGCCAGTCAACATCAGGGTCAGCTACAATGACAGATAGGCTCAAGTAAAAGATGCACTTCGTTTCATTTACTCCCCAATCGATCCCCATATTCAGCTTTTCATTGTCCAGATGTCGACTTCTAGGAGGAACTGGGCTTTTATAAACGCCCTGATCCTGATTTTGAGAACTTCAATCTTAGTTGATGACCTGAAGTTCAGCAGTCGACCCTTACCAAGGGGCATCTTCTGCGACATCTCCATGGGCGTAGCTATGCTGAATCCCCGAAGTTCTGAAGACTTTATGATATCATCTTCTAACAACGTGCCTTGAATCGCCTTTGTAATGCTGAACTATGGCCGGAAAGTCCTCGTGGAGTTCTCGGCCTAGGCAGAGGTCCTCAAGTTTCCGGAGAGGTAAGGTGTATCTCAAATAACAAGCTGAAGATATCGACAAGCCCCTCTCTGGGCCATTTCGGAATGTCCGTACGGTTTATTTCCCTTGCCCATCGAGTCAAATCCATTCCGTTTGTTGGCTGTTTGCAGCTCTTGGGATCTACGGCCGTTAGATGTGGGTAACTGATTCCCGAGACTTTCTGTCGATGCTGGACCGAGGCAAGTGGAAAGACCTAGGGCAGTTAAACACTTGTTCTGAGCCGATATTCTTGGATTCACTCGTGGAACTTCTAAGACTACTACTAAAAGCCAGTCCAACAACTCGTAAACAGCCTGGTCAGGGTTGTCATGCAAGTAAAAGTTCTTTCCTTGACTGTTTCTTGAAGCATGGCCAACGAGAATGGAGCATCTTCCATTCTTCCTAACACCTGGCATAGAACGAGCTCAATGGTGATTTGGACAACCTCGAAGGACGAGAGATGCTCGCAGGATAATAACGGCTTGTAACTACTGTAGCGTGACCGCTTCTCTATCGACTGAGTCTGGGGAGAGAGTCGTTTGACTGCTTATACCCCCACTACTCCCTTTCCAAATTCATTGGTTCACCGTCCTTGTTTTGCGCGGTAGGGTGTCGTCGGGTCGATATTTTATACGCCCCGTCAAGATTCGACCAGTACCGATTCTGGAGAGAGGGGAGCGAATCAGGTCTCACTATGAGGTCAGGCACTGGAGCTACATATATGGATAGATGGAGCTCGAAACCTGGGAGCAGATGGAGACTGGCGAATAGGTGAAGCTAAAACTGTGAATGGAGTTGTGGAGATCCCTGGGCCTGCTTTGAAACGAGGAGGCATCAATATAAATCCTGGGCCCCAATGAAAGCTGCTGTGAGTTAGAGTCAGATGCGGCCTGCCATTGCTCTTTGAGCCAGTGGATTGCTGTCCAAAAGTCCAACAATTGAACATGCTTCCTTGACGCCCAATAGCCTAATCTCATCGAGTAATTGGTCTTTTCTGCATTCGACGATAGAGTGGGAACCTCGAGTGGCGGCGCCCCTTCCACTCCATTCAGTCTTGTTGTTCTTTGCTTGGTGGTGTGGTTCCGATGTGGTTTTCCAGAACAATTGAAGGCCAATTTCAGTCATCAAGTTGACACGATTCAATGTCACTTCGTACTGTGAACATTGAATTGCCCGCTAATTGCCCATTGAGCAGGACCTTCCCGCTTAGGCTGGTGATGAGAATACAACATGAGCGGATTTACGTCAGGATTCTAGCTCTAGCGCTGGAAACTAGTACTAATTTGGGCGCTGCCTGGTCAACAGCTCCAGGAACGAGATTGATGGCTCAAGGGTCTGACAGCATTTAATGCTCCGTCCAGATCAATGCTAGTAGCCGTCACCGGAAGCCCATCTGGCCATGACGATTCGTATTCTGTCGCAAGGAAATTGACTTGGAGGTTGAAGGATCCTCCAAAAAAAATTAGTGTGCTAAATAGGGTAAAAATTATTCGCCGTAAGACATTGGGTTGATGGCAGGTCTGGGAAGGAGGGAGGGATGGAACGGAGGCAGCGCTATTCCGGGTTGGACTGACGCACTCCTCCCTTGGGGCACCTGGTCGGGGAATAATAGAAGACAAGGTTGGATCATAATATGATAACATTATGATACAGGTCCAACCAAGAAAAGAAAGACGATTAAGAAATTCAAGCACGAAGTATTTCCTAAACTACCATTGTCGGCTTCGTAAAACTACTTCGCTGACAAGTGGGAAACGGATAAAGTATTACTTGGCCGAAATACGTTGCGCGGGACGGAATTCACTGGGGATAAGTGGAGGCGAGGTATTGATGTACTTTCGTTGTAGTAAAACTTGTAAACGTGCTCCTTGGTCCATGATGGTGGCAAGATGGCCTTTTTCGGGGTTCGTTCCCGGTTCAAGCTGGGCCAGCCGATCAAAATGGGAACACAAATCTTGATGTGGTCTGGGCCTTGCGCCTCGGAGGAAACAAACAGGCAACCCACAGAGCTCCATCGCTCCATCGCTCCATCCGTCGGGCAGATCCTGGCTTCTGCAGCGCCATTGGCCGAGCTACCCACAGGGCCAACTCATCAAGCTCCATCTGTGGTAACCACCCCAGCAATTCCCAGCCGCTCCCCTCGGCTTCGCTTTGTTTGGGGAACCATAACAAACCAAACTGTGCTCTCGCACCTGCCCTCTCTCTCTCCCGTCTCGTCTAGTCCCTCCTCACCCTCCCTTGCAAGTTTTGGCCGTTGGGGGTGACTGTGACGGAACGCTTTGAAGCTTGACGGATTTCCCTCGTGTGACTTGTGACAAAACCACGAAACCTGTAGCTGGGCGCAGCCAAAGTTGCTCCTTCCTTGCTGGCCTCACTCAGCCTTGACCAGAGCTGTGGTGCAATTAAACGTGCTTCCTTCCACATCATAATAGGATGGGAAGAATATCGATTTATTCTTGTCTCAACTTGAGCCGTCATCCACCTTTCCTTTTCCCCCACCAAGCGTCGCCATCTCACTCCAACACCTAAGACTCCAACATCATCTTTTTTTCTTTTTTTCTTCCTTTTTCTTCCCGCTTTATTGATCTTGCCCGACCTCGCCGGTCAGTATTAGCCACCAGCCCTTTGTACCTAATGGGAACACAACATACGAAGTAGTCCTGTCCCCTCCAACATCATCCTGCGACAACCCTGCAGCTCTGTTTTGGTTTGCTATTGAGGTAAACTCCTCACGCAACGTACTCTTCACGCACCCACGCCAGTTTCGCCCAGTCGTCTCTCGCTCTGATCCTTGGATCGTCAGATATATCCTGGTCTGGTTTTCTCTAGTACCTCGTACTCGTCAACTCTGCTGCGATCCTGCCATACTGCCAGACTGCAGTGCTGTACTTCTGCTGTACTGTAGCACTCTGCACCTGCACCCTGTGCTTCTGCAGCTTCGACTGCAGTCCCAGTCCAGTCCTAGCCCAGTCCCAAGCCCCAGTCGGTAAGCAAACCACATCACTATTGACCCTATTCACTGCAGAGTTCCACAATGCCCAGCTGAGGGAACGCCTCTGGCGCCAATACCCAAGCCTCTCGCTTTTCCTTTTTTCGCCCACCTCACAGCCTGGTCCAAGTGGCAGTATCCGCCCCCCAATTGATTTTTTCCCCCTTCCCTTCTCTCTCTCCTTGTATCTGCGCTCTTTCCTGCAGGAAGTCTCTGACACTCTGCATGCTGTTGCCACAGGGTAACAGGGCATCTTGTGCTTACATTTTGGCCTCTAGTAGACTGTTTCCCCACCGACACTTGGCGATTTACTCCGTTATTCGTTGTACCTCGACTTTGGCCTGCATGTACCAGCGCTCGCTCTTCTTTGAGATGCCGTGACATTTCGCACCAGAGCAACCTGTGGGCCCCTGTCTATTTACCCAACTAACCTTATCACCCCTGACGCTTCCTGTCCCGGGTTCTTCCTCCATCCTCATCTTTCCCCCTCTCTTCATCATTTCGCGAAAGGGGAAGGATTGACTCCAGGCTGGACTTGAGTTAGAAGGACACAGAAAGAGAGAAACGAGAGTTGTGAGAGTGTGAGAGGGAGACGCCAACCCAGACTCCACAGACAAGCTGACCGCTCATAGAGCACCCAGCTGTCTGGAGCGCGGTCGCTTTCACACCGGCGCTGCTCGCCATCCGACACCTTCCACCCAGCCTCCATCAAAGTCGAAATGGGAATTGACTTCAAGAAGGTCCCACCACTTCCTGCACCCACCGAGACAGAGTCAACGACACCTACCGAGCTGGCAACTGATGTGTCGAAGCCTGCCGACAACAAATCCACCTATTCCCTTCCCGAGGACGGCACACCAGTCACCATCAAGACCCGCGGTAGATCCCATAACCAGAAAACACTCCTAATTGAATATATCGAAAACCAAAAGCCTGGCGCCTCGGGATCTGAGTCCGATCGCAGGCCCAGTGTTCGCGTCCGCGTCACAACACCCTCCTCGAGAGGAAAAAGCGGGAGCGCCGGCGGCCGGATCCAGATCACCGAGACCGACGACGCCTATACCCCCACCTATTCTCGCCGACGCCCACTCTCTCCGCTAACCTCCCCTTCGCGCCCCTCTGAGCTGAAAGACCTCGCTGACGACCAGAGCATCGGCTCTTACGCTTCCGCCACCGAGGAGTCCAACGTCTCGAGGAATCAGCCCATCGAAATAGGTATCGATTTAGGCCGCAACTCTCGGAGACGTCGGCCCGCAAGCCCTCTAATACCGACAAACGAGACCATGGCATCCCTAATGCCTAGCACCAACCAATCCGAGATATCTGCCATCCCTTCTGATAGCTTCCTCGACGGCTCCGGCCCCACGAGGTCCCCCGAAGGAAGGTGGATGGCTACCCCCACATCGGCCGAGAAACTCAAAAGCACCAAGACACGAACCGTTAGCCGTGAGAAGGTCAGGATTTCCGAAAAGTCGTCGAAAGATAGGTCGGAACGGAAGCACAAGTCCAGCAAGAGCCGGACGAGTAGCGTAAGCGACAAGCATGGCGATAGCGGCAAGTCTCCGCGGCGCCGATCGAGCCGAACCCATGAGTCCGTTGTTTCGGGCGCCGACTCGAGCGTTGTCTCGTCCAATTTCTCCCCAAGCCATCGGTCCATGGATCAGCATTCGATGCGCTCCGAGTCCTCATCTAAATCTATAAACAACCCTAAGCTGCTCCAAGCCGTCGAAGATGCTATTTGCCGCCTTATCCTTCCTCAACTTGACTCCTTACGGCGGGAGCAGAGCATGCGTGAGGCAAGACGTGGCTCCGTAGTATCCGCGGGGACCTCCATCTCCAAAGAAGACTTGACTGGCGACCGCAGAAGACTTTCCGACAGATCGCGGGATTCTCGGCATAAGGACCGCAGAGACAGAGAAGCTCGCCACGATTTCGCTGACGCATCCTCCCAAATCTATGATCGAGAGTCCTTAGATGGGTCCTCGATTCTCGAGGCAGAGCCCCACACTCCTAGAAGGAAGAGTACCGATATGCTGAAGGCTGCTGCGGCTGCGGGCGCCGTTGGTGGATTGGCTGGCTCTGCGTTGTCATACTCGCCCACATCCGCCGATGACAAGAAACAACGGCGCCGGAGACGCGCCGAGTCCGCCAGGAGCCGGAGCAGAGCGAGCGACACGTATACTGACGAATTTGACGACGACGACCAACTTGCACCCGCCCCACCTATGCCTCTCATGAGCGAAATTAACCCATCAGACGTTACCAGAACCTCGATACTCTCTGCCGATACTGACAGACCCCATTCTGCCTCCGAGGAGATTGCCCCTGTTCGTGACGTCGCCCGTGGGGTTGCTTCCGCCCAGTCCACTCCCGCCGCCCCCACCAAAACGCCCAATGCTCTCCAGCAGGGTCTCAGCACGCAGCATGCCAACATTTCGCATGGAGACCTGACTGCGCTGCGCAACAGTCGGCTGGAGTCTGAAGACACTTATGCTCGCGAATCTCCATCATCGCGACACTTGCCGCTAGATGAGCCACCCATGCCAGAGGTCATTGAGGATGACATACCTCCCGATGCTCATTATGTCACGTCGGCCTATGATTACTATAACACGCAGGACGTTCCGCACCCGCTCAGATACGAGCCGTATCAACCAGAACGGCGCGGACTTAGTCCTATCTACAGTGTCTCCGGATACACGGAAGGTGGCAGTGAAGGGCCCCAGCGAGACTCCCGAGGCTACGCAGCGAGTGCGACGCACTCAGACTCTCCGGAGAAATCGTCTTATCATGAGCCATCGATCGGGCATTCCCCCGCTCATAGCCCTGCGATTGGTCGGGATCTCGACCAGAGAAGCGACGGGCGTAGTTCCGTTGCCGATTACAGACGCACAATGTCTACTGACGGAAGTGATCTCGATCCCTCGTCGAGACAAGCGGTGCGCGGCTTGGGAGCTAACCCCAACATTGTCCAAGTCCCGGTTGGCTTAGAATCCCATGTGGCATCTCTCGTTGATGGCTCGATGATCGACCAGTCCGTCCTATCGCAAGATTATGGCCAACGAGACTCTACTCTTTCTTACGATGACAGGCCTCGCTCGTACGTCGATACCTACAGCGCAAGTCCCACCAAGCGCTCGGTAGACAGCCGTCATTATACAGAAGACGACCGCGCCCTGACACCTGTATCTCACGGGTACACAAACCGGTCTCACGAGTTCTCGGAAGAGTACGACATTGATAAGCACGGCCGAAAGGTTCTCCAGACCCAGGCCCAGGCCCAGACCCAGAATAGGCAATCCCCGACCGAATCCGAAGCCGCCATCACTGCAGGCGCCGCCCTCAAGGCAATCAAGGCTCTCAAGGCCAACCAAGGAAAGCAGGGCCTTGCGGAGGATTCCGCCGGAGATGGATTCGTTCCCGCTGGAGTCCAAAGGAACAAGTCATTCAAGGAACGGACGTTGGCCGGACACGAGCCCGCCACTACCCCGACGCATAGTGTTGACCGTCTGGACTATGAGGATGAACCGAAGATGGGGGCTAGTGGCCTTCCGGACCTCGATAATCCAATGCCGGAAATAGGCTACGTCGATGACAGCGATACCCAAACCAATGCCTCTGTTGTGCAGGAGCGGCTTGACGGCATACACGATACCACTTGGAGCGGCCGGTCGACTCCCAAGGCAATGATCGACAACTCTCGTAAGGCCGAGACTCGCCGCCAACACGATGGGCTCGGTATCACGGAAATAGCCCCCACTGCGAACCAAAGCGGCCAGCCCAGTAACGAACATGTTGAGGAGCCACCGCGAACCTCGGATGAGAGGAAGCGAGATACACTCGGAACTAATCCATTCGAGGGCATTAGCCCTGTGGCAAACCCTCACCTGGGAGAGAACCTGTTCCGAAGCGGTAACTACGATCTCGGCTTTCACACAGGAAGCCCCGGTGGCGGTCAGATCGAGGATGAGGGCTACAAGTCTCAAGGCCCCAATCGGACACCCGATTTCCAGGCCAATAAAGGCGTCCTTGATGTCCCCAAGCCTGCGGAACACGGTGATGCTGAAGATCCGTTCTACGATGCACCCAAGTCCTCGCTCCCAACCCGGCACTTCAGTGGCATGTCCCATGGCATGACGACACCCTTTTACGACGCGGCCACTGGTGGGGGCATAGATAGAATCGAGTCCAAGGATATCATCGCGTTGATGCAAGAGGTATGCGTATAATTTTACCCCTCTCCCATTTCCATTGTGCAGTAGCGGCTAACTTTTTATAACTTTGTAGCTGGTTGCTCGCGACGCCCAGAGGACGGCCCGAGATACCGAAATCGCCGCTACCGTCATGTTCCTTGCGAGAGAAATGCGCATGTCCTTCCAAAACGTAGAAGACCGCATCAAGCAGACCGAGAATATTATTGTCGATGAGCTCGATCAGACGGAAAAGACAATCGTCAAGACTATTGGAGGGCCTCGGCCGTATCCCGGCAGTGCTGGCAGGTCCGTGGGTGGATCGCAAGCTGGTGAGGATCTGGCAACTAAGAAAGGAAATATTATTCGCCGTGCCCTTAAGGGCCTCCGGACATCAGGAGCCAATGATCTCACTAGAATCGAAGATATGCTCCTCACGCTCCTTAAGGATGTGGATGACCTCAAGGCCCAGACTGCCCAGCAAGCTCGAAGCACCGCTCGTCCTTCATTCGACAATTTGCAACCCGACATCCAGTACGAGCAAGATCAAGGATACGAGCCGGAAGGGCGCGATGCAGCATCGATGGCTAGCCAAGCCAGCCAGTCAGGTCACCTAGCTGCTCCCCGAGGTGGTCCCCAGCGACGCCTTTCGGAGAATCGCGTTAGCACAGTCCCCGAGGCCGTTGAAGAGGGTGGCTATCATCGCGAAGAAGAAGATGAGCTTTTAACCGGCCCCCAATTCACAGACAGCCATCTCTTGACACCTGGTCAGCAGAACCAACGAGGAAGCTCAGTTCCTCTAGACACACCACCACAACCAGCGCATCCCGCGCACTCTGGTTCCGTCAGCAACGAGAACACCCCACGTACCGACAAGGCTAAGAAGCACAAATCAGGCAGCTCCTCGAGTTGGATTCCCAAGATTTCGCGGTGGTCAGAGACGACGGCGTCCACGGTCAGCAAAGCCTTCCGAGGCAGCGGGACATTGCGCAAGGACAAGGATGCTGAGTATGTCCAAACCGCTCACTCACGCTCAGGGTCTGACTTGGGTGCATATGCCGATGATTACCCCCTCACCGACCCGTACGGCGATGACCACCTCCACACGGGCTTTTCCGACGTGAACCTCGCGCCGCCCCATCACCCTATTGAAGGTCCCAGCGGGGATCCCCCGAGAACCTACATGACGCCCGAAGACCCCAAGTACAAGGCTCATAGGAACTCCCTCAACCTGCAGCATCCGCAGCCGAGGCCCGGACAAACTGAGCGGTTCAAGGCAGCTCTCGAGTCTCAGGCGTACATTTACGACTCGACGATGACTCCCCGGTCTCATGACTGGCGTGGCTCCACATCGAGTCTGCATAGGTCGCCTGCCCAGCATGTGCATCGCTACAGTGATGCCTCGGCCCCCGTCGGAGGAGAATACTGGCCAGACTCCCCGACCGATGCCAACGTCGGACCCCCGCGTCCGCCGAAGGAGCCTCTTGATAGCGGCTCGGGTACTCCAGTCCGAGGTGCCCGCTTCTCTAAGCTTCAGAAGACTAGCCCCTTGCCATACCATAGCGTGGAGAGCGGATATGGCACCGCCACCGCTACTCATACCAACTACACTGGCAGCCCCAAGCTGGAGAACCGAAACCTCAGCGGAGCCCTTGGTGTTCCGACTCGCCGTCCCAGTGGGCCCAGGGCTATGACCCCGAAGAGCCCGGAGGAGGAAGCTGCTAGGGAAGAAAGGCGTCGAAAGCGAGGTAAGTTATTTGCAAGAGCGTCGTCTGCTGACACCCCCATCGAACTTGAAACTAACGTGCGTTCTCTTTTTACCAGATACTTTTGGAACCATCGCCAGCCAGGACACCGACACCTTCTAGAAAAAGCGTGCATCCGCTACTCCTAGACATGTTCGATGGTCTCCAAGTGTCTGAAGTTCGAGCTGAGAGCGGCAGTGTAAGATGTTGCCGTCACATTTTATTGATAGAACCAGACTCCAGGCGAGTCTGGTGGGATCGCTCCAAAGCAACCTTGTAATTACGGCGCATGCTGATGGAACCGGCCAAGAAAAAAAAGAAGGAAAAAAACAAACAAAAACAGCGACTGTTCTTTCTGCCAGCGAGACAGGCTCAAAGTCTAAAATGTCCTACACGAAGGGATCCCTCCCCCCGGAAACCCAAACTTTGATGGAGGAGATATGGGTGGAACGTTTTCTCATAGCAACAACAAGGCAGGCAGGTTAGGCACGGGAGAGGAACGCAATACGAGGTGAGGGTTTTTCTAGGAAGTTTCTTTTCAATGCTTTTCGAAAGATGGCGGAAACAAAAAGGAATGGTTTTTTTATATGCTACCTCATGTTGTCACGACCCGTTATGAGCACAGCATCTTGAACAGTTTTTTTAGCTTTTTTCGGCCGGTTTCTCGTTTCTTTTCATTTTTCATTATTTCTTTTCATATTTTCTTTGCTCAATGTTTTGCGCGCCCGTCATTGCATGTACTCGTTGCACAGCAAGAAAAATCACCGCCCCTTTTACTGAGATGGAGTCATTAGGGAATCTTTTCTAACTGTTTCTAATCATTTGCGTTTCTGTTCTTTTTGAGGTTTTTCGAGGTCGAGATGGAAGACAGATTTTGAATGTGAAGATAAAAGTGTACTAGGGATACAATGTACGAACTTGAATGCAAATGCAGTTTCCTCACGGCCATCGTCTCTCATGACCCCCATTGTCATTACAGAAATCGTGAAGTATAACGTAAGAATGTAGAGATGGACTGAAGGGTAAGGCAAGATCGTTCTCATAGACACAACGTTGAATGCTATACATCAGACACTGGTATCAAGTTTTGTTCTTTCTACTACCCATGGCACCGGCTCCTGAACAAGAAAAGCAGTAACAAGCTCTCCCTGAGTTCGCCCCTCGCCGCGGCCCGTTCCCTTGACCGATAAACAAAACGTAAAAACAAGAAGGAACACCGTCGTATATCTCTTTGCCGTTAAGCAAGTGTCGCCGTCGCTTTCATCCCCAGACCATCTTTGGACGGAGGGAATGAGTCAAACTGACTCGCTTGGCTCTCGCTTTAAACATTCACGGCCCAAGCCATCCCCCCCCCCTTCATCTTCATTAAACAGATGCCGTTGTTTCTTAGGTTCGGGTTCAAGTGAATCTCGTGTGGATGATATCCGGGTTCTCGTGCCAGTCGTCAATGCTCACCCACATCTTAAAAAAAGAAGCCCCGTTAGCCTTTCAATCCCATCACAAAAGTCACTGGCCGCCCTAAGACTCACCTTCCTAAAAGTACTCAGCTGCGCCAAAATACTCCCCCCAATCCAAGTCGAATACTTCCTCTCGGGCGGCGCAAAGATCTTTATCCGCATGTCCTTGACGGCGAGCCTCTGCATCTCGCTGAGGAGGCGATCTCCGAAGCCGCGCGTGAGGGTGCTGCCGCCCGAGAGCACGATGTTGCTGTAGAGGGATTTCCGCAGGTCCATGTCGGTGCGGCCGATGGCGTCGATGACGATCTGGTGCACGCCGGGGTATTCGAGGCCGATGATTTCGGGGTCGAAGAGGATTTCGGGGGCTCTGAAGCGTTCTGGGCCGAGCTGTTTGGTGACGGAGGGGCGCGGTTAGTGGTTTTCCCATAGCTCCGTAATTTACGAAACTCGTGTCTGTGTAGACGATATGGGTGGTTCCCTACCTGGAGCTTATTGCCGTCTGGTAGTGTGTACTCAAACATCTTCCCAGAGTCATGTTTCCCTCCTACCCACTCCTTCTCCTCGCGCTTCGGGTCGCGTGATATATAACACGCCGTCTCCTTGATATGGCGAACAACCTCCTTCTCGGCGCTCGTATGAAAGACATACCCGCTCTTCCGGAGGAGCGTCTGCAGATATTCCGTAACGTCTCGTCCGGCGACGTCGATGCGCCGTATGCTGCTCGGCATGGCGAAGCCCTCGTACACGGGCACGGAATGCGACACTCCGTCGCCGGCATCGAGCACGATGCCCGTCGTCCGCCCGCTCGCGTATAGTGACAGAACGGCCTGGATGGAGGTGTAGAGCGCGGGGACGTTGAAGGTCTCGAAGAGGATCTGGGCGGCGGTGTCGCGGTTGCTGCGGGGGTTTAGGGGGGGTTCGGTGAGGAGGATAGGATGCTATACAGGCGCAAGAAAAGAAACAAGCGTTAGAGGTATATATTTCCTTCGCCAATTCCAACAGCCTCTCTTAATTTCTTCTTTTTCGTCCCTGGAGCACAAAGGGATTTGGCTGGCAAGCGCAGACACTTCCCCCGCCAAAACCCCACCGTTACACATACCTCTTCGCTCAGACTCTTCAGGCCTTCTGTATACACATACTCCCATATCTTCTCCATGTCGTCCCAGTCCGTAACTATGCCGTGCTCGAGGGGATACCGAATTTTAAGTAGCCCCCGGTACTCGGACGCCGCCTTCTCGCCGATAAAGAGCTCCCCCTCCAAGGCACCGGCTAGCACCCTGGTATGCTTCGGCCGACCTACCCATGACGGAAAGCAGCATTTGGGTACGTCTTCTCCGGCGAATCCCGCTCTTATGGTTCCCGAGCCGTTGTCTAGGACAATCGGGGCGTTGTGTAGCGTTTCGGCCATCGTCGCTTGTTCGTCACCGCATGTATGTCGGGCAGCAAAGGGGCGGCGGAGCAATATCGGCGGCGAGCCTCAAATGGATGGAGTTGGCTTCGAGGACGGCAGAGATACTCGCGGATCGCCAAGTGGAATCGTTCGTTCGTTCGGGAGGCCAAAGATGGGGGTGGGGGGGAAGAGGCGGACAGAATCCGTACGTGGCGTCAATGGCTTTCCTCCTGAATTGTTCCTCCCCAGATCCACCGGAGTTTACGAACTGCAGCTAGACAGAATGCGGTAGGAATTGAATAAAATTAAAAGAGGAATCACGCGTGAAAAGAAGACCAGAGAAGAGAAAGAAGAAAAAACCACGCTGCGCAGAAGAAGTCGTCGATATCGTCAAGCTGGACTCGGGGAAGATAGAAAGTCTCGTCAAGGCTGGCGTTCCTCACACTAAATCAATCATTTGTGTTTGTTGGCTGAAATTTAGGAGCTGTCGGATTCAGGAACGCGAAGCAAACGCCCCCAAAACCCCAAAGCCGCAACAAGGACGGTCACAATTGATTTGACGTATTGAAACAAGCTGCAGGGGTCGCGCCGGCTCTTGGATGCTCTGGGCTGGGATTGGTGCTGCAATGAAACAAACGAACGAGAGCTGTCAGCTGGCAGGATTGCAGATGGTAACAGATGTAGACATGTGTTCGCAATTAACCATTGACGACGCATCGCTTCATATGGGTTGCGAAATCTTCAGCACTGCTAAAGACATCTTAACCAGGTTTATTTATATTATTGATTCGTTACCAATTGAGTACGCCAATGCTCCGGTTTTCGCCAAACGGATATATATGCGCCAATCTTGCTTCCATATTACCCTTGCATCCCGTAGAAGCGAAAGCAATATGTCGCCCAAGCAAAATGTATGCAAGGGAAAGCTCAACTTCATCTCATCAAGATTGTTAAGAGGGGCAGTATGTTCGAGATGCCTCCCTAGCCAGGCCAGCTAGAAGAAATCTAGCAAGGCTGGATTGAGAGGCGGACGGAGAGTGAGGGCTTTAGACACATCTTGGACAGTGCCCCGAGGAAAACCGGCCGAGACGTTGTTTTTGTGGGCAGTCTCGGCCAGTTTGTATTCTCATTTCGTAAAAGCGGCGTATCCTCCAAGCCTCTCCATTCTATGGCCATTTCTACCTCTCTCTTTGATTTCCCTCGTACTCCCTCGATAAACTGGAACTCAGGTCGTACACTATAGTGTAGCGTCTTAGGGTGGCCCACCGGAGCCGGGGCGCTGGAAAATCAATAGTTCGACGCCTGCCGAGGTCTTCTAAGCTCAGCTTGAATGGTTCCTTTCTTCTGGTCTTTTCTGGAGTCTAGACTCTGAACAAGCCCGCAACAGCTGTATCAAGTCCACTCTGCAAAGCCCACCTTCGCGCTTATCCCGCACTAAAGAGGAAAATACTAAGTTTCTGATGCGTTGATACCCTGCGGTACGAGCTACGCTTGCCAAGCGTTTCCCACTTACACGGCGGCTGTAGCCTCCAAGAATCACCATCATGCACAGATCATGAACGATTGAGTATAAAGTTTCAATAGTTTTTTTTGTTTCTTTCTCTGGGCTTTCCAAATATATACCGCTCGTAATCATGGGAAACCACCAGTACTGGCTATTGAAGTTTGTACATTCGAAGAAAAGAAATTCCCTTAACAAAAAGAACGCCCATAATGTAATGCTAGTAGCCAGACTGACACCCCCTCCCATGGATGTCGTGAAGACCAAACCATCTATTATCCAACTGCCAAACCCAACTTCTCGTGGGTGCAGTGTAAAGCAAAAAAGAATTACCCCGAGCAAGGGTTCGTTCATCGCGATGCTCTATTTGTTTGTGTTTTTGTTTTCCAATCCTCCATGTCTAGAAGAAGAGAATTCCAGGAACGCCTAAGTTTTCCTGTGTATGACTGAACGCCGACGCTGGACAATCATTGGACGTGGCCGTCGAGGCCGACCTTGCTAAGGTAGGGCCATCCGAGAAGAAGAGCAATGCCTGGGAAGAAGCTAGTTTGTGTCAGTCTCAAAGAGAGATTCTTGTATAGGAAATACAGAAGGACTCCTCGAGGGAGCCTCCTGTAAGACAATTCGTTGTGCAGATGGTGTCAAGGATGTACGTACAAGGCAAGGCGAGTAGCGGCGCTCTTGGCCATCTTTCCGTAGGCACCGGAAGCGACCTTCTGGGTGGCAGGGAGCTTCTCGAAGGGATGGGACTCCATGGATCGGGCGGCGGCACGGAGAGTAGAGACCTGTCTGCGGGTGGCCGCACGGATGATAGCTCGGCTGGCGATGGCGGACATTTTGAAAAAGAGTTGATTCAAAAATGAAGAAAAGAGTCGAGTTTGGTTGAGAGTTTCGGAGGAGAGATGATCGACGAGTAGTCGTTGGTATTAGAGAGAGTAGTGTGCGGAGATAGGATTCCCTCAGACAGTTCTGACCGAAAGGAGATGCGAATCAATGAATGAGTTGAGTATTGAACTTTTGTCTATGATGATGATAGTGACGAAAGGGAATCCAGAGAACGGGATCCTGCATGAGATCTTATATACATAGATGGAAAGTAAATTCCCCATAGTAATATCGCCGAAGACTGATGACATTTCGGCGGGATGCGGAGAGTCCCCAAACAGTCGAACGGCCCTCCCAAAAACCATACAACACGCGAGACCCGGGGACCCGCCCGAGTATCGACCTCTGAGGTCAAGTCGTGCCATCACTGCGATGCTTTCAGCGAGAATGCCCGTCCTATACCAGACCGAGACCCAATAGCAGCGCCTGGATTTCAGCAGCATCCGGGTGAGCAAGGCTCTGGAGTGGTCGAAAGAGCCCGAGATGGAACGATTTCCCTAGGGAGTCTTCCATTTTGGTGTGGTACCACCGCCTTCGTGGGCTGATTCGGCCCTCTCAATCCTCGCGAATCAGATGATCCCTTGGTCTCGGGGCCAATCAGCGTCCCTCAAGTAAGTCTTTTACCTCATTCGGACGGTCCAGGCTTGAGGTACCTGCTAATATTAGTCCCCTCCATGCTTGCCTACAAAGCAACGATCGGCGCTCTATGAAGTGTCGTGACGCAAATCAACCCTCCATCACAATGTCATGGCAACTGTTCATGATGGTCAGCGATAACATTTCGCGGAACGGGAACAATGAGAAGTTTGTCGAACGAGAGTCCACTTCTGAGTCATGCCTCGATTTTACTAATCCAGCTGCCTGGCACTTGACTGACGTCGAACCATTATCTTATCTTCACGTGATTAAGAGCCAGAGTGCGGGGTTTTCCGTCTTGGCAAAGCTTAACATCAAATCCAAAATCGTTGCATGATTAAGTAATAAAGGAGATGTGTCAGCAGTATGGAAAGGCAATCTGGGGCCACAAGGGTTCCTGCGCGGCTTGGCGGTAACTCCAAGTATTCGAGACGCCGAGCTTCAAACCTCTCGATGGAAAGCGCCGTTTCTTAAACCTCGTACGAGCTCAGCTCCTCCCCGTTCCGAAGAATCACCCAATCTCGAGCTGTCGCGATGCCACTCGTCGACCCAGTCACAATATCGAGCCCGGGACGGCAAACCACGAAGAAGCCCGCGCCATCCGCGACTCCTCTGCGACCGGTTATTCTCTTCGGAAGCCCCATTGCGAGGACTACCGACGGTGTCCAGCTCCTCCTTGTCGCTGTCTTGTTGAGGCTCCAATTTAGCAAGCTCGTTGAGGAGCCGGTGCCGACTTTACAAAATGGCCTTCTAGTCTTTGGCGCGTTACAGGCTCTCTGGGCTGTCTTGTGTTGTCCTCCTGCTGGTCATCATCAGAAGAAGCGCGCGGCTAATCCCGTTACGGTATGCTCCCGCTGGACCTACAGAGCCCCGAGGAGGCCACACTTGGAAGCTAATGACTCGCCACCTGAGCTCTATAGACTGCGGCTTTGTCACTAGTATTGACAGCCCTCATCGTTCCTCTCCTACACATCATCTTCGTCCTCTTCGGCGCCCCATTCCTAACGCACCAGACCGAAACCTTACTCTGCTCCGCAACTCTCGCCATCCTCTCCGTGTTCCCCGTCTTCTATGCCCACGGCGTCGACGCCAACGCGTGGAAATCCATCTGCGGATTCAGCGCGCCGCTCGACGAGATCGTGGGCGGATTCTGGGGCGGCATTATCGGTGCTTGGCTGGGCGCCGTACCGATCCCTCTCGACTGGGACCGCGAGTGGCAGAAGTGGCCAGTGACTATTGTGTGTGGGCTTCTTGCTGGGTACGTTGTTGGTCGTCTTGTTGGCGGCTTCGCGACGCTTGAGGCGAAGAAGGGTGAGGGAAGCCGGGCCAAGAAGGAATGAAGAAAAGAAATAAATAATAGATAAAGGCGCAAACAGATGAACGAAAATAGAATCATTAATGCGACTTAAGGGGCAATCTGTGATAATCCCGTCTAATGACAATACGTAGCTGTTTACCCTTAGGCTCCATCTACGGAAGCACCCCATTGCCGCCATCCAGGGACTCAATTACCGGAGTCGTGTATTCTCCTAGCGCTCCTTAGCGATGGATCTGCAAGGTAGCCAGAGCTTAACAGCTATCTGACGTCAACCTCCCGATGGAGATAGAGGGGGAAAGACTGTAATTGGGTAGGGGAAAAAGAGAAATCGTAGTTCACCCCGAGCTTCGAACTGACAAGCTCCCCACGTTTCCTGCCTCACCTCTACTCCGTCCAAACATCTCCAACCTCTACACAGGTAAATATCACAACCTCAAAAGAGCGCACTCTCTTGCGGAAAAGGAGAGAAAAATGTCTAGATAATATAGATAAAATCTATCAAAAAAAGAAATCCCACTTCTCCCTCCCCAATTCCCAATTTCCCTTTCCCAATTTCCCCCACGCCTCATGGTTTGACCAGACCGGGTTCCACGCCGGCGCCTTGCGGAAGTAGATTGTAAGCAGTGCGTCACCGCTCGACCACTTGAGCTTCCATGAGGCGTTAAGAATCAGAGCTAAATTGCAATATATGACACATACACAAACCTGCCTTCAGACTCTTGAGGAAGGCACACCCGTCCTGACGAATTTCATACTCGGATTTGTATTTATTACCTCGACTAGATCGATCCCCAGAAGAGGCAGTATCTGGATGCCAACTTACAGCGCACCTCTTAAGAGACAATTTGAGTCTCAGATGCTTCTCAGTCAACATCTCTCAAAGTATTACTCAAAACCTACCTTTAGAGTCGTTCCAAAAATAGCTTCAACCTGGTAGCCACAGCCGTCACTTACGAAGATGTAGTACGGCTGCTCAGGCAGTGAGCCTCCAACGGCACTCACAGATAATGCGAAGGGTTTCTGTCTGTCCTAAGCATCTTTCCTGTCATCAAATGAATGGCGAAGTACGCAAGCCACAGATGATGGTTAACAAGTACGATGGAAGGAGCACCGCCACAGGTCCTTGCTTGGCAAGGGCTTGCCATCGCCGAGGCTTTCAGATCGTAGTCTCTGTGCCAATTGGTCTGTGTTGGTCTGCAATGACGTTTACACGTCATCACCAAGCCTTGGGCACGCTTAAAAGGCAATGTCGCCATGTTGTTAGGCCGGCGATGACGTAGGCCGTCCCGAAGATCGGAATTGAGCACAGCCAGCTCCAGGCGTCTTCGCAAGGCTTCGGGACGACGATAGGTGGTAGCAAAGGCAAAACTCGCAACCTGATCATAATCAGGAAGCGGATACGCACAAGGAAATGGAGGATGTTTCAGATCCGGTAAGATGGACGCTGGAATATGACGAAAGAGAGTTTCTATTTCTATCCAATTTTTTTCCTCAAGGAATAAGCTTAGTTTTAAATCGGGAATGTTATGCTTGTTTTCGCTGGGACCCGTCCTGTGGGTATTCCCACATCACAAAGCAGAGCCTCGCATCTTAAGAATCTGGGCTGAAAATCGCTCCAACCAGCCGAGAGATTATCGATGGCAGGGACGCCATTCCCCTCACCTGGAAGACAAGGATGGTCGTCCATGTGTATAGCCACATGTGGTCTGGCGTGGTCAATTCTTTGAGGGCTTCGTGGACTTGGAAGAGCCACTGATGACGCAGCAATTACCACAACAGAAACCCGAGGTACCTTGGCGAGAACTTGAAGGTCACAAGCCGGGAGGATGCATCGGGCGGCGACTGGCAATGTGAATCTGGCAAATCAATACAAGTCGTCTTGCTCCAATCATACAGTACTTTGCGGACGGGCAGCAAGAAACCATTCGATCTGGATTGGACATCTTCATGCAAGTGGTAGGGTAGAGTGGCGGGCTGTTGCTGCAGCCGTTGCCGTCGCCATTACCCATTGTCAGAGTCGGACATTGCCAGGCCATGCTCATTCATTGATGATTAGCGGTTGACGTACGAAGTACGAAGTATACACGCACAATATTAGTACTTTTGCGTACCCACCAGCGAAAATCCAGGCCGGGAAGTCGCCCACGGTGAAAGACGCATTCGATCAATGCCGCATCCACTTCTCGGAGCGCCGTTTCCAGTTATCCTTGGCCTCGCTAATCGCAGCAAATAGTGCATGTACATCCGGTACACCCACAAAAAGAAGCGTCCACCGATCATCACTCAGTGAGGTATAAGACAAACCAGCTCCCTCGCCAATCTCCTGTCCCCAACCTTCCCCATCGACAATTCACAAATCGTTCTGCCCCTTCCAGCATAACAAGCTCGAACCTTTCGACTTCACCACCCACACAACTCAACCAACGACACTATCCAACACTTTCGCCCATCATGCCTTTCACCGCAAGGTAAGCTTACTCTCCGAATGCAATTTCCGAACATTCCGCCGCTATATCTTCAGTCTCTGTTCGCGAGAGGAGCTCAACTCTGCTTCGATCCGCGGGAAGGGCGGTTACTGAGAGAGCACTCGGCAATGCGGGGGGTTGGGTATTGGCTGCAGAGCTTAATGCTTCCCCCCAACCGAGCGAACCCTTTGCTGCTAAGCCATCAAGTTCGAGTCTCGATCAGATCGAGGGATTTGCGCGCAGAATGCTACTACTTTTCGCATCTTGATACTGACGTCAACTTCCTCCTCCTAATAGTGATATTTGCAAAATCATTTTCGCTGTCATCCTCCCCCCTCTTGGTGTCTTCCTTGAGGTCGGTTGCACATCGGCTCTCTGCATTAACATCATCCTCACATGTCTCGGTATGTTTACAGTCTCCCGTCACCCCATGTCGCCCCCCGCCTCTCTTGCCATGATGCTACCCGTATCCAATCGTCAAAACCGCACGATGGCCCATGAATCAGAGCTAACAGCAGGTCTTTGCAATACGCGCTGCAGGTTACCTTCCCGGCATCATCCACGCTCTGTACATCATATTCAAATGGTAGTCAATAGCTGAGTTCGGCACTGGCAAGAACCCGACCTCTTGGCTCCGGAGACGCCGGCAGCGCACTTCGTCTTGGGACCTTGTTGCCCTAGTGCCCCGCCCAATCCAGTGCCGAGATTGAACTGCAGCTTTGCGAACGGGACATGATCACATACACTTATGGAGACGGGACGCGCAATCGAAAAATCCGCAGATGGACTCAGCAGATCCATCGTGATGGGGTTCTTTTTTTCTTGGCGATGTGGCTTGACTCGCAAGTTTCCTTGCCACTCTTTTCTCATGCAATTCCGGCCTTATGAATCGTTTTACTTGATGAATGTGTTTCTCGTCGTCTTTCCTTTAACCTTTCCATTTTGATCTTTCGTCTTCGAGATCCCCTGCAATTTTTTTACCCCATTCTATTTTTTTATGGCCTCTATCTAATGTATCTGGGGGACTGGTGTTTCTGGCATCATGCGCATGGCACTGTTTAGTTTATTCTCTCTCCCAAAGTCTGAGATCTTTGCGTCTTTGCAAGCTCCTTGAAGCCTCGGCGCAAAGAAGAAGGAAAAATAAATACACAAGAGACAAAACAAACTCCGCAAAAGTTCTTTCTACCCTAATTCCGATACCCACCACATTACCAGACCGGATTCCCTATGGGTTTCTATTTAGAAGAAATAAGAAATAAATGAGGAGGAATATTATGTCTCTCGTTCCGTTTCAATTGCGTTTCCAATTGTGTTTGCTCGCGAAGATAAGGTGAAGGCGAAGCCTCGAATGTGGTGATGGTCGGCAAAAAACATGGAAGGAAAGCTATGATGTCATCGTCTCGCCATGACTCTGTTGCAAAGCAGGAACCGCTCTCGGAGGACATTATTGCAGCTTCAAGCAACGAGAATGGCTATAGGTTTGAATTCTGTATAACAGCCGATAACTCCATACTGAACTAAAGAGGAGATATGAGAACAAGTAACACGAACAACTGATATTTTGGAAGAACCACACCGAGGCATAGAGCAGAAGAGGAGATATAAAGAGTAAGGTCTGCCATCCTACTTGGGAATTCTAGTAGCTTTATATGGAGAGCCTCAATGACTCTCATAGGAGCCGCGGTTTCAATAACGACTTCCGTCTGAAGCTGGTTCTGGCTAGCTCTCGCTGGTTGCCGCAATCGTTCGCTGTATATAATTTGTGTTAGAGGCAGCACTTGAAGGAAATCAACTATCGCGAAAAGGAGGCCGAGTGGGAAGTGACTCCGGTCTGTATCCAACTTCTTCTTCATCTATAGATACGCTAGAATATGCATGAATATATATACATTGGGGTTTCCTGAAATGCCTTGAACTATCCGGCCTAATGAGGAATTAGATGGGGCGGTCTCAAGAGATTATCATCGGGAAGGCGGATATATCGGAGTGGCGGTAGCTCCGGAGGCTTGTCACCTCTGTCTGAGTGGGTGGTATCTCGGCGTTCCGGAGCATGGGTGTTGTAGCGACAGACGAGCCGCCAGCCGGCTGATGAGAGGAGTATTTCCTACAGATTGCGATTTAAGACTGACGTTAGACGGTACCGAGATTAACGCCATAAACGCCGTGCCGTAGGAAACTTTTGGGTTCGGCAGATCGGGGGCTGTGCTGGCCAGGCTAGATTTGTTGGCGGTATGTTGCGGCGATGGGCGGGCTCCAGTACGGGTTTCAAGCCCTGCCGATTTTGAAGGACAGGATCTAAAGTAGTCCGTGTCAGAATGTACAGCGAGAAAGATGGGATGTGGTAACTGGTACGCAGGAACCGGGGAATAGATAGGGGGCAAGGACTCACATCGTTCTTGCCAACAGCGATCATGTCGTCTTCAGCTACCCGAATACCTCCCGCGCCTTCTATGTAAGCAATAGGAGCGTCGCCCATGACCTTCCTCGCCGCATCGCCCACCGTCGAGTTCTTCTTGACCAGAACACAGTCCCTGAATACCGCTTTCGAGTCCGACGCCCCAAACGTGGTGGTGTTCCTCACGGGGAAGACGGGGACAAGTCCCAGCACTTCCGCCGCTTTCGTCAGAACCTGGACGACGCCCGTCGATCCGAACCGATAGAGCACCATATCTTTCAGGTTTTCTATCCTGTTCCTGTTCTTGTCGTCAAGTTCCTTGAGTCCACCGCCTTCAGGGTCGCCCGCCTCTATTAAGTCCTCCCTCGTATCGACAAACTCGCCGCCTTCGGTGTATTTGATGTAGCCTTGCTTCGCCATCTTCCGTAAAAAGACCTCAGAGATGGCCGAGCAAAGGACAACATGTGGGTACATCTTGGCAATCTTCACGATATTCTTATCCGAGTCCGGGTGATCGATCTTATTCAGCGCCAGAACCGTGGGGAACTTTTCGTCCGTGAACGCGTTCACCACTAGATCGATCGTCTCCTCGCTCCAGTGCTCCAAGGGCTCTTTGATCCCCGTCTTGTCCAGGGCGCGATTCACTATCGTCGTGGTCGCGCCGTAGCCGGAGAATTGCGCCTGTAACGTCTCGGCCGCCGTCGCCTTGATGGCAACGTGTCTCCGTTTTATGGAGTTCCACTTGTCCATAAGATTGCCCTTGATCCAGGCTACTATCTCGCTCCGGAGCCATGCTATGTCGACGGAGGGATCGTATCCGCGGGTCTCCTTGCCCTCGGCGTCCACGGTGCCGGAAGCGTCGACGACGTGGATGAGCGCATCGGCGTGTCGTAGGTCGTCCAAAAACTTGTTGCCGAGACCGCGACCCTCGTGGGCTCCGGGTACAAGACCGGCGACGTCGAGAAGTTCGATGGGGACCGAGCGCCGGCCTTCGACGCAGGCACCATAGTTGGGCTTACACTTGTCCTCGAGCCCGTACCGCGCACATGCGCAAGGGATCTGTAGGTAACCGATGGCCCTCTGAGGATCAATTGTCGTGAAGCTATAAATCAAGTCAGCAACAAGGCGCAGAAATGTAAGCCCGGTCGGCAGCGTATGCCCTCTTCCCGTTCATCCCGAATATGAAAGTGAAGCCGATGCCCAGGAACCAGGGGGTGACATACGGAAAGTTGCCTGCATTGAAAGGGGCCACGAATTAGCTCTCTCAGCTCCGAAGGCGCGTATACAAAATAGCCAATTGAGGTCTCTACTAACCAACCTTGGAGGAAGCATCGGTAAGCGAGTTGAGCGTTGTACTCTTCCCGGCCGACGGCTTGCCCACCAGGCCGATGAGCGGGTCGCGGCCCATATCTACGAAGGGGCCACACACGCCTCGGGTTTCAGTCGTAACGTAATCGCAAGCGGTGACAACAGGTCGCCTCCGCCCTGATCGCCTTCGGTGGGTTTGGAGGAGGAGGATAGAAACTAGACTTTAGTTTGAAATTGCGCATACGAGGTGTCATGGTGATGATGGTTTGCGCCCTTCAAGGATCGAGGCGGGGCAATAATTTTTTTTGGCGGGGTAACTTTTTCGTAGTGTTGTTGCGATTGCGGCAAGCCTGTTGTAGCCACAGTCGGTCGCGCCTGCACTTCTAATTTGAATGAAGGTTCATCGGTTGGCAGATGTTTCTATGTAGCATCAAATTCCCTTTCAATTCATGCACTTCATCTCAACTTGAAGTCTTGACTCAGAGACCCGATCTCCTTTAACCGTCCACGTATTCTCTTGCATTAACTGATGTGGCCAACGCGCCGATAATGGGAGACTTATAAATTGCTAGCCACAGGGTCAATCTCAAGTGCCGCCCCCGACACGTCCTACTCACAATTCAAGAAAACGCCATCGTACGAACCAAGAATGTCCACAGCAAAGCTCTCTATCACGTCTCTCCCCGTATGGGCTACGTTTAACAACGTCAAATTCAATGACGTTAGGGTCGGCGCGATTGACGGCAAGGGCCAAGGCCTTATTGCGGAGGCGGATATTTCATCTCTTGAGGAGGAGGCTTCAGAACCACGAGTGCTTGTTAAGGTGCCGCATGCGGTAACCCTCTGCGAGGACGTCATTGTAGCATATTCGAAAACAGATAAACGGTTCTACGAGTTGCTTGAATTATTGGGCCCGCAGGTAAATGCAGCAGCCTTGATCTTCAATTGACGAGAACTCTTAACTAACCCTGCACTACTTGCGTGATGGGATATTTAGTCGACGAGAATCAAGGCTTTGATATTCCTCCTGGCACAGAAAGTCCATTCTGAGCTAAGAATATTCGACAGTGGCGTATCAACACCGTGGACGGAATATGTGAAGTATCTTCCGGACGATGTGTTTGTTCCGACGATGTGGCATGATCATGAGCGCGCCCTCTTACGAGGGACTTCACTCGAGGTGAGTTGTTGGTGGAGCCTAACCTACCTCGGCTGAGATCCTCTCCTGTTGATCTTTTCCGCATTATGGAAGCTAGTGTGGCCATCTTCAATCCTTCCAGTTTTATATTCCCTGGGAACTGTGGATAGGAAGAATTTATTATGGTAATTAACATCACATATAGTCCGCTGTAGAAGCAAAATTTACGGAGCTCACTCGCGAGTTCGACACATTCCAAGAGAAATCGGGTGAACTTCCAGAATGGGCCGACCTCTGGGCAAGGCGAACCTTGACCTTGCGCGACTGGTTCCTAGCGGACGCGTGGTATAGATCCCGTTGCCTCGAGCTGCCGAGGTCGGGCGACGCGATGGTTCCCATCATAGACATGGCGAATCACTCGCCGCGGCCCACGGCAATCTACGAAGAGAGCGTCAACTATGAGGTCACGCTTCAGTTGCGTCAGGGCGTAGCACTGGCTGCTGGAGAGGAAGTAACGATCACGTACGGCGAGGGGAAATCCGCCGCGGAGATCCTCTTCAGTTACGGCTTCATCGACGTCGAAGGGGCGAAAAGACAGCTCGTGCTTCCTCTGACGCCCTTCGAAGATGACCCACTTACCAAGGCGAAGCTACATAGCTTCAAAAAGGCACCGATGGTGGACATCTCACTAGAAGACGGTAAGATATCATGGAAGAGCCCGTTTGCCTACTACATGTGCCTCAACGAGGAGGACGGGCTCGAGTTCCGCGTGCTGCAAGACCTGGAGGGAGGTCAGCAGCTCAAGGTATTCTGGCAAGAAGACGACGTCACGGATCGAGTAGATACTTTTGACGTACTCATTGACGGCCACCCACTGAGCCAGATCTTCAGGCTCAGGGTGGTAACGGTCATCGAGGAGCTCGTGGGATCCCATATGGGCCGCATGGAGTCCGTGACGTCCCCCGAGGAACAGGAACTGTTGCGCAGTATCCATGGCGAACCAAGGAGTGATTGTCTGACAATGGCTAAAACTCTCCGGGATATTGAATTCGGAATCCTCGAGGCCGCGCTACAGTCTCTTCAGGAACAGGTAAGCGGAATCCTACTCCCTCTCGTTTTGCAAACACAGCCCAGACTTCCCGCCCACCCCCCTAGCGAACTGTTTCATAAAAGTGGTCGCCGAGCACGCCAGGACCGGGGATTCGACGTGAAGCGTCTAATAATACCCCATTTACACTAATTCCGTGGGGCATTCATGCCTGGCCCCCAGATACAAGACTTGCGGGGGCCCCATGGCGTCTTGGACTGTGGCGATGGAAGCTGACCAGTTATGCAGAAAGCAGTACTCATTGCAGACGACAGCGTAGCAGCATACCTCGGGTCGATAGAAGATAACCAAAACGACCAGGTGCCCCCGGCGACATCCAATGAAGAGGTGGATTTCAGTTGAGACGGCGCAGGGTAGTAACAGTAACAGCCAAAGGGGGAGTGCATGTATTATTATCATGCTTCGAATCCCTCGCTCGCCGACTTTGTTATTTAACTCGTCAGCGTTGTTCTCACCCAACAGCGCCTCATCGGCGAACCCATGGACCCCTTTAGGGGGGCAGTCTAGACTACAATAGCGTGCGGGAGCTAATTCCCATTAATAGAGAAGGGTGGATATCCTCTCAACTTCCAAGATAACCTCTAATATCAAGTCTCTTGGTAATAACAAGGTTGTTTACGAAGTGCTAGGTGTGAAGGGATGTGGCAATGGTAGGCCCTAGTGGGGCGTGGAAAGTTGCGTGAAGGCAGGGATGCAGTGTCGCACACGCTAGAAACTGCGAAGCCGGCAATGGCGGGCAACATCAGATGCAGAGTTTTCTTTCTTTCTTTCTCTCTCTTTCTTTTTCTTCTCACTTTCTCAGCCAAGGCAGTCGTGCGAAGTAGTGTGATAGATGTGCAGCATTGTGCTGTGCTGTGTACACCCTATCTTACAATCCTGGAGAAATCTGAGTGCGCGACGCCAAGTACATCGCACCTTGTCCCTGGCATTGGGTAGTATTGATGGGCGGTCTAGTCTTGGCCCACGAGGCTCCATTTTAACTCCGAGACGGAAAGCGAGGTCTCACAGGCCCTCACCCTCTTCCTTTATAAAGGCTCGGAACAGACGGACGGGGAGGGTGAACTAAGGATGCGAGGAAAAACGAATGTGGTGAAGGCTTAATAGAAGGATGTTGCTTTGAAATTTCCAGAGTATGTGACTATGAACCATATTGTTGGAACTCGGTAGATTTATCAGACGTTGTCGAGCCTTGGCTGCAACCTCCGCAGCGCGAAGGAAGGATCTCGTTCTACGAGGTATTGGTGATGGATCGTTGGGGAACTTTCTCAGAGTACCTGGGGTAAGCCTGGCTTCGGATGATGAGAACTCGACACTCGACTCCACAATTTGCTCAAAGTACTTCGTACCCGTGTACACGAATACATCAGGGCAAAAAGAGTGCGGGATCGGAAGTCCAGTTTTCCACAGGTACCAAGTCGTCATGTAGCGTAAACCCCAATGTCGCAGGATACTTCGTTACTAGAGCCCTATATAGTCTACACTACACTAGTACAGTTGTCGAAGTAATTGATAGTAGATAGTTTAGATAAGCCCTATAAGCGTTGAGTCGATCAATCAATGTGTTGTTTCCTTCACTAAAAGCTACGAGAACATTAAATTTTGCCCATGTCGAGACCGCTCCAACAGGGTATAAAGTACAAACAACAGTTGTACAATTCCCCATGCATGGACACACTAGCACCGTACAATCTCGTAGCATCTAGACTCGAATCTTACGTTATTATTTTTTTCTCCTCTTTTTCCCCATACATACCCCAACTATACCCCAGGTCAGACAAACAGGTTGGCTGTGGGGCTAACGAAACAGGTGTGGAACTTTCCCTTATCATTTATCATTCCCCCAGAATACGCTAGGAAGCGCTTCGCCAATAATCGAAGGAATAAATGGGTTGAACTGGAGTACGAAGTACGACATCAATTGAATGGTTATGGGGAAACGAAGGTTTATGCCTGGCTCCTTCTCTAGTCTCTTGCGGGCGCAGTGTGTTTCCCCCTCCTTCCCCTCACTCTCTGCCCATTTCTTAGAAAGAAGAATGGTATTATTATTTCCGATCTTATTCTTCGAGGTTAGTACGTTTTCTTTCGTCAACCCATGGCCAGGGCAGGGTGGCCAGGTTGTTCATGTTCCTATTTCCCCAAATATTTCCCCATCATCTCGAGGGCAAGGCGACAGGGCAGGGAGGGTGTGATATTAGGCTTTCGGAAACCCCGCCTCACCGGGAAAAGGCTAGTACGAAAGGAAGAAGCGGAAGATTGGCTTCATTATATTAAGACCATGTCCAGTCCGGGGTTCAGACGGGGTAAGGTAGAGACGATGGGGTCTGGCCTCTTCTCCACGAAGTCAAGGAGATGACGATGATGCCCTAGCGGAAATTTCCCCAAGGAGTCACGCATGCCACATGGGCTTATGTGTGAGTAGGATAGCGTGGAACAGGTCAGGGCTGGTATTATTAGACTCGGGACAGTTACGAGGGATGTTCTTCTTTGTTGTCGTATTGTACCACAAAAAGGGTAATTCCTTTCTTCCGGACAGAAGGAAGAAACGTTGGAGTGTCGAAGAGGAGGGTCGCCAAAGGAGAAGATTGGTCCAGGACGGCCTGGACGTGCGTTTCTTCGCACGTGGCATAGATGCATGAGAAGATGGAAGGATTTCGATGTTCCCTTTCCATTCCAAAATGTCTGTGGGCGGCAATGAGAAGGAGGGCAGGGAGGGGGAAGGGATATAACACAGAGGTACTTCGTACTTCGGTTTACACTTTCGCAAGGTTCAGAGTCAAAGGGATCCTGGCCAATAGTACAGAGGATGCTAGTAGAAACAGGGCAGCATCCGAAATGCGGATGCGGGTTATCCATGTCCAACTGTAAGGAAAGGACGGGGTACACATCCCCATTGGTGTCGAACTACCTCGTACCCTTGAGGCTTCAGCCCAGGGTCGCCCATGTGGCCCATCGGGGGGTCCATGAGTGCAGCTTAACCTCCTACGGAGTAGTCTAATATCATCAGAAACCTATCATAATACTCGAATGGCCATCCTCTGTTTCGGGTCTAAGTGTCGTTTGATCTGGCATCAATGGTTTGAGAACTGGCTCTTGATCGGAAGAGGGGAGGGGGCGGGGAGAACGCAGGAGGCAGGAGGCAGCTACTCTGCCTCGTGGCAGATTACACTAGTTTGAAGCTAATGTTACGCTTTTTTGTCTTTTATTCCGTTTTGCTTCCGCTCCCCATGATGTTGGGGTCGAGCACTGCTTCGTACTTCCCACATTTGATCCAGTCCTTCAATCTCCTGATGCATGGAAGGATGCTAGAAGGGCGGAAGGCCCTTTCTATTACGTATAAGCATGCTTGGTGCACATGAACTGTAATCTACTAGCTTTGAAATTTGCTTTCCCGGAAACCCACCTGTGTCGTTGGTCTGAGCTGTGTATGGTGAGGGTGAGGGTGAGGGCGAGTCTGATAAGGATGGTATGTGCTTGAGGAATCATAGATCATGATCGACGTTCCGGAATGACCAACGAGGATCCTGAGATAGGAATCCTCCCTCGACACGCGAGAGTATGAGTACGTTCCCTCTTCTCATCACCTCGCCTCGCCTCGAGAACCCGGGTTCATGATGGCAAGTGACGTTCTTGGCAAAGGGAACGGCATGAATATGGTTAGGAAGTCGCGCTTCATGTCCCATCCCTTCAACGACATGCTCACCGGAACTACCCTCCATGGGCTCAGAAAGCCCACGCGATCCAGGGACCAGGTTTCGAGGCCACGCGATATCCCCTCCCTCGCTGACATTACCACAATCAATCTCCACGATCCCCCCGCCAAGAGATCCGGAAAATTACCCGCTGCGCAAAAGCAATAAATGGCATTGTTTGATAGCAACGAGATCTGCATCATCGAGCCATTGCCACGCGCCTCTGGTAGCACTACTGCTGCTACTGCTACGAGGACATCCTTAAAAGAAACATTTGTAGTCACGTACTTCGTACATATTTCCAGAAGAAGGGGGGGGGTGTGTAGCGAGGAAATGCGCAGTCCGCCCAAGGGAAGTGGGAATGGCCAGATTATTTCCAATGACCGCTTGTCCCAGTATTGATCAATGCTCACCCCGTATTCGACTCGACGCATTCTCACTTTCTGCTTTTTGGGCAGAATCCATTGTTAGCGCGTGCAACGAAGCGTTCATGTTGCATGTTAGCTATATAAAAGGGGATGGTGGTTGTTTCCAGTCCACCACGATTGTGACCATTGTATCGTTGTGACTGAGAAGCTCGCATTTCCGGCCTATGCCGAGGTAGTGCAGAGCAAATCTCGCGTGGCTGAAAGAAGGAAGAAAAAAAGTTCAATGTCATGATACTAAAGAGGACAGAGTTTCGAAGGCGTGCGCAGCTCGAATAGAAAATGCTGGAATTTCCGTCATGGAGGGGTCGTCCGGGAAAGAACCGGGAGCGCACGGAAGACTCGCAGGTGAAGGCGCATTGTTTGATGGACTGTGAGGGAGGGCAGGGGAGGGAAGAAGAGGGTTCGGATAGAGAAAAATAAGAACAAGGGACTCTCACACGTGGCAGACCTTGGGGGATTTCCCACTGCCGTCCGTTCCTTTGCGGTTCTTGGTGCCAGCCCATGTGTTCGGCGATCTAATTAAGGGATTTGACAGTCCCTGTGAAAGAAGTGCCGCACTACTTCGTACCGCGAAAACGAGTCTCCCCCTTTTTTTTCGTTAGTTTAGTTTTCGTCGCATTGATGAGAATCCATCAACGCATCAACGAAGAATAATGTCTCATAATTGGCAGACACGAAAAAGACTTGAAGAAGGTATTGAATCGATTGGCCTGCAACATCGACCGAGAGGAGCGTGATCGAGGTGACTTCCACTACCGAGAACACACTGAAACTGCAGCCAACTGAAGCAGAATTATGGGCTCGTCTGTGTGTACGAAGGACGAAGTTTTTTATTATCATCATAACATGGAGATCGACAAAGTACTCTATCCCGTCAACTGAACCTGGCAAGATGAGGGTGTAGGGCTGTAACTGGATCCTGAGAATCCCCATAAAAAGGACCTGCAGCAAAACGTTTCTGGAGGCCTTTGGTCATACGAGCTACACCGGCGCACTCCAACTTGGGTTTTGTGGGGACGAGATGGAAATCTGTTGAAATGGGCCCATCAAGCGCTCGTGATGTAGGACAGACTGCACACTTGGATCCCTCTGGTCTGGCTCCTCGGTAGGCAAGCGTCATATGAGAAGGTGTGGTTGGAATCCCGTCTCTGGGGAATGGGGAACTGTATGTGTAGACTGTAGCCATGTAGTTGTACAGCCTGGCTGTGGTGGACGAAGTAGAATGCTACACTACATACGAAGTACACGACAGTTGAGGTCAACAGTGGCTAACCGGGACCTGCACAGACGCATCAGGGTTTATGCCCATGGGGAAACCCAAATTAGGCTTGGTTGGGGTAAGGAGGAGGCTACGGGTGGGATTGGGGAATTCGATCAGGCCACTTTTATCAACTTGGAGGGTTCGGAGCAGGACCGGGGTGAGGTGTCATTAACCAATCCACGCTACCAACTTGTTCTAAGTTGTGAGCAAGAATATAAGGGCATTTCGAGGCAGGGTATATCGTTCGAAAGTCACGGCGAGGTGTCCTGGAAACGCGATAGCGCCCGGGACAGCCGTAGTGTATGCGAGTGTCACTAGGCCACTAGCAGGACAAGTCCCGGGGTTCTCGTCCCTTTTCATGGTTTTTGATGTCCACTCGGCATCTTGCCAAGTAAATGCTAGGCAGGGTGTGTATTTCAACTTCTAGCCCAACTTGCCCTGCGAGTTGATTAGTTTAGCTAGCCCTGTGATGGCCTGATGTGAAGTGGTCTGGATGATTCTGATCCTCGATGCTGGCCTAAGGAGCGCGTGCTTGTAAATGAGCTTTTCTGGTCTTCACCTCGTCAACTTATTGAAAGTTAAATGAGGAAGAAAGGGAAAAAAAAAATCTGGCGCTCTCTCTTTCTCCATCTCTGTCACACTCTCTTCTAGCGTTGGCACCGGGGACGCTAAAATGACGGATTGAGTCTGACTAAATGTCAGTTGCGCAGGGAAGACAGATGATGACGGATGATTTTATCGGCCGTGTCCGCCTCCTTCCGATGATGCCTTCGGCAGTGTTGAACACGATGGGCGAACACGATAGGTGAACAGGATTTTTGACCTTGGTGATGATCTTCATCATGATGGTGTAAGTTGAAAACCGGGAAATCACAGAGAGGCGGAACCGCAACCACAGTGGAGACCCTTCAACCTACTCTCTATACAGGTGTACACTAGACTACTTCGTACTGGGAAAGTCAAAGAGAGGATCGATTAGGACCCGCCTGGCAGGCGCAGCTCAATTTAGCTGAGCAATGCGACTTCAATACTAATCTTGTGCTTACTTCGTACGAAGTTCGCCTGATATCTGGAGTGCCTTTCGGTGCTGCTAAACTCGAGGACTGCACGCCATAGTCTTCAGGTATTGGTACACAACTGGACTTGTATTGATACCGTATTTCCCCGGATTTCGGCCGTCATGAGGCAGATCGCATCTCGATGCTGATGCTGGCAGTGTACACTATACAACTGTACACTCCAGGCATTCAACACTTTAAACAGACACCAAAAATGCCGCGTCCCGTCGACGAGTCTGGTCGTCTGCCAACCCCATGGGACGGGACGCATTTGGACTGGAGAATCCTTGCGGTGTCTCTGAACCTGACAATCCAATCAATACAATTTGACCGAATCCCTGACTCAAGCGAGTCAGGGCACACGAGCGAGTCTTTGTGTGGCAAAAAGAAGCGAGGAGGGGAGTTGATCTGTTGGGGTGTGTGGTGTGTGCCTCTTGTTGATGCTGAGCCTGAAAATTCCTTCCAGAAGGTCGGTCCCCTCTGGAGATTAAAATGGTGGACTCAGGGCCGATTGCGGTGTGTGTGTTAGGGCTGTCGTGGTCATTCGAAGTATCCTTCAGCGATGTCATGACTCTACTAGTCCTGTTCAAGCAAGTCTAGCGTTACTTCGTTCTCTCAACACCGAGGATCTCGACTCCTTAGCGCAAACAGAGCGGAGTAACTGTGGGGGAAAGAGGGTTGATGGAGACGAGGGCACCAGTCTGCTTCCAACATCACGATATTACCTTACAGCGACTCCACTGAGCTTGCCGGAACAGGTCAAGGACAGGGTGTGAGAAAAGTACTTGTAGGTTGTATTAAACCCAGCTGGGTTCATGCAACATTGACAAGTAATATGGTTCAGTGCGATTGATGAAATCAGATTTAGCGGAGGCCCTACTGGCGCATTTTTCACTATGGCCCCCTGTTCAGGTTGGTGGCTAGAACCATTAACACCCCATACTCCATCGTGTGCCTCGCTGCTGTACATTTGTGGAGCGATCTTGTCCCCTCGCCTTCGCGAATTGCAACAACTCAATCGACCAGATACAGTGCCTGCCCCTGCCGGTCTGGTGCATATCGGAGGGTGTGCTCAGGATGGAAGTAGTATTGATGGAAGGTGAAGGATGATATCCAAGTGCCCAGTGCCCAGTGCCTTCCTCATCTGAAGTATCTGTACATTTCCCTGAGATGACTTTCCCCGCTGCTGACCCTGGTGGCACTGGGGGCGAGTAGTGTACTTGAGTACAAGACTCACGCAGGTATCCACGTACACTACGCCTACCTCTCAGTACACGCCCCCTCTCTTCCTCCATACTCCCATGCCTCCTTCCCCCCCAGTCCCAGTCCTGAGTACTTCCAATCCAACTCAACCCGGCATCTCATAATAAAACCACTTTGGTCCCCATCTACTTCCTTCTCTCCTGCCACCACTACTGCTCCTCGCCTCCACTCCCTCTCTTGCTTTATACTCCATTTTCCTCTTCGCTTTTCCTGTCGTCACCTAACCTTCCTTTCGATACCATAAACATAGCAAATCCGGGCTTCATTGCTGCCTCCACATTGGAATTCCTGTGAGAGGGCCGCGAGTCTGCCCGAGGCAGGCCACGAAGACGCTTTTTGGCTTACACGCTTTTCCTCGGCAACGATCGAAACTGCCGAGACACTCAACGAAGGAAGACGCGAGCCGGATTAAATACGAAACGATTAACACCGCGAATAATCTAGACACACTACAATACTTGAATTCGACCGAAGAGCTATTCTCCTCTTCCTCGTCCTATTTTAATTCATTCTACTGCTTTTTTGTCGACGCCCGCATTCCCCCATCCTCTCCTCCCACATCAGATTTTTTCGACCAGTATCTGGCCCCGGTTATTCCGGTAACCCGCCGCCATGCCTGGCATACTACCGATGAAAGTTATTAAGGTGGGCACTAGCTCACAAAGCAGGATTGCCCAGGCTTGTGACAGGTGTCGCAGCAAAAAGATTCGCTGCGATGGCATCCGCCCCTGTTGTTCCCAGTGTGCCAATGTTGGCTTCGAGTGTCGGACTAGCGACAAGCTGAGCCGCCGTGCTTTCCCTCGCGGCTACACCGAATCGTTAGAAGAGCGAGTCCGACAGCTCGAGGCTGAAGTGAGGGAATTGAAGGATTTGTTGGATGAGAAGGACGAGAAGATCGACATGCTCTCGAGGTTATACGGAAGGCGGCCAGCGGCGTCTAGCCACGCTCACAGCCCCGTCTCTGAACGCCACGGCAGCCCAGCTCCTCAGGCGAAAGAGGACACTTTCCGTATTCAAGCATCGCCGCTACTCCTCGGCGTTGAAAACTCAGACTCTTATTTCATGGGCGGCTCCAGTGGCCGTTCATTCATTGGTGCGCACCCCTATTTTCCCCATGCGCCCCTCTCTGATATTAGCATCGGTTTTGCTTCTTGCTTGGAATTCATCTACTTACACTCATTAATATGCAGAATCTGTAAAACGAAAGGTTCAAGAGAGTGGAAAGTCATGTCCAGAGTTCAATCCCGAGGCGTTCTTGCACATCCAGGGCTGTTATCCCCTGTCTTCTAGCCCGGCCGATCAGTCTCTGAGGATACCTCCGAGATTGTTCACGGATCGTTGTGTGAACGTCTACTTCCAGGAATGGGCACCTCTGTTCCCAGTTTTGCATAAACCGACATTCCTTCGAATCTACGAAGAATTTGTTGCGGATCCCGAGAAGATCAAGAACAACCACAAGCTTGCTCAGATCTACCTCGTTTTCAGCATCGCCTCCCTAGCGGGTGAATTCCCCGACACTGCTCAGATTGCTGCCTGTGAAGCCGAATGGCAGAAGGCTCTTGACTCCATCCTCATGGACAACACGATGATCACCCTCCAGTGCCTTATTCTAGCCCTTATGTATTGCACAGTAAGGGCGGATTACAAGAGGCTCCAGCTTTACAAGGGTATCGCCGTTGGCCTTTCCCACCGCCTTGGGCTTCACCAGAGCCAGAAGCGCTTCTCTTTCGGTGCCTTGACCATAGAGACTCGAAAGAAGGTCTTCTGGACTTTGTACACTGTTGACTGGTACGTATACAAGATACCGAGGTACACTGCCGCGAATCATGTGTCATCTAACGATTATGTAGTTTCTCGGCTGCCATCCTCGGCCTTCCCAAGCTGCTGAAGGAGGATGACATCCATGCTGAGTATCCTGTGGATACGGATGATGAATACGTTACCGAAAAGGGCTTCCAGCCGACCCTCCCTGGCGAGTCCACTCGTCTCAGCAGCGCACTGGCTCTCTTCCGCGGCACCCGCATCCTTGCCAAGGTTCTCGAAAAGGTCTATCCTGCATCTGCCACTCACGAGATTTCCATTCAGCAGCTCTCGGCTCTGGACGCGGAATTGACCCAGTGGTATGATGACTTGCCTCCTCACCTCAGACTCAACTTTGCGCAAGATAAGCCCTCGACAGATGTCACGGGCAGCCGATCGCCTCTCCTGGTAAGTTTTTACGTTTGAAGCCCTTCCATATGACCTCGGGAGCGCACATGTTCGTCTCTTCTAACACTGTCAACAGGCCCTCGCGTACTATTACATGCGCACCCTGGTGTACCGCCCGGCGGTCGGAACCAGTCTTGGTCAGAAGGCCGCACCTGCGCTGATGACGATTAGTGACTGCAGCAAGCGCATTATTCAGATTGTTGAGCTTCTGGAAGAGCGAAATATGACGTGTTCGTTCTGCCTCAACAAGACTGATATCCTTGTCATCTGCGGCATGACACTTCTCTATCAGACGCTCGAGCTCAAGCAAGATAGCAAGTTGTCCAAGGATGGCCAAAGGCTCGTCAATACCGTCATCAAGATGCTCATCAAGGCGCAGGCGCCGGGCTGCCTCGACTTCAAGCGCATCTCGAGCATGGTCATTCCGGTCGACGAGTCTGCGCCGCCAACGCCGCCGCAGTCGAGCCCCTCGGCCTCTGCAGGACACAACCAATGCCGATCTCCCTCGATTAACGGAAATAGGAGATCGGCTACACCGCAGGAACAGAACGCCCACGCTGCCCACGCTAGGCAAAGCATCGGGAGGCTCCTGGGAGCCTCGGCGAGCGAGACCGACTTGCTCCAGCAACAAGCCAAGTTGAGGAGAATGACCATGCCTACCGCAGCGGGGCCGCGACCTGAAATGCTTAGGCCTCAAAGTCGCCGATCGGTCGATAACCCTCAGTCGTCGCCTGCTTTCCACGGCGAAAGTCGCCATGCCATGTCTCAGAGTCCCCAGGCCTCGCCATCGCAGCAGAGCCTCGACTATCTCTCCTTGAGCTCTAGCACTCCTACACAAGGTCAGGCCCCAGCATCGATCCAGATGCACGCCCGGCGACATAACTTGCCGCCTCATCTCCAGCAGCGATTGTCGCAGATGTATCCGGGTGGTCAAGTGGATGCCAAGACGGTGGGCTTCTCGGCGTCTCAGTGGGAGGCTCTTCTAGGCTCCCTAGAAGGCGGACAGAGCAACGTTTACGACGCCATCTACGGAGGGCCTGCTGTCGCCGCTTTGGACGGCGCCGCCCCACCAGTGGGACAGACTGCTAACACTACTACCACGGTTGGTGCGGGCTGGCTTGAGGATCCCTGGGAGCTCAACACTTTCAACATTGGCGAGTTTGACGGCTCCGTAGCGACACAAAGCGTCCTCAGCATGTCTGACGAAAGCCTTAGCCCTGGTGAGGAAATGACTCCGACGGACCTCGGGCTCAGCGTGGGGAGCCTCGATCTGCAAGGGTCGATGATTCCCAACCAATGCGGTAACGGCGAGAGATTTATGAACGGCATGGGAAATCACGAATTTATCCTATAAAGGAGTTACTCCTTTCGCATTTGATCGCAATCTTTTCACACATCAACTATCCAACCAACTATTACCAACGACCCCCTCTCTAACCGGCTACCTTTTTCACTGATGACTCTCGATGAGGACGACTTGAATTATTCTTATTTTGTTTGACTATATCCGGGATTCGGTTCTACATAACGTTGGGTATATATGCCACATGGTGATGGAGATACATATAGGACCCCGGCGCCGGTACCTTGCATGTTTGGTGTATTCAGTACTGGGCTACGGTCAAACGGACTCTTTGTTTATCCTTTTTTTTTGGTCCTTTTTTCCACAAAATATGCTTTTGGCGAGGAGAAAGGGGGCGTTGCTTACCTGGGCTTTGCTGGCTTGTTGCGGCCTTGAATTTTCCGAGGACTTATTATCAATGGCAGGCGAGGATACACTATACTACTTGGATACTATTTACGATGGAGCTATGGGAGGAAAGGCGGGCGTCTTGGGAGATTCTTCAATGTCGTTTTTGGCTCAGCAATTCGAGAGGCCACGCCGCTTTTTATTCCTTACTTGCGCTCTTTCCGATGCCTTTGTTTCTTTTTATCTGCAACGCGGTAATCTAGGATGAGGATGAGGATAGGGGATGCAGGTAGTGTGTGTGTCTATGTTTTCCGAGTGCGTATATTTGCTTTTTTGTTTTTGATCTGGCTGGGTTAGGACTTGGACAGGAGGGAAATGTGGTGTCGAAAGCTTTTTTCAAAACTATTGAGGGTAGCTAGGACACGATATCACAAAATACAGAGGATTTTATTTGAACATGGTGCAAGACTCGCGATGTGACTTTCAATGTGATGGATGTCAGCCAGCCTCTCAAGTGGCTAGGTTCCGGAGGGACAGGACTTAGCGATTGAGATTGACCCGTAACAACCTAATACTAAAGCCTAAAGCTACATGTAGTATCAACCAGCGAAGCCCTGGTCCAAGTAGACTACTTCTATAGCCTATCTCCTCTCGATGTTCCCCATCTTTCCTACTTTGAGCTCAGTCATTTTACGGAGTCCCCACAAACCGAGTCTGTTCCTTGGACAAGGGAGTCTGTGGAGATATCGACGATCTTCTGCAGAGGATGATATCGTGCAAGTTACCTCTCCACCAGGCCAAATTTGAGAAAAAAACAACGTGACAAAGTATTGAAGAGACCACCCGATCCAACAATATAAAATCGCCGGTTCCAACTTTGTAGACGCGTCTCTGCCCCAACTCTTTTCCCGTACTGAGTCCACGCCCGGGGAGTGGGTTTTGTTTCTGCGGGAGCTTCTTTAGGCTAAGAGAGTAAGACGGGGCCGGGTGATATCGGTAGGGATAAGAGCCATCTTTTCGTTGTTTTTTTGCAGAATTTAGTCTCTTGCAGAATTTAGTCTCTAGATTAGATTTTTTGAGCCGAAGCCGTGGAAACCTCGTGGCAGCACCGGTCGGAAGGAAGATGTGTTTCCTGGGGTTTTTGGTTGTTGCATCAGGGTTCTGGTCCACTGCCGCGACAAACATTGCCCGGGACGGAGCTAATGCCTGGGGGCTGCATGTACCAAGGAAATTAAGTACTCTTTTGTCGATCAATTGGGCTTGCAGTTGGAGAATTAGTGTGCTTCAGCAGAGAGTTTGGCGGATTGAGATGGAATTGAATTTTGTGGCTGGGAGACTTGAGAGTATTGTTGGGCTTGTGTAGTGTAGAATAGTGTAGACTTTGATCAGTCTTTCAAGAAGCTTAAGTTGCTCCGATGCGGATCCGCAAGGGAATCTCCGGGGTTACTCCCAGTGTGGCTGCCACAAGTTGCAGAATGCCCGATGCGGATCAAGGGATTGGGCCTACCACTTACACTAAGCGTAATGCCACTCTTCAGCTCTTGACGTTATCTAGAAACCGGGGAAAGTCTAAAGTCTGCGGCTGACGGCTTCTTCTCCTACCGTGCAAGTCAAGGCTAACCACGTTGGCTGATAATATGGAAGCTCGAATGGCGTTTTGCCATCTCGAGGCCGTAAGGAGTCTGGATGGAGATAGAGTGGAAGTTAGTGTGTCTTTTCTTGCCCTCCTCTCAACTAACATGCCTTGAATAACACTAGTCCAAGGGGCATGCATATGGATGAGAGAAGCAAGGGTCCTGGGCGTAGACGTCTCGGACGTATGCCATACAGGCACCTTGAAGATGACATGCCCAATGATATAAGCAGTTAGGAGAGTGCTAGCATAATCGCGCAATCGTAGAAGACCCGAGGGGTAGAAATGTAGAAGCGTCTAGCGATCACCGAGGGGATGAGAGATGGTCTCAACACGAAGGGATGTGCCAACTGGTTTGTGTAGGGCTGAATCAAAGCCCTTCGTGTCCTCTTCATCAAGAAGATGTTGTCCTTCTTTTGAGACCTAGGAGGGAACGGAATTAGGATCGAAGGTAGTCGCTGCCGTGACTTTTTTGGCTGTTTTCGTGATATTCTCTAGTATTGAATGTGATGGATGATGGTGTTTGTGTCGTATCAAGCTCACCCAGCCATTTCCACGCATATATGCGTGTGTATGAGTATCAAAACCTCCATCCGCGCTCTTGAAGGTTATTCGCCTGCCATGGCGCTGGAACGACGCGGGGATTCAGGATTCAACGCGGCTGGCAATCTCGCCAGGAGTGGTTGCACTTGTTTCATCCTGTATCCTGTTGGCGATCCCCTACGGAGCAGTACCGGGTCTCTAAGCAAAAGCAGAAAAGATAAAAAGGTCGATATCGATTGCCATACGCTTGAGCTTTAACTTCTCTCCCACATTTTCCCTTTTCAAACGACAGGCTACCGAGATGGCTAACACCACTTCATTGCTGAAGCCAGGCGAAAAAGAGGTATACAGCACATCGCTGAGAATATACAGCTGGACCGCTAACACTTTCATCAAGCGGGAGGGCCCGCCCAGCCGAAGACAAAAGAACATCTTTGGGGAATACACTGTCGACCTAGTCGTTAAAGAGCCTTTCCAGATCGAAGGGTCAGCACTGAAGTTGCTCTCTCAAACAAAGATCAGGGTACCTCGACTCATGAATAGTGGCCCAGACGAGAACGGACTCTCGTTCGTCGAAACAGAACTTTGGGGAGGGCTCCCTGGCTTGCGCGTCAGAGAAGAATGCAGGATGCCCCAAGGAAACAAGCATGTTGGTGATGGAGAATGCATCAAATGCGAAGAGAAAGCATGGGCCAATGCCGAGATCTATATCACGAATGTAGTTCTCCCCGAGCTGTCGAAGCTGAGATCGAATTCAACAGGCCTCGACGGTATAGTCGCCCCACCGCCCTGGGTGCGATATCACGATAAGAGAAAAACCTGGGCTTCGTAGACATCAGATACCGACGAATACATTCTCTGCAATTGGGATATTGGCGCTCACAACATGATGTTTGAGCACAAGACTTTGGAGGTTATTGGGCTGTATGATTGGGAAGGCGCTGGATACTTCCCGCCGGAGTTCCAGTTTGCCAATCAATCTCGAGAAGAGTTCAACGCCCAGTTCGAGGACGTCTAGAAAGTTCAACGCCTTATTGCTCTCCTCGACAAATGAGACATAATGATCTATTTGAGGATATCGCCAGCCCCGCGCCGTGAGAGGGAATCGGATGGCACCATGTCTGGCAAGGCCGGAGATGGCATTAAAAGGTTGGGTTTAGTCAACTGCAAGCAAGAGCTCGCTTCTACCCTATCCTGCGCTGCAGACCTTCATCCTTTAGTCTCATGGTGAGGAAACAACGGGCGAACATATGTTTACTCTACAGGTTGGGTCTGTCCATAAAGAACGCACTTGGAGTCATGGGGGTCCTTGAATCAATGAGTAGAGCTCCATAGAAATGGAAATGCTCCCAGGAGGAACAAAGTCCATCTCAAGTTATAGAGGCCTGCATTCGCCGTTACACCTCAACGTTGTCTTTGACCACTTTACCTGTGTATAATGATCCGGAGATCGGTCTGGAAGGAGCTGAGCAGTCATGATGAATAAGCAATCATCGTATTGGAATTATTCGTCATTATGGGTGATTTTGGCGTTTTTGACAAGGCAGAAAATTGGGACTTGAAGCATTGACGATTGATTCATTGCTTCGTACACCAACCAAGCGGTGGATTTCGGACGACATTTTACCATCTAAAATGCCCCCTTCGCCGGTCCGGGATTGGATGCATACCCCTAATGCGCCCTGATATTCCACTGGTTTTCCGCCGCTGCCAAGTCAGGGTAGCATGAGGTGCCACCAGACTTGAGTGCCACTGGTGAGGTTGCAACGTGAGAGGAGGCCCTTTTCCTCTTCGGCTCTTAGTGTCAAAATGGCGGGACTGTGGATCTTCACTGACGAAACGTGGGTGAAGATGCGGCATGACACTTTGGGATCCCAGCGCAGCACAGGCGGCTCAGCTCCAACAAGCAACCAGAGACGAGACGAGACGAGACGAGACAAGGGCGCGGGAGGAAAATTCGGATCACATTCAACGATTCACATCCACTTTCACGACATATATTCTAATATACTTGAGATTTTTGGACTCGAGAGAAACTGCGTTACCACCGTCGGTCCTTTATCGAGCAACTGAGCCAAGGCTAGACCATTTCGTTCGAAATCTAAACCCCGCCCCGTCCGTGGTCATTCACCGAGTGAATCTATTGCGCTGGAGCAATATCTGCGAACTCCGAATCTATCAAGTCCATCGATACGCGCAACGAAACTCTAGTCGCTAGGCACCTGCGGCAACATCGCAAAGAACGAAGGAGCCACGAGAGTGCCCCGTGCATACCCCGCGACGCATTCGCCGAACCGCACCGCACCGCGCAAATCGCATCGCATACCATACAATAGGGGAAGGGCTAGATAGAGAGGGCCGTGAAAATACAGCATCACCATGGTCCCGCGAGAGACGAGGCCTTTGCTCGCCGCAGAGAATGATCCGGATCTTCCAGGTTAGCGTCGGTCCCTTCTTTTGCCCTGCGAAATCGTCTCTGACACAGCGGGGACCTTTCCCTGCTCGCTTCCCAGAACCGTATTGGGCGCGCCAGTGGGAAATGACCAAAGTAGACGACCCCGTCACGGCGCCGCAATGCATCGCCCACCGAGGATACAAGGCGAAATACCCCGAGAACTCCATGGCTGCTTTTCGTGGAGCGGTGGCTGCGGGCGCTCATGCCATCGAGTCGGATTTGCACTTGACTAGGGATGGGGTGGTCGTGCTGTCGCATGTAAGTTTCTCCTACGCCTTGGGGAAAAATGTGTTAAGACTTGGAGGGTCCGGGAAGGCTGACCACTTTGTGATACACAGGACGGCACGCTAAAGAGGTGTTTCGGCGTCGACAAAAAGATTGGAGACTGCGACTGGGACGACATCAGCTCCATCAGAACCTTACGCGCACCTCACGAGCCCATGCCGAAGCTGTCCGAACTACTAGACTTTCTTACCGAAGACGGACATGAGAGTGTGTGGTTACTACTAGATATAAAGGTCAGGCTTTAGCATGCCGCTCGGTGCCGCAAGATTGCTGTAAGACGGGCTGACAATCTAGTTTCCAGCTAGACGACGACTGCGAAGACCTAATGCGCAGAACTGCCGAAACCATTGCTGCGTGCCACCATCGCAGCGCCCGACCGTGGAACGAAAGAATAATATTTGGCTGCTGGAACGTACGTCCCCTCTCCCATCCTCCCCACTAAGGCCCACAGCCAACTCACACTCTCTACAATCCAGCAAGCCTACATCGCCAAAGCCCGCATCCACCTCCCCACCTTCCCCCTAACCCACATCGGCTTCTCCCTCCCCTACGCCAACCGCCTCCTCCCCGCCCACCCAAACCTCTCCTTCAACATCCTCCAAATCGTCCTCGCCGGCCCCCTCGGCCCCAGCTTCCTTCTCTCCGCTCGCTCCTCCCGCCGTCCCGTCTTCGCATGGACCGTCAACCACGAGCGCTGGATGGAATGGGCCGTCCTCGCCCGCGTGGACGGCCTCATTACCGACGATCCGGGGCTGTATCTCGAGGTCTGCGCGCGTTGGCTAGCCGAAGAGACGGAGGCGAGGAGACGCCGCGCTGCTGTCGCGGCAGCTGGTGGTGGCAGGAGGAGTAAGAGCGCTGTGAGGTTTGGGAAGAGGAGGGGTGTTGTGAGTGATTTTTTGAGTTTGATGACGTTGCTTTCTTTGAATGTTTTGGCGGCTGGGTTGGCTTTTTGGTTTACGGTTATTGGGAGGTATGATCGCGTTACGACGAAGCCTAATAGGCAGAAGACGCGGTGAAAAGAGAACGGCACCATCTGTCGTCTGTCCGGGCCGGGGGGGGGGGGGGGGGGGGGGGTTGAGTCGCACCGCCTAGTTCTTTCGTGACCCTCTCATCTTAGAACAGAGTTTTCCTTGGAGATTTCGCTTAAGGGGGTAGTATATAATGAATTCCCAGATGGAGGACGGTCATGAGACCCCTCCCTTAGATAGATTGTAAACAAATATCAAACACAAACACACTTCTCATGAGTACAGCCCAAGCGAACCAGGAGATATATATCCGCTCTCTGCCCTATGTCCTCTTGCCCTCATCTCGAAGAGTTGGAACATTCACCATGGTGATTTGTCGACGCTGAGCTATCAGTCTTCTGTCTGTGTGTGGACACAGCTCTTGCAACGAAGAGGCATTTACTGATACCACCGGAGGTCGCACCATACATTGGCAAAGGACTGCGGTTTCCATGAACAGCGTTTGATTTTGATGGCCATATTTGTGTTAGCTAGAATACAAATCCCGTTCCTCTCGAGATTTCTGCTCTCTATGTTTTTCGTCTTCTCCTGACTGTGACCACCAAAGCTCTTTATGTGCATCAGCATCTCCCTTGCTCTCCTCTCCTCTCTCTTTTTGTGTGTCTAGTCGCCCGTGGTTAGGCCGACGTCTAAAGCATGCTCATATAAGAGTCAATGGCAGAACGACGCGAGTAAAAGAATTAACGTACAAACCATACCGTTTCCATCCATGCGAATCGAAGCAATACAAAAATCAATGCGCTTCTTGCCAAACTGCCATCATCCTCCTCAAACACAATCCCCTTCGTCCCCTGATTTTGAACTCGTCCCATCTTGTCTTGCCTCGCCTTACTCTCATCGTCTACTCAATCTCAACATCAATGTCGAGATCGAGCGACGCAATAATATCATCATCCATAAGCGGCTTATGCACCGTCGGGATACCCTTATTCTCAGCATACTTCTGCTCCTGCAACTTCGCAATCTGCGGAAGAATCTGCTTCTGCGTAGCCCCCTTGCTAGGCGTGCTCGCGCCGCTATTAGGCTTCGATCCGGACTTGGGAAGGGTCTCCTCAAAGTCGTGGACGAACTTGGCGCGCGTCCGAAGCCGCCTCGACATATCAGCCTGCACCTCCTCGCCACGCGCCAACTTCTGCTCGATTTCGCGCACTCTCTGTCTCTCTTGGAGCTGAGCCTTCCTGACCTCTGCGTTGTTCTGGCGGCGGATATCCGCGTTGAGCTTCGCGAGCCTATCTTGCTGCTCAGACGACCGGCCGTTGTTCTGCGGGGTGAGCGAGGTCCTAAAGGCCAGACCCGCAGGTTTTCCAAGGCTTTCGAGATCCGCCTGGAGCTGGCTCGCGAGGATGGTATTGTTCGCCGCCTTTGCTTCCTCCAGGGCTCGGACTAACTTCTCACGCATCTCGGGGTCGTATTTCTTGCGGAGAAGGTTTTTCTTGTCAACCATGGCAGTGATCTCGTCGTTTGTAAGTCGGTAAGAAACCAACTCACGCAGCTCATCGAGTTTCTTGTCCAAGGTTGACTTTTTGGGGAATGTGAGACCACGATCGCGCATGACCTTGGTATACCGCGCAAGCTCATCCTGCATTATCACACGGGAATTAGCCACAGTCACAGCGTTAATACCATGCTACATGGGGAAAAAAAATGACACTCACCTCGGTAAACTTTCCACTTGACATGGCGAGGAAAGGATAGGGTTCTGTCTTGGATCCAATACCAGCGAGTACATGCTGATCTGTAACAAACTGCTTCCTACCCGAAACATCTTGCATGGCGTAGGCCCTTCCGGTAGTAAATCCTACACTCCCCTGATTAGTTGCTGACCTGCATATCAGAGGGCCACATACCATGGGATAAGGAAGGACGTACCCTTGATGCAGACCATATGGTACTGCTGTTGGTTGCCTTGCGGCTTTCCAAGAACGCGAACGTAGCAGTCTGTGAGTGCCTTTTCGAATCCTGGCTTGAAGCAGACTTCAGCGAAATTGCTCCTGCTAATTCGCAGACGCTCGAAATCGATAAGCTGGGGTTCGACGTTGCGGGTTTCGCGCTCGAGGCTTCGGCGCCGATCCTCGCGCTCGTCTTCCTCATCATTGTAGTCGCCGTAATCACGGTCTCGCGCTGACCTCGTGGGCGTAGGCTTTTCCCTCTGGCGTTCTCGGTCCTCCTCGCGGCGACGGATGCGGTCATGCTTCTCAGCCCGGGCACGACGAAGCGTATCGATGCCAGCGCTTGTCTCGCCTACTCGTGTTCCATCGATCCTGGTGCGCTGCCGCGTAGGCTTGCGCTGATCCTCGAGGTCGGCATCATCCGCAGAACGCTTCCGGCGTTGCTGCTCCTTCTCCTTTTCCTCAGCCGCAGAGACGAGTTGGCGAAGCATGCGGTTTTGCTTAAATCGCTGGTTCTCCTCACGACGCTCGGCTAGAATGGTCTCACGCTCGACTTCTCTCATCTTCGAAATTTCGTTCTTCTCTGCCAGACTGACATAGAGACCTTCGACAGGGTATTTCTCTTCCAGGTCATCGTTGGCACCATCATCTCGTTGAGGCTCGGCGTCAGAATCGGATTCATCCATCGGCGCGGACTTCAACGAGCTAGGTGACGAAGGCGCCGAAGATCTGTTTCCATCAGAATTCATTGTTAGCTTTGCAAAATCGGGACAGACGATGGTGATTTTTGGAAGCTGGAAGTGTTGATGTTAAGGGGGAGGGCGAGGGTGAGGGTTGGAAGAGAATGCGAGGGAAACGGAGAGATTAGAGGGTAGCTCCAGTGGGTAGGGTTTTGAGAGTATGATAGAGAGGGAGAGGGAAAACTTTGAAGCTGGTGAGAGCAAAGGGTAAGCGTGGAAGGAACACTGGGGAGTGAAACCACAAATTCACGCAATCGAAAACGTCAAAGTAGGACTTACGCTTCGCCCTCCTCCACGTCCCCTCCATCCTCATCATCAGAATCATCGCGCCTTCTTGCACGTTTCGCGCCTCTCGAGCCTGACGTCCTCCTTCCCGAACCTCTCTCTGACCCGGACCTATCCGCGGGCTCGGGGGACAAGGACGCCTCCCTACTCTCGTCTCCTGACTCATCCTCATCGGAACCGGCCAAGGCCAGGAGCTCATCATCGATATCCGCCATCGTATTCCGTAATACGTCTTCCTAGAATGACTTAATGACTGTCGACAGTGATGATTCCGTCGATGGAGAGACAGGCGACCCCGTTGGCACGCCTTGGAAGGCTCGACAAAGCCAGTGGCGCGTTCAAATGATTTGGTGGAGCAGACCTGGGTGTGAAGGCGAAAGTAGATCGCGCTCGAAAACAGAAAGCGTGTCGGCGAATTCGGTAGGTTATGAAGAGCTCGGCGTAAGATATCGGGATTATGTGAATCCAGATACCGGAGATTGGAGTTTTTGAGGGTGATGGTGAAAGTCGGGGGCCGAAAGTAGGAAGAGTGTCTAGTCCTTCGACCTCTAAGCACGATGTCGTCGGCTGTGGGTACTAAATTCCTTGGACTCAGAGATGGATTACATAAGACATCGATTGCGAGAACCCCTTATTCAGTTATGGGAGCAGGAATCAAAGGGTATTTACATATAATGGCATAATTCAATAATCCGATATTTCCTCCGATCTTTTGCCCGACACTGAAGATAATCGTACCATTCGAAGCTTAAAGCTCCCAGCTCTTTTCACGAAGAGGTTCGGTGAACAAGTGAATAGAACCTGTCCGACTACCTCCAAAAGACCAATTAGGCTCGCCACGGCTCCTAACATTACCACCGGCCATGGTCGCCCCCAGAGTTCTCGTCCGGCCTCGCGCCATCCTCCCACTTCGCGAGCAGCTCACCCTCACAAGCTCCCGATGCACCCGCTTCCTCTCCACGTCCCCCCTTCACCTCGCGAACCCGGTCGACGGCACGCCCAAAGATGCTCCCAGGCGCAAACCTCTGACCAAGCAGCAGCGCGACTTTCTTTCTTCAGCGGTATGATAAAGGCCGGCCCCATTTTCCCGTTGGGCGAGACAAAAACCCCGCTGTCAGGCGACTAACACCAGTTTTTTTCTCCCAAATGCAGCTCCGCGTCAACCAATCCGGTGAACTAGCCGCGACACGCATCTACACCGCGCAAACACCCCCCATCGTCTCGCGCCACCCTCACCTCCGTCCCCTCATGAAGCACATGTATGACCAGGAAGAGGGTCACCTCGACACTTTCAACGAGCTTATTGCTAAGCACCGCGTGCGCCCCTCCGCCCTCTATCCTCTCTGGCAGGTTATGTCTACGGGGCTCGGATGGAGTACGGCGATCATGGGCCGCGAGGCCGCCATGGCTTGCACGGAGGCGGTCGAGACGGAGATCGGCGACCACTACAATAACCAGATCCGTACTCTACTTGAGATGATTACCCAGTGGGAGCGGGAAGGCTACGAAGTTGGAGAGGAATTCACGTCGCTAATCAGCACGCTAAGGAGAATACGCGACGAGGAGCTCGAACATCTAGATCATGCGGTCCAGCATGATGCTAGGAAGGCGGAGCCCCATTGGCTGCTGACGGGCGTAATCCGCCTGGGTTGCAGGGGAGCCATTTGGGTCAGTGAGAGGGTGTAAGATGATAGAAGAAACAATTTGATTTGTATAATTGTACAGTACAGAGCAAACATGTGTCCTGGGAAAGAAAGGCAAAGGATTGTGTATACTTTAGAATAGGAATAAAAAGCGACAAAAGGAAAATGCCAGGATTAAAAGGCGACTATAATAATACGATAAGGATGTTGGAATGCCCATCTTACCAGTGCAAAAGAGAGAAAAAAAAAGCATACTTGATGAGCGCTTTATGCAAAAAATATAGGCCCAAGAAGACAAAGGAAAAAAGAAAAAACTCCTAGTAATGCAGAGAACCCTTTGGAGGGTGTCCAATAACTTGAATTCAAAGTTTAGTGTCACACTTGCAACTAGCTTCTCCCCAACTACTCCTCCCGTATACATACGTTTAGGTACTAGAAAATGTTAGCATAAGCTCTCAGAAGACACTCGAGTGGAAGGTTGTATAGTTCGCTGCTACTTACTAGATGCTGATTGGCGCCATTCCGTCAAGGTGGTAGCCCCAATTGGCATTACTCTCCTCTGTTACCAGCCAGTCGTAGGGGAATTGAACAAGGTTGCCTCTCGTAAGGCCAAGAAGTTCTTCAGCTTCATCCCGGCTGAGGACATCCTCGAATACCAGACCTCGTCGGCTGGTCTTCGTCGTGCCTCGTCGACGACGCCTCATCGAGCCGACATTACCGTGGACAGATCCCGAGGTGTCGCGCGACGCCGGCTTTTCCGAAGGCAGGAAGGTAGTCCGTCTCTTCTCCTTCAGCGGATCCAAGAACCTGGTCGTGTGCGTTGGCTGCTGTTCCAGGGCAGGGAACGGGATATCTCCTGGAGGGAGGACAGGGGACGGTTGATCTTGGGAGTAAGCTGTGACGATCTTCTCTAGATCCAGACCTGGGGTAGGACGGTTCTTCGACGCTTGTTCGCCTCCATTCTCAGCTGCAGAAGCCTTCTTCTCATCGAGCTCGGTCTCGTCTTCAGTCGGCATGACAATGGCTGGGTTAGAGTCAAGCCCGGAAGATATGACCTTCTCGGACACCTGCTCCGTAGCGGGAGGACCATGTTCACCACCCTTACTCTGTGGCTTTGGAATCTTGTTCAGCCCCATCTGGCTCATGTGGAACTTGTTTGCATATTTGGTGAAATCACGATACTCGCCCCACGTCTTCACCTCAGAATCCGGCATGCATCGGAATACCTCGCGGTACAGCCGGGTATTATTTTCCGCCGTCCTGTTCCAGACGTCTTCGAAGAAGCTGGGATTAAGCGGATCCCGCATGCAGTTCTTGTCAATATATGCGAGTTTGATGTCCGCGGCAAGAGGGTGCGTCGCTTCATCCCTGCCATCTAGTTCGGGAATGGCTGGAGGGCCCCCGATATCCGTGTCGTCAAGAGCTGGGAGCGTTGGGAGCTGGCTGGCCCTGGGTAGACCAAGTTGCTCGGTAGTCCGGCGATTCAAAGCAGGGACGGGGGGTAGGCGATCGCCGGGATCAATGCTGGAAGCAATGTCACTCTGGCGACTGGAGGAAAGGGGCCGGGAGTTATGATGATGGTGGTGGGAGAACTTCTTAGGGCTATCAAGAGTGCCCTTGCCCTCTGGGGAGATGTTGTGAAGCAGGACTTCGCGGCCATCCACAACAATAGAATCTCTGCCCTGGTCAACACCGAGTTTGGCTGCTGTCTTCCACCGGTCCTCTCCGAAGCCAGCAACCTCACGCTCGTGGTCGACATTACCCGTGATTCGCGGGTCGAATTCAACTTGTTTTCCTTTAGAGCGAATGCTCGCTCTATCATCCTCATCCGTCGGCGGCTCGGCATCGCGATTGAAGCTCTGTACGTGCATCAAGGGCGGCCTCTTGGGTGCGAGGTGCTCCTCCGAAGGCTCGGGGCTTTTGGTCTCGCCGTAGATCTTGTCCATATCTTGCTCGAATTGGGCCTGTTGGCTCATTTCCGCCTCTCGGTCCAAAACTATCTGCCGTTCTTCGGCCTCTATTTCGTCGACATCAAGACCCAAATGCTCTCTCATTAGGCGCATGCGCAAAGTATGGGCGAACCGTGAGACCTGGTAAGGCTTTCCACCCATGGTTGACCAGATCATGTCAGTATCCCTGATAATGGCGGCTACTTCGGAGTCTCTGTTCCCAAGCATGGATCGTTCGTTGATATTGGCCGAGCCAATCAGAGCAACACGGTCATCAGCGATGATGATCTTGGCGTGAATGTATAGCTGCTCAGTAACCAATATATCATTGTGAAGCTTCCCCCATTTTCGAAGGCTGTAAAACTGGATATAGTCTTCTGGATCGATTCCAACAGCGCGGAGACGCTCAAAGATGGAGCTTTCGCCACGACATATACTCCTGTACTGGAATTGAACAATCAAACGAACACTCATACCAGGCTGCTCATCTACCGTGCTCTCAAACCCAGGCATCAATGGAATGAGGATGAAGCATTTCCAGTCATCCTGGTTCTGGTATGCGCGAATAATTCGATCGACGAGGGCGTCGCCAATGCGATTGACGACCTTGGTGTTGTAAGCCTGAGTACTGGTAACAAAGAACTGGTTCTCGATGTAGACGAAATGCTCCGAATCCTCAATCATCTTGACGTAAGCGTTTTGAATGCTGACTTCCGTGTCGTAAGTCCCAAGAGACCATGCGGCAGCGGAGCGCAGAATCTGGACCTCGCAGGTGCCTGAGAGTCCCATATCCTTGTATTCGCCGGGTCTCGAGTCAGGGGGAGGTAGAAGGAAGGGGAGAGCTCGAGTGGGCTTCCGACCACGACGTAGGTAGTTCCATCGCTGAACAAAGTGTCGCGTGAGATCGCGGGCGGGCTGTCCGGCCAACTGCATTCCAACGTCATGCCAAGGCATTCGAGGGGTGACCTTGCGGTCATACATATCATCGTACGGCTGGTGGAGGCGGAAGAAGTCGTGAACCCTTGGATTGGAGTAGTCCTTGCCGAGGAATACTTGGCAATTTGCCGGATCTGCGGGGAAGCCACCGTCTTCAAATCCGGTGGGCTTGTCGTCCTCGAGAGGGTGTTGAGGGCAATCCCAGCGGCCGAAACAGAGATCGATACCACCCAAGAACACGATATCGTGATCCACGATGCAAAGTTTCTCGTGATGCGCGAAGAATAGCTGGTTCTTCTTGAACTGGTTGGGCGAGCGTTGCACAAAGATGTTCGGATGCAGGTTATGAAGCGAAATCTTAGTGTACTCCGAGTCGATGGGAATGGCGGACTCGACGTTTCGGTAGATAATGACAAAAATTTTGACGCCTTCGCGGGCCTTCCGTTGCAGGAGCCGGTCGAGTCGCCATTTCTGGCTGATTGCCGCTGGACGGCGCAAGTAGAGTTCGGGACTAAGCCACCAGTCGTGAATGTAGATCACATTTCGGGCCATGTTAATGGCCCGCGACACGTTCCACATGTAATCGCGACCGTCGACAAGCCACTCGGCGAAAACGCCGGTGCGAACCGGTGCAAAACTGTCAAAGCGATTCTTCTCATGCCACCGCGTATTCTTTAGCATCGTCCGCACAGACTCCTCGAACTGTGTCATAACCACCTCTTTCCGGGCAAATAGCTTGACCTTTCTTTCCGACGTCTGGATAGTTAGGGTATGGTGTTTCGGGTGCTTCGCCTCGCGCTTCTCCTGGGGTTTCTCCTCTGCCGCCGATGGATCCGCCGTATCCATCATCTTCTCGCCGATCTGCTTCAAGGTGCTTTTCTTTGAGATGATGGTGAACTTTGGATCAACTAAGTAGACATCGTAGATGATCATGTTCTCGGGCGACTCGACACAAACGATGTAGCTCTCACGGACAAGGAACCACTTGCGGCTATGGCGTGCAATCACCTTCTTGGGAGTCAGGACTCGCCGGAAATCCATGCCCTTAGAAGACTGGATGTGTAGGTAGCATTCCTTCCCGTGGAAGCTACCCTCAGCAGCCAATCGGACACCCAGAGCGGAGAGCTCCAAGAATCGGCACAGGCGATTGCTGTCGGCTCGGAACATGAGCCAACGAATCATGTCTTGAAGATATTTCTCCAGCAGGCGACGTTGCCTTTCAATGTGGCGCTGCTTTATCACGAATGCTGCCTGGGCGGCGGTCTGGCCAGTTACAGATCCTTCGGCGGCGGATAGGTCACCTTGATCTGTAAAAGTTGATCTCAGCCTCCGGTGTCCAGGACCCATTATTCTGGACCTTCGCCGTCCACCTCGGACATCCATCTCGCTGGCGGTGCCTTCTCCAGCAGTACCCTCGTCAGCAGTTTCTTCACCTCGCTGGCTCGTCACGCCCTCTTCGTCGCTCTCGTCGGCGTCGGCTAATCCTCGAACACCGCGAAGATAAGGGAAAGTCGAGAGAGGGAACTTGGGCTGTTTTCGCCTAGAACCATAGTCCGCGCTGCCAGCACCTCCGGGCAGGCTCCTCTGGATGTCTTTGGCGAACGCAAACTTGTAACGGAGGTGGAGCTCGTAAATGTCTCGAAGCGTACGTATGACCTGCCACTTCATCCGGCTTGGGCCGCTTCCGTACTCAAGATCAAGCGTAAAAACCCAATGGCGATCGCTGTCAGTCTTGTCAGGCTTGTCAGACTCTGGTGCCGCGGTGCTATCAGACACACGGACCTTCAGCTGCTCAAGAAGGACGGGTATGCGCTTGTTGCCATGCTCATCACGCTGTATCATACTCGCCAGCATGACGGCCGCAGGCGCGCCAGCCCGAAGTTCGGCCATAAGCTCTGCAGACTTAGTGTAGTCAAACCTATCATCCTTCTTGGTGCGCCAGAGTTTTATAGTGTTCTTTACCACGGCCGGCCACCTGGGCACAGCAAAGCTGGACGCACGGTCCGTACTAAAGAAAGTTCGTCGGGGGGTAGTGTTGTCGCCATCGGACATGCCACCACCGCCAGTGCCACCGCCAAAGTAGGTCATGCGCCGGAAGTGGCCCATCCGCTTTCCGGTAGGGCTGTCGACATCATCTGCCTCTTCCCCGGTATTCGTCCGATTTGGACCGGAAATCCACGAGGTGCCACGGCGCCAAAGGTCGCGGGCGGCGTCATCTCGGCCCTCCCCATCGGAAAGTTCCCGGTGATGCTGCATATCGGATGGTCCAGACAAACTCGCGCGTCTACTAATGAACCGTCGGCCAACGTTTGCAGCATCAGCCGAACTCTTGTGGATAGGTGTGTTGGGCGTAGAAGCGAAATCGGGCATCCTGGGACGGCGCATTTTCTTGGCACGCTGCTTCTTTTCCTTCATCGCCTTGCGTACTTCTTCCGCGGCAGCTTCGTCGGCCGTCTCCTCGGCATCGGCATCTGCGTCGCTATCACCGCCGCCTTCATTTTGTAGGTGACCGTTCCGGCTGGGGTATCTGCCGCCGATGGGTGAGCTTGGGAGTGACTGGCTCGCCATTTGAGGATCGACGGAGGGAGACTTTTGAGTTTGTAATGCGCCGGTCACCGCAAGCGCCTTCAACTTCGATATAAAGGAGGAAGGTTTCGATCTATTCCCACCATCGGGATCCTCCCAGGACGGCTGCCGGGAATGGGAGGCTGATTCCGGGACGCCATCTCTACGGGCAAACTGGACACTCCGCCGACCTTGTGGCACGGACGCAAGAGCATCATTTCCATTTTCCTGGCCGTTCGCCTCAAGCTCGCCGCTGGCCGTGGGTAGTTGTGTAGGCGATGGGGCCTCGAGGATAGGAGACATGTCCTGAGCTGGAGTCGTCGAGGTCTTTACTTCGGAGGAAACAGTGCCGTTTCCGGGGAGCGGCTTCCTAGGTGGCACAGAATTGTTCGGCGTACTGAGAGGAGGTAGGACCGCAGAGGCAGTAGGCGGCAGCTCGGTCACCGGCCAGACAGGCGGCGCGGCCCCAGGATTGGTCAAGGGCGATGGAGACTCGTCGAGCGACGCATTTTGAGTCGTGGCGGGCATCCTATGGGATGTAGGATAGGGGCCAACGCGAGGGCGGGGCACAAGATCGGACGAGTCGGGCAAGGTTCGAAGGAGCGGCACGGGGGTCGAGGGAAAGGTTCAACGCCCAGAGGTTGGCAATCAGTAGGCCAGGAGAGTCGATGGAGGGTTTGCTACGGCTTTCAAATCCAACATGATCAGAAAGAGCCTAAGATTAGCATCTAACGGCTGGAGGGAAAGTCTGCTAGCCAAGGTTTCAGCTGGGTTTGTGGAGAGGACCAAGGCCAAGAGATATTTGTCGCCGCTTGATACGGTTGATGGGGTTCGTCGTCCAACGTCGAATTGTCAGATAAAGGGGCAAGCTCGAGGCGTGGGGCGCATTCGAAGGAAATTGGCTTCCGGGGCAAGCAGGAACTGGGTAGCTACTCTGAATTGAGGAGATCGCCAGGGTAGGTGGTATTTGTGACTTTGGAGCACTCTATCCCCAAAAAGCCAGAGCCAACTCGAAAGTCAGTCTATTCTAGGAGGAGTGTGTGACTGCAGGTCACCAGGCATGCATATATTAGAAGGTTATGTCGGTCGACGGCTGGTTCAGCATTGGTGTAACGGGCCACGGGCACTGTGGACTGGTCAGTAATCAAGACAGTCGAGGCTCAGGTGCACTTGTGCCCTTCTTTCGGACGAGGCAAATCGGTCGAGACCGGGAGGGAATGTGTCTAAATTACCTTGCCAAGACGAATGGTCGTGCCTGCTGGATAAGTGTGGTGTAAGCTCAATCCGAATGAAATCGCAACGTCACATAAAGTACCACGTACCAGGAAGGTTAAGTTGGTAATATAGTACGACTCGGGAGTCGGGATGCAACTCTTTGTAAGAAGTACTTCGAAGGTCGTACTTCGTAACTCATCGTCACTTCATGCATCATTGATGTCTCGATCCTCAGTGGCTCCACTAACCCGGATTCTGTTGGCCTCACCAAATCAGCTTGCCCCGCTAATCTTACAGCTGCTCTCTCATTTGATACTCCCAAAACGGCCTACTTGGAATAGCCTCATTTGAAACAACCTCAATAACAATATGTGTACTTCGTACACTATGATGCCCATATAATATTGCACGGCGAGCTCGCCCTTCACCCCAAAATGCCCTCCACCTCAGCAAGTTGCTTCGTACACAGGTAGATTGCCAACACTGGGTGGCTATCCTTATCAACAGATCATAACGGTCCCAGTCAACTCCGATTTTATGCTTGAAAAGTGTATTCCGTCATGCTCTGGTTCGGGGTAAAGTCAATCTCCATTCCCGGTTTTGGGGGCCAAAATCGAAGCAAGTACCTCGGTACCTCGTCTCATTAATCATATTTTGCTACCAACCTCAGACCAAAACGGTCTCCTCGAGAACCAAGTCCTAAGTATTAGGTACATCTCAGCACAACCACACATCGATCCTAAGTGTACACTGCTTGTAGACTTTAGCAACCAAACGCGCCTGCACCGCGTCGCAGAGAAACTTCACTACACATACCTTCGTCCTATCTACCCCAAGAGCTGATTCACAGAACCCGACCAAGATGCCCAGGTATGTTAGCACCAACAACCCATTATCGTCAAAATTCCTCTTCTAATTTTGCGCCCGGTAGAGAAATAATCACTGTCCAGGCTGGGCAATGCGGTAACAGCAGTATGTCTGCCCGACCCCTCCACCCCCCCTCCTCCCCGCGAAACCGCGATAGTGCCACGATGTCGGCAATACTGCCCGATAACGCCCCTGTGCCAACTCTAAATCAGTCCCAAATAGCTAATACATTGCAGTTGGAAGCCAGTTCTGGCAGCAGCTCTGTCAAGAGCACGGAATCAACCAAGATGGTAATCTCGAGGACTTTGCGACCGAAGGCGGCGACAGGAAGGACGTTTTCTACTACCAGAGCGACGATACGCGATACATTCCCCGCGCAATATTAATAGACCTGGAGCCTCGAGTATGTCTTGACCCAGAATCTCGCCTATGTCTGCCTACTCTACGAACATCTGCGCAGCCGCTCACACTGCTTTCTGGTTCTAGGTCCTAAACGGTATCCAAACGGGTCCATACAAAAACATCTACAACCCAGAAAACTTCTATGTTGGCAAGGATGGTGTAGGTGCGGCGAATAACTGGGGTGATGGATACCAGACGGGAGAGTCGGTGTATGAGGATATAATGGAGATGATCGACCGCGAAGCAGACGGCAGCGACTCCTTGGAGGTAGGGCCCAAGAGACCTAGCTCCCGTCTCATTCACTTCGTTGACAATTCCTTCTCCTCTTTAGGGATTCATGATGCTACACTCCATTGCCGGGGGTACCGGTTCGGGTCTCGGTTCCTTCTTACTAGAACGACTCAACGACAGGTTTCCCAAGAAGATTGTCCAAACATATTCCGTGTTTCCCGACACGACAAACGCAGGCGATGTCGTGGTGCATCCATACAACAGTGTTCTCACACTCAGAAGACTGACCCAGAATGCCGATTCTGTTGTTGTCCTCGACAATGGTGCCTTGTCACATATAGCAGCAGACAGGCTACACGTCCAAGAGCCATCCTTCGCCCAAACCAACCAACTCGTACGTACTCTCCCTTATGGCCAGCGCCCCAGATTTCGATACTAACCGGTCATCGCCACAGGTCTCCACGGTCATGTCTGCCAGTACGACTACCCTCAGATACCCAGGGTACATGCATAACGACCTTGTCAGCATACTAGCGTCACTAATACCTACTCCCCGCTGCCACTTCCTTATGACCGCCTACACCCCATTCACAGGTGACCAGGTAGAGCAAGCGAAGACGGTACGCAAGACGACAGTGCTCGACGTCATGAGGCGGCTGCTTCAGCCCAAGAACCGCATGGTCTCGACAGTCCCCGGAAAGAAGAGCTGCTACATCTCGATATTGAACGTGATCCAAGGAGAGGTTGACCCGACCGATGTCCATAAGAGTCTCCTACGTATTCGAGAACGACGCCTCGCCACCTTTATCCCTTGGGGTCCGGCAAGCATCCAGGTGGCCCTAACTAGGCGCAGCCCGTATATTCCAATGAGCCACCGTGTCAGTGGCCTGATGCTTGCCAACCATACCAGCATTGCCACAGTAAGTCTAGCCAGAGATACCTTTTTTTTGGATAGCGTCCCCCTTATAACTAACGTTCAATTTCCATCAGCTCTTCAGACGAATAGTCAAGCAGTACGATGGCATGAGGAAACGAAACGCCTTCATGGAAGGATACAAGAAGACGGCACCCTTCGCAGAGAACCTAAACGAATTCGATGAAGCGCGAGAAGTCGTCACCGACCTCATTGCCGAGTACGAGTCGGCCGAAAATGCCGATTACCTTAACCCAGAAACAGGAGACAAGGCCACTTCGGCGGAGACGGATAAGCGTATGGCATGAGGGAACTAGATGGCGTTTGGCCCCCCTCCCCCGCCCCCGTGCGTCCGACCTCGACTTATATCCCCTCTCCACTAGTGCAGAGGAGCGATCGGTATCAACATGAACTTGGTTTTCTCGTCGTTATTTCAAGGCGGTCTCGGATTTTAGCCCGCTGTCAGGCGTAAGCGTTATTGGGTCGGTAATGAAATACCAAGAAAATAATGGGCTCGGATGAATTATGTTGAATACATATATTACTTATGTTCTTGCTTCATCCGTGCCATGAAATGATATTTTATGTGGTCAACTCCATACGGTCAACCAGAAATAACGACCGCGGTTAGTTAGCCAAGCAATATCCCGTACAATCATGCCCTTCTTCTAGTGAATGTAGTCTATGGTATAAAAAAAAGAAAATCCGAATTTTTTGGTCTAGTGCTAAACAGGGTATCATACAGAACGTTGAGGAAAGGGAAAGTTTTGTGATAACTAGCAAGGTAAGAAAGAGGAAGGACCCTCGAAAATTTCCGGCTAGATGGAGAACACACTCATGAATCCGAGTACGGATAGCCAATCAAGGTTTTGAGGAGGTCGAGTCCCATGGCCATCTCGATTTTGGGGAGAACAAAGGCGCAAGGGTATATTAAGGGACCCGCACAGAGGCAGTGATGGCAAGGACAGCCATGGGATCGCAAGAGTTGTGGATCGACGGATAAGCCTTCCATTCTTGGTAGGCAGGTCAGGTGACCGGTCATCAATGGGAGGAAGAAGATGGGGTTGCAGTGAAGAGAGAGCTGCCGCTGCAGGTGATTCTCCAAGAAAATGAGGCGGACGAAATGGCCAGCTTTGGAGGAGGATGGGGAGGATCAAGAAGATAACCCCAATATCATCTCCATATGCTCCACGCGGTCGTACTCGTCGTGATGCCGGATGGCAAAGTCTTGCCAGAAGGCCAAGCGGTGATCCCGATTCAGGTACGGGTGGAGCCTCCATATCTCGGGAGAGTAATTCTCGGCAAGGAACTCGAGGTCCACGTAATCATCGGTTTGGCCGTTGTTGCGCCGCTCGTAATGAACATGCAGCTTAGTAGAGAACTGGTGGTAGAGGTCTATAACGGGGACAGCCTGGCCTGTATGCAATCCAAGGTCTACGCTCACGGTGGGCGTGATCATCTCTGTCGCCTCGGATAGATTGGAGGGGATACCAAGGTTCCCTTTGCGGTCACGTTGTCAGCTTCGAAGAGAACATTTACTAAAGGTAAAATGCATTTAGAGCACCTCAGGAGACTAACCACAGATTATAATGTCCACGCTCACGGGGAGCTCTGGTATGGACGAGAACTCATCATCCCACCGACCCCCAGTGTGGACGAAAACTTGTATACAAGTGTTGCCGTGGGTTTTTGGTACGCAAATCCTACACGGAACCGCCGTCAGAGCCGTCGATGATTGCGATGGGAAAAGAATACAAAGAAACTATCGGACAAGGGAGGACGCTTCCGCACCTTTCTTCCGGCATCAATATAGCCGTTAGGCCATCCATGTCAGTGTCTACGCTCACATCGACATCTTCGGTCCGGCGCGAACCGCCCCTCAAGTACACGGCCCAGCCACCCAGAAATGCAAAAAGAATAGAATGGCGGTCAAAGAGGGAGAAGAGAAAATCGGCAGCGAGGCCGAGATGCTCGGGCGAGGGGCGGCGCGAGGCATGGTAGAGCTGGGAGAAGCGATTGGTATCGTACACCTCCGCGGCTGCCGGTCCCTCCATGTTTCGGCGCTTAAAAGCTTAAAAAAGGACCTAAAAGCTCGGCTCCGAAAGCTAAGGCGGCGGTGGGGGGGAAGGGATCCCCCTTCTATTCGGATGTGGGAAATGAGACCGTATCCCGGGGTATTAGTCGGCCTGGCTCTCTTTTGGGGTATTGGGGTAGATTGCTATCGGGGGCAAGACGCAGCACCTCTCCAAGGATTTAAAGAGAGCGCGGCTCGGTGACCCTCCGACAACATAGAGGCAACCACTCCACTAACGCAGGAAGTGTGATGGGGGTTGCATGCGAACCACCTAACGCCCAAAAGCTCAAAGCAGCCCGTCACCAATCAGTCATGGGACGCAAGTGGTGGAAAGAGGGGGGACATGTTCGCCTTGGTTATTATCCTCTTCTTATTTTTTTCCCTCATTTTCCACTTTTTTTATGAAGCGTCCATTAGCGCCGAGGCTCCAGCAATTCTGTGTCCCTTCCTGCGTATTTTTCACGCGCATCTCTCCAAGCCATAGCTGAGTAATCGGGCGTTTGGGAAATGGAGTTGTAAAATATCGATGTTCCTCTTTTTTTTCCTCCCCTTCACTTCAGCTTCTTGGTTGGGTGTCTTCGGCGTTCGTTGTCCTTCAGTTCTCCACTGGCCGGGAGACGTCATCCTATCTCGGGACGTAATCGAGCCAATTATGTCAACCTATCGTTGGCGAATCTTTTGATGAACCTTGGTGCCTCGTGGGCTGGGTGAGGTCTAGGAAGACACTAAGCTAGGTCGGGAAGAGTTACCATGGCTGGCATCCAGAGAATCCCACCACACATTGGTCTTGGGCTGAACACTGGTTGCTGTAGCCGAGTTTGGCGCCATCTGCTAGGCAAGTACTGTTAAGACCTTCCAGATGGGTGACATCATTCATTCCATTGACATCCATTTTCGGGGTTCGGGGTGCGGGGTGGACGAAACAGCTCTGGTCGGGGAACGTCAAACGAAACGGCGAGTTGGGTTTCGATCCGAGTCAAAGGTCGGATGGAAGATTTGGTGAAATGATCAACGTCGATACACGGAAACAAAAGCCTGGCGAGAGCGAAGGGTAGTTAATATTTGGTAGGCAGTTTTGTATTACGGCATCGGGAGTCAATATCAATCGACTTTGCACACATGCGTGCCCACGCGAAATGAGAGCTTGGCTTTGGCTATCCTTCCACCACGTATTCTTATTAGCTGTACCATTCAGTCGGTAAATGAGATAGGACGGGAATTCAATGTAGGATTATTGTAACTTCCAGCGGGACAAAGTCGACATAGCATTGGGCTGCTATAAATTGGAGGGTGCCGCGGACACTGAAAGGGCGGTTCAAACGGACGGCGTGTTAGGTGATGGATAAACGATTGTCCAGCCTCTCCGCAATAAAACAGTCACACCAGGCGAATTCAAGCTCGGCTTAGATGAAGGATGGAGCCTGGAGGCCGTCTACTTTGCATTAGGACGTGTTGGCCAGCTGCTATTAGCATTGAATCGGTGGTATTCTCGAGCCTAGAATGGGTAGGCGCAAGAAGAGAGGTGGAAGGACACCAGAGCAGCGGGCAATAGGAGGAGAGGGCAGAGAGACGATGTTAGACTTTCAAAGAGGAATATACAATCTACACCTTCAAACAACCCTGATTATATATAGTAGGACATAAACCTCTCTACCCTTTGGTGGAAAATAAAATGATGTATGCCCAATGAAGGATTTCGAATGCCCTCGCTTCTCGATATACTTCCATCATCCGACGCCACAATGAGATAAACCTGACGCAAAGCAAAAGCGAAGCCAAGTATATTAACATGTACGAAGTCTTCCGGTTGTTGGTTCTGTCTCCAACAATAAAGGGAAATTCAATTACAGTTTTCCATCATTCCCCTTTACACCGCCAATAGTTACCAAAAGTAAGAGACCTTCAAGTTCCCTTTAGATGACTACTGTTCATCCTCGAAGTAGTCAAGAACATGTAGCCTGGAAAGACGAGATTTCTAACTAGCGGTTATTCCTTTAGTGGCTAACACCGAGAGCAAGATCGGCAAGGGCCACGGCAACCTCCCACAGCCCGAGCAGCCACCTCCACCCTCTGATTGGCAATCGATGGACACCAGGCCTGGCAACATCAGTGCTGGGGAAGGCGAGAGAAAATCCGGTACTGGTTCCCATAGCACTACTGGGCTACAAGGCGCGGAATTGACTTCATCTGCAGTCAGCGAAGGAAAGGACAACCTAAAGAGACCCCCCAAAGAATAGTCTCTGAAAAACCAAGGGCGTATCCGAAGACACACGGGATGTTTAATGAGAGATATCAAACAGACAAACGGCCGACTCCCAGTCCCCGTCCCCGTGGGTTTTGTCATACGTGAGGATAAGTCTACTTGCGTATAGTGTTTGAAGCTAGATCTGTCTCTTTAAAGATGATGCCGAATTGTCGAACACCTAAACTGGCCTTGAATCAGTATCAGGACAACTCAAAGCATAAACCCGGGGATGGAGACTTGCATGGACCTGTGTTACAACATTTAGGGCTTTTCAAGAACCAATATTCCACAAAATTATCTGAATAGAATATGCTCTGACCAGAACATAGAGCAGAGAAAGCATTGATACTGAAACACCATGTACAAGACACCTTTGATGGCCAGGCTCAGCCTACGTCCTTGAGGTTTACCCCTGACAGACAAAGGCATCCCCTTTATCCTAGTCCTCCAAAGGGACATCAATTGACGTATCACCACATTCACAGCGATCATTTAAGGGTGAAGGGGGCTGCCTTCAACTTCCACTGGAACTCCAGTCTGAATGGCCAAGCTAGATGGCTGGCTGCGGGCGGCTCTTGCTGCTTATGCCTGCTCTCAACTGGTGGGTGGCTCTTGCCACTTACACATGCATTGGCCCTTGGCAGACCAGCTCGAAGGGACAACTTGGAATACTTTATACTCAACACGAAACTCCCCAGCCCCCGGTTCCTTCGATGATATTCTGGAAGCTTAACCTGAAGCCAGACAAGGCTGCCTTTCTCAAATCCATAAATTCAGTTGATTCCTGGGGTTCCTAGCACTGCCAAGTAAGAAACTTGGCCTGCATTCCTCTTATTTATCTTGCTCCTTCCTCTCCCTATAACATCGACCCACCCCCCCTCTCTTCCTCTCTCCCTCTCCACAGATCTCAGGAAAATAAAATCGAAAAACCGCTCTCTCCCTCTCCCTCTCCCTCTTCCCAACCCAACCTCACTCTCACACCTCTCCAAACCCGCCTTCGTCAAGATGGGGGCCGACAAGAGCGTTCTAGACGCGATGAGGGTAAGTAACACACCAACTCCTCCCCTTTCCGAGCTCTTCCAGCAGCTAGTTGGGATACTCAACGAACGATCCAGGCGGAGTTGGGCAGCGACAGGTTGCTGGAGCTGCCCTTGGAGCACAAGACTAGCCGCTCTGAGTACCCCAGTCGCGCCATTCGGTCGGTACCGGTTGTTCGTGATTCCCATATTATGTCCCTTTCCAACAAGTTCAAGAGTAAGTCTCTCACTTCCCCATGGCTTGGTTCCCGAATCTGGTATGTTCGTGGCTCAAATTATCTTCCTAGGCGCCATCGCAGGCGGCGAATTTAACGATAGTGATGCCGAAGCCGTCAGGGGCCTGGATGATCTCGGAGGACCGCGTGTCTATGCTGGTAACGCCCGGGCTGCGAGGTGAGTAACGTAACGTTTCTACTTCTTCGCAAGAGAGCTGGAAACTAAGTTTATGTTGACATTTTTAGGCCCCTCGTCGCGGCCCCTCCCCCACGGACTTCGGCACTTGGCCCCAATGCTCCAACGGCAGGAGAATCCTCGTCTCGAAGTGGACCTCCTTCTCGCCAAGTTCCGGCAAGAGCACCCATGGCTCAAACGCAGGCTCACATTCAGGCCCGCCCTCAGGCTCAGCCTCAAACAAGGGTCACCCAGCCCGGCGCAAAGCAATCTACTCCTGTGGCTGCCTCGGTTACACCTCGTAGTGGAGTTGCCCAAACTAGCGCCCACAAAGGTCTAGCTCCGGTGCGTACCGGACTTGACCAGGCTGCTCCTCATCTGCGCGCCCCTTCTGCCAAACAGCTGCAGGCAGTACAGCCCCAAGCTGTTAGATCTGTTGCACAGGCGGTTGTGGCCACGCCCTCTGCTATGAAGAAGCCGACCCAAGGCTTAGCTTCTTCGAGATGGGCTACCGAGGACGTTGCCCAGGAGAGCACTGCCGCGTCTGGCGTGGCCTCGCCGGCGGCTGGAACAAACCTCGCTACCAAGGTCAGAGACGCGTCCAAGGAAAGTGACGAGGTAAAGACGACGGCATCTGCGCCATCCGAGGCCGGTCGATCAACCCCGCTGGTGGCCAAGTTTGCAGCGTTGAATTTGGATGAATGCACTGCTAAGCTCAGTAGCGCGGAGAATACGGACTCGAAACAAGGACATGGCACTCTCCCGGTAATTCCAAAGACCAACACAAAAGCTCCCCACAAGGCTCTCTCTCCAGTCCCTAGCAAGGCAGTCGGTGACAAGGAACACTTGAGCAAGCCCAAGAAGGTTAAAGAGGGCCAGGCTGGAATCGCATTTCAGATGAGTGGCCATCTCGTGGGCCGTGACATGAAGCGCCAAACTTGCGAAGTAGTCCTCAAAATCAGAGGGGTTAGGGGAGCTAGGTTTGAAGTTGAGCTCGAGGGCAAGGTCGCTGCGAGCCATAACGTTCTCAACTTGTTGATTAGTGGGCAGACTGACAACATTTGCACCCTCAAGTTCAGGACTGAGGACAACCTTGTTGCTCCTTATACCCTGGATTTCGAGACCTCGGCTCGATGCACACAGTTCGTGTTTTCACTAAAAAACCTGGAGATTGCCACCAAGTTGCAGCTTGAGAATGAGTTGAAGCGGAACGAACCTGTGGTCCCCACCCCAGTTCTTACCCCGGCTGTTACTCCAGCTCTTACCCCGACGCCTACCCCTGCTCTTATTCCGGCCCTTACCCCGGCTATTGCCCCGGCCGTTCCGACCAATGCTGTCGAGCCAGTGAAGCCGGAATCGGCAGGGAATGGAAGTAAAAGGGTCACCTACACGGCCGAGGAGCTTCACGGTCTCAAGCCAAAAGCAGTTGAAGGCCTCGACGCGATCAGGGAGAAAACTAGCCAGCTCCGGGCCCACCCTCGTTCTGCGGCGGCCCGTTTTTCCGGCTCTGTGGCGGCCAATACCTCGCCGGCTCCCCCAAGGACACCTGTTAGGAAGGTGGAACAGACCGGCGCTAACGATGATGAGGTTGAGCCCTCTGACGAGGCGTCTAGAATGAGGAAGAAGATGGCCGAGCAACTCGAGTGGCTATCGCATGGCAGCGCTAGGAAGCTTGGCTTGTAAGGAAGTTATGGTAACTGTAAGACATGCTGGGCCCAATTGATGTTTCGGCGTACGCGGCGTCCATGAGTTGCGTTGATATTGGTAGATTTTGGTGCGTTTTTCATTTTTCGAAGTCCAATCATGGTGTCGTTGTTACTCCAGTGTCGACATTTGAAGGAAGAAATGCAAATGTTCAACGTCCGTAATTATCTTCTCAACTGTGTACCCATCCCTCATCCATCCGACTCACTACCACTTCGTCCACTTTTAGACGCTTCTCCACGATTTGCTTGCCATTGACTAAATCATTCTCCACGGCGCGGCGCTCCGCCGCCTCCTCATCCTTAGCGATGCCCGCCTCGACATGTCTCCTCACCAATCTCCTCTTCGCCACCTCAAAATCCACCTCCACAAACCAAAGCTCATCAAACAACGCCGCCGCATCCCTCCACACGTCCTCATCCAGCGCCAAATAATTCCCTTCGACGACCACGACGCGATGACTCGGCAGGATCTCGATGTCGTCTTCTTTCGGGTCCTTGACGGCGTGGTCGAAGCTCGGGGCGTAGATGGGTTTAGAGTCCGGAGTCAGCGGTCCTCTCAGAGAGCGGATGAGGGCGAGGAAGGCGGGGGCGTCGAAGGTGAAGGCGGCGCCGCGGCGGGCGTGGGCGGTTTGCGGGTCGGGCATGGAGGAGAGGTGGGCGCGGGTGTAGTGGTAGCCGTCCATTGGGAGGGAGATTGCTGTGGTGGGGGATTTGGTATTGAGGCGGGTTGTGACGAGGTGGGCGAGGGTGGTTTTACCTGGGGTGAGTCCGTCAACGTCATGGGGGCGTGAGCTGGGTGGGGGGGAGATGGGGTGGCATCTTGGTGTTGAGGTTGGCTTACCGGAGCCTGGGATTCCGGATATTCCAATTACTAGGAGACGGTTAGTCGAGGCTCGTAGGAATAGGAACGAAGGATCAATGGCTGTGTTTTATGCATTCGTGGATGAGGGCTGCGGCTTACAGAGTCGTTGGTTGTCGGGAGTGTTTTGGAGCTTGTTCCAAGCTTTTTCAACAAGACGAGAGACTTGGTCCTCCATGATTACTTAGGATAAGAGTTTACGTATGTTTAAGAATTCAGGTGCTTCTATTGTAACTTAAGAGAATCCGCGTAGATCGAGTATCATCACGATCGACGTCTGGTGGTGGTCGTTCAGGTCAGGAAGGTTGATGGAGGGGTAATTCGACATAGCAACCCCGCCTTAACCTGCAACGAGTTGATGGCGACTTAGACCAAACACGAAAAACACGAAAGCTTGCAGGGAGTGTTAAAGCACGGCCGCGTTTCTCCTGCCATTGTTTCCATAGAATAATGAAGGTCTCTTGAATAACTAAATAATTATACAAGATCCTCATATTATCATCGAGAAAGTATTTCCCATGGAGATGCGAGAGCTGCAGGTTGGAACCAAATCTGACCCAAAGATTTACATCTGCAGGTCCGCTGCTATGGCGACGGTTTCGGGACGGGACAGCTTGATTCATGCTCTGGCGCGTGATTAGCGCAACACCGTCTCGTCCACTAAATTAATTGAGATTTTGCCAAAGAGTCAGACGCCTCTCAGTTGGCCAGTAGCTATTTTTCTTTTTGGTCTCGTCGCCGGGTTGACTCGATGGATGTTTCGGTCTTCACGCTGAGGCGTGACGTCAGATAAACTCTGACCTCCTCTGGGCGTCCGACTCGGACATGTCCACAGAGCTTGGCAGGATTAGCAAGACCACGCAGGAAGAAGCAGACGCGTGGAATGCGTCAATGGAATGTGCAGAAAATGCAGAAAATCCAGGAACGAGGAAAAAAAGAAAAAAAAGAGGCGCGGCCCGGTCTGGCAAGCAGCCGGGCGGGGATTTCCTGTGCCTCACCCTCGTTTCTTTCGCTCAGTTGCGTCAGCTATTACGACGAGGTTGGTGAAGCCAGAAGGGATGGAAGCAGGTCCCAGTACGATGTCGCAGTGAACTTCGGACTGTGTCCCAATCTGATGCTCCAGCAGCCATGATAACGATGATTGGATCGGACATTGACCTGGGCTGGAAAAGTACCGTGGCGCTCTGTTCAATTAACTCCCGTGATTGGCTCGAGCTCCGTACCGCCTTGGCCTTCCCAGCCACGCTGGTTTTTTTAGCAAAATCCAATTGTCCGCAACATATTGGGAATTTTGACCAATCAGGGATAGCACCCAGCCACGCGTCCCACAGAAAATTAGGCGTTCTGTGCTGAATTTAAGCATGGTTTGTTTAAAACACCACCTCCGAAAAGTACTATGTACCCTGCAGTGCTGGAGTGGCCCCACCTTTCCACCACTGGCGACAATGATCAATGACGGGTGTTAGCACAAGAATGCCGATGCCCGCTTTTGTACTTGTGAGGTGCCCTATTAGAGGAGCACGACTTGTACAGGCCTGTCCTATCCAGTCCGCCCCCCCCTGGATTGCTACGCTACCAACAAAAGCAGGGATCAATAATAGTAGATCGCTGCTAAAACTGCAGAGCATCGATCCGCCGCCTCCTCAAAGGAACTGATCGACCTCAAACCACACCTCTTCCCTCGCACCTTCCTTTCCGCACTCTGAAGCTTTTTGTTCTGATGCTCGCAATCTTGGGCTCACTCTTTCCCCAAGTTTCACATTTTGTTTCTCCCGTCTACGTCGTCATCCTTTCCTAGTTTTCGTCCGATTCGACTTTTGGGAATGTGTCTCTCCTTTTCGACTGTTTCTGAATGTCAACAAACGAGATAGCAAATGTAAACAACATCAGCGGCCCCCTCCACTACTAACCCCCCAACAGCACCACACCGGGCCCTCGATATATCGAGCCCTTTTGACGACTGCCACGAGCTCTCATCATGTCCGGCAAGCAAAAAACCCATCCCCTCAATGGGGTGCACACAGCGGGAATCTTTTCCGACATGACGGTCGACGGCCCCGAGATTGGCACCCTTGTCGTTATCGTCGACAGGGCGAAGAACCTCCCGAACCGCAAGACCATTGGAAAGCAAGATCCTTACTGCGCAGCACGACTCGGGAAGGAGGCGAAGAAGACGAAGACGGATATTAGAGGCGGACAAACTCCAAGATGGTAAGCCTAGCGAACCGCAACCATCTCGAAGGAGGGGGGGCAGTCTTGGTCTATTCTCCCCGTTCTTCTGGCATCGCTGGAGATTTTTGACTTTGGCATTGTCCGTACTAACTCTCAAACTTGTAGGGACCAAGAGCTCCGATTTACCGTGCACGACTCGCCTGATTACTACCAGTTGAAAGTGTCCGTTTTCCACGACGATAAGAAGACCGACTTGATAGGCGAGGGGTGGATTGATCTGAAAGAGATCATCGTTCCTGGAGGCAACCAGAACGACCTGTGGCATAACCTATCATGCAAGGGCAAATACGCAGGCGAGATCCGCGTCGAACTGACCTACTACGATACTCGGCCCAAACCCGAGAAACCCGTGGCCAAGCCGAAGCCTATCCAGACAGACCAGGCCGTCAATGGGGCGAGCCAGCCGCAGAGGTCTCCTATCAAGAGACGTCCGCTTCCTTCAGACCCTGTCACCGGCGAGGACCCGCATCCCAAAGAAGTAGCGCCAGCTCCAGCTCCAGCTCCCGCCCCGGCTCCCGAACCCCTGCGACCCCTTCCCAGGAAGCAGCCCTCGGCGTACATACCCACTCAATCTCCTCTTCAAGCCGTCGAGTATGGAACACCACCTCCTCAACCGCAGCCTCCGCGACAATATCCGCCTGAGAACTATGCGCCCAGTCAAGCTGCAGCCCCCCCTCCACCTCAATCCCAACATCCGCGACAGTACCCGCCTGAGAACTACGCCCCTGAGAGCTACGTGCCTAGTCAAGCCTCCGCTCCTGCTCCTCCTCCTCAATCACAACATCCGCGGCAGTACCCACCCGAGAACTATGCGCCTAGTCACGCCCCGGCTTCCAGTCCTTCTCTCCCCCCTCAGCCCCAGCTTACACGACAATATCCGCCGGAGAATTATGTGCCAACGAGTCAAGCTTCTGCTCCTGGCCCTTCTCCTCCTCCCCCTCATCAGTCTCAGCCTCCGCGACAGTATCCGCCTGAAAATTATGCGCCTAGTAGTCCCGTTCCTCCTGTGCCGCAACCTCTGACCCCTCGACAATATCCGCCTGAGAATTATGAGCCTTCCAGTCAACCATCCGTCCCTGGTCCTCCTTTCCCCAAACCCCTAACCCCTCGGCAATACCCACCCGAGGATTACGCGCCTACAGGTCAAGGTCCTCCTCCCGCTGCGCCGGCCCATGGGCCTGCGCATTTGATCCAGTATGAGACTCCTCCCCCGCCGCCTCGGCGCCATACGGATCGATATGACAATTCTCCTCATCAACTCGACGAGCGAAACTACAGCCCCAGCTACTCTGCTCAGCATTTCGACCGTCATGATACCCATAATCAGTTCAGTCCCGCCCCTGAACATTATACCCCGCCTCCGCCTCCTCATATGGATGAGCAACGATTCGAACTTCCCCCCGATGATGAGCGACCGCCTCCGCCACCAGTTCACCGATCTAGGACTAGTAGTGCCCATGAACTGGTAGTGCGGGGTGCGTTTGACACATCACCCCAAAAGGGGACACCGCCGATGAGGCACGACGTGCTGAGAAACGAAGCTCATCGTAACTCGGTGTCTAGGCCCGTGTATCAGGCCTACGACGGGGGATCTGCATCTCCTCACCAAGTAAATAGCAGTGGCTACGAGCCATCGCCTCCACGACATCAGCGCTACGATTCGGCAGCGCACGACGGCTATCAACGTGGAATGCAACCCAAGGTCGAGGACGCTCCGGACTCTCCTACGCCTGCCAGGTATCACGCGTACCGTCAGAGCGATGCTCACTCATCATCCCACAGTTTTGACGATACGCGGTACGAGGACAATCCTACCCCGGCTCCCTTGAACCTGAGTGGACGCGGTAGCGCGGCTTCGGGACAATACAGCCCCTCTCATGTATCTTCTCAGCCTTCTTCTCAGCCTTCTTCTTTCGAGCAGCCCAATGGATATGCACCGGCGTCTTCGACAGTGTCCGCATCTCCGTCGGAACATATTACTCCGTATAGGCCTCCGGTTCATGACTCTGGCGATCGCACTAGCGATTACCATCAGCCTCCGCGAACATCTCCTGCCGTTGACCCTCATAATGGCTACCGCCAACCGTCGCAATCCAGCCATCATGCTGACTTTGACAACCGCCACCGTTCTCCCTCGTACTCAGAGTCATTTGACCCAAATCTGCAGGACGACCCTAACTTGAGCACTGCACTTGTCCCGCGAAAAGCCTTCCTGGCCTCGGGCCAATATAATATGCAGGGCCATAACGAACTTGCCGACACGCAGATTGTGAAGGCCAACACCTTTGCGGCGCTACCAGCTGTGCCTCCATCGCTTGTACCGGGTGTGGACCCCGCGTTAGCCCGAGAGGTTTCGGACCGAATCTACGAGGAGCGCCGTCTTGAAAGGCAGCAGAAGGCCCAGAGCGTGGCAACGCCGCCTCAAGTACTGCGTGGTAGAGCCGAGTCCTATGTCACCAATGCGGGGTCGCCAGCCGCATATGGTTCGCCAGCGTACGACGCGAGGTCTAACGCTAGCTATTCACACGTTCAGCAGCAGCAGACGCCTACGAGATCGAGAGGGATCTCGCGCAGTCCCGGACCAAGCCCACAGCCGAGCCCGCGTCCGAGCCCGAACCCGAACCATACCATCCGGCGGAAGTCGGTCAGCCCCGTGCCACCGCCTGCGGAGAACCGGAGACGGTCGGGAATCCCGTTCGGTCCCGACTCGTACGATGCGTTTAACCCGAATTTCTCAAACAAGGACTCGGGAGGTCCCAGGGATGAGTATTTCGATGCTGACGGCAGCAAGATTATCACGCATGATGGCCGGGAGATTGATCCGTCAGATCACCTGCCTATGGAAACTTGGGCACCGGAGCCGGAGCCGAGGGAGAAGAGGAGCGGGTCGTTTGGCACCCAAGGTTACGACTCTCTCAGGGGGTCGCAGCCGCCTCCACCGCAAAGCGGTCGCCGCCAGCTGCGCATCGCGGGTCGACCTCAGTCCATGGCCGTCGTCCCCGCGGGGTACATGGACGATCAACCGCGAACCCCACCTGCTCCTGGTAGTGCCGGGCGTAACAGGTTACAGAAGAAGTCAAGCCGATTGCCAGCGCTACCATCCTCTACGTCCCCTGCGGGATCAAGTCCGCTGGCACCGATCTCATCGCACAATTACAACGCGGATTCGAGCGGTTTCACCCCTCCCCGGCCGACGCGCGCGAGCACGTGGGATAATTATCCCAGCGAAAACGACGCGCCGCAATACGGTAGCAGCCCCGGGAGAGGGATGGGCGGCAGCGGGCCGGTGATTCCTCCCAAAATTCCCATCCCGACCATGAGCGGCGCGCTTGTGACGACGGGCCGTAATAATGGCGGCGGGTACGGTGACGGAGACTGGGCGTTGATGGAGGAGATGAAGAGTATCGACATTGGTTCCGGAAGGTCGAGGAGGCGGTATGCCGGGTATTGAAGAAGATGATCGCCGTTGCCGGCCAGTCATTTCTTTGGTCTTCTTTCCTCACGCCTTTCGCCTTGTATACTAATTATAACTTATACATGTTTTGGGGGTTTTCACGGCGTTGGTTATTTGTTAAATCTTTTTGGTTTCTATTTCTCTTCCTTTTTTCTTCTTTTTTTTTTTTCTTCTCTCTTCTTCTTCTCATCCATCTGTTCTGTTCTCATCTTTTTGTTTTCTCATTTCCAAGAGACTTGAAGAAAATTAACTAGGGACACGGAGGGTTGGTTGGTGGTTGCGGTCAAACTTTCTCATACGTGTAATCGGTTGGGGGGTAAGGGTGGTTCGGCTTGGGGAATGTGATGATGGGAAAGTTAGGAATGTAGTAATGAAGATTTCAATGTTCCTTTCGGGTTACCTTTTTTGCCGCCTCCATTATTGCGTGGGGGTGCTTCTGAGTTGTTCGGTTAGGCGGTTTTACTTGATTTACTTTTTCCTTCGCAGACTGGGAGGCAAGATTTGAACATTCGGTGTCCAAGCAAAATGCACGGTCAACGCCTCAAAGAGCTACTGAGGCATGAGAGCGGGGTTGAGTGCGGCAGGGCAAGATTCATCGGCGGGGCCGCGTTGCGGAGCCCAAGATGCATCCGGGGATCCACTGATGAAGGGTTTCTCCGTCCGAGGAGTCTGGCCGAAAAAAAAAAAAAAGTTAAGAAATAAGCAAATAGGTTCCGGCTCGGAAGAAATGGTTGAAACGGGTAAGTGTGGGCCGGCCCGCATACAGGGAGATTCTGTGGTGTGGGCGTGTATGCAATGTATGTCTCGGACCAAAGCTGCGGCAAGAGAGCGTTTTGGGGGCGGAGGGAGAGGGGCTAAAGCAGCACGGTAGAGCTGGCAATTGGACTGGTAGTTTGGGAGTCGAGGGAGATTCTGGGTATGGATGGATTGGGGCCTTAAGGCACAGCAGAAGCAAAGATGCTCCGTTTGGAATTCTGATTTGAGGGGAAGCGAGGATTCGGCGAGGGCGAGGGGGCGAGGAGGGAAGGGATCTGCAGATGCATTTTCATGATGTATTGAGAAACCTACGCCTTTTGACGCCTTGAGACTCTTTTCGACGCTTTTCGACGCCTTTCGTTGGATGTTTTCTTTTCCGAGATGCAACATTGCATTGTTACCAAGGGAACTGCAGCGTATTGACGTCTACGAGGAACCGCCAGGCGTAGGAGCATGCATTGCACTGCATTGCACCGCATGAGAAGCTGCAAATTGCAATATTGATTGTGATTGACGTTGATTTGATATTCTCTGGACAACGGTTAGAGATCCTTACTGGGTGGAATACGTACTTCGTCACCTGGAATACTTGATCAATAATTCAATGGACTCTCAGGCCTCAACAAAGATTATTATGATCGGATGAAGTTCAATGTTGAGGCTTCTCTCCCTCTGATCTTTCTAATAATTTGAACGCGGTAGTCGCGAGGCGGTCGGTGCGTGGATCCACATCAGAACCTAAAATAGCAATCCGCACCCAACTTCCCAAGCCAGGGGTTCGGAGCGTGGCGTGGCGGATGCTCAGTCTGATCTTGTCTTGTACCGAGAACGGCAACTCAACGTCATCAAATCAACCCCGTCCCGGTTCTTTGCTCACTCTGAAGTCTCTCAAGTATGACAGCATAACCAACGCGATTGACTGTAGCGATCACCAGTGCGGCTACCCCATCCATCCACCGCGGACTCCGAGGCTGATGAGGCTGATCCTAATCGTCATCAATTAATCCATTGCATCTGACATCCCCATCAATACTCTGATCCCATCTCAGCCAGGAGCAGCATCATCATCATCATCCATCCATCCATCCACCCCTCCCCGCCTTCAGCCTCTCACTCTCTCCCACAAATCCCATCTATCCGCATCATGTCCAGCCTCAACCCAGACTCGCCCCCTCTCCTGAACTACATCCTCGGCTTCCTCCTCGTCGGCCTAGCCTGGGGCCTAACCACTCCCTTCATCCGCCGCGCAGCCCGTACGCACACCCCGCCCCCTCACCCGATCCTCGAGTCTCCCGACCTGGGACCCGTGGCGAGGAAGGTGTACGGCGCGTGGTTCGCCGTCGTGGATCTGTTGAGGAATCCGCGGTATGTGGTGCCGCTGGCTTTGAATCTTACGGGCAGTTTGTGGTTTTTCTTGTTGATTGGGCAGGCTGGTGAGTTTTCCCCCTTCTCTTCTTCGTCGTTTGTATCCTTTCCCTTGAGAGAGGAGGACAGTGTGTGAGGGTTGGATGATGGATAAACTCGGCATGCTCTGCGTCTGTGTTATACTAATGAGGACCCGTTTAAAACAGAGCTGAGCCTTACTGTCCCGATCGTGAATACTTTGGCGTTCTTATTCACGGTGTTGGGCGACTGGTGGGTCGAAGGCAAAGCTATCAGTCGAGGTATGTTACCCCGATTCGATCTCGGCGTCATCCGGGTTTTCTATGCTAACGTCTCTAGATACTGGGATCGGGATGCTTCTTTCTTTGGCGGGAATTGCTCTGTGTGTCCAGAGTAAAACGCAATGAGGGTTTCTTGACTCGCTCGTAGAGAGAGCGAAGAGTGTATAGTAGGACATAGACTTACGGCTTTTTTTTTTTTTTTTTTATCTTGAATACCTCAAAGATCAAATTTTGATACTTGCACTTGCCACTCGAGATACGCATTACGTGGAGTAATGTTGATATCCGTCGAGAGCCTGGTCCATCCCGATTTACATCGCAGCAGCCCTATCATCCGTACAAGAAGCAGCGCCTCCTCCATATACCATGACACTCGAGCCGAGTGAACTAGCCTCAGGACCATCACCAAGCCATACCAAAAGAACGTTATCTTGAACTCAATTAAACATTGATTTCCAAAACCTAACTCTATTCTACCGTACATCTCTCAAAACGATCCAGTCGTCAAATAATTGCAAGTCTCTTCTTCTCGTCCCCCCATCCACCCTCGCAAGAGGGAAGGAGAAAAAAGACCTGCTTTTCCCCCAAGATATCAAAGCCTCCTTTCCAGAAGTGGCCCAATTCGTTTTTTTCTATGACATTTTGGTAATTTTCCTTTTTCCCAAACAAAAAAAAAAGTCCTCTCTTTTGATCACACGAAAATTTGCGCCCCATCCATCTATTTGTTTGAAAACCCCGGGATGCCGTATGCAAGTAAAAGGATAAAACAGACCTGTATATATCAAAAAGGGGGGTATGGAGATGGGAATGGTATCAAGAAAGAAAGAAAAAAAAGAAAAAAAAAAGCAAAAAAGAACCCGGCGAAAAAAGAAACTCCAAAAGAAAAAGGAAAGTCCCCGAGAGGAAACCGCAGGAGCCGGCTGCGGGTAGTGGTATCTGACAGGCATAAAGAAATATTCCCAACATGAGAGGAAGGCGAGGAAATTGCGTTGTGGTGCATGTCGTTGTCGTTTAGGCTTTAGCATTAGGCGGTGCGTCGTGTCGCCAACCAGCGGAGAACACTCCTCAGACTCGGATCCTCGGCCGTCCAGCGATCCATGGCAATGTCCGAGTCCTGCAAATCAGCGTAGACATTTTGGTCGGTAATCGTAGCGAGCTCCTAGAAAATAATGAAGAAAGAAATGTGTTAGTCTTTTTGCCAACAATAGGCATTGATGACGCGGCTTATCTGCTCGGCCCGGCTCCCTGGATTTAGGGTTGGGCCAAGATTCTTCACTCAGAGAACGATCAACAGATGGAAAGGTGGGACGCTACGCACAGCTCGTAGTTGCTGGTCACACGCCCTAAGCGCAGATCGATTCCCAGAATGCGGCCTGCTCCCGTTGAGGATTCTCGCGCGGCGATCTACCCAACGTTGCGCTGCCTCCTGCCTCAGGTAGATCTTTTGGCCTTCATGTCGTCTAGCGAACGCATCCAAAAGCACCCTGTATTTGATGGAAAAAAGTACAGCCGGTCAGCAAATACTGCAGTCGGATAGTTTGTTTGCATCGTAGTTCTCGTGGTGGCTTGCGGCTGGTTGTGCCAATTTCGCCTTTTTGGGAGTGGTGGGGTGGGGGGGGACCCAACCCCCCGGCCAAGGCGAGGGGCGAAGAAACGCCATGATGTCAGGGTGGTGAGGGGGGGAAGGGGGGACATCAATTGATGTCACTTACTGCTGCAGCTCGGCTTTCTCCTGTTCCTCTGGGCCTCCTCCCACATTAGGGACGCTCGTGTCAGCCGCGCAGTTGAGTATGTGTTGCCCATCAATAGCACATTGGCGTAGAGCAGCCCAGCCCTCCGTGTAGTAGTCCTCCATGTTGTCAGGATCAACTGGCGCGGAGGCAATGTAGTACTGCAACGTCCGGAAGTCGGCTAGCACGTCTGCTACACGGATCTGGCGGTATTCGTTGACTGGAGGTCCGGAACCCTTGTTAGCGGATGATTCCGACAAACTTTTTATTTTCTTGTTGGTAAAACACCCCAACAATGGAACCGAGGCAGCGGCGGGAGAGCTCGGAGAGAGTAACACTTACGTCCGTCCATTGTTATAGGATATTAATTGCGGGAGATCTCGAAAGCGGGAGGAGGCTCGGAATGGGTTGTCGGAGACGGAGGCGGCGCAACGTGGGTAAAATACAACACGATTCGTGTGACAGAAAAGAACAAGACAGCCGGATGGTAAACCACCAAAAGAAGGAATGGATAAGACCTAAGGAAAAACAAAGACGCAGATCGTCGTTGAAAGTTTGGATGTAATCCTTGTCAAGATGTTATACCTGTAATTGGCGTGTGAGTGTTGTGTATAAGTGGGCAATAAAAAAAAGAAATGAAGTTCTAAAGTGAAGAAATCTCAGAATAGTATTAATGATGGCGATCCGAAGAAAGGAGGAATGCTCGGCGACCTCTGGTGATAGAATCAGAAGACAGCACCAAGAAGCCATCTACTCGATGAGCCATTATATCTTTTTCCGACGGTCCACGATGGACGCGATCCCATCTCGAAGGCCTCCGGCCACCAAAAGCCATAGTACGAAAGTAGTGCGCCCACGAACCGGTACCTTCCCCAAAATCGTAGCTGCTTTAGGGCGTCATCAAGAAGCCCGAGAGGAGGAACCTCTCCCGCAGGTCCATCGCCACCATTGACCAGTCAGGATGCAGACATGGCTATCTTTAGAAGGGGGGAGGTGATCTAAGAGTAGAGACATGAATGCAGCATATGCAACCAGCAAGGGCCAAGTCCACGACTCCGTGGGCAGTGGGCAAGGAGAGGCTAGTGCAGTGGAGTGTGGCGTGAGGGATTAGGGACTCCACAACTGACAGTAGGTTCTCCGTCCAGTCGGAGAAAATAATGACCCAAGTTGGGGCCTCGTAGGGCATCCGGATCAGGCCTAGCTCGTCTAGTGATGTCTGACGTTCGCACCGAGGAGTTGAGGGCTTCAGTGGAGTGGATGCTAGGGCTTGATCCCTCCCCACTCCCCGAGAGGATGAAAAAGAAACGTTGAAAAAAAGAAATAATAAAAAAAAAATAACAATTAATTAATAAAAAAAAAAAAAAAGGAGAGGAGAGGAGGGACCAATACCCTTTGTGCAAGAGGTGGTCATTGGACAGTCCCCATCTCTTGACTCGGAGCTAACAAGATTCAAAGGACTTGTTCCCACTTCCTGCGGGCCCTTCGGAGGTGCATCTGGTTCGTTCTTGCTATGATGTAGTAGTGTATGAGATTGCTCTATGGATATTACTCCATCTGCCATCTGGGCGAACGAATCCCAATCGTGCTTATGCCCAATACTTGGGACGAACCTCTCAATATGCACCCAGCTGCAGGTCGCTGCAGGACTGCAGGAGTCCATAGAAAGAGGTCTGTGGTTCGAGAGGCTGTACAAGGCAGTAAAATGAAACTTTAGCGCCAAAGCAATGTTTCCAGCTTGGACGGATCAATGACACCGACTCTGGTGAACCCCATCGGAGCCGTGTTACGAAGTATAAGCGGGCCCGACGCCAGGGAATAGGTACGGCGGGTACAGGCGGTCCCACCGAATGTGCAAGTGAGAACTGAGATGATGGTGTGAAGGGCGGACGGTGTCGTGTAATGTAGTGTGGAGCGCGTAGTGTAGTGTAGGGTAGGGTAGAGTAGGGCAGGGTGGACGCCCTGGAGAGGGTCAAAGTGAAGAGCCACAACTCGGCGAGGTTCAGTGGCTGACCAGGCCATCGCATCAGAGCCACTCGGGAGACGGAGGACCGCTTTGAGGACAGGGTCTCGCTGGCGATGGGTGGTGATTGACGGGCCATGGAGGGAGCAACTCAGACTCAGACCAAATCGACCAAACCGACACCCGGGCGGGTCCATCCATTCCCAAGAGTGAAAATCAATCACCCAAATCAAGCCATCGAAGAAAATTTTTTTTTTTTTCTCTTCTCCTCTCGTCGTGTCCTCATTCTCCCTTGGCGTAATATTTTCTGAGGGTCTGCAGGTCTTCCTTGGTATTGCTTCTCGCTAGCACGATCTTTTTCTCAAGAAGGGAGTTTCAGCTCGCAGCCTGCAGAAAGATGGACCCAGAGCAGTCCTAATCGGGAAGTAGGCTGAAGCCTTGCATGTGGAGGTGCAGAGTGTGGCTCAGCCAATGATAGATCCGAGGTGACTTGCGACTTGTCACGGTCTGTCCCGATCTGAGAGGGCCGCAATTTTTCGTTGAGAAACGAGCTGAGCCTCGCTTTCTCATGCAGCTAAAACGCACTCTCTTTTTCTCTCCCTTTGTGCCACCGATGCATTGCTTTCGTCCGAAACCTGGCCAGCGGCCTCTCAGGGGACGATACCCCCCCTTCCGCCCCCTCCCCCCCCCGAAAAACGACATTCCCTAGAATCTATCCGGCAGGACCCTGAAAAGCAGGGACCGTCGTGCTTGATCTGCGGGTGCCATGTCGGTGGATATTGTCTCGGTGGGGTGCGATCCAGGAGAAGAGGGCCTTGCGGCGAGGGCATTGGTCGAGCTCGCTTGGAGATATTATTAATTGCGGAAGCTTCAATTGATATTGCCAATGGGGAACGACGGATGGATGCGGACAAGAAACCATGGCTTGGAACGGAGAGCCGGCCTGGCAGGTCCCCGTCATTCACTGTGTATTTGCCAGAGGTCGAGAGGTTGGAGCCGACGACCAACCTCGTCGTCAGCAAAATGATAATCTTCATCGATCTGGGTAACTCTGCCTCGGCAGATTGAGCTTCCTACGGTGAGTCTAGGCCATCATTTAGAAATAGAGGAAAAAAAGAAAGAAAAAAAAAAGATCTTTCCCGCCCCCTAATGACGCGCTGCCTATCGTCCCTCTTAGCAGATCTATCTTTGCATTCGCTCCGAGACAACCCGCGGGCTCTTCATCAAATTGGTCACTAGTCAACTCTAACCCTCTTCAGTAAACACATCCCGTGCCCTTTTGCTTTTTTTCTCGATCTCCTTCCTCTCGACCTAGCCTTGCCGCCAAGGACGATGGAGGCCGATGTCCAAGTGGGGGCCTAGATCAAACCTGCCTGAATATCCTCATCGGGTCGGGGTCATCCCCATAGCTCTCTGTGGAACTGTGATTCTCCTCGTCGGCTGCCGACCATTCAGGGGCTTGTCTCCGGAATCAGACCGAGATTCTTGAACCCTTGCAGCATGCATGCTGAGAGTCCTGGCCCTCGCGCGGGTATTCTGCCTCGCCATGCATCGAAGAACAGAGCTGGACTGAGTCGTAGACTCGTATGTCGTTATAGACTTTGTCCTGAGTGAATGACCCTTGTCCAGCGGAAAAAGGGTTGCATTCTCACATTTAGATCGATCATCGAACGTTACGTTGCGTCCTGTGGCTTGCTGAAGGTACAAGATACCTCGCCGAGTCACTAGACTAGACAGTAAAAACTCACTCATATGTTCTTGGCTAAGTCAACCCCCTTAGTTGTAGTTGTTGTAAGTAGTATTATACAGTACCGCCGCTGGGGTATCGGCGTCGTTGATTGATTTGCCCGTAGGACTGGTACTCCGCAACATTTGCCCCCCTTGCTGACCCAAGACGTGCGGACTTCTCCTGCCTTGTGCCTACTTCTCATGAACCAATTGCCAATCGACACTGTATTTCAGAAGCATGTCGACATCTTCGTCACATCATTAATCCTTCTCGGCAATCGCTTGTAATCTCTCGTCGATCTCCTCCTCCGTCAACGTCCTGAACCCGGGCTCGGTTCCCTCCTTGCCATCAGCCCGCGGCCCTCCTACAATACCAATCTCGATCTCCGTCTTCTTGAAGTCCATGCTGAGGACGGTGCTCAGTGTCGTGATGGCCAACTCAACCACATCCTCCCACGAACCTGGCGCGCTGTCCTTGTTCCGGAGCTTCTTCTCCAGATGATTGAGAGCCTCTTGTTGTTTGGGGCCCGCGGCGACACCCTTATATCCGATATAGTATCCAGCCGGGTCGCACTTGAAAAGCTGGGGTCCGTACTCCGAGTCGAGAGCAATCAGCGTGGTCGCAACACCATACGGCCTCATCATGGCCTATCACAAATAGTAAGCATCGGTATGCAACATATGCACCTCTAGATATGGCGCTCCTTACCCTCTGCGTATAGACTTGGCTGATGTTTGCGAGCCTCTTGGCAAGGGCATCCGCGGGCATCTCGTAGCCATACTTATACTTGAACTCGGCAGCCTCAGACTGCGCACGCTGAGCTAGGGGCCTGGCATCGGCGATTGATCCAGTCATGACGCAGCCGACGGATGGCGAGATTTGGAAGATGTGCGAGACGGACGAGGGGTCGATGAGCTTATCCTATATCGGGTGTCAATGACGTCGTAGAATACGGCCTGTAGTTCGGAACTTAACGTACGGGGACCTTCTTCTGGGACAAGACGACGGCGCAGTCCTTGCCTTTTAGTCCCACCGACATGATATTGGCCGCAGTAATGGCTTTGAAGGCATATTCTAAAGGCGAGGGATCAGTCCTGAGCTAGGTTTTATATCGGGCGGCTCGTGGCTTTGATTCGTACCGACTTGGTACAGGCGACCCTGCTCCGAGAAAATCGTAATATGTCTATCCGATGCGGTGTCTGTTCAAATCCTTCCCATTAGTCTCATTGATGACGGCGATGGAAGCCTGACTGTAGCGACAAGAGCCACATGATGGAAAACGTACTCGACATCTTGACTGGTGTTTAGAATAACTTCGAGCTTCAAATTTCTGTATACGAGGGCGAAGTGTTCCAAAAGCCTCTTGCGTATGTTTCTTAGAGACTGGAATTGATTATGGTCGGCGATGTGGTTGAGGGGATGGGGTGGGTTTGGAGGTAATCTTTACATGGAACGCGTTGCCAGGAGCTGCCTTGAGAGCTGTGAGCTTTAGCCAGGCTGAGAGCTGTTGCCAGCAGTACATGCTCCCGCCTCAGGCATCAATTTGAAGGTGGCTGGTTCTAGACTGCTTATCTAATACAGTAGTACCTCTCCAATCGTACCCTTATCGCGCCCCTGTCCAGGACCCTAGCTTTAAATGGCCGATAAAAGCAGAAGGAAAAAAAAATCAGACTCGACAGAACTGAAAGCTGCAGGCTAGACACAAACATCCTACCAAAACAACGAATAAAACCCTCAATTATGCCAGCATTTCGTCAAACCCGATAGGGCATTCGGAAGTGCAGACTCTGATCCCACCAAAAGGGCACGTGGAAGAATTTGCAGTGGACCGACACATCGTCCTACACCAGAGCGACCCAATCACCTCTGTATGAGGATGGCGTCTTCTACCCAAAGCATGGGACGAGTCCCAGCCTGGAAACGGTTGGGCCTTAAGCTCAAGGCACCTGCGTCCCAATCAGAGCCCTCGGTTACTCCAAGCACAATTTCAACTTCCGGCACCCATTTCCGATCCTCAGACGAGGTCGATTCCTCGAAGAGGAAACGTCAACCATACAATGACACTCCCGCAACGAGGCCGTCCCTGAAAAAGCCAAGAACAGACGATAGGCAGTTCAACAGTTCTCCATTGGCTAGACAAAAGTCAGTTACGTTTGCCAGTGAGGCTTCGTCTGACAAGCAACAAGCTCCTGTGGCAAAGAGGACTGACAAGGCTCCCGCAAAGAAGAAGAAGAAGCCTGCCAAGAAACCCAAGGCCCCCAAGCTCCAACCTCCGGCACCTCCTCCAGACCTTACAGGTGCTCTGGACTATCTTCGACACTGGAAGACTTCACGAGATACGTGGAAATTCAACAAGAACCACCAGACCCAGTTGATCAACCACGTCTTCGACTCAACCCTTGTCCCTGCGGCTGACATTGGCATATTCTATGAATATATCCGCGACTTAAAGGGCTACATCCGAACCCGGTTGGTGGAGACGGCAAAGGATATCCAAGCCTCTGATATAGAGAAAGGCAAAGACAATTTTCCCTCGGGAACTTCCGATGTCGAGTTGAAAGAAGAACAATATCAGCAAATCATGTCTGGTCTGCTCCATCACGGCTCGCCGACTTCAAAGAGGAAACGCTTTGATGAGATGGAGTTTACCCAGGAGAATACCGATGCCGTCATAGCACGAAGGGTGGCTAAGCGTATGCGCGCCGAGATGGTTGTGGATGAGCTCGGCAGCAGCGACAGTGATGAGAGCACTATCACAACTACTACTACATCGACAACGGAGAAGGAACCGGTCCCCAAAGACTTGATGGACCAGTCCGATGATTCTGAAAAGAGGGTGAAATTGAACGACGGCACCACTCGCCCGGCTAAGCGCATTCGTGCTTCCAAACGCCGTGGTGCAGATCTCGACGATGATAGCAGCTCATCCGATTCTTCCTCGGAAGATGAGAGCGACGAAGAATCTGATGAGGACTCCAGCTCAGAGTCCAGCTCTAGTTCGGGGAAGAGTTCGGGGGATGATGACTCGGATGACTCTGATGATAACATGGAGCTGGACGCTGAGGAGGACACGTCGAGTAGTTCCTCATCTTCGTCCTCCGACGAATCCGACTCCGACGATGAGAAAGGCGGCCGCTAGAGGACTGCTTCACGGGTTCAACGGCCGGAAGTAAGAAGATGAATGATCGATTTTTTTTTATTTATTCCCATAACAGCTCTTATCTGGTGGATCGCTGGACACGCTAGCATACGGCCGATAGCGGTCATCAGGCGGCGTACAGCTTTGTGAACCCAGTGGCAGGAGGTTGGAGCCAGTTCCGCTCGTCATATTTTCTCCCTTCCCCTTCTATTACATGGAACGTGTAGATGATCCTCCCCTTTTGACTTGTGTTCCTCTCACTCTTGTGCAAGAGATTTCCATGAATGAGGACCAAAGTTCCAGCCTTCACCTCACCTGGCACGTACTCCCCTCCAGCATCCGCCCTCTCCCCATACTCGTCACCTGGTGGGAACTTGGGCCCATCATTTTCCACCATTTCAGTTCCTGTATTCCCTGGCTTCCTTACTAAACGCTGCGAGACTGGTGCCCATTGATGCGACCCAGGGAGGAAGCTCAGACACCCATTTTCAAGGGTTGCGTCCTCGAGAGCATACCAAAAGCCCACTGCGGAAGGGGGATCCGTATAAAGAAATGTCGAGTCCTGGTGGGGCGGAACGGCACCCCCAATCTCAGGCTGCTTGCAAATAACCATGCTTTGCAAACACTGCGGATCTTTGAAGCCCAATCCCTTCGCAATCTCGGCTGGCCGTGCTGGTTCGGTACTGGTAGCGCCGATGAGTTGAGCGAACGGCGGGGAAAGCGCGTGGAGATAGTGCCCAATTTTGTTAACCGCACGAGTTTTGGGCTTGGTCAACTGGCCTTCGGCATCGAAGGCGTCCTCCTCGAAAAAGAAGCGGATCTTGTCGCCCGAAGTAAGAAAATAGTCGTCGCCGACGTGCTCGGACTTTTCTCCGGTCGAGAAGCGCGTCATTGGGTGGTCGTCGAGGGTGAAGTTTTCGAGGAGAGACTGGGTTTCTTCGAGCAAACAAGCTACTGTCAAGGGATGCAGTGCATCGGGGATAATCAAATATCCGTCTTTGTGGAAAGCCGCGATTTGATCCGGCGTGAGGCCGCCGGACGCCGAGACGGAAGCCATGGCGATTGCCCTTGTGAAGCACTTGGGAAACTTAGGGCTGAAAAGTGGCCAGGAGAAAAAGTCAGGAAATGGCAATCGATAATCTAACGAGGAGAAATTGATGAAAAAGAGCGGCACGGACGTCACCTATGCCGCTTGCCTCGAGGTGAGCTGATCCCGCTATGCAACACAGAACGTGGAAAGGGTGTGGCCCGCTCGCTTTCTAGCGGGAAACACGGCGTCGAATGGGAAATATTGCCAAAAGCTTCCAAGTGGGTGCCTCCTCCTCTGTTTCTGCCTTGAACACCAATTCTCGAACGAGGAAACTGGTACGTACCTTTGACCGACTCGAACGCGGGGCACTCGAAGGGGGTCCTTATCTTATCGAGCATTGAGAAGGTGGGGTAGCAATAACGGGAAATTTTTTGACGCGAAAGATTTTTTTTTTCTATTATTTTTTTTTGTTGTTGTCCTCCCACTATAAATTTCAGGGTCGGGCATCAACACAACCCACAATCTTTTCTGTGGTAAAGGCTTCTCTCCTTTCGAACTGCGCTTTGGTTCAACTCTCAGTTCATCCGTTCATACCCCAAAGCGCACAGAAGCCAGATTTTCAAGATGGACAAGGCCAAGCTCATCGAGCTGCTCGAGGCCAGCCAGATCCGTGAGTCCCGTCCCTGCATCGCCGTTCATCTATCCTCCCCGCTTTGCATTTGCATATTTGTGCAGCAACTAACTCGTGCCCTCTAGCTGACACTCAAAGTGTCAAGGCGGTCACGGCCGAGCTTCAGAAGAACTACTTTTCCCAGCCCCAGTCCCTCCTCCTCTTGACCGAGGTCGCCATCACCCATGACAATGGAGGAATCCGACAGCTCGCCGCCGTCCAAGCGGTTCGTATCAGCGAGAAGCACTGGCCCAAGATCCCCGAGGAACAGAAGGCCCTTGCTAGGCAGCATATCCTTGAGGGCATCTTGAAAGAGCCCTCTGCCGGTGCCCGCCGCTCACTCTCTCGCCTGATTGCCAACGTCGTCACTCTCGACCTCGAGGATGGCCAAGGCCAGGATGTCATTCGAGAAATCATCGCTCTCAACACCAAGGACGACGTCCGCTCGCGAGAGATTGGATCGTACCTCGTCTACTGTCTCCTGGACACTGACCCGGTCCGCTTCACCGACCACATCACCCAGCTCTTCCAACTCTTCAGCCAGACCATCAATGATGCCCAGAGCAAGGATGTCCGCGTCAATACCATCAGGTCCATCGGTGCTCTCCTCATCGTCATCGAGCCCGAGGAGGACGAGGGTTCCGTCAACGCCATCCAGAATCTCTTCCCCGCTATGGTGGTTGTTCTCAAGGATGCCATCGAGAGCGAGAACTCCGACCACTATGGTGACATCTTCGAGGTTCTCCAGTCCTTCCTTGCCTACGACCCGGCTCTTCTCAACAAGCACCTCAAGGAACTTGTTGAGTTCATGATGGAGATTGCTTCCAACACACAGGTTGAGGAGGACGCCCGATGCCAGGCCATCGCCTTCCTTAGCCAGTGCGTGCACGCGCGCCGCATGAAGCTCCAGGGCATGAAGGATATTGGTGCCAAGCTCATGACCACCAGTTTGAAGATCGTCACTGAGGTGGACGACGAGCTCCTCGACGACGATATGGATGAGATGACGCCAGTCAGGGCGGCGCTCTCCTTGATCGACCAGCTTTCCACCGATCTCCCACCTCGCCAGGTTATCAATCCTCTTCTGGATGACTTCCCCAAGCTTGCGGCTCATGAGAATGCTGGCTTCCGGAAGGCCGCCATTCTGGCTCTTGGTACTGCCGCCGAGGGCTCTCCCGATTTCATCTCGACGCAACTGGCTCGTCTCTCGCCCATCGTCGTCGCTCTCCTCAACGATGCCGATGAAGGTGTGCGCCACGCCGCTCTCATTGGGTTGATTCAGCTTGCCGACGAGATGGCTGAGGAGTTCGATCCTCAGCTCGCGGAGATTTTCGAGGCCCTGCTTAAGAATCTCCAGGCCTCTACGCAGGAGAACAACAAGAAGAATGTCAGCATCATCCGCGCCGTATGCGGTGCTCTGAACGCCCTGGGAGTCGGGACCCAAGACAAGGATATTACCAAGACCTACGGCCAGAAGCTCCTCTCTCCCTTGGGCCAGCTTCTCTCCCACGAGGATCTTAGCGTTAAGGCCGCTGCTGCTGGTGCCATTGGTGCCATCGCTGCTTCTCTGGGCGAGAACTTTGCCCCCTACTTCAAGGATGTCCTCACCGCCCTGGCTCCTTACGTGAACCTCAAGGAGGGCGAGGAGGCTTTGGCCCTCCGCTCTGCCGTCTGCGACTCCATGGGATCCATCGCCCACGCCGTCGGTTCCGAGCTCTTCCAGCCTTACGTCCTTGATCTCATGAAGGCCAGCGAGGAGGCTCTCAGCATCGATAACGCCCGTCTCAAGGAGACCAGCTTCCTCCTTTGGGGAGAGTTGTCCAAGCTTTACGGCGACCAGTTCAAGCAGTTCCTGCCCGGTGTTTTCAAGGGTCTTTTGGACACTCTTGAGCTCGAGGAGGAGGAGATCTCCCTTGATGGCATTGTTGAGGGTGCCTCTGAGGGAGATGTCCTTGTCGTCGGAGGCAAAAAGATTAGGATCAAGCACGGCGAGGATGAGTCTGATGACGACAACATCGTCAACATGGATGACGATGCTGACTGGGATGATCTTGATGATTTCACCGGCGCCACCGCCATTGCGTTGCAGCAGGAGGTGGCCATCGAGGTCCTCGGAGATGTCATCTCTGAATCCTGCAGTCTCGAAGAAATCAAGACCTACCTCGAGCCTACTCTCGAGAAGCTCATGCCCCTCGCCGATCACTCCTTCGAGGGCTGCAGGAAGTCTGCTCTCTCTACGCTCTGGAGGGCTTACGCTCGCGTCTGGAAGCTCCTGGAGAAGCAGCCCTGGAAGCCTGGTTTCCCCAAGGACAACCCCATGCCCGATCCTGCCCTTGCCCATATTGCTCAGCTCGTTTGCAAGGCCACCTTGTCCGGCTGGGCCGATGAGAGCGAACGGTATGTATACATCACCCCATTTCGTCTATTTTCCCGTGTTCACTTTTTCCTCTGTTCCTTGTGGTCCTACATGATGAATACCTTGCGTTATACCCAGCTCACGCAGACGCCTAATGGCGATGGTGAGAACGCGTCTAATCTACTTCTGACAATTGTGACCGATGCTTTTTTTTTTTTTTTTTTTCAATTTCTTTCCTCTATCACTCTTTTGAGGCTTCCTAGTGGTGCCTATATGCATTGTGCTAACTTGAGCCACCAATCAGATCCGTTGTGACCGCCATCAACCAGTACTCCGCTGAGACTCTTAAGACCACTGGTCCGGCTATCTTGGCCGTTGAGGATCTCGAGAGCCAGATGGTCACTGTCCTCGCGTCGCTGCTTACTCGCTCTCACCCCTGCCAGCAGGACTTTGGCGACGAGGAGGACCACAATGTCGAGGGCGGCACCTCTGAGTTGGACTGGTTGGTCATCGACACTGCCATGGATGTCGTCATTGGCATGGCCGAGGCTATGGGGCCCGCTTTCGTCAAGCACTGGGAGGTGTTCCAGAAGCCCATCATCAAGTTCGCCAGCTCCCAGGAAGATCTCGAGAGGTCAACGGCCACCGGCACCATTGCCGAAGTGATCAGGTATCTCGGCGGTGCCGTGACCCCGTATACTGAATCTCTTGCCAAGATTCTCCTTCACCGTCTCTCCGACAACGACCCCCTTACCAAGTCTAACGCTGCTTATGCCATTGGACAACTCATCCTCAACTCTGAGAACAACAACGTCCTTGGACTCTACGAGGAAGTTGTCACTAAGCTCGAGCCCGCCCTTGCCATCACCGATTCGCGTATGCAAGATAACATCTGCGGTTGCTTCTCTCGCATGATGATGCGCAACCCTGAGCCCCCGATCGTCGCCAAGCTGCTTCCAGAGGTCGTTAACGTCCTACCCTTGAAGGAGGACTATGAGGAGAACGCCCCTATCTTCCAGTGCATCTTCAAGCTTTGTAAGTCACATTTATCTCCTTTCTTTTCAAACTCTCCGTTGCTTGCGCATATACTAATTTTCCGCTGCAGACGACGTATCCAATCCCACTGTCCAGGAGCTCACTCCCCGCCTCGTTCCCATCTTCAAAGCTGTCCTCGGCGAGCCCGAGATCCAGCTTGACGACGAGACTCGCGAGATGGTCAAGAAGATTGCTCAGCTTCTCCACCAGGCGCGGCCGGAGTTGTTCCAGTAAATAGCAAGGTTGTTGAAGTGTGGGGGACTCTGTGTCCCCGCGGCCTATACACGATGAGAATGTCTATATTTATGCCTTCTCGGTCTTTCGGGACGAGAATTTTTAATGACGGGAGATGTTGGATTGAGAGCCCGTCTATGGATGGAAAAACAAGATGATACCTCGGGGCTCCAATATGATGTAGAAAAACGGGATATGAACTCTGGTGCGGTAATGTCGGGGCCGCAGTTCGCCTTCGCAAGCAGAGCCAGGCCTCAGTGGCAGGATTTTTGATGAATTTTAAAAAGAACAAAAAGGTGGATTACGTAGGTTTTTATGAGAATGATTGGGAAGAGATGAAGGGAGGCCGGTTGCTCTTTTTCTTCTTTTCTTTTTTTATACATTTTGACCTTTTTTTTTTTATGAATGTTGAGTGATTTCATACGTGATAAAGCAGGTCGAGCGCGGGATTTCAGAGTATTTTTCCATGAAACTGAAGGTTCTTAATATTATTATATACGGGGCATTCATTCATCTCGAGGATAAGAATTTGTTCATCTTCCCCATCATGCGTTTTCGGGCCGACCTTTTCAGATCTTCGCCTCTGGACTGCAGTTCTAGATCCTCGCTTCTTCTAGACTGACTCCCCAGATCTCCGCTTGAAGACCAACCTTCCGAGCCTTCCCTTTCGGACTTACTCTCCAAATCTTCGTTGTCTTCCATGTCCAGCCTCTGCCTCCTCCCGAGGACGACGTTTGCGCGCCGTCTTCGGAACCAGACCCAGGCATACCAGAGGAAGATGACAACGGCCGTAAGGGGGAAGGTCGTGGCTAAGTATGTAGTTGCTTGGCGATTAGCGTCGCCGTTGTAGACGCTGTCCTCGAAGAATTTTGCAGAGAAGAGAGTCTAAGCATGTGTTCCCCCACGCCTTCAAGTTAGCCCTGGCTAGAAGGTGTTTAACAAAAGAAAAGAAAAAAAAGGGGGAAGAAAATCATACCGCCATAAAGGTTGCTGGTAAAAACAGCATGGTGATCAAAGTGATAGCGGTAACAGAGGTCGTGTCCTTCCAACTGGCCTCGGCAATCCGGCGCGATTCGTGGGCAATAGCCAGCGTAGAATCCTGGTTCTTCTGCGTGATGACGTTCTGCAGACCTTGGATGAGGGCGTTGGCCTGGTGCTGCCAGGCCTTGGTGTATTGGCTCAAACTGTCGGATCTGTACTCAATATACCTGGACCATTCGTCAATCAGATGGCGCACCCGCTGCAACTCGGGCGAGTCGAAGTAGCCCAGCCGATTCAGCTCCTCGTTCTCGTCCCGGAGGTACCTCAACATCCTGCTCAACCCCATCAAAGTGCCATCACTCTGCGCGAGATCAACGCTGTAGGCCACGGCGTCGGATGTAAGTATTGACAGGTCGCGCGAAGGAATGAGCCTCGCATCCCGCCTCGTCAAATTGCTGTACTGGTGAAACCCCGCCTCGGCTAAAATGTGGTCGATGATGTGAGGCGTGTCGTTCATCACGTCGTTGACTGCCATTGAAATAACGATCAGAAGGCCGGAGAGGGGGTGTTGGAACATGAGCGGGTCTCTAAATGCGCGGTCGTGGTCGTCTTCGACGGCCGTCGCCATGTATTCCAGCAACTTCACGGAGCCGGAGGGGACGCTGCTGTCGATCATCATTGCTAGGACGGTGGTCTTGGACTGAGGGAAGTAGGATAATGTTCCGAAGGGGAGCCACGTTTCGATCTCTATGTCGTAAACGAGTCTTTGCAACGGGTGGGGATCGGGGTCTGGCCTTGCGTCGTCATTGCTACTACCCTCCCGCTTTGCCTCGTCCGTTGCTGTAGTTTGCGGAGGCCATCGATACCTGGAGAGGCCGGCGAAGCCCGTGTAGCGTTCCGTAGTCTCGCGAACCGGGCCACCTCGCACGCACATCTCCTTAAACACGCCCGTTCCGCTGTTGTTGAAATCCGGTCGGTGGAATGAAAGGACCTGGAGGTTCCCACGCCCGTCTGGCTGGGGTACCTCCGCCGCGGCGGTAGCCTCGTCAAACCACTGTCTCGCCTCATCCATCGATGTCAGAGACAGGTACTCGATCGTGGGCCTGTCGAGACAGTTTTCGGCGGGCTTCAGGAGGAGAGCCGTGAAGTCTGTCTCCAGTAGGGTTTCTTGCCGGAGATCGGGGTCGGTGGGTAGGGGTAACCATTTTGATTGACGGCTTGGGTTCGTATCTGCTTTGACATCGTTGTCGGTTGCGAACGCCTCGCCGTTACTGCCTGGCGTCTGGTTGCTAATACTCCCATCCGTTCCGTTGCTGCTGCAAATCGTCTCCCAATCGCTGCTGTCCATCGTCGCCCTGTCGCTGATGCTCATCGTCGGGTTGCTCATACCAACCTTTACTCAAAGACTCCAGATATGCCCAAGGGAAATAGACGCTCTCGAGAAAACACTCTTTGTTTCTTTTCTTCGTTCGTCGGTAGGCCAACTATTTATTCCGAAAAGCCTGCCCGGCTTTTAATAACTCGGGCAGATTCCCAATCGAACTCGTGCTGGGGGAGCGAGAATCCCGGCGCTTACACAGCCTTGCGAGGACTCAGCCCCTGCACGCACTCCGCCGCCCTGGCTGGCTTTGACCGCAGCCTGCAGGGAGGTACTGGTCATGGGAAGAAAGTGATTCGCCCAAATTATAGCCAAGAGAAAAAAAAAAAGGGGGGGGGGGGGGGGGATTTTACACTTGCGTTCGTATTTGCTGATTATCCTCCACCAGGTTGCGTCCTTTCTACATTCGCTCACTTCGCAAAGTGGGAGCCTTGGATTGATAGAGAAAACTTGATATTTTAGCACCATACAAAACAATAAACCACCAATTTGCGATTCCCCGGAATCATGATATCAAATGTACACTTCCCATCCTTACCGCCTATAATCGTAAAAGCCCAAATCCGAAACGCCTATCCTACAGCCACTGAATATTTTGCAGGTAGTATTCCCCCCTAGATATATAGAGGCCAAGAAGAGGCCGATGAAAGAAAAGAAACCTCAATAAAGAATACTGGGTTTAATCGGTCGCCACAGGGTCGTCCAAGAAATCGTAGCCGCCCTCCGGAGGCAAGAGGTAGTGAGACGCCGTAAGCGCGGCGGCGCAAGCGATGGAGACGCTGGCGCTGATGATGCAAAGGAGCCAAGAAGTGTCGAGAGACCAGCCGGGGATGAGGAACTGCTCGTCGTTGTCGTACGCATAGGACTGAGAAAACATGGCGTTAGAACATCTTCGGTCTTCCCTTTGTAAAATGGACCAATGGACCATGGAGCGAGGATTCGTTCGATACAAACTCACCACAATGCCGATAATGACATATTCAATAACAGCAACACAAGTCAAAAACCCCGCCAACACCTTCCACCCAAACTCTCTCCTCTGCTTCCCGCCCCCAATGAGGAAAATGTACACGACCACCATGACGAGGTGCAGCGCCACGGCAAGGTTCGCCAGGAACCCGGCCGACCGCCAGAGGTGACAAAAGCGGGCGTTGTCGGAAGCGGAGGGGTCGCACTGCTCCTCGGTAGGGAAGGTCTGACACGGCGGATCGCGGAGGTTGGAGCAGCTTTGGTGGAGCCCGATTGTTTGGAGGATGTGGTCGCCTTTCGGGGTAGTGACGGAGTAGTAGACCCATCGGGGGAGGATTATGGAAGTGATGGTCATGATCGCGGCTATCGGGTGGTTTAAAGGTTAGCATCGTCGCGGTTGCTGGGCTTGGAGGTCTGGAGATGCGAGGACGGCGGGAGACGATGACGTAGGTAGAGAGGGGAGGGGGGACGGACCTGCAATCGAGAAGACCAAGAGGCCTACGTAAACGCCGACTCTCGTCATTTTGAATTGTGTTTATGTTTCTAATTCTTGGGGCCTTGTTCTGGTTCTCTCGCGGGTCCTTGGGGCCAATGTCCCGTGCCGTCAACTCGTGTTGGGGAGGGTGATCAGTCCGACAGTCCGAGCTGTGGAGTTCTGAGCGTGGTCGCAAATGACAGATTGACCAAGTAGCAGCAGGGCTAGGTTCAGCACAAACACAAACAGTCCAGCGGCGGTGGATTAACGAAGCACGCTGCAGGATTTCGACTTATTTCGATTTTCGGTTCCGCCGGACAAGGAGCGTGGAGGGTACGGAGGTCTGGATCGTGAGGTGTATTGTTGTTGGGCTTGTCGAGGGGGTGCTGATGGTTGATTTAAGTTGTTGCCTGAGGTGAGGTGACGTCGAGGTGGAATTGATGAAACAGGCTTGCGTGCAGCGACGTGAGTGGTTGATTCAGCGCCCACTTCTGTTTTGTGGAGTTACGGTCTGCTCCGGACGGACTTGGATGACGCTGGTCCAGACCTGACCAAGTTGAATAATCCAAGTTTGAAGGTTTATTCTATGGCCACGTTCATCAACGACACTCATTTTCGGTCCCTGGCAGCAACAGGAGCACCGGGTTTAATACATTTTCCACTGTCCCCTCCTCTCGCAACCCATGCAGTTCTACATTGATAGGCTCAACCACAAACGGTGTCACACGGCAGGAAGCAAGCAATCTAGCAAGCAAGCAATCTAGCAAGCAAGCAAGCAAGCCGTTGATGCAACGGTCCCCAGAAACGACCAATGATCGACATCCATCAATATCTAAAGGTAATCGCTATCAAGTTACCCGTCGAACGTTGATCCCACCGGTCAGAGGCCCAGGGCTTAATAACTGAGAGATATCAAGCTCGTCCCCCATGTGAATGTCGAGAGCCTTCTTAAACGCTCTGCTAATCTAACTCGGACCCGCAACTTTACGATCATTTTCCCGCGAAGGTCATGGAGAGGCTCAAAACGCCAACACTTCGAGATTCCCATTACTTTCTCTGCAGGTCCGCGTGGAATAAAAGCTGCCCGTCATGATGTCTTTCCCGTAGACCCAAAGAGTGACTCGGCAGGTATTACCCGCAGACCGACAAGATCACCAATATATCTAAATTCCTGATGCCACTCAGAGTCCTCCGCAAATCGCCCAGGAAGGTGAATCAGTTATTGATCCAATTGTAACTCAATTTGCTATCGCGAGCCTCCTCTTTCCACACCCATTCATCCCACTATTGGAGCTACACGGGGTCACCTCAATGGAAGCAAATCAAGCTTCGACTGCATTTAATATGCTCTAATTACCAGGAAAGGGGATTCTACTTCCCTCGTTCTGCACTCGTCGATGCATCCATATCGGATGGTTCATTCAGACGCAGCTCGGAGCTACATACACTAACTAGTCTTGTCATGGGGAAGGCGCAATTGCCCCGCACTACGTAACTGCAACTGCATCGCGGAATTAACTGTCACGCTCTCTCCAACTCAATCCCACCTCCGCGAACCCATCAACACTCGTCCTCACCCTCCTCCTCCTCCTCCTCAAGCTCCCCAATGCCCACCGGCACCCGATCCCCCACCAAATAATGCCCCCAACCCTCCGCCTCTTCACATCCATCCTCACGAAACCACTCTCGCTCCCCACAACAACCCGCCTCCTAACCCGCACAATGACAACCAGCACCCCTCCTCCCGGCCCCATCCTCCGCCAACCCCTCAAACTAGCCTGCGTGCAACTCTCCTCCGGCGCCGACAAAGCCGCCAACCTCGCCCGCGCCCGCACAAAGGTCCTCGAAGCTTCCGCCGCCGGCGCCAAACTCGTCGTGCTCCCCGAGTGCTTCAACTCGCCCTACGGATGCGATTACTTCCCGCAGTACGCCGAGCGTTTACTCCCTTCGCCGCCGCCGAAGGATGTTTCGCCTAGCTTCCACGCGTTAGCTGACATGGCGGCCGAGGCCAAGGTCTACCTCGTAGGAGGGTCCATTCCGGAGTTGGAGCCCGAGACGAAGAAGTATTATAATACGGCGCTCGTGTTCGATCCCCAGGGCCAACTCATCGCCACGCATCGCAAAGTGCATCTTTTCGATATCGATATCCCGGGGAAGATCACCTTCCGCGAATCAGACGTCCTCTCACCCGGAAACGCACTCACCATCGTCGACCTCCCGGAATACGGCAAGCTCTCCGTCTGCATCTGCTACGACATCCGCTTCCCCGAACTAGCCACCACCGCCGCCCGCCGCGGCTGCTTCGCCCTCGTGTCCCCCGGCTCCTTCAACCTCACCACGGGGCCCTTGCACTGGCGGCTCCTCGCGCAGGCGCGGGCCTTGGATAATCAGTTTTACGTCGCCATGTGCAGTCCCGCGAGGGATATGGAGGCTACGTATCATGCGTATGGACATAGTCTTGTTGTTGATCCGTTGGCGAAGGTTGTTGTCGAGGCGGAGGAGAAGGAGGATATTGTCTACTGTGAGTTGGATGGGGGGTTGATTGAGGAGACGAGGAGGAATATTCCTGTGTATTCGCAGAGGAGGTTTGATGTGTATCCCGATGTGAGTGCGGCCAAGGAGAACTAAAGGTGAGGATAGGGCCGGTCTTTTTGGAATGGTTGAAAATGGGGCATACGCCGAGTGCCATTGATGTATTTACGCATTTACATTTAGCATCTGGATAGGAATTTGCATTGCGAAATAGATAGTATCGACGTATCAATGCCGATGAATGGTACCGAAAAGTGACAGGTGTGAGATGAGCAGGTGGTCTCGAGGAGAGATTCTCCTAAATCACTGGAGCAGTCTCATCATATCTACGTTTAAATCTTGGCGACCGACACATTACGCGTGAATACAACATCTTGGACACGAAAGCAGGTATAGCATACCGGAGGAACTTGGAATCATGAATCTATAACTTTTATAATCCTCGACTCTGGACTTTTAGAAGTGCTTTTTTCTTTTCAGATATGCCTTCCCTCATCATGCGTCATGTCAGCCGTTGATATCCGTCAATGCCTTTTCCTTTTTTCCTTGTCTATCCCACCGATACTGCCACATCTACCTATAGCCCCTCCAAACTACCTTGGCTCTTCTTATACGTCAAGAGCCTTCTTAGCAAAGTTAGGAAGAACGAACGAAGCCTCGTGCATCTCGGCGCTGTAGTATCGGCAGAGCTTCATCTCCTCCTCGGGGGTCCACTTGCGAAGGGGCACCCTGAGGTTGCGCTCGGGGTCCTTGCAGCAGACCATGAAGCCGATCTGACCTGAGGGGTAGGTGGGGATGCTGGTGTAGGCGTACTCGGCGACGGGGAAGACCTCCTTGCAGTCCTTCTTGAGCTTGGCAATCAGGGGGAGGTGAAGCCACTGGTTCTCAGCTGTAGAAGAAGTTAAAGTCAGCAATTCAACTCGGCGTTAATGCGAGCTTGACTAAGTCGCAAACATGGTAGGGGGCAAAAGGAAAAGAATGGGAGAGGTGAAGTGGGTAAGAGAAAGAACGTTGTAGAGACTTCTCTGTGACTCATGGAATCAACCACAACGTCTTTTCCTGCCAGCTCCAGAAGTGCGCTTCGGGGGGGTATGGGTGTTGGATGCGGAAAATTAGCGGGAGTGGGGGACAGTGTTATAGGAAAATAGACGAAACACAAAGAAAGGGGGAGGGGGAGATAATCAAGAGAAAAGAGTGAGAATGCGCAGATCTGGACCGAGAGTACGACGTCATCGCGGGAAGCCGGCAGGTTCAGGTCGAAAGCGGAGCAGATAGAAGAGGGCGAGATAAGAAAGGGGCGAGACCTGGAGAAGATGAGGTATAAGCCGTTGGGCACGAAATAAAGTAAGAGAAAAAAAAACCAATATCACGATTATCGACAAAAAGAAAAGGCCCAGGACCGGAAAAGGCAAGGCTGAGCCGGACTAGAAGAAAAACTTCTTCAGTCCGGGGCGGACTTTTTTTGGTCCGCGGGGAAAAGATGGGAATGCCTTTGCGAATGGCGACTAAGCCCTCGCATTTGGAGATGCGCAACCGTCCTGACATATGGGAACGTACAACCTTGGGTGGTGATGACGCCTCCGGGGCGGAGGGCGTCATGAAGAAGCTGGAAGTAGGGCTTCTGGAAGAGGCTCTCGGCGGGGCCCTCGGGGTCGGAGGAGTCGGTGATGATGACGTCAAAAGCGTTCTTGTACTCCTCGAGGAACTTGAAGCCGTCGCCGATGTGGACCTTGGACTTGGGGTGGTCAAAGCCGACAGACATTCCAGGGAGGTATTGCTTGGAAAGGCGGACGACGGCCTATTTTGCAGAAAGTCAAGGAGTTAGATAACAATCCGCGAGTCCTGTTGCGCGTCTGGTTCAGGATGGACTCAGGGATACCTCGTCAATGTCGCAGAGGATGGCCTCCTCGACACACTCGTGCTTGACAACCTCACGAAGGACACCGCCGTCACCGCCACCGATGACGAGAACCTTCTTGGGGTTGGGGTGAGAGTTCATGGCAAGGTGGGTGATCATCTCCTGGTAGGAGAACTCATCTCGCTCGGTGGCCTGGATAACATCATCGAGGACGAGGACCCTGCCGTAGTCGGTGGACTCGAAGATGAGCACATCTTGGTACTTGCTCTTCTCGTGGTGGAGGACCTTCTTGACTCTGAGAATCATAGCCTGGCCTACGAATTGTTAGTAGGCGAATGAGGGTCGGCCCGCAGCCGTCGCCCGGGGAGGCTTGACAAGGGCGCATTCAGGGCTGGGGTGTCTCTTACCAGGCCACATCTCAGAGATCTCGCGGAACCAGCCATCTAGAGGTTGACGGTTAGTAAATCACGGTTTCTCAGAGTGAAATTGGCCAATTGGCTGATTCCCCTCTCTCTCTCTCTCTATATATATATATATATGAATTGAGGGTATGTTGTGGCGTCTCGCGCGACAAATTCACACCGAATGAGGGGCAACATGTGAAGGGCAGAAAAAAATAGCTTGAGAGCGGGGTCCTCATCGCAGAAAAATATCGTGATGCATCTGGGCACCGCAATATCAACCCCTGTGCTCGAGGAAGGGCTTCAATCCAAGAATTGAAGTCACTGACAAGGCTCCAAATGAAAGCGCGTCCAGTCGTGTGGCGTGCGGCATGCCCTTGCCAGTTTGGCACGGTGAGCACACAGACATCATCGAGGGGTATAAGAGGCTATGCGGGGCAGGCGACAGTGCCCTTGTTCGACATGACAGGGGAGAGAGAAGAGAGCATCGACTCGCCATGACGGAACTAGCAAGGGCAAGGAACAAACCTTTGATGGTATGATGGGTAATTTCCTCAGTCATTGTGTCGACGGTTTGGCGAGAATATGCTCTACGGCCGGGGAGGGTATATGGAAAATCGAAGGTGGCGGATAAGACAAGGGGATGATGGAGGGGAGGGATTATCGATGATGATCGAGACGCAACATTTTTATTCAGTTTCGGTTTGCCAGGCCGGATCAAAATTTTCAGGTGCCCGACAGCAGCCCAAGACCGGCCGAAGAAATTTGTGGGCGGCATCAGAAAAAAAGTACGAAAAAAAGTACGAAATAGTGCAGAACCCATTCGATCGAATTGACCGTTTTACCGCGACGTACTTCGCAGTGTCGTACCCGGCGGGAACCGAACGGGTCGCGGCGGGGGTTTTCTTTACCAGATTGAACGACGTAAAATTTCGAAAAGAACAATAAATAAATAATAATCAAAGGTGCTCCTGTTTACTACGGTCGTTCAATTAATGTGTCTTCCTTTTTTTTTTTTTTTTTTTTCCCATCCCCGTAGAGCCCGGGAGATAATTACTACTTCTTCTTGCTACAAGTACAGCTATATGATCAAGGGACGACCCAAGTTCTAGAAGTGAGCGGGAAGCAATCCGTGGCGCATCAATGTTGGGTTCTCGAAGGTTGAGCCATCCTTCAAGTCGTTACACTCCTCCTTCATACAACATATCCACGATAAATTCTGCGTCATACACCCACTCTTGACGGCTTCCCATGACCCCACTAAAACCCACCCCGGGCGATCAATTTGGGCATTACATTGCTAGCTCGACATACCCATTGATGCCAAGTGGGTTCTAGCTCACAAATATGGTTCAACTGGACTTCACAGTTGTCAGGATCGGCAACGGATGAGGTAAACTCGGGGGCCGAGTCGACCGAGAATGTGTCCTCCATCGTACATTCCCATCTAGTTTAGATATAAAGTCCCTGTGGCAGAGGGCCAAGTGTGCAAAGCCACTGCCATCATCTTCCTTGGACGAGGCATGAACTATCCCCTGCCTCCCTCACTCTGATCCCGCACCATCCACCCTGGCAAAAGACACTAATTAGTGTACGAAGTCCTGCACCTGTTTAGGGGGCCAACATGCTCACTTTCGTCATGGGTGGCTTGCCTGGTTAGCCAGCCCAGGCCCAGCCCAGGATGAGAAAACGGAGGAAACTATCATCTGGCCAGCCGGTTTTCAGCGGGGAGCTTCCCATTGTCTCTCTGAGTCCAATCCATGGGAACATCTCAAGCTAAAGTACATACATGCGCAGTCTACCTCCTTATATCTGCCAATGGACGAAGTATCCTAAGCCGTCGTAGTCCCCACAGCGGAATTCTCACACGAGACAGCTCAAGAGACAATCCCGTCAATTGGACGCGGAACGATCCATATGGACGAGGTGCGAACCAATATGCATCCGACGACCTCATCCCCATTTCGAGTCGTTCAGTATTGATCGCGACGCGACACCACGTCCGGAATAAAAGATGCGCTTGGATGTGGCTGGCTGCATTTTCATACATAAGGTCATTTACACGACAGGGACAGGCAGCCTGGCAGCCTGGCAGTGGCGGTGGGATTCGGTTCGGAATATATGATCCTCGGGAACGCACGAAGGAGTGTTCTAACAGGTCGAGTCAATCCCAATGTCGGGCTAACACACCAATACAAGTAATACTTGGACCCTCGGGACCGAGGGTAATATTGTTCACAGGGCTGCCCTGAATCTTCAGCTTGACCAGACTTCTAGTCCTTCAGAATCTGACCACATCCAGCTTCAGGTCCATCAAGACTCATTTCGAGAACAAGGGAGGATTGCTCCACCCCCTTTCCAAAAATAAATGAATGAATAAAATGGGAGAATAAAAAGCGAGAATAAGACATACTTCTCAGCAAGCAGCTATTTTTTCAAATGGGTCCGTTTGCCAAGCCTGAAGGCCGCCATCCTCCCCGGAACATCCAAAGCTGTGATCCGGGCCAGTTACCTTGTGGGAGCACATCTCCTTTCCATTTCGTTCAAGTCGGGAATATGGGCTCCATACCCTTTCGTGGGGACCGTCTGTGGTGGTCTGTGGTGGTGGTGTGGTGTTGCACTGACCCCTTGTGCCAAGGGCAGCTGTGAGTTCGATGTCAAGTTGTACTGCATACGAAGTGGGCAAGAACTTGGTCGTCCTGGGATAATTTGTCCAAGTGAAAGAGTATCGGCCGCTCCGCGATGTCGAATCTATTGACGTCCTTCGTAATTCGATAAGTATCTAAACTTGACGCTAACAGTCTCACAATCCTCAGACCTGGCTAGTATTCTGCACTACGGAGTATTAATCATATTTCAGCTGTAGCCCGGGCATCATTATCAGCATTGACGACCCTTCACTGTCTGTGGTGGTGTGCGGATCACCACACAAGCACACAGACCGCCCTACCCGCCGCTGAAACCTTCCTCGGGCATGCGTGCAGACCCTTAGCCTTAGGGGTGCAGCAATAATACCTCCCTTTCCGGGCTTCATCCATGGTTTGGTAGCATTGGTGTTAAACGAGTTCTTTCTAATACCTGAGGATCTGGCCTGGCGACAGGTGCTTTGGCGTCTGCCCAGCCGACTCCCCAAGGAGCGGAAGGTGGATGCAATCGAATGAATGCCAAGTCCTAGTTCAGTATAGAAAGGCGGTAGATGATAGACGATGGAGCTGGATGTGGTGTTCCGTTCTTATGTAACTTTTCTGCTGGCGGCCGTTGACGTACTTCGTGTGAGGCAATCGCCGGTCCCAGCGTCTTGCATGCAGGCGCATGATCTCGGTTGTGCCGCATAGACATGCAAAAGATCAACTGGGAAGAGTGCTCATTAGAAACTGCAGCCGGATTACGACTCTACTTCATCCCTTTGTAGATGAGCAGGGGAGTGGCCACCCACCCGGCTCGAAATTCTTTTTGGTAGATACTCATGCCTTCTGAGCAAACAACTGTCAAGCCGCCTCACCCAAAACAAGAGCCCAATTGTGGCGTCCGCTACCCACCGGGGACATGTATGAAAGTGTGAGAGCAACTTGAGCCTTTCGGTCTAAAATCCTTCAAACGGACACATGCAGCTACTCTCGTAGACACGCAGACCTTTCCTTTGTCTGTCCTGTCCGAAAAGGAAAAAAAAAAGTAAGCGTACTAATAGTGCAGGACCGTAGCATTGCTGGGATTCTCCAGCGAAACAAACTGGGGGACACGACCCGTACCTGCACTGGTGTATGTATTAAGGAGCGACTACTTGTAAACCATGAGCACTTTTTGTTGTGACTGTCGTATTTTGAAACAGTCGATCTCAAGAAATTCTGTCCTTGGGCCAGCGAGCCATCCAAGAAGATGGCAGACGAGGCGGTGAAGTGAAAGGAGTAGAGCAACATCCGTGATGGATCGCAGTGGGCCATCACTTCGGAGGTCGACCAGCAGGGTTCATCGAGGAAATCGAACGACGAAGTATGAGTATTACTTATTAGTTCATGTTACTTCGAAACATTGCAGTTGAGTCTACGTCTTCGCCCCAAGTTAGCGGGCTTTGAAAAAGCTTATGCTTCAAGGAGCTTCCATCCAAGGTCGAAACGCGCGATCCTCTAAATTTCGTAAGAATAACTCGTCGTTCTCAACCTTACCCAGGGAACGGAACGGAACCCGTGGCCGGCGTTGACGATCCTGTTCGCGTTCCTCAGAATAAGCCTAGACCCGCCCGTTAGTGTGAGGCATGGCATCGTTGCTTGCGTTCTGCAGATCGACCAGGCAGCGGAGTAACCCCCCCATGTTTTTTTTGCTGTCTGTCAATCATCTCCACGTGTGTTTGTCACTGTACAGGAGATACTTTCCTCCTCGACCGGATGGATGATCCCGCTTAGTCTCGCAATGAGCTTTCTGATGGCTTTTGCCTCATCGTCGACCTCACCACAAGCGGAAGCATGGCACGTACTCCGCATCCGGAGTTCGGGTCTCGGAGGAATCGATAATTGATGATCTTCAGCAACCTTCTCTCTTGAGTTCACCAGTTCGCCCCGTTGACCTCACTCAGAGTTTCGGCTTATGAAGAATCATTGGGCCGAAGCCCCCCCTCCAGCTAAAGTAGCAAGAACTCTAACACAGTGGGCCCCTTTTCTTCGTTTGTTCTTCGTCTTCTTTTCTTTCTTCCCTCGACGTCAGCGGAGGTGTACAATAGACGAGAAAACACTTGGGTCCCCGTTAATTTGCCAGTCCCTGGACGCCTGGACGCCGAGGGCAAGGCAAGTAATCGCCCAAGTGAGAGTTGGTACACAGTCTGTGTGTCTCCAGCTGAGGACGGCGTAAACTTATAGTTACCGCGCTTCATACACAGACGGCAAAGAATAATCTGCCGAGATTCTGCTGTCAATTCCTTTGTTTGGGGCGATTGTTGAATCGAGATGTTGAGTGGGATGAAGCAAACAGGCCAGACGATGTACGAAGTAGTTCGTCGATGGTCGGGATATACTTGGGTACATGTACTACTGGTACGGTGCAGAGTATCCTGCTTGGTTAGTATCCACCTCTTGGGAGTAAAGTTCACTCTCATCAACTGCAACTGGAGAGCTGTCATCGGGGCCAGGCCAAGCTCAAGCTCTGTCTCACTGTTGCAGATGGGGCAGTGGGCGTGCATCTTCAGACACACCGGTTCTTGCCATCAGCCGGCAAAGATGTAGTATTACATGTTCCCCCAAACGGTTTGCAGAAGAGTGTGCTCAACGGCTTCCCCTCCGGCACTCGCCTTCGATGCACGACAATGAGGAAATGAGGAGATTGGTTGACTGACCAGTCCAAACAAGCCCGGCGAGTGGTACGTGAACAAGTATAATAAGAAAATAATACTTGCGCATTATCCTGCCTTGAAGGGCTGATGGGATGGCGCCCTCTTCCCGCCTTTGTGGTTTGAAGGAATCCTTTCCAGGGACAGGGCAACATTGTTATTATGCTATAGCTGCAAGGTGGATATTAATTACCAACCAGAAAAGCCCGACCCAAGATTCCGAGCATAGCAGGTGATGATAATCGCAGGAGAGTCACGATTCGTCCGATACTTTCTCATAGAGGACGGAATGGCAGGACACAGACCCAGACAGAGCGCTCTGCTTCCACAGGTTTCTGCAACGAACGTCCTGCCAACCAGTCTTCGTCATGGGGTGTGGCGTCCGAGGATGCGGAGCGTTGCTTCCTGCTTCCTGCAGCAAGCAGTTTTTCTATCTGTGCGCAAGCCTCAAGCGCAACTATCTGACAGACCGTCACTTCGACTGTCTGGCATGAACGGGATGTACATCGTACCAAGGACTCCAAGGAGACCACCTGGTGCAAACAGAGAGGTGAGGTTAAAGCCAAGCTATCACTCAATAACCTGCCGACTAGTTAAGACGTATGAGATCTTAGCCGCCCTCACGCTCGCGGCAGACAGCCCACAGCCGGAGAGCATGTAAGCCCGCCCGCCGACTCCTGTTTGATACAGACCATTGATCTGAGCGCTGGCTTCTCGCATCCCAACCGGGACCGGAACCAGACCAAGCCCCACGCGTGTCGCCATCCAAGAAGAGTTCCCTGCTCCTCTCTTGAACCCAAGACAACGCGGCATCCCCGTCGCTGTTGAAGAAGCAACCCCTGGACTCGTGCAGCAGGCGGAGCGATGACTCCATCTGGTTTAGTCGACAGCAGCCCGTACATCGCACTCTGCAGTCTCACTCTTCTGGCGGTTTATTATCGCGGGGTGCCTGCCTCATCGGGGGCTCTACCAGGTCGCGGGGTCGTAGTGTGCCCTGAGTGGTGTATTTTTTTGTGCATTGCCAGGCCAGGTCCTCAGTGGACCGTCCCCCTCATCCACGATTTCCTCAAGTCCCTGGTTTCATCCGACCTCTCGTCAGTCAGTCAAAAGTACAAAGTCGGCACTGGAAATGACAAAGGGCGCCACGTCTTCGGAGATCGAGGAGAGACTTTAAACAGCCCACAGTAGGATCATAGGGCCTGTACGAAGTACAAGTACACTACACTACATGCTGAAAAGTGCTATTCCTGTCCGCTTCGGAATCCGGAATAATTAGCTTCACGGTATCATCTCTGCCGTGTGTCCCGCCCCCAAATGCATCCACACTAGTAACCTTGGGCTTGAGCTTACGGCGAGAGTCGACACTAGGTACAAATACTAGTAGCCTAGTACTATAGTTATGCGCACTACTTGGAGGTTCGTTCACCTTATTCACAGCCTGGTGGGGAAAGAGACATCAACTTCAATTGATGAGTGCGGGCCTGAAGCGTACGAATGTGGGTACGACAGAACGGGAGAAGGGGGCATGGCGTATGACTTCGAAGAATAGCGCAGGCAACGAAGCATGGCATCAATGGGTCAAGTAGTTAGAGCACATAACTGAGTTCTTCGATCAATATTTTGACTGTTTGGCTCACTGGTTCGCTACCCGCACTTCGTAGTGTCCTTCGTATAGGATACATCCCACCACACACCACTAATGCTTCAGTCTCTCAATTACAACTCGTACTCTAATACCACGCTAAGCTGCCATCGATACCTCCCGTTAGCTCCTCTCGTCCACCACAGTACTAGTGTAGAGGCAACCATCCCGCGGGTACAAGACTCGTGCTCCCGGTTACCTCTAGTGTCTATCCGCGACGTACGAGGTAGGTCGATATGTCGCCCTTTTGTTATTATTATACTTTATGTTCCTACCCACTCGATTGTTGGTTGAGCTGGCCCAATTCGACGCAATTGTGTTGCTCTTAGACCTGTCCTGTGCTCAGCAAACAAAAAGACGTTCGTTCAGTTGAATTGTTGCCCCCAGTGTTGCGCCTACCTTCCACTCCAACTCCACTCCCTCCCACCTTCCCACACCACACACCCATCAATCTACTTCGTACTTCGCACCCTTTCCCTTGTCCACCTTTCATCCCATTAATCCTGCAAACCTTTTAACCTTTCCTCCCACACATTCCTCCACGCACGCCCGTCCCGTTCCCACTGAGCTTCGCAGCCTCGTATCTGTCTGATCGACTTCCTGCTCACCTTCTTGTTTGGAAGGATAAGAGGCAAGCGGCCGACGGTTGCAATTAAGCCATCATCCGACATATCGCGTTCGCCCACAAGAGAGATTGTGTTTGTGTGTGGGTGCCGGCCTCGACCTGACTTCGACCTCGATCTCTTGTTCTACGATACCCCGCCATTGAATCGGTTGATCCTTTCAATCCTTAACTCTTCTCGCGAAAGCTCGACTGTACTGCACGGAACGATAAATCCCCCTGCTGCCCATCTCTCGAACACGCCCACAAGGAACCGACGTACTATTCTTCCCCCGTCTCGCGGCTCCTCCGATCTACTACGCCGATCCTACCACGTTCTCTTGTCGGCTTCTACCTGGAAGTCCAGAGACTCGCCGCCAATCGGCCACTGTCTCAATCGATCTATTTGAATAGCACCCGCGTTTCCTCTCCAGTCTTGTTTTCTAAGTTTGCGCTTTCGACGCAGCCGGAACCCTGGATTCTCAGCCCATCATGTGCTTCGGAAGCAGGAAGAAGGACGATGGTGGCATCTCTCGGTCGCGCGAGCTCGATCGGATAATCCGGCAAGACGAGAAGCGGATGGCAAAGGAGGTTAAGCTGCTATTACTCGGTAAGTTCTCTTCCTACTCCCGCCGCCTGGTTCCCTGCCGCGCCCCAGGGTGGTGTTGCCAGTGTCTTCCGCCACCTAAATGATGGCTGTTGCTGCAGCATGCTAGAGGCTAACGCATTGTGTCTTTTTCTTCTTTCGCCTCTTGAACAGGAGCCGGAGAATCTGGAAAGTCTACGGTATTAAAGCAGATGAAGTTGATTTACGCCCAAGGTTTCAGCAAATCCGAAAAGCTCGAGTGGAAACCCGTCGTGTTCAACAACGTCGTGCAGGCCTTCCAGGTTATCCTCGAAGCTATGAACGAGATGGATATTCACTTCGAGAACCCTGAGAACGAGGTAAATGGAACCCAATTCCCCATTCTCGTCACCACTCCGTGCGTCACCAGTGTCTCGCTTGTGTCATGCGCTGCGAGAGGAGCCCACTCGAATGCCTTGACGAACGGACCCTTTTGTTGAGGTTGGAGGAATCCGAATTCACGGGCTGGGATAATTCGACACGAATAAAAGAGTGGAGAGGGGGTTTCGGTGTAGTATTGGTCGGCCCGCAATGATTCACAGTTCGGCATCACCGCTTGAGACATGTCTCACCGGTGGAGACATGCATGCATGACATATATTCGTGGAGACGAGAGTGCAAAATGAGAGTGAATGCAGTCTTGTGACTAACATTTGGCGACGCTTTAGAAGAACATGGCGCACGTGCTAGTCGAACAAGAAATTCACCCCAACGAGCCATTCCCCCAAGATTTCCTCGAGCCCATCAAGGCGCTCTGGCAAGATGAGGGCGTTCGCAAGGCCATTGATAAGGGCAACGAATATGCCCTGCATGACAATCTCTCATAGTAAGTGGCGTCGCTCAATTCCTCATTCGGAAAGCGGCTTGCACCTGGACGCATGCCGCGAGTGACCCAACGCTAGATTCCAGCATCAACGGGAGGGGAGGTTTGATATTAACTTGCCCCGTTAACAGCTTCTGCGATGACATCGACCGCCTTTGGGCTCAAGACTACATCCCCACAGACCAGGATCTCCTCCGCTCGCGACTCCGAACGACGGGTATTACCGAAACCGTGTTTGACCTTGGCCAATTAACATACCGAATGTTCGATGTTGGTGGCCAACGGTCCGAACGAAAGAAGTGGATCCACTGCTTCGAAAACGTCAACTGTCTTCTCTTCCTCGTTGCGATCAGCGGTTACGATCAGTGCCTTGTAGAAGACAAGGATGGCGTATGTTTCTATCCCTTGAAACCCGCCCCCCAAAAAGGAACACGAAGAGGGAACATAATCGATTTGATATAAATCCATCTGTTGTGACCATTCTTACTAACTAGAAATTTGTGCCACAGAACCAAATGAATGAGGCTTTGATGCTCTGGGAATCGATCGCGAACTCGCATTGGTTCGCCAAGTCGGCGCTAATCCTGTTCCTCAACAAGATGGATCTGTTCAAGGAGAAGCTCTCCAAGAGCCCCATTACCGATCACGGCTTCACCGACTACCACGGACCTAAAGACGACTGGAAGGCGGCGAGCAAGTACTTCTTGGAGAAGTTCCGGGCACTAAACCGGAATAGCGAAAAGGAGATTTACGGCCACTTCACGAACGCGACAGATACGAATCTGCTGAAGATTACGATGGGATCGGTACAAGACATGATTATCCAGCGCAACCTGAAGCAACTGATACTTTGAGCCTAGTTTGACTTGACGTACTGCTTCCTTGATAATTACGAACCATCCGCTTCTTCCTGTTTCATATCTTGGGTTGCCCGGCGTTGGCTTTTCTTGTATATACCTCTACAGATATCCAGGTTCACGTCTCGGATGGCAGCGCAGCATTTTGTCGGAATTCGCGAACGGCCGAACCGAACCGATTTTCGACCGATCACGAGATTCACACTCCCCTTTTGTTGCTCGAGAGCTCGGTCACCGCCATCACGGAGACACCCATCTCTAGCAACCTACCACCCCGCCCTTCTCGCAAAAGATTCTATCGTGTGCTGCTCCTCTGGCCTCATGAACGACCGAAACCCCTCCCCAAGGCTAGGAGAGCCGGCCGTATCTGCCATTCCGTGACTTCATTCCGACCATTACACACCACCGCATACCACGCCCTTCTACCAGATTTCCTAGCCTGAATTTTATGTACTTTCAAATTTGTTTTCCTTTGTCTAACATCTTGACGAGAGAGGGATCTTGGTTGTCAAAAAGGGGTTGGAAGCCCCGCAAGCCACGGAGATGCCGGCGTTTTTGACATGACTTGTGGGGATGATTTAACGGAACGAAGGCTATGCAGGCATTCGACAGATAGATATCCCGACATGACACGTGAAGTGCAGCGGACAGCTGCGTCTCAACGAAAGCTTGCTGTTTTTTAGCGTAACGGCGACGCGGTCGGTTCTGGACGCGAGAAAACGAGCAGTGACCTAGCGCGGGTAGTATAATGGCCTGTGTGTGCGGCGGGACCCTGTGTAAGGAGCGGATTTATGGAGCTTGTTTTTTCCTTTGTTTCTTTTTTTTTTTTTTTTTTTTTTTTTTTTTTTTTTACTCATGTCGAAGCATATATCTTTGTCGCTTATTTTAAAGGGGAAACCAATCCTCTCTCTCATGTTCCACCACGCTAGGCATGTTTAACGTTGTAAGAGGGAAAGGAAGCATGAATCCTGTCGATGTCAGAGTCTTTATTTTTTTTTTTTTTTCTTTTTCTTCTCTCCCTTGGAGGGGTTAAAAGTTTCAGTTGGATGGGCGAGGAAGCGGAGGTTTTTTTTTTCTTTCCCCTTTGTTGATGTCGGTTGAAGCATGTAAATGTATTGGTAGATGGAATGGACAATGCCTCTTCGGATGGCTTTTTATTTACGCTCATGGTGTCTTTGCGAGGTTGAACAAGTTTCATCTTGCTGCGTCTCGACATATAAAAGACGAGTGGCTCTAGCATATGCAACCAAGGCGGCGCGAGGTATATTTGCATGGTTGGAGGGGAGGGGGGGAATGTAAGTATGATTTGATCTAGATGCAATGAAAAGTAGGAAATCATGTGTATCGTACATGCTAGGAAAGGTGCCTAAAACAGAAGAGTGAGAAAAAGGAAGGAAATAAGAGGGAGGACAACATGCTAGAGAGAGAGAGAAGAGAGAGAGAGACGGAGAAGGCGACGAGAAAATAAGTCCCCAAGGTGAGCCTTTCTTTCCCTCTCCTTCCTTCCGTCCCTCACCGAACGGTCATGTTGGCACCGCCATCCCTAAACACAAGCATAGCATGCTTCCCCCTAACAACCTCCTCACCATTAACAGACCCCCTATGAATCCCATCAGTCCCCAACCCCAAATCCCTCAGCCTCCCCGTCGCCACATCAAAAATACACCCATGAACCTGCAAGCCCCTCTCCCGAATGGCATCCCTCACAACCCAACTAGCCATCAACGTGGCCACGCCCGCCTCAACATTCAACTCGGCGACCCTCACGGTCCTCGAATGATCATCCCGAATGGCCGCCAGCTCCTCCGTGTGGGAGGAGGCGATGGCCTTTAGCGGAGTGAGCCAGGTGTCGAGGACGCCGCCGACGCGGGAGGCGGAGGAGAGGGCGGCGGAGGAGGCGGGGCAGGAGGAGTGGCCGCAGAGGATGATGTGTTTGACCTTGAGGTGGGCGACAGCGAATTCGAGGGAGGCGGAGGTGTTGATGTCGGTGGGGGAGATGATGTTGGCGAAGTTGCGGTGGACGAAGACGTCGCCTGGTTGCAGGCCTAGGATGGTGGTTTCGGGGATGCGGGAGTCGGAGCAGCCGATCCAGACTGTGGGGGAGGGGTTGTTTGTCTTAGTGGGTGAAGAGGGAGAAGGGGGGGGGAGAGTAAGAAAGAGAGAGCTTGGTGGAGGAAAAGACGTACGGATGGAGGGGGTCTCGCCGACGGCTTGGTTCTTGAAGAAGGCGGGGTTTTGGTGGGCTTTGTAGCCGGCCCAGGCCTGGTTGGAGCTCAGGGCGTAGTGGTACTTGTCCTCTGCACAGGATGTGTTGTTAGTCTTGAAGCTGTTCCAAAGAGTTGGCGAGTAGTTTTGCTGGCAGCTTACCGCCTTCGTAAAGCATCTTTGTTCGGGTTATAAGATTACGAGTAGAGTAGGATGAGATTCGACTGCTGGGGGTGTGGCTGGCAAAGCTCGGTTTTGCACTCTCTAGGTTTACCGTCGTCTATATAAGATGGGGAGGTGATATGATCTCGCCGGGAGTCGGGTATCAAGGAACGGGCAGAGAGCAGGGAAGCAAGACGAGGCGAAACGAAGGAACAGAAAAGGAAGAGATTGTCTATTGTAATACTAATATAGGAAGAGGAGAGGAGAGAAGATCACAAGGATGGGATCAACGCGATATATATCTACAGATTGAAACAAAAGGCCGAAGAAGGGATGAAAAAGAAGTTCCTCGCTTTTTTAACACCGCATCGTTATTGCCAGGGATCAAGCTTGCTCGGTTCCGGGAGTTCGTCTGGGGAGGAGGGTCCGGTCCCTGACAGCGCGAAGAGCACAGGGGGGGATTAAGGGAGCAAGGGGATAACATGAGGGTTAAAAACAAGAGGGTGGGTTGCAAAGACCCAGGAGATCTTCCGTGGGTTGTGTTGGGTCAAGTTCGAGAGGTGTTTCATCTTCTTGAATAGGGATCGTGGGGTGTAAGTCGGTGGTGGTGGTGGTGGTTGCGGCGGGCACTGATGATTTTTGAAATTCTCTATTTTCGTCACAAGATTGATTAAATACATTATCTTGGACAGATGAAAGGCTGCAGGTACAGCAGATACAGCAGATACAGTAGGATCTTGCAGATGCAGAAGAATTGATGCAACTTTGGCAGTTCAAATACGTGGGTGCAGTAGAACGACGAAGGGGCGATGACCCGACCCAATGTGATGGATAAGGCACAGTCGCAGTCGTCCTGCCTCGACAATACTGCCAATTTAACCCGAATGAGCTTGATAAACCCCTCCAATATCTCCGTGGAGTCTTCTTCCTGCGGAATGCGCTCTGGCTCACTTCATGGTGATGGCTTCTTGGCAAGGCCAGAGAGATGCCGTCATGAAACAGATTGCCGCTGGTCCCCTTGCTACCCCAACCTCGAATCGCTCATACTCATCGACAATAGCCTATAATATCCCTCATCTGAACCAGAGAACCAGAACCAGGGACTGTCTCGAGACTCATAAGTCAATCCAGCTCCCGGTCCGACTCCGTATCGAGCTCCGTACGGGGTACGGGCAAGGGGCAAAATGGAAAAGAAAAAAATCAGGGTCTCGGATCTGTTAAGGGAGCCCCCTGCCAATAGCAAATACTAAGAAAGTACAAAGCGAGGACGAGGACAGCCTTGCCTCTCCGTCTCTTTGACCTTCTCCCACTGGATCGCTGCACGAAGATGACTCTCTTCACACTTCCCATGCTGTAACGCCACTGCTTCAGATGCCTTCAACCAATTAGCCTCCGGATTCCCTACCCTGCTCGATCGGGAGGGTTTCTTCCCTTTTCTTTTTACTAGAATTTTACCTAATTCAATATCAACTCATCCGAACCATCGGAGCTGAGTATCATAATGTTGCGCTGAGTGTCTTGAGGCAGCAGGCAGGCCCGAGATGGACTGTCCCAGCTGCGGTACGAAATCATCACCCTTATTTATTTTTCTGCCATTATTTTCTTCTTCGTCTTCTTATCTATCAATGAATGAGAGGTTAAGGCGAGTGGCAGTCTAGTTGATACGAGAATGGAGGGCTACGGAGGTGGACAGGGACTTCTAGAGTATTGCCCTTTTCGCTGTGTCAGCGACGAATAAAGGTATTCGCAACGACATCAAAAGGTCCCCGAAGTAATTAGGATTTTCCCGACGACGAGAATTTCATGTAGAATTTATTCCTCCTCCAAAAAATTAGAAGATTGAATATAAACAGTGTGAAGGGGATCAAAAAGCGACTTGGTCGCAAACGAAGATCAAATCAAATCCAATTCGCCAATTCAACCAGCGGAAATCTCAATTTCACCCGCTGCTCCCTTGAGACAACCCAAAATCCCGAACCTCACCCGGAGAAACTCACCCGCTCACGGCACCTCACAAACCAACACCTCACAACATCCACCAACACCAACACCAGCTTTCATCCGCTCATCCCGCCCCTTAAAAGCGAGCCAGAGCCTTTCGTGAGGGCATGTTGGCCTGCCGAACCTCACCGCGTCGGCTGTCGGCCGCGAGCTGGAGAGCGGGATTCCGGACATCAGCAGCTTCACCTGCCTCGAAACGCGCGACACCGCCGAGGCCCATGTAAGAAGCTCCTTTTCTCTTCTTTCTTTTTTTCTTTAAAGATATTTTTCGCTCCTGTAGTTTTTGTGGTCCTGCGTGCGTTGCGTTCAAACCAGGATATTGGTCGATCATATGAGATCCCGATTATTATTTTTGACAAGATTTTTTATATGAAATTCCAATGAGCTGATCTAACTCCATCTACAGACCCAAACCAAAGCCTCAAGTCTCCAAACCTCCCAAACCCACTCCCAAGCCTCGGCCTTACCCAATTCCCTCCTACTCCCCTTCCCCCAGTCCTCCCCCACCACCACCACCCCCAACCAACAAAAAGCTCATCACACCCTCCCTAGCAGGCTCTCTAGCCCTCGCCGTAGTCTTCGGCTACTTCGTCTCCGTCTCCGTCATCCCCCGCTCCCCGACCCAAGATGGAGATGAACCCCTCGTCGACCCTCTCACATCGGGAGGAGGAGACCGCGCGGGGACCTGCTGCGCCGTGCCCACGGGCCGCCCCACGTCCCTCGCCGGCATCTCGGCCGCGCAGTTCGACCGCGAGCTGGACTACGAGGAGTCCAAGACGGGCGTGACGAAGTTGAGGGAGAAGTTGGCGGGGAGGGCTGTGGGGCATGTTCTTGAGGTTGCTGTCGGGACGGGGCGGAACTTTAACCTGTATAACTGGGAGAGCCTCGCGGGTGCTAGCACGGCCAAGAACGAATCAACTCCAGCGAAGGGAGGGAAGAAAAAGGACGCTTCGCTGCCGGAGGCGGAGGGCGAAATGTTCTCGTTCACTGGCCTCGATATCGCAAAGGACATGCTCGACGTAGCCTCCACAAAACTCACCAAAAACATCCTCCCCGCCCTCCCTTCCACAACCCCCTTATCCACACCCCCCACCGTCTCCGTCCTCCGCAACGACGCAGACGAAGTAACAGCCGGCGCCATCTCCTTCCTCCCCAACGACGCCATCCGCCTCGTCAAGACCAACGCCCTCTCCTACCTGCCCCCTCCTCCGGGTCCCCCCTCTACCCAAAAATACGACACCGTCATCCAGACTTTTGGGCTCTGCAGCGTGTCCGACCCGCGCGCCGTGCTCTCCAACCTCGCCTCGGTGCTGAAGCCAGAGACGGGAAGGATCATATTGCTGGAGCATGGGAGGGGGACGTGGGGGGTTGTGAATTGGTGGTTGGATAAGCATGCGCCGGAGCATTTTCGCAAGTATGGGTGTTGGTGGAATAGGGATCTCGAGGGCATCGTGAGGGAGGCCGCGGGCGGGAAGAGTGTTATTAGTGGCGGGGGCAAGAAGGGGGCGGTGCCGGGGTTGGAGGTTGTGAAGATTGAGAGGCCGGGGTACCAGGGCGGTACGGTGCTTTGGATTGAGTTGAAGGTCGTTGAGTGAGAGAGTGATTTTGGGAATGGTGAAGTGGTGTAGGATCATGCATGTGTATCGATGTTTGTGTACAACAATCTAAGTATGTAGAGTGGGCATTTTTCGAATACGGAATAGACAGAATAGACATCTCCATCAGTCACTGCCAGGAAATCAGATTAAAACATGGAATATTAACAAGTCGGCCGTTTAAGCAGGTCATCAATTTGATATCATTACTTTTTTTACTCACTTTCACCCGTGCCCTCTTCCCTCTGCCTCCCATTCACACAACGCGATATAGAATACATGCATCCAGGCCTTCTTCACCCTTGCTGGATATGCTTCGCTCACCCCCGTCTTTAAACTCCCCCAAGCTCCTAAAAACATTGGTCCCCCATCCCTTCATTTCATCAACTCCATACTCCCAGCTCGTCGCCATTAAACCGAAAAAATAACAAAGATAAAAAAAAAAGCAGCTAAACGGCGCTTCCTGACTATGAGTATGAGTGGAATAAATAAAGAGGCCCCTTTTATCGAGCACAAGCACACCGCACGCCCCCGAATCCGAATCCGAATCCCGAAGCCAAGAAAAAAAGAAGAAAAGAACAGAGGGGGGTGTTGTAGTAGAGTAGAAAGATTAAAAGAAAGACAGAAAATATCGAGTTGCGAGAAATCTGGAAAAGAGTGATCAAACTTAGATCGAGTGAGAGTCTCAAAACTCCTTCGTTAAAAAAAAAAAAAAAAAAACAAAACAAAACAAAACGCCGCCGAGGATATCGAGAAGTGGTACAATAGGAGAAGTCGTCATTATCTCCCGGGTTGCTTCTGCTTTTGGTATTCCGCCTTCTCCGACGCTCGTGTATGAGTCCAAAATCAAGGCCGTAGCTGGTCGCCGCTGCGTTGGGCGCACTTTTTTGTATCCAGTCTCATTGCTTTTGTCTTCCAATCTTTTTCCTTTTTGTTTTCCATTCTTCTTTTTGTCTTCCAAACTCCAAGTTTTGGACCTTTGGTATCCTTGTTTGCCTTTCATTCGTTGATTTTGTTTGTTTGCTTGTCCCGCTCTAGCCTCTAGTACGAGTCCAAAAGACCGTCAAGCTCCTCGAGCTCCATCGTCTCAGGAGTCTGATCCCAATCCAACAACCTCCCAATCTTCACCCAATTCTCATCACCATCCTTCTTCAGCCCGCCCGCGAACGGACTTGCCTTCATCGTCGGGCTCACCACCATAGCCATCGAAGCGAAGCTACTCGAATTAAACCGGTAGTCATAAAAGAGCGAATCGAACTTGGACGTCTCGGAGTCGAGGCCGAGCGTCGAATCATCGTTGACGTCGTCGAGAATGGTAATGGTCTCCTTAGCCATCTTGCGCTTCTGGAGCCCGTTGGCCGTCTGGGTGAACTCGCGCTCGTCGCGTTCCAGCGGCGGGGAAGTTCCGCGCGAGCGGCGCTCGCGGTCGATGATGAGGCTCGCGCGCGAGGAACCTAGCGACGCGGGGTGACTACTGGCGAAATCTTCCTCGTCCATGTCGTCGAAGAACTCGGGCGACGACAGGTCGACCTCGGGGGAAGGGCTGATGGCTCGCCGGGCGATGGTGTCGGAAATGATCTCGGTGTCGTCGATGATGACGTCGTCGTCGGAATCGTCGATGCGGTCGAGGGTCAGCTCGAGCTCGAGCTCGTCATCTGAAATGGATGGAGATGTGGTGACAGGCTTCGGAAGGGTGAAGAGGAGGGGCTGGGTTGGGAAGGGTTGGCGCGGCGAGGTGGTCAGGAAGAAGTATGTTCGCCTGGGATGTACTGCTTCGAGTTCCTTGGCGAGGGGGCATGGCGACGATTCGGTCCAGCAGGTCCGCTTCAAAAAGGAGGCGAGGCGGGATGAGATGATGGCGCAGGGATTGGCGGAGCTAATAAGGAGCAATGGAATGTCAGCGATCGTCTCATATACAATGGCAATGGCAATGCCAACGATATGTAAGAGTAATGAGTGATGTGATGTGGCTCCAACGGCCATGTGTCGGAGTGCTTGAGTGAGGAAGGGGTAGTAACGTACTGCTGAACGACTATCAACCGTTGAGCCAAGACTGCCGCCAACTCCTTTACCAAGTGCGGCCTGTTTCCAGTAGCCTGGAGCTGAGCAATCACCGCCTCGACAATCTCATCATTGATTGCCTCAGAGCTCTCCTTCTTCGCAGCTTTCGTCGTCCGCCGCGCTCCCTCAGCAGGAGCCGCATCCCTACTAGGCGAAGGCGACAGAGAAGGTGTCGGGGCCGGCGACGGGGGCGGAGTGTGTTCGTATTTTGTGCGGGTGGCGGGATGCGCCGAGGCCGAAGACGGCGAGTCGTCGTTGTGCGATCGTTTTAACCTCTTCGTCTGGGGGTATTCTGAGGGAGAGGGAGAGGATTCGGGTCGAGAGGCATTGCTGGTGCCTGAGGAGGCAGTGGGAGTAGGAGTGGGAGTCGACGAGGTCGAGGTCGAGGTCGAGGTCGAGGCGGACGAAGCTCGACTTGCGGCAGCAGCGGCAGCTCGGGCGGCATGGGTCATGGGAACGTGGATGCCGAGAGAGGGCAGAGAGAGAGACTTGCGCCTGGTATTGTACGGCATTATGGAAGATATGCTAGTGTGTTTGGGTGATTGGTCTTTCTTTGATTCTATCACAGAAGAGAGTGCGAGATGGGTTGAGACGTTGTTTGTTTTGCGTCGGAACCTGCGGGAGCTGCCTCGTTGCCTACGGAGGGAGAGGGAGTTTGCTGCGAGGGGGAGAGAGAGAGATTCAAGGTGGGACAAGAAGCACAGCAAACGGCAGCAAATTGGAGATGGATGGTTTGCGCCTCTACAATAGTAACTGTACTACTTGGGATTAGGCACGAGGAGGTTGGCGAGGGACGGTCGATGAAAAGAGGGGGGAGAGTATGGGAAAAAGAAACAATGGTGATGGCTAGGCGACGAAAGGGAGGATGGAAGAATAACAAGAATACTTCGTAACAGGAAGAACAATAATAATGAAGAAGGCGGAAAGGCAAGGGGGGAGCTAAGAATTGAGGATGGAACAAACGGGCAGGAACTACTCTACGAAGTGGACTAGGACATTGGGACTGGGACGGGCACCGTGGACGACGAGGGTGGGCGAACTTTTTTTTCCCTTCTTTTTTTGGTTCCTCCTCGTTTTTTCTTCTTTTTTTCTCCGTCTTCTGATCTCTTTTTACGGATTCCCTCATCGATGATTGGCTGAAACTGCCCTCCCCACAACTGCAGCTTGACTTTTTTTTTTTTTTTCCGTTCTCTTTTTTTCTTTTTCTTCCCTGTTTTACTTTACTTTTTTTTTTCTCCTTCTCCACCTTTATCGATTATGCCCGGCTGTGACTTCTTGGCGTCTGTCACCGCCTTTTTTTCTTGCCTCAAATTATCATAATAATAAGCCGCATCAATTTGAACCTCAGGTCTTCTTTCTTCTTGCTTGGCCCTTCGCTTCCTATTTGTCTGTGTCTCCCCAAGAGTTCTGCAAATCATCGAATTTGTGCGATTGTTTGCTTCTTTTTCGTTCTCGTCGGACTTGCACGCTTTCTCTATTTTTAACCTTTTCCATGTCCCCTCGATTTTACTTTTACTCTTTTCTTTTCTTTTTACTGCTGTTCCTGTTCTTTTACTATTTTTTTCCTGACACTCCCGCCCGTACCGTTTCCTCCGGTCGCAATCTTCCTAATTCGTAATAGCTGCCTCATCTCTGGTTCACCACACAGACTCCAAAGCGGGTCGCCTAGGGAAAAAAGATACTTGAAAAGGAAGGGAAAAAAAAAAAAAGAAGAAGAAGAAGAAAAAGAAAATAAGAAAGAAAAGACACCAATCCAAAATACCACCGAAGCTGGCCTGTCCTGACCAGTGGGCCATCCAACTGGACGGCTTCCCTAACGACAGGTTTCTGGGTTTCGCTTTGCCCCGCCTTGTCTTGCCCTGTCCTATCGAAACGTTTTAAGTTTTGCTGTTGCCGAGGTTTTTCCCGCTAACATGTACACACTTCGTTAATGCACTCTAAGCACAGGAGTGGATCCTACGGTATTAGCCCCCTATAATGTACATACGTAGTGTGCTTCGTACATACTAATATGGACATTCCTTACCAGGCAACTGGTCGTTTGTCGGTTAGCTCCAGAGCTGGTCCGGTGGTCCCCTGAGGCTGCCGTTCCCTGTCCTTCGATTCGGTGGGGCTGGGAGTTTTAGGGATGATTGATCAGGTCCCTTGGCCAAGGTCGAGACCTTTCAATTGAGGATGGACAATCCATTGATCAATTCCACGTCGCTTGCTAATAATCGATAATCGCCTGACGACCACATGAACATTCCCCCAAGCTGAAGTAGTGCACCTCAGTAATTGATGCTACTTCGTAGTGAGAGAGCTGACAGGACCCTCAAAAGGTTACTTCCCAAGCTCCCCTGCCTTCCTCAGCCCAAAGCTTCCGAGAGATTGAAGAGACTGCGCTACTCGCTAATAGCCTTTGCCCGCTCACGTGCAAAGCTCGCCTATTAGACTGGAGCTATGCATCAATTGATGATGGAAGAGGATCCATGGACGCACGAAAGTAATCTAACAATGCAGGCTTTCTCGATTGCTTCACTCACCACTCCACTTCATGCTCAGTACACACTAACATACACACACACTACGTCGTAGATTACACTACGCTAGTGTAGATCTCCCTAAAAATCCTTGGTGTGCGATGTCACCTTTGCCTCGTCCAAGTTCGTCGTCTCCACTTCCACTTCCAGTTCCTGCAGACGCACGAGTCCACGACGCACCAAAGCCCCAAACTACTACGATTGGTCGCGACTCCAAAATCCCTCGATTCAACCAATCCTCTTCGTCTCTTTTCTTTTTCCTCCTTCCAGCTCCGGCCTCAGCTTCTCCAATTCCGAGCTCTCGTTTTTCCGAATTGGATCTGAATCTCTTGATTTCCGTCTTTTTTTCTTTTTTTTCTCGTCCTTCCCTTCTATTCGCTCACAGAACATCACCCCATGCCATCATCCCACTCAAATTCCCAATCACGATCGTCGTAAACTTGGCTTGGTTCGAAAACGAGATTAGCAAGTAGAGTAGCTTCTTTTTTTTTTTTTTTTTTTTTTTTTTTTTTTTTTTGCTTTATTGCTTTGTTCGGACCACCACGATTATATCACGTACGAGGATAATACGAAGCATTGTACAGAGAGAAGGGAGAGCGTGGCAGTATGGGGTAGGACACCGCATCATGTCGGCGGACAGCAAAAAGCAAGGAGAAGCGCTCCTTCGACGGTGGTACGAAGCGAGCCGACCCACTGATACACTTGATGCGAAGAGAGGGAGGAAGAGATAGAGAATCATGCGAGATCGTCACTAAGGTAGTACACTAGTGTACAACAATGATTATAATATGAGGCCGAAGGGGGGGCCGGCAGCCCATAATAGAAAAAGGGAGCTCTGTACGAAGTAATACCAGGCATCCTCGGTTGTGCGAGATAAGCCCGAGGATGGAAGAGTAGGACACTGACCAGGCCAGGATATAGGGAAGAGAAAAAAAAAAAAAAAAAAAAAAAAAAAAAAAAAAAGAGACCAAGTTCTGCCGCTTCAAACCACCGCGATCTAGCTCCCGCCCCGGCGTATGCGTCCGCCAACTTACAGTAGACGATTCTAAGCCTTGATATAAATCAACACATCAGGCCTGGGACAACCCGGCCAGGACAAAAAGAGATAATCCATAGACTCAAGATTAAAAAGAAAACATACTTTATGCTATTACCGCTTTGCGCCATAAACCCTCCAATTCTAACCATTATCTTACATTCGTACATGAGGCCACTTCCTCCTCGCTCCCTATCTACTTGTTACAAAAGCTGCCAATTCGTTCAAGTCCGCCAACTAAAACATCAAAGGGGCTTTCCATGCCTCATTTCCCTCCCCCCCCAATGACAAGCAGAGCCCATATCTGTTTCCTCCATTCGCCGTAGATGCGTTTTGTGTTGTTGTTAATTTTGTTTTGCTTAGAACCATCCGCCCTGTATTCTTCGCCTTCTTGAAAAAAAAAAAAGAAAAGAAAAGAAACCCGATGGATGCCGATTGTAATCGAAAGAGATAGAGAGAGAGCTTTTGTCGGCTACCATCGTTCGCCGCCATAGGTATATCCTCCGCTTTTTTTTTTCGTCTGCAATGCGTACAAGAACGTTCAGAAATCGTCTAACCATCCCGCGAATTACGTCATTATATTTACTGTCTCAACACAGCCATGAATCGATCGGCCACCTGGAGAATCATGTTAGTCGTCTCGTTTCTCTAACATTTTGTAGGAGAGGGGGGAGAGGAATGATTGGAAGAATAAAGTGGCTTACCTCGGGCGCCGACTTGATAAAAGGTTGCTCAAAGAACATGTACTTCTCGTTCTTGAGAAGCTCCACTACCGTAACCATCAGTCCCCAAGGCTGAGGCCAGAAACCCACCAGCCGCTCCAGGAGGATTCGAGTAATCTGCTGTCGAACCTCGTCCTCCTCTGCATCCGTGAGGTCGTGTCCGAAAATGTCGAGGAGGAGCTGGCCAAAGTAGTGCGTGTGTGCGTTGGGGAACCGCAACTGGTTGACCATGGAGGAAATAAGGTAGTAGCGGCCCTCGGGGTTCAGCTCGCGCACGAGAAGAGTAAGGATTGTTGTGTCCGACGATCCGGGCACGTAGACCGGTCCGCCCTTCTGCTTAGCTCGATCCACGGCGAAGCCTGCAATGTACGTGGGAATGGCCTCGAGGGCGGGCAGATCAACAGAGACGGTCACGAACCCGAAGCTCGTTGCCACCTTGCCGGAACTGCGCCCGATCGAGTGAATGATATGCGCAAGCACGCCCTCCGATGGGCCGTCCTGAAGCGCCTGGGTGAGCACGTCCAACACTCCGCGCTGTTGGAGGATCTCAACTACTTCTCGACCGATAGCCGGGGTATCCGCGAGCTCGTCAGGTCCAGCTGCCTTGAGGCCTTGCTGCGGAGGTTCCGGGATCTTTTGCAGGGCGGGCGGTGTCGTTGCTAGAACCGTCGCGAAGAGTTGGGCGCAATGCGTGGGGATGGCCCAGCAAAGCTGGTTGTAGTTGGCCGAGACGTAATCCGCGTAGTCATGCTGCAACACAACCAGGAACTTGAGGACTGACCTGTACACCTCCTTGGATGACGTCGACAGCTCGGGTACCTTGAGCTGGTCACCAAGGTAATCGAGCATGTCGCAGATCAGTAGAGTCAGAGGCGTCCAGCCAGCTTGGCTCTCCGTTCCGAGGATGGCCGGTAGGAAGATGCGGTGCTGGATCAACGACATCCACCCGTACGTGAAACCAGGCACGAATCGGGGTCCCAAATCTCTGAGCGCCACGGCAAATTTGATCACCATCTCCAGTCGCTCGGGGGCTGGCACATGGTCGACGAGGCTATCAATCTCGTGAAGGATCATGGACAAGAGGCGGAAAAAGGCGCGCTGGTTGAAATGCTCACCCCGCTTCATGTGGTGATGATGCAGCACAAGAGTGACGAGAGCAAGGATCGATTCCAAGTACGCGGGTCGGTTCTCATTCGATGCTGCTGTAACGCCGGGATGGGCTCGCACAAAGACACCGAGAAGTCGTGCCAGAGAGTCAATGGGCACGAAGGCTTCGGAAACACCACCCGTGTGGATAAGCTGCTCGAACCTATCGATCGAAACATCAATCGCTAACCTGATAAAGAGGAAGAAGTCGTCTCGATCCCCGATGATGTTTTTGGCTTGGATCTGCTGGAGGAAGACCATCATCGACTTCTCGGTTGCGTTCGCATTGTTGCAGAGATGGATCCACTCCTCAAACACGTATTCCATCTGGTCTTGACGCTGGGCCAAGGGGCTTTCTGCGTTAAGCGGCGCAGGCGGTCGTGCCAGGCCTCCGCCGACGAGCTTGGCCTTGACGTGCTGGCCAACAGGAGAATTGCTATCCTCGAGCACCCAGGGCCACGCAGCTTCCAAGGTCCTGACAAAGTCGGCATGCAGGGCGAGGGGTCGATCGTTGAGAAGCGCAAGGTCCAGGAGCGTCTCAAGGAACTCAAGCGAGCCTTCCTTTCTCTGCTGGAGCGCCTTCGACATTGCGGTATCGATATTCTTCCAATCCATGAGATCGGTTCCTGACAATGCATTTAGCAAAGGCAGATGAAGGAAGAAGTGGCCAGGCTGTTGACGGAAGAGGATCCGGATACGGCTGCTGACCGCGGGTCCGGAAATTTTCCTCAATGTCTCCAGAACATGTGCCAGGCTCTCTAGGGTCAGGCTGTCCTCAATGTGACTGAATAGCAGCTGGCTAATTTGCTCAGCTGCATACATGGCCATCTCCTCCGAGCCTTGCGAAGTCTTGATGATGATCTGCACGAGGGCATCGACGAGATCTAGGACAGGATGCGGCCTGGGTAGGCTGTGGAAATGCTTTTCCCTGGCTTCGGTGGCAACGCGCTGGAGCTCTAGCAACAGCTTGAGGAAGCGTCCCGCCATAAGAGATAAGTCCACTGGAGTAGCGGGAGGTCGGCCGTTAGTTGCACTGGCGGCCTGAACAGCCGCGTACGGTTGCACGTGAGCAGCCATGTGCTGCTGGACTGATGGGGTCTCGGATGGGGCCGGGATACCGGGAAGGCCGCCGAACTGATCCTGCAGGACCTCGTTGGCAAGAGACCGCGTGGCCGCATCAGCCGCGGACGGGGTGTGGGTTGGAGCGCTGGCGGTGCTGCTGCGCGGGTGTCGGGCGAAGTCCTCGTAGATCGCCATCTGCTCCGGAGTTAGACCGGACATGCCCTCCACCAACCTATAGGGGGCGGGGAGTGCTGACGCCCAGCGGTTGAGAGATGGACCAGCGTACGGCTCCATGGGCTTCTGGGCACGATGTCGGCGCCGGCTTTCCAGCTCGTCCTGGATTATCTCCTCAATCTCAGGAACAGCCCTTTCCTCAGCCTGTTTCTCGATAATGCTGCACCCAAGCTCAAGGTTCAGATTGACACACATCATAATGGTGCCCTCAGGGAGACCTTGCGGCAGGTCGTTAGACAGGTTCCTCATATAGTTTGTGAAGTTAGCCCGCAGGGGCTCCTTGGATGTAACCAGGGCAAGACTTCCCGCGGTAGCCTTAACCATGTTAATAGCGCAGGCGCGCACGCGATTCTCGTCCGGCTCGATAGCGAAATCCTTGTGGATCATCTGCTGGGTTGAAATGGCCGCAATGGTAACCGACCTGTCGACCACGGGCTGGATGATTTCGGCAAGCGCACGAGAAAGGGCAGTACGGACAATCTCGTGCAGCCTTGTCGCATTGACGACCATCTCGTTGGTGGGTGGAATATTGATCATTGGGCCGATATCGGGAATCACTGGCGTAATAGCCTGCGAGCCAAGTCCACCAGCGACGGCCGGGGTAATCCCGTTCAGAGTCAGTCCATCAAACGCATCAAGAGTCTCTTGCGCAGCCGCCTCGGCGCTTTCTTCCAAAATCGCCCGGTTGAGGATCTCGCCAGATGGTTCGATACTCTTATGGTCAAGGTTCAAGCCTTTGCAAAGTACTTCGATCTCAAACTTCAGATTAAGCTTGAGCTCGGCGTGGTGATAAAGTTCGATGAGGAGATGGATGATGTCCATAAGCCACGGGTTCGGGGGTCGGAAGACAGTGGAAAGTGATCCTTGAATAAGAACCTTGCAGACGAAAGGAATGACCACAACGAGTCTCTTAGTATCGTGGGCTTCCAGCAAGAGTTTCTTGAACGCAATGTTGCGATGCTTGATGGGCTTGTTCCTTGCAAGAGTAAGGAGACCCAGCCATCCACCGAGGTTCTTCAGATGCGTTCTCTCAGTCGAGTTCTGCATGGTGCTCTCAGCATTCAGCATGCGTGAGACGCTGCTATACGTTTCGCGCAAGACCTCTGCCCAGAGCGCCCTGTCTTCGAGGAGATTGACAAGTTCGACATAGACTCGGTGGTAATTAGGTTGCATCTTGGCGCGCTCCTCAACAAGATGGCTGGCAAACCATTGCTGATGGCGACGCTCGAGAAGTTCACGCAGCTCATTGCACATCGACTGCAACGTTGTCTCGGTGATGTTGTTGAGAACAAATTGAATTTTGCCCTGGTCGTCGCCACTAGGTTCCTCGAACTCAACGTCGGTTGGAGGCGGGTCTACTGAGATAGCAGTGAATGGTGGGGCTTGCTGTTCAGAACCAAGGCCATCCTTGGGCAGACCGTTGGCCATCACCTCGTCAGAGTAGCCTGCAAGATGGACGCCGCCACCTCCGCCGCCACCTTGTCCACTGCGGGTTCTGGATATATCGTCCTGTTCTCGAATCACTTCTTCCGCCCGCAGCCAAGCGTCCGTGCCCTGGAGCGCCGGGATCAGAAGGAGCTGCTTGCAGAAGCCAGGCCATTCGTGGAAACGTGGAAGAAGTTGAATGAGCGCTTGAAGACCGAATTTATACATGGCTTCGTCTGGCATATGGTCTCTAACCGATTCCAGAATCATACCCAGGCCAACTTTCAACGGTAGGTCTGAGATCAGCTTGTGGGAGATAATTCCACCAAAGAGCACTGCCGTTGTCGCCAGCGCCTCTAGAGGATATCCGATGTAATGGGTGTATTCGTCGAAGAGGCCATGAATCATGCAGGCGAAGATGTCCTGCTCGAGGGGATCCCTAGAGTGCTTGTAGCGATCGAGAACCTCCACAATATCACGGACTTCAATTTCGTTCCCATACATCTTCTTATAATGCTCCTCCATTTTGATATTGGCTGCCGGAGGGAGGGAATTTCCGTCCTTGCCGTTGGCATCAATGACGTCGTCATACCCCTCACCGTAGTTGATTAGGCGTGGGTATGCCGTAATGCATTGTCGTTGGACGATAATCAACTCCTGCACTGGCGACCTTGGCATGAAGTCCTCAAGGATCTGTAGAAGCGCTGAAACCGTTCGCACTTGAAGAGTTGTGGTGGTTTTGATCGCTGGGAGGGTCTCTGGTCGCTGAAACTGGCTCTCAAGAGTCGCTTTAATCATCAGGAACTGCATCAGACAAGGAGCCATCTCGGCACTGTGATCAGCATTGCGACGAGCCCAGTCCGTGAAGTCAAGGCAGCCCTCGGCATGCGCGAAGGAAGCAAGGTCCAGACCGAATCCATTGGGGAGAGAGGAAAGGACTTCCAGCCAACCGTGGCGCACTGCGTGTTCGAAAATGAGGGGAAGATCTGTCGGTTTAGCGGCATGAGTGTCAACTAGCCTCTGCGTGACCCAATCCTTATCCCGCTTCCAGAGACTCTCGAGGACAAATTCGTACTCGGGCGATCGCTTGTATAGGAAATTCTCGAAAAGCGAATTAAGAGTATCGACCGCCATGCCGGGCCAGGGTTTAGGAACACCAAATGCCGAAACAACAAAGATGTCAAGGTTAGGAACCACGACATCCTGGAAAAGCCGCTTGGCCTCGATGCTTTGCGATGCCTGAACGGAATGCAACGCGACGTGGAAGACTGCTGAGAGGGCGGCAACAGAAACCAGCGGGTGTTTCACGGCAATTGATACTCGCTCTTTGACGGAGGCGGAGGAGTCTGCGTATGAGTCGAGAGAAATGGTAGGAACGAGACCGGGTATAGTGCTGGCATCCAACTGGTCTGGGGTCAGAGAGGCGAAGGCGCAGACGAACGACAGTTGAGCCTCGGCATTTTCCCAGTTACCGCCCCAGAGAGTCTGGATATCGAATTGCGTGGCTTCATCCTGGGCAAGGGGAAGGAGGGCCTTGTACAGTGACAGGAACTGCTCCGGAGAGATTCGCGCCGAATCCTTGTCGAAGCCCGAAACAACCCTGAACCATCTAAAGCTTGAGGGAAGCACTCGGCGAAGAGCGGCGGTCAAGACGGATGGCTTGAATTTGGGGGTCTGACTGATCACGGTGTACATGAGACCTGCCGAAACCTGCTCCTCGCTTAATTGGACATTCGCCGGGCGATTTTGGAGGAAGCCAACACAAGTCTCTTCGTCTCTGGTGAAATCGGAACCGGTGCGTTGAATATAATGTACAAGGGCATTCGAAGGTCCATCTGCGAGGAGCCGAATAAGGTCCAAGGCAGCCAACACTTCAGATGGTGGTGGCTGGTCCTGATGGAAGTATCGCGCCTTCACCTTGGAGGTGAGCTCAGACTTTGCAGACGACAAGAAATTAGGCGGGGGATATTGGACGAATCGGTCAACGATTTTGGCCACGAAAGCAGGACTGAGATCGGAATGTTCAGGCAGATCGGGTCGCGAGAGGATATAGGTGAAGGTCGGGAAATTGGTGGAGAGAATCGCGTCCGCTAAAATTAGGACAGGCAAGTTAGACATAAGAAGAAAGAGAGAAAGGTGACAATCATCGACTAGAGCTGGTTATGCGTCATGCAAAACAGAAACTCACCTTTAGTCTTCAAATCAGGACGCGACCCGAGCTTGAAAGCCGAAGCCAGAAGCGTCTTCTCGAGAGCATCAAGCTTAAAGTGCTCCATAAAGGTGGAGAGATCGAAGTCCCGAAAGATATCCTCGGTGCCGGACTCGATGGACTCGGCAATCTTGCTAGCTTGGTCCGGATCATGGCTGATCTTGCGCACTTCGCCGACCAAAACCTGATGGTTGCCCTGATTCGTTACCTGCCGATTAAGGCCAGGGAATATCTGGGAAGCATTTCCGGCCACGAGCCTTGTAAGGAATCGAGAATAAACTTCCATGCCGTGGTCATCGATAAGCTAAACAAATGTGACGGCCAAGAGTCAGTGGGGGACAGGAACGTAAGGAAATGGCATCGTCAGAGGAGAATCTGAGGGAGAAGAGGGGGTGGAAAGGGTACCCAACGTACTTTTCTCAATTGTGTGACCTGGGCGCCGTATTTTGGATCACTCTCGTCCTTGATAGTGCTGAGTAACAAGGAGACTTGGGTGATCGCAATCTTGGTCAGGGAGCTGCTCCCCGTAGGGCTGCTTGTGCTCGGGCTCGCAGCAGCACTGAGGATGGCCGATTGGGATGCGTGTGGAGGGTGACCAGGTCCGGACTGGTGTGTCTGCACAGGATTCGGCGAGAAGGATCCCGTCCTGGGTGGTGGGACCATGGAGTTATCTTCGGATGGGATGGGATCACGGAATATCTGTCAACGGGTGACAGAGAATGTTCCGCGGTCGAGGAGAGTGGTATAGAAAAGTAGGGTACCCTGGAGAAACGTCGTTATCCTGCAATGGCTTTCCCTCCCACGACATGGATTACAATGGAGCCAAGCGATGAGGGGGGTCAGGGAGCTTTTCCGCAAGCTGTGTACGACGGTCTCTTCAGTTACTAAAACCTAGCGAGTCGGATACGGCGGCGGTGGATGGTTTATGATGGCAGAGCGCGGAGGCGATCGGGGGCGGAAGGCGGGAGCGTGGTCTGGCAAACGCGAACCGTGTTGTGGTATCTGACTCGAGCAATGATGCGTTCGCAGCAGGCGGATGGCTGGAGGCGTTATGGTCAAAAGTGAGTTGAAATTACTTCTAGAGGGTTGAAGAGGGGTCGGTGAGAGGCGGATGGAGAGTATGAAGTGCGACGGATGTTGGGTCAAGAAATGGTGTGGAGAAAATTGAGATGATGAAGCAGTGGAAGGAAATACCTGTACAGTATGGAGGAGGAAGTCTGTCCAGGGAGGTTAGCCTGAGCCGGGTTTGGTGGCAGCCTGACTAAGGACAGAGGTACCAGATACAACAAGCACCCCTCAAAATATAGTGGTCATGCTCCAGGCCGTTTACAACTAGATCGAAGCTGATAAAAGGAACCTCGATGCTTATTGAACATACGAAACACATATACATAAGAAACTTTGCGCCCATTTCATCATTCAACAGAAGAGGACCAACTCCCGAGGGTACTGCCCCATCTTGCTCCAGCTCTGGAGAGGAGGGGGCTGTCACAAGTCAAAGTCGTACACAGTACATTCAAGATGCCATGTCCGAGCTTCAGTTGTTCCGCCTAAAACTACTTGCAGCAACATATCACGTGATTTTGGAGAGAAGCATTGACCCGCGCAGTTGACAATGGGGGTTTGAGACGGGATTCGAGCTATTATCTCGGACTCGACTGCGAGTGCTGTAGAATAAGAATTGTTCATGAGGACATAAACACGATGGAACCAACAGGAGGACTGGTGACCAAAAAATGTAGAACCAGCAAGCTAAAGCCAACTGGACTGAGGCGGACACAAGGCTAAAACAGTGTTAATTCATGCTTTCTTGCCCTGACCACCAGAAGTGCCAGAAGATAATTGCGACGACGCGAGGCCCAGCGCATTCAGTAGAGATCAATGTGGGACCTCACCCAGCCACCGCAGGAACCGATCCCCATGCCGTCCTTGTGGCAACTTGGACTTGGATTTCTTCAGCAGAACGCGTGACAAAATGATATGGATGACATAATCAGGCTTCACCTGAAAAGGCAACCAACTGGGCACAAGCGGATACAGGCGTCAAGACCGCCTCGAATCGTTTCCCTGGCAACGGTCTGATTCCTATGGATACATCAATATAGGAATCTCCCTTAATACTGTCACACTGATAATAATACCTCCAACTGAATGTGATATCAGACTTATCCAACACTGGCCTCAATAGGGACTCGCGAACAAAGTATCACGGCAGTATACGAGAACATATAACGCGAAGTCACGCTGAACAACGTCCGCACAGGGGCGAAATTTGCAACCATCATCCACAGCTTACCACGCGACGTCGAGAATCCAGGACTGACATCACTGACTACAGTCGTCATAATGCCAGCGGTGACGGTGGAGCCGCCCTCAGTAGCGCTATCGTGTAGGAATTTTGATCTCCCTATCAGTTCCTTACCACCGCCTCGCTAACCACAGCTCCTAGTTGCCAACAACTTCTGGGGTAAGGATGACGCTGGAGTCCAGCCCCTTCTCGAGCGCATGCACAATGCGAAGCAGACATCCGACGAGCTAAAAGCGTTCTACACCGGTACGATATAGACTCCTATAATTGAATGCATGGCCTAGTAGTAGCTGACGCCCTTCACAGCACGAGCATCGATCGAGGATGACTTCGCGCGGAAGCTACTATCACTATGCCGGAAGCCCATAGGCTCGCAGGAGACGGGAACCTTGAAGGCCTCCCTTGACACAGTCCGTGGAGAGGTCGAGGCAATGGCGCGCCAGCACCAGAGCATAGCGGCACAGATGAAGACAGAACTGGAAGAGCCTCTAGCAGCCTTCGCCGGAAGCATGAAGGAACGGCGCAAGATTGTGCAGAACGGCATCGAGAAGTTGTTGAAAGTCAAAATCCAGCAAACCCAGCAAGTGAACAAGGTATGTTAGAGAGATACCACGAGATACATTTACACCTTCGGCGTGGCCCATAACTAACAATGCTTATCTGGCCTAGACACGAGACAAATACGAACAAGAATGCCTGAAAATCAAAGGATACCTAGCCCAAGGCCACATGGTTATGGGCCAAGAAGAGCGGAAGAACAAGGCGAAACTCGAAAAGACCCAGATCAGCCTAGCGACGTCGAACACCGAATACGAAAACGCCATCAAAGCCTTGGAGGAGACCACCGCACGATGGAACAGAGAGTGGAAAGCGGCAGCGGATAAGTTCCAAGACCTAGAAGAGGAGAGGCTTGACTTTACCAAGAGCAGTCTCTGGGCCTTTGCCAACATCGCTTCGACGGTCTGCGTCAGTGACGATGCCTCATGTGAGAAAATCCGGTTGTCTTTGGAGAAGATGGATGTTGAGAAGGACATCTACTCCTTCATTACGGGCCGCGGTACCGGCCAGGAGATTCCTGACCCGCCCAAGTATATCAACTTTTGCCGCGGAGATGTTAACGACACTCCCTCTGAAGCATCTGAGGATGAAAACTACTCTGTGGCTCAATTCCCCAGAAGCATTAACCCAGCCTTCCGAACCTCCTCTCCCCAGCCTTCCCTCTTCGAATCACATCATGATCCGAAGACCTCTCTCGCGTACGACATGGGACTGGGTAATCCGGGAACGCCAGCAAGCCGTGAAGTAACCGTCACCCCTCAAAAGAAGATGTCGACCCCTCAAAGAGCATCGGTGAGCGTCGAGAGGGAACCAGAACGACAGCTGGAGATGCAGCCAGAGAGGCAGATCGAGAGACAGGCCGAACGGCAAATGGAAAGGCAAGCCGATAGACAAATCGAGAGGCAACCGGAGAGGCAAATCGAACGGCAATCTGAAAGGCAAATCGAAAGGCAGCCCGAGAGGCAGGTCGAAAGACAGGTCGAGAGGCCTGCGGAAAGACAGATTGAGAGACAGCCTGACCGACATCGCCAAGATATGTTCCAGGCACCGTCCCAAACCCGCCCACATGGTATCGACATCTCGCAGTACGGGTCTGTTTCGTCGGTTCCTCATGACCCTTATCCTATGGATGGCATGACGATGCTCTGCCGACCCGGAGGAACTTCCTCTGAGATCAGCTCGGCCCCATCACATAGACCTTCAAGCCGCGATTCGCGTAGTGACTACTCGAACCCGACATCCTTTACGAGCCAGGACCCTCCTAGCGGCAAGGTGTCTCCCGTGAAGCAAGATCCGGCCCCTGCCCAGAGTCCGGAGAAGGACAAGAGAGTGCTCAAGAAGAAGAGCGGTTTCTTCCAGAACCATAGCCCATTTAGGCGAAAGAGCACCAAGGAGGTTCAGGCGCCCAATCCTAACAGGAACACATGGCACCCGTCTAACAACCAGAGTGCTGCTGCTCCTCGCCGACCTCAGCTGTATCAGCATGAATCAATGGGCCATCCCCAAGAGAAGACGCTTTCTCCCGAGCCCATTGACGCCAATGCAAGCCTCGCCCTAGGCGTTGGACCCAATGTCCTTCCGGTTGCGGGACTATCCCCCACGAAGCCGAACAACAACTCCGCCAACAACAACGCGGCTCAGAACCCTCCAGAAGATGACCCGATTGCCCTTGCCTTGGCTGAGCTTAAGGGAGTAACCAAGCAGTCGTCGGTGAGGGTTTCAGCGGACTACTATCACGGAATCTCCACCCCAGTACCCGGAGCCCAGCCCAGGCTGGGCAACACAGCTTTGGCAGCAGCCATGCGTGGCACCCCACCTCCATCTTATGACCAACAAGTCCAGCGTCTCGGTGTGCCTCCTTCGGCGCATACCGCTAGGGCAATGAAAGAGACCTCGGAAAAGTTTGTCGGGCAAACGAGGAACATGTTCGGTGGATCCGGCGGATCCGGCGGCTATGGAACGTCTCCTGTTACTCGACAAGCCACGAGAGGAGGTGAGGTCCCAAGGGCTGTGTCGCCCGCGCCTCCGCGAAGTGCGTCGCCACTCCCGAGCAGCCAAGACAGCTACAACAGGAACTATCGCCCGGTCTCACCTAACCCTAGCCGTGCTGGGAGCTACGACTCGTACAGTAGGAACCATCGACCAGTTTCTCCCAACCCTAGTCGCAGCAGCACGCAGGACCTGTATCAGAGGAACTATCGGCCAGTCTCTCCCAATCCAAATGCCGGGGCTCAGCGAGCGCCATCCCAGATGAGCATGACGCCGAAGAGAGGCTCAGAGCAAGGCTACTACCGCCACAACTCGCCGATGGACAATGCTAGATCGGCATCTCCAGCGACGTACTCCAATTATGATCGCCCGTCCAGCAGCCACACGATGAATGATATGGCAGTGCAGTTGGCACCTGTCAACGATGATGGATATGGCTCCCAGCGGGGTAGGTACGGGTCCCGTCCCGGAACGAGTTCCAGCTCTAGAGCCGTTGGTCTCTATGAAGGTCCGGGCGCGATTCAGGCGGGTAGTCGACAACGCAGCAAGAGTGTTGCCGACCCGAATAGGCAGTATACCAGAGATGGCCGTCCCATTATGCATTTCGGTAAGCTTTCCCTTTCCATTTCGCATTCAAATCCCGAGAAACTTGCTAACCATCAAAACTCGAATAGCACGGGCCCTGTATATGTACCAGGCCGCGATTCCAGAAGAGCTTGGGTTTGCCAAGGGTGACATTCTCGCCGTCCTCCGGCACCAAGACGATGGATGGTGGGAAGCCGAGGTTCATGGCGGCAATGGCCGTATTGGGCTGGTTCCCAGCAACTATCTCCAGCCCTGCTAATTGGATTCGAGAGGGTTTCATAAAGAGAGTATCCTGCATTGCATGTGGACATTCGGTTTCTTCCTTTTCCCACTGCATTTGATTCATGTTTTTTTTTTTTTTTTCTTGACGGTTTATTTCATGACGGATTATTTACTTCATTCACCCCCTTTCCCGTGTTGTTGGGCAAGATTGTTTTGAGGATAGTGTCATGGATCTGTTTATGGAAATGGGTCGCAGGAAGTGTTTGTATCCGAGGATTCGACGAGTGCTAGATCATTTAGACTGAAGCTCTCTGTTTTCCGCTCTTGATTTCTAATTTTCATCTTCACACTGATGTTTCTTGATGTGCTTCGTAGGTTGTGAGATTGTGAGGTTGTGAGGTTGTGATGAGGTTGTGAGGTTGCTGAGTAGGTACATTGTACCTGTCTACTGACACAATCCGCCGAGGCAAGTGAGCCGTAACTATTACACACAATAAACCAAATATTTCCCAGAAAACTTAACAGACTTGACCAAGGATCGAACATATTATCGATGATGAAACAAATTTGCAAATTGATAGCAAATCGCGGTAGGGACTTCAGGAAGTAGCGAGTGTTGCTCGGTGTTGACGAAAGTGCTCGTTTGTTGTCTCACAATGTAACCAGGCCGTATTGAGATGACGTCTTGCGATGGTGTCTGCTAGAACCTGAACAGGTCAACAACATCGAAGTTTCACACGTCGCCGCCGTTCACCGTTCACTCCACGACGAATGCGCAGGATTCATCGCCCTGCAAACTTAGAAATTCTTTCCAGGGGTAGGATAGGGAATTAATCCTGCCACGACAGATTCGAGAAAAGAATGGTATTGATTAATGCCGAGTGACGGCTGATGTGCTCAAAATCGTCTTCTTTCTGACATGTGCTGACACACTCTCGACCTAGGTGCTCAAGGAAGTTCGCGATGCAATCACGTCCAAGACTACCAGGCGCGTGCTGCTGAATTTTACGTTACTCGCCGGGAGTTCCTTGGCTCTTCTGTTCCTCTCCATATTATCGACGGCCGTCTTCTTTGCCAAGTATGTGCCCGACAAGTCTCTGACCTGGCCAGTCTACCTCCAGTATGGGTGAGTTGCCGACCCTTGTCTACCTCATATTTTTTTTTCCGGCCCAAGAACCATACTTACAGAAGGCCGAAATGCCCATTTGAAAAGAATTGGTGCGCACCCTTTCGGGCTCACGGCCGTCTCCCGGCCTTTGCCCAAGACACAGCAAGGCTATGACGTTTCCGTCAGCCTAACCCTGCCCAAATCCGTGCCAAACGCGCAACACGGCAACTTTATGGTCGTGCTACATCTCCTGGATTCCAATCCTCCCAGTCATGGCATCCAGTACCCAGAGACGGGAATGAGTCTCGTGGATCCAGAAACCGTCATCCTCTCTAGTCGCCGACCCGCGCTGGTGCCACAGGTGGACCCAGCAGTCGGCCTGGTCAAACGCCTCCTTTTGCTGCCTTATCACCTGCTGGTGCCTAGCAGCCAATACTACGTGATGACGGTACAACTGGCCGAAGGGGTCACCTTCCCTCGGGAATCAAAGATACCCAAGTCGATATACGTTGAAGTCCAGGCTGGCCAGCAGATGCAAACGTACGAAGCGTCTGTGACACTCACGGCGAAACTTCGTGGCCTACGGTGGATCCTGCACAACTATAGGCTACCGGCATTCATTACACTTACGTTGGGATTCTGGAGCGTGGAGATGTTATTCGCTGCGGTAGCCTTATTCCTTATAGGTCTAGCTATGGGATCGCCGGAAAAGTCTACGGACACCATAGAAGGCAATGAGCCGGGGCCTCACCCCGAGGACAAGAAAAGCTTAGAGCCCAGCTCTGGTGCTGGCACGAGTGCCGCTAAGAGTAGCGCATTGAGTACCCCAAAACAAGCTCACGACTCAGGCGAGATAAGCAGGGCGAGGGATCTTCGACGCCGTCGTCTCAAGGCAGAGGCTGAAGAGGAAGATGAGCCAACCAAGCCATTGAGAGAAGAGGAAACATCGCAAGAAGCCAGAATCAAACGGGAGGCACGGGAGACCGAGGAGCTACTCAGGTCGTTGGGCGAAGATACCAACGATGAGGTAAAGATAAAGACCGAGGATTACTCGGACAGTTAGACGAGGTACAATGTTGCGCCACAGCGTCATGCCATGAGCAGTTGGAAAACTAAACTTGAATCGAGAGGGGCAGACTTCTGACGGACTCAATGTCTCCCTCGGCATCCGTGCACGTGATAAATTCAGGAGTCAACGTCGTGGATAAAGGAATTAATGTAGTCGATTAAAATCATATAAGCAGCTGTAATAGCAAGTCCTCCTCCTGCCTGAAGCGAGGCAATACCGTGTAATGAATGTAGTATGTATGTATTGAGAGTAAGGAGATGATGGGCTTGACTCTGGTTGAAGATAATCTCACCGAAACCGAAAACGGTGGGTGGCGTCAGTCCTGCCATGCTACAATTGTACTCCGTGGAGTCTGAGTACCCATTCATTGTTGTATCACCCCGCAACCCGCAACCCGCAGCCGCCAGCTAATATTTCCGATGTTCATCCGGTGGAAATGAAACCAGCGCCCCAGCTAATTGGATTCTCCGCTGCCTTCTCCAATTTGCTGGCAGCGACCTGTGAAGCGTGTTTTGCTAGGGACACTTCGGGGACCTGCGTGCGTTACCACCACCGCTATCCACTCCTTACTCAACGACCCCCATCAAATCACTCGATCGAGCGAGAGGAGGAGACCCCTTGATATCGATCCACACATCCACACAACATATGTCTATAGGAAACACGTCAATACCACTACTAGCCGCATATTCCTTATGTTAGTATTTGTTTCGATAGGACTAGTACCGCCCTTTGCCCAGCAGCGCTTTCCTAAGACTGACGCTCTTCCGCGACCGGCACCGACTGGCAGCTGCCCTCGCGACCTGTTACCCTGGCCCGCTTCCCCAACCAAGGCAAAATCACTATCACCATCAGCAACGGTCCAGGTTTCCATCACCGCCACCTGCCGGGAACCCAACCTGAACCCTCAAAACCTTGTTCAACATACATAAGAAAGGACTTTCCCAAACAGCTCTCAGTACGTCTTACGATAGTTTTTCGTGCTGCATCTTTTTATTTTCTCTAGAGTCTCTAATATGCTAACTTGCCCTGCATTCGTCAACTCCCCCGGCCCCGCCACTACGATTTGATCACCTTCGGCACCCTTTGATAGAGTAGGATTTTTTTTTCCCGAGGGCTGCTGGACGTTTCGATTCGAAGCTGAAGGTGTGCTCGCACCCCAAGCACCTTCGCCGCCATGCCGTGCTTCAAGGGGATCGCCGTGAGCATCCACTCCAACGGAGCACCGCTCCCAGAGCATGGTATTCAGAAACAGTCACGGGTTTCAAGGATCAGCACCTACATACCTGTGCCCACTCCCCAGCTTAATGACAACTCCAACACTCCCGAGCCGGCCCGCTTCGCCATATCTATTACCCTTTTGACCCCCGGATTAGCCATTCCGTACTCGACGCCGAAACCTACCGAGTCGAATCCGAAGCCGAAGCCCCAATATGTCGCCAGTCTTCCCTCGACCTCGGGCGAGTATGGCAAGGTTACGACTGGTGTGACTCCGTATATACCGATGACGAATTCACCTAATGAAACGATTGCGGCATACATTTATTTCGACGGACGCGCCAAGGAAGAAGTCGCAACCCTACTACGACCCGGCGAAGAAACCTGGGTCAATAGTCGTTGGGTCCAGGTTCCCGAGTCCGAGGGCGGTGGTCTCGCCGAGAGGGAGTTCCTATTCAGGGAAGTCGGCCTGGAGCGCTGGCTCAACGGTCTCGATCTTCAGGGCGACGACGCCCAGGCGAAGATCGAGCGCCGACGTAAGAAGTTTGAAAAGCGCCGAAGGCGTCAGAAGCGTGATGAGGAATTGGCCGAGTCGAACGGAAGCCGCGGCGTGCTACGATACGGAGCCGACGACGGTTCCCCCGTGCAAGCGCTATCGGACGATTCGGACTCCCTTTCGGACGACGACGAGCCTCCCGAGGCTACGGGCCAGATCAAGGTTTCCATGTTTAGGGTCCTTGCGTCGGGCGAAATCAAGAAGGGTGAATACTCCCCCCAGTTCGATGCCCACGACGATGACGAGGACGATCTGGATGCTGTAGCCGCGGACAGCAGCAACTCCCTAGCTGCTGATGTGGAGCATACCACTAGTTTTGCGAAGCCCAAGACGTTGGACCCCAGCACGATTAGCACTCAGACTGTAACTGGAATCGATGGACCCGACAAGCCATATGCGACGTTTACATTTTTCTACCGTGGCGAACGTGAGTTTTACACTTTACAACCCGAGCTCTATTTCTCTTGAATCTTTTGTTCTAACCCCACTCTCCTTCCCTCTTTCTAGGCCAACTCCAAAAGATCGGAGTTTTATCCAAGAGCAATGTGCAGAGCACCCCCGGCGGTTCCAAACGTCGCTCAGCTCAGCTCGACTTCTCTAGCCTCGGACCTCTCAAGACTAGCGGCACCGTTGGCTTCTCGGCCTTCCGCGATGCGGAGCGCGATTCAAGCCGGCGGAAGAAAGCTCGAAAGAAGTCTAATGGCAACGCGACTGGTGTACAAGACGACAGCGATGACGATGACGACGAGGATGAAAGTGAAATACTGATCAAAATGCAAGACATGGATGACAAGGAAATCAACACGACTTCCGGTGAAACTGCGATTCCGAAGGAGCTCGCTGATGGAGTTGATCGGATGAGGGTATGTCTAAGGCCTCATGTTGCAACCACTTCAATATGATGCTAACGCGAATTACTTCATATGTAGCTTAAGCGGGCTCATTCTGCTGATCCAGACAGCTCAGCCGCGTCGCCCCACGCTGCGAGTCCAGCACCGTCTAGTGGATCTGGCCTCCAGCCATCTCTGCTTAGTAGGGATGCTGGTGGATCAACCAAGGACACGAAGCCTGGTCCTGTGGCCTCGGCGGTGCCACCGAGCAGCAAGCCCGACGACTCTACCATACTCGGCAGCCCAATGAAGAGGCATCGGCCTAGCGTTAGTGGCCCTGTGGACACGGGCCCTTCAGTACCTGGCGCTGGGCTCGGTGGATTGGATGGAATACTATCAGGTACCAGCGGCGCAACAACTACCCAGGGAAAGCAGCCTTTCGCCCCCGATGCTTCCAACGCAATGGAGGAAGAGGAAGAGCTATGAGCGTGCCTTGTTTTGACGACGTGTGCAAAGTGATGACAAGACGGTTTCAGGAAACATTATCCAAAGCAATGGTATTGGTCTCGTACAAGACGGCGTAGGGACAAGGAAAAGGAGGGGTGTGGGATCAAACGCGTGCGAAAGTCATGTTGCTGTTTTCTTCGTCTTTTCCGAAAACAAAAGCTCAGAAAAAAAAAAATGAAATGAAACCCTGAATATCCAGACAAAAGACTCGAGCTGGGCGGTTTTTTTTTTTTAGTAGGTTACCCCCTGTCTGGTATTTTTTTCTTGGAGAGGGGGTGTAGTTTAATATCAATATACCTCGCATGAACGCAAGTAATGTACAAAAGCACGATGGACATGGCCCCTGAGGGCCGTCGGGTTCTGTATTGGCTGTAGAAGAGTAAGTGAGTGCCCTTGCGTCTCCGGGCATGTTGCTGTTGCCGGACGCATGTCTTGGGCATCACATGGCGGGAGTTGGGCTGGTGGTTTCAGGCATTGAATGTTGATTACGCCTTGTCGGATGCGTTGAACTGAGTTGTGTCCCCACAATTCGGGTGGTTGTTTTCGAGCTCTTACGTTCCTACGTTCCTGCACTCTTACATATGCCCAATGACACTTTCAAGCTGCTCGATGAGGGTCTGAAGGACGACGCCTTGGGAGGGAGCTTGGGTCGGCAAGGTGAAGCTTCACTTTCTAGGGTGGCAGGCACACGCCTCCACATCTCGGCGTCCCTATGACTACCGGTGGGCGTGGTTGCCTAGCATTATCCTCATCCCGAAGTACACTTGATCAATGTTTTCTCCTGTTCGGGTGAGAAGGGTGCTTTCATCAGGCTCCAGCTTCGGCGGCGGATCGAGGATCCTAGTTGGTTGGGTTGCGTGCGGAAATCACCTACTCACGACGCCTATTATTCACATCGTGAAGAAGGCAGCACTTGCGAACTGTTGGAAGCTGTTGGTGACACAACTTGGTGAGAACTGCACACATGCGCTTCACTTTTCCGTTGGAAGTGCCTCAAGTGCCTCGGGGCGGTTGCCAGGCGGACGTTAGGCTTTGAGGATATTGACCTTTGTAGGTCGAAGCGAGAAAATGCATCGTTGGCGGATCAATTGATGTCAATCTCAATATATAACCACCTAGCTTTCCTCTAGCTTTCTTCCAGCTCTTTTCAGCCTCGAGTCCAGTCACCATCCCTTCAGGGTTTGATACTTTGTTTCAACAGGTACAGGCCGTGAAGCCGGCGCCCTATTTGTTAGTCAGGCCTGGTCCTCGAGTGCTTGTTTGTGGTCCCTCATCGCTGGCCAGGCATTGTACTGCACTCCCTCGTATCTGATATCAAATACAGCAGTTGATGGTGCCCCTTCAGTGCCCCTTCCCCGAGTCCAACGTCAAAGCCATTGCTTGGTTACCCCGCCACACATTCGCACATTCAAAGTTCCATTCCACAATCGTCGCGCCCACTTTGGCCAGAGAAAGACTTTCATTTCCTCCACCCCACCTTGCCAACCAGTCCCCAACACAGACGTCCCTTCCTCGTTTTGCTTCCCCCCCTTTTGTAGGCGTCCAGGACCACCTCTCTCGATTTCTTTGTTCCTTGTTTCTAAAACCTGCAAGCTTGCGGAGCTCCTCATCAAACTTTTTTCTTGCCTTCTACCCACGACATTTCCCCAGTCCCAACTCTCCACGACAATCCGCAAAAATGGCTGCCAGTACGTTTTTTTTTCCTCGTTACCCCGCCACAGGGCCAACCCCGCCCCTCCTTTCGCCCCGCGATTGTGAAGAGCAGAACCTCACCTCACATTCGAGCTTTGGCGGACATGCACACGCGCGAGGGTTTGGATGTTATTTAGAAGAAGTTCCATGTTGCTAACCATGACGCGCCTTGACTCCCTTTAGACTTCGAGGAGGTTGCTAGTAAGTTAACCCCTCCAGCTCCTTGTATTACTCAAGACGATGTCTTGCGTACACAAACTTTCTTCTCTCTTCGTGCCACTCACACCTGAGGCGTTTTACAGAGCAATTCATCGAGTTCTACTACAACACTTTCGATGCCGATCGCAAGGGCCTTAGCGCCCTCTACGTACGTTTTCTTGGGAGATACCTTCTTTTCCGGAGCCGCTGCGTCGATGGAAAGGCGGACAGTCGCCGCTTCGGAATTTAGCTTGTGTTGCGTGTGAAGCTAACTTCTGCTCGTCGGGCTATAGAGGGAGCAGTCTATGCTGACTTTCGAGTCGGCTTCCGTCCTCGGTGTCAACGGGATTGTCGAAAAGCTCTCGGTATGGGTGATCCATCGTCTACTAACTAGCCTCGGGCTCGCATGCGCCGATGGCTGTTTCAGAGGCACCGGCAACTAACAGATAGCGAATATCGCTGCCGTTTATAGGGACTCCCATTCCAGCAGGTCAAGCACCAGGTCTCGACCCTCGATGCCCAGCCCACCCCGAACGGCATCTTCATCCTCGTTACTGGCCAGCTCTTGGTTCGTCCTCCTTCTTCTCTCTCTCACTAATCGAGATATATATTTCTCGAATTCTTCCTTCTTTTCGGGTTGTACAATATCTCCTGTTGCATTACGATTCGGGCGATGAAATAAGAGAGAGAGACAGGAAAAAAGTACCGGATCAAAACATAGAATAGCTAACATGTTCCCCTTGTACTAGGTCGACGAGGAGCAGCGCCCTATGAACTACTGCCAAGCCTTCCAACTCGTACAGGACACTGCCACTGGTCAATACTTTGTCTACAATGATGTCTTCAAGCTGGTCTACGGTTAAGGTGGCTTGAAGAAGTCCTAGCAGAACAAGGGAAACCTGAGCCGTTCTTCTCATAACAACTATGATGCTGTGGCTCCTCTTCTGCCTGTCATGGGATGGTGATAATTGGGGGAAAACACTTCGTTGGACGAGAGCGATGTTGGGAGTTAAAGGGAAGTCTCGCGAGCCTTCGATTCGGGGAGGGATGAAGTGCTGTGGTCAATAGAGCCTTTTATGTTATTCTTTTCAATTTTTTTTTCCTTTCTTTTTTACTCTCTCACTTTAGTCGTGCTCTTCTACATCTTAAATCGAGATTGAGGGCTCGAATATTCCCGTAACGGAATTGAGAAATGAAAATGGATGACAAGATTTATTTGACGCGTGAAAGAAGATCACTCAACTGGAAGGTCGAGCTTGGAACATATCTACCTTCATATTACATCCGAGACCGATCTTACTTTCTACGTCGCTTGGCCAAGTCGGACGTGCTATGTCCTAAGGAATTGGAGTACGGTATCGGTGGCCTAGTTCATCGGACTACTCTCACGCAATGGTCTGAGCTACGAAAAGGAGGAAACATGTAACGGAGGGAAGAATTAAAAAGGAGTCCTATTTTCGCCCATGCCCTCTACAACCTATGCAGCCCTTGAATTTCGTTACCTCGACGGAAAGAACAAAACATGTAACTCCTTATTCTTTTTTTAAGAGACCATCTCCGCGACCGAAAAAAAATCATTGTATCTTCTTCATATCATAAGAACAAGAAACAGAGCCGCTGCGCTGGGAGTCGAAATTCCGCGATCGGGAACTCCGCACGTACAAAAAGTGGGTGGAGGGATGTTGATGAGATATTTTGGTGGTGGTAAAGTCAAGTAAATTCTAACACCCTTCGGCGCTTCCTATTCGGCTACAAGGCATGGAATCTCGTTGACTGACCAGGTGGTATATTTTTGAAGTTTTTCTTTTTCTTTTTTTTCAAGACGTCAAGGATCTTAGATCTTGAGGGCAGACTCACGAGCCTTGATCTTCTTGAGGGTCTTGTTCTGGGACTTCAAGCCCATGATACCACCACCCCACTTGCGGCGGGCCTCCTCGTGCTTCTCAACGTAGCCATCCTTGATAGCGGTGACGAGCTTGGAGAGCTCGTTCTTGTCCTCGGAGCGGACCTCAGTGAGGGCGAGGACAGCAGCGGTCTGAAAAAGGGTTAGCTTTCTGTTCTGAAGGTCAATCAAAGTCGGACTAGATTCTAGTTCTTTACCTTCTTGTGGACGACGGTACCGAGACGAGCCTTGCCCTTGATGATGGCGTAGGGGATGCCCATCTTGCGGCAGAGAGAAGGAAGGAAGACGACGAGCTCAATGGGGTCGACGTCGTTGGGGATGAGGACAAGAGAAGCCTTCTTGTTCTCGATGAGGCCAACAACGTGGTTGAGACCGTACTTGACGGTGTAGGGCTTCTTGCTGACGTCCTCCTTCTTCTTGCCCTCCTTGACGGCGGTGGCCTCCTTCAGGAGACGCTCCTTCTTCTCGGCCTTGGTTTCAGGTCGGTACTTGTTGAGGAGCTTGAAAGCCTGGGCGGCGGTGTTGCGGTCAAGGACGTGCTGGAACTGGGAGAGCGCCGGGGGCACCTTGAGACGCATGCTGATGATCTTCTTCTGGCGCTGGAGGCGGACATACTCGGGCCACTTCACCATGCGGGCGACATTTCGGCGGGGCTGGATATCCTGGCCGATACCGAAGTTGCGGGGACGCTTCTCGATAAGGGGGTTCTAGTAGTCGTCTCGTTAGCTTAGGAAGACACCTAGGAAAGGGGAAAGAAGACTAGTAGTAAATTTACGCACCTTGGGAGCCTTCTTAGAGGCAGCGCTCCTCGAGCCGAAAGGCGCGGGGGCGACCTTCTTTCCAGTCTTGGGGGGCTGTCATTGAGAAAAGAAAAGACATCAGCGAATATGGTCTTCTTCCAAATTCAGTCTTCCCTTTAGCTCTAACGAGAACGCACATGGCTGCCTTCCAGCAGAGCCATCGCGTCTCCAGCCAGTCTTCACCCCATCCAGTTAAGGATGTTTGAAATGGGCGGAATTCCATCGGGCATGGTCGACGGCCATTGAGTCCGTTTTACGGGAAACTCAATTGCTTTGAAACCAAATAAAGCCCGCGGCGGGTAAGATCAATTCATCGGATCGAGTTCTTTTGTTTCTTCTAGCTTACCATTTTGATTGAAGGGGGGTGTCGAGGCCTCTGAGTGGATGGGCGTGGTTGTCGAGAGAGGCGGTTGCTGGGTGTGAAGAGGAAAGTTTCGAGATGGATTTTTTTCGAGATGCGGAAATGCTAGAAATGGATAAATTTCAATGTGGGGGGTTTGTTAATTCGTTAGGGCTACGACAAATTTCAGTCTCTTTTCATAAATTGGTCCGTGCCCAATACTTGACAAACAGTGTGAAATATCTTGGATTATCACTGTCTAGTATTGCTCATCCTGCCCTTTTGCGCCAACTCTCTTGCGATAGGCGATGCGTCACTTTTCCAGTGTCAACCTCAAGTCTTTCATTATTTTTCTTTTTTTCGTCTCGCAGGGACGCTGGCCAACTTCCAGTCCTAGTCCTCTCTCCGTTTTTGGCCATGGCACCCACTTCATGTGCTCGCTGTCGCACCTCGCGCGCTCATGTGAAGCGGCCTAAGAATCACCAAAAGTTATGCAAGGATTGTTTTATAACGGTCTTCGAGGAGGAAGTACACCACACTATTACATCTTCAGGTCTCTTTCACCGAGGAGAGAAGGTTGCCGTAGGTGCTTCCGGCGGAAAAGATTCCACAGTCCTGGCATCGGTCCTCAAGACTTTAAATGATCGATATGACTATGGAGTGGAGCTGGTGCTCCTCAGCATCGACGAAGGAATCACTGGTTATCGCGACGATTCTCTGGAGACAGTGAAGCAGAATTCCGTCGACTACGATATGCCATTAAAGATCGTTAGCTATTCCGAGCTGTACGGATGGACCATGGACCAAGTCGTGGAAGCTATTGGGAAGAAGGGAAACTGCACGTATTGCGGCGTGTTTCGGCGCCAGGCTCTTGATCGCGGTGCCAAACTCTTGGGGATCAAGCACCTAGTGACCGGACACAACGCAGATGACATCGCCGAGACGGTCCTTATGAACCTCTTAAGAGGAGACTTGCCCCGCTTGGCAAGGAGTACGAGTATTGTCACCGGAGACGGTCTGGGTGATGTCAAGCGCAGTAAGCCCCTGAAATACTCGTACGAAAAGGAAATCGTCCTTTACGCCCACCATAAGAAACTACTCTACTTTAGTACCGAATGCATCTACAGCCCTGAGGCCTTCCGCGGGACCGCGCGGGGCCTAATCAAGAACCTGGAACGAGTCCGTCCCACCGCTATCTTGGATATTGTTCGGAGTGGCGAGGATATGGCGAGACTTGTACCGGGCTCCGCCGAATCATCGTGTGCTTGCATATCTCTTCCGGCGGCGATAAGCGGGGATACTGGAAAGGGCTGCGGTTCTTCAAATAACTTTGACAGCCTTCCCGTTTCCTCTGCCAAACCATCGGAGACAAATTATCAGGCCCTAGAGGTTGAAATTACCTCCCGACCAAAGGCACCGCCACGATCAGCGAGCAAGGCTGGAAACAAAGCCAAGCCGGCGAGCAAGAGTGGCGAGCCTTTGCAAACGAAGGGGACGTGTAAGAGGTGCGGATATATGTCGAGCCAGGATATCTGCCAAGCTTGTATGCTATTGGAAGGCTTGAATAAGAACCGGCCGACGGTTGAATTATAATACCAAAACGACGTTGGTGATCCAACCTCCAACTTTTGAAGTGCATGAAGTGAAAGATTAGGAACATGTGCCTCAGTTTATGTATATTTTTGAACACCCCTCGAGGCTCTAGGGCAAGTATATGTACACAACTTCCTTCGATGGACGGACTTTCAACTATGCTCTGTTGTGTAGTCTATTAGCCAACATCAAATCTCACATTTGATCCTCATTCGGCACACGTAAGAGTGTATTACTCTAGAACATTCTCCTCTCCAGCTACCCGGGGGGATACAGGTCAGCCAAGGCTTGCGAGTATGGAGCATAAGTTGCATACCTTCCAAGGGTTGTTATATTCGAAGCCTGGCGGGGCTTCCGGCCGGTCGATTTGGCCTCTCAGAGACCCAGTCAATCGCCTATCGCGCTCCATCACTAAAGTCGGGTTAATATTGCAACATCAAGTGAGCAGTCGGTTGTTGGGGGGGGGTTTACTTTGCTGTTGTGAAGTGTTAGCTAAAGTCAAGAGATATAATTTGCTCCATAACGGTACTGACCTGGTCCCAGTTGTCCACCGAGTACCTCGGGCGCTTCTTGCCGCTCTGGTAGTGTTTTACTGTAGCCAGACCGATACCAGTGGCACCGAACATCTGTGGGCATGGAGATTTAGCTCCTCCATTTCATAAGCCAATGCGGGATTCGGATCGTACGTACGACAGTCATGATGGCGTAAGGGAGCAGGGCCTCGAATGGGACAGGCATTTTGGCGACGTTTCGCTCGAGGTTATCGGGGAGGACGAATTGGAAATCTGTCGAGACGAGTTGAGCAGGAAGAAGCTCAGCTAGATACTCATGATCAGTTGATATTGACCTCAATCAGCAATTGAGAGGGCTGTAGGAATTTAGGCCGTACGTTAGGGAACTTTAGCTAGAGCTTATACCCGGTAAAATACTTCGCCGGATATAATTATTCGGAGCTCAACAGAGGGAAGGCGAGGGCTGCCGTAAAAGAAATGCTCGTCGAGGTCTGGCTGCGTTCGTGATGGTTGCAACTGTCGGTTGTCGGAATCCGAATTGCCAAAACTGCGATTGGGCGAGTCACGGGTGCCTTATGTAATCAACCGCCAAACCGCGACTTCCAACACTGTGACATCTCTCCCCTCAGCCTCTTGGTTGGGGAGGAACACAAACTCCAGAGCGAGTTTTTCTTGTCGCCAACATCGTTTCTGTCTGAAATAACTGATATTTACGCGCCATTCCTTCTTGTTTCGCCATAGATACTGCGAGGGGGGCGCCTTTGACGCTTCTTCCCACCGACTTCGACTCGAGACATACACCCACTGCGCGTCACAAGGCTGTCGCCAACTGGTTGCATTCCCACGATCTTGGCCACTCTCAACGCGCCCCACTTTCATTCCGAAGAAAGAATCCCCCGGAAACGCTCGTCTGAGATGGATGTTGTTCCCTAAATCGCCGCGATTACTCCCTACTATAAAAAGCCGTCTTGCGATAACCGCTCGCTTGGAGGACGTCGCAACCAATGGAGCACGCGCAGCTCACAGAGGAGGAGCTTCAGCAAAGTGCTGCGCTATCGGAGGACGAAGAATCCCTGGGCAAAGCCCACACTAAGAGGCGGCGCATGCGTGATACAACCGAAGGATCTACTGATGACGATATCGAGATGACCAACGCCGACGAGGAGGCGCATAACCGTCCAGCATCTGAAGATGATGCTAGCGACGACGCCGAGGGCGAAGATGAGGATGTTGACGCGGACGGAGAGGCTGACGAGGATTATGACTTAATGAACGGCGCTATTGCGAATACCACCGAGGTTCCTGACGATGAAGATGCCGAGGGAGAGGAGGACGACGAGGAGGGTGTTGGCGCGGTAAAAGTGAAGCCGGGCGAGACAGATGACGAGGAAGAAGACTCCGCGAGCGACGCATCCGAATCTCAGACTGCTGATGGCGAGTCAGATGGTGATGCAGCGTGGGAAGAAGATGATGAAGTCGCCGGGAACGAAGATGAGGACGATGAGGAGTCTGCCAGCGAGGCGGCAAATGCCTGCATCTTCTGTAGGAAGGACCCCGAGACTGATGCAAACGGCGAGCCCGTCGTACAACTCACCTGCACCTCCTGCGGCGAAACCGGTAAGTTGAATTTTGCTCTCTTGCTTGCGATTTACGTGGAGGTGGATTGCCGGCTGACGATGTTTGCTTAGCACACCAGCATTGCGCCCGGGATGCGCGCGCCACGACTTCTAAGACCTGTAAGTTTTTTCTCATTACGACTTCAGATTGCTGTAGGTTTTCGAACCGCTAACTAACTTCTCTAGCCGCGACCAACTGGAAATGCCCTGAATGCGCAGATGATGAGGAAGATGACGAACTTTTGTCCAACGCTAGTGATGGCTCGGCTGGGGTGGAAACTGACCGTAAATCCTCTGCATCCAACCTCGAAATAGTTGCCTCTGCTTCGGCTATCCACAGACGAGATGGCCAATCAGCATCTGGTGGTAGTAGAGAAGTTTCTGAAGGTGATGCCTCAGAAGGTCCCCGTCATCTTCGTAAACGGAAAACATCACCTGTGGATTCGGGCGAAGATGGAGTTATGAATTTGCGGAAACGCAGGCGCCACCCCTCAGATGATGATCGTCAGCAGTCGCAAGAGGGAACATCAGGGGATGATCCATCGGGCCGCCCTTCCCGAACACTAAGGCTCAGGATCGCACGACAAAAGCCTGTGACAATATCGAAGCCATCTTCCTCCTCCATCTTGGTAAACATGCGAGTCAATAGCGACGCGCTCCGCACGGCACTCTCCCAACGCTATCTACCAGACCGCAAACGATCTAACCGAGTGGTCACACCGAGACCTTCAAGGACCAACGGCTCAAGAGCAACGCGGGAATGGAGCCCTGGACCCCTAATCGCGCCGTTCGTGTCAACCACTTATTCACAACCATTTTATTCATTCTTTGATAAGGAGTCGGATGAGGTTAAAGGAAAGCCGTATGGCGGAATCCTCAGTGAATCCGAGGCGGATACGTCGAAGACGATGCCCGACACCGGGGACAGGCGGCGCTTCGACGAAGCGAAGCAACGAGCGGAAGCTGAGTGGAAAGCACGTATCATTGCCATGCAAGAAGAGATACAGATGCCTGTCAAGAAGCCGAAGAAACCGGCTGGTCCTGCCAGCCAAATCGAGTGTATCGAATTCGGCGGATGGGAGATTGACACATGGTATGCTGCGCCCTACCCAGAAGAATACAGCAGGAACCGCGTGCTGTATATTTGCGAGTTCTGCCTGAAGTACATGAACTCGGACTACGTCGCCTGGAGGCACAAACTGAAATGCCCTTCGAAACATCCACCGGGAGATGAAATCTACCGCGACAATTCAGTCTCAGTCTTCGAGGTTGATGGGAGAAAGAACCCGGTATACTGTCAGAACCTCTGTCTTCTGGCCAAGCTATTTCTGGGATCTAAAACTCTATACTATGACGTAGAACCCTTTCTGTTCTACGTCCTCTGTGAATACGATGAGCTCGGGTACCATTTTGTTGGCTACTTCTCGAAAGAGAAGCGGTCGAGCAGTCAAAACAACGTCAGCTGTATCCTAACATTACCAATTCACCAGCGGAAAGGCTACGGAAACCTTCTCATTGACTTTTCTTACCTCCTTACAAGAGCGGAGCGGCGGACGGGTTCACCCGAGAAGCCACTCTCGGATATGGGTCTTGTCTCCTACCGCAACTACTGGCGCTTGATAATGTGCAAGTACCTTCTGGAGCAAGCGGAGAATGGGGACAAGGCCAAGAAGCAAGGGCTCAGCATACGGAAGATATCAGAGGACACCGGCATGACGGCAGACGACGTGATATCTGCGCTCGAGGGTCTCAGATGTCTCGTCCGGGACCCCCAGACCAAGCTCTACGCATTTAGGGTCGATCTCAGCTTCTGCAAAGAGTATGTGGCCAAGTGGGAATCCAAGAACTACGTTAAGCTTAACCCGAATGCGTTGACTTGGACGCCCTACGTCATGGGTCGCAGCAGCGCGATGAACTTTGAGCTCGGACCCGCGATCAATGCAATTGCGCCTCGTGAGGAGGACGATAATGTTGAGCCTCCCAGTCTCGAGGCGCTGCCTGACGCCGCCACTAATACCGAGCTTCCCAACGGTCACGTCAACAATGACTCTCAAAAGCCCAGACCGGAGAATGGCCTCGTCAATGGAACTACTGCTGAGGACAAAGAGAATAACCAAACGGATGGTGCTGAGCGCAAGGAGGGTGATTGCGAGGCGCAGAAAGCTGAAGGCGATCCTCCCAAGGAAGAAGCATGGAGGGCGCCGTACAAAGGTATACCACCTACGCGGTTCGAGATTTTCCCTCCTGTTGTCGGCGCCCGTCGTGTGGAAGCCAAGCCTCGGCCGAGTATCGTACGGACACCTACCGTGCCAGTGGCGGTTAGCACACCTAAGCCGCGTGTTTCGACTGGTGGCGGCAGCGTTGCCAGCAGCAACAAGCGGCGGGTTAGCACGGCACGACCTAAGTCTAAGAGCAGCACGTCTCGTCGTAAGCCTGGCGGAACGGGCCGTGGTCCCGGTCGATGGCCCAAGGGAACGAAGAAGAGCGACTACGGTAATGCCGACAGTGGTCCGGGTCTTCCTCCTGCTTGGATCGAGCGGCAGCGGCTGGCAGAGCTCGCGGAGAAGAAAAAGCGGGAAGGCAAGTCTACGACGTCGTCCAACGACGATTCCAAGGAGATGAAGGATGTCGTCCGCGTGCAGGTTGATGAACGAAAGTCGGAGGCCAATCAAGATTCCGTGATTGTCAAGGCACCTGGAGGCGGCGATAATGGAGAGGCGAGAGGAGCGTCAGTGGAGAATACAGGCGATGGCATAGTAGTTGATGGCGGTGGTGACGATGGAGAGATGGATGCAGAGGGAGAGGATGAATGATTTGTTCTTTAGCGTTGCGTTTCTGGTTTCTTTTTCTTTTCTTCCTTTTCTTCTTCTTCACAGCACTGCTTTAACACCAACTTCTTCACTTGTCATTATTGTTGAGATACCTTAAAAGATTAGATGGAAGACGACTCGGTCAGACCGGCTCAGGATGTCCAACGCGTGTCTCCTGCTAAACCTGTATTAATATAACAAGACCTTTAAATGTCAACTGCCCTCAATATAACTTGCTGTGTTGGTCGCCTTGCCTAGTGGGCGCTGATATTGAGAATCGTGGAGATCAAGGGCGAAGCTTCTTAGCGGGGCGATGTCAATGATCGTACATCTACGGTACCTTATCTCTGATGTCATGTCTGACAGAATCCGCAGTCCTTTGGTTGTACTTCGTACACTACGTACCTACACCGTGCTAGCCCCTCGCAAGCCAAGAGGGGGCCTATTAATCATCTGGGAGCAACAAAGTTCCAGAAGAAAATGCTCAGGTAAGCTAAATGAGAGTTGGACAGTGTGGGGTCATAGTGAGCTGGCAAATGTTGGATGCACTGTATTGCGTACTGCGTACTTCGTAGTTTGTCGTTCGTACTTTCGCTAACTCGGAAGAAGGCAGAGTCATTCTTGCCATCTCCTCATGTACCAAATGTAACAAACGTACATAATAACCTCAATGACAATGGCCCATTTGGATTAGAGTCTTATTACTCATTTGGTGTATTGAATTTGAGGGTCGCACTAGGACTCTCCGTTCCAACAAACCCGTCACCTAAGTACTTCATACTTGCTGCTGTCAGCCTGTATCGAACAAGTACCTTGGAGACCAGCAGCCACGCAAGGCACAGCACTGCCCTCTCTCTCCTCTCCTAATCTCAATTTGTATCTGGAACACCCAAATATTCTATCCTTGCCACCCTTTTTGTCTGAGGAAATCTGCCTCGAAAACCTTTATGCGGGAATACCAAACGATCGGCTGACGACCGACCTTCTATCCAAACTCAGCGAATCCGAAATCCGAACCGCCAGGCCTCGCCCCTAGCGCCCGCCCCAGCCATCGATTTCGCCTTGTGTCGCAATCTAGTTTACCATTAAGCTGGGTACCGCCAACCGAACTCGTTCCAACGGGACATACTCCCACACATCCCCATCACCAGATTTGGAAGTCGGTCGCAGCCAGAAGCTCCAAGTTCGAGCATATTTCAAAAGTTGCAACCCACACTTCCCTCACAAGCCGCCGTCCCTGTGACCATCCACTCGCCCATCCCAAACCATCAACTTGGGCTTTTGAAAGAGGGCGGAGCTTTGGCCAAACGTCCCTTAGTTTTCCCCCCCTTTGATTTTTGAACCTAAGGTTGTTCTTCCCCCTCCTCTCGAAGTTAGGGTCCCTTGTGACGTTCGCACCGTTTTCGCCGAACGCGCGTCGCCGGCTGCCAGCGAAATCTTACTCGCCGCCGCCTTCTCTTCGAATCATCGCCTCCCCTTCGTCTCCCAAGAGCAGAGTCGCGCCAGTCGTTTATGGGTGAAGCCCAAAAAGTTCTCTACCTTCCGTATCCCACAACCACTGCGGAGTTACCGAAGTTTTCTGCGCTGCGCTGCGCTCCTCCTCCCGATCCTCTGGCGACTTGTTTCCCCATCGATATCGATCGTCCGATTAAGCCATAGGCGATCGCACCTCATTCCGTCCTTCCACCTCCGTAACGCCTGCCGCGGGACAGTATCATCGCCACGATTTTCCTGGCTCCCTAGTTCAGAAGAGCCGAAGCTCGCCGTTCAGGCTCAACATTAGTATCATCATAGCAGAGCGTTGTTTCCACATAGTTGCCCACCATGGCGACTCTTATGCGAAGCGTGAAGAATGTCACCAAGGGCTATTCTAGTGTCCAGATCAAGGTCCGAGAGGGTGGGTAGATATCAAATGCCCTTGTCCCAAGGGTTGCAAGTTTGTCGTCGCGCGGGTTAGTGTACTGACAGTTTATATCTTCTAGCCACGAGCAATGACAGCTGGGGTCCGACGGGTACTCAGATGAGCGAGATTGCCCAGTTAACTTTCAACCCGTATGTTTGGCTGTGGCGTGCAGTCTCCGGTCTCCCTCTCTGATAGTTGTTTCCTACGGCTACTAACGTGTATGGATGTAACGCCTTTTTAGAAGTTCCGATTTCGTCGATATTATGGATATGCTCGACAAAAGGCTTAACGACAAGGGAAAGAACTGGCGACATGTCCTCAAGGCTTTGAAGGTTCTCGACTACTGTCTGCATGAGGGATCCGAAAGAGTCGTAACCTGGGCCCGTCAGAACATCTACATTATAAAGACATTGAGGGAGTTTCAGTACATTGATGAAGAGGGAAGAGATGTGGGCCAAAACGGTATGCGCGAACACCGCTTCCTTCCTTAGCGAGGAGCACAATTTCTATCGTAATGTAGCGGCTAACATATCGGTGGTTTCTAGTCCGGGTGGCTGCAAAGGAGTTAACGGCTCTCATCATCGACGAAGAGAGGTTACGAACCGAGCGGACGGACCGTCGGTCCTGGAAATCGAGGGTAACAGGTTTAGAAGAATATGGACCCCCGCATGGAGAGGATCGCCCTCGACAGCGACCGCGAGACCGGGAACGGCCACGCCAGGCGAATGACGATGAGGATCTTGAGTACAAGCTAGCGATCGAAGCTAGCAAGGCGCAAGAAGAGGAGGACAGGAAGAAGCGCGAGAGCAGGTCGCACATGGATAGTGAAGATGACGACCTGGCCAAGGCCATAAAATTGAGCAAGGAGGAGGAGGAACGCCGCCGAAAGGAGCTCGAGCAGACGAATGCCTCCTCGCTATTTGACGACGACCTCATCCAGGTGAACCCCCCACCGCAGCAGCAGTTCACCGGTCTCAATCAAGGCTATCAGCAGGGCAACCCGGTCGACTTCTTCGCCAACCCTATCGACCCCAACCAGATGCAAGTTCAGCCGACGGGCTACATGCAGAACGCGTATACGGGATTCCAGCCTCAACAGACGGGCTACCCTGGAACGTACGCCAATGGGTTCGGTATGCAGAACAACTTGTTAGACCCTTACGCCCAGCAGCAACAGCAGGCATTGCAGCAGGGATTCCAGGCCCAGCCGACCGGCTATAACCCCTACGCTCAGCAACAAGTTCAGTCGCCCCTCCAGCAGGAGCCGACACTGCAGCCCGGCAGCAACAATCCTTGGGCCACCAACAACAACCAGCAGCAGGGTCTCAAGCCGACCCCTACCGGTTCCAACAACCCATTCGCCAACTCCTTCAACCGCCAGCAATCGACAAGGACGCCGATCTCGACCCTCGGTACTCTCCCCGAGCAAAAGTCCCTCTCGTCGTTTAACTCTCAACCATTCAACCAACCATCACCCCAGCCTGTCGTCCAACAGCAACAACCGAGCTTCCAACAACCGCAGAAGGAAATGACGGAGCACGAGTCCAAGCTAAACGCTTTGCTCGCTACGGGAGACGGCCTGGACACATTCGGCAACACGGGCAATCTCAGGATTCCCGCGCAGCACACGGCTCCCGGCACGTTCGTCAACAGTGCGGGATCTGGTGTCCAGAGGCTCGGCGCCGAAGTTACGGGCCACAACCCGTTCCTAAGGAACCAGTTTACGGGCATGCCGACTGTCACGTATAATAGCCAAGTACCGGCTGCGACCGGACCGGCTAGCATGGGAGCCAGCAACCCGTTTTCCGGGAACAGGCCACAGACTAACCAGGACCTTATTCAATTTTAATGCGAACAGTGTTTAGAATGCAATATCTGGGGAAGAAAAAGAGAGGGGGTTGGGGGGGTGCCCTTTTCCAACCCTAGCCCTTTTACAGCTTTTCTGTTCCTCAACTGAGAGGCCTTTACTGCGTATTCATCACCATTACCCTTTCCCTCTTCTACTTTCTTCGTCAAATCTTGACCACTCCTCTTTATTCAAAGCCCTATCTTCGACTTTTTCCTTTGTTCTAACAGTTACAAATGGGTGGGAGGGATTCCTACAATCCCTCATTTGGTTCACTGCTTTTTTCTCTCTCTTTCTCTCGCTCTGTTTTTGTGTTTTTCCTCTATTGGTTGATGTTTTGCCTTCGTAACGCACAGAAACGCCCTTCCGTCTCTATGCCTCTTGTTCGTTTCACTCCCTGGTTTTTTCTTCCCGGACTTCCTCCTTTTTCTTTCCCACCCCCTTTTTTCCATATTTTCTAAAAGTAACACTCGTCATCATCATCATCATCATGGTATATACATATTTGATCCGCGTCCAGAGGTGGAAATCCCCACAGAAACAAGAAAAAAATCAGGAAAAAAAAAAAAGTGAAGAGAAGGGGCCGATCTCTCTCAATGAGAGAGAGGAGAGAGGGGGAAGAAGAAGATGGGGTAGTTTAATGAAATATATGGAGAAAGATGGTTCTTTTTTTTTTCTTGTGTGAGATATCTACATTGTGCTTGTGGTTTTGATTTCGTGATGGTTTTTTTTGATTCTTAGAATGAACTCTTAAGAGAATATAGAGTCTGGCCAGACTATGTCATATGTGTAGTGCAATGTCGAGAGCCTGTTTCCACTTCCTGTTACTATCTTCTGAGATAATGAGATGAGGTTGTATTCGACCAGTGGTCGTTCAAATTCGCTAGCAAAATGGCGGAGGCGCTGTCCCAGTTGACAACTCTCATGAACCAGACTCTCTGTGTAAACGCTCTAGTAAGACTTTTGCCTTTTCTCTATAGATACAATTTATAAGAATACAAATTTTCTCTTCCCTTCTTAAACAGTCCTTTCCTACCCACATAACAAAGAAAAGAAAACACCAGATAAGCCGAAACGAAAACGTTCTAACCCTGTTCTTCTTCTTCCTCCTCCCCTGCCAACATCATTCCCCGCTCGCCAACTCATCAAGCGTGTCGTCTTCCTACTGACTCGCGCTCAAATCCATCGGCTTCTCCCACAAATTCCTCAAAGCGACAGCAATCCTATCATCCTCCTCCTCAACAAGCGAGGCGCCGCTCAACCGATCCGCAATCACGCCCGGTTCATCAGCGTCGAAGCTCGCTGTGGTAGAAGTCATGGCGCGAGCAGACTGGGGGCGCAACGGCGTCGTGGGCCGTCTAGTACCGTGAGGGAACGGGTGGAGATCGCGATGATCCCTTGCGTTGGGAACACCGAGGTTGCTACTCGCCGTGCGTGCGTGATGACGGGCATGGGATATGCCGCCGATGGGGTCCGGGGTGGCGGGCGTCGGGGGCGTGGGTAATCCGTTGGCAGCGCCGCGGGAGGGGATCTGCCTCGGACGATCGGAGCCTTGGGTTTGTGCGAGGCGGTTGAAGGAGCGCACGACGGGGTTTTGGTAGCGGCGGACGACGCGATATTCCATTCCGGTGCGGTCGAGGAGACGGCTTACGCGGGGGTCGCGGCTGCTAGCGCCATCGTAACCTCCACCGGGGACGTTGACTAGGGGGTTCGCGCCGGGGATACCCATCCCCATTCCCATTGGGATGATACCCATGCCCATGCCGCCTACCCCAACGGTGGCCGCGTTCATGGGCTGGCCCGGCTCGATGACGGAGGAGGCACGCTGGAGATTGAGTTTCTGTTGAGTGCGGGAGGTTTCGGCAGGGGGAGCGGCGGGTCGACGCCGGCGATTCCGGTCGCGCGTGTCATCGCTGTTTTCGGCGGAGGACACATCGTTTCGACGAGCGTTAGTTAGACCGGCCAAGGATCTAGGGCGGCGAGGAACTTTGTCGTCTAGTGAACGAGTAGCGCCTCCGGCAGAGGGTTCGTGGGTGTAGAAGGAGCCATCACGGTGGAGGTTCGAGCCTGGGCGAGTGATGAAGCGGGAGGTGAGGCCATCTTCGCCGGCGGGGGTGTTCACTACGGTGGTGTTGGTGAGGGGCGTAGGCGGGGCGGTCGATTCCTGGGACATTGTGCCGGGTGGTGAATTCTGCGATTGTGATAGAGGTACGGAGACGGTGGTGGATGACATTTGAGGCGGGACGCCCTGTGAGGGGATTCGTTTCAAGAGACGTGACGTCAGGTATTCCTTGTGCAGCGCAATTTCGCGGTCCGCAGAGGACATGACGGGGCCAGCCTCGGGAGGATTGTTTCCGGTAGAGTCACCGTTTGCGGCTGGTGCAGCGTCGCGATCGTGGGGGGAGCGTATAGGGGGTTTGGGAAGCGGATGCTGATCGCGGGGGGTGTTCGGGTTGGGCGTAGAAGTCGTAGTATCATCAACCCACTCGTCGTCGTCGTCTTCTTCAGGCTCCCCGTCTTCGTCTTCGTTGTCTTTACCGGTTCCCAGCTCGAATTGCACGTTCGATGGATGGGGGTGGACGAGAGCGTGCTTCTTGACGATGCGCGGTTTATGGGAGGTGACGGCGCGCAGGCGATCAAACGACTTGTTCCGCTTCGCAATGTCGTGATGCGAACGATTGCGCTTCAGATTGGTCGCCGAGGAGTCGCGGATGAGCTTTACGTCGGATTGAGAGCGGCGATGAGAAGATGCGGGTTGATTGGCCTGGGCGCGCGCAGTGGTCGTGGTCAGGGGATCGGTCGCGGCGTGTTGCGGCGGGTGAGGTCTCCGTGACGTGGTTGCTACCTTTGTGGAAGCGGTGGCATGGTGCTTGAGGGCTTTGGATGATGGAACTCGAGTGTGTAACCGACCGGTCGGGGCCACGACGGGTGCGACGTGTTTCTGGTGCTTCGGTCGCTGATCGTGCGTCGTATTGGTGGTGGCGGCAGCAGCGGCAGTTGGGGCCACTGAGGCCGAGGGGGAAGTTGTAGAAGGAATGGGAGGGGAGGGGCGGAGATGGGACGCCTCGTCTGTCGCTGATGTTTGCGGCCGTTCCGGATTTCGACGGTCGGCATCTGGGTGTGGAAGGGTTGATTGTGCGGCGGTGACTGTTGTGGTGTTGGGCATAGGTGTGGTTGTTGTCGTGTAACCTGGTGAAGCGCCACCTTGGCCAGGAGTCCCAGGACCTGGTGTCTTCTCTGTATGTGTTTGTGAATCTCGCAGTGGGTGGGCCATCCTTTATTTCCTCAATCAATCAACTTGCTGCTGAATGTTTGCCTGCCCAAACCCCTTATTGTTCTTGTTTGCCGAGTAGCAGTTTGTACTGCCCTGAGCTATTATTTTTTCTGCCCTGAATTTTCAAGCTTTCGGAGGGTCGGTTGGTATTTCAATGGTATCAATTGGTGCTGTATGACCGGGCTTGGCCACACCTTGTGTGTACCTCGTATGAGTACTTCGCATGCACGACAACGAAGAATGCAAGTGATTGTCCCGAGCTTCCACACTTCAAGGCTCGGACTCGACCTCCGGGACCTGTTCCGTCTGCTGCAATGCCAGGCTGTGCGCGATCCGGCTCTCAACTGGGGCGGGAAGCTCAATAGAGTAGGGGCAGGAATTGAAACAAGATGGGAGGAAAATTGAGCGCAGGGTTGGCGAACGTGAACGCGGAGACGAGGTAAGGAGACAAGAGGAGCTTTGGGCCTGGGCTCGCGCTTGAGCTTGGAAAGATCAATTTGAGTGGAAAGTGGGAATGGAAATGGAGATGGAGATGGAGAATAGAAACGAAAGGAACATTTGAGGTCTGAAGTTTAGGAATTCGGTCTAAGTCAGCAAGGTCAAAGTTAAGGAAGGTCCAAGTCTTAAAAGTCTTGGTCACGATAAAAGCATAAGTAAAAATTGTATGACTCTGATTTGACTTTCTAGCTCAATCCGCCCACGAGATTCCAATGCTGCGTATTGAGCATAGAACCCTGGAGACCCAAACCACAGACCGCGGTCCACAAGAGTCCACAAGAGATCGACCTGTCAAGGTTCAAGTAAGGTAATATCAATCTATTTTACGGGGCAGTCCCAATGGATTTCACCGAGATACAGTTGCAATAAAAGTCCAGGGATCAAGGGGGCACATGTGGTGAGTAGTCTCGAGGCCTGCCAGGTAGTATTGGACTTGGATAGACGGGAAGACCGAGTTGCGTCCCATCGTTAATAAGACGGCGGTGAGGGAGAGAGAGGGGGACGAATCCGAAAAGGACGAAGAACGAAGAAGGACGGGAATGAAAGTATGAAGAGAGCCGGGCATTTAAAAGATCGGCAAGTTTTTTTCGCCCATCGAAGAAGCCCACCCAAAAAAAAAAAAAAAAAAAAAAAATAAAATAAAATAAAATAAAATAAAAAAATAAAATAAAATAAAATAAAAAAATAAAATAAAAAATAAAATAAAAAATAAAAATAATAATAAATCGAGCAGAAGGTAAGTCCTAATCAAGGCAAATATCAATTTATCTAATACCACTCCATCAACATCAATGTCAGCCACCATATTGATCAATAAAATCTTCAGTACATCCCCCGTCCTGGCAGCCCTAGAATCCAGATGCCTTCATGCCTTGGGATGAACAATAAAGCGGTTGAGGGAGATGCTGATTATATAACTAACGTTACGACGTTATTGTTCCCAATGAATGCATGAGCAGTTTTGGCCCAAATAAGGAGGACCTCATTATCAGAGGCTTAATATTTCAGCAACACTTCAAATTTGATTCCTCCTGTTGAAACAGCTGCAACTGTCGCATGGGTTCTATTTCTAGATTTGCAATGTTCGATGTTCCTTCGAGAAGCTCCTTAATATTTCCAACCCCTGACGATAAACTCTTTCCATTTCTGTCATTGCCGATAATTTCCCGGCTTCTGTTTGAGAATTCAGGCCAGGAGCTCCATCTCCACATGGATCTCCGCGACACAGTGGCTTCTCACCCAACATCGCTCTGTCGGTTCAAACATTTGTTGGGACCAATACTAGGATTCAAGCAGGGCTAATCTCTTCGTCGACCTTGAAGTGGCTGGAGGCTCGGGTTAACAATCTTTATCGACCGCTTCGGTACTCTACGACATCGATGGTCCCAAGCCAGCGGTGGAGAGACGGGCCTTTTTCATCCATCTCCTTCAACAGTGAAAGCCACTCTTTCCATAACCTCTGCGGCTCTCGAGTGACAGATACCTTGTTTGTTTGTGAAGAAGCTGCACTATCATGCCATTCTTCCCCATAAGGAAGAACCGCCTTCGGAAACCTAGTCGCAGAAGAAAAGGTCACAGAACGAACGTACTCTTGAGGCCTCAGGCGTCGTAAATGTTGCCCAAATCCTCTTCATATTCAGCGTCCTCTTCGTACTGAGCAGTCTTTTCCTGTTCAGCGTTCTTTCCCTTTTCGGCGTTCTCTTGATCGGTGCGCTGTGCGGAGAGAAGACGTAGGATCTTTCGATTCTCCTGCTCTAATTCGCTAAGTCGCGTTTCGACGCCATTGCTCCAATCTTGATAAGCTTTGAGTTGAGCTTTGATGTTGTTTTGCTCGGCGATGAGGTGCGGCATGTTGGGCTCCCCAACTCGAATGCCCGTCTCGACAGCTCGGACTCTTGTGCTGATCTGGACCAGGTTGTCTCCAAACCGTTTCATGGCGTCACGAATGTTGACCGTGGCGGGAGCTTCATCCTCTGGTTCACGATTCTGAGCGTCAATGGCAGGTGTGGGATTCTCACACAGATCCTCACTGTCAAGGTCGGCCAACATATTGACATAGGAGGGAGGAAGGGATTCTTTTTCGTGGCAGAACTTGGCCGCCATCACTTCCTCTCTCTTGGGAAGCTTGTCGGCCCAAGGCAATCCGCGGTTCTTCGCTTCCATGGCTTTGATGCACCGGGTTCGAATTTTTCTCAGGGTCGCGTGGCTCGTGTAATCTAGACTGCCCTTGTCACACATGTAGTCAATGTGCGCTTGGATCTGGTGGAGCTCGAGATCCTGGTCGCAACCCTCGTAAGCTTTGAGTGCAGCGGCGTGGGCCCTTTGCCTGACGGTGATGTCCCAGTGCTCCAGTTTTGTCTTTTCGAATGCTTTCGTTCCTCTGCCAGACCGGCTCCGGCTACGTTGTCGTGAAGGAGTACTGGGGCGAGTCCGGGTGTTGTTTTCTGGCTGGGCTAAAGCATTCCGGTCTTGTTCCTTTTGCGCCTCTGTGTCCGTAACGGTTGCATTGCTGCTATCCGCAGAATGAGCAGAATCAAGGACATTGTCCTCGTTACCCTCAGTGGAATTGCCTTCACGAGAGGCACCATGACTAACAGGCTTGGGAGCAGCCTTTTCGCAAGTAGCCTTTTGGCTAGTTGAGACTTCTCTATTGCCATTGTCTATGGCTGAACCCTCAATCATTCCTTCAGTCTCAGCTCTGTTCTGGCTTGTAGGAGCAGCATGGTGAATAGCAGGCTCCGGGACGGCCTTTTCACTAGGGGGAATCAGATCTTAAGTTATAATGTTAATAACAGAGTTGCTGTCTATCATTCCTGGTGACTCAGTCAGATTCCAGAACTCACCTTGAGAGGATGTCTGCAATAGGCCCCGGTTGGTAGAGGGACTACGGTTTCCATAGGGAATGGAAGCAGTATTCTGGCTGCTGGGGGACTGGTTACTGTGATTTTGATGCTGATGCTGCTGCTGTTGCAGCTGATACTGCTCATTCAGATTATGCCAGAGAGGTTGGAAGTGCGGAAGCTGCTGGGGCTGGTGGGGGTTATAAGAGGGATAAAACGGGGGAGAGTTCTGAAACTGTTGGAGTGGATAAAATTGATTTGGAGGATAGAACGTATAAACTGGTGGGAAGTTCTGCTGCTGGTGCTGGTGCTGAGGGTGCTGGCTCTGGTTCTGTGGATACTGATTCTCTTGCTTAAGGTTCTGTGAGTTCTTCGAAGAAGAAGAAGAACTGTGTGAGACAGGTGCAGAAGGGCGCTGATCCTTGTGGTGGTGACTGTCCTTTGCACCCTTTGAACCACCCTCGGTTGGATTTGGATTCGGCATAGTGGAAAAAGAAAAGAAACTTGGAATAGTTTGAGGTATGGAAGAGAAGGTTGAAAACACAATACCAAAAACGGTATGTTGGGGATGAAGAATATGATATGGTTTTGAAGAGAGTTGAGGAAGTAGAGGAGAAACCTGGTGAGCGAGCCCTAACTTCAGCTTGTGCAAGACACGAGATGGACTCAACATTCCCACGACAAAGGGCTTGATCATCATTTTAGAAGGAGAAGGACGTGTATCTACAAGTTGAGTGAAATATAGCTCTTTCTAGTCTACTCTGATCCATCACCATGTGTGTGTGTGTGTGTTGTTGTTGTTTCCCTTTGTAGTTCTGGCAGGCTCTCCAAGTCTCTGCGTTTATAAAGATTTTGGGAGCTTCTTAGACGAAAATGCACTGAGACTCTACATGATGAAACAAATCCAATATCGTGAGTGCCAGGAGCTGCTAGATATAGACGAAGCTAGACGAGTCAAGGTGTTATTGTTATCTCGAGTAAAATCGTATCGAAGGCACTCTCAAGCAAGCAACCCAGCCTCTCATGTTCGAGCGCTGGCTCTCGGCGGTCAGCGAGTAACTTTGCTTTATGAAAGCCTTTTGATATTGAGACGAGAATTTCTATAGTATTTATTAGCAATGTTGCAGACTGTAAGATGAATAGGACCAAAAGGACGGCGTCTATTCGCCTTTGCTTTCGCTGAGATCGATCCATCGAGCATCTACTCCTTCGCCACAGCAGCTTCGCCGGTGGACTGCATTCTCTACTCTCCGATGAAAATGGATTTTATGCAGATGGCGAGCATTGGAAATATTCGGACATTCATTTACATGTAACCGACGACGGCATTCAAACCTAGAGCTTCAATGACTTCAATGTTGGAGACTTGGACTTGGGTTGTCTTGAGTGGAGTCGGGACTGGGCCAAAAATCACATGACTGAGCCTGTACTGTGTACAAGTACTATGTACCTAATAATTCCTCGGGACGTTGATGAAGCATCAAGATTGAGACTGATTACTTCATCGGTGGACGACATCCGCTCAATCAACCCACCTCTGCCCCATCGACGAAACCACCACGACCAACAACTGACGCACCTTGGAACAATTAGAGCAGCCTTCTTCAAATATACTAACACCAAAGGTCTTCCATTATTCCTCAATATGGCGAGCCAGATTGCCAGTCTCGAGGAGGATAAGAGAGCATACTGCGAGCAGGTAAGTACCATACCTTTGGCAGCTGACTACCCTCTTCCTGGACCAGGCTCCTAACATACCCAACCAATATAGCTCGACATCGTCGAAGCCCAGTTAAGAGATGACCCCGGAAATTCCGAGCTCCAAAGCCTCCAGTCCGAGCTAAAGGACATGATCCAACTTCTCGACGAGTCCCTCTCCGAGTTAAAGCCCAAGCAAGCTCCCAAACCAGCGCAAGCGCCGAAGCAACCCTCGCCTCCCCCGACGCAAGATAGGTGGCAACGTGAAAAGCCATCTGGTTTCAAGAAAGTAACAGGCCCATCCTCCGCCGACGTATCGGCCTCTTCGGCATCCGCTACCCCCGCCGAAGAAGAGCCCGCGATCGCGTATCAAGTCAACGATGAAGTTCTCGCAAAGTGGCTGTCGGGTGATAAGAAGTTCTGGCCCGCTCGCATCACATCCATAACAGGCTCATCATCGGCCCCGATTTACCTAGTCAGGTTCAAGAGCTACAAGGGCACCGAGACCTTGCGGGCCAAGGATATTCGACCCATCTCCCACAAGCGCAAGGCTGACGGTCCTCCAGCTACTTCTACCACTGCCGCCACTACGGCCTCTACCACCACCTCCAGTGGCGCCTCAACCCCCGGCGCCGCTCCCGCTAACCCCCCGAATGCTGCGCAGTCCGGTGCTTTCACATTCACCTCGGCACCTCCTCCACCCCCTCCCGGTTCGAATAATGGCATAGTCTTGTCGGCTGCTGCCAGCCGGTACCCCGAGCAGCCCAAGGGAAATGAAGCTGAGACGAACCCACAAGCCGCCCATGGAAAACCTCCTAGGGCAAAGAAGATCAAGGCTAACAAGGAGCTCGAAGCTGGAAAGAGCAAGTGGCAAGAGTTTAGCGCCAAGTCCAAGGCGGGAAAGTCTTACAAGAAGGAGAGCATGTTTCGCACTCCCCAAGGTATCCATGGAAGAGGTTCGTCTCCATACCTACATACTGAGAGAAACTATTTACTAACGTCCCATCTTCTTTTTTTTTTAGTTGGATTTACTGGATCTGGCCAAGCCATGCGCAAGGACCCTACCCGCAGTCGCCACATCTACCAGACCAACGAAGACCTCGATTGATCAAGTTCTAAAGCTAGTTCTTAGGAATCCGAGTCTTCTTCATTCTTCTTTCCCCAGCCTGCTTTCCTGCTTCGCATACGCGGCTGCTTTCGTTGGCGATCGGTTCGCCCGCTTTGACTTCGCGTCGACGTTACGTTCACTTGAGCACGAGGGCGTTCCAGATGGAGAACGCAGGTTCTTGGCTAGGGAAGGCCATCACACGAGGGGGGGTTTATTCTTCTTCAACTCGGTAACCCTTATCTGAACTTTTGCATACGCGGAGGCTAACCTATTGGGCGTTGGGAGTCCGTTTACGAATGTGGGATAATGCGTCATGGTGACCTTCTGGTGCCCATATCTGTGCACTGAAGGGCGAATGACTAGAAAAGGAGAGCTAAAAGGGTAGCTAGACAAGAGAGCGAACGGCCCTTATTTTGATTTAGTCTATGCAGTGTACAGAAAAAAAATGAAATGAACATGCCCTTTTCATGACGAATCTCATGATATCGACCACTGTTGTTCCTCCATTGGTGGCATCAAGCTAACTCAATCTTATCCGCAACCCTCTTCGCAAAATCCATATATATCCCCGCAACCTTCCCCTCCGGCTCCGACACCACAATCGGCTTCCCCTGCTCGACCGAATCCCCTATGCTCGCATCCAGCGGCACGTCTCCAAGGAACTCGATGTCCTGGTCCTTGCAGATGGTAAGGGCGCGATCGGCGGCGCCGAAGACGTGGTGAGACGAGGAGCAATGCGGACAGGTGTAGAGGGACATGTTTTGAATGAGGCCGAGGATGGGAACCTTGAGGCTGCGGAACATGTTTATTCCTTTGATGGCGTCTTTCACGGCGAGGGTGTGTGGGGTGGTTATTATTATGGAGCCTGTTTTATTCCCTCTTAGTATTTAACCGTTTTCTGGGAAGTAGAGGTGCCGTAGAGAAGAAAAGGGATTCCGAAGATGCGACTCACCATCAAGGATGACCTGCTGGGAGATGGTGAGTTGAGTATCGCCCGTCCCAGGCGGTAGATCTAGAACCAACACATCGATGCCGCCCCAATCTACCTCGTGGAGAAGCTGCTGGATAGCTTTCATGACCATCGGACCGCGCCATACGACGGGGGCATCTTCACCGACGAGGTAACCCATAGACATGGTCTTGACACCGTAGTTCGTCAATGGGATGAGTTGGTTATCTTTTTTTTTTTTTTTTAAACACTCAAGTTAGACTTTCATCTGTTGTACGTGATAAATAAGAGGAAGGGCGTGTTCATACTCTGCGATAGCCTCGGCTCGCCGGAGAGGTTGAATATGGTTGGGATAGAAGGACCAAAGATATCAGTGTCCAATATCCCTGCCCTATACCCCATCCTCGCGAACGCAAGCGACAGGTTTGCTTCATACTTCGTTAGCCCCCCGTACGTAAGAAGAGTGAATAATAGAGGAAAACTAACCTGCCGTTGTGCTCTTGCCAACTCCTCCTTTGGCGGATGATACGGCCACGACCTTGCCCACGCCAGCTATTCTACGCCGCTTGGGCGCACGCGGCCAACTTGGCGGTGTTCCTGACCGCGGAAGACCCTGTGAGGCACTTAGCATTCCTCTTTCTTTTTACCCTCTTGCTTTTCTGTTTTCTCCTTCTTGTCTTTCCGTAGCAGTTACTCCTCCATCCGAGATGAACAAATGTTACATAGAACGGGAAAAATATATCTTCAGGTTCCCGAACTCGCCACCTATACGTTGTAGATTTGATACCAAGGGAATGGCACTTACAAGAGGGTTCTCGTGACCCCATATTGACTTCGAGGTCAGGAAAGCTCGGAACGGTGTTGGTCTCATTGCGTGTGGTCTCTTTCTACTTTCCCTTTCTTTCTTCTCCCTGAGTTATCAATTTGTTGAATTTTAGGTGTCCATTCCCTTGCTGTACCTACTACACCGGGTTTCCAGCTCGGGTTGCGATTACAAGTCGTGGTGGCTAACAGTTGGTGAGCTTCATATCTGGCTGCCGCATCTTAATAATGAGAGCTCCAAAGCTCTCGAAGCTGGCATCGAAGAAATGTTAAATCGCAAGGTAGCTCGATGCTTATATAATCACCATCAAGTTTTGTTGGAGCTTGGGCCGCCTTAACTCCAACACACACTTAAGACATCATCACGTCTTGGAACGATCGAGTCCTCGACGAAGGGGAAACAGAATTTGGGCACTTTTGTATTAAGGCCAATTAAAGTAAACTATCTAGTAAGACAAAGACTTCAACAAGTTCTCCCCGGTCCCTTCAAGTGGCGGTGCTCGTGGCATCCGCGTTCTTGATGACAGGGACCTACCTAATGATCCATTATTCCTTCAATACTGCTACAACTTGGTATCCTGCCAACCAAACTCCTCATGCCCCTCGCCCTTTTTCTCTCCTCCGCCTCATAAATTTAACGTGCCATGACCCCCTTGTAATAGGCCAAACTGAGACTCACAGAGTGAGACAGGTGGCTGTCTTCCGTGAGGGGCAGCGCAAGAACTTTAGGAAGAAGTGGCTTCTGTGTGGAAGAGGTTAGTGTCTGCAATTCCGTGTTTGAACGCGCGGGGCAAAGGTGGATTGTCTGGCCTACCTGCTCCTTATCCGTAGAATCAGAAATGACTCTGGCGACAATGCTACTCATCTCCGCCACCGCCGCGTCGTTGTGCGTACTAGACACGTGGTTGTTCTGGAGCCCCGGAAGGCTACTAATCAACTTCTGGAGAAGCTGGGTTGGGACCTTGCTGCGCTGGAATTGGTGGCGCATCAATACAAGGAAATCCTGATAAACCTCACCACCATGAATCCACTCGGCGACGTGGTCTTCTTTACCCTCAAACTTGGAGAGAATATCTGACAGGCCTTGGTAGTCGCGCTCGATGATGGCCTGCGGAGCGACCTGTTCGATGAGCCGTCGATGGGCTTCGCTGAATAGGCCGGCGCGAATGAGACATTGCACTTCCGCCACTGCGTCACCCTCAACGCTGCGCATGTAGAGAGCCTGCGCCTCCCAGATCCAAGCAGCTGGAATCTTGAAAGTCTGCGTAAGAGTAACAACATTGTCGCCGGTCTCGGGACCCAAAAGACTCGCGTGTCGGCACAAGTGATCACGGATGGCCTTTTCCCTTGTCTTCGGGTCCTCGAGGTGAAGGAGCACAAACGTGGCTTCGAGCCAGCTTCCTTCATTAACTAGCTGGGAAGCGAACGAGAGCGTCATAGCATCGCTCTTCTCATTGGACCCGTCACCGTAGTGGACTTTGTTGGTTGATAATAGGGCTTGTCCAAGCTGCCAGGAGAGCCGGACATCAAGCGGAGATAGTTGGGAATTCTCGGGCTGGAGCACGGCATCTAGTGTCTCCGTCTTATCTGAGTAGAGGCGGAGCAGACCCCAGAGCAAATCTTGGCGGTCCTTCGAATTCGGGTCCTTCCAGAGCGGCTCGATCGCCTGTTCTGCGAACCATGGGAGAGGCGGCATCTCCCGAAGTTGTTCGACGTCCTCCTTGAAAAGCTTCACGGCGACGGAAATATCGTCTTGTGGCGCAATGGCGTACCACAGCCGAAGGCCAAAGGCCTGCTTCCAATCGAGTTGGAACTCTTCCGAAATAACAAATGAGTCGAGACGATCCTCGACCGGGACACCCTTCTTTCCTTCGCACACGCAAACATTGCCTGCAAGCATCTCGTACATTGCCCGAATAGGTTGGGCGAATTCCGAGAGCATGTTGGCATCATACCATTCTTGGAGCTGCTCCTTCATAATCTTCTTTGACGAGACACTGGTCCCGATGAGGGCGACTAGAGTTGCAAGATGGAAATCCTTCCCTTGGATGAGATACTTGCACGCCTCTTGCACGCGGTTGCCAGCGAGGGACGCCACCGCTTTCTCCTCGTTTGACTTCGCGAGCCCAATCGATCGAGAAGAAGCGTCGGCGACCAGGTCTTTCCAGAATCGGCTCAGTTCGACCTTGCGAGAAAGATGCTCGGGTTCGTTGGTACCCTCGGGTAGGTCGTCGAAAAGGATGCTTGCAAGTTCCCACACAAGCTTCTCATGTCGCGTGCTAGGGTCGGTTGTATTCCGCTCCTGGAAGGCGGAAGAGACTTTTGTCGCGCTTAGCGATGCCTTGGGAATGCCGTCGGATATGCCGAATTTAGTCTGGCGCACCTGTGTATGAAGCGCGGAAGCCGAAAGCTGGTTGTCGGGTAGGTTAGCAACAAAGCAGTTTGGATCCGTTCACGTCTGGCTCACGCATACCTCGTTTGCAAACTTTGCCATCACCACTCCAGGCGTCTCCTCTTCGAGGCGCCGCTTCTGCAATACAAGCACGTCTCCTGGCTCTTGACCGAGACGATTTTGTGCAATAGCTGACGGTGAAAGCGCTGGCAAAATAAGAGTTCCATCGGGACCCCATCGAGGCCGGGAAATTTTAGCTGCCTCATCTGAGGGTTGTACAACCTTTGCTTGTCGTTCGTAGGGCCACTATAACAAGGACACAGTTGTTTCAGTATAATGTTTAATCATAAAAAAAAAGAATGCTATCAGCCCGATTGCGGGCAGAACACGAGAACAAGACACAGTCGAAAACAGAAAGGACCAAACGGCCATGTCAAAGAAAAGACACCGCCAGTTGTTCTTCTTCATGTAGTTCAAGGATTGCTCTAGGATACAAAATGGGGGTTACCGACCTGAAGAAACCCTCGCGAAGGTGCCTTTTCACGTTCAACTTGGCGCGGCGCCTTGCTTCTTTCAAACAGCGAATTCATGAGGTCGATGCTTGTAGCAAAGCCTCGGCCATCAGATGCCACCTGCGGAAGCGATCGTTTCTCCATCACCGCAGTGGTGGGTGACTCGGGGGGCAGCTGCATCACGGAATCCCGCAGACTCTTTAGCAGAGCCCGATCCCTCTTTTGTGGACTAACCGTCTTCTGCAACATGTCCATCCAATCATCACCATCCGCTACTTGCACCTTGACAGGTGCCGCCGAATCTTTGATGGCTCGCATCCTTGCCCTAAGAATGCCGCCAGGCGTTTCATTAACTTGCATTGCATCATCATCGTCATCATCACCAGGCGAGTACTGGTCTTGCTCCGCGGCTGGATGACGTCTGAAAGAGGTGCCCGTCATGTCCTCGTTTTCAGACGTGTCATATTCGTCGCCAACCTGAGGCTGTTCTACCGACAGCGTCAGTTGTTGTGGCGCCAAACCCGCGGAGCTATCCCCTAAAAAAGACGGCTCGCTGGCAGAGCCAGTAGTCACATCCTCATTGACACCAAAACGCCCAGGAGTAGGGTTAAATGCACCAGGAACCAAGCGGGGGTTCCTCCTGAAGTCAAAGGTATCGTCGACGTCTGATCCCAATGCAGGCGAGTGTTCCTGGTCGTGGGGGTCGAGGGGGGCGTTTGCACCCGCGTCGACGGCGGCGGACTCGCCATCGGACTCGTCATCATAATCGAGCCCGTAGGTAGTGAAATGCTCCACGGAGAACGTCCAGATTCCAGTGTCCTTGTCGTAGCTCTCAAACGTGGTGTCTTCGATCCGCTTGAGCCGCTCGATGTGCTTTGCAAACTTCTTTGCGTCTGTTGTGAGGCGCTTATCGCGGCCACGAGGCCATGACTGCTCAAGAGAGATTTGCGCAGGTACGTTTAGGCCCTTGCCGACAGGTGGCTTCTTGGCTGCAACGGGGTACACGGTCGCGGAACGGGTTTCTAGAACAATGATGCCCCCAAACAGCTCATCGAGATCGATGTTGCTCAAGTCGACTGGAACTTTAAATGCAATCTGGCCGACGTTGTGACGCCCAACGGTGAAGCCAGCCACCTTCTGGCGTTGCATCCTGTTCATGTTTAGGATGTCTTCTTTGGAAGGACGCATCCAGTAGGCGCCCGGGGCCTGGTCAATACCAGCACTTTTGGCCACCTGGACGTCGGGCTGAGGCTCTTCATGGACGATGGTCAACTCCTTCGCGGAGACCTGTTCCATTTCTGGAATGGGATGGTTCGGGGCGACCTTGGATCCGTTAACAGGGGTGTGGTCGTTGTCAACTTCTCGCAAAATAAGGGTACCGTTGCTCGTCGGCGTCGGGGTTCTGGCCTGCTCGCCATCTTCGGTGTTCTCCGCCGTGCTCGTATCAAAGCTTACGCGCTTTGAGAGCTTGCGAGATCCATTACCAACCTCCAGCAAGGGTCTGTCCTTGGTTGGAGTCGCAAAAAGATCGCTCCTCATGTCTTTGTTAATAATGAGCTTCTTGGCGCTGCCAGTGTTGCCGTAAAATCTCGGGCCGCCGCTAGCAGAGAATGCGCCAGGGGCGAGAATGCTGTCCTCAGCATTAAAGCTTCGTCGAAGACTGCTGGTCGACACGCTCTTGTTAAGGCCCCTGCCAAGGCTAGCCCCGAGCAAACTCCTGCCTAGGCCACCAGGGGTGCTGGATGTGCTTGTAGCGCTTCCAGGGGTGCCATAGGTGCTGTATGAGAACCCGAAACCCCTCTTTTGGGGCGTGACATATCGAGCAGATGCTGGGTTCAGCTTGTACATGGGAAGGACAGAACCCCTCCTCGGCTTCGTCTTGGACGAGAGTGGCGTAGCCAAGGGACCAGGGTTGACCGCCTCGGAGGCGCCCTGGGAGGAGAACAAGGACGGCGTACCATAAGCCGAAATGTCAGTGATGTTAGCCGTGAGGGATTGGGGCGTCGTGCTCGGGCCTTGCGTGCCGCCAAGAATCGAGCCCCCGAAGATGGAAGGCTGAGCTTGCTGCTGCTGTTGTTGCTGTTGGGCGGCAGCAGTTCCAAATACCGAGGTTTGTTGTTGGGGTTGGCCAAAGAGACCGCCAGTGGGTTGCTGGGCGGTGCCGCCAAAGATGGAAGGTTTCGCCTGGGTCTGGCCTAGAGAGGGGAACAACGAAGTCTGACCAGCCTGCTGAGGCTGGGTTGTTGTGCCGAGGCCACCGAACAAGCCCGTGCCCGTTCCAGAGGGTTGTGCAGTGCTAGTGGCGCCGAAAAGGCCTCCTCCCGTGGTGCCGGTCGCCGGTTTGGCTCCGAAGAGGCCGCCACCTGCTGGGGCTGTAGCAGTGGGTTGTCCAAATGCACTGGTCGTAGCGCCGGCGCCTCCGAAGAGCGACGTTCCTTGGGCTGGGGTGGTGGTGGCGGCACCGAACAAGCCACCAGGCTTCTGTTGGGCTTGCGCGCCAAATCCGCCTGATCCAAAAGCACCCCCTGTGCTTGGTTGAGCCGCGCCCCCGCCGAAAAGGCCGCCTGTGGTTCCCGTGGGCTGGGCGGCCGTACCAAAAAGTCCGCCGGTTTGGGTGGCGCCCGTACCAGCGCCAGCGCCAAAGCCGGTGCCGGTAGTGGCGGCACCACCGAATCCAGTGCCGGTTGTACCTGCAGTACTTCCAAAACTGAACCCTTTGTTTTGAGTGGCACCGCCGCCGAACAGACCAGAACCAGTAGTGGTAGCACCAGAGCCGAAGCCGCCGGTTGTTGTTCCCCCGGTTCCGAAGGTACTACCGCCGGTAGTGGCACCAAAGAGACCGCCCGTTTGTGCTGGTTGGGAAGTAGCTGCTGCACCGAAAAGACCACCGCCAGTAGCTGCCGGCTTAGATTGGCCAAAGAGACCGCCGCCGGATCCGAACCCTGAAGTCCCGGTGGTGCTCTGGGCGCCAAATCCGGTAGACTGGGTGGTACCTCCCGAGCCGAAAAGACCGCCTCCACCGGTCGTCGAGCCAAAACCAGATGGCTGCTGGGTGGCACCGAATGTGGTGGTCCCAGAACCAAAACCAGAGCTGACCCCAAATGCACCCGCTCCAGTTGCATTGCCATGACGGCGACCTTGCGCGTAGTCGGCTAAGCGCAACTCCTCGGCAGACCATTTCTTGTAAGGATCTTGAAATAAAATGTTTTGGAAGGAATTCTGGGTGGACGAAGACGAGGTCCCATCCCGTTCCACATACGGCTGGAAGGGTGTGCCTGCAGTTCCAGGAGGATCACCGACGTTCGAGCCGATTCCTGGGTTGTTGGCAGCGCCGAAGCCACCCGTCGTGGTGCCACCGCCAAAGAGAGATCCTCCTGTGGTGGTCGTGCCTGCTCCAAAAGCAGGTTTAGAGGCGCCAAAGAGGCTCCCACCTCCGGAGCCGAAGGTAGATGTGGCGGTGGTAGTCGGTGTACTGCTGGAGCCGAAGCCACCAAACGTGCTGGTTCCAGTATTTGTATTCGAGGCGCCAAAGAGGCCGCCGCCTGGGGTTGTTGTCGAGGACCCGAACGCAGGCTTGCTACCAAAGGCACTGGTGGTATTCGAGCCGAAGGTTCCTAGATAGAAAAGATTTGTTAGCTGGCAACTCTCAAGTCGTATACAACTGGGCATGCAGAATGAGCATGGACCGCCAGGAAAACGAAGAAATGAATAGTGGTCGAAAGGCTTCATGGGAATGAAGGGGACAAATTGCGAACCTCCAGATCCGAAGCCGCTTCCCGAGGTGCCAAAAAGGCCACCGCCGCTGGCATTCGTGTTTGTATTGGAGCCGAAGGCACCAGTGGTGCTGCTCGAGCCGAACGCTGGATGCCGAGTGAGCAAAAGGTAAAGGGGGATGACAAAAGACAAATGTAAAGGGAAATATAAAAAAGATTACGACTTACCTGGTGTGGAACCGGTGTTGGAACCGAAGCCGCCAAATGTAGATGATTGGGTATTCGACTGGCCGAAGCCGCCGCTGCCAAAGCCGCTACCAAAGGACATGACGGGCAGCAGTCGGCAGGTTGGGGGATGAAGGTAAGAGAGATAAGAAAACGAGGGCGCGCTGACGATTTAGTTCAGAGGCCCTCTGCGCGAGTTGAGGCGCGAGTCGATGGGGTCGTGTCAACGCGATTAAAAACACATCGAGGGGCGAAGGAGATGTGGTCGCGCTTTCGAAGTGTTCGCAAGCCGAGGTGTGTTCTGAACTTCGGGTTGGCAAAGGGTAAGTGGCTTAAGAGGAAGGAAATATCGATTCGAGGGAGCTCGAAGCGCGGCTGTTGTGTGTCAGGGTTGTCGGAAAGAAATCACTCGCTAAGGACGTGTCGGGCGAATAGTGGCGTACCTATATCTCTGCGGTAACGTCAAGTTGGGTTATGGATAAGGCGCAAGTAAATAACGCCAATGGATTTGACGCTTCAATGGATCAAATGTGATGACGGGAAGTAGGGACCGTAAGAAGGAATGGAAACGGGCGATGGTGGGAAGGAGGATGGTAGGAAATGGTTGAAAAGATGAACAGAAGAAAACAAAAGAAGGTCAGGTAGCTCCACCAAGGTCTTATGATCTACTAGATATACTTCTCGCGGAATCGGGATTCTGTGGGAAGCTCGTAGTCGCAGATATGGCGATGCCTTGGCTGGAGGGTAGGTTGGCAGAGGCAAAAAAAAGGTTTTGTGCTATAATGATGCTCCTGTCCTTATTTTTTTCGAGGTCGTAAGGTGGTTGGAAGGAGAGCACTGGAGCGAGACAATATTTTCTGCCTTATTTCTTTGGGTACAATTGGAGCTACAGGCAGGGGTACCGGCTCCTGATTGGTCAATAGCTCGTCTTCGACCAATGAGATAATGCGAATCTACTTACAAATCAGGTCGCTGTTGCCTGCGAGAGCTGCCTACGGGTACCTAGACTTTATGTACTTCGCCTGACAATTACATTCAAATTTGTCCTCTTTCGAATGGGAATTTGGGGCTTGGGTGTTCAGATGATGACATAAGCCACAGCTGCGGCAAGCACCTCACAAACCTCTCTGCAGAAGTTGCATTTGTGTCGCGTCGACGACGCGATGGGCGCCGCTAATAAATCGCAGAGTCGCGCTGACGAGGCAGAATCATCCAAACTGAGCGCGAAGATACCAAGGTACATCGGCGGACTGTTTCCATTTCGAGGCGATTGACTAACATCCACCCGGCGGCTGGTATCTTATTGTTGGCGCATCTTGAGGGAGTAACGACAACCCCTCCTTTAGGCGCAAACCTGGAAGGTTTCCGAAGATACCTCGTTACAACATATAAGCTCCGATCCTCGAGACCCTCCCCCGATTTCTGTATGGATCTTGAATTGGAATCCTACCATCTCCCCGAACCTTCTGCCGGACTCTTCTATCTATAGTGATGAACAATCCATCGCTTCCATTGCATCCACCCCATACACCAACCCCTCGATTCACAGGCATGTCTCACCCCAGGGACAGCCGGGTATCGTTCCAGCCTGGGCGTTCCCACGAGATGAACCCCCAGGAAGCGCTGGAGCATCAAAAAATCTCCGAGGAGCAACGTGGAGAAATTTCCCAAGCTGTGTGTGCCGTAACTACCCTCCCTCTCCAAGCTCAGAGGCGCCGTGGATTGAGGAACCGCAGAGCGCTAATCGAATGGCGTACCTATAGTTTGCTCTTTTCGATCAGGATCACGACGGCTACCTCGATTATCATGAGCTTAAATTCGGACTAAAAACCTTAGGCTTTGACTTGCCAAAGCCCCGAGTCTACGATCTTTTAACAAAAAACGGAGTGGCTCCCCCATGGCACCCTCCAGGCGAACCCTGCCCAGGACCGAGTCTTCGTATAACAGCACAAGCGTTTGAGTCGATCGCGTCAACACTTGTCGCAAATCGAGATCCGCGGGAAGAGTTGAGCCGCGCTTTCGATATGTTTGATCAGGACGGCGACGGCATCATTACCCTCGAAGACTTACGGATTGTGAATTCAACTATTAAGCAGGGGACAACGGCAACCGATAAGGACATGGCGAATATGATTGCGCAGGCTGATCTTACGGGGAAGGGCGGTGTAGATCGGGAAGAGTTTATCGATATGATGATAGCGGCGAAACGGCGGCGCGGCTACTGAGGATTGCTTCGGAGGGATGATGATGATTTATGTTCATATCTCTTAGTTCAAGAATGGCTATGGGTTCTGGCGGCGTAACCGTGCCAGAGATGCACTCCCTAGCTCGAAATGCGCATCTTGACTTGTAGCATAGCATATGTAGGCACCCTAACCCCGACAGCCAGGATAGACACCAATGCATAATACCCGGTTTCGCGCTAGCATAAAACATGCTGCTATCCTCCTACTTCCAGGTGCTTGGCCGATCGAGTCCTCAATATCGAACTCTTCTGATACTGTCAAGGAATTCACAGCTCATGCTGGCGCCGTTCTCCCAAAGCCTGGCGCAACAGAGCAAGCTACCTTGTGCACAGTAGGCCAACAAACTAACACTGTCAGGTACTCGCTTTGTAATAGTGGACAGAATCAAGAAATGATGAGGGAAGAGCAATGAACTCCCACTGTACAAAACCAGAACACCTAAAACAGTGTCACATTATAGTGCATATTGGCTTTCATACTGTTTATGTGGACCTTGGCTTTCACATTTTATACATCGATTCTCATGAAGATGCAGGATGTGTGGACTACCTGTGTACTTGCAGCCAATATCAACACCACCCAAGATACTGAGTACCCATTTGATAGCACAGACACATCCTTTCAAACCCCTCCATATTTCTTGGATGCCATTTAAGCATCATCCTCTCTTTCTCTAGATCCCTAGTATAATATAGTTCCTTCTTTATGCTCATGTTGCCTCACCCGGACATGCTTTCTGCTCCCCACACATCACTGCTCTCGTCCATATGACTCTCAGTTTTTGTTCCGGGATACTCCTCTCAAGCAATATCTCTCAACCTGCAGTCACGTAGCAGCCTCTATAACCATCTCCTCTGATCCCTTTACCCCCTCTCAGGCTCCAGGGTCAAGATGGATGGAGACTGGGATGAGGTAAGGTAGTCGGTCTTGTTTCCTTGCTGGAATCCTGTCCATTCGGGTCGAGTCCTTTGAGAAGCTCCCAATTGATGCTGTCTATGCTGCACTGTTTTATTGCTGAAACTAACCCTCTCCAAGGTGGCTCGAATATCCCTCCCGCCCGCCGGGTTAGGGCCTCATAGCGCCCAGGCTGCCGTCACCGCAATGATCTTTGACTTAAATCAGAATCTCCTGTGGACTGGGAATGGCTGCGTAAGTGGTATCTCCCTGAAGCCAGCGGTGGAGCTGTCCCCTTCTTATACCAAATCCAGGGTCGGGTAACTTCTTTCTACGGTAATGAACTACGGCGCTACACTTCTCTCAAGGCCCACAAGACTGGTGCGGTTCACCAACTTCTGGTCAATGAGAAGGGCGTGATCGCGCTTGGTTCCAACTATATCCATATGGCCAACCGCACTGGTCCTCCTATTTGGCATTTAGAGTACGGAGCTCTTCCTGTTTTGACCGTTTCACCCTTTTCCCAATAGAAGACGTCCTAATGAAGCTGAACAGGTCCCAAGAGTTTCATGACTTGCGATGCATGAGCTTCACCTCTAAAGGCGCCTCGGAGATATTGGTAGCAGGTTGGCAAGACACGATGTTCATTGTTGATCTTGCTAGAGGCGAGATCACCAAACGGGTAGGGCCAAGCTGCTGTCCTCCAACGATGAGTGTCCGTTATCTATACTGACGCCCGTTTCTTTGCATGATCTAGATTCCAACCGAGAGTCATTATTCCATCATGAAGCGTAGTAGGTATATCTGCGCTGCGACAAAATCAGGCTCTGTGAATCTCCTTGACCCCACGTCGATGGCAGTTGTTAAGACCTGGCTCGCACACTCGGCTATGATCAACAATATGGATGCGCAGCATGATTTTATAGTCACCTGCGGCTATTCACTTAGAGGGGGCCAAAACTACATGCTCGATCCATTTCTGAATGTCTTCGATATCAAGAAGATGTCATCTACCCCCCCGATCCCCTTTCCAGCTGGCGCCGCCTTCGTCCGGATGCATCCTCGAATGTCAACGACGAGTATCGTAATTTCCCAGCAGGGTCAGATGCACGTTTTAGACCTTGTGAATCCAAATACCAGCAATGTCCGTCAAGCGAATGTCCTTAGCTTCCTCAGCATGTTCGACATTGCGCCATCTGGAGAAGCCATCGCTCTAGCCGACTTAGAAGGCAATATACAACTTTGGGGCTCACCCTCCAAAGTCCGTTTCGTCGACTACCCTGTACCGACCGTCTTTGCAGATCCGGTCGAGGTCCCTCAGATCGACTGGAACGTCAATACGTGGGTTCTTGACTAGGCCTAGAGCTATCCCCAAGCCATTCTCAGCCGTGCGTACTGATGTATTCGCCCTTTAGACCCCTGAACTCTATCGGAATGCCTTATTACCGCGAGGCTCTCCTTTCAGCATGGCCTACAACTATATCGGATGTCGGAGCACCTCCAGTAAAGTTCGATCCCCAGTTCCTTGATACCCTCTCTCATGCAGATTTTGGGCTATATGGCCGTAATACAAGGGGTCTGCGCCGAAACCAGGTCGAGAAAACGAGAAAAGCAGAAAAGACCCCGGCGTCTGGAATACAGGCGCCCAAGTTCTTGAGCGAGAAAGCTCGAGAATCTGCCAAAGCCATATCCGGCACGGAATCTGAGAAGCGTGCGGAAGATATTACAACCACTTTCGCCAATGCACCGGACTCCGACGTGCCAGCGTGGTACCGTAACGTAGAGATCAAATACAGCAAGTTCGGGGTGGATGACTTTGATTTTGGGTAGGATGTATATCCCGCTACTCACACATAAGGTCACTGACAATGGGCGTTCAGATTCTACAACAAGACCCCTTACTCCGGTCTGGAGATCCATATCGCCAATTCCTACGCAAACCCGCTGCTGCAGCTTCTACACTTCACCCCCGTGGTTCGGAATTTAGCGCTTCACCATGCCTCGACTTCTTGCATTGACGAGAACTGTCTCCTCTGCGAGATAGGCTTTCTCTTTGACATGCTCCAGAAAGCTGAAGGCTCGATCTGCCAAGCGACTAATATGCTGAAGACATTAAGTAACCAACCTCAAGGTGGGGCAGCCCAATAGATATATCCACGGTTCTCGAGATAATTCCCGCTAATGCTGTCTGTCTCTCTTTTTCCTCTTGCTCTCGCTAGCCGGTCCATTAGGTCTCCTGGAAGAAGACCCCCACGGTTCTTCATATGCTACCATGCTTCAAGGCCTGACAAGATTCTTGTTAGACAAGATGGTTCAGGATTTCCGCTCAGTTCCCCCAAAGAGCGTATCCGCAACCCTAGAGCAGGTCAGTCTCGGTGGTTAGCAGGTACTCCTCCCATGTCTGGTTTCTCACTCTTCGCCCACCCTTAGGTCCTTGCAACAGAGGCCACGAGTCACATCAAATGTACTAAGTGCGGAAACGAATATACTCGGCCCGGCTCTACGTTTGTGAATGATTTGATGTATCCCCCTATGGTAAGCCAGAAGTAGCTCTCTCTCAATAGCACGCCCCAGAGCCATCTCACAACTAATTGACAATAGCCCAAAATTTTGACTCGCAACCAAAAGCCCACTAAACACACATTCTCCCAAGTCCTTAAGACGAGCATCGGGAGGGAAACGACGTCAAAGGGCTGGTGTAATCGCTGTCAGAGATATCAAAACCTATCGACCCGGAAGACGATCCGCCAAGCCCCCTCGGTCCTTGTTCTAAACACGTGCATAAGAGACGCAAGGGACAGCGAACATAGCCAGCTATGGTGCACGCCAGGTTGGGTCCCAGACGAGATTGGCGTTATTGTCGATCAGGGCGAGTTTTTCTGTTACGAAGGCGAAGATCTCAAATTGCACCTCCAACGCGGTTTCCATGACATTCAAGTCTATTCTCTAATCGGTATAGCTGCCAATATCGCGGACGCCCAGGGCCAAAACCCACATCTAGTAGCTGTTGTTGACGGTATGTACATGTATCTCCACGGGGGATATCATTGAATTGCGCTTCTCTGACAAAGAAATTGCAGTGGCTCATTCCCAAGAAACTGCGCCTAGCGAAAGCCAATGGCATCTATTCAACGATTTCTTAGTTCAACCTATTTCCAAAGAGGAGGCGCTTCGGTTTGCGCCATGGAAAATGCCATGTGTCTTGGCGTTCCAGCGTAAGGAGGAAAACAATAAGATGGACAATTCCTGGAAAGATAATCTGGACACCAGTCTGCTTTATCGCGGACCAGGGTAAGTGACGCCTCATCACCGTGACTCACTCTATGGCCAGCTAGCTAAGAATCATGTAGTCCTAATGTTCGTGGAAGCGATCTCTCTCGTCCTCTTGACCCAGAGTCGGAGCATCCTGCAGCGAACACCATCATCGCACTTGATACCGAATTCGTTGCGGTTCGGCAACCTGAGATTGAGGTAAACTCGGATGGAGAACGGGAGACTATCCGGCCTATAGTTTATGCACTCGCACGTGTATCGGTGGTCCGCGGACAGGGTGAAGATGAGGGGCTTCCCTTCATTGATGATTACATTTCGGTAAAGGAGCCTATTGTAGACTACCTGACATCCTACTCGGGTATCACACGCGCCGACTTAGATCCTCGGCTGTCCAAGCGTAACCTTGTCTCCCTCAAGGTGGCATACAAGAAGCTCTGGATCCTTCTCAATCTCGGATGCCAGTTCCTCGGCCACGGCCTCAAACAGGACTTCCGTGTCATCAACATTCACATCCCCAGGGTCCAAGTCATCGACACAATCGAGATGTTTTACCTCAAGTCACGCTTACGCAAGTTGTCGCTCGCCTTCCTCGCTTGGTGTCTACTTAAGGAGGACATCCAGCTGGAGACGCACGATTCCATCGAGGATGCCCGGACGGCCCTTAAATTATACCGCAAATTCCTCGAGTTCCAGGATGCCGGTATTCTCGAGACCATGCTGCAGGATATCTACCGCACTGGTCGTGAGGTCAACTTTAAGCCGCCGCGCCGGGATGGTCAGGACCTCCAACGAATGGAAACCCCGCCCCTCCCCGCAGAAGGTAACGGCGCGGCGCCATCCACTCCAGTTAGGGGCGGACTTGCTGCGGGCAATGCGGCGGCGGGCTCCAGTACAGGACACGGTGGTGTAGTAGGATTCGGAGCAAGGTCGGGTTGGACACCCGGCAAGGGGTCACCATTCCGAGGATAGACTGGTTGCGTAATGGGGTAATCAGTCTTACAACGTCGAAAATGTGAATGTGGGCAAGGATTGTTTGGAAGTAAAATAGCGAATAAAGCAAGTTTCTATCAAGATGAGTCTCTTCTTCTTCCCCTTTGTCCCCCTTTTGCAGGATCCCTGCCAGCCATGGCCTCCCCCGGAACATCTACATTTGAACATAGTTGTGTCACCTTTCTTTGAAGGATCATGCCGCGAACGGTCACCTTTCGGAGTCAAATCCAAGGGCGATGGCATTCCCAAAGAACTTTCTTTATAACTAGGCTCTTGCCATGGGTTCAATTTTTGCATTTGCGGTTCCGCTTCTAGCCTCTCCTCAATGAACAATGGAATTAGAGCCGCCGAATAGTTAAAGAACAAACACTATCGCCCCCTCAAACTGATGGATGGACACACATTACCAAGACGAAAACGCGTATTAAAGAGCGAGAAATTTCCCGAATCCATCCTGACGCAACACAATGCTCCTATGCCCCGTTTCATCCGGCACACGAACTTCGAATTCAGACTAACTCTCCCAGAACAACAACACTTTGGGGCAGAAGAACAGCTCGGGGAGAGGGATTTGACTCGAAATACAGGAACCTCGCAACCACCCCCAAACACACATCTCGACGCATTTACTTTTCGAGGGCATCTGTCAGGCTCGCTGACCTGGGCTCAACATGATCATGACGTACGAAAATAGACCAAGAAAGGTGATCGGCCACGAAGGCCCACGGTCAGCTCTTGATGGCTTGGTCAAGATGGTGCAGGCTGCCAGAGAAGGAGAAGGACAAGGGCAAGGGCAAGGGCAAGGGCAAGGGCAAGGACAGGGACAAGGGCAAGGCACAGGTGGAGGCGACAGTTGGCGCGGAGGAAATAGAGGTGGCAGAGGCGGCAGTTGGCGCGGAGGACCCAGAGGTTATAAAAGTAGTAATTGGCGTGGTAGGGGTGGTGATCGGAGTTCGGAAAACTCTCTAGGCGTTCAGATCGCCTCACAGCATTTATACTCCGGTGCTAACTGTAACTTGACCCCTTGGCCCTCACTGCTTGTCCTTGGATTTGATTCTTGGCTAACCTGTGTACATCTCCTCAGTCGACGCGGCAGTGTACTCACCTAGCGGCCACCGTGCTGTTACAACAGGGGCCATGGTGCAGCATCAAGGCACCAACGAAGAGGGGGGTTCAAACAACGAAAGGCTCGACAAGACTCACCCGGGCCTTCGAATACTCCGAGAAGGTGCTTACTCCAAATGGCTGGGTATTAAAAGATCGGAGGGTGAGCACAGCGCGAGAGCGAGGCTAATCCGAGCGCACCTCGTTGACCTGGAGTCGTACCTTACATTCGGGATGGTAACGGGAAGTCCGGACTTCGAGAATGTATATCAGAGATGTGATTATTCACACCACCGCCCGGGGACTATTATCGAGTATCCTTGCCATGGCGCGACCTTGAAACCAATTGAGTTGGGGAATGTGAACAAATCTATCAGCAACTACGGACCGGTCTTTACCAAGCTTCGGGCCGTGATTGTAGTGGCTAGGTACCAGAAGCACGCGACGGTTGTGCCCGTCTACACACACAATGGCAAAGGAATCACATTCTTGAGCAAGGAAGAAAAGAAGGAACATGTGCTGCTTCTCGACGAGGGGGAGCAGAAAAATGTCAAAGCCGAAGCCAAGGCCAGAGCCAAGGACAAAGACAAAGCCAAAGCCGCGAACGAAGGCGGATCGGAGACGATCTTTGCGACCAAAGACAAGGGATTCACGGGAAATCGGTGGTTCAATACCACCACCTATGTCAAGTTCACTGAGCTATCGTCTCACCATTATAAAATGGGTTGCAGATTGTTGGGGAAGCTGGACAGAAAGTCACTTGACAAGCTACACAATATTATCCTCAGACGTTTCAACAAAAACTCGGTGGAATTTGCGCCATAAGAGTCGAGCGGAGGCACGAGCAGTGTTGGGGACCGTCGATGATGGTGAAGGGCTACCTTGCTCCCTACATCCTCTGCGAGGGAGAGCGCGTGTTGGGGTGGACAAAGGGTCTATTTGCGTCGGACCCCGGCTGTTTGGTATTTCGTGTTGGGATTGAAGCCTTTGTTTTAGTTTTGCCATCAATATTGGAATGTTGGAATGTTGGCATTCTCGTTGTCCTCGAGGCGAGCTGCAGTCGATAGAATCATTGAATGGATCAAATGTAACGATGTCGTGACTCACAGCACAGGCATTCCAAAATATTGTCTCATCGAAGGTCTTTACTCATCTTCCGTCTATCAAGAGCAAGATCATAGCACCTGTCGGGGGGGATGTCCTCACATGGAGAAGAGGACGGCAGACACTTGGGTGTGAATTCCTGTCTCGTTTGTGACGCCGAGGCAAAGGCAAAGGGAGGACTTCGCGGGAAGCCTGTTTCGGGTTTGGCAAGACTTTCACAAGCTTCGATTCCGTTTCTTTTCTTTCCTCTCTTTTTTCTCCTTTTTTTTTTCCTTTTCGTTTTCGCCCTTTTCGGTTTCTTCTTTAGGTCCAGTTCGACTCTCACCTATGGACGGACGAACAAGGCCCACGGTCAAGGGAATGTCGATGGAATGTATCCCGGGATATAATCGCAGTCGAAATGTTCCGGAATGTACATTAGATTCGCTAGAGAGCGCTTTCAATTACGTCAACGAAGCCATCGATGCATTCGGAGAATACGGTTCTCCAAGGGAACTACCGTTCGTTGCTTCAAGAGAATCGATGCATGCCTATACTGATCGTCAAATAGACTACCGTCTATACTATCGAGTATGGAATTGAAGAGGAGGGGGAAGGGGGGATGAGTTGCGATTGTCCTGTCCCATGCTGCATCATCCCCCCTCCGCGATTCTACTCTCAGCGTCGCTCATGTCGGTATATTGAGATGTGATGTCTCTCTTTTAATACAGTCACGAGCACGGAGTACAGATGCCTGTGGTAGAGAATACTTAAATCTATTCCCAACTCTCCAGTGCGACAGTTGTAGGCTCCAAAGGGCATGGGATTCCAAGATGGTCAATGAACATATAGACTTGCATAACCCCGCAAGCTAACATTGGCCAGGCGCGGGAAGGTGGTCGACAATGTGCAGTTGGAGGGTATCGAGATGGTGGGTGAGAATTGAATATGACTGACCCGGGCTCTCTTGACGCGACAGCAATGATGGTTGCGATATGCGGGGGAGACCGTGTTGGCGTGACTTTGTCTGGGCTGGAAGCATTGCTGGAGCATTCAAATGCATTTGTGCATTTGGAAATGGTCTTGATGCTGCTGCGATGCAGTATGAATTCAGTACATTCCAATACTACGAAGTAATACTCCTACGGTCTGCTGCAAATGCTGCAAAGGAAACAGCACTCGACATGGTCGACTTGAATCGTTCCCGAGTTTCTGGGATGCATCTTGCAAGCGCGGTACTTTTTTGTTTCTCTTTATTTGGGATTTTCTGTTTTTGGTTAAACCCTCAACAATCTTGGTCGTTCTTTGTCATCTTTTTTCATCGAGAATGGGGGTCTCTGCTTGTGGTCCCGGGTCATTGAATCGAGATGGCGGGAAATTTTTATTTAATCCCTTTCCGATGACCTTGACCGACGGAGATGCTCGCCGTTGCGGCTCGGCTCCAGCCCTAATCTCCTATCTTTCAATTCCCGTGATGTAATCCATGCAATCCCTCGGGTAAAGGTATCGGCGACCGGAAAAGGTGGCTAGACTCAAGGAGGGCTCCCATCTTGAAACTGGAGGGCAAAGTCGCGGGTAAGACTTCGGATCAGTCCGGCCAAGTTCGGCGTCTCCACAGCCGAACAAGTCCCTGTAGCCCGAGCTTGGAGTGGTAGTCGGCGAGGGTAATATTGGGGGTCTGGCCGTACTAGTCAGTATGAAGCCATGAAAAGCAGAAAATCACACGAGAGACAATTAAAAATGGGCAATGGAGCCTGTGCTGGACTCTTGGGTTTTGACTAATTACTCCATTACTCCATTACTCCAAATCTACTCCAAGTCTACTCCAAGTCCTTGACAGCAAGCTCGGCACGTACGAAGTAACCATGCTTGCTGTCGAAGCTTCTTTTTCTATGCGTCAATGACCTCATAGTCGTGCTTGACATGTCTAGGCTAGATAGCCAAGCCTACAAAAATGTACGATGCTGGCTGCATCCCACGGCTGCAAAAACAACATAGAAGAAAAAAAAAAACCACTCTCACACCCTATCCGTCCATATAACCTCGCACCTCGGATATTAAAGCCAGACCGTTCTCGGGGTTATGATGATGGAAGTTTTTCGACCGAAGATGCCACGATCCATTAGCTGGCTGGACCCCAAGTCGAAACTTACCCACTGTAATCTTCAAACGCTTCAATTGTTCCCTGTAACCATGCTTAGACTCGGCATCTGATTGGGTTACTGGGCTATTTTGGGCCCTTCCTGCAGGGCGACCTTGCGTCTTGTTGTGTCGAGTTTCGCCAGGGTGGGCATATATATGCGCATACCCGAAGATCGTGGGACGTGTTGAACACACTTCGGAAGGTACAAAGTACTTCGAACATGCTTGCGTTTCTGCAGGACAGTGGAGAGCTCAAGCCCAGCTGGGGCGCCACGCCAAGGGGAACAGGTCCCAGCTATTAGACCCTCCGGATGCTAGACCGGGTATGGGATGGATGGATGGGACACTACCAGGTATTAGTTGAAACACCCACCACGCCAACGCCCAAACGTAGGGCCCTTTTGGGTGGGTTGTCGCCGTGAGGAGCCGAAGGGAGACGAAGGCATGATTTTCAGGGACTCGCCCGTGTTGAGGGTTGAGGAGTTCGAATATTAAGGGACAAGCCTGAAAGGTTATCTCTGAATGAGGGATGGATCAATGATGGAGGGGTCGATTGCATGGCATCAAGGACCGGGCGTGGAGTAGTGCGGTTGGCGGTTGGATAGCACTGATCCCGTCAATGATTCCTTGACTGCCAATGCCATGCACCTGATACCCAATACATTTGATGATACAGTGCCACCCTGGGCAGGATTGAGTTGAGGCGGACGGACTGGGGGCAACCTTATGATTTTTGTTATGGGCAATGACGACGACGTACATGGACTTGGTGTACCTGTACTTACAGGCGGACTGCTTAGACTTCGTACAGGCACGACGCAACGGCAACGGTCACGGACTCTACAGACAAGGACAATGGAAGCAATGCCAGACCAGACGATGACAGAGATCAATCCCCGGCTTAACAAATACCCTCAAATGCTCTCCATACTGCTTATTCCTAATATTTTGTCATGTATTATGTATCCCCCTCCATACTTTTGAGACTAAACTCGGCTGGACCCCTCCAAAGCGGGTTCAGTTCGAATGTTCCCCATTTTCGATGCGCTGTATTTGTACCGCTCCAGACCGAGATACCTTGGAACATTGGAATGGCCTTGGGCAACTGGGGCGTCTCGACCAACCATGTTTGGCCTATTATTACATCAGATCCCAACGACCGAGGGCAAGCGCAGCCATTCCCGGAGAGTGGAAGCAAGCCCCCAAGGTAAGTGTACATTGGGGACAAGAATCCCTTCAACAATCTTCTACGAAGTACGTTCTTTTGCGAGTATCGGCAAACGCTACCCTAATGTCGGCTGGCGATGCTATTGATCTCCATGTACTCCGTACGAACTTGCCGCATTGGCCGTACGAAGATGATTGCTATCCACTTCCAGTCGCCAAGCTGGGAATAACTTGCACCATGGGTTCAACAGACTTGCCGGGGCATCCATCTTGACGTTGTGTTCCCCTCCTCCCCATTGCTCCCCCTCCCTCCACCTTGATGAAAAGATATAAACTAGTAGAGCACCACGATCTCGCCGGGGGGGTGCTGCTGATCTCGCCATCTTGCCACCCTAGAAACCAGAACTGAGCTGTTCTTTTTGTCCACCTGGCTGATTTTGTAATTCGGCTACCATAAACTCTCTCTTCCTTTCCCCCCTGCCACACCTTCTCTTACGCCTCGGGCCCTGTCGTCGTCGTCTTCTCCCCGATTCGAACATATCGGACGGCTACGCTACTTCCAAGTTTAGGCTCAAGGTATCCCGAGTTGGAACGGTCGTCTTTTGTCCACATCGGAATGCCTTCACGACCCTCGGCGACCTCGTTCAATACTCATCGCCACCCCGGTCAAGACCACTAATAACCTCGCCCACTTTGTTAGTAATGCCCAGACCACTGCCCGTAAAACGTCAGGTTTTAAATGAGAACAAAGATCGCATTTTAACCAACATTGCAGCGTCATCACGGACTCGCCTCGCTGAGTTTTGAGGAGATATCACGAACCCCTCTTTCTACTACTATTCCTGGCCATCTTCCCGGCCAGTGCAACACACACGAGAGCTCTTGCCAGAAGAGCTTGCAGTTTTGAAAACAGTACCCCGCAATTGCTGTCGTACAAACCGTCGAGGCAAAGCACCGTTTATACGTCCAGCGAGATACCTGTACTAGATTCGGTTTTATCGATACTGTCATTGGCGAAAGCCCAAGCACCGTCCGGCAAAACGCTACCACCTCTGCTTACACAGCAACATTGAAGTCACCGCCCGCAGCAAAGGTACAGTCCCTCCTGCATCCCAGCACCTCTTATCGAGCCACTGTGCATTTCTTTTCCTTTTTTTTTTTTTTTTTTTGTCCCATTCTTTTAGATGTTTTTTTGGCGGACCACCCAAGAAATTATAAACATCCCCCAAGATTCAGATTGTGAGATCGTTGGGACTGCGCGTCATTTTTCCCCAACCGAATTTCCCTGTAGCTTTGGGGAAGGCAAGCGTCGTGGTCCGATCGACCCCACCTAGATAAGATGGGGAACTCTGATACAAGCAGCGGCTTGGAATTTTGCCCCGCGACTTTCCGGATGACGGGAAGCAGAGGAAAAATGTATAGTTGCATTTCAGGCCGCAAAGTTGAACGGCCATTTTCTCTTGTCCGAACGATGAGAAGCAAAAGCCAAGAAAGCAAAGAAGGGGGAAAACGAAAAAGAGTCGGTTCGTGAAGAATTTCCCTTCTGGGCAATGACGATTTTTCTCGTCGTTGGGCGGCATGCGCTTCCACCCAAGGCTCTAGGCTCGACCATGTGCAAAGACGTCGAATATGTCTCAGCCGAAGGAACCCATGCATGTTCGTCATTGAGCATGGCTTATCGCCGCAAGCGCACTGGCCCGAGGATATTGCAAGCTGCCAGAGGCTGAGTACCGGCAGACGGACGGCGGCACGGCGGCCAAGTACGACCGATGTCCCGCTCACCCCTTCTATCTCGTTCTAGTCAGGCCGCCAAACTTCGCCCTCGCCAACCTGTTTGTCGAGCGGTGACAACAGAAGAGCAAGAGCGATTTCGCAGCTTCCAAGTATCAGTCTCCACCCAGCAAGGTACTTGGACTCCAGGCTGACCAACCTGATGTCTCAAACTTGCACATGTCCGCGGCTCAGCCTTGAAGGAAAGAGCTCCCCTCCCCCGATGCCATCATTGTATGGATGTGACTCTGTCGTGTCACTTCTCACACTTCTCACATGTTGGCGGGCTAGGCCCACGCAACTTAATCCCATCTAGGGTGCTCCTTCCGCGTGAATTTCCATCACCACATATTCGGCCCTAGGTACCTCGGACGTTGCAAGCTTCGATGCCGGGGTAGGACGCGGAATTATGGAGGGAGCTCCTCGTTCGTGATAGCAAGCAGAACTGACAACCTAAAGCCCTGACCTTCCTTTCCAAGTCAAATGGTCAAACGTTTGGCCCGGGTGGAAGTTGTACTCGGTGCATCCCGCCCCTTCCCCATTGAGAAAATAAGTTAAGGCTAGTGTCTTGACCTCATTGGTACACAAGTACCGGCTCCGTCGCTGCCCCTGCTCGCCGTGCTGTATTTCACCAGCGTGCCGGCCGCCTTACCCTCCCTCGACGTCTCCAGAGCAGTGCAATTCATTCCCCAGATTCCCTTATCGTGTATCCCGAGGCACAATTTCGCCCTTTCTTACCTACTTAGGCTTGACGGGAACAACCGGACTGACGAGATTCCCATCTCCTGCATTAGATTCTCATAGTTGGTTTCCATTGTCGATTTCGTCATCGGGATTCCATCTTGACCATCTTCTCGCACGTGTTCCGTACTGTCTGGTTACTTTGTGTTTGATCTCTGAACCCCTCTCCGGTCCGTCTTGCCGTGTGTTGAAACCAAAAGAACCAACCGCCGAGAGATATCAGGGCCGAGAACGAGACCGTTGAAGCTTCTCCTTCCAGAGATACAAAAAAGCCAACCTCGCAACATAACTGCCTGTCTTATCCTTCCCCCTTTTCAGCCCCAAGCCTCCTTCTTTTACTTTGTGCCGTGAACCTTGTTACTTTCGCTCCGAATCTTCGCTTTTCTTTTTCGCTTCTTTTTCCCTTCCCTATAAAAGACATGCCAACTCAAGTCGCAACACCTACTGATGCTAGGCAAGCCACACCAGACATAATGGTTGCCGGACAACAAGACAAGGCCGCCGTGGCCTCCGATTTCCTCCACACTCCTTTCATGCGCGCCGCACTCCCCTTCCTCAATGGCGGTATCAGCGGTATGGTTGCCACAACCTGCATTCAACCCGTCGACATGGTGAAGGTCCGCATCCAACTTGCCGGTGAGGGTGTCGCCGGAGGCCCGAAACCCACCCCGCTATCCGTCACCCGAGACATCATTGCGAGCGGCAGGGCTCTTGACCTATATACCGGATTGTCCGCAGGTCTTCTGCGCCAAGCGGTATATACGACGGCGCGTCTTGGTTTCTTCGATACCTTCATGGGCACAATGGCCACCCGGGCCAAGAACCAAGGTCGAGAGGTTGGATTCGCCGAAAGGGCCGGGGCCGGTCTCGCCGCTGGTGGTCTTGCTGCCATGATCGGAAACCCTGCCGATCTTGCCCTCATTCGCATGCAGAGTGACGGCCTCAAGCCCGTGGCTGAGCGCCAGAACTATAAGTCCGTCGTCGATGCTCTTCGCTCCATTTCCAAGTCAGAGGGTATTCCTGCCCTCTGGGCCGGAGCCGCCCCGACCGTCGTGCGAGCCATGGCGCTCAACTTTGGACAACTGGCCTTCTTCAGCGAGGCCAAGGCCCAACTTCAGCAGCGCACCACTCTATCGTCGAAGAACAGGACCTTGTGCGCCAGCGCCATCGCCGGATTTTTCGCCAGTTTCTTCAGTCTTCCGTTTGATTTCGTGAAGACCCGCCTCCAGAAGCAGCAGCGTGGGCCTAACGGCCAGCTCCCATACCGCGGTATGGTGGATTGCTTCACTAAGGTGGCTGCCCAAGAAGGACCCTTGAGGTTCTATCGTGGATTCGGTACTTACTACATTCGTATTGCGCCGCATGCGTAAGTTAAAAGCCTAATTCTTTTGTCAAGTATTGTCCTGGCCGTCGTCTTATGCGCGGAGCTAACCCGAACCCCCGAATTTTAGTATGATTACTCTAATCGTTGTCGATTACCTCGGCTTCTTGACGAAATGAAGAGATAGAGAATAAAGATGTACAAGAAAAGCAATCATTAAATGATAGCTGGAGAAGCAGAAAAAAAAAAAAGAACGTTGAGGGGGGAAGAGAAAAAAAAGAACGCATGTCAAGCATGTCGAGAGGGTGAGATGGTTGAAGTCAATTCCAGCCAACCAAAGCCAACCCCAATCCTTGGGACGGGTTTTGGTCGTTGGATCCCGTCGCTCGAAATATTTTTCTTTCTTTTTATATTTTTCTTAGTGTCGCTCGGGACAACGATGGGGGGGCATGTCAGGGTTTCCATTTATGATATCCACGGTCCTCCAGGATTGGCTCACAGCATCAAGGGTCAAGGGTTTTTCTGTTTCTCCAAGTGGTTTGCTTTGATGATGACGACTACCAGCTCATTTCTGAATGAGCATGCTTGAGTCGTGCATCATGAAATTCAACGCTACGACGAACCTCGGGGCTTCGAGAGAGTTAACTGTTTTCAGCATCTTGAGCCCAGTATCATGTAGTATTTAACTACTACTCCTTACATCAAAACGAAGGGTTGGAGATGAAGAGTGGATGGGGGGATATTCTATAGATCTCTACATTAACATTGTTAACGTTTCTTTGTTTCGTTCTCTTCCACTCTCGGAAGTCCATGGAGGGAAGCAAAGGGGAGTCTTGGAACTTTTGGAAGAACGGCATCGAAAGAGCCATTTTCCTGCCCGGCAACATTTTCATTTTCTTCGCTCGTCTGGATAGACACACCAGGGTTTAGGTCCCGGCCTATTTACCCGCACCGAAACCAAACTTCGACAAGAACGGAGTCGTCCCGGCGGCGCAAAAGGTTCTAGATTGCGGGAGGGTGCGGGGAAAGGGCGAGTTCCAGCAAGAAATTGAGGGGATTGCCTTTTTTTTTTTTCTCCCTTTCTCTTCTTTTTGGAGACAGCGATGTAATTGAGGAGAAGAGAGCGTCTCTCCAGTGCATGGACCCGGGAAAACGGGTTGGAGAATACGCGAGGGGTATGTGGTATCAACAATATATATAGCTACAGAAGCTAGGGACGCGTGTTACTTGAGAAGAGAAGATATTTTAATTCACACGGGTTTGCTCTTAAACTCGCTCGATCGCTGGTTGTCGCTCGTGTCTCCTAACTTTATGTTCGGGTGCGGGTTATCAGTGTGACATTTCGGCCTTACATTGATTCCGTCGAGATCGAAGAAGATGAAAGCCCTGCCAAAGTTCCTGGCTGGTCTCGTGGTCTTTGGGCTCACCATCACGGGTGCCTTCGCCCAAGAGGATGACGAAACCGCAGAAGAGGGAGGTGAAGCCGTTGGCCAGGCGAACTCGACGTATTATAATCCAATTTTCCCTGGCTTCCACCCTGATCCTAGCTGCATATTTGTGCCAGAATGGGACGACACGTTCTTCTGCGCTGCGTCGAGCTTCAATGCGTTTCCTGGGATTCCGATCCACGCGAGCAAGGATTTGAAGAATTGGAGGCTGATTGGTATGTTCGTGGATGCCGTCGTCCCTCTTTGGTGGCTGTCCGAGCCGGTTCGTTTCGGATTAGCCTCCACGTGAAGGGCGAGATGTATTACTTGTTGAAGTCGGCGGACTTGAAGACACTGGAGGGTGCTAACTTGGTTGTAAGCTCACGTTCTTAATCGCCCCGAGCAGCTTCCCAGGTTGGCGGAGACGAACCGTTCGACTAGGTATGTAACCGATCCTGTTGTTACGAAGAATATTCACTCTCTTGTTACTAAGGATTAACAATAGCGGAATATGGGCACCTACCCTCCGATACCATGACGATGCCTTTTGGCTTTTCACTACGCTCGTAGACGACGATAGACCTCAGGAGGACGCTTCGAGATGGGACAACGTAAGTGGATTCGAGGCAGCCTAGAAAAGTTAGGTTGAACGAGGCGGGGCGGAACTAAATACCGTGGCTGCGGCGTGTAGATCTTCTTCAAGGCGGAGGATCCGTTCGATCCTCTCTCGTGGTCCGAGGCTATCCATTTCGAATTCGAGGGATACGATCCGTCCCCGTTTTGGGACGAGGATGGAAAGGTTTACGTCACGGCAGCGCATGCTTGGAGAGTCAGGTGGGATCACTGTTCCCCCTCGCTGTCGTTGGCTTCGAGCTAACTTCCAGCAATGATGCAGCCCTGGAATTCACCAGGCTGAAATCGATCTCGAGACGGGCGACGTTGGCGAGTGGACAGTGACTTGGGAGGGAACGGGTGGACTTGTAGGATTGACGGCCTCTCCTCAAAGTAGTTCCTTGTCACGACTAACATAGTGCCTCAGGCTCCCGAGGGCCCGCATATCTACTTCAAGGACGGATATTACTATCTCCTCGCAGCCGAAGGTACGCGCTTTTTTTTTCCCCTCTAGATGTGATTAAAAACCGATGGTAGGGTCTGAGGCATCACTAACTGAGAATAGGCGGTACGGGAAACGAGCACATGGTGACTGTTTCTCGATCTGAAAGCATCAGCGGGCCGTTCGAGTCGAATCCTGCGAACCCCATTCTCTCCAACGCGAATACGACGAGCCTCTGTATGAGATTCCTTTCTTCTCGAGCCGGTATTACTGCATTGTCCAGATGCTAACCCCATTCAACCATAGTCCAAGCAGTTGGCCATGCCGACCTTTTCCAGGATGGATCCGGAAATTGGTATGTCACTTTCAGCTCGAAACATACTCTACTCGAAGCCATTTCCCAACTTCCTACGAGTACTAACACGAAAACCTCCACCTAGGTGGTGTGTGGCACTTTCAGTCAGGGGCGGTGCTGAGTACCTGCACTTCCCAATGGGTCGGGAGACCGTGTTGGCGCCCGCTCGTTGGGAAGAGGGCGAATTCCCCGTAGTTGACCAAATTAAGGGAACTATGGAGGGATGGCCCATGCCAGAGGAGAATACAAGCCTTGAAGGTATTGGGTAGGTTTTTCAAACGATCATGCCCCAAAACACAATGCCTCACTAACATGACCTCCCTTCTCTAGCCGCTGGGTCTCGGATCGAGAAGATGACATCGACTTCGCCCCGGGCTCGCCAATCCCTCCCCATTTCCAATATTGGCGCTATCCGAATGAAGATTATTTCGAGGTCTCTCCCGACGAGCACCCGAATAGCCTGCGAATCAACCCCTCCAAGATTAATCTCACCGCCCTAAATGGGAACTACGCAGGGCCAGGTGGCCAGGCTTTCGTTGGGAGGAAGCAGCAGGATACTCTTTTCACCTACAGTGTCAACCTCGACTTTGATCCTTCACAGGGAGAGGAGGAAGCCGGCATTACCGCTTTCCTCACTCAAAACCACCACCTCGATCTCGGCGTCGTGCTTTTACCAGCAGGCTCAAAGACGGCTGATTTCCCCGGTAGACCCCGCGCTGGCAACGAGAGTACAGCGGAAGAGGGGGAGCTTGTTCCTCACTTCCGATTTAGGGCTGAATCATACGTACCTGTTCCCGATACTTTGGTGGTGCCCGTCCCCGAGGCCTGGATTGGAGAGACGCTGCGGCTTGAGATTAGCGCGAAGAATAACACGCACTATTCGTTCTCTGCAGGACCGGCGAGGGCGAGGTCAGAGATACAGACTATTATTGACGTGTCGAATGAGCCTTTGAGCTGGGGATTTACTGGTAAGATGGCGTTGATTAAATTCTCCTTGGGCTGTTTCATGTATTCAGCTAACTGACAATCTTGTGTTTCCTTAGGCGTCATCCTAGGCATCTATGCCACGAGCAATGGTGGGAATGGGTCGACGCCTGCATACTTCTCGGAGTGGAAGTATGTTCCTCAGGAACAGTTCCGGGACTAATGAGAGATGGGGGACATGATCTATCAGGAGATTGATGATGACACTCAGGGTGTCACGCTCTGATTATCTTTCCGTATCATTGACGCTCGCGCAGACTGTTGGCCTAGATTTGGTGTAATCGAGCTTTCAGTGGCTAAAGAGGGAGAAGAAGAAAAAGAAATGTTGATTTTCTAGGTCTCTCTATTGGCTATTGCGTGCCTGTATCCTTAAAAATGCCCCTGATGAGCCACGACGCAGTCATCTGTATTTCGCAACCCTGTCCCGATATGGATATAAATGGCAATCATACCGGAGTCGCTGTCCAATGTTTAATCGTACCCTGGAGCACACCGGAATCTAAACATCTTTAGGCCTGGTCAAGGGTATGAGATCGGAGGAAAATGATTGGACGATCTGGATGATACACATGCAAGTGCTTTGTTGTTCAGCCCTTCGCGGAACGAGTTGAACAGGACAGGGGGAAGTGCCGGGAGGACTTGCTCTAAAGTTAGGAGTATTGAAATGAAAGATGGCTTCTGGAGTCGCGAATTTACAGTTCATTCGCTGGCGTGTCCTCCAATCGAATTCCTGTTCCTGTAAATCATCGGCGGGATGAGGCTGGCAGCTGGGTGATGTCCTCGATGTTGATGTCACCAAGTGAAGTTAGTTGGCCGATGGCGAGAAACGCAGCAATGCGGAATGTCACCCACAGAGGAAGGCGATGATATGGGTATTTCACCACTCCTACGAAGTAGAAGGAGAAGGACGCAACAATAGAACAAGAGTCAATATGATTCTGGATTTTGCATATAAAACCTGGCGATGGAAGCGTGCCTAGGGGATCAAGAGAGACCCCGTCTTGGTCTCATCCAACCCTAACACTCGTTTTGTTCAAACCAGCATTTCTCTGCAAGTTACTTCTCTAGACAAGTCTGCCGAATATCTTGTCAAGTCACTCGTTTATTAGTGATCATACTCTCATACTCTCGTTAAACCATCCCTCCATCCTTTCCAGAATTCAAGATGAAGTTCGGGAAGGTGTTTGCATTCGCCTTGGCTTCCTCGCCCTTCGCGCTTGCCAAGCCTCATGTCTGGCGTCGACAGGCTGCCGGGGACACCTGCAAGATTCAACTCAACCAGGGCAGCGGCGGCCGGAAGATTGCTATTGTCCTGGACTCTTCTGGGTCCATGTCCTACAATGATCCTCAGGACCTGCGAATTACTGCAGGGAAGGCCTTGAATGCCCAACTTGTTATGGGGCAAAATGCCGACCTTGTAACTGTTGTCGAGTCAGTTGTTGTTTTATATCTCCTTCTTTTATTTCCTGATTATATTCATTATTCTCGAATGTTAACAGTAGTTCTACTTTACAGCTTTGACAGCTATGCCGACATTATCTACCCGCTCGGTAGCCCCTCTGGTGCCGATAGTTCCTTCGACCTTATCAACAGCTCGGGTGGTACCTATATTGGAGAGCAAGTCCTCTCTGTTCCTGCATCTAAACTACCCCATTAACTAACATGATTTATCTCAGCGGTGTCGCAAAAGCCATTGCTGAACTCACCAAGCCCGGAAATGATCCCACAGCCGACCGATCCGGCATCGTCGTTCTCACCGACGGCGAAGATTCCGACCTCGACTTCCTCATTCAGCAGATTGAACTAGCCGCCACCCACGGCATCCGCGTAAGCTTCGGTTTCCTCGCCCCGCCCGACTCTTTCTCAGAGCCTCGACTTGAAACCGCCATCCTAAAGACGGGCGGAACATTCATGTCCTTCGACGACGCCGCCAACATCCAGCCGTGGCTCTTCCTCCTCCTCAGCAACGGCCTCACCGCCAACGACCACAACGCCGGTGCCGACCAGCCCCTCCTCTCGGGAATTACCATTGCCAAGCTTACGGGCTCGCAGCCCGTCTCGTTTTCGTATGCTTCGAGGAGTGGCGAGGAGCTCGTTTTCACAGTCCAGTCGCTTTCTGCCCAGGCTCTTGAGGCTGATCTCCAGGATGCGTCGGGCAATTCTATTGCTAAGAACGCGACCGGGACTGGGCCAGCGACACTTAGTTATAATGCTACTGCCGAGGCTACTTTGAAGCTCGTTGTTTCGTCTACCAACTCGACGTCCGAGGGCGTTTTCCAGGTTTCGCTTAACTCGTCGCTGGGTATTTCGGGTTGCACGCTTCCTAACCGAACTACTATTCCTTCTGATTACGGCAAGAATAGCACCGGTACTGGTTCTGGCAATGGCAATGGTACTACTAATGGCCAGGGTAATGGGGGCAAGTCCTGCCCCGGAACTTGCCACGGCTCTAGCTCCGGCTCTGGTTCTGGTTCTGGTTCTGGTTCTGGTTCTGGTTCTGGATCCGGTTCTGGACCCGGTTCTGGCCCTGCTCCAGTCGGCCCTTCAGTGGTGCCTGGCTCGCCTACTGGCGGGAAGAGTCTTCCTACTGTTGTGACTGCTGCTGCCGACAAGATTGTTAGGGCTAGTTTCTGGGTTGTTGGTCTCGGCCTCATCGGTTTCTTCTTGTAATGGGCTTCTCTTGTCATCTTCTTTAACCCTTCTCTTCTTCTTGGGAAGGAGACAATTTTCCCCTCCTTTTTTTAACCAGGTGTAGATTAGTTTGCTACTTTTGATGAATGGGTTCTCGCCTTCTCTTTTGAGTATTTGATGATTCATAGAGCAGAAATGTGTCGATGAATGCCAACCGGGTTTCATATTTCATGGCTAAAGAATGTCGTCCCCCACCTAGTGATTGATGCAATTCTGATATTCTCTCTGCTCAGCTCTGCGGGCAAACGACCCCCCACCTAAACTTTCTCTCGTAGTCCATCGAATTAAATCCTGGAATTGTTACACCCAATTGATGTCGGTCGAGACTTGGCGCCAGGGATCAATGTCGTGACGCAAGACACACACCAACAATAACCAATAATAGCTTAATTTAACGTCCCCGGAAAACACACCCAATAAGATCACGCGAATGTTATTCCTTGCATTCCCCCCAAACCACAGGGCTGGATCAAGGTTTGTTTCAACTAATTTAAAGTTCCGCGATCAATTCAACGTCAACCCTCGCGCCTCAAGTAAGGGACGAACGACTACGCCCCAATTATGGGATAGAAATACACGCGGAGGACACGGGTTCGATGTTGCGAGATACCCTGGACTTGTCTAGGACCTGGTGTTAATGCATTTCCACCTGTTAAGAAAGACCCCGCGATCATCGCAAGATGGTTTCGCCGCTACAAAGCTCCATGATTTAGCCTTGATATTACGAGGACATGGCTGCTATCCTCGGTCCACCCCCGAGACTAGTTCAGGCACAAGCCATGCGCGAGAAAGGCTCCAATATAATTAATGTTTTCTGAAGCTACGTGCAGTGATCCTCGACCGACGGACCTTCCATCAATATCAATGTATACACCGACCCCATCTCTCTGGAGAGAAGAAGAAGGTCATCAACAGAGTCAAAAAGAACAATCACAAGTTTCCCCGCAAGAGGATGGCGTCCCCAGAATCACACGCCCCAATTCACACACCCACCGTTGCCATACGCCTACTAACCACACGCCTACCAGCCACACGCCCACTCCCACGCTCACTCCCACGCCCATCCCCACACCCGCGTCCATCTACACGCCCACTTACACGCCTCCCACATGCCAGACTCATCGATATCGGACATATCAGACTACACATGCCCAGAAAGCGCCCAGCCTCTACACGATATCAACGTGTTGGAACAATCTAGGCTCGTCGAGGCTAGAAAACTGTGAAGGACGTCTGTGGATCCTCTCCAACGAATAGAAAAATTCGGCCTCGAGGACATTTAAAAGAAATAAATCGATTGATGTATTTTCCAATGTCCATTCCCCGAACAGGCAATTCTTTTCCATCTTTCAGATGTCGAGTACGAGTACCATGAAGAGAGGACCAGGACCAGACGTACCTAGACATCCTCGACTTGCACGGTCCCCCGTGGAAACCTGCTGAAGCTGTGTATCGGTACCGGACATAAACATTTCCCCAAAAATGAAAAGAAAAAAGCTCAATTATTCCCTTCGTCGTTGATTTAAGCTTCTGATCGTACCTGGCTGATCTGGGGTGATCCGGGGTGATCGGTGACACCCATCGTTCAAGGATAAATAAACCCAGTCCCTCCCAGAACTCTTCCTTCTTCCCTTCTTCTTTTCTTTTTTCTCTTCTCCATTGATGCTCCGTTACACACATTTTCTATATTGCGCTCACACTATTGTAACGCTCCCCCCTTCCTCCCCCTTGCCCCTCTTCCCTCTTTTTTTCTTTTCTTCCCCGCCTCCACCCATGCCCAATTCCCATGCCCATGTCCGCCTCATGTCATCCCCATCCCCATCCCCATCCGCCCTATCCTGTCCCATCCGCCTTGTCCCATCCCATCTGTCTTGTCCCATCACATCCGTCCTGTCCTGTCTCATCTATCTTGTCCCATCCCATCCGTCTTGTCCCATTTGTCCTGTTCATCCCGCCTGTCCTGTCCCATCCTATCCTCATGCCCATTCCATGCCCTCACATCCCATCCGTCCCACATCGTCCCATCCCCATCCCATCCCATTTATCCTGTTCCCTTCCCCTGCCATCACCCTCTTCTTATGTTATCCCCTTCCCATGTGTCCTCTCCTATCTTTCCTCTCCCCCTCCCGTGCTATCCTATCCCATTTGTCTTACCCTACCCCCATCCCATCTGTCATATCCTATCTGTCCGTTCCCATCCCATGTCGTCCCCCCCCCGCCAACGCTATACCATCCCGCCCCTTCCCATCCCATCACACAACTCAATCATTCGTTTACCGGTTCAATACTGACTATACCTGGTTGAAAGTTCAACATCGATGGCTTCTTCGCATACTGCGTCGTATCAAATGCGTCTTCGCCCATGGGCGTCGTATCCCTCAACTACTTCGCTTCGGCGTCGTACCGGGCATCCCGACACAATGCCACGACAAGGTTTAGGACTCACTTCCTCGGAAACTCGACGAGCGCGGCAACTCTAGGCGGAAGCCCAGCACATCGAGCGAGTCCGGAAGGCGACGCGTACCGTGCAACCATCTTCTTCTTCTCTTCCCCTTTCCGCTCCCGCTCCTCCTCAAGCCCATTCTGCCTCCGCCTCCGCTTCCACTTCCACCAAGAGCCGAGTGGCTCGTCCCCAGCCCCAGTCCCAGCCCGAGCCCAAGTCTAGTCGAGTGATTAGAAACAAGGTGGGTATGAAAGTGTCCGAGTCTGAGCCCGTCCCTGCCCCAAGCCAAGTGGCTTCTTCCCGACCAGAGCCGGCCGCTGCCCCTCGTTCTCGCATCCCACGACCAGTGCCTGTGCCAAGTGGTACAGTCCTCCCTCCACTCTTTGCCCCTGTGCCCACCTACCTTATTCGCTCGTTGATCCCCAGACCCAAAGGGTTTGTTGCCCCCTCGTTCCCGCCCGCTCGTGTTCCCCATGCTGCTTGTTGCGCTCGTTCTTGTGCCTCTGATGAGGCGTCCACTCATTTTGTCTCTTCCGAGACGTCCACTCGTTCTGCTTCTGATGAGGTGTCCGTTCGTTCTTCTGCAGCTGATGATGTATCTCCCCCTTCCCCCAAGCCCACTCCTACCCCCGGTTCCCGCATCCCACGCCCCGTACCTGTGCCAAGTGGTACGGTACTTGAGCCCATCTTTGCCCCTGTGCCTACCTACTTCATTCGTTCGTTGATTCCCCGACCCAAGGGGTACGTTGCTCCTTCATTCCCCAGCCCTCCCCCTCCCATTCTTGATCGTTCCCGCATCCCCATTCCCGTGCCGGTACCAAGTGGTACTGTGCTTCCCCCTCTCCCCGCCCCTGCACCCAACTCTCGTCCTTCGCTTATTCCCCGGCCAGTGCCTAACCCAGTCCCTCGTTCTACGCTTTACGGTTATGTGCGCTGGCAGCCCAAGTCCATTCTTTCCCACAGCGGCCAGAAGACCGAGCAAGTGCTCGGTAAGAAGGCCAAGTCTGTTCGCTTTGCGGAGGAGGCCGAGGAGAAGTCTTTCTCGAAACACCTCCCTCCAGTTGTTGTATGTTCCATCCCCAGGCAGGCCTGTGTCACTTTCTCCCCCCACATCCCAACCCCGAGTCAAGTGGCTCTTTCATCGACATCTCCCCCTTCTTCCCCCATCATCCTCAACCCAGCGGTTGGTTCCCCTCCCTCTTCCCCCCCATGGATCCCATCGCCCCCGCGCCGAGTGGCGTCTCCTCCCTCTTCCCCTTCCCTTCCCCCCCTCGCCAGCCCAGCGGCTGACCCTTTCTCTTCCCCCCCTTCCTCACCCCCATGGATCCCGTCCCCCCCGCGCCGAGTGGCGCCTCGATCCCTTCGCCGCCCCTTGTCACCATCATGTTCGATTCTCTAAGTCAAGTGATTTGGAAAATCTGTTGGTTGTTGGTTTATGGACGTTTCCCGAGTGTTTATCTTCCCTTTTGCACCTGCACCTGCACCTCTTCTCTCTTCTCTTCTTCACCCCTCTTCTTCCCCCCCGCTCCGTTTCACCTTCCCCTTTCTTTTTCTTCATCTCCTTTCTCTGGGCTTCTTCTTTCTCTCAACGACGATCACTTGCCGATTCGGACAACGTTACCAAGTTCAACACGGAGATCGACACCATCTGCTCGAGAATCACGTATCACTACCGACCATGTCCGGGATGGACTACTCTGTCAATTGTCGGTGGTGATCCCTGCTCGGCTGGACTCAGAGGACAACGACTTCTCGAGGGCAATGGCGAATCTCTTGGACCGCGATACCGAGTCGATCGACAAGACCAGATCCAACATACTTATCGAAAAGCACAAAAAAACTCGGAAAACGGAAAACAATCACCAAAAAATCGGAAAATCCAAAAATAGGGCCCAAGTATCGATACTATCTTTACCAACGACTGCATCCTTATTCATTGCCCATATGTCTTATCCCCCGGACGACGACGAATATCGATACTATTTTTACCGACGACTGCATCCTTATTCATTGCCCATATGATTATCCCCGGACGAACGACAAGCATCGATACTATTTTTACCACCGACTGTATCCATATTCATTGCCCATATGTTTATCCAGAGAGAGGAGGGGAGGCTAAAGGGGAGGGTAATGCCGCAGTGGGCAGGGAACCTCGGCCTCGCGGCTGAGGAGTAAAGAGGAGGAAGCCTGCCTGGAGACTGGCCTTCACGCGGCGGCGGGTGTGAGTACCCACGGTTCTCCGTGGGGAAACCAACGAGTCTCAAGTCTTGTATTGTAGTGCAGCAAGCAATTGTTTCTGTCTTTCTATATTTCTGTCCTTTTGTCTTTTTCTGTCTTTGCTTTCATTTCGTCATCTCCTACCTGTGTACTTCTCCTATCAGTCTCCCCCATTTCCTTTCAGTTTTGTTTGTTTACTCTATCCTCTCTTGCCCGCTAGATAACTATCTGAATATGGTACTACTTCGCTGTGCTAGGGTCTTGACTGGGTTAGTGCCGATGGATAGATTCCACGTGGTTTCAATAATCAGTGATGTTGTCATTTCCAATCATTTCTACTTCGTAATCTAAGAGCAGACACGACTTCGTGGCTTACCTCGTTCGTTGCCCGCTTAAATGATGAGTCGAGCAATAGTGTCCACTAGTACGAAGGCAAAGACATTAATGATTCAAGTCCCTTGCCATGTTTCCGTGTTTCCTTCATCGAACATTCTAATCCGTTTTTCCACGGGAAGCACAAGTATCAGCCGGCACTAACCCAAATAAGCGCGCCAGTTGGTGCCCGTCTGCCGTAGGGCAACGGCAAAGACAGAGAGCCAAGAACCGAGGAAGAAAGAATGGGATCATTTTTCGAGACTAAAAAATTGTTATTATCGTCCAGCGTGTTTCCGATCCTCATCCTCTCGATTTCCGGTTCACGATGGACAGGGATCTCGGATTAGCGTCGTTCTCTTCCCAGAGGTTGGTGGGCACACTGACCACCGGGATTGCTGAAACATGGCGTTTCCCCTTATCTTCGAATCTCGGATGGCGATCTTGGTACCGGTTCAGGGAGGATAGCACGTAATTTCTTGGGCGAGCGGACGCTACGACGGACTTACACAAAGCGGTTTGTGTTCTAATGCCCCTTGTTATGCAACTGCAAACCATAAACCATAACAATACGAAGGGGCACTAATGAGCTTAGTTCCTGAAGACCTGGACCTGGCTCGTAACGCTGCCAGGCACTACGCAGATCCATGTGCATCTCTGCAAGCCGACGACCCCCGGACGAATGGCTTCGTCGGCGCTCCCACGGCCTATTTTCCCGGCTCCACCCAAGCGTCTGCACTAAACCGAGCCAAGCGTGGGTAGGTGGTGTGTCCCCCACTGAACATGAAGCGACGCAGGAGCTCGGAATGATGACCCGGATGGGGGTTTTAAAATTGTATGGTGCTGCAGGGCCTGCTGTACGAGGGTACTTTGTCCGCTCATCAGTGAGACCACTCGGGCGTTGGGGGTCCATTAAAACTGGAGAGGCAACGCAACGTGCTTCCCTGTGCTTTTCCAAAAATTTGCGGCCCTCTTATCGCCTCGTTTTGTTGGATTTGATGGAGCTCTTGCGCCATCTGTCGTTGTGCAACTGGAGTCGATCTGCATTGTGCTATTGACGGAGTCTCCATCTTCTATGCAACTATGTGTCCCTTGTCTGCCGTGGGATAATACGACCCGAACTCTTCAACCCTTCACCTCTCCTTTTTCCCACCTTGCTTTTTCTTGCCCCTTCTATTGTATTGTCCACTTCACTCGTTTATATAATATATATTTACTCATGTTTCGCTACGCTGGATTGTGAGAGCCATAATCCCCGTCTGGGATCGTCTATGATACGGTATGGAGACGGGGTTTGGCAGGAAGACACAATAACCTACATAGAACGATCCTTTTAACAACCGATTCCCTTTACTCTCTCTACTCCCGATTTCTCTAGATTTTCCTCACCCTCTAGAGCTTCATCCCTCCAGTCCGACCACTTCACCGAGCTACAGTCCGTCAGAACGAGACGGGGACGGAGCTATGGATCTCATGGAGATGTGGAAGTTGATATACCAGGAAGAGCTACCCCTGGATATCGGTCCCGTCAGGGAGCTACTGGAGATTTACAGTGGCATCGAACCGGCCGACATCGAATCGCATCTGTACGCCATTGTAAGTTGTGAACACCTCTTCTCTTTCCTCCCGGGTCCGTCTGGTTGCGTTGCAGGTGCTGGCGCTGGCTGCATTTGGGCTGCTGCATTGGGCTACCTCAGTCTTACCCGAACAGCCTAATCACCCGAAACCGGAAAACTGGAAAGCTAATACGTGTCGTCACAACAGCGAAAACAAGCGTGGACTGCGACTCGATATCCCTGCGTCGGCCGATGGCGATTCCTCTACCTCGATCCAGCTAGCGATGCTCGACACCAACAAGCGTTCTCACGGTTAAGATCGTGGTGGTCAAGCGATGTATTACTAGACCTCGGGTGCGGCGTCGGCCAATCCCTCCGCCAATTCGCGTACGGCGGGATCCCCCGCTCGAAACTAATAGGCCTCGACATAAACCCTACATTAATCGAGATCGGCTTCGAGCTCTTCCGCGACCGGAGGAGAGCCCCCGCGAATTTCGTCGTAGGCGACATGATGGACGAAGCCGATGAGGCCCTCGAGCGCGTAGACGGCCGCGTATCGATAATACACGCCTCCAACTTCTGGCACTTATTCAGCTGGCCGCAGCAACTGGCCATGGCGATGCGTCTGGTCAAGTTTTTCAGGGTGGGCGAGAAGCGCGCCATGATATACGGGCGGCAGGTGGGCACGGCCAAGGCGGCGAATCAGTCGAAGAGCGGGGGGTCGTACCTGCACGACCAGAAGTCGTTCCAGAGGTTATGGGACGAGGTCGGGGCTGTGACGGGGACGACGTGGAGGGTTGAGATGGAGTTTCTGGAGGAGCGGTTGGCGAAGATTCCGGGCTTTGGGGGGGAGCCTGTTGCGGCCAGATATGGCGTGTACCAAATAAAATAGATTTCCTTGAGTGATTAATGAGATATGAACATTTACCATTTTTTTTTTTTTTTTTTCCACCTCGATGGGTGTTGAATCGTATTCTCATCGCGGTCGGACCATGCATTCCTGTCAGGACAATACGTACGGGCGCTGGAAAGTCAATGGCATTGTCCTGATAATGATAACGGCGATGGGTCCTTGGTCGGTCAGCAAAGATTTTGTGGGGAAGACGTCAAATGTCCGTTGACAACTCAAATTTCTCACGACAACCGTCGCCAAGCAAGATATGTTGAAGTTTGGATGGACCATCAAATCGCACGGGTGATGTCTATTAATATAATATTCTATAACTTCTAGAAAACGCCAAAAGATCGCACACTAGCAGCAGACACATGCAGCCCTTGCAGCTGAGGCGAGACTATTCCATTCACGACAAATATTGACTGAACACCCTTCTGCCGCCCCCCCTTGCTTTATAGGTCACGTGATGACGCGCCACTGCCTGAACGCTCAGCAATGAGATCGTGCTAAGTCTGAGGCGCGATCGAGCTTGCGCAAGCCAAGTCCTTCCCCCGCCACTCACGCATTAGTGAGGTCCAGGCATCTGCGCACCCACCATCTTTCTCCCAATGATGCGTTATGAATAGTTTAATCGATTTGGCTTATTCAACTGAAATCTAGAATTGATGACCAACATTTAAGGCTCTTGGCGAGACTGCCAAGGAGAGCTGCGATTCACGATCTGCGCGATGACGAGGCCGAAACGAGCGACGAGGAGTGCGCGCGGCGCCAGTTCACGGATTGAAGAACCTCAAAATGCGCCGCGAGATATATATGGCGAAATGCTTGACGAGGCCGGGGTTAGTCGGCGAGGCGAAGAAGAGCCCGAGAGGCCATTGAAGCGGCGGATGATACGGCGCCGGACGTCGGATGCTGATGACCACCCCGTACCGGCGCCTGTGCCTGGTGCCGCAGATCCTTCGAAGAGCCGAGCTCAAGTCGAGCGTCAGCCTGAAAAGGCCGTCGAAGATATAAACGATGACGACGACGATGAGGATGTTGAGTTCGAGGACGTTGTGATACCTAAGCCTACTGTGCAGACGGTATATATGGGATCGGATGACGAGGATTCGGACGAGGATGACGATGATGACGATGAGGGGATTGTATTCGAGGATATCGATCTTAATGCGCCCGTCGTAGCCGAGAATAATCCCCCTGAACCTAAAGCGAAGGACATTGAGCTGAACTTGTCAGCCCAGAAAGCAGCCATGGCCCCTGCAAGGAGAGGGGCCGGTCATAAGAAGAAGAAGCCTCTCAGCAAAGAAGAAAAGAGGCGACGTATAGACATTCATAAGGTCCACCTCCTTTGTCTCCTCTATCACTCAGCCATGAGGAATAAGTGGTGCAACGACAACAAAGTTCAGGCATGCATGAAGACGCTGCTGAGCCCAAAGATGCTCAATAGCCTCAACCCTAACCGGAATCTTTCTCAGTTTGGCAGGGCTGAGGCTCTAAAGGTTGGACTGCAGGAAATGGGTCAGATGTACAAAGAGAAATTCCAAGTCACGGAGAGAGGATTACGAAGAGCACTCTGGGCTGAAGATGGGGAAGATATTGGCAACTACGAGCCTCCGGCGGACCTGGAGACTTGCTTGGATAAGTCGGACTTTCTAAAAGCGGCGAAAACTCTCCAAGGCTCGAGGGACATGGGAGCGCAGCTCTACTGCGCTCTTCTTCGGGCTGCTGGAGTTCGTGCCCGACTGGTGTGTTCCTTACAGCCACTCTCCTTTTTAGGTGGAGGACCTACACGGCCGAAACCTCGACCTTCGAGAACGCCTGTAAAGCGGGCTACGCCAGATGCAGGGTCTGCAAGGGGTAGCCAATCTCCCGCGGCAGAGGCTTCTACGGCATCCCCAACCCCTTCTTCGCGACGTCGGTTCGGACTTTCTACCACGGCTTCACGCTATCGCCGGCCTACGGGGACAACAACACCTCGAGGCTCCAAGTCATCGCAGTACGCGGCACCGAGGCAAATCAAGGAATCTCCCTTCCCAATATACTGGGTCGAGGTTCTCGACGTGGCGCACCAGAAATGGCAGCCCGCCGACCCCCTAGTCACCGGAACCTTTTGGAAAACGCGCGTTTTCGAACCTCCCTTAACGGATCGCGAGAATTCCCTAGCGTACGTCGTCGCCTTCGACGAGGACGGCTCGGTCAGGGACGTGACCAGACGATACGCCAAGGCGTACACGGCGAAAACGCTCCGGCTCCGCGTCGAATCGGCGGAGGAGCAAGGGGCGCGGTGGTGGCGCAAGGCGCTTCGGCGGTACGCGCGGCGCGGGAGGCCGACGGATCTCGACCAGATTGAGGATAATGAGCTGGCGGCCGTGTTGGCGCGGGAGCCGATTCCTCGGAATATTGCGGATTTGAAGCGGCATCCGCTTTATGTGTTGGAGAGACATTTAAGACGGAGTGAGGTTTTGCGGTCGGACGCTAGGGATGTTGGAACGGTGGCGCCTGGGCCGAGAGCGCCGCTTGAGAGGGTCTATCTTCGACGGGATGTCATGGTGGTAAGGAGCAAGGAGAAGTGGTATCGCATGGGACGGATAGTCAAGCCAAACGAGATTCCCGCCAAATGGCTCCCGCCGAGGAAGAAGATGGGCAAAGGGGGCTTTCGGGAGGACGATGATAGCGATGACGGGGAAGACGGTGATGCTGTACGGGGTCTAAATGGCACGCCGCTCTATCTTATCGAGCACACGGAGGAGTTCAGACACCCTCCAGTGATTGACGGAATCGTCCCCAAGAATAAGTTTGGCAACATCGACGTGTACGTGCCGAGCATGGTGCCAGTCGGCGGGATTCACATCCACGACGAACTCGGCGCGCGAGCGGCTTTCATCCTCGGGGTAGACTACGCGCCGGCACTGACGGGCTTCAAGTTCAAGGGCCGGCACGGAACGGCGGTTCTACGGGGCGTCGTGGTCGCGGCAGAGTACGCCGAAGCGGTGAGGGCGGTCATCCAGGGCCTCGTGGACATGGAGACGGAGATGGAGGAGGAGAGGAAGAGGAGAAGTTGTTTGAGGATGTGGAGGCGGTTGTTGATGGGGCTTAGGATTAGGCAGAAGATTTGGGAGGGGGTGGATGAGGAGCGGGAGGCGGAAGTTGAGGCGGAGGCGGAGGCGGAAGCCGAGAGGCAAAGAGATGAGGGGGATGGTGGTGAGGGCGGCGGTGGTGGCTTTGTTGATGAGGCGGAAATGGATGATGGTGCTAGTGATGTCACGGAAGAGTATGTTATAGATGAGGATGACTATGGTGGGGGAGGGTTCTTCATTGAATAGAGACGGGATTCGATGATTGCTTGTAATATGACTACGACGATGATAACAATGTGGAATAAGTCGAGCGACCGCCTCAGGAGGGTTCTCAAGCGTGAGGCTTTTGCAAGGGAAAACGAGCTTTACGAGTGATGATGTGTCTAAAAATAAAATTAAATGAAATTTTACAAAACATCTTCTTGAACAAAGCACTGAGGCAGTTTTCCAGGAGAATAACATTCTCATGTAGTCAGCAGCCAAGGAGAAGGGCCCAAGTAGTTTAATTTGTGGGCGCACGAAGTAGCGGCAAGGCAGACAGTGACCATGGCCGGAGAGAGACAGACAGGGCGGAAGTTTGTGTTTTTTTAAGGTTGCAGTTTCGCTCGGGAGACGACGCGTGTTTGGGAGTGGCGCAGCTTTGTTTTTCGAGAGCCAAGAATTGGATCTTCACGGACGTTTGACATTTGAAGGTTGGGCGCTCGGGGCTTTTTGAATAATCCTGGTGCCTGAACCTATATTCGTATTTGTGAAGTTTATCTTATTGCGAAACGGGTTGGAAGATATGCGGACGAGCAGAGAATCTTTCGTAAGGAGTTGTGGATGGATCCGGCTTCTATTATGTTTACAATGAGTAGCGGAATCTACTTGGTATTTTCATCAATTCTTCTTCTGACTTTGAGGTCTGGCAGGACTTTGGTTTCATGCAAGATGAGATGTCAGTGTGAGGCAAAGTGTTGGTTATGGCATCAGAGATCAATAAATGCTGGAGTGGGAAGGATAGGGTTGCTTCGAAGACGCGGGCTTGGTTTGACGTCGGAGGGTCGGAGATAAGCTTCGTCTCTTTCGGGAAAATGTGTTCGTGTTTGTGGACCCAAACGGGGATTCTCCTCGGAGATGAGATCGAGGGATGCGTGGACACTGGACATTCATCCTGGAGGTGAACATCGCCCTGCAGCTGCTGTATACTTCATCGACTGCATGAGTCCATTGATGCGTGTGAATTCTTCCACTTCCATATGAAATGTATGAAGCAAGTATGAATGTATGGCCGAATGGGACCGCTGGGAATCGGATCCGAAATCTCCCAAGTCAGCCTAGCCTCAGTCTGCAGTCCTCCGGTGGCGGTCGCTGACCATCGGAATGGTGTCTGATGATGACATTGCCATTAAATACATTTAACTTCAGACTGCATTGAGGCTATCTCGACAACATCTCACTTAGGCTTTTACGTTGATAGTTGATATTTCGTAGGGCTGCGTCCATGAGTCGATCGGACATGGCAGCATACGTAACGATGCGAGAGATGCGAGAGATACGAGCCTCTGGACTGTGTCTGTCGCTCAGCCTCCAATAAGACTGTAAGAGCCAAGGGAGCACGGCGACATGAATCCGAGACCCAAGAAACGGACCAAGATCCCCTGATAGTGGGGCGCCAAGTGCTCAAATTGTTCTTTGGTGACCCCTTTGGTGCGAAGCATCACGAACTAGCATGGTACTGGGTACTTATTTAACATACGTAGTAATTATAGTATAGCCACGTACCCTATACACAGACGGCGCAATAGACCCCCCGCCTCCAGTCCGCCCCAGCGCTCCTACCCTGATTCGCCTGGCTCTGGCCATCTTGCCCATATTATAAGGCGATGATCGTTCCCCGGAAAAATGGTTCCAACATCTAAATCGGAGCTATTTTGGGCC